CGACACGTCAATGCAGGAAAGTTCAAGCCCTTAATAGATTAGTTTTCTAAAAATGGGCACCAACAGAGACCGAACAGCACGTACTGTGTATTTCAATCGTTCAGGACGCTTCTAATTTACATCGTAAGTACGCGCAAAGAGGGGTTTTGTTCTTTTGCTGCATCCTCGTTCCCAGGGCCACTCTTACTCTCGGTTTATAGAGCACCAAAAAAACGCATAATGAACTAACTAACAGAGAATGAGTCTTAGCAGAAGGACGGGATTTTGAAAAGTAGGTGGAAGGAAAATGTTCTTTTTGTTGGATGGATCATACGTATACAAAAATGTAACAAAAAGTAATCAGCAAAAATTCTTTAGTTAATCAAAGTTTAAATATTTTCTTTTGAAATGCTGCAAATTTAGCCTAGTCCTAACTTTTCTTTGTTCCAAGATTTCCTCAATATATTAACATAACCCCCTGATTTCTGCCACCTTTTTTTCCATCTTCCTTCATTTGCCCTCTCCTTTGACCAAAACCACAACCACGTTTTCACTCATACCTTCCCAAGTTCCCAACGCCCTGCAAACCACCTTCGCCCGAGTGTCGTGTTTAGCACTTTCTTTGTCGGCATGTTGAAGAATTTGGAAAATTACGGCGCTAAGCGATTTTAACCCTGGCACGAAAAAAAATTCTGAATGTCCTCTATGCTCGCTACGTTATTTGTTTTAGCTGCGGTGTGGCATGAGTTATTAGATGGCCGACTATGATGAAAGTTAGTGGGATATCACTGTTATTTGAATGTGCGTTGAAATAACCCACCCGCCGAAGCGATCGTGTAATGAAAAAAAATAAAGGTTACTCTCAAAAAAAAAAAGGCTTCCTACCTTATTTTGACTAAGACAGAATAAAGTTTAAACTCTCTTGTTTTACTTATTTCACTAGAAAACGGCTCTATTTTGGATTTAAAGACTGAGGTATCAAGTCGACTCAGAACATATGCGTTCCTTCTAGGTCAATGAAGATATTAAAAAATGAAAAAAAATAACTACCGCATGTTCATGCCGCCAACCGCAGTTTAAGATAAGGTTCACCACATCACTGAATAAAACGAATGTTTTTCTTTAAGAACAGACAAATGAACAAACAAAGAGCTCTTACATCTTACACTGAATCGTCAAAAATCTTCTTCCACCAGTAGAAAATTTAGTGAACAAGCAAATGAAAAAGTAACACCGGCTTTGCGCTGGATTTGGACTCATGGCTTTGAACACGGCAAAGGCATGGCACGTAAACAAAATTTTTTGAGTCGGTCGAGGAATTGTTTCCCAATCTAAGCAAAGAACTGGGCAGCTGTCCAGGAGAATAATCATCTGTTTTGTTTTTATTACTTAGGACACAAATCTTTACATTTTCCCGCTTGCCCAAGTAACCTCGGGCTTGTACATGTACGAACGAGGGGGAGATTTCTCCTTTCACTGGACACAAAATATACCGCAGATGTCTCGTTTTCGTTTGGAATGCTGTCATCTTGGACTCGCTGTTGCGTGCTTTTAGTTTAATCCCAGATATTTTCGAGTACCAATATCTTGACTCAAAAACCTTTTATCGCACTGAAAACCAAATATCTGTTCCCTAGAGCGCACGTTCTTATGATTTCACCTTTCTTATTTCGGAACAAACTTCAGCAATTTCAAGCATTAGGTCTTATATTTTCAAGCCTCTTTAGCATCGTTTTGACTCATGGCGCCCTTTCCAATAAAATGATTTTTACTTCGAGATCGCAGCTTTAGTTTCAATCTGTAATACCGAACAAAATTTTCTTCAAAGTTAGAAATTGAATGTATCAAGTCATGTTTTAACATATATCCCTCAATCCCTCAGCGGTTCTTTAGTGGACCGAAATTTCGGGTGTATATTCCAGTAGAGATATTAATGACTTACCGCACTTCTTTCCTCGGGGAATCTCGAGGCGAGCCCAGCATCAGTCATGTTGATCCAGTAGGCCATGGTAGCGATTGAAGAGGCTTAGTGCTCCGGTTTCCCGCTTAAGGTAGTTACCAAGGTACAATTTATTTGACGCCAACGCTCGAATGCTTCTTCTACTTCTTCTCTGTCGAAAAAATATCCTGTTTATCCAGGAATTTTTCTCATGGATGCAATATAATGCTAGACAGCGTTATGACGTCGCAGACCTTCGGTATCAAAACAAAAAACAGGAAAAAGGAAGTGCAAATTTAATTAGTACAAAATTCATGGACTGTTGCAGTTGACGAGAATTCCTTCATGTGATATTCTTTGACGCATCACAGCGTCAGGCTATTTCTGGAGAAGTCTTTGCTATTGATATCATTTCCAAGATTTTAAGTTCTCTTAGTGTTTTATACCTGAATATGATGAGATAGATCTTCAGATCCAAAAACGAGTACAATTCTGATGAAAACTTCCTTAGGTTTTGTACCTTGGCCAATTCAATGTGACGAGTGGTAATAATATTTCGTAAAGTCGATAATCAGTTTTGCAAGTGCAGGCGAACTTGAGTCGTTAAATGGTATTCATTTCATAGCCATCCTCCGCTAAAAACGCCACCATGGGCATTTTGAAGCATGGATTTCCAGAGGTAACGGTTGGGATTGTCTTTACTTTTTGTTGAATATAATTTGAATTGAAATTTAACTTTTGCCTCCCTCCCTCCCTCAAGTATGTTTTTTTTAATTCATGTAATCAGCTAGTCATGATTACACAACTGCAATTGAGTTTTTGAAAAGCTGATTTGGGCTTTCAAATTCGTGTTTGACTCCACAATATTTTTCATCTCAACCTTTCTGCTTCACCTATTACACGCTGAGTGCAACACCTTTTCTTTAGGGCTTTGCAACACATGACAATTTATAGGGTTTTTACATATTGTTGGCGCGCGCGCCGAGTAATGTTTTTCTAGAGAATTTTTATGTTTTCGCTTTCCTAGGTCACTAAAAGTTATCGAAAGGCGATGAGCAACGCTCGGGCTATCGTTTGCTGTAGTAAAGATAAGCAATATGATTTTCGTTATTAAGCTAAGGTTCCACGAAGGAGGCGCTCGCCAGTAATAATTTAGCTTTTGCCTTTGCTTTTCTTCAATTTGCTTCGGAGAAACCTCTCAAAATTTTCAGAATTTGCGAAATTTGCCCTACCGACAACTTAAAAACCGAAAATAGTAAGGGTTACAAAGGCAGTTTCCTCGCTATTTGCAGTTTTGTGTTTTCTTCCTTTATCTCAAATTTGGTCTCGTGAATTTTTTTTCAACAGGCACTAGGAGGGGCACAAATATGTTCAACGGTTCAGCAAATCTGGGGAAATTCCACCGAAGGAAACGCTATAAATCTTGCTCGAAAGATCTCCATTTCTTTGTCGCAAAAGTATTACGTAATGGAATACAACTTCTCACGGTGTTTTCTTTTCAGTTGCCCTCTTTTTCAGGCGTAGAAGGCCTATGAATATTACGGGTGTAGTTGCTGGAAACCCTAGATTCCATCACATAAAAACTGTGTTAAGTTAAACTTTTTTCAACATACCTTTTCAGATAAAAATTGTGCGATCGTATCGGGCCGCTATGTTTAAGCTCGCGCTGTGTTCGCACCCAGATCTCGCGCGGTCAAAAACTCTTCAGAGCCTCCTTAACGCGTATCTGAACAATGGCTCGTCCAAAGTGCGAACGTGTGTAAACAACATAAATTAGTTGAATAAATTGCAAACCTAATGTAATCGAAATATCAAGAAATTAAAAAACAAGATTGCATCGGAACTGTGATGGACTCGATGAGTCATGAACTATGTTGAGAAGACTATTCCAGATGTTGGCAGCTATGTAGCTAAGTGGCTTTATCTACTGTCAAGGTGTTGTATTAAGTTCAATGAAAAAAGTCCTACTATTAAGTTTGGACCATCGCATCCGTGTTGAAAGAATATTTTCTGTTCCCTCAAGTTGCTAGAACTGAAAATGATTCTGACCGTGCTGTCATTTGCTCGGGCTTTTTTCAGACACACAAACACAAAAACATTCAAAATACGTGATGGCCCGCTTGAAGATGATGGACCCCATTGCCTTCCTTTCCCGTTTAAATAGAGTGACATCTGGTTGTGTTTAGATACTGACGTCAAAGGACAAAGTATTCGCTTCCTATCTCGCGCGGAATATTTCGCTTATTTGTTTGCAGTGATGGAATAAAAAAACTTACATACAATCACGTTTGAGAGACTAGATGGTACTTGCTGTTTGCTTGCGTGTGCTAGTCTTCCATGCAAAAATTTGTTATTTTATTAAGTTTTCTAATGTTAATTCGTTTTTGGACTCCGTTCCTTTCGTATAAAATTTATAATTGAAAATGTTTGTACAGGATAACTAATTCAGTTGTTGAACTCAGTAATAACTTAAGGGTGATCCACCTGGAGAGGATCGCGGGCTCATCAAGGCAACGAGCAGTCCCTCCCTTTCGGCGAAGTCCGTCACCTGAGTCAAAGAAGAAAACAATTTATCTCATGATTGCGGCGCGCTTTTTTTTCTTCACTTATTTTGTACAAGTGCGACGGACTTCGCCGCATTGAGAGACTACTTACAGTCCAGGGCACATCAGGCTTTCTTTACAACATCTCACTCCCTGGAAAAGAAACATTTGATCGTAAATTAGATCATAGGCTAGTCATCGATCCCTCTTAGTGAGTTCTAGAAGAGGAGAGGCACACTTTTAGGGTGTTTATTCAACAAACGGTTCAGAGTTCAACTGGGTCACGGCAATCGAACAATGTGATTATCTTATCATTCGATCTTAAGAAAGGAATATATATTTCCATTGAAAACTCTGCTTGTAGCCGGTAGGTACATAGAATGCACGTGATAACTTTGCAGAATTCGAATTTGTCAAGTTAGTTACATTTCTGGCGCTAACTTTGACGGTCTCCGTTTCAAGCAGCGTTCATGTGACTTACTGGGTACGAGTCTCTTACGCACTAGAGGGGGGCACTACATATTTAGCGTAAAGTACAACACGTGGATTTGCAGGACGCCATTTCTGTACCCATACAAGTCAGGGTTTGCAATTTCGCGACCATCATGAGCTTCGATGGAAGTAAAGGGCCGCCCCAAATTGAAGGAATGACTAGCTTAAAAGTCGACAACCTTACTTATCGTACTACTGTGGGGGACTTGACACACGTTTTTTCAAAATATGGCGATCTTGGCGACGTTTACATCCCGCGCGACCGCTACAAACAAGAATCCAGAGGGTTTGCTTTCGTACGATTCTACGAGAAGCGAGATGCTGAAGATGCAATGGATGCCTTGCACGGAACTATCATCGATGGACGAGAAATCCGCGTGCAGATGGCAAAGTATGGAAGACCATCAGATCCCTATAAACCTCGAAGTAATCGTCATAGACAATCATCATCCTACAGCAGTTCGAGGTATCGATCACGTTCTCGTTCTCCTCGACGCAGGTAAAAGTGTTTGTGAAATTTTTGTTATTTCAAAGATCTTGATAAACTATTGTCAACTACTAATTGACTTAAGTTATTAAATTGAGTTAAATTTGGGTTTCTAGACTAGTAGTGGATCTCCGACAGAAGTGTCACGGCTCTTTGTTTACAGGGCCCTCGACAGTTTGAGAAAAGCTTGCTGAAAATACTCTCATTTGTTTTAGTTGCCAGCAATTGCAAGAAGTTATATGAAACTGATCGCTTGTGACTAAGTTTCTTCTTGAAAACTTAATCTTGTTCCCAGAGCTGCGGTCAGTAAGTTCCAGGTGAAACCATATATCCTAATATCTGATCATCCAATTAAAAAGAGTATGTAAACAAGTAAAAAGAAAACCTAATTAGGAGAATGCAAGAGCCTTTCAATTTGTGATGCTGATACAGAGCATTGTGACTCTCTGAGTAAAATTGCAGAAAATGAGCAACAGGATACTTATGTCAGTTTTGTGTTATCCTTAGGGCTCGCCGATCACGTTCCAGATCTCCCCGGCGTCGTTCAAAGTCTCGATCCCGCTCACCACGCAAAGCTCGCTACAGTGGCTCACAGTCACCAAGAAAACAGGAAAGCCGTTCTCGTTCCAGAAGTCCTCGCCGCAAACGATCCCACTCTAGGTCCCGTTCAAAATCTGGTTCAAGACCCAGACAGTCTCGTTCCAAGTCTCGTTCTCATTCCAAATCTCGTTCAAGATCACCCCGGAACAAAACATCAAGGTCTCCTTCTAGGTCTCCAAAACAGAGAAGGTCAACATCCCCAGATCGCACTACACAAGATCATGATGACAACATTGATGGTTCTGGGGAGCAACAACAAGAAAGTGCTGATGCTGAAAGAAGAGAAAACAATGCTTATGATTAAACAACCCAGGCTTTCTTTAGACTTCTTCAACAATTTATAGTAATCAGTTTTTTAAAGTATTCTCTTCCAGGCTTTGTTGCTGTTGTGGAGATGGGGAGTAGACTTTTGTTGCTGAGCATGGAGGGAATGGACTGGGAATTCTTCTGTTTTAGGTAGAGATTCCAAAGTTATAGTGTGCTTTTGATATCACACACTTGTTAGCTTATTAGGGAAAAAACAGTTTTCTAGTACCTTTGTGATGGCTCCTCCTTCAAATACCCCATTAGTGCAGAAATGTATGAGGTTCGTGTAGAACAGTGACTATTATGTGTTAGCAGAAAACCCAAAGGACTCTATTTGGAACCCCACTGTCCAGGATCATGGATACTTTGTCTGCAAAGCATGACTAGAACTTGAATTTTAATTTTTTTCTCTGCCTTACTATGTGTAATCACCAGTTACTACCGAACAAATTAAGAATTAGTTTCTTTGTTTCCATTTTGAATAAATGTAGAGGAAAGAATTTTTTTAGAGATTTAGTTAGAAACTCTCTCAAGTTACCATAGCTTCTCTAGACCCAAGAATCCAGGTATATATTCTTGAGTTGAACTTCAGCAAAACAAGAATAGTGTTTATATACTTCAAATTTTGACAAGAAGTAGAGTTTCCTACAAATGTGTAAGGGTGCTCTTGAAACTAGAATCATAACAATGTGTCTATTAGCCAAGATGCATTATCTCAGTAGAGATTAGGCTCTGCTCACAAAGACCTGCAAAGAGTTCATTTTTTTCTCTTAGGGTAATGTAAGTGACTTGTTTACTGAAGGGCTTTAAAAGAATGTTGCAAAAGTTTTGTCAAACACTAAAATATTGAGAGTTACATGAGATGTGTTTATAGACATTAGTATGATTTAAATTTTTTAATTTTATATGAATTGTTTGGTATTTTGGGCCTTCGAAATTAAGAGTTGGTAGGAACAGTCATGTGATCAACTCCAAATAATGGCAATAGCCTGTGTGTTTCATTGGAGAGTGTTATAATCTTACCATATTCATTCATAACTTTGTTATCTAGTATGGCCTTGGCATGGGCCAGTTTGAGCTTTTATCAGCATTTTAATTGATTTTCCTTGATGTGGAATTTTTTTCATTGAATGAGTGGTTTGAACTTTGTGTGGTTGTTAAAGATAATTTTTTTCTTACAATAACTGCTGGAAAGAATTGAGATGTTATTCAGTTCTGAAAATTATGTTTATATTATGCTCATTGTGATGAGTGTTTGATTTAGGCTATTTTCTGTACTTAGTGTGAAAAACATTAGGTAAGTTAGGGCCTCTTCATCTAGGTGTGACAGTCAGGCTGATTAATATTAAGTACAAATTTTGTTGATTTTTCTTATTGCAAAATTTCATCTTGGGTTCTAAGGTGAGACTTCAAGCTTAGCACAGTAAATTTTGGAAATTTCAGTTCAGTGGCTGAGATGAACAAGGTGCAGTCATGTGTTGCCTCTCTAACCCGACTTAAATGGGAAATTTTCTATCTGAGGTACTAAGATCTTGGTGACTGGAACAGCTTGCCTAATTTTCTAAACTAGAGAAATTTTCCAAGGAAAGGGGAAAGATCTTAGAAGCTGTGTAAGTCTGGTTGACTGGACTTATTTGAGGAGGCTCTAGAAAGTAAAGGTATTTGCAAGTTATTATTTTTTTTGTCAATTTGATGTTAAAATTATCATATCAACCTTTCCTGTAGGCGCAGTTTATTTATACTTGCTGTGTGGGTTGACTGGTCATGCAGTGTTTTGCTGTTTTCTGCTGTTGCCGAAGGAGCCCATGCTGTTGCAGACTCCTGTTGGCGTTGTTGCCGTCCAGTTTCCTGATTGGTGGCTGTTCGTCAATCTTACTGTTCCTTTAAACCCCTGAAAGCTCAATTGATTATCACAACTTCCAAAATTTCCTCCAAATCTAAGTCAAATACGCAGCTTGAAAAAGTGCAGGAAAATATATTTCGTTAAGCAAAATATCCCAACCACCTCGGGCGAAAATTAAGGGACACTGCAAGAGGCTCTGATAGGGAACTCCCCTCTTAGATTTCATTTGGCGTAAAAATTAATTAGTTCCCACTTTTTTTCTATCCAAAAGTGACAAGGATAATCTTTAAGGGGCTCATTTTAACAAAACGCTTCCAAACTATTTGACAAATACGAGAAAGATTCTCACTGGAAGTAACATGCACACACAAGTTAGCGGTAACCATGATTAGCATGAGGATCATGTGTCATCTGAACTATCTACCTTCCAAGTAGCATGGTGTTCCGAATTTTGGCTCAATTTGGTCAATGTATTCTTTCTTCAGTCTTCCATATTGGAAAATTTGATCGTCTAAACATTCCAAGGGGACCTCGTACGATTAGCAAATTTTTAGAAAGTTTATCGCATTGCAGGTGGGATCGAAGATGGTTCACAGAGATAGAATGCCGACGTTTCGAGCGTTAGCCCTTCGTCAAAGCGATTGGCTCTGACGAAGGGCTGACACTCAAAACGTCAGCCTTTAAAAACTTTACAATGACCAATTTATGTTATCAACTCAGCTGGTAACATTAAAGTACCCCGTTATATTCTCCCACCGACGCAGTGTCACAGTTTCTTTACGAACTTACCTCTTCTACTCGATGGTTCGTTGACTTGCGTTCAACTTACATTATCGCAGGGAAGTCTGGCTCATACTTAGAGTGTATTGTTGTCTTTGAACTGATCGATGCCACTGACATTCTCAGTAGTAATACGAAGAACAGTTTGAAGATGTTAGGAGATCCGTCTAGGGGTAGTTAGAAGTGGTCGAGAACGCTCAAACGTGACGATGGCGATGTAGTGTGGGGCGGAGGTAAGAATTTTCAGTGAAGTGCAGTGTAGAAGAGTAGGAAGCAGGCTCTCGCACTGTGTCTTTGCTGTCACCTCTTCTTTACAGATTGGAGTTGCGTAAACCTGTAGGACCTCGTTTAGCTACACTTGGAGTAGTTGTCAAGTTACATTTTCTAAATTGGCTCTCGTCAGAGGAAGGGCCAAAGAGAAGTGGTACCGGTCGACGTTGAGTCTTTGAAGCAGCTGAAGGATTAGCGATGTGGCGGCCATGTAGCTTTCTTGAGCAGCGTAAGCGTGGTAAGTCTCCCTGTGTGGACGAAGAATGCCCGACTAGCCGAAGGAGCGTCGGCGAAGGAGACGAGACACCATGAAAATTGGTCTCCGGTTCACTGATCACTGATGAACATCGGTAGTAAATGCGACGTAGAGAACGAGGCAAATAAAAGGATCTTTTTTTATTTACAACTCTCTCTTGAATAATAGAATAGAATTACAAGTTAAAAAAGAAAGGGCGGTGCAGCTTTTCGGGCAAAATTCGATCAGATTTATTTACGTGACACCAAGCTTTGTGAGCAGAATACTTTTTCGGAGCTTTATAGTAAGATGAATGTCCTTAATTCGGTGACGAAGTAACTTGGATACTCTTTCTTTAAAATTCGTTTTGGGGGAAGCACTATTTAGGTTGGACGTAATTAGCACGTGTGCTGTCTGCGTAACATAGAACTTCTGGGTTATCACGCCTGTTCTCACCTAAAGCCCATGGGCTCTCTGGGTCCGCAGGTCCTCGGCACCAAAATCGAGTGGCCCTCAAAGTCAGACCTAACAGAAATCTTGTGTGCTATTAGATCATTTCCCTCCCATTGGCGTATGATAAGAGCAAAGAAACGAACCAAACAGCACAAACTTATTTGTCTGATGCGGATGACAACGGGAAAAGAGTGTTCGTGCTCTTTTAAATAATAGTTGGGTAAAACTTCACATTCTCGTCAAGTTATCCTCGTCCTTCACCCAAGCACCTTCTTCCTCGTTTAAGCGACACCTTTCTCTAGTGATTTTACGAGTTCGAACGTTTAAAGTCTCTTCATATACTTGTCATGTGACCACGATTCGCAACCACTTCAATAAGTTTTCACATAACTTAAATACGTTTAACAACACGAATATTCATATTTAACATACAGACATGCACATCATTCCGATCAATTCCCATGATGAAAACCACCAAAGAAGCCTAGTCCTTTTACACTCGAAGATAAAAATGAATATTCACCCTGCTGTCTTTATTATTTCTGAGATACTGACTAACCCTGCGGCCTAAATGTTTGATACACTAGCGATAATGTAAAGAGTGATACCATGCTGGTCACTTTTAAGGGTTAAACAGTTAAGTTTTGGTCACATATACTTTTAGAGGTAGCGGTTAATGTCCACTTGCAATTAGCTTTAAATTTCTGACATCAGCCAGTAAAACTCAATTAGCGTACCAAAGCTAGCCAAGCAATGAAAGAAGGATTAACTTAGATTTACAAGTGAACATACCACTACCTCTAGAGACATCTGTGACTAAAACTGAACCGTTCTACCACTAAAAGTGATTTGGCTTACAGGTGCTTGCAATCAAATGCTTTGTCGGAAATGAGACTAAAGAGTCTGTAGTGATCAGAAACTTCACGTCTCACGCCCTGGCCTCTCCTATTTTAATGATCCTATTGGTCGATCATCTGTCACTTATCGCAAAAAATCAACCTGACATCAATTAATGCTGAATAATCTCTCACAGGTTTGGACTTGAAACTGACTATTAAGCCACAAAGAGGGGGTATTTTAAAAGACAAATGTATAATGGGGGTAAGTTTCACAAGAAATTGTGGTGCTGCGTCGGTGGGAAAGTATAACAGGGTAATTTATTATCACTGAGTTGATAACGTAAATTTGCCACCGTAAAGAATTTAAAAGCTGACGTTTCGAGCGTTAGCTAATCGCCCTGACGAAGGGCTAACGCTTGAAACATCAGCTTTTAAACTCTTGACGGTGGTAAATTTACGTTATCAATTTAGTTGATAATACTAAATTACCGTGTCTGAAGAACCAAACATATTCAAGCAATTTTTTATTGACTTACCGGCAACTAATATTTTAAAAAGAAATTTACTTGATTCCGTGCCTCCATTTAGAAATGGAGTACTTAGCAGGAGAATTGTGTAAAGTGACAAAACAATGATTTCCTTTCCTGAAGAGAAACTAGCTCATGCCATTGAAATTTATGCTGAGAATTCTGTAAAGTAGATGAAGAATTCCCAGATCTGTAATGCCTAATTAACTTTGATTAATAAATTATCAAATGCATTTACTCACTTTATTGCACATCTGTTTCTGGTAAATTTCAATTACATAGGTTGTGCAGTAATAAAATTGAAATAAAAAGCTCATCTTGAAGATAATCTCTGCATCATTATAAATAATATGTTGAATGTTTTTCAAAAAATATAAAATTTGTTGAATTAAAAGGTAAAAAGTCTTGTTAACATTATAATAGTCATTAGTTCCACCATATTCATAGGCAGCCTTTTTAAAAGTTAAAAAATTCTTAAATATAAAGGAATAGACAATTGACCAGACCCCAGTTTCATTCCCCTTAAATTCTTAAATCAGTCCCTAGCTAAAATCTGCCCACAGTTTTACTTAACTGTGAAATTCAATTATCTCAATAACCAAGTTCAACATTCATAAATGTAACTATTTGATAATTTCTAAATGTAATTGAAAAATCCCTACATTTTAGGTGGTGGTGTTACGCACATCAACTTGGCAAGAGACTTATGAATTTGTCCCTGGATTGGAACATAGTCAATTTTCTCGCCATCAACAACTAAGTTTCCAGTCTGACTAGTGTCTGGTTCTAAACGGAAAGCATAGGCTCTAACATACTCCACATGATGGCTGAGAACGTGTGATCCATCCTTCATTTTGCCAAACAGATCCAGAAGAGCCATTCGGCCAGTAGTTGATCTAACATAAAAGATTCCCATCAACCCATCGCCAAACTTTCCATCTGGGTTTGCCATCAAGTCTGTGCCTAGGTGACTCAAAAACACAGGACATCCAAGGATAAACTCTCCTTCCACAACCCTCCAGCTTGGAGGCAGTTCTGAACTCAGGGGGGGAAGAAGATGATCTGATGGCCCCAGGCTTGAAAAATTTCCACTGATGCGTTTGCTGAACACACCATTTAAATTCTCCTGAATGTGCGCCTGGTGTTGAGAGAGGGATGTTACATCACATTCTGCTGCACTATTGCTAACATCTTCCTTTGGGGTAAAGTTATATGCTAAATTATCCTCTCCACCGTTTATATCATCGGCGGGCAAATATGAAAGGCGACCTCGGTATTTGCGCAGTCCAATAATTCTTGCTACTGTGCCGATAAGAAATCTTGTCTCTCCTAGAAATCTGTATCTCTCCGATTCAATGTCAACATCAGAAACTAATCCCCAAGTCACAGAGAGAAATGCATACAACTTTTCTGTTGGTGTTATCACAGAACAGATGTCTAAATCCATAAGATTCCCACGAATAATACCAAAAATGGCACTTGTCACATCATTTGGCTCCCTAAAAACATAATGAAAAATTATTTATCAGTACAGTGACATTGCCCTTCCTGAAACAGGCATCTGTTTATTCAACAATATTATTACACTGTAGTCACCATTCGAACAAGAAAAAGGGCACTATTTATATATTCACTTTTTAAAAAAATCCTCATGGTGAATAATTAAGCCACCTGATTATTCTTACCTTTAAGAATATATACTGAACACTGACAAGAGTTTTTTCCTAAATCAAACATATTTTTAAGATTCTTTGGCTCAAATTTTATCTCCACTGGCAACAACAAAACCTAGAGAGCCACAAGCAGAGAAGCACAAAAACAATAAAAGCCTCAAAAATTAGCATTTTTAACTTACCCTGTGGCAAATAGTGCAGAAAGACAAAGAGCATTTCCAGAACCAGTTGGTATGACTCCCAAGGGAATATTTATTGCAGCTTCCCAATCAGGACGTTTCATCAAACCATTTATGACCTAAATTTAAAAATTTGTTGTGAATCTAATATGGAGTACTTTTTGAGAAGTACTTAGACAGCCAGGATATCATTAAGGAATAGTTGAATAAACATACTTCATACACTAAGCCATCTCCTGAACAAATAACAATCCCATCAACATCAAGAAGGTTCATTGTCAAAATCATCTCTCCTGCATGACCAGCATATTCTGAAAAGTAATTTGCAAAAATACACAAGTTAAATAAACAAAAGCCTCTTTTTGGAACAAAAATGTGCCAGGATATTTGTCCTAGGAAATTACACTTTCCAAAAAGAAAAAAGTTTTCAAAGACTACAGCTGGAGGTATTGATATTGATATTGATATTTAACTCAACATACTGGTACCATGGAGATGCTCACCCACAGGGTTCATACTCCAATGGAAATGACTAAATTAGCCCCAGGCCAACATGCTGCACCTGGCCAGCTGTTTACTAACATTTGGATGACATATCACCACTTTTTTTCGTTCGTTCTGACATTGCAGATGTTTCTTTACCCTCCCTTTTCTTGAGTCCTTGGGGGCTCCTTGTTTCCTCATTAAAGATGCCCAAACAGATTCACTGTCTTATTTATTTGTTGCTTCGTGCAAGAATGGTGTGGAAGGGGATAATTAGCATGCAATTTTTAATTGAATAGGTTTACTGTATGCCAACAGAATAAATTACCTGTTGTTATGGCGTTAAATTCTAATTCTGCCTCAGTCAACATTGGCTCCACATGTTCATGAAAGATTCTCACGCTTTTTCCAGATCCACTAAATGGGTTGATAAGTATCAGAAGTTTGCGGGAAGCGGGAAGAGTCCTTTCTTCTGTAAAATGTATCAAAACAACATCCATATAACTATAAAATAATCTGAGGAGTGAAAAGCTGCATGGATTTCATCTGATCCAAAACACTCAATCTAAAAATTTGACAGTTGCATTACAAGAGTTTTCATACCCAACATTTTTGTGTCTGGTTTTGAGCTAGGGTCAATTACCAGCTGCTGTTCAGGAATATGAGCCTGTGCTCCTCCCTCTTAAACCCACTCTTCTCAGCAAGGAGCAAAGATCAGACACAAGAGAGCAGTGGAAATTAAGCCCAGTTTTGAGCCCGCTGGCCTTTCAGACATTTTAAATCTTTATATCCAAGTTACTTCCAAGGAGGTTTAACCCTTTAAGTCCCACTAGTGATCTTGAAAGAATTTCTCCTTACATTATCAATACAATGTGAAGCAGACAAGTAATGAGAATAAAGAAAAATATCAATTAGGGCATTATTGGTTGGTCCAAATTCAAATTCTCCAAACTAACATTACATAAATTGCATGACAGACAGTAAGGAGAATTAAAAACAGATTTTTGGGAGTTAAAGGGTTAAGGAGAGTTTTTACACAGATTATTCCATCAAATTTCAAGTCTGGTTTTGAGCATCTAGCCTAAAAATTCTTAAGAGGTTTATAATTGGCCGACAGACAGATGACCAGAGCACCTTTTGACGCAATGTGGAGGATGTTCTCCACCTACTTCACATCATTCTCCTGTGCCTACATTTCTTAATAAAGATCCCAAATGATAGAGAATATTCAGAATATCTTTTGTCCTTTACACTGCTTAAAATTACGTAATCCTCTTTACATCTTGTTTGAAAACACAAATCGATAATTCTCTCCTCTCACTGCATTTTATTCCCTTCTGTGTTGGCGAGGAGTAAACTCTCAGTAACGAGCGTTTTCCTCTATTCCATCGCCCACCTCTACGTTGTGTTCTACTATTAGTGAAGACAAGTTCGAAACAAATAAGGAGCAAACAATTGATCTCGTGACTTGGAGATATCTACACAACTCGTGACTTCGTATTCCTTGAAGCAAAATATATTAACCTAAAGTAAGTTCTACCAAAAACTGAAAGCTTGCACGGAAAAATCTTTCCCCCTTTCATGTGACAGATCTCCTGAGTCGTCTTACCTTGTTCGCAGCTCAAATTCCTCTCTGGATCTTTGATTAACCATAAAATAGTTCGAACCCATTGTTCCGCTATCGCAATGTTACCCTCTTCGCTATCAGAGGAAGACACCCTAAAACAGACTTTTTGTCGTACTCGTTTCTTTTCATACCTAGGACAAGAATACACTTGAAAGTAAGCAGCAGTATCGCCTTCAGGCCCTTGGTACGCCTTCGCGCCGTAAATATCAACCACTTTCGTTGTCACTATTGACAGAGAGCCATGCTGCCCCAGACAAACGCAGCAACCATCCCTGCCTCCACCGTAGGAGAGAGATGTCTTTGAAAGAATCACAGAGTTTTTCCTTTTGGTTGGCAGCAGTTCAAACTGTCCCCTTAGGATATCTGTTTCTACTTCCATCATAATAACATGCACTTTACGCTAACTTCTGAATATTTTCCGCTTTTGCCGGTTCACCCCCATCGCCGCTTTGTCTCAGCCTTCCGAGTGATCAGTTATGAATGAGTAATCTGATTTGCCACTGGTCAGCTGATTCGCATGAAAAGACTTTTGCAGCTGTGTAAAGTTCGTCACCAAAAGTTTAAAGAACGAACATGTTAGTAAACATAGAAAATACTTAAAAAGCGCCAAAAAAGGAAAAAAAATGGTTATGTCTGAGTTTTCCTTCGGGTTTCGATGTGGGAAACGCAGTAGTCCAATCAGTAAGTGTACTGGACTCTAGGTCAAGGGGACCTGACAAGATGCCTTCCTTTACAGAGCCTCTCCCCCTACTGGGTTTTTCAAGGACGGGTTAAGAAAGCCCAGGGTTAGTGTGGAATTTGGTTTCAGATCTGAAGCTTTAAAAGTAAATTAAGCAGAATTATTTTTGTCAACAATTTGATGACTGGATTCTGTATAAAATTAAAGAGAAAATTATTCGATTAAAGGCTTTTAAACCAAGGAACAGAGAAACCTGGATTAAAATTTAACCCTGGGTTAGCGCTATTAGGCCTTCAAACAACTTGGCCCAGGAGTATGAATGGGAAGCAGTAAATTATCAGAGAAGCCTGATTAAATGCTGGAGGGGTAACCTTGCAATGGACTAGCATCTCATCCAGGGGGAAGTAATAATACTCCTAATCACTTCATGCTACTTGGAAACTAGGATAAGCTCCAGCTTAGTGGGCCAATAGGGTCAAGTACAGACTTAACCCTTTTTTTGGTGATAAGGGTGGGGAAGGTGAAAATCAGTGAAATTTACATCAAGGGTGGGGGCTTAAATTCAGCAACTTAGTAGTTGTTGCAACTGACCATGGACATTGTGTTTAGTTTTGTTACTTTTTTTTACCTTGTTTGAACACATTGCATGCCATTGTATTAAAGACATTTCGTGGTTGAGAGATGTGAAAATTTAATGATTGAGTTCTGAAAACTCCTTAATTGTGGTTGAAGTGATTTCCACCACAGTATTGCTTAAATCACAAGGTGTTGTGTTATAATTTCCTGGAAAGCAAGCTTCTTCTATTGTAATAAAAAAAAAATTTGTAAGGAATAACCCATAGAGCTCTAAAATTGAGAAAAAACCAAAACAAAACAGAACAAAAATTCAAGATTATTTCATGGTTTTATTCAATTATTATAATACAAAATATCTTATCATATTTACATACTCTCAGTTTATTTAAGATGAGAAATACATACACATACAACATCTTTTTTTGGGGAAATTCCTTGACAGGAAATAGTCCATTGCATACTTTTTTGCAAATCAGGCAAAATAGAGTACAGAGTAAATGACCAGCCTTCTTTATGTTTCAAAAACATGTGGCTCTATAGAAGTAGTGAAATTAGGGATGTTGTTTTGAACTATGTATACTTCAGAAAAATTCAAAAATTAAACTAAAATGGTTTATTTAAAAAAGAGGCTGAAAGGTTGAATTCCACTTGAAATCCCACTCATTCTTTAAAGGATGCTCTTATTTTCTGATTTTTGAACCTCAAACATGATGGCTGTGAAAACTTCTCTCCCTTAAGACTTAAATTTTCCTTATGTCCAAAAAGTTCCACTTCCTACCTATCACATGATCTGTTTATTAATAACATTTTTGGAAAAATAAAGTTTTGAATGCTGTAGAGCTCAATTATCCCCAAGCTTGTGTCTTGCAGTAATGAAGGACTAACTTTCCATCTGCTCCAAAACACTAAAACAAAGAATAATTAACTTCATTCAGTAAAATGTCATCAGATTATCAACATGTCAGACCCCATTCAGTCATATCTCAAGCTACTGCAATAAATTGTGTTATAATTAATCCTCTGACTTCCAGAAGTGATGAAAACATAATTTACTCTAAAAGTAACACTACTATTTACCCAGCAAACAGGTTACAAGAAAATACAAACTCATTAACTTTGGGGTAATACCAAGATTCTATACAAAATTCTCTTAAATATTTACAAATAAATGGATAAAACCAGTAGGGAGAAAACTACAAATAAAATCAAAGAAGTGAAGAGGTCATGCTCATGATAAAAAGGCAAGCAAGTCCTGGTGGTAGGGGGAGAGGGAGGGGGGGGGTTCATTTTCTTGTATGGGAGATGGAGTGGGGTGGTGTTATTACACTGAGCTGCATATCAAGAGGTCTGGGTTGGAACCCTGGTAGGGTCATTGCATTATGCTTTTAGAGACGCCAATTTACTCATCCAGTATCTCTGTCAACTCAGAAGTATGTAAGGCTATTGGTATACTGTCATGGTAACCTGGCAACCACTGTTTGAAGGATGGTTAATGCTATCTACTGGACAAATCTCTGTCCACTTGTACTTAGTCCTTCTTGAGAATGACCCCTTAAAAATGTTTAATGATTATTGTTAACCCACTCTACTCACATCATATAAATTCTGTAATGTCTGATCAGGAGTTGGTGCAAAACACTGACCTACATAAACAAACTGAGAAGAAACACATTAGAACACATATTGGAGACTGAGGGTTACCTGCAAGAACAAAGTTTTCTCCACAGGTTAAAGTGACAGCAATGCTCCACTAGCACTTCCTAGGAAATGTCTGTTTAGCCCAACAGTAATGTCCTTTTGAACAGGGTAAATTTTACAGCTTTTCGATTTTTAAACATTTTCTACACTCTGACAATTTAGCCTCATGAGCAGGCTGATTTTCTGAACCAGAAGTCTAAACAAGGTAACAAGGTGAGAGTGTGGCAATGTATTGTGTGTGTGTGATACTAATATATTTTTTTAAAATTATAACCCCTTCACTTCAATGAGTGACCATAGAGGAATTTCCCTTAGCCCTTTTAGTCCCAAAAGGGATTAACATGTAACCTCTCCTTGTAATATTTGTGTACTACCCAGCACACAGGTTACGAGAATACTCAAACTTATCAGTTAGAAGCTGTTATTTTGATTTAAAACCAAATTCACATGGCTAATTTACAAGGAAATGTGTGGCAGCAAGAGGGAAGAATTAACAATAAGATCTTGAGAGTTCAAGGGCTAATTGTATCTCTACATTTTCAAGCAGAAGGGTGATGTTAAGAAAGTAAAATATCAACTTAAAGATCACTGTTTGATTTAACACTAACTCTCAGGTAACTAATTAAAGGAAATATGTAAAAGACAGTGCAGAGAATTTATATTTTGATCTTGGGAGTTAACGGGTTAATTCATCAAGTAAAAAATCTGTCTGAATGTATGAATATGTATTAGACTTGGTTGGATGAGATTGATGTATCGCAGTCTAAATCTTTTTTTCTGAAAAGGACACAAAAAGAATGGATATTGACCTAAACAAGGTCAGGCTTTGTAAGGCTTCTGGAGCAGATCACCACCCAACCTTCCCTGGAATAGCCTAACCCAAGGCTAACATACCCTTACACCAAGCCCTCAGTTGGCAGCAATGATGGATGTAGTAGTTACATTTTTATTCCCCCTCCCATCTATTTTACAGATAACAGTATTTTCAAAAACAAATATTTGCTTGTCTCCATTGACCAAGTGCCTGGTACAGGCTATAACTGACACCCATAAGTACAAAAAGCTTTAAGTCAAGTTTCTGAGCTTACTTCACTACTGAGGATCAAAGGAATGAACTCACCAGTGAATCTTGTGGTTCACACTTGATATATTTCCTAATAAACTCTATAATGTATGAGACTTGCTTTGATCCATCCACTACCCACTTCTTTTTCACCATAATAGGGGCATCTCCAGCAGCCTTTAGTAAAACTTCCACTGCAGAAATACCAACAACAACATGCACGATCATTTACGACGATCATGACATCACAGAGAAAAGTAAGATGTAGTTTAAGCGACTTAACTGAAAGCTTATAACTTTTTTACTATTTTTTCATTTTCTAACTTTCTGGGATATGCTGCAACATGTCGTCAGTTGACCTCGAAGTTTAGATATCGATTAAAATACGGAAAATTTACTTCACTGCTTGATTTTGATGTAAGAGTGATAACAATGCCTAAAAATTAGATGTGGTTTTAGGGGTTTCACAGAAATTGTGCTGATTTCCTCCAATTCAGCTCTCCAATTCAGCAACAAAAAACGTAATGTCATTACGCTACTAACCTTTCTTTTTCAAAGATTTCTTTGCAGCTTCACTCTTCTGTGGCTGGGAATTATGATTATCCACAGAAACAGGTTGTGTTGCAGCAGACATTTTCCGTTGCCTCTCTGCCAATTCGAGGCTTTCCTCCGCGGTGCCTCCGTCCGCCATCTTGCCGTTAAGGATGAACCCACTTTTCTAATAATTACGTGGTGTAATAGTCATGTTCTGGGAATAAGTCTCACTTTATGAGTTCTTACAACAATTAATTTGGAGTAAGAACGTCAAAACTGTGCAGAATACTGCAGGCTCAAGTAAAAGAATCAAAATGGCGGTTTTGGGGGACTTTTGTTTCTTTTGTTAGAAAGCTTCTAGGGAAAAGGAAAGCTTCACCAGAAATGCCTCGTGGAGTAAAAGTTGAACGACCGGCTCCTGCTGAATCAGTCGAGGTATCATTCAATCTTTCCTCTCTCTTTTTAAAATTAACTCTAGCTAACAGGCAATTTACAGGTCACTCGATCACTCCCAAGAAGAGTTCTCCGTGGGCATGTCGAGGAATCTCCTGGCGTCAAGCTAAAATTGCATAATACTTTTAGGTTTGATGTAATTAAATGGTATCCGATCAACCAGCCACCACAACAAACTTGCCACCACCAAACTCGCCAGCACTGAGAGTCAACTCTTCAAGGTGGCGATTTGACACAGACGTTATGTGTAGCCTGTCGTATAAAACTTATATCAAATTAAAGTTAAGATGTAGTACTATATTGCAGAATGGTAAAGGGACTCGGAAGTTATGTGTAGCATCTCAATTATGGAATGTTTAAATGAAATAGAACTCGTTGATATTACGTAGATTATGATCAGTTTGCGTATAGCTATACAAGAGTGACTTCCGCCAAGTGATTTCGCCGATGTTTATGAAATCGTATAAAACTTATATCAAATGAAGGTTAAAAGGGAGCAGTATACTGCGATATAAAAGCGCGTACAAATGCAGTGAAGTTTACAGAAACGGAGTTGATTTCCTTTCTTTGTTTTGAGCACAAAGAATATAGAAGTAAACAATTTAAAATTTTCGTCGATTTCAAATTATCTCCAAAATATTTGAAAAAAAAAATGTTCCAATATGTTTACATCAAATTATTAACTACATGCTTTTTAGGGAGCTACCTCAAAGATTTATAGAAATACCAGTTGCACTATGAGCAAAATACTGTTCATTTGTGAAATTAAATGTATGGCAGGTGGAGTACTTTCAAGAAAAAATATCTTAAAATTTGCTATCTTTTTCAGCCTCTTCAGGCTTCAACTGTTGTGATTCTTCACCCTGGTTCCACATTGATGTGGCTGGGACGTGCTACTGACCACCTACCACAAAGCATTCCTCATGTCATTGCCCGGAGGAAACCTCAGCAGTGCACTGTTGACATTCCGGATCAAACCTTACTTGTCAGGGATGGACTTGATCATCCTGACAGTGAAACACAGAAAGAACTTGCACTTAGTGTGATTGAGCAAGCAATATGGTCAAGGAAAACTTCATCTGGTTCACGAAAACATCAAACTACAGTTTCACAGGTTAGAAGCAACATAATTATTTTCCTTGAATCAAGCTTTTGAGCAAGAGAATCTCCTTTCTGATTGGGATCTTTACAGCTAAGGTAACATGGGAAAACTTCATGTACTTTTTAAAATGATGCTCATATCCTAAGGCTCTCCATTTTGTGAGAGGGGGTGAAAGTGTGAGATTTTTCCCATCCAGTTCTCAATATTCCAGTCCAGGTGAAGCTTGAGAATGACTGACCAGCAGAAAGATGCAGCTGGGAAAAGTTTTTATACCATTATAGCAGCGCTTGTCCACCGCTAGCTGGACCGCACAAAATCCACTGATAAATACAACGTACCACACCAAACTTCTTTGGAAGCGCCTTCTTCTCTATTATTGTATTATACCGTGAAACTAAAAATTGATTTAAGAAATTAGGGACACGCAAATGGATTAAGAAATGCTTCAGTTAAATCAAACTTACATTATTCCGGATCTGGCAAGAGTTGATATCGATTGAACCTTTCCTTCCTTTTCTTTACTAATTTCTTTCCTTATGAGCATGAGTGCTTACCAAAAACTGATCAAAGGGCCTTTTTTCAAATATATTGAATTACACTTAAGAGTGCGTGATGAGCCACCTATAAAGTCTGTGACTTCAAAGATTATTAACCAAATCAAACAATGAACAGAAACTCGTGCTATAGGGGCACTTACACCCATGCTGCATTAATTTTTTGACTCTCTAGATCTGACTGTAAATTCTCTTTGCTGTCTGTTGTAAATTTTACCAAAAAGTAGTGATGAGAATATCATGTTGAATCAGGCAATATAATGCCTAGTTGATATTCTACACATACTTTTTGCTTATCACTCCAACTCTACTTGACTCTGTAGTAATACTATGAGTATAAATTACATTATTGGTCAATCCTGAGAGTTAAGCGTTTATTTGATGAATGAGGCTGTGTCCACAGGTTGCAGCATTTAATTCAAAGATTGAAGCTGAGCACCATCGTGATGAGGAGTCGTCAATCAAGTGGACAGACACAAGCTCAGCACCTCCTGTTATAGCTGGAGAACCTGTTAGTATTATTTTTACTAGTTTTTCTTTGCTGGATGTAGAGCTAAAATAGTGTGTTTGGTATGTTGTAAAGAAATTTAGCTGATGAGGTTGAATATTCAGCTTTCTTAGAACAACTATATCACTTGAGAAATTTGAACAATATTGGGCTGTGAGAAGGTTTTTAGAAACAGTACCTGACCATCAATGAGAACATTCAACCTCCAAAATGTAATTGCTCAATGCAAATGGTTGTTCAACAGTGTTGTGGTTAAAACAGAATTGACTTGGTGTGTATTTCTTAAACCAACTGGTATTTTATTGGATTTGTTACAGGCTCTATACATTCATCCAGATGAACCATACTCACTTCATTGGCCAATGAAAGGGGGGCATCTGAACCTACACAGTGGGCCAGGGGGGTCACTCACTGCTGTCAGTGCTGATCTGGAGGCCTTGTGGGCATATGCCATACAGACATGCCTGACTATCCCACTGCGAGATCTGGGGGTTAGTGTATGTACTTTAATTCTTATTGCTTAAATTATTCAAGATTTCTGAAAAGTGTGTTATTTTACCCTGAGTACTTTCAAACCAAATAAATGAATTAGTGAATATTTGATAGCTTTACATGGACTAAATATTACTGATTATATAAATGCATATTATGGATTTTGGTGTAGTATCTAGACTTCTAATTATTGTTCTTTGATAAAACATCTCTATGTACATTAATGCCTGATGTTGTGCAGTTTAAGCAATTTACAATTTAGGGTATTCTTGGATTGCACTGGGTTTCCCTCATTCTTCCCTGTGATTGGCATAGAAATCTTTGCTCACCTTCTGAGCCAATCAGATGCAAAGCTAAGACCTGGGACATTTTCCTACTACTGAGACTTGACTTTGCATTCTTATTGGCCTCTTTTGATTTTTGTTTTCCTTCTGATTGGCCATTTCAATTATTGGTGAAATCTGGTTTTATGGTCCTAAGTCTAAAAGAAAGCACTATTAGCTTGTTAATATTAAACTTATCATCGGCTTGTGAAAAGTGGTAATGGAAAAGTTTGATATAGAGTTAAACCTTGGAAATTGGCCATTTGATCTCATCTAAAAATTTTCTGAGTACTATCACCATTTTCTTTTGCTTGTTCTAGAGCTCATTAAGATTATATTAACCCTAACATTTTTGGTCTGGTATTTTTTGTTTATTCAGTATTATCGGGCTGTTCTAGTGGTTCCTGATTCTTTAGATAAGAATCACATCAAAGAGATGATGAACATCCTCCTTTGTCATCTTGGATTCTCATCGGCTATCATTCACCAGGTCAGAACATAATATTGTTTGGATTCTCCACTATAATTTACAGTAGAGTCCAAGGTTTCCTCAGGAGCACCAAAAAAGCTCTAGGTATTAGGGGCTTGGAGATATTCAGGTTTTACTTTTAGTGTACACCAAGGCAAGTTCACTCCTCAGCAATAACCTGTAGGTTACAGCTGTAGGAAGTTCAGTTAAAATATTCTGGTTTTAGGTTAATCCTTTCACTCCCAAGATCTGACTGTTAAATGAATTCTCTCTTGGAGGAGCTTTGCATTTCCTTGTTAATTACTTTTGAGAATTTAGTGTTATATCAAGATAAAAATTTCTCTCTGATAGGTAGGAGTATTCTTATTACATATTGTCTGGAGAATGTATGGTTATTATAGGGAGAAGTTATAAGTTAATCACTGCTGAGAGTGAAAGGCTTATCATAATGCCTGAAGACGTGTTATACATTGGTTTCATTTAGCTCTTCATGAGTTGTATTTGGGTTTTCACAGTTTGACATGTGGTTTTGCTAATACTTTTACTTTTGGCTTTACTGTGAGTCATATTTCACTCTAACAACCAGAGTACAGATTAAGAATCCTTATAGTCATTGAGAGATTTATTGTATAGTTGAAAAATAAGATCAACCCCTATGTCCCTCTGTTTATAAGTTGAATGATTATGCACAATCAAATCTTGCTATTTCCCTCCAGTTTCATTAACAAATTTAGCACTAAGTGTGTTAAAGTCAATCAATCAATCAATCAGTCAATCAAATCAATCAGTCAATCAAATCAATCAGTCAATAAACTTTATTTCACCACTGGCAATTCATCAGCTATTTACCAAAGGGATCAAACTATAACTACTGGCACACAACTGTAACTATGAACTACATGACATTGAGAAGCTGCTTTTGGTGAATGCCTTCCTTAAACAGCATTGCTGATTGCATATTTAAATGACCCAAGGGATTCCATGCACCTACCCTCAGAAGGAAGGCTATTCCACAATGAACTGCCACTATCACTGAAATTACCTTTGAAATAATTTATGTCAGTAATCGAACATTTAGTTTGTTCTCGGAGTCCCTTCAGTTGTATTTATTTGTTTGTAGCTTGCATTCAAAGAATTTCAATGTTTTGACATATGATATGATTTGCTTTTCTTCATTTATTACAGGAGTCAGTGTCCTCTGTATTTGGTTGTGGCCTAAGTGCTGCTTGTGTTGTTGATGTTGGAGATGAGAAAACCAGTATTTGTTGTGTAGAAGATGGCTTGGTCATCCCTAGTTCACGGTAATAACATTTTGATGGCTGGTCTTGCAAACATGTACACTGTGCAATGTAAAATTTTGACTCAGAACTGCCAGCACACAAGAATTTTTTTTTCAGTTTTATTTTCAATGTTCAAAAGAACATCTTTGACATGGAGTCATTATGGAATTTTTTTATATTTTCACTTCTTTTCCACATCATGTTAGCATTTTGATTCTTGTCATTTACCATTTTGAAGTCTTTTCTCCTCTCTACATGTCTGTAAGTAACAAATTTATGTGGGTGACAAAAAGATTTCATTTGTGTTTTTGCATGAAGACATTAAAGGGTTGATTGAGGCCTATTCTGAAATAGACATAATTGTAATAACAATAATAATAATAATAATAATAATAATAAGTATTATTAATAATCAGTTACTGTATCAAAATATAATTTAACTGACAAGTTGATGCATTTTAGACTATGGCTTCAGTATGGAGGAAGAGATATAACCAGAGCCTTTTTCTGGCTGCTAAGAAGGGTGAGTACTCTGCAAGTCTCAAAAAAGGTACAGCAGTAAGAGAATGGGTCCAGGTTTCTGTCACAGGTAGGGATTACATGAATAGGATGTTGGCCCATCAGAGATTACCTTATGCCCAGCCTTTCCTCGGGTTCCACTGACAGTTTGCTAGTACCCACGAATACTCATGAATGGAGACTGAGGCACTGTGAAAATAGAGGGTCTTGACCTTGACCTTGTTGAGGACTCATTGGCCAAGACTTTGTGACTTTGGCTGACCATGGGGACATGCCTCCCATTCATACTTTAAATAGTGCTCATTAAAGGAGCTCAGTGGGTTTTGCTTTTAAATTATCTAATCGTAGAGTGGTACATTCAGCTCTGCTTCTGGTCTCCATAGGTAAATTTTTTGGTTTAAAGTGTACTGAGTCATTGTTTTCATGTCACAAAGATTATATTTAACCTGAGAGAAAATGTTAGCATGATAAGCTTAAAAAAGAAGGTGGAAACAATAAAAAGCATAAAGATATTAGGTTGGTATGGGAACATGGAGAAAATTTTTGGAAAGATTTCAACAACGACCCAAATCTCAAGAATAAACTTGTTGATATTATATTATATTAACAGTAAGTTATGCCCTGAGTGTAGCTCAATTAGGTGATTTCAAAGGCCAGACATTAAATTTAAAACCGTTGTAGAACTAATAACAATAGTGTTTCTTTCTGAAATGCTCATAATATAAATTATATAATTTTCATCTAGGTCAACTTTCCCTACAAAGAGTGTGATTCCAACAACAGACTTGACATACTTCTTCTGCATGAGTTAAAGGAAACATTTTGCCATCTTAGTCAGGTACAGTTATGCAAATAAGTAAGATAAAAAAAATACTAAATAGATGTGTCTGTTCAAAAAAGCTTGAATTCTTTCATGGTTGGCTAAGATCTAGTTGTGCAATCCCAGCCAGTCATTGCTGTTAAAACTTCTCCCAGCTTCTGTAGCACAGAATGACCAATAATGTTACTATTCCTGTTGAATGGAATGTTAGTTTATTACAAAATGCTATCCTACGGTTTTTTCAAGTTTCTCTGTCAGTTTAGTGGTACAATTTATCTTTTCTATTTTATGAAGCCTATCCAAGTAGTGTTTTGAATTGTACAATATTCAAGAGAAAATTTTGTGCACATCTGAAGGGCAACAGTCAGTGGAAAGGACCCTCAAGGGGTTGGTTTAAGGATATGTTCTATTTCAACTATGAAAGTGGGATATCAGATGTTGTATATTCTTTGTATTCAGGATATTGTTGGTGGTCAAGTGCATGAGTTTCAAGTTCATCGTCCTTTTGAAACCCCTCGTTCATACCAGTTGAAGATTGGAGATGAGGCAATTGAGGCACCAATGGTTTGTGGATAGAGCCTGAGATCTTGTTTTTCTAGAGAAGAATTACTCCCTTTAGTAATAAACTGTTGGAAGTAATGCCTGACTGGTACAAAAATGAAATGAAAATATTTAAAACTGTGCCAAACATTTGTCTTTAAAAAATAAAATCTTAAGATTTGTTCTAAAGTAACATTACAAACCCTTAAGAGTGACCAGCATCTAATTTCTCCTTACAGTTATACTGCTGAATCATTCATTAAGATTATGAGAATAAAGGAAATGATTGCCAACCCAAGAAGTTTGGATTGTTAACCAGAGTTTTCTTTGTCAGTACCAAAAGAAATGTATAGGAAAGAGGATGTAAAGGTTTAACACAAAGAGTCAGATCAGATTGTTGTTGTTTTCTTGTCTGATAGTTGTTTATTCATGTATAGGGAATGTTCTTCCCTCAATTGTTTGGTATTGTTGGTGAGAAGTTGGTTTACACCAAGGATTCCCAGTATGATGACCCAGAAGACTTGTGTGATGACAGATACCTGCTTGAGGTAAGAATTTCAAACTTCTGCTCCACTCAATTTTCCTAGCTCAATCGGACACTTACCTAATATGATAGGGTTTTGTTAACTGAACTTTTATACTTTTTTAATCGGTTGTGTTGGTCAAACTGATTCCTTTTGATATTAACCACAAAGAAAGGAAATGGCAAATATCCATCAATCTCCATATAATGTTCAGCCATACTTGCGCACTGTAATTTGATTTTGTCATAGTTTGGTTTTCCTTCTGTGGTTCTTAAACCACAGGTAAAAAATGGGTCAAGATCACCATGTGCATTTCTGTGAATCCCTACTTCATTTAGGTCATAAAACCATTGGATCAATGTCAGTATCTAAGCAACTGCCCCCCTACCCCTCCCCTAACCCAACATTAACCCTAGATTGTTATCAGTTGACTGTTGTGTTAGGGGAGGGGTAGGTATGCAGTTGCTCAGATACTGACTTTGATCCAAACCATGGAGAATGAAAATGAAAAATATCCAGCAGTCTTGATATCACTTTTAGCCGTTGCCACATACACAAACCACAGCAATCAGATTTTGCCATGAGTGATTTCATTATGGTGCTTTTCAATCCACAGTCACAGAGAGGACAGGATCAGTCTAGTAAGCAGTCTTCTGGCTCAAAGATTGGACCCAGTACTGAGACAGTCCCAGATCTTGAGCAGAATATAACAACTACCATGAGGACTGGTAACAAGGAGATGAAGTTTGTGTCTGAGAAGAGTTTGGGTCTAGATCAAGCAATATTACACAGCATTAATTGTTGTCGTGAGTAAATCACCTTCACAGTTGGACATTAAATACAAGGCTTCACTCTTAATGGAAAACTATACATTCTGTGTACATGCCACCTTTTCAACAACAAGGCTGTCAACAAGGTTGTCAAAAGGCCCTAAGGTGTTGGATTTACTTGACATCAAGTCTGTGAGAAGTTTCATTGGGGCTGTGTCAAGTCTGTGAGGGGTCTGCAAAGGGACAATTGGCCACTTTACCACTAGTGCTGCAGGGCTTCAGAGCCTGCTTCCTAGCTACTCTTCATTAGTTATTTTTTAGAAGGAATCACAAGACTTCTGCAAAGTTAGAGAGAGCCTCCTGCTTCCTAGCCACTCTCAATTGGTTATTCTTTAGAGGGAATCACAAGACTTCTGCAAAGCTATTGAGAGCCTCCTGCTTCCTGGCTATTCTCCATTAGTTACTCTTTAGAAGGAATTACAAGAGTTGTTTTTATTCAAGACACCATCATAACATGTCTGTTGTGTTCTCTAGATACTGCTGCTCCTGAAGAAACAAAGCGTAAAATGTACAGCTCAGTTTTACTGATCGGTGGTGGTTTCATGTTTAATGGTGCTGCAGCTGCATTACAGTCACGCTTACAAGCAAAGTTACCTCCATTGCACCGCAAACTTGTTGATCAGGTTGAAGTGATTGCAAGACCCAAGGTAAAAAAATGTTTTGGTAACTATTGTTGAAAAATGCAATAAGGTTTTTACCTGTTATTGTCAGATGAATTTAGAGAATGATGCAAGTTTGTGAGAACATTTTGGTTTTTAATTCAGCACTGTCAAGCTCTCATCTTTTTCTGCTTATGAAAAAAAAAAGTTGCAATCATCATGTCTTTCATTTTTACCCTCAAGACAATCTGGTTTATTCTTACCTTACTGAACTATCCGTACTCAATCTGGCTTTTTGTTGCCTTTATTTGAGAAAAAATCAGAAAATGTCTTGAATTTAGTCAGAAAACTTTTATGAAATGATCCTGAATTTGTGTGAGCTGGTATCTTGAACATTACAATTTTTACTCATTTTTCTTTTTGTTTTTTTGACAGGAAATGGATCCACGGACAATTTGTTGGAAAGGTGGTGCAGTGCTTAGCATCTTAGACTCTGCCCAAGAACTGTGGATCAGCCAACGTGAATGGACATCAATTGGTGTCAGGGTACTCAGGGAAAGGTCTCCTTTCATTTGGACAATATGTAATTAAATGTAATTAGTACTTCAAGCAGTGGAAAAGCACTTCAAAACCTTCAGTAACAAGCAATTTTTTTGAGCTGAGGAAGTAGGAACTCACACTGTGCATTGTGAAGCATTTTATTACTGACAAGCTCTCAAGTAAGATAAACAATATTCCAAACTTAAAAAGAGATGATTTAGGTTCTCCACGGGCCCCAGTAGCCTTTCTCCTTGGCTACTTTTGTTGCCATTTCATCGGCTGGTTTCTTCAGAGAAGGGACAACCCCTTTCATATAATACTGAACTCTTTCCTGCAGTTTCTCAACCTCATTAGGAAGCTCCTTGCTGAGATCAATGTGCTCAGTTGGGTCAGCAGTGATGTTGTACAGTGCAACCTTTATCATGGAGGGTTCACTCAAATTCTGTTAATAAAAAGAAGACAGTCATTATGCTACATACTTGTTCATCGATGTAAGTGAAACAAAGCAAAGTATGAATATTTTCTCCCTTTGCATTGACATTTTAATATTGAATATTTGTCTTTTAATAAATTAATGAATTGTTGTCATGTTCCAAAAAAAAAAAAAAAGCCATTTACACATGAAACTTGGTGCTTAACTTATCTCAGTCAACCTTTTGCTGATTATCATCAAAGTTCCTTACTTCCCTGTTAACACCCAAAAGAATTTCTCTATTACTAATTAAAAAAAAGCTTTCTCCTGGACTCTTCCACAGTTTTTTTTTCTTAGATTTCCTTTCATTTGTACATATACTGCTGGTCAGTTCATGCTAGGAAAACTGGGATGTGTTCGAGCCTGTATGCAAGCCAGTCTCATATGCAACACGTAAATGCCCTGTACTGTTGAAAGAAATGGCTGCTTTTGTGCATGCAGTAGATGTGTTGATCACATCACATCATAAACATAATGAGAAGGAAGCTAATGGTCAGAGTAGAATTATAAAGAAAATATAAAATCAGAGAACCTGATCAATCTGTTGGTACCCTGGAGATAATTCTGGAGGCTTATACCATGTGAGATTAGGGACATTCATCAACAGCTTCATGTCATTCACCCGAATCGCAATCCCATCATAACCGCCTTCAATATCCCTCAAGTTGTTGTTGCTTGGTGCTAAGTCAATGTTGTGCAGAATCTCAGTTCTAGGTGAAGGGGCACCTTCTGATATTGTTTGCCATATATTGAAACCATCCAGTGGAGGCACAGTGGAATCTCCCTCTGTTAATCCTTGAAATGTAAACCAAATTTGTTTAGATATGAAGTTTAAATACCTGTCTGTCTCATGCCCTAGACAAGAGCCTCATGGCTGTTACCCTGTAATTTGTTTCTCCATTGCCAACCACTTAAATGTGAGGGGAACAAATGCTATCACCTAAGGCCTTATATTCAACTGAAAATAGGGTGTAAGGTTTTTAACCACTCCTTACTAACCATGGAACACTGAAAGTAGAGGAAACAGATCATATTTTCTCAAGTCCTTATTTGTGAAGCCAGACTATAAATATTCTTCAGATGTGCTGGTCTCATTCTTGAAATATTATTACAGCTATTATCATTATTATTATTATTATTATTATTATTATTATTATTATTATTATTGAGCTAACCAGGGTATTACTAAAATCACTGATTTCCCAACATTGCATAGTTCAAGAAACACAGTAATTGGTATGAACCTGAGCAGAAGGCAAGTAAATTATTTCTTGTCACAAAAACATTGTCACACTTCCCCAAGTTGAGCCATCTGAGGTAAAAGACAAAATGGTTTCCAATTGTTACCTGCCAAGTAAAGGAGAGTTGGGTACCAGTCTGTTACATGGAGGAGTTCAGCACACTTGACACCAGTCTTTTTCAGCATTTTTCCATGAACAAAGCCCACCCCTCTGAGCCCTCCCTCCCAAAGGCTTCCTTTGTGACCACGGAGGGGCCAGTTATATCCACCAGCAGGAGGAATACCACCATTATCAGTGGTAACAATCAGTAATGTGTCATTCCACAAACTACAAGACAAATTGGTCACATTTATGTAGCACAAATTGCTAATATTGTTTAAATGTGATGGGAATTATTGCCTTGCAGGATAGCAAATGGTAATTGCAAGACTTTGTAAGAGAAAAATCATTTTGGATTCAGCCAAACAACTTGGATTTTTTCAAAACCAAAACACAAAGTAAAAAGGTCCACATTAAGATCCTCAAAAAGAGAGTTAACCCTTTACACCCTAACACCAGCATGTATATTCTCCATACTGTTCTCTATACACTTCCTAATGTGCTGGCAGGGAGAATTTGTTTAACAATCACAAGGTTTTTCAGTTGATTATCATTTCCTTTATCCTCATGACCTTCATGTTTAATTCAGGGGTGATACTGAAATGAGAAATTAGATGCTAGTCACTCTCAGGGATTAAAGGGTTAATCAATCTACAAAAATGTTCCTTTTTTTCCTGTCAATGCCTGTGTTAGGTCAGATTATTCTGATCAGTAATTCACAGTTTTATGTGATAAGCAAGGCCTGCTAATCAAACTTAAAACAGGCTTGTAGGAGATGACTGTTTACTCTGACCAAGGCATACCATCCTAACATCAAGCCTAGCATGGCCACAAGTTCTCTGGTTTACTTGGCAAAGCATTTCAGTTACTCTTTCCTTCAAATTGCAGCTTAAAAGTGTCCAAAGTGTCTGTCACTGTATAACAAGGGCACTTTAACCCTTTAACTGTCAAGATCTGATGGTTAATTCTCCCCTGAAGCTGTGACACATTTCCTTGTAAATTTAGTTATGAGATTTTGGCATCTTGTACTTGCTAACTTTGAGTATTCTCATAACCTGTTTCCCTGGTAATGTTTGGATGTTTTATTGATAGAATTTACATGTCAATCACTTCTGGGAGTGGAAAGGTAACTGTAACTTGGACTGACATTTTAGTGCAAATTTCTGCCTACTCTTCACTCACCCTGATTGCTCCAAAGTTTGTGTTACATTCCCAATTGCTTCATCAACTATATCAACCATTGCAGCATATTCTCGTCTTGTCTTCTGATCAATGAATTGGTACTTGTCCACATACTCTTGGGGAGCTTGGGTTGGTCCATGTACATTTTGAAAAGGCAGGTATAAAAACATCGGCGATGAGGCATTATGAGATAGGATAACTTTCTGTGCTTGCTGAGGGGAGTCAAACAATAATTACCTTTCAACACATTAACCCTTTTACTCCTAGGAGTGATCAATTTGTTATTTCTTCATACAATATCAAAACATGGTTAAGCAAAAAGGTGTTGAGAAGAAGAAAGTGTATCAACTAAGGAGCATGTGTTTGATTTCATACCAAATTCTCAGTGACAAAACTATAAGAAGTGTGTGGTAGACAATAAGGAGAATTGATAACTAGACTATGTGTCATGTTCATCAAGGGCAGAGGATATTTAGAGGGAGGGAGGGAGGGAGGTGGTCATGGTTATGAATTTCTGTGCATCTTGCATGAGGTGGCTTCTATGGTGGGTCTACTTTGAGTATCAGTGGCCTCATATTTATGCGGCAATACTTGAATGCAAGACTATCATTGGAATAAGGGGGTTAACAAAATCAAGAGTTCAAAAGTGACAAGATGTGAAGTTAAAGGATTGCGTTTTTTCAATATGACCATCAGAAGTATAGCCAGCTTTTCACCTGGTTGTAGGCCTGTTCCCTATGAGAGATCAAGTTTTGTTTCAACATTTGCAAGAGTCATATTATAAATGTCAAGCAGGCCAAAAAAAATGGTAAGCCCTGCAAGCCTTCAGGTTGAAAGGCTGGCTTTGTCCCTGACCATTGTATTCACCAGTTCTATAACTCTTTGTTACCTTAGCAAACAGCCTAGCTGAATACAATCCCCCTTTATCTTTTACTGGCTCCTTGTTGTCATGCAGATCTAGAATACCATACTTTTCATGATTAAAATGGTCTTCAGACCCTGTATAAAAACCATAAAATGAATCGAATCCACGGTATGTTGGTGTATAAGGCCATTCATAAAAACCAAGATGCCACTTTTCAACAATATGTGTTTCATAGCCTGCCAAAAAATCACAACAATTACATTTACATAGCTAATTTATTACCAATGATTATATCCACTAAAACTAAAATGGTTAAGAAGACTTAATGTATCATGCTCTCTATTTTGGCTCTAAATGCCTAATAACTAAGCCTATACATCAGCACTTTGGATGGACCATCAAGCAGAATTCCTGTTGAGATCTTGGGAGCAAAAGGGTTGATGCAAGAAGTATGATAAGGACATCTTCATGACTTCATGTAAATCAGAGCAGTTTTAACAACCAGTATTTAATTTAATATCACTTGTTATTAGCAAAAACAAAGAACTGTTAAAAGATTTTACCAGCTTTCTTGAGCATCTCTGGTAGGGTTGTTAAGTTCAGTGGTAGTCCATATGGCTCTGCTGGCCGTATCACTCCATGCTGTAAACCTGAGAACATTAATAATTATTTCATAAATATTTATTTGAAACGGTGCCAATAACATTTAGAAAGTTGGAAGAAATTTCTTGATGAAAACAATATTACTTGAAGAGAGCAAAATCGCATGCAGGCCGACTGCATTTTGTAATGGCAGTTTTACACATTGCTACCCAGCGTGGAGTAAATGTCAATTGGAAGGAACTGACAAGAGCACGAATTTCCCACGCACAATGAAGAGGGCAAAAACGAAATAATTTGTTTAAAGTACTAATTCCTGAACAAGGTAAAATATGAAAATTTGTTATTCCATCATCCCTGGGGAAGGTCAACAAGTCAAAATCTCCTCAAGATACGCCCTTTCACAACGCTATCGTGAATCTCCACGGAAATATTGTTTACACATAGAAGAATTTAGTTAAAAATCAACCGATCGACTTGTAACGCAACGCGATAGTCACGTTGTACTCACTGTATACTACGCACTTAAATAGTTTAAAATTTAATCGTTGAAGAGGGTTTGAGATTTCCTGAAGTTTTTCAATATCAGAGCCAATATGTACCCCTTAAACAGTCAATCTAAAATTTATGCTTGATATGTATTTCTCTACGCTGTCCTATGGGCTAGAATGCCACACTATGTGTGGATAAATAATATAGGAAAAGAGAAAAAAAAATGTTGATGAAACTTTTAATAATATACCTGTGTGGATGGGATATCTGCCGGAGAGGAGAGCACTTCTTGTGGGAGAACAAATCGGTTGCACGTAATAATTGTCCAAGATGACTCCTTCGGCTGCAAGCTTGTCCATGTTTGGGGTGTGAATTTTGGAACCGTGAAATCCTACATCGCTCCAACCAAAATCATCAATAACGACCAACACGATATGCAAAGGCTGACTACTTCCTCGAACAACAAAAGATACAGCAGAAAAAGTTAAGAAAAGTGGTAAAAGTGTAGATCGCATTCTGCAAAACCAATCAATGTAAAGATTTCCCGTTAATGTGTCAGTGACCTCCTAGGACCGTCTCCAGTCACGAGACACAAACTTGTTTTTAAGTCACATGACATTATATAATGTTGTACAAACGCACGCAAACCTGAAATTCTAACGATGTCTCCGGCCGTTTTCTCCGTTTATTTTTTCTTGGCTGTTCTTCATTTAGTTAGCAGCTTGAAATCTCCGCATATAGTCCTGGTTGTCATCGATGATCTAGGTTGGAGTGACTTAGGTTTTCAAGGATCTAAAATTCAAACCCCAAATATCAACACACTGGCGGCCGAAGGAGTCATACTGGACAACTATTATGTGCAGCCATTGTGTACGCCAACACGAAGTACCCTCATGACTGGAAGATATCCCATTCACACAGGTACGTGAATATGAACACACAACGCGTGATTTCGCTGATCATAATTTCTCGGTGCCTGTAAAATACTGTGACAGCGAATGTTGTTAGCGTGACATATTGCTTTGCGTAAGTCACACAATCACAGAGAAATGTTGTTAAAAAGATTCACTCTGCAGTGCTTTGCTGTGTTCTTAGGCCTGCAGCACTTTGTCATTGAACCTTCTCAGCCTTATGGAATGCCATTGAATATTACAACCTTGGCACAGAAGTTGAAAGAGGCTGGTGAGTTTTTGGTTTTTAAGTTCATCTGGTTTAAGGTGTATATGTCCCATCCTCAAAATGAAATCCAATGAGGGTACTCTCAGTAAAGATACACAAAGATATGGGTTCTTTTTCTAGACAAGGGTGTGGCCTAGGGGATTGATAGGTCTGTGTATAAACCCTGGTAGGGTTACTGTGTAGTATTCTTGAGCAAGATAATTTAATCTCACAGTGCCTTAGTTTATCTACCCAGGGGTATAAGTTAGTACCCAAAACCTTTTGCAGGAACCTGGCACAATGACTATAGACTATTCCATGAACTGGTATCCTGTGCAGAGAGAAATACTGATATTCCTAGTTGCTGCATGCTACTGAAACTGGATAACAAGCTCTATCTTGATAAAGAGGAAAAGGAGTCAGTTCTATCCTTATATCATTTAAGGAATTTACAGCCTAATCCACAGACGTTAAGTAGTTAAAATGAAGAACAACGTCAGTTTAACCCTTAGTCATATTCTCCATATTGTTCTCTATATACACTTTCTTTGGTGAAGAGAAGGATAATTTGTTGGACAATCAAGAGCTTCTTAACCCTTTCACTCCCAAGATCTGATTAATAATTCTCCTTACTATCTGCCATACAATTCTTATGATGTTAGTTCAGAGAATTTGGTATTGGATCAACTAATAATCCCATGATTGATATTCTTCTCTATTCTCATCACCTGCCTGCTTGATATTGTATTGATATTGTACAGAGAAATTCTGTCTTGGTCACTTGTGGGAGTGAAAGGGTTAAATTGGTGTTCATTTCCATTCTTCTCATGACCTTTTTATTTGATTCAAGGGAAACACTGTAAGGAGAAATTAGAATCCAGTCACTCCTAGGAATTAAAGGGTTAATTTTTTAGCTGTTAAGTAATAAAAAAATTCTTAGCTGTTAAGTAATAAAAAAAAATTGCCAGTTTTGCCTTTGCTGTTCCATTACCACACATCCTCAATGTCATGAAGGCAAAAAAAGAGTGTTGATGAGCATTGAGTAGGATGTTGGTACATCTCATACAGGAGCCATGAAATTTCCTTTGTTGCTTTATATAATGTCTATTCCCACTCATAAGTTTTCCCACGTGTAATATGATTAAAAACAAAATGTGTAACCTTATAAAGGAGACTTCATTGTTGGAATAATTTTGCAACTCACAAACATAAATGATGGTTCCTTTTTTAACCAATGGCCTTCAAAAGCTCTTATTTTTTTTCAGAAGATTTCAAAATCAGCAGAATGATTAAGATTTTGAATATACCTTATTTTTTATTTTTGGCTGGGAAAGGCTTCCAAAATGGCCAATGTTGCCCTGGATGTCATTACTGAATTTTGTGTAGTTGACATTTTTCTCTCAGGAAATAACAGCCAATTAGAGCAATGCATTTAACAACCCCATGAACCACAACATTGGACAAGCATGGAAAGTTATCTCTATGGAAACATGAGCTTAAAACATTATCAAAATGCTTAGCTTTGACTTTGAGTAAACTAAAAAAATCTGCTGAATTCTTTCTTTCCAGGATATGCCACTCACATGGTTGGAAAATGGCATCTTGGCTTCTATGAATGGGAATACACCCCAACCTACAGGGGATTTGACTCACATTACGGGTTTTACACAGGATGTGGGGATCACTACACACATGAACGGCTTGGGATTCTGGATCTCAGAGATAACATGTCCCCTGTACGAGACATGAATGGAACATATTCTGCAAACCTATTTACCAGAGTAAGGAAAATTTTTGACAAAATGAATATTTTAGGCTTACTTGTAGAGGTGTTTGGTGTGAGATTTAAGGCAGTACTTTGATTTTTTCCTCTGGTGTGTTGGGTAAAGTTGTTCTATATCTAATTGGATTCACAGCAAGCACAGAAGATTATTGATAACCACGACTCTTCAACGCCCCTTTTCCTCTACTTGCCTTTTCAAAATGTCCACTTCCCAGTGCAAGCTCCACAAAAATATATTGACAAGTACAGCTTCATAAATAACAAGATAAGGAGAACATATGCTGCCATGTTGGATATTGCAGATGAAGCAATTGGCAATGTGACAAAGAGTCTGGAAAAATCAGGGTAAGTGACTTTGCTCCTAACTTTGTAGATAGTGCAGACATCCAGCCCCTGAAGTTCCTTATCTGAGGAGGATATGAAGAACAAACTCCTTTTGAGGAGGATTTGAAAGGAAATAGAACTTAATCAAGTGATAGATTCCTGATCTTTTTGCAACAACCAAGCATGTCAGCAGCTCACCTGCAATCAATTTATGTAAAAGGAATGTTCATATTTTCTTTCTCTCTTATTCATCCTCTTTTCCTTCTTTTTTCTCCTTCATTCATCATTCTTTTTCTCTTTTAGTCTATGGGAAAACACAGTATTTGTTTTTACAACTGACAATGGAGGTCTACCAGAAGCAGGTGGATACAACTGGCCACTGCGGGGTCAGAAGAGAACCCTCTGGGAGGGAGGGGTTAGGGGCGTGGCTTTTGTCCATGGAAATATGTTGGAGAGGAAAGGTGTTAAAAGCAGGGAACTACTTCACTCAACTGACTGGTATCCTACTCTGATAAAACTTGCAGGTAAGATACAAGTGCAGCAAGGTACCCTTTTATCGCAACAGATTTTAAAACACAACAATATTCTCTCGAAATTTTGATGTTGTCCCCCATTATTTAATGACCAAAATCCTTATTTTTTGTTTGTTAGTTTTTTTCTTTAATCCTTCAGGGACCAGTTGTTCAAAAGTCGTTCAACCCTTAACTCTTATCAAACGTTAAATTTGGTTTCAAATTCATCCTGTTTGAAAAGGTGCAATAGTTTTGTGAGGTTTTAGTTTATTGGAAGGCAAAAGTGACGCAAAAAAGCGAACATTTGAAAACTGTCCGCAAAGCTGCGAGGGTAAAATTGGTTCTAATTCATCCTGTATGAAAACGCAAGATAGTTTTGTGGTGTTTTAGTTAACAATTGGTTTTGAGAGCACGAAAGATGCGTAAGAGTTGCTCGAGGCGTAGCCGAGAGCGACTCTAGCTTCTTGAGTGCTCTCCAAACTTCCCAAGTGCTTCATATCTCGATGAACACACAGCTGACGCATGAACCAATTGTTTTAAAACATTTTCAATTAACAATTGGTTCATACATCAACGTGCGTTCATCGAGATATGAAGCACGCGGGAAGTTTGGAGAGCACGAAAGATGCGTAAGAGTTGCTAGAGGCGTAGCCGAGAGCAACTCTAGCTTCTTGAGTGCCCTCCAAACTTCCCAAGTGCTTCATATCTCGATGAACGCACAGCTGACGTATGAACCAATTGTTTTATAACATTTTCGACCCGATGGAAAATTTTTTCGGGAGGGATTTGTTTTCTGACGTCATGTCCGTGCACAACAGGAATACGAAGCACGTTCGCGCAATTGAATTTGATTAGACAAATTTACTAGCTATGTTATAATATATTTTGAGGCAAAAGTGATGCAAAAAAACCAACATTTGAAAACTGCCCGCAAAGCTGCTGGAGTAAATCAAAAGTTTGTTTTCATTGTGGGTTATCCCAACCGTGTTTTAAACCACCCCGATGTGTTTGGGATTTAACTGTGGTTAGCTGATGCAGAAACTTCATGTTCTTATGACAACGAAATCTTGTTTGAAAAAGCCACGTGGCAACCTCCCTCTTCAAGCGTTCTCTCATCCGCACTCTGAAGAACAAGCGCGATGTGCAAGCGACTGATGACAAGCAAAGCCCGAGGGAGCAAGGGGAGGAGAGAAATTCTTGCTCCATTCTTCCTTTGCGCTTATTGGTTTTTAAACTAAGGGAAGTCTGGGTTCGAGGCAGGGAAAGGGTGTGTCCAACAACTACTTGTTCTTTGTGATTACCTCAAGCGATTTAAGAGGCTCAGTTACACTGCCAGGGTTTATCTTGGTTTCCTCTATGCAACTAAGAGCACTATAACTCTTATTGGATAGGATACAACACAAGTTATCCCCGAGCATCTTCTCATGATTTCTTTACAGTTTTCCAGTACTCATTAAACACTCTTCAGTTTGACAGTAAGTTGTGCTTATGTCACCCTCATGGGATGCTGCGCTTATATCGCCATCATTTTTTTACGAGAGCTGAAAAAATAATAAGAGCAAATTAGAGCACGTCCTACCGCTAAGACATACAAATTTGCATAAATGGGGTAAGTTTCTAAAGAAACTGTAGTGCTGCGTCGGTGGGAGAATACAACAAGGTAATTTGGTATTAGCAACTGAGTTGATAAAGTAAATTGGCCTTCGTAAAGAGTTTTAAAGCTGACGTTTCGAGCGTTAACCCTTCGTCAGAACGAAAGACGCAGGATTAACGCTCAAAACGTCAGCTTTAAAACTCTTTACGGTAGCCAATTTACGTTATCAACTCAGTTGATAATAGTAAATTACCATGGTATAAAAATTGGAGACTAGCTGTGGCTAAGATTCTTCGGACTTGAAAATGTTTCAAACTTCTATCATTTAGGAGGTAAAGTTGACGATTCTCCAGTACCTATAGATGGCTTTGATGTGTGGGACACAATTTCCAAAGGGAAACCTTCCCCAAGAACAGAAATTCTTCTTAATATCGACTTAGCTCCAGAAGAGAAACTCCGTGAGATGATGTCAAATGACCCACCATATCAGGGAGCGGCAATTCGCGTCGGTGACATGAAGTTGCTAGTGTCCTGCCCCAATTCAACATGGTTTGAACCCCCTGAACTACGAGAAAGGAGCACTTATGATATGGTGAGTGAAATAATTCTGATGTAAGACTAGATACTGTAGCCTTTTGTAGTTGTTGTGTTTTGACTAAAAGAAAAAGATGGTTTTTTGATACTAATATAATTTTTCAAACCTTAAGCTGTTGTTATTGAGCTAGGGGTCGATTAGACTTCCTTTATATATTGATTTATATTTCAGAACTTTCATGATAGAGGGCTTGTCGAAGTTGCTCTGTATAACATCACCGCTGACCCCACAGAACATACAGACCTGAGCCGGAAGCTCCCGGATGTGGTAAACAAATTACAAGAGAGGCTACACTTTTACAAACAGACTGTTGTGCCACCTTTAAATAAACCTTCAGATCCGCTTGCTCGGAATGTTGCCCTAAAGAACGGTTGTTGGACACCTTGGAGAAGTTAGTGAGAAGAAAGTGCAGATCAAAACACTGAGATTGATACTTATTCTTCCAAACTTATTTGATTTATGAAGGAAACCGCGTAATTCTCATATTTGTGTTCTCCCTGTAGATAGCGTTAGTTAACCATCGTGCTGTGTCAGGCTTTATTTTAGGGGTGGGGACGGGGATAGTGAGGCTAGGGGAAAATTTATGAGCCATGATTTACATTGGGGGGTACTTTTCTATTAGTGGAAGATACGAGAACGCTCCACTCCTGAGTGGATGTCTGTTTCAGGCCTAAGGTTAAAAACGGAAAAATTTATTGTATGAGTTAACAGATAGAAAAGGTCATCTACTGATAAAAAAGATAACAAAAATTGATGTTCAGGCGAAAAACAGAACGGGAACGACACAGACGATCTATACGAGTTTGACTGCTGGTCGCGTATCGCGGGTAACGGGTCGCGCCTTTTAGAAAGATTTGTTTCGGCGTTATTAGCGATAAAAATTAATTTATTTCACCCCTTCAATTTTCCTGTCTGCTTTTAAGTTGTGGTCAATGATGTATTTGAGTGATGTGTGCATACGTTTATCTTGGAGCAACAGACCATCGAGTATGACCGTCATATTTCAGTTTTCACGAAGCGAAGCATTGAACCCAAAGTTTAAAGCAAAGGGAAAACATCTTAACTCCACTTCACTGTTTTGTGCGTCAGTCCAGAGGATTTGGATGCAATTTCATCGAATTGTTCCTTACCTAAGGTTAGCGTTATAAAATAAACAGAGGGCTGGGAAGAACAAAAAACTTTTCTTCAAGAGGAGACGAAAAACAATTTTTCCTTTTCGATAATTGTAATATTGGTTTCAAATATTAAAAAAAATTCAGGTTTGATGTCTTTTTCGAAATAAGCACCAAACGTCACACACAACGATGCGTTATCGAATAGGAAACAAAAGACTCTACAATATGCAGTGTCCCTCCTAAACTTTGCGAGTTCTCCATCTAAATTCGAGAAGGAAAAGTTCCAGCCTTATCGGCTTTAAAATCCTAGGTTGAAAATTTGCCCTTGTTCTCAGTTAAGCCTTTTTCACTCTGTGTGACTGTTGTTGCAATGACTAAAGATATACACGAAAAGATTTCTTCATTCCTCTTGGCTGACAGAACAAAGAAGCATGACGGTTAATAAACGGCCAATGAGCTAAGTGCAGTCGTCTGTAAGAGATAGTGTACTCAGTACACTATCTCTTACAGACGACGCAAGTTATGCAAATAATTGACGAGGGATTTCTGTTTGCGAAGCTCCAGTAGCGATCACCATTGATTGCTGGCGTTTGAATACGGAATCCAGGGGAAAAAACGATAAACGAAGTGAGCTGGTAGGTCTTAATCACTTGATCTCTCAGTTACTTAAATTTACTTTACGCCCCAAAAAAGTCAAATTCAAGAAGTTATTATTTACATGCAAAAGAAAAACAGTGCTGAAAGTTGAAATTTAGTTTAATTGATTGGCACGAAAGTCACGATAGCCAAAACAAACTGGTGGGCAGGTTAGTAAAAAGTAACAACGTTTTATTTGAGAGTTTGGAGGGCAATGCTAAGAAGTCTTGTACTTCCAAACAGGGCTATGAAGAAAGTCTAGATACGCACGAACATTTCACACAACAGTGCTTAAGAAATGAACCAAGGAGGTAAGAATCCAAAGAAACTGTTGTGCTACGTCATTGGAGTTATCAAAGGATAATTTAGTTTTAGGAGGTACTAAAACAGTGGAGAGCATTGAAGGTGCGCTTTGATCGGCTTAAAACTCCGAATATCGTTTCCTATTCACCTCTGAGCAACTGCGGGTGATATACCCTTAAATCTTGTAATCGTTGCATGAGTAAATGTGTTAAAATCATATTTTTGTGCTATATTTTCTCAATGTTTTTAATATGTACCAAAACAACTATTTTCGGTGGATAGCGGTAGATATTTATCTCGTTGGTTCGCGGCTTGATAAATATTCACCGCCAGCCGTCTTCACTTCGGTGAATAGTTGTCCAGTTATCAACTGAGTTAAATGCAAATTGGCCGCCGTAGCGATTATGAGCCTGATAGCCTTCGTGCAATGGTTTCTGCTTATGGCCGAGACCTAGGTAACAAAGAATGAAAACGCTCGATTGTTCGTGACGGAGAGATGAAAAGCTCTTAGGTGTCCTTGAGAGAAAATTACGAAAGCCGAAAAGGGACAATCCGAAAAAATATTTAGAATCTATATCTTTTAGACAAACCGCTTTTGAAAAGTTTTTCAGGTCGAGAAGGCGATTTCAAATCCTGGTTTAATTCATAGATCCACAAATAACTTTCATGAAAATCGAAAATAGATTACAATCCAAGAAGCTTTCCAAAATCCAGAAAATTTTCGCATGTCGAGAAAAATATTTTGTCACGTGACACTTGCGCCAGTGTTCGACACTTTGTCACGATACAGCACGTCGTGTCGCACCAGGTTGCATTAGGTCGACTTTGAGTCACTAAGCGAACGGACTAAACTGTACCAAGTGTATTAAGATGTTCTGCTACAAATGTGGAAAAGAATATGATAGCAATGAGCTATTCTGCCGTCGATGTAACACTTTAAAGAGACCCGAACAGAAAAATGTGTTGCACAGCTCGTCAGATGAGAGATCTGCCATTGAACAGTACTTTGAAAGAGGATTTCGTTATGATACAATTGTTCAGTTTTTAGAAAAAGAAGTGATAAAGGGCCTTCGATTTCACGTTTAATTATCTCCCGAACTCTGAATGGACTCCATTTCTCCTTCTCACGCAACCTTCTCTTTAAAGCCTTCAAGTTCATAGAAATACCATGGTATTTTTCTAAAAACTGAACAAAACATCGACGGCAGAATAGCTCATTTCTCTCAAATTCTTTTCCACATTTTTGCCAGAACATCGCAATACACTTGGTACTGTTAAGTGCGTTAGCGTATTGACTCCAAGTCGACCTAATTCAACCTAATGCGACACTAGAGCACTTCAAACTCTATGGACAGACAGAGAGACTTTATCGAGCGAATGGAGGAATTGTGGGTTGTATGGGTAGCACACCACCAGTTAAACGGTAGGATCTGGGTACGAGATTATCATGACTATGATGGATTTTAATCGTTATTTGACCAGAGGTTTAGAATCATGGCATCGAATGGTTACAGGAAGAACTCCTCTACCAATGACTCTGCTGAGAAATTGGGTTTTGTTTCTCTCCTTCTATTCCAATGGATGAACGATGTCATGAAAACAGGCAATAAACGAGCCCTGGAGGAAGGCGATTTTGTACCACTCTCAAAAGAGAACACCTCACAGTCAGCCACAGAACTTCTGAACAAGAAATGGAAAGAAGAATTAGCTAAATCCATTGGGAAGAAAAAAAGACCGAAGCTGTGGAAAAGTATTGTAAAGATGATTTCCCCCGGGTAAACTGCTGTTATTGCTTGCGGGAGTGTCTTGTTCGCAATCGGCTCCCTCCTTTCACCATTGCTCATTGGATATCTGATTTCTATGTTAATGGAACCTGAAAAACACGGGAATAACATCCTTCGTGGTTGCATGTTAGCAACTGCCACAGCTGTAAACGCTTTGGTCGGGAGCATCGGTATGCAACATTACAACTACGCGGCTGAATTATTGGGCATCAGACTGAGTACCGCAGTAAAAGGTCTCGTTTACCAAAAGGTAAGCACAAGTAGGTTAACTTACTAGTCCCCAATCATCTAAAAAATATGGGCAGTGCTTAAGTGGAGAAGAAAAGAGAGACGGAACGGGAAAAGAGCACTCTTGTTTTCTGCCTTCCCATTGCCATTCACGCTCCAATCCTGTTCGTGTTACTCGCCCCTCGTGCTACTTGACTTGCGACTAGTCAAAGTTGGGCTGGTGAAAAGGGTGCAATCTTCCTTAATTGTCTCCAAACTTTTCTCTACACCTTATGGTACACTACTATTGCTAACCCTGGCCTCTCGAAGTAGTGCGAGAAATGTTCAGTCAAAGATCTAAGTAAGTAATCTAGAACTGCATTCTGTCTTTCCTCGGCAACATTATGAATCATCGGGCTGGTATTTTCGCAGCGGAAAAGAATAACCAGCTTTGTAAATATTTATTCCTCAGCTGTAGGTTCTCTAGATTCACACCTTTTAGCAAACCTGGATTATAAGATTTGAGTGAGCATCTCAGGGCTCCTCTAGCTACGCCTTTGTATTTGGAGGCCACTTTGACTCTAGTTTTGATTTTGTTTCATTCTCAGATCTTACTACTTAGCAAGAGCTCATTGTCAAAGTTTTCAGCAGGGCATGTGATCGACCTGATGTCAAATGATGTTCAGCGGATGGAGGCAGCACCTAGATGCATTTTAACAATGGACTCAGCCATACTCCAAATCGTGCCTTCAACGTTTATAATAGCTTATCTGATTGGCTGGCAGGCTCTTATGGGAGAGATATTTCTCTGTCTTCTTCTATAGTATTACGCAGAGATGTCTTCTGTCAATGCCGCTCTGCGTCTGCGATCAGCAGCGGAATCTGATATGCGAATTTCTTTGACGAACCAAGTGATTTCTGGGATACGCGCTATCAAAGCGCATGCGTGGGAGAATGAATTCAGGGAGAAACTAAAACATACACGAAAGTAAGGGAAATTTAAAAAACTCTAACTCTTATTTGGTTAACTGTGCAAGAGTTTTGCACCGACTCCTTTGTGAGAACGAGGTGATAGTATCGGTTTATCAGGGTGATAACCAGTACGGAATTTTGGGGGAATACTCATCAAATAAAAGGAAAGTGTCACCATCTTTTGTAATGGGGAGGGCCAAAACAAGGTGAACGACTTAGCATTCACTTGAATATTCAAGTGAATGCTAAGTCGTTCACCTTGTATTGGCCCTCCTCATTACAAAATATGGTGACACTTTCCTTTTATTTGATGAGGATGTCACCCATGTACCTCGTTTAGTACAATTGACAGATTCCTGACCAGCATATCCTTTCCCTTTGCAATGCAAGTTCGATGCTTTTTGTTTTGTGTAAACGAGAAATCAGCATCTTCTGTTAGACTGTCCCAACCACGGCGGTACATTCTTCATTGCAAATTGCTTATTGTAAAATGTTTTCAGTTTTCAGTAGGTCCTTGGATGCAATAAACGTGAAGTATCTGACTAATCTGAGAATATGGAGTTTCTCATTTCTTTCAGTTTGTCCGAAAATGATAACAACAATGCTTTTTGTTTCTTGCAGACGAGAAATCAGCATCATTCGTGCGAAAAGTGCCATTCTCTCGGGTTTGGCTGCCTTGGAGTATACTTCAATACCAATCCTGCTGTCTGTTATTACTCTGCTGCTTACTGGTCAACCCCTAACACCAGTCAATGTATTTATGCTCTTAATGTATATTAACTTGCTAAAAGTTGGCATTTGCTTTACCATCGCCTATGGTGTGGTGGACACATGTGAATTATTTGCATCACTCGGAAGAATAGAAGATTTTCTTATTTCAGAGGATTTGTTTTCCATCTCTGAGGATCCTTTTCTACAAGACAGACGAACAGTTGCAGAGAGAAAGTCGCGTAAGTTACAAAACGATTCTACTATGAGCCAGTCGCATGTATCAGATGAAGATCCCCTTATTGATCAGTGGATAAACCCTTCTAAGCCAGGAACTTTATGTGTGTCGCATTTAACATATAAAGAAATGGCGAGGAAAGATGAATTTGTTCTTCAAGATGTGGACTTCGTTGCTGCATCAGGAAGCTTGACAGTTGTCACCGGACCAGTAGGCAGCGGTAAATCAACTCTCCTCTCAGCGATCGCTGGCGAGATGTCAGACGTAATGAATTTCATGACATGAATTTCCCGTCACCCTTTGCACGCCTTTTTCCGTCAGTCCAAGTTTCCTCTTGCTCCTCCAAGACAAAAAGAAACTGGGTTGGAGCTCCTGACTTGGTTGCTTGCGTGCTCGTTCCCCCCGAGAGAAAATGTTTCTCGACAGCACCAAACAATGGCTAAGTTTTTGCCACTTTTATATTTCTTAAGCGCTCACCTTGAGAAATAAGACACAAGAAAATCATTCCAATGATGAGCAATGAGTGAATACCACTTCTGAAGTAGTCCCAATACAGCTTACTTGACACCGTTCCGATTGCCCGATCTTCAACAGATATTTCCAGTTCATTGTCTTTATTTCTAAGTGGCTTCAAATCTCCGCGTCTCTCTTCATCCTCCCTTGTGGTGATCATGTTATTGGACTTGTTCACAGTCAAAGCATTCTTGTAAAGTGGGTCGATGGTGGTATTTAAGATGCCTTTTCTCTGAAGCTCAGCGAAGGTTCCCATCCCCAGAACGCGACCTTTGTGCAGTACAATCACTTGGTCTGCAACTTTCATGTGTTGTTCTTGATGAGAAGTTAACAGGCGGGTCTTCTCACCAAGCAAACCCTTGATACACTTTTCAAAGATATGCCGACCGACTTTGTAGTCCACCGCGCTGAGAGGGTCATCCAACAAGTAAAGGTCTGCATCCACGTACACTGCACGTGCTAAGCTTACTCTTGCACGCTGACCACCACTCAGAACGGCACCGCGCTCACCTACAATGGTTTGGTCACCGTTCGGAAACCGCTGAAAGTCTTCCGTGAGGGCGCATGCCTCGATTATTCTGGTGTATCTTGGTTCATCATACGACCCTCCAAATTAAATATTTTCTCTTAATGTTCCAGAGAACACCCAGGCTATTTGCGGTGCATACACAAAAGTTCCTTGACGGCTTATTGTTCCGCTTACGTCTGACATCTCGCCAGCGATCGCTGAAAGAAGAGTTGATTTACCGCTGCCTACTGGCCCGGTGACAACTGTCAAGCTTCCTGATGCAGCAACGAAGTCCACATCTTGAAGAATAAATTCATCTTTCCTCATCATTTCTTTACATTTTAAATGTGACACACATAAAGTTCCTGGCTTGGAAGGGTTAATCCACTGATCGGTGAGGGGATCTTCATCTGATACATACGACTGGCTCATAGATGTAGAATCGTTTTGTAACTTGCCCCACTTTCTCTCTATTACTGTTCGTCTGTCTTGTAGACAATAATCCTCAGAGATGGAAAACAAATCATCTGAAGTAAGAAAATCTTCTATTCTTCCGAGTGATGCAAATGATTCCCGTGTCTCCACCACACCATACGCAATGTCAAGACAAGTAGTAAGTTTTAGCAGGTTAATAAACATTAAGAGCATAAAAACATTGACTGGTGTTAGGGGTTGACCAGTAAGCAGCAGAGTAATAACAGACAGCAGGATTGGTATTGAAGTATACTCCAAGGCAGCCAAACTTGAAAGAATGAAACTTTTCGTACGGATGATGCTTATTTCTCGTCTGAAAGAAACAAAAAGATTATCAATTATTCTTATTATTTATCATATAAATCAGGAGAGATCTTTTAAGTACCTTGGCGTGGTAGTAGATGAATCGTTATCTTGGAACAGTCACATGTCTTACGTCGCGTCCAGAGTTTACCCTAAACTTAAATTGTTAAACAGATTTTCGTCTTTTTTTAGATTGCGGTTTTACCATGCGGGATCCTGCACTAGGAGGATTTCCCTTTGTTTTAGAACGGCTACAGAATAAAGCTTTGAGAATAATCTTAAGACAAACTATCTGACTTGCACTCCAAGGATGAGAGACAAATTAGGACTTCTTACGTTATCCAGCAGGCAACGATATATGCGTCTTCAGTTAGTGTTTAAAATTGTTAATAACTACGGTTGTCCCACGCAACTTCAGAGTTATGTGAATTTCAGATAAGAACTTTGTGGCAGGTCCTTAAGAGATGCCCGAGAAACTCACTTGCCTAAAGTAAAATCTGCAATGGGCCAGTCTACATTCAAATTTGCAGCTGGAAAAGAACGGAAAAATTTACCTAGACTTGCAGGCTAAAGACTTAAATTTAAGAACTTGTAAGTAAAAACATTTTAGTATTTCTTAGAGCAAGACAAAATACAGCACAAATGTAACATAGGGTTCTCTCTCTCTCTCTCTCTCTCTCTCTCTATACATATATATATATATTTATACATTAGCTGTTATTTTTGTAACCAAATCTTACCTTTTAGTTTTTAATAGTTTTTTATTGGTACACTAATTTGAAATGGTTTAACAACTGCACATGGGTTTATACCAGCTGTCTTTATATTTAAATTAAGCTGATCAATTTTTGACGTATAAATAAAGTTATTACTATTATTATTATTATTATTATTTTTGGAGAAACTGAAGGTACTGATCAGAAACTCTGCATTCTTCACTCTGCATTGGTTGTTCAGATACGTATCGTTTATTACACTCAAAAACTCTCTGAAAACTGAACACATTTTACAATAAGCAAAGTTCAATAAACAGTACTTCGTCATGGTTACAAGAGATTCCTAAATATGACTTCCAACCTCCCTCACAGCCGCCCTCGTCAGCCATAAATGTTAAATTGGTAAATAAAAAACTCTTGGAGTGTTCTCCCGAAATCTTGCACGAGTTATCACGCTAGTAAACTAATACTATCACTTCGTTCACCCAAAGGTATCGGTGCGAAGATGTTCTGCGGTTATCTTAAAAATTAAGTAGGTTTTTAAATTTCCCTTACCTTCGCGTATGTTTTATTTTTTCTCTGAATTCATCCTCCCACGCATGCGCTTTGATAGCACGTATCCCAGAAACCATTTGGTTTGTCAAAGAAATTCGCCGATCAGATTCCGCCACTGAACGCAGACGCAGTGCGGCATTGACAGAAGACATCTCGGCGTAATACGGTAGAAGAAGCCAGAGAAATATCTCTCCCATAAGAGCCTGCCAGCCAATCAGATAGGCGATTATAAGCGTTGCAAGGACGATTTGGAGTATGGCTGAGTTCATTGATAGAATACATTTAGGTGCTGTCTCCATCCGCTGAACATCATTTGACAGCAGGTCGATCACACGCCCTGCTGAAAACTTTGACAGTGAGCTCTTGCTAAGTAGTAAGATCTGAGAATGAAACAATATCAATACTAGAATTGACTTCTTGAAAAAGAAAACCCGTGTTTAGTGCAGAAAGCAATCAGAATCATTAACTACCATTTGCCAAAATAAAGGTGGCTGGTGGTGGATATTTACCCAGCTGCAAAGTGGCGTGGTGAATACCCACCACTGGCCACCGAGTTATTGCTTTAGTATGTACTAAAACAGTCAGAGAAAAAGACACAAAAAGATGATTTTGACTCATTTTTTCTCGCAACGATTACATTATTTTCGGGCGAAAAACCCAATCAGCGCACGCCTTCGACGCTATACACTGTTTTAGTATATATTGAAGATGATTAGTGTATACCACTCAAGTGGATAGTTCAATTCGAGTGCACTTATTGGTTAGTTCGGAATTAATTACCAAGTTCTACTCATCTCCAAGGAAAAACGCACTACCAAAGTTCAATTCCCAATCATTTTTTTTCATCGAATACATTAAGGAGCCAATGAAGACCGCCAACTGGGTCTGGCCAAATTGCTAGAACGCCGGCTGCCACCCGCGAGATCAAAGATTCAAGCTTCAGATTGAACTACCTCTCACGCTCCCAAGACAGAGGCGTAACTAGAGGAGTCAAGACAAATCTTATTGTTCAGGTTTGCGAAAGTATATGAATTCATAGAAGCTTCAGCTTGAACATAATCATTTCAGATGCTGGTTAATATGTAATACCAGCCTGCGAATATACAGTGTTGCCGAGAAAAGACGGAATGCAGTCCTAGATTACCTACTTAGACACTTCATTAAAAACTTTCTCTGACTACTCCATAATCTAGGGTTAAGAACAAAAGTGTATCGAAAAGCGAAGGAAAAAGTGTCGAGAGAATTAACAAAGATTGCGCCCATTCCCCATACCTAACCCAACCCTACCCTGACTCGTTTCCAATCTTCTTCAAAGCGACAGTGTCGGTAACTAACAAGGGCAAGTGCAGCGGGATGGGAAAAAGTAAACGGCGCGCAGATTATGGGGAACGCTGGGGACGAGTCAGTTACCCTTCTTGTGTTCACCTTTCTGTAAACGAGACCTTTCACTGCGTTACTCAGTCTGATGCCCATTAATTCACCCGCGTAAGAGTTATGTTGCATGCCGAGGGTCCCGACCAAAGTGGTTGCAGCCATGGCAGTTGCTAACACGCAACCATGAAGGATGTTGTTCTGATGTGTTTCAGGTGACATTAACATAAAAATCAGATATCCAATGAGCAATGGTGAAAGGAGGGAGCCGATTGCGAACAAGACATCACAGCAAACAACAAAAACAGCTTCCCTGAGGGAAATCATCTTCAAAACACATTTCCACAACTTCGGTCTTTTCTTCTTCCTAATGGAATTAGCTATTTCCTCTTTCCATTTTTTGTCAAGAAGTTCTGTGGCTGACTGTGAGGTGTTCTCGTTTGAGAGTGGTACAAAGTCTTCTTCCTCTAAGGTTCGTTTACTGCCTGTCTTCATGACATCGTTCATCCATTGCAACCAAAGGAAAGAAACAAAACCAACTTTCTCGGCAGATTCACTAGTGGAGGAGATCTTCTTGTAACCATTTGGTGCCATGGCTCTAAACCTTTAGCCGCAGAGCGATAAGACCTGATCAATACTATGGTTTTTTATTAATAAATCCAAGTCATGCTTCACATTTTGCTACATCAAATTTGAAAAAATGATGAACGAATTAGCACTTTTAATTCAAATAGAATGTGAGAGATTGGGATAAACTCCTTCCTCATAAAAGAATCAGATTTTTTTGTCCCACTCTCGTTCCACTTCTCGTGATAATATCTTTTTAATTCACTACCAAGCCTTTGAAATTGTCAGTCCTAACGATATGCGGGATCCTTGTCACAATGAAACCTATTAATGGCCTAACTCTCCATCGAGTTCATTGTACAGCATCAGAGCGGATAATTCGCAAGCTAAGTTTGGGGTTTAATACCTTGCCCGAGACTTACATATTTTCTAGTCCTGAGGCCAGATATCACATTTCTTTAATTCTGATTTATTTTCAATCTACCCTTTGTCGTGTCATGCAAGAGGGGGGGGGGGGGGGGGGGGACAGGGGGTTTACAGTCCCCCACTTCCTGTACCACTTCCTGTACGCAGCTCCAGTACTATTGTGACACTCTGCCTTTCGACTTCCGCCCTTCATGGCATTATTCCCGTATTCAGGTTAATAAAATGAATCAGAAATCTGGGTTTTTAGAAAGCTGTGCCAAAACGTATAATTCAAGACCATGGCGTTTCATTTTTTCGAGGGAGGGGAGGTAATTTTTCAAGATGAACATTATACAGGCCTGATTATCACAGTTTGACCATCAATTCTAACATCTCACCATAGAGAAGAAATTTTCAGTCCACTGTGCAATCTAATAGCTATTGGAATTCAAATGTGTATTTCGTAGCATTCAGGAATCCCTGATATACTGGGATCATGCTTTTTAGAGATGAAAACGGATGCAACGATTGTGTACGTAGGTACTAAAACAAGGAATGACCAAAATCCACCTAAAACCACCTACAACAAACTTCAGAGTATTATTTTTATCATTGTGACAATTTTTTTGGCAAATGTGATTGTACATGGGAAATGTTGTCAATAGTGAAAACTAATACCCCTGAAAATTAAGTCACTGCCTGCGATATTCACCCATGCAATAGCTCGGATAACCAGGGAAAAACACAAAAAAATTGTTAGCATAAGAGCAGCGCCAAGAGCCTTAACGCTTTTGGAGTTATAAATGGACTATGTTTTCGAGGTCAGTGTTTTCGAGGTCTGAGTTTTCGAGGTCTGCTTTTTCAACGTCTGACAGAGGTCAACGGGACACCAAGCAGGTAGCAGGAAACTTGATGAAGTTGCGTAATAAAGCATCAGGGGTGATGTGTTTCTGGGAAATCCAAGCAACCCTAACTATCTGAAATTGCTTCAAATCGGGTTGCGGAGCGAGCGTACAACAAAGAAAACAAAACAGTTTTATAATGAGTTGGTATTATTCAGAGAAAAAAGTTAAATTGACTGAGAATAGGAAACCACGAAAAGAACAGTGAAATTTGAAACGATGTGTGATAAACAGAACTTGCAAGTCTCGCTATATGCATGTAGCTTATAAATTCCCTTAAAATTATCGCACTTACAAGCACTTACAATCAGCATCCTTACGAGTCCCAAACGCGAAATAGATCGAGTCAATCAGGTCTCGGAACCTACAGCTTGCTGGCATTAATTTGTATCGATTAGCCTGGGTGCCAGTAGCCTACGTGTAGCCGTACCCTCCCCCACTAAGGTAAGACGGAGGTGAGGCAACGTCAACGCAAACCTGACATTAATCGTGTTCCGTGACGCCATTCTTCTGCAAGAAAATATATAATGACTTTTTATCGGTTAACCCCTTTTGCCGATTCTTTCGTCAATTCTGATTGGTTCGGGCGGGTAATTTATTCTCACACTAACGAACTAGATGATGAACTAAATATTTTTACGGTCCACTTTTCCTTTAAAGAGCCAACTTGATTGTTGGAACCGCTCAAAATTTCTAAGCAAAAATCTCATATTCTTAAAAAGTTTGAAACAACCTTCCGGTGGAAATTCCACCGGAAGGTTGAATTCTGTGAAAATTTCTGACTGCCGTGCAATTAGTGTATTTGATACCATGCCTGGCTGCCGGGCATTTAGTCATAGCGCAGAAAAAGGTAACAAACCGATTATCCACGCTTTGACTTTTTTGACGAGCTTCAAAGTCAAGAGAAATTATCTAGAAAATTGTTGCTTTGATTGAAAGCAATTGCCGTGACCGAGCTCTCAATGCATTAACAAGTTTAAATGAATTATGTCGTGGGTCGCCTTTGCATAATTATAAAAAAACCCGCTCAAACTTTTTAATTTTACTTTCAAATAAGGGCTGTTAACTTTGTTTTGAAAACTTTGTTTGTCATTGAAAAAAAAAACTCTTGCTTTATTATTCCAAATTGCGCTCGAAATTTTCTGATTGAATGGACTAAAGAAATTCTGTAAAACGATTTAAGTGCAGTCGTAAAAGTGTGCAAGTATGCTAATCGGGCTTTAACACAATGGATTTCTGCACGCGCGTTGTTCCGTTAGTGATCAGGACTGCTTGCCGGCGTGTTACTGGTTTACGGAATTTTTACCTTTGGTGCAGTTTCACCCATTACAAAGTTCCCTCCAAGGCAAAAGAACAAGGTTAGCCGGTTAGTGTTAATCTCGTGATCTCTTGACCATTTTCAATTTTATTCCCCCGGAACAAGTCAAATTTCAATCGCACTCGTACGTATTCACATGTTGGCAACTATTTTGAAGCAGGCGAAATTAGATGACTTGGCTGTTTTCGATCTTTAGATGTTCTTCCTAAGTCTCCTTTAATACCAGTTTGAGGCCAAAAAAAAAAGGAGAAATAGCGGTGATTAATTTCATTGGCCGTTCTGATTTTCTTAGGTAAAAAATTCTGGATTAAATTTGAATATTTTAGGCATCGATCCGCATTTTTAGCGGGCTTTTTGGAAAAAACTCACTCTGAAAGTTGAGCTGAAATTACCGATGATTCCCGTTCCACGCTGTAGCAAGTACATTTAAACCGTAAAAATAAATATCTGCGAGGCGACAAAAAGAAAAAAAAAGACGAGAGGATGCCAAGTCTTAGGGAAATATACGTGTCGTGACACAACCGTTGAGTTGTGTTTTCATTTCTAAAAGGCATGATCCCAGTATGCAGACAACAGATTACAGACCGGATAAAAAATGTAGACTAAGTACAAAATGTAGACTGCAGACTGCAGAGTGGGTACAAACTGCAGACTGAGAATCTGACGAGTTTTTTCGTCTTGTATGTGATAACATGTCATCTTATAACTTACCGAACGTCACGCAATCGCTTTTCCGCGATCAGCTTTCACGATTATTAGCACTATTTTGGAATATTCCTGGCCCACATCTTGATGAAAATCGATCGTAATATAATTTCAAGCCTTCATGTAGTCTTCTCACTTTGTGCGCGAGTTGGTTGGTGTGATGTCCAGACAGATTTTACCAACGTAATAAAATTAGATGTGGATGTAAATGAGATGTCACTATGAATATTTAACCCGCTTTAATCAGACATTCATCTAGTGATGACACCAAGCAAACCAATCCTGAAAAATATATTCGGCACACTCAACAAATCATGAATCTTGCAACACAGCTTGCCGTTAAAGAACTACTCAAATCAAAATGTTTGGTGCAACTCATCAACACCTCAAGCACTATTTGATTAAAAAATATTCCACTCACTCTCGTCGTGAAGGAAAAATAACCATGATCGCGCATGGTTGTCACAGCATGAATAACACGTTTACCATAGGTAATCTGATATCTTTCATCTGTCCAGTAGTATCGCATTTCTCGTAAAGCGCGGTAAAAATACACGTTAAAACCACAGAAAAGCCAACATTTCTTATTCTAAAAGATGATTCTAATTTACAGACCACTCTTTCCGAACCTTCCATTACTTTGTTGAAACTTGAACACCTCTTAAACCAACGAACAAAAACGACGCTCTGATTGGTGCGAGATACATACCCTAAACGATTTGATTGGTGCGAGCAACATACCACTTTCTTTACGCTAACTTGGATGTTATTTTTTTGTTAATAAAAACAACTAACTCTAAAATGAAACGCCTGAGAATAGTCCAGAATTTTACGTTGGCACAGCTTGCCATAAAGCCAGATTTCTGATTCATTTTATTAACCTGAAGACGGGAGTAATACCATGAAGGGCGAGAGTCGGGAGGCAGAGTGCCACAATAGTACTGGAGCCGAGTGAACGTGGTACAGGAAATGGTGGACTGTGGACTGTGGACCACCTCTCTTCCCCCCCCCCCTCCACTTGCATGGCATCACGAAGGGTCGATCAAAGAAGGAGACATAAATGGCATAATTAGCTCGATTGTGGAATATTGAAAAGTGCTGACAGGGGTTTATAACAACATTAGAATAATAAATTATCCGCTTTGATGCTGTACAATGAACTCGATAGAGAGTTTGGCCATTATTAGGTTTATTTGTGGCGAGCATCCTGTATATCGCTGGGAATGACAATGTCGAAGGTTCGGTAGTGAAACAAAAGAAGATTTTATCACGAGATGTGAAACGAGAGTGGGACAAAAAAATCTGATTCTTATATAAGGAAGGAGTTTATCCCAATCTCTCACACTCTATTTACATTAAAAGAGCTATTTCGTTAATCATTTTTGAGTTGTTTCTTTTTATTAAAAAAAATAACTCCATGTTAGTGCATAAAGTGGTATCAGTGATGTTGCTCGCATTAATCAGATCGTCGCATTAGGGTATGTATCTCGCACTAATCAGATTGCTGTATTAGGGTATGTATCTCGCACCAATCAGATTGCCGTATTAGGGTATGTATCTCGCACCTATCATATCATAGCATTTGGATATCACAGTGTTTGGGTATTCTTTTCTTGTAAATTATGTCGTGGATCACGGGGATGTGCACAAAGAATGACATTTACCAGAAATTTTGGCTCATTTGATAAGTGTAATGGTTGGTGGCCTTCGCGAGAGTCTAGCCGGTTAAGGTAGAGATTTAGGATCAATATCAGTATCTGGGCAACTGCCCACCTACCCCTCCCCTAACTCAACAACAGTCAATTGACAACAAGTTAAGGTTAATGTTGGGTAAGGGGAGGGGTAGGTGGACAGTTGCCCAGATACTGATATTGATCCGAGATTTATTAGGATATGAAAGGTACACATTTCAATTTTAAAGTTAAAACGTGTTTTTTCCGCTCCTTTACTCACAACGCACACGCCAAACAACTTAAATTCTATCACGTACCAAGAAAACAACGTCCAAAGTCCAATCAGAACATACCCAATCATTGCACTACATGAGCATCAGGCAATTTTTCACGTGCTTGAATTGTATTTCACCAATCAAATTCCATTATGCCACATTGCACTTCGCTCTATCACGTGTCATGTTCTTGTAAACAACCTGCATTTTATTACGTATTCTAACTGCATTGAAAAAAATTCACATGGAAGTAAATGCTACTGGAATCGAGTTTTCCAAGCCATTCTCCCGCATTTGACTTTTTCTACGAATTAAAGTCGCTTCAAGCTACCTAGGACTTAACCCAATTGCGTGTTAATTCCTTGTTAAACAATCTGCCTTTTCTCACGCATTCAGATGGCAAAGTCCAAATAGACAACAACCAATCAAGGATCCCTCTTTGAGATATTATCCTTTTCTCTTCTTCAATGTATCTTCACTTATACGAGATCGCAATATATCGTTAGTTAGGGTCTGTTAGAGGTAGAACAGAGTGTCCGGTTTGCTTTTCGTAGTAAAATTACGCGGAATTATATTTTTGAGGTAACTAACTGTAGACGAATAACTTTGATTTTTCCCTCTGTTGGAGGAATGACATTAAGCGTAGTCTCTTTTGCAACCGTTATTTGGTCTCGTCACGCAACGTACTCTTTCTCAAACTGGAAATAGAGGGCGTCGTGTGACGAGGCCAAATAACGGCTGCGAAGGAGACAAAAGTAAGCGTGGCACCGATGAATTTCACTTTAAATTAGAAGTATTTCGACAATAGAGACAGTAGATCATATAATATCTGCTTTAGTTGAGATAAATTAGGTTTTTTTCTGTCTTTGTGCGATATTTTCGTTTTTTGAAAGTTATGCTCTTTTCGGGGACAAAAATGAAAACACTATGTACACAAACTCTTCCATCTCGAACCACCCAACCAAAAAAATAACTCTTGCATGCTACGCATGCCTACATTTTCAATTTGATGTAGCAAAACGTGAAGTGTGACGTGAATTTATTAGTGAGAGATGATGATATTGATCATGATTCATCGTTCTTCGACTAAAGGTTTAGAACCATGGCACCAAATGGTTACAGGAAGATCTCCACCAATAAATCTGCTGAGAAAGTTGGTTTTGTTTCTTTCCTTTTGTTGCAATGGATGAACGATGCTATGAAGACAGGCAGTAAACGAACCTTAGATGAAAGAGATTTTGTACCACTCTCAAACGAGAACACCTCACAGTCAGCCACAGAACTTCTTGACAAAAAATGGAAAGAAGAAATAGCTAACTCCATTAGGAAGAAGAAAACACCGAAGTTGTGGAAAAGTGTTTTTAAAATGATTTCCTTCAGGGAAGCTGTTTTTGTTGTTTGCTGTGATTTCTTGTTCGCAACCGGCTCCCTCCTCTCGCCATTGCTCATTGGACATCTGATTTTTACGTTAATGTCTCATGAAACACATCAGAACGACATCCTTCATGGTTGCGTTTTAGCAACTGCCATGGCTGTAACCACTTTGGTCGGGACTCTCGGCATGCAACATTCCGGTTACGCGGCTGAAATAATGGGCATCAGACTGAGTAACGCAGTGAAAGGTCTCGTTTACAGAAAGGTGAGCAGAAGAAGGGTAACTGTTTCGTCTCTAGCCTTCTCCATAATCTTCGAGGCGTTTACTTTTTCCCATCCCGTTGCATTTGCTCGTGTTAGTTGCCGACGCCGCTGCTTTGAAGAAGATTGTGGACGAGTAAGGGCAGGGTTCGGTTGGGTTGGGTAGGGGGAATGGGCGCAATCTTCCTCAATTCTCTCGACACTGTTTCCTTCGCTTTTCGATACACTTTTGTTATTAACTCCAGATTATGGAGTAGTCAGAGGAAGTTTTAAATCCAGTGTCTAAGTAGGTAATCTAGGACTGCATTCCGTCTTTTCTCGGCAACACTGTGTATCCGCAGGCTGGAATTTACACGGCGAGAAGTAGTAACCAGCGTTGGAATTGATTATGCCTAAGCTAAAGCTTCTATGAATTCATATGCTTTATTAAACCTGAAATATAAGATTTGTCTTGGCACCTTAAGACTCCTCTAGCTACGCCTCTGTCTTGGGAGCGTGAGAGGTTGTTCAATCTCAGACTTGAATCCTCAATCTCGCGGGTGGCAGTCAGCGTTCTAGCAATTTGGCTAAACCCAGGTGGCGGTCCTCATTGGCTCCTTAATGTATTCGATAAAAAAAATGATTGGGAATTGAACTTTGGAAGTGCAAGTTTGTCTCTTCGTTTCCTTGGAGATGAGTAGAACTTGGTAATCACTTCAGAACTAACCAATCAGTGCACTCGAATAGCACTTCCACCAGTGTGGTATACCCTAATTATCTTTAGTGTATACTAAAACAGTGGATAACGTTGAAGGCGCACTCTGAATGGCTACTCAAACTCCAAATATCCCTTGCCATTTATCTCCGAGAATCTTGCGCAGAGTTTTCGCCCGAAAATACTGTAATCGTTGCAGGAAACGATTACAGTATTTCGTATAGGATTATAGATTAGGATTTTGTACATAGTAAAGCAATTACTCGGTGGCTACCTGTGGGTATTTACCTCGCAGCTGGGTAAATATCCACCATTAGCCACCTTTACTTTGGCGAATGGTAGTTAATGATTCTGATTACTTTCTGCACTAAAGATGGGTTTTCCTTTTCAAGAAGTCAATTCTAGTATTGATATTGTTTCATTCTCAGATCTTACTGCTTAGCAAGAGTTCATTGTCAAAATTTTCAGCGGGGCGTGTGATCGACCTTCTGTCAAATGATGTTCAGCGAATGGAGAAAGCACCTAAATGGATTTTAGCAATGAATTCAGCCATACTCCAAATTGTGCCCGCAACGTTTATAATCGCGTATCTGATTGGCTGGCAGGCTCTTATGGGAGAGATATTTCTCTGTCTTCTTCTACCGTATTATGCAGAGATGTCTTCTGTCAATGCCGCACTGCGTCTGCGTTCAGCGGCGGAATCTGATATGCGAATTTCTTTGACGAATCAAGTGGTTTCTGGGATACGTGCTATCAAAGCGTATGCGTGGGAGGATGAATTCAGAGAAAAAATAAAACACGCACGAAAGTAAGGGAAATTTAAAAACCCATTTTATTTTTTCAGATAACTGCAAAACATCGTCAGACCGACACCTTTAAGTGAACGAAGTGATAGTATTAGTTTACTAGCGTGATAACTCATTCCAGATTTTAGGAAAAACACTCTATGAGTTTATAAATCACAAAATAATTAACATTTATAGGTAGAGAGGGTGGCTGTGAGTGGGGGGAGGGGGTTGGAGGTCATATCAAGGAATCGTTTGTGATCATGGTGATGTACTGTTTAATGCGCTTTGCTAATTGTATAATGCGTTCAGTTTTCAGAGAGTTTTTGGGTGTAATAAACGATAGGTATCTGAACAACCAGTGCAGAGTGCAGAGTTTCTGATCAGTACTTGGAGTTTGTCCAAAACATGATGACAACAAATCTTTTTGTTTCTTTCAGACGAGAAATAAGCATCATCCGTAAGAAAAGCGCTATTCTCTCGGGCTTAGCTGCCTTAGAATATACTTCAATACCAATCCTGCTGTCTGTTATTACTCTGCTGCTTACTGGTCAACCCTTAACACCAGTGAATGTTTTTATACTCTTAATGTTTACTAACTTGCTAAGACTTAACATTTGCCTTGACATCGCGTATGGTGTGGTGGAGACACGGGAGTCATTTGCATCACTCGGAAGAATAGAAGATTTTCTTATTTCAGAGGATTTGTTTTCCATCTCTGAGGATCATTGTCTACATGACAGAGGAACAGTTGCAGAGAGAAAGTCGGGCAAGTTACAAAACGAAACTATGAGCCAGTCGCATGTATCAGATGAAGATCCCCTTACTGATCAGTGGATTAACCCTTCTAAGCCAGGAAATGTATGTGTGTCGCATTTAACATATAACGAAGTGGCGAGGAAAGATGAATTTATTCTTCAAGATGTGGACTTCGTTACTGCGTTAGGAAGCTTGACAGTTGTCACCGGACCAGTAGGCAGCGGTAAATCAACTCTCCTCTCAGCGATCGCGGGCGAGATGTCAGACGTAAGCGGAACAATAAGCCTTCAAGGAACTTTTGTGTATGCACCGCAAAAAGCCTGGGTGTTCTCTGGAAGCTTAAGAGAAAATATTTTATTTGGAGAGTCGTACGATGATCCAAGATACACCAGAATAATCGAGGCATGCGCCCTCACGGAAGACTTTCAGCGGTTTCCGAACGGTGACGAAACCGTTGTTGGTGAGCGTGGTGCCGTTCTGAGTGGTGGTCAGCGTGCAAGAGTAAGCTTAGCACGCGCAGTGTACGTGGATGCAGACCTTTACTTGTTGGATGACCCTCTCAGCGCGGTGGACTACAAAGTTGGTCGGCATATCTTTGAAAAGTGTATTAAGGGTTTGCTTGGCGAGAAGACCCGCCTGTTAACTTCTCATCAAGAACGACACATGAAAGATGCAGACCAAGTGATTGTACTGCACAAGGGTTGCGTTCTGGGGAAGGGAACCTTCGCTGAGCTTCAAGGAAAAGGCATCTTAAATACCACCATCGACCCACTTTACAAGAATGCTTCGATAGAGAACAAGTGTAATGACATGGTCACCGCAAGGGATGATGAAGAGAGATGCAAAGATTTGGAGCCACTCACAAATAAAGAAAATGAACTGGAAATATCTGTTGAAGATCGGGCAATTGGAACGGTGTCAAGTAAGCTGTATTGGGACTACTTCAGAAGTGGTATTCACTCATTGCTCAGCATTGGAATGATTTCCTTGTGTCTTATTTCTCAAGGTGAGCACTAAAGAATTATAAAAGTGACAAAAACTTAGCCATTGTTTGGTGCTGTCGAGCAACATTCTCTCTCGGGGCGAACGAGCAAGCAAGCAACCAACCCAGTTTGTTTTTGACTTGGAGGAGGAAGAGGAAACTGGGACTGACAAAAAAGGCATGCAAAGGGTGACGTGAAATTAATGTTAAGACTAACAACCAATCTGACATTTAGAAGAGAGGTTGATGCCTTTTAATCCTGAGTTTAAAATTGTTTATTTTACCTGATTTAGACTGTTACGTAGATTATGAAGAAAATTATCTCACTTTCGCATATTTTTATCACTCACCATATTTTTCCGCCTTTTTGTAGCATGGATGGTTGCCCCTGACGTGTGGCTGTCCTTTTTGACCAGGAAACTTCCATCAGAACAGAAAGACAAGACAAATCTAACTATCTATGGTGGTTTAGTCGCTGCTTCCTTCATATTAGGCATCATCAGGGCCTACATTTTCTTTTCGGTTTGTCTAAGAAGCTCTGAGCGGCTTCATGACAAAATGGTTGTGGCTCTTTTAAAAGCGCCGGTTCTTTTTTTCGATTCAAATCCTGTGGGTAGAATCCTGAATCGATTCTCTAAAGATGTGGGTTGCATGGATGAGTTATTACCATTACAGTTTCTATCTACAATTCAACTGGTATTGCTGTTGCTCTCATCTGTTGTCGTTCCTTCTGCTACAAATCCTTGGGTTTTGTTCGTTACCGTTCCAGTGACGGCCATGATTCTTTACTTCGCAAGATTTTACTTGAAGAGTTCCAGAGAACTAAAAAGGTTGGAGTCAATATGTCGAAGCCCAGTCTTCTCTCACATATCAGAGACTCTTGATGGACTGGACACAATTCGAACAAGAGGCAGACAGAGAGAGTTTATGGACAAGTTTTACAGGTAAGTTCATGCAACTTTCCAAGTGAGCTGGGAAAGTAAAATCTCAAACTCAATTCAGGCTCGATACGCAAAACCGTGACGTTCATAGTGCAGGGTTTATGTTTGGCATCCTCAAAACATTATCCGTAAAAAACAGTTCTCCTTCCCTCCTCCTTCAATAATACTCATTACCTTCTCCTCCCTTCCTCCCCCCCCCCCCACCTTCATCTTCCAACGCTTTTAAAATTGTAGACATGGAATGCTGGGTGGCACTGAATCTTAAATTTAGTATTCGGTCTCAGCCGTGGCCTCGAATTCGCCCCTCTACGTGATGACTTTTTTCGTTGGCGGTCTCGTGTCCAAATGTTTTTTTTTTTTTTTAAATTTATATTCTGTATACCAAATCTATAAATCTGTTTCGTTCATCATGGTGGTGGCACCCTCTGTGCAACGCTTAAGAAACTTGCTGCGCAGAATTGACATTTGAACTGGAGATGATTTACGTTGATGTATTTTCTTTCCTGTTGGACAGCTACCAAGACACTTATACCCAGTCGTTCACGATGGTGATGCGGCGGTCTCCTCTCTTTATTACCCCCACCCCTACCCCCTTCGCAACGCTTTTTACGTTTTACTGAGTGAACAAATATTTAGACTCGAGATGACTTAAGTTGATTTATTTTCTTTCCCATCGGACAGCTACCAAGACACTCATACCCAGTCTTTTGTCATGGTGACGGCGAGTGGCAGATGGTTCGGTGTTCGTCTGGATGCAATCATTTCTCTTTTAATAGGCTTAGTCGTCTCAGTGGTAGTTTTAGTATCTCAAGATGCTGGTATGTAGAGTTTCATCCGAAATAATTGCACCATTTCACGCTCGTGTACACCCAAAAGCTATGATATTCCATGTGATAAATGAGACCGTGAAAAGAATCTTTCCGCGCGGAGCTGGGAGACAAAAAGAAGTCGTTGTAGCCCATTTCATCACTATCTTCATGAGGACGATTAATTTACAGATATTTTTCTCTATTTAGCTTCCGCTGGGCTTTCTCTCGCTTACCTCATTCAAACAGTGGCCCTGACGCAACACGCTGTCAGAAAATCATCAGATGTCGAGAATTTTATGACGTCAGTTGAACGAGTTATGACCTACACCAAGCTTGACTCTGAGCCTGGATACCAAGTGGACACACTTCCCCCGGAACACTGGCCACGCGAAGGAAATATCACATTCCGCGACGTGTCGATAACGTATTACCCGGGGGGACCGAAAGCGCTGAGGAACATCAGTCTTGACATCAAAGGAGGCTCAAATATAGGTGTTGCAGGTCGCACGGGTGCCGGCAAATCATCTTTTGTAGCAGCTCTTTTACGCATGCCCGATCCTGACGGAGATATTCTCGTGGATGGGGTTCAGATAAAGAACATTAATCTCCGAACAGCTCGAGGATGCATATCCGCTCTTGGCCAAACCCCGGTGCTTTTCAGTGGATCATTGAGGAAAAATCTGGATCTTGTCAACCGCTTCGAAGATGCAGATCTGTGGCGGGTCTTAGAGGATGTGCAACTGAAAGATTTCGTTCAAAGTCTTGAGGGACAATTGGATTACGAATTGTTGGAAAATGGAGCAAATGTCAGTGTAGGAGAGCGGCAGTTGATTTGTTTGGCTCGTGTTCTGTTGCAGCAGAACAAGATTATCATCTTGGATGAGCCCACTGCACACGTGGATCCAGGCACAGAAGAAACAATCTGGAGAGTGGTGCGAGAGAAACTGAAAGACTCCACAGTAATAACTATAGCTCACCGTCTGAACACCATCCGACACTGTGACAAAGTATTTGTTTTTAAGGAGGGAGGGGTGGTCGAGTCTGGAAAATTTGACACATGAAGACTGAAGCGTTTTATAACTGATATAGCATGGTTTTTATAAGTAACTAGTTATGATTAGTATCCTTTCATTTAATGTGTGAGTTCGTTGACTCAAAAGCGAAGTATTCACTACGGCCACGGTCTATATAGTCTCAAAAAGGGGGAACTGAGAGCGAAATTTTTTAAAACTTATAAGCGATATTTAGGGAGGCATCAAAAAGTGGTGTAGCGTTTTGAATAGCGGCTTTGGGAAGGAAGGAAACTATTCTAAAACTTCCTCTGAATGCTGTTTCGCCAAGAGCGATTTAGATGAAAACTGCAAATTTTTCCAGATTAATTTTGCGCCGGGCTTGCGACAATTTCAAGGCCAAATTAAAAAGTGGGTATCAGTCTGACCCTAATTAAAGGGTGGCAGAGGGGTGGGGCGCGTTTCTCACCCGTTACGCCCTCGTCTTGTTGTAGTCTCCTGCTTTTTTGTAGGCTAGGAAAACCGGTTTAGACTTTACAAGTCGACTTTACAAGTTGAAGGTTATTATCAGCCTTTCGGGGAGGGCTGACAGTAATGCTGCGAGAGAAACTGAAAGACTCCTCAGTAATAATTATAGCTCCCCGTCTGAACACCATCCGACACTATGACAAAGTTCTTGTTTTCGAGGAGGGAAGGGGTAGTCGAGTCTGGAAAGTTTGTGATGTTTTCCTCAATTAGATTGGTATAGTAGTTACGTTTAGCATTACGAATTTGAGATACTACTTGATTTCTAATAGCTCTACAAGTAGCCCAATCATCGTAAGATCCAGATTTTTGTGCCTTTTTATGGTTGAAATTTCTCTCCTTGATCAGATTTCTGATGTCTTCATTTAACCATGGAAGAGTAGAAGATCGAATTCTCATTGTCATGAAGGGGGCGCATTTATCTGCCATATCCATAAAGGTTCTTTTGAAAGCCATCCAAGCGTTGCTTACTGTGAGGGAGGTGTCAATGTTTTCCCAAGAGGCAGAGTGCAGGTCATTAGCAAAATTTTGAGAAGAATAGTTATTAAAGCGTCTACAACGCGCAGTCTTTATTTCTCCTCTGGGAATTTTCGCTCGTCGGACGATGTAAACAAGTTGGTGATCACTAATAGAATAGTTTAAAACGCCAGAAGTAACAATTTTGTCAATGTTTGTTGTAAATGCCACGTCAATTAAAATTTTTGATGTTTCAGTGATTCTTGTCTTCGATAAGTTGGGAAAATTGATAGATGTTAAACAATTTGATGGCTTCTTTTGTATCGTGAGGCAGTTTCTTTGGAGATAGATCGTAGTTTAAGTCTCCCCTTTGCTTGATGCGACGTCCAGCGTTTTCTCCAGATTAGGCATGAAGTTGTTCAGGTCAACGTTAGGCGGTCTGTATAGTGAAGATTTTTTTTATTTTTTTTTTTATTTTTTTTTTTAATAGTATCTCTTTATTGCGCCGTACTCTCCAAAGGGAGATGTTAGTCTACTTACAATAAAGTTCAATAATACAATATGAATAACATAAAACGATAACTTTACCATATCCGAATACAATACGTTGATTGAAAAGCTATTACTGCTAAATTACATTTGTGCATTGAGACTTTGATACATTAAATGAGGAACTATAACAAAAGTGAAAAAAGAAAAAGAACGTAAGGAGTATTGTTTGAAGTGTTTTGGTGAGAGTTTCACTGTTGGCAGGTGTACCACTAAGTTTTTTATTTATTTACTTTTTTATTATTTAAATTTTGTTTTTATTTTATTTTGTATTTTTTAAAGAGAGTTGAGATATTTTAACCGCATTTGTCAGGAGTTAGTTATTGACGGTATTTTCAATTAGGTCCCTTTGGTGAACTGCATTCACAAAGTCGTGGAGGACAATGGGCTTGTTGTTAAGTTTACAACTATAGATATAATAACGCATGAATAGTGTGACGTAGTCGAATTTCTTGATGGTACTATTCTCGTTTAAGTTGGAGGTAATTCCGAATAAAAGTTCCTCCGTAGTTGGAGAGAACTGTGAATTGTAAACACAATTCACTGTATAGTGAAGATACTAGTAGTTTACTTTTATTGGGGAAATTGATCTCGATCCAGACAGTTTCAAGCCCATGTGTAAGTATGTCAGGGAGATTTAAATTAAATAAGCGCTGTTAACCTTTTTTTGAAGACTCAAGACTGTTTGTCTTTGAAAAATCATAGTGACACAAACTAGTGCTTCGTTATTCCAAAGTGCGCTCAAAATCCTCTGATTGCATGTACTAAAGAAATTCTGTTAAACAATTTAAGTGCAGTCGTCTGTAAAAGGGTGTACATATGCTAATCGGGCTTTAAAACTAGGGATTTCTGCGTGAGTAGTTCCATTAGTGATAAGCAGTGCTTGCCGGCGTGTTACTGGTTTACGGAATTTTCTCGTTGGTGCAGTCTCGCCCATTACAAAGTTCCCTTCAAGGAAAAAGAAGAAGGTTAGCCGGTAAGTATTTATCTTTTGACCATTTTCAACTTTATTTCCCCCGGAACAAGTCTAATTTCAACCGCACTCGTGCCTATTCATATTTTGGCAACTATTTTGAAGCAGGCGAAAATAAATGACTTAGCGGTTTTCAATCTTTACATGTTCTTCCTAAGTCCCTTTAATACCAGTTTCAGGCCAAAAAAGAAAGGATAAATCAAAGAACGGCCGCGGAGGAGACATAAATGATATAATTAGCCCGATTGTAGAATATTGAAAAGTTCTCCACATTTTGTCAAGCGTACAGAATTGAAGAATTCATATGTTCTCACAAGGGTAATAGCGACGTTAGAAAAATAAATAAGAATTAAAGAAATGTGCATGTTACATGAGGGGACGCAAATCGTCTGTACTGTAAGTATCCCGGAGAGTCCCCTACATTTTCTTAGACTTTTAGTCTAAGAAAATGTATGGGGACTGTAAGGTGTCATAATCCTGTTGCTACTGACATCGATGTGACAGATAATTGCTTTTGCATTGTTTTCTTTGCCGGCTTATACTTGTCATCAAGTTTCAATAAGACGGCTATCATTTTTCACAAGAATAATGAAGTTTTCGTAAATTGTGAGATCGGATGGGATTAAAATGGGATTAAATCACCTACAGAGCTTGATATGTCCTTACAGTGCAGACGATTTGCGTCCCCTCATGCTAGCCTCAGGACGAGGAAATATCGAAGTCTCCGACAAGGTATCAAACCCCAAACTTGCGAATTATCCGCTCTGATGCTGTACAATGAACTCGATGGAGAGTCTGGCCATTATTAGGTTAGCTCAGCTAGTTAGCGGTTCTTTTCACTACTACTTAAGTAGTTTTAATTGCTGCGAAGATCGCTTTCATATTCACGTCTTTAACAGCAGTTCAAATATATGACTTCCATATGTTCACAACCGTTTATTCACCACTTCATGGGTTTATTTGGAACCAACACAGTGACCAGCTCCCAGTTGGCTTGTTAGCTCAGTTGGTAGAGCGCTGCACCGGTATCGCAAAGGTCATGGGTTCAAATCCCGTACCGGCCTGAATATTTTTCAGGCCTTCTTTTCACTACTACTTAAGTAGTGTTCAATACTGCGAAGATCGCTTTCATATTCACGGAACCGATAATGTCGAAGACTCGGTAGTGAAATAAAAGATTTTATCACGAGATGTGGAACGAGAGTGGGACAAATAAATTTGACACTTTTATGAGAAAGGAGTTTATCCCAAGCTCTCAAATTCTATTTACATTAAAAGTGCTATTTAGTTCATCTTTTTTTGAAATTTGAATAATGATGTCGCAAAACGTGAAGCGTGACGTGAATTTATCAGTGAGAAAGATGATCTTTATAACAACTTTATTGGGTACGTCTACGAATAGACGGACGCCAATTGGGTTAGTGCAGCGGGACATCGAGTCCCATACGGGGCACTACCCCTCTTAAATCCACCCAACCCAACCCAGGGGAGGACATCCATCACACAGTAATCTCGTGCGTGGGAAATTAACGTCTCCTACCCCAAACCCTGCAGGAGACGGGACCTCCGGCTTAACGTCTTATCCGAGAAGACGAAGCAAGGTGAGTGAAGCGGCTTGCTTAAGGCCACAACGTAGTGCCCCGGCCAGGACTCGAACCCGGGCCGTCCGACCCAGAGTCCAGCGCTCAGACCACTGGACCACTCACGCCTCACTCTTGATCATGTTTTATTGTTCTTCGACTAAAGGTTTAGATCCATGGCACCAAATGGTTACAGGAAGATCTCCTCCACCAGTGACTCTGCCGAGAAAGTTGGTTTTGTTTCTTTCCTTTTGTTCCAATGGATGAACGATGTTATGAAGACAGGCAGTAAACGAACCTTAGAGGAAGGTGATTTTGTACCACTCTCAAACGAGAACACCTCACAGTCAGCCACAGAACTTCTTGACAGAAAATGGAAAGAAGAAATAGCTAATTCTATCAGGAAGAAGAAAACACCGAAGTTGTGGAAAAGTGTTTTGAAAATGATTTCTTACAGGGAAGCTGTTTTTGCTGTGTGCTGTGATGTCTTGTTCGCAATCGGCTCCCTCCTTTCGCCATTGCTCATTGGATATCTGATTTTTATGTTAATGTCACCTGAAACACATCAGAACAACATCCTTCATGGTTGCATGTTAGCAACTGCAATGGCTGTAAACACTTTGGTTGGGAGCCTCGGCATGCAACATTCCGCTTACGCGGCTGAAATAATGGGCATCAGACTGAGTAACGCAGTAAAAGGTCTCGTTTACAGGAAGGTGGGCACAAGTAGAGTAACTGACTCGTTCCAAGCCTTCTCCATAATGTGCACGGCGTTCACGTGTGGAAGAAAGGGGTGATGGGAAAGAGGAAAAGGCTCTCTCACTTTTCCCACTCTGTCGCACTTGCCCGTGTTAGCTGCCGACACCGTCCCTTTGAAGAAAATTGGAAACGAGTCAGGGTAGGGTTGGGTTGGTTTGGGTAAGGGGAATGGACGCAATCTTCCTCAATTCTCTCAGCACTTGCTCCTTCACCTCTTTATACACTTTTGTTGTTAACCTTGGATTATGGAGTAGTCAGAGAAAGTTTTTAATCCAGTGGGTGCATTCTCTCTTTTCTTGGCAACATTGTGTATCCGCAGGCAGTATTTACACGGCGAAAAGGCGTAACCAGCATCGGAAATGATTACGCCGAAGCTGAAGCTTGTATGAATTCATACGCTTTCGCAAACTTAAGTAATGAGATTTTTCTTGGCACGTTACGACTCTTGTAGTTACGCCTCTGTGTTGGGAGCGTGAGAGTTGGTTCAATCTGCTTGAATCAAGCTTGAATCCTCGATCTCGCGGGTGGCAGTCGGCGTTCTAGGAATTTGGCTGGTGGATAGCATTGAAGGCGCGCTCAGATTGGCTACTCAAACTTCAAATATCCCTTGCTATTCACCTCTGAGAAAATTGCCCGGAATTTTCGCCCAAAAAGCGTTGCAGGAATAAATGAGTTAAAATCATCTTTTTGTGTTTCTTTTCTCTCAATGTTTTACTACATACTAAGGCAATTACACACCTCAGAGTCGGTGGCTACCTGTGGGTATTTACCTCGCCACTTAGCAGCTTGGTAAATATCCACCACTAATCACCTTTAGTTTGGCGAATGGTAGTTAATGATTCTGATTGCTTTCTGCACTTAACATGGGTTTTACTTTTCAAAAAGTCAATTCTAGTATTGATATTGTTTCATTCTCAGATTTTACTGCTTAGCAAGAGCTCATTGTCAAAGTTTTCAGCAGGGCGTGTGATCGACCTTCTGTCAAATGATGTTCAGCGAATGGAGACAGCACCTAAATGGATTTTAGCAATGAATTCAGCCATACTCCAAATCGTGCCCGCAACGTTTATAATCGTTTATCTGATTGGCTGGCAGGCTCTTATGGGAGAGATATTTCTCTGTCTTCTTCTACCGTATTATGCAGAGATGTCTTCTGTCAATGCCGCACTGCGTCTGCGTTCAGCGGCGGAATGTGATATGCGAATTTCTTTGACGAACCAAGTGGTTTCTGGGATACGTGCTATCAAAGCGCATGCGTGGGAGGATGAATTCAGAGAAAAAATAAAACATACACGGAAGTAAGGGAAATTTAAAAACCTATCTAATTTTTTCAGATAACCGCAGACGATCTTTGCACCGACACCTTTGGGTAAACGAAGTGGTAGTATTGGTTTACTAGCGTAATAACTCATGCAAGATTTTGGAAAAACACTCTAAGAGTTTTTAATTCACAAACGTAACATTTATGGGTGGAGATGGTGGCTGTGAGGAAGGTTGGAAGTCATATTTAGGAATAGTTTGTGATCATGGCGATGTAATGTTTATTGCGCTTTGCTTATTACAAAATGTGTTCAGTTTTCAGAGAGTTTTTCGGTGTAATTAACGATAAGTATGTGAACAACCACTGGAAGAGTTATGGGTGCAGAGTGCAGAGCGCAGAGTGCAGAGTGAAGAGTGAAGACTGCAGAGTGCAGAGTTTCTAATCAGTACCTTCATTTTGTCCAAAAATGATAACAACAAATCTTTTTGTTTCTTTCAGACGAGAAATAAGCATCATCCGTAAGAAAAGTGCCATTCTCTCAGGTTTGGCTGCCTTGGAGTATACTTCAATACCAATCCTGCTGTCTGTTATAACTCTGATGTTTACTGGTCAACCCCTAACACCAGTCAATATTTTTATGCTCTTAATGTTTATTAACTTGCTAAGACTTAACATTTGCTTTGGCACTGCGTATGGTGTGGTGGAGACACGGGAATCATTTGCATCCCTCGGAAGAATAGAAGATTTTCTTATTTCAGAGGATTTGTTTTCCTTCTCTGAGGGTCATTGTCTACAAGACAGAGGAACAGTTCTAGAAAGAAAGTCGGGCAACTTACAAAACGATTCTACATCTATGAGCCAGTCGCATGTATCAGATGAAGATCCCCTTACTGATCAGTGGATAAACCCTTCCAAGCCAGGAGCTTTATGTGTGTCGCATTTAAGATATAAAGAAATGGCGAGGAAAGATGCATTTATTCTTCAAGATGTGGAATTCATTGCTGCGTCAGGAAGCTTGACAATTGTCACCGGACCAGTAGGCAGCGGTAAATCAACTCTCCTCTCAGCGATCGCTGGCGAGATGTCAGACGTAAGCGGAACAATAAGTCGTCAAGGAACTTTTGTGTATGCACCGCAAATAGCATGGGTGTTCTCTGGAACCTTAAGAGAAAATATTTTATTAGGAGAGTCGTACGATGAACCAAGATACACCAGAATAATCGAGGCATGCGCTCTCACAAAAGACTTTCAGCAGTTTCCGAACGGTGACCAAACCGTTGTTGGTGAGCGTGGTGCCGTTCTGAGTGGTGGTCAGCGTGCAAGAGTAAGCTTAGCACGCGCAGTGTACGTGGATGCAGACCTTTTCTTGTTGGATGACCCTCTCAGCGCGGTGGACTACAAAGTCGGTCGGCATATCTTTGAAAAGTGTATCAAGGGTTTGCTTGGTGACAAGACCCGCCTGTTAACTTCTCATCAAGAGCAACACATGAAAGATGCAGACCAAGTGATTGTACTGCACAAAGGTCGCGTTCTGGGGAAGGGAACCTTCGCTGAGCTTCAAGGAAAAGGCATCTTAAATACCACCATCGACCCACTTTACAAGAATGCTTCGACAGAGAACAAGTCTAATGACATGGTCACCGCAAGGGAGGATGAAGGGAGACGCGGAGGTTTGAAGCCACTCACAAATAAAGACAATGAACTGGAAATATCTGTTGAAGATCGGGCAATCGGAACGGTGTCAAGTAAGCTGTATTGGGACTACTTCAGAAGTGGTATTAACTCCTTGTTCATCATTGGAATGATTTTCTTGTGTCTTATTTCTCAAGGTGAGCTCTAAAGAATTATTAAAATGGGAAAAACTTAGCCATTGTTTGGTGCTGTCGAGCAACATTCTCTTTCGGGAGGAACGAGCAAGCAGGCAACCAAGTCAGAAACTCCAACCCAGTTTCTTTTTGTCTCAGAGGAGCAAGAGGAAACTGGGACTAACGGGAAAAGGCATGCAAAGGGTGATGGGAAATTAATGTTAAGACTAACAACCAATCTGACATTTACGAGAAAGGTTGCCGCCTTTTGATCCTGAGTTAAAAAAATGTTTATTTCATCTGATTTAGACTTTTACGTAGACTATGAAGCGTAATTTTATCATTCATCATATTTTTTCGCTTTTTTCAGCATCGATGGTTGCCCCTGACGTGTGGCTGTCCTTTTTGACCGGGAAACTTCCATCAAAGCAGAAAGACAAGACAAATTTAACTATCTACGGTGGTTTGGTCGCTGCTTCTTTCATATTAGGCATTATCAGGGCTTACACTTTCTTTTTGGTTTGTCTAAGAAGCTCTGAGCGTCTTCATGACAAAATGGTTGTGGCTCTTTTAAAAGCGCCGGTTCTTTTTTTCGATTCAAATCCAGTGGGTAGAATCCTGAATCGATTCTCTAAAGATGTGGGTTGCATGGATGAGTTATTACCATTACAGTTTCTATCTACAATTCAATTTGTATTGGTGTTGCTCTCATCTGTTCTCGTTCCTTCTGCTACAAATCCTTGGGTTTTGTTTGTTACCGTTCCAGTGACGGCCATGATTCTTTACTTCGCAAGATTTTACTTGAAGAGTTCTAGAGAACTAAAAAGGTTGGAGTCAATATGTCGAAGCCCAGTCTTCTCTCACATATCAGAGACTCTTGATGGACTGGACACAATTCGAACAAGAGGCAGACAGAGAGAGTTTATGGACAAGTTTTACAGGTAAGTTCATGCAACTTTCCAAGTGAGCTGGGAAAGTAAAATCTGAAACTCAATTCAGGCTTGGTCCGCAAAACGCTCATAGCGCAGGGTTTGTGTTTGGCATCTGGAATCATCATCCCTAAAAAACAATCTCCCCAGTTACCCTTTCCTCCTTCCTCCCACCATAGCCTCTCTCTCCCCCCCCTCTCTCCCCCCTCCACCTTCCTCTTCCAACGCTTTGAAAATTGTGGAGATGGAATGCTTGGTTGATTGGGGCACTGGATTTGGTACTTGGTCCCAGCCTCAAATTTGCCCCTCTACCTCATAACATGTTTTCGTTGGCGTTCTCGTGCTTACTATTCTACTACGTCGTGTCCAAAATTTTTTTAAATTTACATTTTGTTTACCAAATCTATGAATCTGTTTTGTTCATGATGGTGATGGCACCCTCTCCGCAGCACTTAAAGAACTCGCTGCGCAGGTTTGGCATTTGAAGTCGAGATGATTAACTTTAATTTTTTTTTCTTTCCCTACGGACAGTTACCAAGACACTCATACCCAATCCTTTATCATGATGATGGCAAGTGGCAGATGGTTCGGTGTACGTCTGGATGCAATAATTTCTCTTTTAATTGGCTTGGTGGTCTTAGTGGCAGTTTTAGTATATCAGGATGCCGGTATGTGTAGTTCCAACCAAATTAATTACACCGTTACACGCTCATGTACACTTTAAAAAGCCTGTGATGTTCCATGTGATAAGACTGTCCAAAGAATCTTTTCGTGTGTAGCGGGAGACCAAAACAAGTCGTTTTCCAACAATTCCATTCATCACTATCTTCATGAGGACGAATTGAGATTAGTTTGATTAAAAAAAAGTTTTTTCCAAAGTAATTTAGCATATCACAAGAGTAGCGTCGCGGTAACAGATAACCGCGACATGCTGTGTCGTATCGATTCGTTAAATTTTTGGTAATTTTTTTTGCGTGACCTGCTAGAAATGAACAGTTAATTAACAGATTTTTTTTTCTAATTAGCTTCCGCTGGGCTTTCTCTCGCTTACCTCATTCAAACGGTGGCCTTGACGCAATACGCTGTCAGAAAATCATCAGATGTCGAGAATTTTATGACGTCAGTTGAACGAGTTATGACCTACACCAAGCTAGACTCTGAGCCTGGATACGAAGTGGACACACTTCCCCCGGAACACTGGCCACGCGAAGGAAATATCACATTCCGCGACGTGTCGGTGACGTATTACCCAGGGGGACCTAAAGCCCTGAGGAACATCAGTCTTGTCATCAAAGGAGGCTCAAAAATTGGTGTTGCAGGCCGCACGGGCGCCGGCAAATCATCTTTTGTCGCAGCTCTTTTGCGCATGCCCGACCCTGACGGAGAGATTTTGGTGGACGGAATTCAGATAAAGAATATTAATCTCCGAGCAGCTCGCGGGTGTATATCCGCTCTTAGCCAAACTCCGGTGCTCTTCAGTGGATCATTGAGGAAGAACCTGGATATTATGAAGTGCTTCCAAGATGCAGATCTGTGGCGGGTCTTAGAGGATGTGCAACTGAAAGATTTCGTACAAAGTCTTGAGGGACAATTGGATTACGAATTGTTGGAAAATGGAGCAAATGTCAGTGTAGGAGAGCGGCAGTTGATTTGTTTGGCTCGTGTTCTGTTGCAGAAGAGCAAGATCGTCATCTTGGATGAACCCACTGCACACGGGGATCCAGCCACAGAAGAAACAATCTGGAGAGTGGTGCGAGAGAAACTGAAAGACTCCACAGTAATAACTATAGCTCACCGTCTGAACACCATCCGACACTGTGACAAAGTATTTGTTTTCAAGGAGGGAGCGGTGGTCGAGTCTAGAAAGTTTGACACATGAAGACTGAAGCGTTTTACACCAGCCTTTATAACTGATATTACTTTGTAATGTCTGGTTGTTTTTGCTTTTCTTAGAGTGCAATAGGATTGAGCGTCGTCAAATGAAAACTAAAGTTATCGAAATGGCCAGTTTACTGCGTGGCCGATATTCCAACAATTGAAATGGAAGTGAGAGCACAAGTTTCTTAATCGTGGGATTTAAGGGTTTTTTCTTTAACATTTGAAATAAAATGGAAAACCCTTTCTGCTACTTTGTCATTAGCAAAGATACCGTGCGATTGTTTTCTGCTTTATTCCGAAGGATTTGAATGTAATTCAACCAACTTTTCTTCACCTAGGAGTGATTTATTCAAAACGAAGTGAGGGCCAAGAAGCATGAAAATAGCTTTCTTTAAGAGGAAGCGGATCAGTTTTGGTATCTGACCCAACATTAAGCCTAGAAAGTTTTTATCAGTCGACTGTTGTTGGGTTAGGAGAGGGGTAGGAGCGCAGTTCCTCAGATACTGACATTGATCCGAGTAAGCCATTAAATTTTCCAAAGAATAAAACTTATTTACCCAAAACCACCGGGAAGTACAGCGCGCATTATTGCTATAAAATTCTATTTATGGTACTGTAATTTATCCATCAACAGCAATAGAACCATCAAACCAAGCAGCAATAAAAAGTTTTGCAAACTTTTCTTTTTCGGTAATCAAAACTTAGGTTTGATGTTTTATTTTCTGTTTGTGTGTTTTTTATATCAATGCAATAAATGCCATATATAACAATGCATGATCGTGTATGCATATTTCACCTACACTTTGAGAGTTTTATCGTTTAAGTTCGAGAAAAGCTTGAAAATCTGGGCTACCGCATTTTCACTTGATCCGAGCCTGTGTCTTACCGGCTTTCCATCAAAACAACAATTTTCTGTATAATTTTCTTAACTTTTAAACCCACCAAGAAGTTCAAAGCCTAGATAAACAGTTTATTACCTTTTTTTCGCTGTGATTTAATCCTCGGCAGCCGGGCACTGTCTCAAATAGACTAAATCCCTGGCGTTCAGAAATTTTCACAGAATTTCCGCCGAAAGGTTCCTCCAAACTCCTTAAGAATATCAAATTTTTGTTAAGAAATGTCAAGCGATTCCGTAAAAATTATTTGGTCTGTCAATTGACAAATTCTCCGAGGTTGTGCATACTATATTGTTATTTACCAAGACTTTCACTCAACAAAACGAGCATTGTGATTGTTTGATTCTTGGTCACGTGCCGCTGATTAAATTCAAACGTATCCCGACCGGGATGCAATTGCGCAGTTGTTGCCTGCGCATCGAATACAACAGCACATGATTGTTTAAGGGAGAGTCTAAATATATAAAAAAGCACTTAATGTATGGTCCCTCAGGAAACTAGTTAGTCCTGTTTGTCCTTATGTTTCCCGAGACGAAGTCGAGAGAAAACAACAGGACTCTCGGGAAGACAAAACTAACTGTTTCCCTCGGGACCATACCTTAAGAGTATAATGTTAATGTGTTTTGGTATGTTTCTGTAAAACCAACATTTCTAAACAAACACCGAATGTACTCAATAAGTTGGTAGGAAGTTTCAGTGGCATTTTGGTGAAATTGCTGATTGCCGGGCATTTAGTCTATTTGAGACCGTACCGCTGTCCTAGCGGATTTGGACCCCCCAACAAGACTGAGTGAAAACATCATCCTTAACGTTCTCGTAGAAATAGATAATACTTTACGTTGCAGTACATACTAAAGTTTGTTTTTAATTCAAAACATGCATGTTGATTTCATCTTGTTCTCAGCATCCCGTCACAATCTACGATTTTCGTTAACGCGATCGAAAGGGCTAAACTCAGGAATAAAAACGAACTGTGAAACTTGAAAACGTTTGATTTTATTCACTTGAAAAAGGTGAAACGCGTGAAAGCTTTAATTGTTTTCACTTCAATGGAATCCCGATTGCTCGGGTCCTCCATTTGTCTCAACTCTCGATAACTCCAACAAAAGTGGTTCCCTTCCCCCCAGTCAACCCAATTACTCCAACTCCAACTGATTTTCATTTCCCATGGAGACTCGAAAAATCGGGAATCCCCTGCCCGTGTTCCACAAAGAGATTCTGTTGCTCCACCCACTACTGTTACATTGAGACTTTTTCTATCGTTCGTAAGCCGAGAACGCACACTAAAATTTACATCCAATTGTGTTTGTGTTACATGTTGTATTCAAAAATTAGTTAAACTAACAGTCCTTTTAGGTTTTTATTCTAGTTAGTGTTCGGTCGAGTCGATTTACAACAACCAAAAATAGGCTTTACGAACGACTTGTTGCAAGAGTAGTTACTTCGTTCTTGTTCAGAAACTGTTTAATATCATTTAATTAGAAAATCAGACTGAGTTATTTTTTAGACTGGATGCAATAGTCTCCACTATTGTGTTGACGTTTCGTATCAATGTTGATTCGCATCACAAGAAGCAAGGATTTATTGCAACAATTTCAATAAAATGCAGTGGTTTCTTCGCATTTAATTCTTGCGTATACTGTACGAATCGCTAAATGCGGCAGAATTGGAACGGAATGGCTGTTTATCTTTATCTTTACTGAGGAATGTTGTGTTGTGAATGAAAAGAACGTCGACAAAAAGCTTCCAAATAGAATTAGGTACCAAATATGATACAAACGATGCTAAAAGGAAAGTTTGGTAGGAGGGTCCAAATCTGCGAAGGGGGGTCCATATCTGCTGGTGGATTTGGACCCCCGGTCCAATTCCGCTGTGAAACTGGTAAGACACTGGCTCAGATCAAATGAGGAAATAATGCGACACCACACATTAAATGAAAGGATACTAATCATAACTAACAGTGATCAGTTATAAAACGCTTCAGTCTTCATGTGTCACATGTTCCACACTCCACCACCCCTCCCTCCTTGAAAACAAAAACTTTGTCACAGTGTCGGATGGTGTTCAGACGGTGAGCTATAATTATTACTGTGGAGTCTTTCAGTTTCTCTCGCACCACTCTCCAGATTATTTCTTCAGTGCCTGGATCCACGTGTGCAGTGGGTTCATCCAAGATGACGATCTTGTTCTGCTGCAACAGCACACGAGCCAAACAAATCAACTGCCGCTCTCCTACACTGACATTTGCTCCATTTTCCAACAATTCGTAATCCAATTGTCCCTCAAGACTTTGTACGAAATCTTTCAGTTGCACATCCTCTAAGACTCGCCACAGATCCGCATCTTGGAAGCGGTTGACAAGATCCAGATTTGTCCTCAATGATCCACTGAAAAGCACCGGGGTTTGGCCAAGAGCGGATATGCATCCTCGAGCTGCTCGGAGATTAATATTCTTTATCTGAACCCCATCCATGAGAATATCTCCGTCAGGGTCGGGCATGCGCAAAAGAGCTGCTGCAAAAGATGATTTGCCGGCGCCCGTGCGGCCTGCAACACCTATGTTTGAGCCTCCTTTGATGTCAAGATTTATGTTCCTCAGCGCTTTAGGTCCCCCCGGGTAATACGTCATCGACACATCGCGGAATGTGATATTTCCTTCGCGTGGCCAGTGTTCCGGGGGAAGTGTGTCCACTTTGTATCCAGGCTCAGAGTCAAGCTTGGTGTAGGTCATAACTCGTTCAACTGACGTCATAAAATTCTCGACATCTGATGATTTTCTGACAGTGTATTGCGTCAGCTCCACTGTTTGAATGAGGTAAGTGAGAGAAAGCCCAGCGGAAGCTAATTAGAAAAACAATCCGTAAATTAACTGTTGATTTCCTTCAAGTCACGCAAAAAAAAATTACCAAAACTCTTACAGCAAAACGATGCACGACTCGATACGACACAGCACGCCGCGGGTACCTGTTACCACGACACTACTCGTGTAACATGCTGGATTACTTTGGAAAACATTTTTTATAATCAAACTAGTTTCAATCGTCCTCATGAAGATAGTGATGAAATGGGCTACAACGACTTGTTTTTGTCTCCCAGCTACGCGCGGAAAGATTCTTTCCACAGTCTCATTTATCACATGGAATATCATACTTTTGGGTGTACGTGAGCGCGAAATGGTGCAATTATTTTGGATAAAACTCTACATACCGGCGTCTTGAGATACTAAAACTGCCACTAAGACGACTAAGCCTATTAAAAGAGAAATGATTGCATCCAGACGAATACCGAACCATCTGCCACTCGCCGTCACCATGACAAAAGACTGGGTATGAGTGTCTTGGTAGCTGTCCATGGCGAAAGAGAATAAATCAGCGTAAGCCATCTCGAGTCCAAATATTTTTTCACTCAAATTCTATAAGCGTTGGGGGTGGGGGTAAGGAGATTGCCGCATTACTATCATGAACGACTGGGTATGAGTGTCTTTGTAGCTGTCCAATGGGAAAGAAAATACATCAACGTAAATCATCTCCGGTTCAAATGTCAGTCTGCGCACCAAGTTTCTAAGGCGTTGCGTAGAGGGTGCCATCACCATGATGAAGGAAACAAATTTTTAGATTTGGTATACAAAATGTAAATTAGAAAAGAAAAAACATTTGGACCGTCAATGAAAAAAAGTTATCAGGTAGAGGGGCTAATTTGAAGCTGGGACCGAATACCAAATTTTAGATCCACTGCCCCAATCTCTACAATTTTCAAAGCGTTGGAAGGGGAAGGTTCGGGCGGGGAGGTGGAAGGGTATGGTGGAAGGTGGAAGGATGGGGAAGGGGCAACAGGAGAGATTTCTTTTTACAGATGATGATCCAGGATGCCAAACACAAACCCTGCGCTATGAGCGTTTAGCGGACCGAGCCTGAATTGAGTTTGAGATTTTACCTTTCAAGCTCACTTGAAGAGTTGCTCGAACTTACTTGTAAAACTTGTGCATAAAATCTCTCTGTCTACCTCTTGTTCGAATTGTGTCCAGTCCATCGAGAGTTTCTGATATGTGAGAGAAGATTGGGCTTCGACATATTGACTCCAACCTTTTTAGTTCTCTGGAACTCTTCAAGTAAAATCTTGCGAAGTAAAGAATCATGGCCGTCACTGGAACAGTGACAAACAAAACCCAAGGATTTGTAGCAGAAGGAACGATCACTGATGAGAGCAACAGCAATACCAGTTGAATTGTAGATAGAAACTGTAATGGTAATAACTCATCCATGCTACCCACGTCTTTAGAGAATCGATTCAGAATTCTACCCACGGGATTTGAATCGAAAAAAAGAACCGGTGCTTTTAAAAGAACCAGAACCATTTTGTCATGAAGCCGCTCAGAGCTTCTTAGACATGCCAAAAAGAAAATGTAGGCCCTGATGATGCTTAATATGAAGGAAGCAGCGACCAAACCACCGTAGATAGTTAGATTTGTCGTGTCTTTCTGTTCTGATGGAAGTTTTCCGGTCAAAAAGGACAGCCACACGTCAGGGGCAACTATCGATGCTGAAAAAGGGCGAAAAAAATGGTGAATAATACAAATAGGCGAAAGTGAGATAATTTTCTTCATAATCTGCGTAACAGTCTAAATCAGATGAAATAAACAATTTTAAACTCAGGATTAAAACGCGTCAACCTCTCTTATAAATGGTGGATTGGTTGTTAGTCTTAACATGAATTTCCTGTCACCCTTTGCACGCCTTTTTCCGTCAGTCCCAGTTTCCTCTTGCTCCTCCAAGACAAAGAGAAACTGGGTTGGAGTTTCTGACTTGGTTGCTTGCTTGCTGGTTCGCCCCGAGAGAAAATGTTTCTCGACAGCACCAAACAATGGCTAAGTTTTTGCCACTTTTATAATTCTTTAGTGCTCACCTTGAGAAATAAGACACAAGAAAATCATTCCAATGATGAATAAGGAGTGAATACCACTTCTGAAGTAGTCCCAATACAGCTTACTTGACACCGTTCCGATTGCCCGATCTTCAACAGATATTTCCAGTTCATTGTCTTTATTTCTAAGTGGCTCCAAATCTCCGCGTCTCTCTTCATTCTCCGTTGTGGTGACCATGTTATTGGACTTGTTCACTGTCAAAGCATTCTTGTAAAGTGGGTCGATGGTCGTATTTAAGATGCTTTTTCTCTGAAGCTTAGCGAAGGTTCCCTTCCCCAGAACGCGACCTTTGTGCAGTACAATCACTTGGTCTGCATCTTTCATATGTTGTTCTTGATGAGAAGTTAACAGGCGGGTCTTCTCACCAAGCAAACCCTTGATACACTTTTCAAAGATATGCCGACCAACTTTAAAGTCCACCGCACTGAGAGGGTCATCCAACAAGTAAAGGTCTGCATTCATGTACACTGCGCGTGCTAAGTTTACTCTTGCACGCTGACCACCACTCAGAACGGCACCGCGCTCACCAACAACGGTTTGGTCACCGTTCGGGAACCGCTGAAAGTCTTCCGTGAGGGCGCATGCCTCGATTATTCTAGTGTATCTTGGTTCCTCGTACGACTCTCTAAATAAAATATTTTCTCTTAAGGTTCCAGAGAACACCCAGGCTATTTGCGGTACATACACAAAAGTTCCTTTACGGCCTATTGTTCCGCTTACCTCTGGCATCTCGCCAGCGATCGCTGAGAGGAGAGTGGATTTACCGCTGCCTACTGGTCCGGTGACGACTGTCAAGCTTCCTGATGCAGCAACGAAGTCCACATCTTGAAGAATAAATTCATCTTTCCTTGCTATTTCTTTATATGTTAAATGCGACACACATAAAGTTCCTGGCTTGGAAGGGTTTATCCACTGATCAGTAAGGGGATCTTCATCTGATACATACGACCGGCTTATAGATGTAGAATCGTTTTGTAACTTGCCCCACTTTCTCTCTAGAACTGTTCCTCTGTCTTGTAGACAATAATCCTCAGAGATGGAAAACAAATCCTCTGAAATAAGAAAATCTTCTATTCTTACGAGTGATGCAAATGATTCCCGTGTCTCCACCACACCATACGCAATGTCAAGGCAAATAGTAAGTTTTAGCAGGTTAATAAACATTAAGAGCATAAAAACATTGACTGGTGTTAGGGGTTGACCAGTAAGCAGCAGAGTAATAACAGACAGCAGGATTGGTATTGAAGTATACTCCAAGGCAGCCAAACTTGAAAGAATGGCACTTTTCGTACGGATGATGCTTAATTCTCGTCTGAAAGAAACAAAAAGATTATCAATTATTCTTATTATTTATCATATGAACCAGGAGAGATCTTTTAAGTACCTTGGCGTGGTAGTAGATGAATCGTTATCTTGGAACAGTCACATGTCTTACGTCGCGTCCAGAGTCTACCCTAAACTTAAATTGTTAAACAGATTTTCGTCTTTTTTAGATTGCGGTTTTAACATACGGGATCCTGCACTAGGAGGATTTCCCTTTGTTTTAGAACGGCTACAGAATAAAGCTTTGAGAATAATCTTAAGACAAACCATCTGACTTGCACTCAAAGGATGAGAGACAAATTAGGACTTCTTACGTTATCCAGCAGGCGACGATATATGCGTCTTCAGCTAGTGTTTAAAATTGTTAATAACTACCGTTGTCCCACGCAACTTCAGAGTTATGTGAATTTCAGATAAGAACTTTGCGGCAGGTCCTTAAGAGATACCCGAGAAACTCACTTGCCTAAAGTAAAATCTGCAATGGGCCAGTCTACATTCAAATTTGCAGCTGGAAAAGAACGGAACAATTTACCTAAAGAATTGCAAGCTAAAGACTTAAATTTAAGAACTCGTAAGTCAAAGACATTTCATTATTTGTTAGAGCAAGACAGAATACAGCACAAATGTAACATAGAGTTTTCTCTAATTATATATATGGGTGCGAAGATGTTCTGCGGTTACCTGAAAAATTAAGTAGGCTTTTAAATTTCTCTTACTTTCGTGTATGTTTTATTTTTTCTCTGAATTCATCCTCCCACGCATGCGCTTTGATAGCACGTATCCCAGAAACCACTTGGTTCGTCAAGGAAATTCGCCGATCAGATTCCGCCGCTGAACGCAGACGCAGTACGGCATTGACAGAAGACATCTCGGCGTAATACGGTAAAAGAAGCCAGAGAAATATCTCTCCCATAAGAGCCTGCCAGCCAATCAAATAAGCGATTATAAGCGTTGCAGGCACGATTTGGAGTATGGCTGAGTTCATTGTTAGAATACATTTAGGTGCTGTCTCCATCCGCTGAACATCATTTGATAGCAAGTCGATCACAGGCCCTGATGAAAACTTTGACAATGAGCTCTTGCTAAGCAGTAAGATCTGAGAATGAAACAATATCAATACTAGAATTGACTTCTTGAAAAGGAAAACCCATGTTTAGTGCAGAAAAGTAACCAGAATCATTAACTATTATTTGCCAAAGTAAAGGTGGCTAGTGGTGGGTATTTACCCAGCTGCAAAGTGGCGAGGTGAATACCCACCGATGACCACCGAGTAAGTGCTTTAGGATGTACTAAAACATTCAGAGAAAAAGACACAAAAAGATGATTTCAACTCATTTTTTCTCGCAACGATTACATTATTTTCGGGCGAAAAAGCCAATCAGCGCACGCCTTTAACGCTATACACTGTTTTAGTATATATTAAAGATGATTAGTGTATACCACTCAGGTGGATAGTGTAATTCGAGTGCGCTGATTGGTTAGTTCGGAAGTGATTACCAAGTTCTACTCATCTCCAAGGAAAAAACGCACTTCCAAAGTTCAATTCTAAATCATTTTTTTTTCATCACATACATTAAGGAGCCAATGGGGACCGCCAACTGGGTCTGGCCAAATTGCTAGAACGCCGGCTGCCACCCGCGAGATCGAGGATTCAAGTCTCAGATTGAACTACCTCTCACGTTCCCAAGACAGAGGCGTAACTAGAGGAGTCTTAAGCTGCCAAGACAAATCTTGTTGTTCAGGTTTGCGAAAGTATATGAATTCATAGAAGCTTCAGCTTGGGCATAATCATTTCAGATGCTGGTTAATATGTAATACCAGGCTGCAAATACACAGTGTTGCCGAGAAAAGACGGAATGCACTCCTAGATTACCTACTTAGACACTTCATTAAAAACGTTCTCTGACTACTCCATAATTTAGGGTTAATAACAAAAGTGTATCGAAAAGCGAAGGAAAAAGTGTCGAGAGAATTAACGAAGATTGCGCCCATTCCCCATACCTAACCCAACCCTACCCTGACTCGTTTCCAATATTCTTCAAAGCGACAGTGTCGGTAACTTACAGGGGCAAGTGCAGCGGGATGGGAAAAAGTAAACGGCGCGCAGATTATGGGGAACGCTGGGGACGAGTCAGTTACCCTTCTTGTGCTCACCTTTCTGTAAACGAGACCTTTCACTGCGTTACTCAGTCTGATGCCCATTAATTCACCCGCGTAAGAGTTATGTTGCACGCCGAGGGTCCCGACCAAAGTGGTTACAGTCATGGCAGTTGCTAACACGCAACCATGAAGGATGTTGTTCTGATGTGTTTCAGTTGACATTAACATAAAAATCAGATATCCAATGAGCAATGGTGAAAGGAGGGAGCCGATTGCGTACAAGACATCACAGCAAACAACAAAAACAGCTTCCCTGAGGGAAATCATCTTCAAAACACTTTTCCACAACTTCGGTCTTTTCTTCTTCCTAATGGAATTAGCTATTTCCTCTTTCCATTTTTTGTCAAGAAGTTCTGTGGCTGACTGTGAGGTGTTGTCGTTTGAGAGTGGTACAAAGTCTTCTTCCTCTAAGGTTCGTTTACTGCCTGTCTTCATGACATCGTTCATCCATTGCAAACAAAGGAAAGAGACAAAACCAACTTTCTCGGCAGATTCACCAGTGGAGGAGATCTTCCTGTAACCGTTCGGTGCCATGGCTCTAAACCTTTAGCCGAAGAACGATAAAACCTGATCAATAGTATCGTTTTTTATTGATAAATCCAAGTCATGCTTCCCATTTTGCTACTTTAAATTTGAAAAAATGATGAACGAATTAGCACTTTTAATTCAAATAGAATGTGAGAGATTGGGATAAACTCCTTCCTCATAAAAGAATCAGATTTTTTTGTCCCACTCTCGTTCCACATCTCGTGACAACATCTTCTTTTTATTTCACTACCGAACCTTCGACATTGTCAGTCCTAGCGATATGCGGGATCGTTGTCACAATGAAACTTAGTAACGGCCTAACTCTCCATCGAGTTCATTGTACAACATCAGAGCGGATAATTCGAAGGTTTGGAGTTTAATACCTTGCCCGAGACTTACATATTTTCTAGTCCTGTGGCCAGATATCACGTTTCTTTAATTCTGATTTATTTTTAATTTACCCTTTGTCGTGTCATGCAAGAGGGGGGGGGGGGGGGATAAGGGGTCCACAGTTCGCCACTACCTGTACCACGTTTTCTCGGCTCCAGTACTATTGTGGCACTCTGCCTCCCGACTCCTGCCCTTCATGGCATTACTCCCGTCTTCAGGTTAATAAAATGAATCAGAAATCTGGGTTTTTAGAAAGCTGTGCCAAAACGTATAATTCTGGACCATTCTCTAGCGTTTCATTTTTTTCGAGGGAGGGGAGGTAATTTCTCAAGATGAACATTATACAGACCTGGTTATCACAGTTTGACCATCGATTCTAACATCTCACCATAGAGAAGAAATTTTCAGTCCACTGTGCAATCTAATAGCTATTGGAATTCAAATGTGTATTTCGTAGCATTCAGGAATCCCTGATATACCGGGATCATGCTTTTTAGAGATGAAAACGGATGCAACGGTTGTGTCCGTAGATACTAAAACAAGGAATGACCAAACTCCACCTAAAAACCACCTACAACCACCTACAACCACCTACAACCACCTAAAAACCACCCGAAACCACTTACAACCAACTTCAGAGTATTATTTTTATCATTGTGACAATTTTGTTGGCAAATGTAATTGGACACGGGGAATGTTGTCAATAGCGAAAACTAATACCCCTGAAAATTAAGAAACTGTCTGCGACATTCACCCATCCAATGGCTCGCATAACCAGGGAAGAACACAAAAAAATTGTTAGCATAAGAGCAGCGCCAAGAGCCTTAACTTTTCGAGTAATACATAGACTACGTTTTCGAGGTCTGAATTGATGTGTTTCAGGGAAATCCGAGCAACCCTAACTATCTGAAATTGCTTCAAATCGGGTTGCGGAGCGAGCGTACAACAAAGAAAACAAGTTTTATAATGAGTTGGTATTATTCAGAGAAAAAAATTAACTTGACTGAGAATAGGAAACCACGAAAAGAACAATGACATTTGAAACGATGTGTGATAAACAGAACTTGCAAGTCTCGCAATATGCATGTAGCTTATAAATTCCCTTAAAATTACCGCACTTACAAGCACTTACAATCAGCATCCTTACGAGTCCCAAACGCGAAATAGATCGAGTCAATCAGCTCTCGGAACCTACAGCTTGCTGGCATTAATTTGTATCGATTAGCCTGGGTACCAGTAGCCTACGTGTAGCCGTACCCTCCCCCACCAAGTTAAGACGGAGGCGAGGCAACGTCTACGCAAACCTGACATTAATCGTGTTCCGTGACGCCATTCTTCTGCAAGAAAATATATAATGACTTTTTATTGGTTAACCCCTTTTGCCGATTCTTTCGTCAATTCTGATTGCTTCGGGTGGGTAATTTATTTTCACATTAACGAACAAGATGATGAACTAAATATTTTCACGGTCCACTTTTCCTTTAAAGAGCCAACCTGATTGTTGGAACCGCTCAAAATTTCTAAGCAAAAATCTCATATTCTTAAAAAGTTTGAAACAACCTTCAGGTGGAAATTCTGTGAAAATTTCTGACTGCCGTGCAATTAGTGTATTTGATACCATGCCTGGCTGCCGGGCATTTAGTCATAGCGCAGAAAAAGGTAACAAACTGATTATCCAGGCTTTGACTTTTTTGACGGGCTTCAAAGTCAAGAGAAATTATCTAGAAAATTGTTGCTTTGATTGAAAGCAATTGCCGTGACCGAGCTTTCAATGCATTAGCAAGTTTAAATGAATTATGTCGTGGGTCGCCTTTGCATAATTATAAAAAAACCCGCTCAAACTTTTTAATTTTACTTTCAAATAAGGGCTGTTAACTTTTTTTTCAAAACTTTGTTTGTCATTAAAAAAAAAAACTCTTGCTTCATTATTCCAAATTGCGCTCGAAATCTTCTGATTGCCTGTACTAAAGAAATTCTGTAAAACGATTTAAGTGCAGTCGTAAAAGTGTGCAAGTATGCTAATCGGGCTTTAATACAATGGATCTCTGCACGCGCGTAGTTCCGTTAGTGATCAGGACTGCTTGCCGGCGTGTTACTGGTTTACGGAATTTTTACCTTTGGTGCAGTTTCACCCATTACAAAGTTCCCTCCAGGGCAAAAGAACAAGGTTAGCCGGTTAGTGTTAATCTCGTGATCTCTTGACCATTTTCAATTTTATTCCCCCGGAACAAATCAAATTTGCACTCGTACATATTCACATGTTGGCAACTATTTTGAAGTAGGTGAAATTAGATGACTAAGCGGTTTTCGATCTTTAGATGTTCTTCCTAAATCTCCTTTAATACCAGTTTGAGGCCAAAAAAAAAAGGAGAAATAGCGGTGATTAATTTCATTGGCCGTTCTGATTTTCTTAGGTAAAAAATTCTGGATTAAATTTGAATATTTTAGGCATCGATCCGCATTTTTAGCGGGCTTTTTGGAAAAAACTCGCTCTGAAAGTTGAGCTGAAATTACCGATGATTCCCGTTCCACGCTGTAGCAAGTGCATTTAAACCGTAAAAATAAATATCTGCGAGGCGACAAAAAGAAAAAAAAAAGACGAGAGGATGCCAAGTCTCAGGGAAATATACGTGTCGTGACACAACTGTTGAGTTGTGTTTTCATTTCTAAAAGGCATGATCCCAGTATGCAGACAACAGACTGCAGACCGGATAAAAAATGTAGACTAAGTACAAAATGTAGACTGCAGACTGCAGAGTGGGTACAAAATGCAGACTGAGAATTTGACGAGTTTTTTCGTCTTGTATGTGATAACATGTCATCTTAAAACTTACCGAACGTCACGCAATCGCTTTTCCGCGATCAGCTTTCACGATTATTAGCACTATTTTGGAATATTCCTGGCCCACATCTTGATGAAAATCGATCGTAATATAATTTCAAGCCTTCATGTAGTCTTCTCATTTTGCGCGCGAGTTGGTTGGTGTGATGTCCAGACAGATTTTACCAACGTAATAAAATTAGATGTGTATGTAAATGAGATGTCACTATGAATATTTAACCCGCTTTAATCAGACATTTATTTAGAGATGACACCAAGCAAACCAATCCTGAAAAATATATTCGGCACACTCAACAAATCATGAATCTTGCAACACAGCTTGCCGTTAAAGAACTACTCAAATCAAAATGTTTGGTGCAACTCATCAACACCTCAAGCAATATTTGATTAAAAAATATTCCACTCACTCTCGTCGTGGAGGAAAAATAACCATGATCGCGCATGGTTGTCACAACATGAATAACACGTTTACCATAGGTAATCTGATATCTTTCATCTGTCCAGTAGTATCGCATTTCTCGTAAAGCGCGGTGAAAATACACGTTAGAACCACAGAAAAGCCAACATTTCTTATTCTAAAAGATGATTCTAATTTACACACCACTCTTTCCGAACCTTCCATTACTTTGTTGAAACTTGAACACCTCTTAAACCAACGAACAAAAACGACGCTCTGATTGGTGCGAGATACATACCCTAAACGATTTGATTGGTGCGAGCAACATACCACTTTCTTTACGCTAACTTGGATGTTATTTTTTTGTTAATAAAAACAACTAACTCTAAAATGAAACGCCTGAGAATAGTCCAGAATTTTACGTTGGCACAGCTTGCCATAAAGCCAGATTTCTGATTCATTTTATTAACCTGAAGACGGGAGTAATACCATGAAGGGCGAGAGTCTGGAGGCAGAGTGCCACAATAGTACTGGAGCCGAGTGAACGTGGTACAGGAAATGGAGGACTGTGGACTTTGGACTGTGGACCACCTCTCTTCCCCCCATTCCCCCCCCTCCACTTGCATGGCATCACGAAGGGTCGATCAAAGAACAGCCGCGGAGGAGACATAACTGGCATAATTAGCTCGATTGTGGAATATTGAAAAGTGCTGACAGGGGTTTATAACAACATTAGAATAATAAATTATCCGCTTTGATGCTGTACAATGAACTCGATAGAGAGTTTGGCCATTATTAGGTTTATTTGTGGCGAGCATCCTGTATATCGCTAGGACTGACAATGTCGAAGGTTCGGTAGTGAAATAAAAGAAGATTTTATCACGAGATGTGAAACGAGAGTGGGACAAAAAAATCTGATTCTTATATAAGGGAGGAGTTTATCCCAATCTCTCACACTCTATTTACATTAAAAGAGCTATTTCGTTAATCATTTTTGAGTTATTTCTCTTTATTAAAAAAAATAACTCCATGTTAGTGCATAAAGTGGTATCAGTGATGTTGCTCGCACTAATCAGATTGCTGTATTAGGGTATGTATCTCGCACCAATCAGATTGCCGTATTAGGGTATGTATCTCGCACCTATCATATCATAGCATTTGGATATGTTGTACCAATCACAGTGTTTGGGTATTGTTTTCTTGTAAATTATGTCGTGGATCACGGGGCTGTGCACAAAGAATGACATTCACCAGAAATTTTGGCTCATTTGATAAGTGTAATGGTTGGTGGCCTTCGCGAGAGTCTAGCCGGTTAAGGTCGAGATTTAGGATCAATATCAGTATCTGGGCAACTGCCCACTTACCCCTCCCCTAACTCAACAACAGTCAATTGACAACAAGTTAAGGTTAATGTTGGGTAAGGGGAGGGGTAGGTGGACAGTTGCCCAGATACTGATATTGATCCGAGATTTATTAGGATATGAAAGGTACACATTTCAATTTTAAAGTTAAAACGTGTTTTTTCCGCTCCTTTACTCACAACGCACACGCCAAACAACTTAAATTCTATCACGTACCAAGAAAACAACGTCCAAAGTCCAATCAGAACATACCCAATCATTGCACTACATGAACATCAGGCAATTTTTCACGTGCTTGAATTGTATTTCACCAATCAAATTCCATTATGCCACATTGCACTTCGCTCTATCACGTGTCATGTTCTTGTAAACAACCTGCATTTTATTACGTATTCTAACTGCATTGGAAAAAATTCACATGGAAGTAAATGCTACTGGAATCGAGTTTTGCAAGCCATTCTCCCGCATTTGACTTTTTCTACGAATTAAAGTCGCTTCAATCTACCTAGGACTTAACCCAATTGCGTGTTAATTCCTTGTTAAACAATCTGCCTTTTCTCACGCATTCGGATGGCAAAGTCCAAATAGACAACAACCAATCAAGGATCCCTCTTTGAGATATTATCCTTTTCTCTTCTCCAATGCATCTTCACTTATGCGAGATCGCAATATATCGTTAGTTAGGGTCTGTTAGAGGTAGAACAGAGTGTCCGGTTTGCTTTTCGTAGTAAAATTACGCGGAATTATATTTTTGAGGTAACTAACTGTAGACGAATAACTTTGATTTTCCCTCTGTTGGAGGAATGACATTAAGCGTAGTCTCTTTTGCAACCGTTATTTGGTCTCGTCACGCAACGTACTCTTTCTCAAACTGGAAATAGAGGGCGTCGTGTGACGAGGCCAAATAACGGCTGCGAAGGAGACAAAAGTAAGCGTGGCACCAATGAATTTCACTTTAACTTAGAAGTATTTCGACAATAGAGACAGTAGATCATATAATATCTGCTTTAGTTGAGATAAATTAGGTTTTTTTCTGTCTTTGTGCGATATTTTCGTTTTTTGAAAGTTATGCTCTTTTCGGGGACAAAAATGAAAACACTATGTACACAAACTCTTCTATCTCGACCCACCCAACCAAAAAAATAACTCTTGCATGCTACGCATGCCTACATTTTCAATTTGATGTAACAAAACGTGAAGTGTAACGTGAATTTATTAGTGAGAGATGATGATATTGATCATGATTCATCGTTCTTCGACTAAAGGTTTAGAACCATGGCACCAAATGGTTACAGGAAGATCTCCACCAATAAATCTGCCGAGAAAGTTGGTTTTGTTTCTTTCTTTTTGTTGCAATGGATGAACGATGCTATGAAGACAGGCAGTAAACGAACCTTAGAGGAAAGAGATTTTGTACCACTCTCAAACGAGAACACCTCACAGTCAGCCACAGAACTTCTTGACAAAAAATGGAAAGAAGAAATAGCTAACTCCATTAGGAAGAAGAAAACACCGAAGTTGTGGAAAAGTGTTTTTAAAATGATTTCCTTCAGGGAAGCTGTTTTTGTTGTTTGCTGTGATTTCTTGTACGCAACCGGCTCCCTCCTCTCGCCATTGCTCATTGGACATCTGATTTTTACGTTAATGTCTCATGAAACACATCAGAACAACATCCTTCATGGTTGCGTTTTAGCAACTGCCATGGCTGTAACCACTTTGGTCGGGACTCTCGGCATGCAACATTCCGGTTACGCGGCTGAAATAATGGGCATCAGACTGAGTAACGCAGTGAAAGGTCTCGTTTACAGAAAGGTGAGCACAAGAAGGGTAACTGTTTCGTCCCCAGCCTTCTCCATAATCTTCGAGGCGTTTACTTTTTCCCATCCCGTTGCATTTGCTCGTGTTAGTTGCCGACGCCGCTGCTTTGAAGAAGATTGTGGACGAGTAAGGGCAGGGTTCGGTTGGGTTGGGTAGGGGGAATGGGCGCAATCTTCCTCAATTCTCTCGACACTGTTTCCTTCGCTTTTCGATACACTTTTGTTATTAACTCCAGATTATGGAGTAGTCAGAGGAAGTTTTAAATCCAGTGTCTAAGTAGGTAATCTAGGATTGCATTCCGTCTTTTCTCGGCAACACTGTGTATCCGCAGGCTGGAATTTACACGGCGAGAAGTAGTAACCAGCGTTGGAAATGATTATGCCTAAGGTAAAGCTTCTATGAATTCATATGCTTTATTAAACCTGAAATATAAGATTTGTCTTGGCACCTTAAGACTCCTCTAGCTACGCCTCTGTCTTGGGAGCGTGAGAGGTTGTTCAATCTCAGACTTGAATCCTCAATCTCGCGGGTGGCAGTCAGCGTTCTAGCAATTTGGCTAAACCCAGGTGGCGGTCCTCATTGGCTCCTTAATGTATTCGATAAAAAAAATGATTGGGAATTGAACTTTGGAAGTGCAAGTTTGTCTCTTCGTTTCCTTGGAGATGAGTAGAACTTGGTAATCACTTCAGAACTAACCAATCAGTGCACTCGAATAGCACTTCCACCTGTGTGGTATACCCTAATTATCTTTAGTGTATACTAAAACAGTGGATAACGTTGAAGGCGCACTCTGATTGGCTACTCAAACTCCAAATACCCCTTGCCATTTATCTCCGAGAATCTTGCGCGGAGTTTTCGCCCGAAAATACTGTAATAGTTGCAGGAAACGATTACAGTATTTCGTATAGGATTATATAGATTAGGATTATAGATTAGGATTTTGTACATAGTAAAGCAATTACTCGGTGGCTACCTGTGGGTATTTACCTCGCAGCTGGGTAAATATCCACCACTAGCCAACTTTACTTTGGCGAATGGTAGTTAGTGATTCTGATTACTTTCTGCACTAAACATGGGTTTTCCTTTTCAAGAAGTCAATTCTAGTATTGATATTGTTTCATTCTCAGATCTTACTGCTTAGCAAGAGCTCATTGTCAAAGTTTTCAGCGGGGCGTGTGATCGACCTTCTGTCAAATGATGTTCAGCGAATGGAGAAAGCACCTAAATGGATTTTAGCAATGAATTCAGCCATACTCCAAATTGTGCCCGCAACGTTTATAATCGCGTATCTGATTGGCTGGCAGGCTCTTATGGGAGAGATATTTCTCTGTCTTCTTCTACCGTATTATGCAGAGATGTCTTCTGTCAATGCCGCACTGCGTCTGCGTTCAGCGGCGGAATCTGATATGCGAATTTCTTTGACGAATCAAGTGGTTTCTGGGATACGTGCTATCAAAGCGTATGCGTGGGAGGATGAATTCAGAGAAAAAATAAAACACACACGAAAGTAAGGGAAATTTAAAAACCCATTTTATTTTTTCAGATAACTGCACAACATCGTCAGACCGACACCTTTGGGTGAACGAAGTGATAGTATTAGTTTACTAGCGTGATAACTCATTCCAGATTTTAGGAAAAACACTCTATGAGTTTATAACTCACAAAATAATTAACATTTATAGGTAGAGAGGGTGGCTGTGAGTGGGGGGAGGGGGTTGGAGGTCATATCAAGGAATCTTTTGTGATCATGGCGATGTACTGTTTAATGTGCTTTGCTTATTGTATAATGCGTTCAGTTTTCAGAGAGTTTTTGGGTGTAATAAACGATAGGTATCTGAACAACCAGTGCAGAGTGCAGAGTTTCTGATCAGTACTTTGAGTTTGTCCAAAAAATGATGACAACAAATCTTTTTGTTTCTTTCAGACGAGAAATAAGCATCATCCGTAAGAAAAGCGCTATTCTCTCGGGCTTAGCTGCCTTAGAATATACTTCAATACCAATCCTGCTGTCTGTTATTACTCTGCTGCTTACTGGTCAACCCTTAACACCAGTCAATGTTTTTATGCTCTTAATGTTTACTAACTTGCTAAGACTTAACATTTGCCTTGACATCGCGTATGGTGTGGTGGAGACATGGGAATCATTTGCATCACTCGGAAGAATAGAAGATTTTCTTATTTCAGAGGATTTGTTTTCCATCTCTGAGGATCATTGTCTACATGACAGAGGAACAGTTGCGGAGAGAAAGTCGGGCAAGTTACAAAACGATTTTACATCTATGAGCCAGTCGCATGTATCAGATGAAGATCCCCTTACTGATCAGTGGATTAACCCTTCTAAGCCAGGAAATGTATGTGTGTCGCATTTAACATATAAAGAAGTGGCGAGGAAAGATGAATTTATTCTTCAAGATGTGGACTTCGTTGCTGCGTTAGGAAGCTTGACAGTTGTCACTGGATCAGTAGGCAGCGGTAAATCAACTCTCCTCTCAGCGATCGCGGGCGAGATGTCAGACGTAAGCGGAGCAATAAGTCGTCAAGGAATATTTGTGTATGCACCGCAAATAGCCTGGGTGTTCTCTGGAACCTTAAGAGAAAATATTTTATTTGGAGAGTCGTACGATGATTCAAGATACACCAGAATAATTGAGGCATGCGCCCTCACGGAAGACTTTCAGCGGTTTCCGAACGGTGATGAAACCGTTGTTGGTGAGCGCGGTGTCGTTCTGAGTGGTGGTCAGCGTGCAAGAGTAAGCTTAGCACGCGCAGTGTACGTGGATGCAGACCTTTACTTGTTGGATGACCCTCTCAGCGCGGTGGACTTCAAAGTTGGTCGGCATATCTTTGAAAAGTGTATTAAGGGTTTGCTTGGCGAGAAGACCCGCCTGTTAACTTCTCATCAAGAACGACACATGAAAGATGCAGACCAAGTGATTGTACTGCACAAAGGTCGCGTTCTGGGGAAGGGAACCTTCGCTGAGCTTCAAGAAAAAGGCATCTTAAATACCACCATCGACCCACTGTACAAGAATGCTGCGATAGAGAACAAGTGTGATGACATGGTCACCGCAAGGGAGGATGAAGAGAGACGCGGAGATTTGAAGCCATTCACAAATAAAGACAATGAACTGGAAATATCTGTTGAAGATCGGGCAATCGGAACGGTGTCAAGTAAGCTTTATTGGGACTACTTCAGAAGTGGTATTCACTCATTGCTCATCATTGGAATGATTTTCTTGTGTCTTATTTCTCAAGGTGAGCACTAAAGAATTATAAAAGTGGCAAAAACTCAGCCATTGCTTGGTGCTGTCGAGCAACATTCTCTCTCGGGGCGAACGAGTAAGCAACCGACCAATCCAGTTTTTTTTTTTGACTTGGAGGAGCAAGAGGAAACTAGGACTGACGAAAAAGGCGTGCAAAGGGTGACGGGAAATTAATGTTAGGACTAACAACCAATCTGACATTTATGAGAGAGGTTGACGCCTTTTAATCCTGAGATTTTTATTTCACCAGATTTAGACTGTTACGTAGATTAAGAAAAATTTATCTCACTTTCGCATATTTTTATCACACACATATATTTTTTCGCCTTTTTTCAGCATCGATGGTTGCTTCTGACGTGTGGTTGTCCTTTTTGACCAGAAAACTTCCATCAGAACAGAAAGACAAGACAAATCTAACTATCTATGGTGGTTTAGTCGCTGCTTCCTTAATTTTAGGCATCATCAGGGCCTATATTTTCTTTTTGGTTTGTCTTAGAAGCTCTGAGCGTCTTCATGACAAAATGGTTGTGGTTCTTTTAAAAGCGTCGGTTCTTTTTTTCGATTCAAATCCTGTGGGTAGAATCCTGAATCGATTCTCTAAAGACGTGGGTTGCATGGATGAGTTATTACCATTACAGTTTCTATCTACAATTCAATTGGTATTGCTGTTGCTCTCATCAGTGATCGTTCCTTCTGCTACAAATCCTTGGGTTTTGTTTGTTACCGTTCCAGTGACGGCCATGATTCTTTACTTTGCAAGATTTTACTTGAAGAGTTCCAGAGAACTAAAAAGGTTGGAGTCAATATGTCGAAGCCCAGTCTTCTCTCACATATCAGAGACTCTCGATGGACTGGACACAATTCGAACAAGAGGCAGACAGAGAGAGTTTATAGACAAGTTTTACAAGTAAGTTCGTGCAACTTTACAAGTGAGCTGGGAAACTCAATTCAGGCTCGAGACGCAAAACTTTCATAGTGCAGGGTTTATTTTTGGTATCTTAAAACATTATCCGTGAAAAACAGTCGTCCCTTCTCCCTTCCTTCCATCATAGCCATTACCTTCTCCCCCCTCCCTCCCCCCCCCCTCCCCACCTTCGTCTTCCAGCGCTTTTAAAATTGTAGACATGGAATGCTGGGTTGATTGGGGCACTGAATCTTAAATTTTGTATTCGGTCCCAGCCTCGAATTCTTTTTGGCATCTTAAAACATTATCCGTGAAAAACAGTCGTCCCTTCTCCCTTCCTTCCATCATAGCCATTACCTTCTTCCCCCCCCCTCTCCCCCCCACCTTCGTCTTCCAACGCTTTTAAAATTGTAGACATGGAATGCTGGGTTGATTGGGGCACTGAATCTTAAATTTTGTATTCGGTCCCAGCCTCGAATTCGCCCCTCTATCTCATCACTTTTTTTCGTTGGCGGTCTCGTGTCCAAATGTTTTTTTTTTCTTTTAATTTACATTCTGTATACCAAATCTATAAATCTGTTTCGTTCATCATGGTGGTGGCACCCTCTGTGCAACGCTTAAGAAACTTGCTGCGCAGAATTGACATTTGAACTGGAGATGATTTACGTTGATGTATTATCTTTCCCGTTGGACAGCTACCAAGACACTTATACCCAGTCGTTCACGATGGTGATGCGGCGGTCTCCTCTCTTTCTTACCCCCACCCCTACCCCCTTCGCAACGCTTTTTACGTTTTACTGAGTGAACAAATATTTAGACTCGAGATGACTTAAGTTGATCTATTTTCTTTCCCATTGGACAGCTACCAAGACACTCATACCCAGTCTTTTGTCATGGTGACGGCGAGTGGCAGATGGTTCGGTGTTCGTCTGGATGCAATCATTTCTCTTTTAATAGGCTTAGTTGTCTCAGTGGCAGTTTTAGTATCTCAAGATGCTGGTATGTAGAGTTTCATCCGAAATAATTGCACCATTTCACGCTCGTGTACACCCAAAAAAATGTGATAAATAAGACTGTGAAAGAATCTTTCCGCGCGTAGCTGGGAGACAAAAAGAAGTCGTTGTAGCCCATTTCATCACTATCTTCATGAGGACGATTAACTTACAGATATTTTTTTCTATTTAGCTTCCGCTGGGCTTTCTCTCGCTTACCTCATTCAAACAGTGGCCCTGACACAACACGCCGTCAGAAAATCATCAGATGTCGAGAATTTTATGACGTCAGTTGAACGAGTTATGACCTACACCAAGCTTGACTCTGAGCCTGGATACCAAGTGGACACACTTCCCCCGGAACACTGGCCACGCGAAGGAAATATCACATTCCGCGACGTGTCGATAACGTATTACCCGGGGGGACCGAAAGCGCTGAGGAACATCAGTCTTGACATCAAAGGAGGCTCAAATATAGGTGTTGCAGGTCGCACGGGTGCCGGCAAATCATCTTTTGTAGCAGCTCTTTTACGCATGCCCGATCCTGACGGAGATATTCTCGTGGATGGGGTTCAGATAAAGAACATTAATCTCCGAACAGCTCGAGGATGCATATCCGCTCTTGGCCAAACTCCTGTGCTTTTCAGTGGATCATTGAGGACAAATCTGGATCTTGTCAACCGCTTCAAAGATGCAGATCTGTGGCGGGTCTTAGAGGATGTGCAACTCAAAGATTTCGTACAAAGTCTTGAGGGACAATTGGATTACGAATTGGTGGAAAATGGAGCAAATGTCAGTGTAGGAGAGCGGCAGTTGATTTGTTTGGCTCGTGTTCTGTTGCAGCAGAACAAGATTATCATCTTGGATGAGCCCACTGCACACGTGGATCCAGCCACAGAAGAAATAATCTGGAGAGTGGTGCGAGAGAAACTGAAAGACTCCACAGTAATAACTATAGCTCACCGTCTGAACACCATCCGACACTGTGACAAAGTATTTGTTTTTAAGGAGGGAGGGGTGGTCGAGTCTGGAAAGTTTGACTCATGAAGACTGAAGCGTTTTACACCAGCCTTTTGTTGTTTTTGTTTTTTCTTAGAGTGAAATAGGATTGAGTGTCGTCAAATCAAAACTAAAGTTATCGGAATGGTCAGTTTACTTCCTGGCCGATATTCCAAGTATCGAAATGGAAGTGAGAGCACAAGTTTCTTAATCGTGGAATTTAAGGGGTCTTTTATATTTAAAATAAAATAGAAAAGCCTTTCTACTACTTTGTCATTAGCAAAGATATTGTGCGACTGTTTTCTGCTTTATTCCAAAGGATTTGAATGTAATTCAATCAACTTTTCTTTTTCGGAGGTTATTTCTTCAAAAGGAAGTGGAGGCCAAGAAGCATGAAAATATTTTCTTCGAGAGAAGGCGGATCAGTTTTAGTATCTAACCCAACATTAAGCCTAGAAAATTTTTATCAGTTGAATGTTGTTGGGTCAGGGGAGGGGTAGGTGGGCAGTTCCTCAGATACTGACATTGATGCATGTAAGCCATTAAATTCTACAAAAATAAAAGGTATTTACTCAAGACCACCGGGAAGTACAGCGCGCAATATTGCTATAAAATTCTATTTCAAAAAGTGTCCCGGTGTTTTAGCAGCAGTTATAGTACTGTAATTTATCCATCAATAGCAACAGAACCATCAAACCAAGCAGCAATAAAAAGTTTTGCAAAATTTTCTTTTTCGGTAATCAAAATTTAGGTTTGATGTTTTCTTTTTTGTTTGTTTGTTTGTTTGTTTTTTTATATAAAAGCAATAAATGCCATATATAACAGTGCATTACCGAGCATGCAAGTCTCTCCTACGCTTTGAGAGTTTTACGTCTAACTTCGAGAAGGTAAAGTTCTAGACTTACTTGCTTGAAAATCTGAGATACAGAGAGCATTTTCACTTAATCTGAGCCCGCGTTAAATCTTTGTCTTACCGGCTTTCCATCAAAATTACAATTTTCTGTTTCATAGAAATTTTTCTTAACTTTTAAACCCGCCATAAAGTTCAAAGCCTGGATAAACAGTTTGTTACCTTTTATTTCGCTGTGACCAAATGCCGGCAGCCGGGCACGGTCTCGAATAGACTAAATGCCTGGCAGTCAGAAATTTTCACAGAATTGCAACCGAAAGGTTCTTTCAAACTTCTTAGAATATCAGAAATTTGCTCAGAAACGCCAAGCGATTTCAAAAATTATTTTGGCTTTTTAGTGGACAAATACATCGCTCGGTTGTCGACACTTGAAAATTGTACGCTTCTGATCAGGCTGCCGCACACGGTAACAAGCCTTTGCATAATTATAAAAAACCCGCTCAAACCTTTTGGGTGATTTGAATTAAGAAAGCGCTGTTGAACTTCTTTGAAGACTCATTGTTTGACTTTAAAAAAAACACCAAAAAAAAAACTTGTGTTTCATTATTCCAAATTGCGCTCGAAATCATCTGATCGCCTGTACCAAAGAAATTCTGTTTTACGATTTAAGTGCGGTCGTCTGTAGAAGAGTGTACATATGCTAATCAAGCTTTCTAACAAGGGATTTCTGCGCGCTTAGTTCCATTAGTGATCAGGACTGCTTGCTGGTGTGTGACTCGTTTACGAAATTTTGTCGTTGGTGCAATTTCACCCATTACCTGCTCCCTCTAGGGAAAAACAAGCAAGGTTAGTCGGTAAGTGTTTATCTCTTGATCTCTTGACCATTTCCAACTTTAATTTTAACCTTGCCCGGCTAAAGGGCATTCAGTCACTGCGTATTTTCAACCGCACTCGTGCATATCCACACGCTGGCAACTATTTTGAAGCAGGCAAAAATAAATGACTTAGCGGTTTTAAAACCTTGAATTTTCTTTCTAAGTCCCCTTTAATATCAGTTTCAAGTCAAAAACAAAGGAGAAATTGCACAGATTAATTTCTTTGTCCTTTCTGATTTCCTTAGGAAAAAAATTCCCTGATAAATTTGAATATTTAAGCAAACGATCCACATTTTTAGCGGGCTTTTTGGCCAAAACTCACACTGAAAGTTTAGCTGAAATTACCAATGATTCCCCTTTCACGCTGTAGCAGGAGCATTTAAACTGCAAAAATAAATATCTGCGAGGCGACAAAAAGAAAGAAAATAAAGACCAGACGATGCCAAGTCTCTGGGAAAAATACGTTGCGTGACACAACCGTTGCATGTATTTTAATTTCGCTATTGACAACATTTCCCGTGTATATTTACATTTGCCAACAGAATTGTCACAGTGATAAAAATAATACTCTGAAGTTGGTTGTAGGTGGTTGTAGGTGGTTTCAGGTGGTTTTAGGTGGATTTTGGTTATTCCTTGTTTTAGTACTTGTGGACACGACCGTTGCATCCATTCTCATCTCTAAAAAGCACGATCCCAGTATATCAGGGATTCCTGAATACTACGAAATACACATTTGAATTCCAATAGCTATTAGATTGCACAGTGGGCTGAGAATTTCTTCTCTATGGTGGGATGTTAGAATCGATGGTCAAACTGTGATAACCAGGTCTGTATGATGTTCAACTTGAGAAATTTACTTCTCCTCCCCTGAAAAAATGGAACGCCAGAGAATTGTCTTGAATTATGCTTTTTGGCACAGCTTTCCAAAACCCAGGCTTCTGATCCATTTTATTAACCTGAAGACGGGAGTAATACCATGGAGAGCGAGAGCTGGGAGGCATAAGGCCACAAAAGTACTGGAGCCGAGAGAACATGATACAGGAAGTGGGAGACTGTGACCTTCCCGTCCCCCCCCCCCCCCTCCACTTGCATGGCACCACTAAGGGCCGATCAAAGAATGGGGAGACATAAATAACATAAAGTTGTAGAATATTGAAAAGTGCTCCACATTTTGTCAAGCATACAGGATAGAGGAATTTACAAGTCCTCACAAGGGTTATAACAACTTTAGAAAAATCAAAGAAATGTGTTATCTGGCCTTAAGACGAAGAAATATCTAAGTCTCCGACAAGGTATCCCATCCCAAACTTGCGAATTATCCGCTCTGATGCTGTACAATGAACTCGATGGAGAGTTAAGCCATTATTAGGTTTATTTGTGACAAGCATCCTGTATATCGCTAGGACTGACAATGTCGAAGGTTCGGTAGTGAAATAAAAGAAGACTTTATCACGAGATGTGAAACGAGAGTGGGACAAAAAAATCTGATTCTTTTATGAGGAAGGAGTTTATCCCAATCTCTCACACTCTATTTACATTAAAAATGCTATTTAGTTCATGATTTTTTCAAATTTGATGTAGCAAAATGCGAAGCGTGACTTGGATTTATTAGTGAGAGATGATGATATTGATCATGTTTTATCGTTCTTCGGCTAAAGGTTTAGAGCTATGGCACCAAATGGTTACAAGAAGATCTCCTCCACCAGTGACTCTGCCGAGAAAGTAAGTTTTGTTTCTTTCCTCTTGTTGCAATGGATGAACGATGTCATGAAGACAGGCAGTAAACGAACCTTAGAGGAAGAAGACTTTGTACCACTCTCAAACGAGAACACCTCACAGTCAGCCACAGAACTTCTTGACAAAAAATGGAAAGAAGAAATCGCTAATTCCATTGAGAAAAAGAAAAGACCCAAGTTATGGAAAAGTGTTTTGAAGATGATTTCCCTCAGGGAAGCTGTTTTCGTTGTTTGCTGTGATGTCTTGTACGCAATCGGCTCCCTCCTTTCACCATTGCTCATTGGATATCTGATTTTTATGTTAATGTCACCTGAAACACATCAGAACAACATCCTTCATGGTTGCATGTTAGCAGCTGCAATGGCTGTAAACACTTTGGTTGGGAGCCTCGGCATGCAACATTACGCTTACGCGGCTGAAATAATGGGCATCAGACTGAGTAACGCAGTAAAAGGTCTCGTTTACAGGAAGGTGAGCACAAGTAGAGTAACTGACTCGTTCCAAGCCTTCTCCATAATGTGCACGGCGTTAACGTGGGGAAGAAAGGGGTGATGGGAAAGAGGAAAAGGCCCTCTCACTTTTCCCACTCTGTCGCACTTGCCCGTGTTAGCTGCCGACACCGTCCCTTTGAAGAAAATTGGAAACGAGTCAGGGTAGGGTTGGGTTGGTTTGGGTAAGGGGAATGGACGCAATCTTCCTCAATTCTCTCAGCACTTGCTCCTTCACCTCTTTATACACTTTTGTTGTTAACCTTGGATTATGGAGTAGTCAGAGAAAGTTTTTAATCCAGTGGCTGCATTCTCTCTTTTCTTGGCAACAGTGTGTATCCGCAGGCAGTATTTACACGGCGTAAAGGCGTAACCAGTATCGGAAATGATTACGCCGAAGCTGAAGCTTGTATGAATTCATACGCTTTCGCAAACTTAAGTAATGAGATTTTTCTTGGCACGTTACGACTCTTCTAGTTACGCCTCTGTGTTGGGAGCGTGAGAGTTGGTTCAATCTGCTTGAATCGAGCTTGAATCCTCGATCTCGCGGGTGGCAGTCGGCGTTCTAGGAATTTGGCTGGTGGATAGCACTGAAGGCGCGCTCAGATTGGCTACTCAAACTTCAAATATCCCTTGCTATTCACCTCTGAGAAAATTGCCCGGAATTTTCGCCCAAAAAGCGTTGCAGGAATAAATGAGTGAAAATCATCTTTTTGTGTTTCTTTTCTCTCAATGTTTTACTACATACTAAGGCAATTACACACCTCAGAGTCGGTGGCTACCTGTGGGTATTTACCTCGCCACTTAGCAGCTTGGTAAATATCCACCACTAATCACCTTTAGTTTGGCGAATGGTAGTTAATGATTCTGATTGCTTTCTGCACTTAACATGGGTTTTACTTTTCAAAAAGTCAATTCTAGTATTGATATTGTTTCATTCTCAGATTTTACTGCTTAGCAAGAGCTCATTGTCAAAGTTTTCAGCAGGGCGTGTGATCGACCTTCTGTCAAATGATGTTCAGCGAATAGAGACAGCACCTAAATGGATTTTAGCAATGAATTCAGCCATACTCCAAATCGTGCCCGCAACGTTTATAATCGCTTATCTGATTGGCTGGCAGGCTCTTATGGGAGAGATATTTCTCTGTCTTCTTCTACCGTATTATGCAGAGATGTCTTCTGTCAATGCCGCACTGCGTCTGCGTTCAGCGGCGGAATCTGATATGCGAATTTCTTTGACGAACCAAGTGGTTTCTGGGATACGTGCTATCAAAGCGCATGCGTGGGAGGATGAATTCAGAGAAAAAATAAAACATACACGGAAGTAAGGGAAATTTTAAAACCTAACTAATTTTTTCAGATAACCGCAGAAGATCTTTGCACCGACACCTTTGGGTAAACGAAGTGGTAGTATTGGTTTACTAGCGTAATAACTCATGCAAGATTTTGGAAAAACACTCTAAGAGTTTTTAATTCACAAACGTAACATTTATGGGTGGAGATGGTGGCTGTGAGGAAGGTTGGAAGTCATATTTAGGAATAGTTTGTGATCATGGCGATGTAATGTTTATTGCGCTTTGCTTATTACAAAATGTGTTCAGTTTTCAGAGAGTTTTTCGGTGTAATAAACGATAAGTATGTGAACAACCACTAGAAGAGTTATGGGTGCAGAGTGCAGAGCGCAGAGTGCAGAGTGAAGAGTGAAGACTGCAGAGTGCAGAGTTTCTAATCAGTACCTTCATTTTGTCCAAAAATGATAACAACAAATCTTTTTGTTTCTTTCAGACGAGAAATAAGCATCATCCGTAAGAAAAGTGCCATTCTCTCAGGTTTGGCTGCCTTGGAGTATACTTCAATACCAATCCTGCTGTCTGTTATTACTCTGATGTTTACTGGTCAACCCCTAACACCAGTCAATATTTTTATGCTCTTAATGTTTATTAACTTGCTAAGACTTCAAATTTGCCTTGGCACTGCGTATGGTGTGGTGGAGACACGGGAATCATTTGCATCCCTCGGAAGAATAGAAGATTTTCTTATTTCAGAGGATTTGTTTTCCTTCTCTGAGGGTCATTATCTACAAGACAGAGGAACAGTTCTAGAAAGAAAGTCGGGCAACTTACAAAACGATTCTACATCTATGAGCCAGTCGCATGTATCAGATGAAGATCCCCTTACTGATCAGTGGATAAACCCTTCCAAGCCAGGAACTTTATGTGTGTCGCATTTAACATATAAAGAAATGGCGAGGAAAGATGCATTTATTCTTCAAGATGTGGAATTCATTGCTGCGTCAGGAAGCTTGACAATTGTCACCGGACCAGTAGGCAGTGGTAAATCAACTCTCCTCTCAGCGATCGCTGGCGAGATGTCAGACGTAAGCGGAACAATAAGTCGTCAAGGAACTTTTGTGTATGCACCGCAAATAGCATGGGTGTTCTCTGGAACCTTAAGAGAAAATATTTTATTCGGAGAGTCGTACGATGAACCAAGATACACCAGAATAATCGAGGCATGCGCTCTCACAAAAGACTTTCAGCAGTTTCCAAACGGTGACCAAACCGTTGTTGGTGAGCGCGGTGCCGTTCTGAGTGGTGGTCAGCGTGCAAGAGTAAGCTTAGCACGCGCAGTGTACGTGGATGCAGACCTTTTCTTGTTGGATGACCCTCTCAGCGCGGTGGACTACAAAGTCGGTCGGCATATCTTTGAAAAGTGTATCAAGGGTTTGCTTGGTGACAAGACCCGACTGTTAACTTCTCATCAAGAGCAACACATGAAAGATGCAGACCAAGTGATTGTACTGCACAAAGGTCGCGTTCTGGGGAAGGGAACCTTCGCTGAGCTTCAAGGAAAAGGCATCTTAAATACCACCATCGACCCACTTTACAAGAATGCTTCGACAGAGAACAAGTCTAATGACATGGTCACCGCAAGGGAGGATGAAGGGAGACGCGGAGGTTTGAAGCCACTCACAAATAAAGACAATGAACTGGAAATATCTGTTGAAGATCGGGCAATCGGAACGGTGTCAAGTAAGCTGTATTGGGACTACTTCAGAAGTGGTATTAACTCCTTGTTCATCATTGGAATGATTTTCTTGTGTCTTATTTCTCAAGGTGAGCTCTAAAGAATTATTAAAATGGGAAAAACGTAGCCATTGTTTGGTGCTGTCGAGCAACATTTTCTTTCGGGAGGAACGAGCAAGCAGGCAACCAAGTCAGAAACTCCAACCCAGTTTCTTTTTGTCTCGGAGGAGCAAGAGGAAACTGGGACTAACGGGAAAAGGCATGCAAAGGGTGATGGGAAATTAATGTTAAGACTAACAACCAATCTGACATTTACGAGAAAGGTTGACGCCTTTTGATCCTGAGTTAAAAAATGTTTATTTCATCTGATTTAGACTTTTACGTAGACTATGAAGCGTAATTTTATCATTCACCATATTTTTTCGCTTTTTTCAGCATCGATGGTTGCCCCTGACGTGTGGCTGTCCTTTTTGACCGGGAAACTTCCATCAAAGCAGAAAGACAAGACAAATTTAACTATCTACGGTGGTTTGGTCGCTGCTTCTTTCATATTAGGCATTATCAGGGCTTACACTTTCTTTTTGGTTTGTCTAAGAAGCTCTGAGCGTCTTCATGACAAAATGGTTGTGGCTCTTTTAAAAGCGTCGGTTCTTTTTTTCGATTCAAATCCTGTGGGTAGAATCCTGAATCGATTCTCTAAAGATGTGGGTTGCATGGATGAGTTATTACCATTACAGTTTCTGGCCACAATTCAGTTGGTATTGCTGTTGCTCTCATCTTTAATCGTTCCTTCTGCTACAAATCCTTGGGTTTTGTTTGTCACCGTTCCAATGACGGCCATGATTCTTTACTTCGCGAGATTTTACTTGAAGAGTTCCAGAGAACTAAAAAGGTTGGAGTCAATATGTCGAAGCCCGGTCTTCTCTCACATATCAGAGACTCTTGATGGATTGAACACAATTCGAACAAGAGGTAGACAGAGAGATTTTATGGACAAATTTCACAGGTAACTTTGTGCAACTTTCCAAGTGAGCTTGGAAGGTAAAATCTGAAACTCAATTCAGGCTTGGTCCGCAAAACGCTCATAGCGCAGGGTTTGTGTTTGGCATCTGGAATCATCATCCGTAAAAAACAATCTCCCCAGTTACCCTTTCCTCCTTCCTCCCACCATAGCCTCTCTCCCCCCCCTCTCTCCCCCCTCCACCTTCCTATTCCAACGCTTTGAAAATTGTGGAGATGGAATGCTTGGTTGATTGGGGCACTGGATTTGGTACTTGGTCCCAGCCTCAAATTTGCCCCTCTACCTCATAACATGTTTTCGTTGGCGTTATCGTGCTTACTATTCTACTACGTCGTGTCCAAAATTTTTTTAAATTTACATTTTGTTTACCAAATCTATGAATCTGTTTTGTTCATCATGGTGATGGCACCCTCTCCGCAGCACTTAAAGAACTCGCTGCGCAGGTTTGACATTTGAAGTCGAGATGATTAACTTTAATTTTTTTTTTTTTCCCTACGGACAGTTACCAAGACACTCATACCCAATCCTTTATCATGATGATGGCAAGTGGCAGATGGTTCGGTGTACGTCTGGATGCAATAATTTCTCTTTTAATTGGCTTGGTGGTCTTAGTGGCAGTTTTAGTATATCAGGATGCCGGTATGTGTAGTTCCAACCAAATTAATTACACCGTCACACGCTCATGTACACTTTAAAAAGCCTGTGATATTCCATGTGATAAGACTGTCCAAAGAATCTTTTCGCGTGTAGCGGGAGACCAAAACAAGTCGTTTTCCAACAATTCCATTCATCACTATCTTCATGAGGACGAATTGAGATTAGTTTGATTAAAAAAAAGTTTTTTCCAAAGTAATTTAGCATATCACAAGAGTAGCGTCGCGGTAACAGGTAACCGCGACATGCTGTGTCGTATCGATTCGTTAAATTTTTGGTAATTTTTTTTGCGTGACCTGCTAGAAATGAACAGTTAATTAACAGATTTTTTTTTCTAATTAGCTTCCGCTGGGCTTTCTCTCGCTTACCTCATTCAAACGGTGGCCTTGACGCAATACGCTGTCAGAAAATCATCAGATGTCGAGAATTTTATGACGTCAGTTGAACGAGTTATGACCTACACCAAGCTAGACTCTGAGCCTGGATACGAAGTGGACACACTTCCCCCGGAACACTGGCCACGCGAAGGAAATATCACATTCCGCGACGTGTCGATGACGTATTACCCAGGGGGACCTAAAGCCCTGAGGAACATCAGTCTTGTCATCAAAGGAGGCTCAAAAATTGGTGTTGCAGGCCGCACGGGCGCCGGCAAATCATCTTTTGTCGCAGCTCTTTTGCGCATGCCCGACCCTGACGGAGAGATTTTGGTGGACGGAATTCAGATAAAGAATATTAATCTCCGAGCAGCTCGCGGGTGTATATCCGCTCTTAGCCAAACTCCGGTGCTTTTCAGTGGATCATTGAGGAAGAACCTGGATATTATGAAGTGCTTCCAAGATGCAGATCTGTGGCGGGTCTTAGAGGATGTGCAACTGAAAGATTTCGTTCAAAGTCTTGAGGGACAATTGGATTACGAATTGTTGGAAAATGGAGCAAATGTCAGTGTAGGAGAGCGGCAGTTGATTTGTTTGGCTCGTGTTCTGTTGCAGAAGAGCAAGATCATCATCTTGGATGAACCCACTGCACACGTGGATCCAGCCACAGAAGAAACAATCTGGAGAGTGGTGCGAGAGAAACTGAAAGACTCCACAGTAATAACTATAGCTCACCGTCTGAACACCATCCGACACTGTGACAAAGTATTTGTTTTCAAGGAGGGAGGGGTGGTCGAGTCTAGAAAGTTTGACACATGAAGACTGAAGCGTTTTACACCAGCCTTTATAACTGATATTACTTTGTAATGTCTGGTTGTTTTTGCTTTTCTTAGAGTGCAATAGGATTGAGCGTCGTCAAATGAAAACCAAAGTTATCGAAATGGCCAGTTTACTGCGTGGCCGATATTCCAACAATTGAAATGGAAGTGAGAGCACAAGTTTCTTAATCGTGGAATTTAAGGGTTTTTTCTTTAACATTTGAAATAAAATGGAAAACCCTTTCTGCTACTTTGTCATTAGCAAAGATACCGTGCGATTGTTTTCTGCTTTATTCCAAAGGATTTGAATGTAATTCAACCAACTTTTCTTCACCTAGGGGTGATTTATTCAAAACGAAGTGAGGGCCAAGAAGCATAAAAATAGCTTTCTTTAAGAGGAGGCGGATCAGTTTTGGTATCTGACCCAACATTAAGCCTAGAAAGTTTTTATCAGTCGACTGTTGTTGGGTTAGGAGAGGGGTAGGAGCGCAGTTCCTCAGATACTGACATTGATCCGAGTAAGCCATTAAATTTTCCAAAGAATAAAACTTATTTACCCAAAACCACCGGGAAGTACAGCGCGCATTATTGCTATAAAATTCCATTTATGGAACTGTAATTTATCCATCAACAGCAATAGAACCATCAAACCAAGCAGCAATAAAAAGTTTTGCAAACTTTTCTTTTTCGGTAATCAAAACTTAGGTTTGATGTTTTATTTTCTGTTTGTGTGTTTTTTATATCAATGCAATAAATGCCATATATAACAATGCATGATCGTGTATGCATATTTCACCTACACTTTGAGAGTTTTATCGTTTAAGTTCGAGAAAAGCTTGAAAATCTGGGCTACCGCATTTTCACTTGATCCGAGCCTGTGTCTTACCGGCTTTCCAACAAAACAACAATTTTCTGTATAATTTTCTTAACTTTTAAACCCACCAAGAAGTTCAAAGCCTAGATAAACAGTTTATTACCTTTTTTTCGCTGTGATTTAATCCTCGGCAGCCGGGCACTGTCTCAAATAGACTAAATCCCTGGCGTTCAGAAATTTTCACAGAATTTCCGCCGAAAGTTTCCTCTAAACTCCTTAAGAATATCAAATTTTTGTTAAGAAATGTCAAGCGATTCCGTAAAAATTATTTGGTTTGTCAATTGACAAATTCTCCGAGGTTGTGCATACTATATTGTTATTTACCAAGACTTTCACTCAACAAAACGAGCACTGTGATTGTTTGATTCTTGGTCACGTGCCGCTGATTAAATTCAAACGTATCCCAACCGGGATGCAATTGCGCAGTTGTTGCCCGCGCATCGAATACAACAGCACATGATTGTTTAAGGGAGAGTCTAAATATATAAAAAAGCAATTAAATGTATGGTCCCTCAGGAAACTAGTTAGTCCTGTTTGTCCTTATGTTTCCCGAGACGAAGTCGAGAGAAAACAACAGGACTCTCGGGAAGACAAAACTAACTGTTTCCCTCGGGACCATACCTTAAGGGTATAATGTTAATGTGTTTTGGTATGTTTCTGTAAAACCAACATTTCTAAACAAACACCGAATGTACTCAATAAGTTGGTATGAAGTTTCAGTGGCATTTTGGTGAAATTGCTGATTGCCGGGCATTTAGTCTATTTGAGACCGTACAGCTGTCCTAGCGGATTTGGACCCCCCAACAAGACTGAGTGAAAACATCATCCTTAACGTTCTCGTAGAAATAGATAATACTTTACGTTGCAGTACATACTAAAGTTTGTTTTTAATTCAAAACATGCATATTGATTTCATCTTGTTCTCAGCATCCCGTCACAATCTAGGATTTTCGTTAACGCGATCGAAAGGGCTAAACTCAGGAATAAAAACGAACTGTGAAACTTGAAAACGTTTGATTTTTGTTATTCTCTTGAAAAAGGTGAAACGCTTGAAAGCTTTAATTGTTTTCACTTCGATGGAATCCCGATTGCTTAGTTTCTTCGCATTTCATTCTTGCGTATACTGTACGAATCGCTAAATGCGGCAGAATTGGAACGGAATGGCTGTTTATCTTTATCTTTACTGAGGAATGTTGTGTTGTGAATGAAAAGAACGTCGACAAAAAGCTTCCAAATAGAATTAGGTACCAAATATGATACAAACGATGCTAAAAGGAAAGTTTGGTAGGAGGGTCCAAATCTGCAAAGGGGGGTCCATATCTGCTGGTGGATTTCGACACCCGGTCCAAATCCGCTGTGAAACCGGTAAGACACTGGCTCAGATCAAATGAGGAAATAATGCGACACCACACATGAAATGAAAGGATATTAATCATAACTAACAGTGATCAGTTATAAAACGCTTCAGTCTTCATGTTTCACATGTTCCACACTCCACCACCCCTCCCTCCTTGAAAACAAAAACTTTGTCACAGTGTCGGATGGTGTTCAGACGGTGAGCTATAGTTATTACTGTGGAGTCTTTCAGTTTCTCTCGCACCACTCTCCAGATTATTTCTTCTGTGCCTGGATCCACGTGTGCAGTGGGTTCATCCAAGATGACGATCTTGTTCTGCTGCAACAGCACACGAGCCAAACAAATCAACTGCCGCTCTCCTACACTAACATTTGCTCCATTTTCCAACAATTCGTAATCCAATCGTCCCTCAAGACTTTGTACGAAATCTTTCAGTTGCACATCCTCTAAGACTCGCCACAGATCCGCATCTTGGAAGCGGTTGACAAGATTCAGATTTGTCCTCAATGATCCACTGAAAAGCACCGGGATTTGGCCAAGAGCGGATATGCATCCTCGAGCTGCTCGGAGATTAATATTCTTTATCTGAACCCCATCCACGAGAATATCTCCGTCAGGGTCGGGCATGCGCAAAAGAGCTGCTGCAAAAGATGATTTGCCGGCGCCCGTGCGGCCTGCAATACCTATATTTGAGCCTCCTTTGATGTCAAGATTTATGTTCCTCAGCGCTTTAGGTCCCCCCGGGTAATACGTCATCGATACATCGCGGAATGTGATATTTCCTTCGCGTGGCCAGTGTTCCGGGGGAAGTGCGTCCACTTTGTATCCAGGCTCAGAGTCAAGCTTGGTGTAGGTCATAACTCGTTCAACTGACGTCATAAAATTCTCGACATCTGATGATTTTCTGACAGTGTATTGCGTCAGCTCCACTGTTTGAATGAGGTAAGTGAGAGAAAGCCCAGCGGAAGCTAATTAGAAAAACAATCCGTAAATTAACTGTTGATTTCCTTCAAGTCACGCAAAAAAAATTACCAAAACTCTTACAGCAAAACGATGCACGACTCGATACGACACAGCACGCCGCGGGTACCTGTTACCACGACACTACTCGTGTAACATGCTGGATTACTTTGGAAAACATTTTTTATAATCAAACTAGTTTCAATCGTCCTCATGAAGATAGTGATGAAATGGGCTACAACGACTTGTTTTTGTCTCCCAGCTACGCGCGGAAAGATTCTTTTCACAGTCTCATTTATCACATGGAATATCATAGCTTTTGGGTGTACGTGAGCATGAAATGGTGCAATTATTTTGGATAAAACTCTACATACCGGCGTCTTGAGATACTAAAACTGCCACTAAGACGACTAAGCCTATTAAAAGAGAAATGATTGCATCCAGACGAATACCGAACCATCTGCCACTTGCCGTCACCATGACAAAAGACTGGGTATGAGTGTCTTGGTAGCTGTCCATGGGGAAAGAAAATAAATCAGCGTACGCCATCTCGAGTCCAAATATTTTTTCACTCAAATTCTATAAGCTTTGGGGGTGGGGGTAAGGAGATTGCCGCATTACTATCATGAACGACTGGGTATGAGTGTCTTTGTAGCTGTCCAACGGGAAAGAAAATACATCAACGTAAATCATCTCCAGTTCAAATGTCAGTCTGCGCACCAAGTTTCTTAGGCGTTGCGTAGAGGGTGCCATCACCATGATGAAGGAAACAAATTTTTAGATTTGGTATACAAAATGTAAATTAGAAAAGAAAAAACATTTGGACCGTCAATGAAAAAAAGTTATCAGGTAGAGGGGCTAATTTGAAGCTGGGACCGAACACCAAATTTTAGATCCACTGCCCCAATCTCTACAGTTTTCAAAGCGTTGGAAGGGGAAGGTGGGGCGGGGAGATGGAAGGGTATGGTGGAAGGGTATGGTGGAAGGTGGAAGGATGGGGAAGGGGCAACAGAAGAGATTTCTTTTTACAGATGATGATCCAGGATGCCAAACACAAACCCTGCACTATGAGCGTTTAGCGGACCGAGCCTGAATTGAGTTTGAGATTTTACCTTTCAAGCTCACTTGAAGAGTTGCTCGAACTTACTTGTAAAACTTGTGCATAAAATCTCTCTGTCTACCTCTTGTTCGAATTGTGTCCAGTCCATCGAGAGTTTCTGATATGTGAGAGAAGATTGGGCTTCGACATATTGACTCCAACCTTTTTAGTTCTCTGGAACTCTTCAAGTAAAATCTTGCGAAGTAAAGAATCATGGCCGTCACTGGAACAGTGACAAACAAAACCCAAGGATTTGTAGCAGAAGGAACGATCACTGATGAGAGCAACAGCAATACCAGTTGAATTGTAGATAGAAACTGTAATGGTAATAACTCATCCATGCTACCCACGTCTTTAGAGAATCGATTCAGGATTCTACCCACGGGATTTGAATCGAAAAAAAGAACCGGCGCTTTTAAAAGAGCCATAACCATTTTGTCATGAAGCCGCTCAGAGCTTCTTAGACATGCCAAAAAGAAAATGTAGGCCCTGATGATGCTTAATATGAAGGAAGCAGCGACCAAACCACCGTAGATAGTTAGATTTGTCTTGTCTTTCTGTTCTGATGGAAGTTTCCCGGTCAAAAAGGACAGCCACACGTCAGGGGCAACTATCGATGCTGAAAAAGGGCGAAAAAAATGGTGAATAATAAAAATAGGCGAAAGTGAGATAATTTTCTTCATAATCTGCGTAACAGTCTAAATCAGATGAAATAAACAATTTTAAACTGAGGATTAAAACGCGTCCACCTCTCTTATAAATGGTGGATTGGTTGTTAGTCTTAACATGAATTTCCTGTCACCCTTTGCACGCCTTTTTCCGTCAGTCCCAGTTTCCTCTTGCTCCTCCCAGACAAAGAGAAACTGGGTTGGAGTTTCTGACTTGGTTGCTTGCTTGCTGGTTCGCCCCGAGAGAAAATGTTTCTCGACAGCACCAAACAATGGCTAAGTTTTTGCCACTTTTATAATTCTTTAGTGCTCACCTTGAGAAATAAGACACAAGAAAATCATTCCAATGATGAATAAGGAGTGAATACTACTTCTGAAGTAGTCCCAATACAGCTTACTTGACACCGTTCCGATTGCCCGATCTTCAACGGATATTTCCAGTTCATTGTCTTTATTTCTAAGTGGCTCCAAATCTCCGCATCCTTCTTCATCCTTCGTTGTAGTGACCATGTTATTGGACTTGTTCACTGTCAAAGCATTCTTGTAAAGTGGGTCGATGGTCGTATTTAAGATGCTTTTTCTCTGAAGCTTAGCGAAGGTTCCCTTCCCCAGAACGCGACCTTTGTGCAGTACAATCACTTGGTCTGCATCTTTCATATGTTGTTCTTGATGAGAAGTTAACAGGCGGGTCTTCTCACCAAGCAAACCCTTGATACACTTTTCAAAGATATGCCGACCAACTTTGAAGTCCACCGCACTGAGAGGGTCATCCAACAAGTAAAGGTCTGCATTCATGTACACTGCGCGTGCTAAGCTTACTCTTGCACGCTGACCACCACTCAGAACGGCACCGCGCTCACCAACAACGGTTTGGTCACCGTTCGGGAACCGCTGAAAGTCTTCCGTGAGGGCGCATGCCTCGATTATTCTGGTGTATCTTGGTTCCTCGTACGACTCTCCAAATAAAATATTTTCTCTTAAGGTTCCAGAGAACACCCAGGCTATTTGCGGTACATACACAAAAGTTCCTTTACGGCCTATTGTTCCGCTTACGTCTGGCATCTCGCCAGCGATCGCTGAGAGGAGAGTGGATTTACCGCTGCCTACTGGTCCGGTGACGACTGTCAAGCTTCCTGATGCAGCAACGAAGTCCACATCTTGAAGGATAAATTCATCTTTCCTCACCATTTCTTTATATGTTAAATGTGACACACATAAAGTTCCTGGCTTGGAAGGGTTTATCCACTGATCAGTAAGGGGATCTTCATCTGATACATACGACCGGCTTATAGATGTAGAATCGTTTTGTAACTTGCCCCACTTTCTCTCTGCAACTGTTCCTCTGTCTTGTATACAATGATCCTCAGAGATGGAAAACAAATCCTCTGAAATAAGAAAATCTTCTATTCTTACGAGTGATGCAAATGATTCCCGTGTCTCCACCACACCATACGCAATGTCAAGGCAAATAGTAAGTTTTAGCAGGTTAATAAACATTAAGAGCATAAAAACATTGAATGGTGTTAGGGGTTGACCAGTAAGCAGCAGAGTAATAACAGACAGCAGGATTGGTATTGAAGTATACTCCAAGGCAGCCAAACTTGAAAAAATGGCACTTTTCGTACGGATGATGCTTATTTCTCGTCTGAAAGAAACAAAAAGATTATCAATTATTCTTATTATTTATCATATAAACCAGGAGAGATCTTTTAAGTACCTTGGTGTGGTAGTAGATGAATCGTTATCTTGGAACAGTCACATGTCTTACGTCGCGTCCAGAGTCTACCCTAAACTTAAATTGTTAAACAGATTTTCGTCTTTTTTAGTTTGCGGTTTTAACATACGGGATCCTGCACTAGGAGGATTTCCCTTTGTTTTAGAACGGCTACAGAATAAAGCTTTGAGAATAATCTTAAGACAAACCATCTGACTTGTACTCAAAGGATGAGAGACAAATTAGGACTTCTTACGTTATCCAGCAGGCGACGATATATGCGTCTTCAGCTAGTGTTTAAAATTGTTAATAACTACCGTTGTCCCACGCAACTTCAGAGTTATGTGAATTTCAGATAAGAACTTTGCGGCAGGTCCTTAAGAGATACCCGAGAAACTCACTTGCCTAAAGTAAAATCTACAATGGGCCAGTCTACATTCAAATTTGCAGCTGGAAAAGAACGGAACAATTTACCTAAAGAATTGCAAGCTAAAGACTTAAATTTAAGAACTCGTAAGTCAAAGACATTTCATTATTTGTTAGAGCAAGACAGAATACAGCACAAATGTAACATAGAGTTTTTCTCTATTTATATATATATTAGCTGTTATTTTTGTAACCAAATCTTACCTTTTAGTTTTTAATAGTTTTTTATTGCTACACTAATTTGAAATGGTTTAACAACTGCACATAGGTTTATACCAGCTGACTTTATATTTAAATCAAGCTGATCAATTTTTGAAGTATAAATAAAATTATTATTATTATTATTTTTGAGAAACTGAAGGTACTGATCAGAAACTCTGCACTCTTCACTCTGCAGTGGTTGAGAAGATACGTATCGTTTATTACACCCAAAAACTCTCTGAAAACTGAACACATTTTACAATAAGCAAAGTGCAATAAACAGTACTTCGTCATGGTTACAAGAGATTCCTAAATATGAATTCCAACCTCCCTCACAGCCGCCCTCGCCACTCATAAATGTTAAATTGGTTAATTAATTATACTATCACTTCGTTCACCCAAAGGTATGGGTGCGAAGATGTTCTGCGGTTACCTGAAAAATTAAGTAGGCTTTTAAATTTCTCTTACTTTCGTGTATATTTTATTTTTTCTCTGAATTCATCCTCCCACGCATGCGCTTTGATAGCACGTATCCCAGAAACCACTTGGTTCGTCAAGGAAATTCGCCGATCAGATTCCGCCGCTGAACGCAGACGCAGTACGGCATTGAGAGAAGACATCTCTGCGTAATACGGTAAAAGAAGGCAGAGAAATATCTCTCCCATAAGAGCCTGCCAGCCAATCAGATACGCGATTATAAGCGTTGCAGGCACGATTTGGAGTATGGCTGAGTTCATTGTTAGAATACATTTAGGTGCTGTCTCCATCCGCTGAACATCATTTGATAGCAAGTCAATCACACGCCCTGATGAAAACTTTGACAATGAGCTCTTGCTAAGCAGTAAGATCTGAGAATGAAACAATATCAATACTAGAATTGACTTCTTGAAAAGGAAAACCCATGTTTAGTGCAGAAAGTAACCAGAATCATTAACTATTATTTGCCAATGTAAAGGTGGCAAGTGGTGGGTATTTACCCAGCTGCAAAGTGGCGAGGTGAATACCCACCGATGGCCACCGAGTAAGTGCTTTAGGATGTACTAAAACAGTCAGAGAAAAAGACACAAAAAGATGATTTCAACTCATTTTTTCTCGCAACGATTACTTTATTTTCGGGCGAAAAAGCCAATCAGCGCACGCCTTCAACGCTATACACTGTTTTAGTATATATTAAAGATGATTAGTGTATACCACTCAGGTGGATAGTGCAATTCGAGTGCGCTGATTGGTTAGTTCGGAAGTGATTACCAAGTTCTACTCATCTCCAAGGAAGATAGAAGATTCATAGATTCATAGAAGCTTCAGCTTGGGCATAATCATTTCAGATGCTGGTTAATATGTAATACCAGCTTGCGAATACACAGTGTTGCCGAGAAAAGACGGAATGCACTCCTAGATTACCTACTTAGACACTTCATTAAAAACGTTCTCTGACTACACCATAATTTAGGCTTAATAACAAAAGTGTATCGAAAAGCGAAGGAAAAAGTGTCGAGAGAATTAACGAAGATTGCGCCCATTCCCCATACCTAACCCAACCCTACCCTGACTCGTTTCCAATATTCTTCAAAGCGACAGTGTCGGTAACTAACAAGGGCAAGTCCAGCGGGATGGGAAAAAGTAAACGGCGCGCAGATTATCGGGAACGCTGGGGACGAGTCAGTTACCCTTCTTGTGCTCACCTTTCTGTAAACGAGACCTTTCACTGCGTTACTCAGTCTGATGCCCATTAATTCACCCGCGTAAGAGTTATGTTGCACGCCGAGGGTCCCGACCAAAGTGGTTACAGTCATGGCAGTTGCTAACACGCAACCATGAAGGATGTTGTTCTGATGTGTTTCAGGTGACATTAACATAAAAATCAGATATCCAATGAGCAATGGTGAAAGGAGGGAGCCGATTGCGTACAAGACATCACAGCAAACAAGAAAAACAGCTTCCCTGAGGGAAATCATCTTCAAAACACTTTTCCACAACTTCGGTCTTTTCTTCTTCCTAATGGAATTAGCTATTTCCTCTTTCCATTTTTTGTCAAGAAGTTCTGTGGCTGACTGTGAGGTGTTGTCGTTTGAGAGTGGTACAAAGTCTTCTTCCTCTAAGGTTCGTTTACTGCCTGTCTTCATGACATCGTTCATCCATTGCAAACAAAGGAAAGAGACAAAACCAACTTTCTCGGCAGATTCACCAGTGGAGGAGATCTTCCTGTAACCGTTCGGTGCCATGGCTCTAAACCTTTAGCCGAAGAACGATAAAACCTGATCAATAGTATCGTTTTTCATTGATAAATCCAAGTCATGCTTCACATTTTGCTACTTTAAATTTGAAAAAATGATGAACGAATTAGCACTTTTAATTCAAATAGAATGTGAGAGATTGGGATAAACTCCTTCCTCATAAAAGAATCAGATTTTTTTGTCCCACTCTCGTTCCACATCTCGTGACAACATCTTCTTTTTATTTCACTACCGAACCTTCGACATTGTCAGTCCTAGCGATATGCGGGATCGTTGTCACAATGAAACTTAGTAACGGCCTAACTCTCCATCGAGTTCATTGTACAACATCAGAGCGGATAATTCGAAGGTTTGGAGTTTAATACCTTGCCCGAGACTTACATATTTTCTAGTCCTGTGGCCAGATATCACGTTTCTTTAATTCTGATTTATTTTTAATTTACCCTTTGTCGTGTCATGCAAGAGGGGGGCGGGGGTGGGGGGATAAGGGGTCCACAGTTCGCCACTACCTGTACCACGTTTTCTCGGCTCCAGTACTATTGTGGCACTCTGCCTCCCGACTCCTGCCCTTCATGGCATTACTCCCGTCTTCAGGTTAATAAAATGAATCAGAAATCTGGGTTTTTAGAAAGCTGTGCCAAAACGTATAATTCTGGACCATTCTCTGGCGTTTCATTTTTTTCGAGGGAGGGGAGGTAATTTCTCAAGATGAACATTATACAGACCTGCTTATCACAGTTTGACCATCGATTCTAACATCTCACCATCGAGAAAAAATTTTCAGTCCACTCTGCAATCTAATAGCTATTGGAATTCAAATGTGTATTTCGTAGCATTCAGGAATCCCTGATATACTGGGATCATGCTTTTTAGAGATGAAAACGGATGCAACGGTTGTGTCCGTAGATACTAAAACAAGGAATGACCAAAATCCACCTAAAAACCACCTACAACCACCTACAACCACCTAAAAACCACCCGAAACCACTTACAACCAACTTCAGAGTATTATTTTTATCATTGTGACAATTTTGTTGGCAAATGTAATCATACACGGGAAATGTTGTCAATAGCGAAAACTAATACCCCTGAAAATTAAGTCACTGTCTGCGACATTCACCCATCCAATGGCTCGCATAACCAGGGAAGAACACAAAAAAAATTGTTAGCATAAGAGCAGCGCCAAGAGCCTTAACTTTTCGAGTAATACATAGACTACGTTTTCGAGGTCTGAATTGATGTGTTTCAGGGAAATCCGAGCAACCCTAACTATCTGAAATTGCTTCAAATCGGGTTGCGGAGCGAGCGTACAACAAAGAAAACAAGTTTTATAATGAGTTGGTATTATTCAGAGAAAAAAATTAACTTGACTGAGAATAGGAAACCACGTAAAGAACAATGACATTTGAAACGATGTGTGATAAACAGAACTTACAAGTCTCGCAATATGCATGTAGCTTATAAATTACCTTAAAATTACCGCACTTACAAGCACTTACAAGCAGCATCCTTACGAGTCCCAAACGCGAAATAGATCGAGTCAATCAGCTCTCGGAACCTACAGCCTGCTGGCATTAATTTGTATCGATTAGCCTGGGTGCCAGTAGCCTACGTGTAGCCGTACCCTCCCCCACCAAGGTAAGACGGAGGCGAGGCAACGTCTACGCAAACCTGACATTAATCGTGTTCCGTGACGCCATTCTTCTGCAAGAAAATATATAATGACTTTTTATTGGTTAACCCCTTTTGCCGATTCTTTCGTCAATTCTGATTGCTTCGGGTGGGTAATTTATATTCACATTAACGAACAAGATGATGAACTAAATATTTTCACGGTCCACTTTTCCTTTAAAGAGCCAACTTGATTGTTGGAACCGCTCAAAATTTCTAAGCAAAAATCTCATATTCTTAAAAAGTTTGAAACAACCTTCCGGTGGAAATTCTGTGAAAATTTCTGACTGCCGTGCAATTAGTGTATTTGATACCATGCCTGGCTGCCGGGCATTTAGTCATAGCGCAGAAAAAGGTAACAAACTGATTATCCAGGCTTTGACTTTTTTGACGGGCTTCAAAGTCAAGAGAAATTATCTAGAAAATTGTTGCTTTGATTGAAAGCAATTGCCGTGACCGAGCTCTCAATGCATTAGCAAGTTTAAATGAAGTATGTCGTGAGTTGCCTTTGCATAATTATAAAAAAACCCGCTCAAACTTTTTAATTTTACTTTCAAATAAGGGCTGTTAACTTTTTTTTGAAAACTTTGTTTGTCATTGAAAAAAAAAAAACTCTTGCTTTATTATTCCAAATTGCGCTCGAAATTTTCTGATTGAATGGACTAAAGAAATTCTGTAAAACGATTTCAGTGCAGTCGTAAAAGTGTGCAAGTATGCTAATCGGGCTTTAACACAATGGATTTCTGCACGCGCGTTGTTCCGTTAGTGATCAGGACTGCTTGCCAGCGTGTTACTGGTTTACGGAATTTTTACCTTTGGTGCAGTTTCACCCATTACAAAGTTCCCTCCAGGGCAAAAGAACAAGGTTAGCCGGTTAGTGTTAATCTCGTGATCTCTTGACCATTTTCAATTTTATTCCCCCGGAACAAGTCAAATTTCAATCGCACTCGTACGTATTCACATGTTGGCAACTATTTTGAAGCAGGTGAAATTAGATGACTAAGCGGTTTTCGATCTTTAGATGTTCTTCCTAAGTCTCCTTTAATACCAGTTTGAGGCCAAAAAAAAAAAAGGAGAAATAGCGGTGATTAATTTCATTGGCCGTTCTGATTTTCTTCGGTAAAAAATTCTGGATTAAATTTGAATATTTTAGGCATCGATCCGCATTTTTAGCGGGCTTTTTGGAAAAAACCCACTCTGAAAGTTGAGCTGAAATTACCGATGATTCCCGTTCCACGCTGTAGCAAGTGCATTTAAACCGTAAAAATAAATATCTGCGAGGCGACAAAAAGAAAAAAAAAGACGAGAGGGAAATATACGTGTCGTGTCGAAATATACGTGTCGTGACACAACCGTTGAGTTGTGTTTTCATTTCTAAAAGACATGATCCCAGTATGCAGACAACAGATTACAGACCGGATAAAAAATGTAGACTAAGTACAAAATGTAGACTGCAGACAGCAGAGTGGGTACAAAATGCAGACTGAGAATCTGACGAGTTTTTTCGTCTTGTATGTGATAACATGTCATCTTAAAACTTACCGAACGTCACGCAATCGCTTTTCCGCGATCAGCTTTCACGATTATTAGCACTATTTTGGAATATTCCTGGCCCACATCTTGATGAAAATCGATCGTAATATAATTTCAAGCCTTCATGTAGTCTTCTCACTTAGCGCGCGAGTTGGTTGGTGTGATGTCTAGACAGATTTTACCAACGTAGTAAAATTAGATGTGGATGTAAATGAGATGTCACTATGAATATTTAACCCGCTTTAATCAGACATTCATCTAGAGATGACACCAAGCAAACCAATCCTGAAAAATATATTCGGCACACTCAACAAATCAGGAATCTTGCAACAAAGCTTGCCGTTAAAGAATTGTTCAAATCAAAATGTTTGGTGCAACTCATCAACACCTCAAGCAATATTTGATTAAAAAATATTCCACTCACTCTCGTCGTGAAGGAAAAATAACCATGATCGCGCATGGTTGTCACAACATGAATAACACGTTTACCATAGGTAATCTGATATCTTTCATCTTGTCCAGTGGTATCGCATTTCTCGTAAAGCGCGGTAAAAATACACGTTAAAACCACAGAAAAGCCAACATTTCTTATTCTAAAAGATGACTCTAATTTACAGACCGCTCTTTCTGAATCCTCCCTTACTTCGTTGAAACTTGAACACCTCTTAAACCAACGAACAAAAACGACGCTCTGATTGGTGCGAGATACATATCCTAATGCGGCGATCTGATTGGTGCGAGATACATACCCTAAACGATTTGATTGGTGCAAGCAACATACCGCTTTCTTTACGCTAACGTGGATGTAATTTTTTTGTTAATAAAAAAAACTAACTCTAAAATGAAACGCCTGAGAATGGTCCAGAATTTTACGTTGGCATAGCTTGCCATAAAGCCAGATTTCTGATTCATTTTATTAACCTGAAGACGGGAGTAATGCCATGAAGGGCGAGAGTCGGGAGGCACAGTGCCACAATAGTACTAGAGCCGGGTGAACGTGGTACAGGAAGTGGGGGACTGTGGACTGTGGACTGTGAAGCACCTCTCTTCCCCCCATTCCCCCCTCCCCCCTCCACTTGCATGGCATCACGAAGGGTCGATCAAAGAACGGCCGCGGAGGAGACAAATGGCATAATTAGCTCGATTACGGAATATTGAAAAGTGCTGATAGGGGTTTATAACAACATTAGAATAATAAATTATCCGCTTTGATGCTGTACAATGCACTCGATAGAGATATTAGGTTTATTTGTGGCGAGCATCCTGTATATTGCTGGGAATGACAATGTCGAAAGTTCGGTTGTGAAATAAAAGAAGATTTTATCACGAGATGTGAAACGAGAGTGGGACAAAAAAATCTGATTCTTATATAAGGAAGGAGTTTATCCCAATCTCTCACACTCTATTTACATTAAAAGTGCCATTTCGTTGATCATTTTTGAGTTATTTCTTTTTATTAAAAAAAAATAACTCCATGTTAGTGCATAGAGTGGTATCAGTGATGTTGCTCGCATTAATCAGATCGTCGCATTAGGGTATGTATCTCGCACTAATCAGATTGTTGCATTAGGGTATGTATCTCGCACCAATCAGATTGCCGTATTAGGGTATGTATCTTGCACCTATCATATCATAGCATTTGGATATGTTGTACCAATCACAGTGTTTGGGTATTGTTTTCTTGTAAATTATGTCGTGGATTACGGGGCTGTGCACAAAGAATGACATTTACCAGAAATTTTGGCTCATTTGATAAGTGTAATGGTTGGTGGCCTTCGCGAGAGTCTAGACGGTTAAGGTCGAGATTTAGGATCAATATCAGTATCTGGGCAACTGCCCACCTACCCCTCCCCTAACTCAACAACAGTCAATTGACAACAAGTTAAGGTTAATGTTGGGTAAGGGAAGGGGTAGGTGGACAGTTGCCCAGATACTGATATTGATCCGAGATTTATTAGGATATGAAAGTAACGCATTTAAATTTTAAAGTTAAAACGTGTTTTTCCGCTCCTTTACTCAAAACGCACACGCCAAACAACTTAAATTCTATCACGTACCAAGAAAACAACGTCCAAAGTCCAATCAGAACATACCCAATTATTGCACTATATGAACATCTGGCAATTTTTCACGTGCTTGAATTGTATTTCACCAATCAAATTCCATTTTGCCACATTGCACTTCGCTCTATCACGTGTCATGTTCTTGTAAACAACCTGCATTTTATTACGTATTCTAACTTCATTGTCCAACCCCACTGGAAAAAATTCACATGGAAGTAAATGCTACTGGAATCGAGTTTTCCAAGCAATTCTCCCGCATTTGACTTTTTCTACGAATTAAAGTCGCTTCAAGCTACCTAGGACGTAACCCAATTGCGTGTTAATTCCTTGTTAAACAATCTGCCTTTTCTCACGCATTCGGATGGCAAAGTCCAAATAGACAACAACCAATCAAGGATCCCTCTTTGAGATATTATCCTTTTCTCTTCTTCAATGTATCTTCACTTATACGAGATCGCAATATATCGTTAGTTAGGGTCTGTTAGAGGTGGAACAGAGTGTCCGGTTTGCTTTTCGTAGTAAAATTACGCGGATTTATATTTTTGAGGTAACTAACTGTAGACGAATAACTTTGATTTTCCCTTTGTTGGAGGAATGACATTAAGCGTAGTCTCTTTTGCAACCGTTATTTGGTCTCGTCACGCAACGTACTCTTTCTCAAACTGGAAATAGAGGGCGTCGTGTGACGAGGCCAAACAACGGCTGCGAAGGAGACAAAAGTAAGCGTGGCACCGATGAATTTCACTTTAACTTAGAAGTATTTCGACAATAGAGACAGTAGATCATATAATATCTGCTTTAGTTGAGATAAATTAGGTTTTTTTCTGTCTTTGTGCGATATTTTCGTTTTTTGAAAGTTATGCTCTTTTCGGTGACAAAAATGAAAACACTATGTACACAAACTCTTCCATCTCGACCCACCCAGCCAAAAAAATAACTCTTGCATGCTACGCATGCCTACGTTTTCAATTTGATGTAGCAAAACGTGAAGTGTGACGTGAATTTATTAGTGAGAGATGATGATATTGATCATGATTCATCGTTCTTCGACTAAAGGTTTAGAACCATGGCACCAAATGGTTTCAGGAAGATCTCCACCAATAAATCTGCCGAGAAAGTTGGTTTTGTTTCTTTCCTTTTGTTGCAATGGATGAACGATGTTATGAAGACAGGTAGTAAACGAACCTTAGGGGAAAGAGATTTTGTACCACTCTCTAACGAGAACACCTCACAGTCAGCCACAGAACTTCTTGACAGAAAATGGAAAGAAGAAATAGCTAACTCCATTAGGAAGAAGAAAACACCGAAGTTGTGGAAAAGTGTTTTTAAGATGATTTCCTACAGGGAAGCTGTTTTTGTTGTTTGCTGTGATGTCTTGTACGCAACCGGCTCCCTCCTTTCGCCATTGCTCATTGGACATCTGATTTTTACGTTAATGTCTCATGAAACACATCAGAACAACATCCTTCATGGTTGCGTTTTAGCAACTGCCATGGCTGTAACCACTTTGGTCGGGACCCTCGGCATGCAACATTCCGGTTACGCGGCTGAAATAATGGGCATCAGACTGAGTAACGCAGTGAAAGGTCTCGTTTACAGAAAGATGAGCACAAGAAGGGTAACAGTTTCGTCCCCAGCCTTCTCCATAATCTGCACGGCCTATACTTTTTCCCATCCCTTTGCATTTACTCGTGTTAGTTGCCGACGCCGCTGCTTTGAAGAAGATTGTGAACGAGTAAAGGCAGGGTTCGGTTGGGTTGGGTAGGGGGAATGGGCGCAATCTTCCTCAATTCTCTCGACACTGTTTCCTTCGCTTTTCGATACACTTTTGTTATTAACTCCAGATTATGGAGTAGTCAGAGGAAGTTTTAAATCCAGTGTCTAAGTAGGTAATCTAGGACTGCATTCCGTCTTTTCTTGGTAACACTGTGTATCCGCAGGCTGGTATTTACACGGCGAGAAGGAGTAACAAGCGTTGGAAATGATTATGCCTAAGCTAAAGCTTCTATGAATTCATATGCTTTATTAAACCTGAAATATAAGATTTGTTTTTTTTTCAGCGGGGCGTGTGATCGACCTGCTGTCAAATGATGTTCAGCGGATGGAGAAAGCACCTAAATGGATTTCAGCGATGGATTTCAGCCATACTCTAAGTTGTGCCCACAACGTTTATAATCGCGTATCTGATTGGCTGGCAGGCTCTTATGGGAGAGATATTTCTCTGTCTTCTTCTACCGTATTATGCAGAGATGTCTTCTGTCAATGCCGCACTACGTCTGCGTTCAGCGGCGGAATCTGATATGCGAATTTCTTTGACGAATCAAGTGGTTTCTGGGATACGTGCTATCAAAGCGCATGCGTGGGAGGATGAATTCAGAGAAAAAATAAAACACACACGAAAGTAAGGGAAATTTAAAAACCCGTTTTATTTTTTCAGATAACTGCACAACATCGTCAGATCGACATCTTTGGGTGAACGAAGTGATAGTATTAGTTTACTAGCGTGATAACTCATGCCAGATTTTAGGAAACACTCTATGACTTTTTAATTCACAAAATTAACATTTATGGGTAGAGAGGGTGGCTGTGAGGGAAGGGGGGGGGGGTTGGAGGTCATATCAAGGAATCGTTTGTGATCATGGCGATGTACTGTTTATTGCACTTGTATAATGTGTTCAGAGAGTTTTTGGGCGTAATAAACGATAGGTATCTGAACAACCAGTGCAGAGTGCAGAGTTTCTGATCAGTACTTTGAGTTTGTCCAAAATATGATAACAAGAAATCTTTTTGTTTCTTTCAGACGAGAAATAAGCATCATCCGTAAGAAAAGCGCTATTCTCTCGGGCTTAGCTGCCTTAGAATATACTTCAATACCAATCCTGCTGTCTGTTATTACTCTGCTGCTTACTGGTCAACCCTTAACACCAGTGAATGTTTTTATGCTCTTAATGTTTACTAACTTGCTAAGACTTAACATTTGCCTTGACATCGCGTATGGTGTGGTGGAGACACGGGAATCATTTGCATCACTCGGAAGAATAGAAGATTTTCTTATTTCAGAGGATTTATTTTCCATCTCTGAGGATCATTGTCTACATGACAGAGGAACAATTGCAGAGAGAAAGTCGGGCAAGTTACAAAACGATTTTACATCTACGAGCCAGTCGCATATATCAGATGAAGATCCCCTTACTGATCAGTGGATTAACCCTTCTAAGCCAGGAAATGTATGTGTGTCGCATTTAACATATAAAGAAGTGGCGAGGAAAGATGAATTTATTCTTCAAGATGTGGACTTCGTTGCTGCGTTAGGAAGCTTGACAGTTGTCACCGGACCAGTAGGCAGCGGTAAATCAACTCTCCTCTCAGCGATCGCTGGAGAGATGTCAGACGTAAGCGGAACAATAAGCCGTCAAGGAACTTTTGTATATGCACCGCAAATAGCCTGGGTGTTCTCTGGAACCTTAATAGAAAATATTTTATTTGGAGAGTCGTACGATGATCCAAGATACAGCAGAATAATCGAGGCATGCGCCCTCACGGAAGACTTTGAGCGGTTTCCGAACGGTGATCAAACCGTTGTTGGTGAACGTGGTGCCGTTCTGAGTGGTGGTCAGCGTGCAAGAGTAAGCTTAGCACGCGCAGTGTACGTGGATGCAGACCTTTACTTGTTGGATGACCCTCTCAGCGCGGTGGACTACAAAGTTAGTCGGCATATCTTTGAAAAGTGTATTAAGGGTTTGCTTGGCGAGAAGACCCGCCTGTTAACTTCTCATCAAGAACGACACATGAAGGATGCAGACCAAGTGATTGTACTGCACAAGGGTTGCGTTCTGGGGAAGGGAAAAAGGCATCTTAAATACCACCATCGACCCACTTTACAAGAATGCTTTGATAGAGAACAAGTCTAATGACATGGTCATCGCAAGGGATGATGAAGAGAGATGCAGAGATTTGGAGCCACTCACAAATAAAGAAAACGAACTGGAAATATCTGTTGAAGATCGGGCAATTGGAACGGTGTCAAGTAAGCTTTATTGGGACTACTTCAGAAGTGGTATTCACTCATTGCTCATCATTGGAATGATTTTCTTATGTCTTATTTCTCAAGGTGAGCACTAAAGAATTATAAAAGTGACAAAAACTTAGCCATTGTTTGGTGCTGTCGAGCAACATTCTCTCTCGGGGCGAACGAGCAAGCAAGCAACCGACCCAGTTTGTTTTTGTCTTGGAGGAGGAAGAGGAAACTGGGACTGACAAAAAAGGCGTGCAAACGGTGACGGGAAATTAATGTTAAGACTAACAACCAATCTGACATTTAGGAGAGAGGTTGATGCCTTTTAATCCTGAGTTTAAAATTGTTTATTTTACCTGATTTAGACTGTTACGTAGATTATGAAGAAAATTATCTCACTTGCGCATATTTTTATCACACACAGATATTTTTTCGTCTTTTTTTCAGCATCGATGGTTGCCCCTGACGTGTGGCTGTCCTTTTTGACCAGAAAACTTCCATCAGAACAGAAAGACAAGACAAATCTAACTATCTATGGTGGTTTAGTCGCTGCTTCCTTCATATTAGGCATCATCAGGGCCTATATTTTCTTTTTGGTTTGTCTAAGAAGCTCTGAGCGTCTTCATGACAAAATGGTTGTGGCTCTTTTAAAAGCGCCGGTTCTTTTTTTCGATTCAAATCCTGTGGGTAGAATCCTGAATCGATTCTCTAAAGATGTGGGTTGCATGGATGAGTTATTACCATTACAGTTTCTATCTACAATTCAATTGGCATTGCTGTCCTTTCATCAGTGATCGTTCCTTCTGCTACAAATCCTTGGGTTTTGTTTGTTACCGTTCCAGTGACGGCCATGATTCTTTACTTTGCAAGATTTTACTTGAAGAGTTCCAGAGAACTAAAAAGGTTAGAGTCAATATGTCGAAGCCCAGTCTTCTCTCACATATCAGAGACTCTCGATGGACTGGACACAATTCGAACAAGAGGCAGACAGAGAGAGTTTATAGACAAGTTTTACAAGTAAGTTCGTGCAACTTTACAAGTGAGCTGGGAAACTCAATTCAGGCTCGAGACGCAAAACTTTCATAGTGCAGGGTTTATTTTTGGCATCTTAAAACATTATCCGTGAAAAACAGTCGTCCCTTCTCCCTTCCTTCCATCATAGCCATTACCTTCTCCCCCCTCCCTCCCCCCCCACCACCTTCGTCTTCCAACGCTTTTAAAATTGTAGACATGGAATGCTGGGTTGATTGGGGCACTGAATCTTAAATTTTGTATTCGGTCCCAGCCTCGAATTATTTTTGGCATCTTAAAACATTATCCGTGAAAAACAGTCGTCCCTTCTCCCTTCCTTCCATCATAGCCATTACCTTCTCCCCTCCCTCCCCCACTGAATCTTAAATTTTGTATTCGGTCCCAGCCTCGAATTCGCCCATCTATCTGATCACTTTTTTTCGTTGGCGGTCTCGTGTCCAAATGTTTTTTTTTCCTTTTAATTTACATTCTGTATACCAAATCTATAAATCTGTTTCGTTCATCATGGTGGTGGCACCCTCTGTGCAACGCTTAAGAAACTTGCTGCGCAGAATTGACATTTGAACTGGAGATGATTTACGTTGATGTATTTTCTTTCCCGTTGGACAGCTACCAAGACACTTATACCCAGTCGTTCACGATGGTGATGCGGCGGTCTCCTCTCTTTCCTACCCCCACCCCTACCCCCTTCGCAACACTTTTTACGTTTTACTGAGTGAACAAATATTTAGACTCGAGATGACTTAAGTTGATCTATTTTCTTTCCCATTGGACAGCTACCGAGACACTCATACCCAGTCTTTTGTCATGGTGACGGCGAGTGGCAGATGGTTCGGTGTTCGTCTGGATGCAATCATTTCTCTTTTAATAGGCTTAGTCGTCTCAGTGGCAGTTTTAGTATCTCAAGATGCTGGTATGTAGAGTTTCATCCGAAATAATTGCACCATTTCACGCTCGTGTACACCCAAAAAAATGTGATAAATAAGACTGTGAAAGAATCTTTCCGCGCGTAGCTGGGAGACAAAAAGAAGTCGTTGTAGCCCATTTCATCACTATCTTCATGAGGACGATTAACTTACAGATATTTTTTTCTATTTAGCTTCCGCTGGGCTTTCTCTCGCTTACCTCATTCAAACAGTGGCCCTGACGCAACACGCCGTCAGAAAATCATCAGATGTCGAGAATTTTATGACGTCAGTTGAACGAGTTATGACCTACACCAAGCTTGACTCTGAGCCTGGATACCAAGTGGACACGCTTCCCCCGGAACACTGGCCACGCGAAGGAAATATCACATTCCGCGACGTGTCGATAACGTATTACCCGGGGGGACCGAAAGCGCGGAGGAACATCAGTCTTGACATCAAAGGAGGCTCAAATATAGGTGTTGCAGGTCGCACGGGTGCCGGGAAATCATCTTTTGTAGCAGCTCTTTTACGCATGCCCGATCCTGACGGAGATATTCTCGTGGATGGGGTTCAGATAAAGAACATTAATCTCCGAACAGTTCGAGGATGCATATCCGCTCTTGGCCAAACCCCGGTGCTTTTCAGTGGATCATTGAGGACAAATCTGGATCTTGTCAACCGCTTCAAAGATGCAGATCTGTGGCGAGTCTTAGAGGATGTGCAACTGAAAGATTTCGTACAAAGTCTTGAGGGACAATTGGATTACGAATTGTTGGAAAATGGAGCAAATGTCAGTGTAGGAGAGCGGCAGTTGATTTGTTTGGCTCGTGTTCTGTTGCAGTAGAACAAGATTATCATCTTGGATGAGCCCACTGCACACGTGGATCCGGCCACAGAAGAAACAATCTGGAGAGTGGTGCGAGAGAAACTGAAAGACTCCACAGTAATAACTATAGCTCACCGTCTGAACACCATTCGACACTGTGACAAAGTTTTTGTTTTCAAGGAGGGAGGGGTGGTCGAGTCTGGAAAGTTTGACACATGAAGACTGAAGCGTTTTACACCAGCCTTTTGTTGTTTTTGTTTTTTCTTAGAGTGAAATAGGATTGAGTGTCGTCAAATCAAAACTAAAGTTATCGGAATGGTCAGTTTACTTCCTGGCCGATATTCCAAGTATCGAAATGGAAGTGAGGGCACAAGTTTCTTAATCGTGGAATTTAAGGGGTTTTTTCTTTAATATTTAAAATAAAATAGAAAAGCCTTTCTACTACTTTGTCATTAGCAAAGATATTGTGCGACTGTTTTCTGCTTTATTCCAAAGGATTTGAATGTAATTCAATCAACTTTTCTTTTTCGGAGGTTATTTCTTCAAAAGGAAGTGAAGGCCAAGAAGCATGAAAATATTTTCTTCGAGAGAAGGCGGATCAGTTTTAGTATCTAACCCAACAGTAAGCCTAGAAAATTTTTATCAGTTGAATGTTGTTGGGTCAGGGGAGGGGTAGGTGGGCAGTTCCTCAGATACTGACATTGATGCATGTAAGCCATTAAATTCTACAAAAATTAACCGTATTTACTCAAGACCACCGGGAAGTACAGCACGCAATATTGCTATAAAATTCTATTTCAAAAAGTGTCCCGGTGTTTTAGCAGCAGTTATAGTACTGTAATTTATCCATCAATAGCAACAGAACCTTCAAACCTAGCAGCAATAAAAAGTTTTGCAAACTTTTCTTTTTCGGTAATCAAAATTTAGGTTTGATGTTTTCTTTTTTGTTTGTTTGTTTGTTTTTTTTATATAAAAGCAATAAATGCCATATATAACAGTGCATTACCGAGCATGCAAGTCTCTCCTACGCTTTGAGAGTTTTACGTCAAACTTCGAGAAGGTAAAGTTCTAGACTTACTTGCTTGAAAATCTGAGATACAGAGAGCATTTTCACTTAATCGGAGCCCGCGTTAAATCTTTGTCTTACCGGCTTTCCATCAAAATTACAATTTTCTGTTTCATAGAAATTTTTCTTAACTTTTAAACCCGCCATAAAGTTCAAAGCCTGGATAAACAGTTTGTTACCTTTTATTTCGCTGTGACCAAATGCCGGCAGCCGGGCACGGTCTCGAATAGACTAAATGCCTGGCAGTCAGAAATTTTCACAGAATTGCAACCGAAAGGTTCTTTCAAACTTCTTAGAATATCAGAAATTTGCTCAGAAACGCCAAGCGATTTCAAAAATTATTTTGGCTTTTTAGTGGACAAATACATCGCTCGGTTGTCGACACTTGAAAATTGTACGCTTCTGATCAGGCTGCCGCACACGGTAACAAGCCTTTGCATAATTATAAAAAACCCGCTCAAACCTTTTGGGTGATTTGAATTAAGAAAGCGCTGTTGAACTTCTTTGAAGACTCATTGTTTGACTTTAAAAAAAAAACACCAAAAAAAAAACTTGTGTTTCATTATTCCAAATTGCGCTCGAAATCATCTGATCGCCTGTACCAAAGAAATTCTGTTTTACGATTTAAGTGCGGTCGTCTGTAGAAGAGTGTACATATGCTAATCAAGCTTTCTAACAAGGGATTTCTGCGCGCTTAGTTCCATTAGTGATCAGGACTGCTTGCTGGTGTGTGACTCGTTTACGGAATTTTGTCGTTGGTGCAATTTCACCCATTACCTGCTCCCTCTAGGGAAAAACAAGCAAGGTTAGCCGGTAAGTGTTTATCTCTTGATCTCTTGACCATTTCCAACTTTAATTTTAACCTTGCCCGGCTAAAGGGCATTCAGTCACTGCGTATTTTCAACCGCACTCGTGCATATCCACACGCTGGCAACTATTTTGAAGCAGGCAAAAATAAATGACTTAGCGGTTTTAAAACCTTGAATTTTCTTTCTAAGTCCCCTTTAATATCAGTTTCAAGCCAAAAACAAAGGAGAAATTGCACCGATTAATTTCTTTGCCCTTTCTGATTTCCTTAGGAAAAAAATTCCCGGATAAATTTGAATATTTAAGCAAACGATCCACATTTTTAGCGGGCTTTTCGGCCAAAACTCACACTGAAAGTTTAGCTGAAATTACCAATAATTCCCCTTTCACGCTGTAGCAGGAACATTTAAACTGCAAAAATAAATATCTGCGAGGCGACAAAAAGAAAGAAAATAAAGACCAGACGATGCCAAGTCTCTGGGAAAAAATACGTTGCGTGACACAACCGTTGCATGTATTTTAATTTCGCTATTGACAACATTTCCCGTGTACATTTACATTTGCCAACAAAATTGTCACAGTGATAAAAATAATACTCTAAAGTTGGTTGTAGGTGGTTTCAGGTAGTTTCAGGTGGATTTTGGTCATTCCTTGTTTTAGTACCTATGGACACGACCGTTGCATCCATTCTCATCTCTAAAAAGCACGATCCCAGTATATCAGGGATTCCTGAATGCTACGAAATACACATTTGAATTCCAATAGCTATTAGATTGCACAGTGGGATGAGAATTTCTTCTCTGTGGTGGGATGTTAGAATCGATGGTCAAACTGTGATAACCAGGTCTGTATATGATGTTCAACTTGAGAAATTTACTTCTCCTCCCCTGAAAAAATGGAACGCCAGAGAATTGTCTTGAATTATGGGTTTTGGCACAGCTTTCCAAAACCCAGGCTTCTGATCCATTTTATTGACCTGAAGACGGGAGTAATACCATGGAGAGCGAGAGCTGGGAGGCATAAGGCCACAAAAGTACTGGAGCCGAGAGAACATGGTACAGGAAGTGGGAGACTGTCGCCTCCCCGTCCCCCCCCCCCCCCGCTCCACTTACATGGCACCACTAAGGGTCGATCAAAGAATGGGGAGACATAAATGACATAAAGTTGTAGAATATTGAAAAGTGCTCCACATTTTGTCAAGCATATAGGATAGAGGAATTTACAAGTCCTCACAAGGGTTATAACAGCTTTAGAAAAATCAAAGAAATGTGTTATCTGGCCTTAAGACGAAGAAATATCTAAGTCTCCGACAAGGTATCCCATCCCAAACTTGCGAATTATCCGCTCTGATGCTGTACAATGAACTCGATGGAGAGTTAAGCCATTATTAGGTTTATTTGTGACAAGCATCCTGTATATCGCTAGGACTGACAATGTCGAAGGTTCGGTAGTGAAATAAAAGAAGACTTTATCACGAGATGTGAAACGAGAGTGGGACAAAAAAATCTGATTCTTTTATGAGGAAGGAGTTTATCCCAATCTCTCACACTCTATTTACATTAATAGTGCTATTTAGTTCATGATTTTTTCAAATTTGATGTAGCAAAATGCGAAGCGTGACTTGGATTTATTAGTGAGAGATGATGATATTGATCATGTTTCATCGTTCTTCGGCTAAAGGTTTAGAGCTATGGCACCAAATGGTTACAAGAAGATCTCCTCCACCAGTGACTCTGCCGAGAAAGTAAGTTTTGTTTCTTTCCTCTTGTTGCAATGGATGAACGATGTCATGAAGACAGGCAGTAAACGAACCTTAGAGGAAGGAGACTTTGTACCACTCTCAAACGAGAACACCTCACAGTCAGCCACAGAACTTCTTGACAAAAAATGGAAAGAAGAAGTAGCTAATTCCATTAGGAAGAAGAAAACACCGAAGTTGTGGAAAAGTGTCTTGAGGATGATTTCCCTCAGGGAAGCTGTTTTCGTTGTTTGCTGTGATGTCTTGTTCGCAATCGGCTCCCTCCTTTCGCCATTGCTCGTTGGACATCTGATTTTCATGTTAATGTCACCTGAAACACATCAGAACAACATCCTTCATGGTTGCGTGTTAGCAATTGCGATGGCTGTAACCACTTTGGTCGGGAGCCTCGGAATGCAACATTACGGTTACGCGGGTGAAATAATGGGCATCAGACTGAGTAACGCAGCGCAAGGTCTCGTTTACAGGAAGGTGAGCACAAGTAGGGTAGCTGACTCGTCCCAAGCCTTCTCCATAATGTGCACGACGTTCACGTGGGGAAGAAAGGGGTGATGGGAAAGAGAAAAAGGCTCTCTGACTTTTTCCCATCCTGTTGCACTTGCCTGTGTTAGTTGCCGACACCGTTGCTTTGAAGAAGATTGGGGACGAGTCAGGGTAGGGTTGGGTTGGGTAATGGGAAAGAGCGCAATCTTCGTTAATTCTCTCGACACTTTTTCCTTCGCTTTTCGATACACTTTTGTTATTAACCCAAGATTATGAAATAGTCAGAGAAAGTTTTCAATCCAGTGTCTAAGTAGGTTATTTAGGACTGCATTCTCTCTTTTCTTGGCAACACTGTGAATCCGCAAGCCAGTATTAACACGGCGGAAAGGAGTAATCAGCATCGGAAATGTCTATGCCCAAGCTGAAGCTTCTATGAATTCATACGCTCTCGCAAACCTAAATAATAAGATTTTTCTTGGCACCTTAAGACTCCTCCAGTTATGCCTCTGTCTTGGGAGCGTGAGAGTTGGTTCAATCTGCTTGGATCAAGCTTGAATCCTCGATCTCGCGGGTGACAGTCGGCGTTCTAGCAATTAGGCTAAACTCAAGAGGCGGTCCTTATTAGCTCCTTAATGCATGCGATGAGAAAATGATTAGGAATTGAACTTTAAAAGTGCGAGTTTGTCTCTTCGTTTCCTCGGAGATGAGTAGAACTTGGTAACCACTTTCGAACTAAGCGCACTCGAAAAGCACCATCCACCTGCTATACACTAATCATCTTTAGTATATACTAGAACAGTGGATAACGTTGAAGGTGCGCTCTGATTGGCTACTCAAACTCCAAATATCCCTTGCTATTCACCTCTGAGAAACTTGCGCGGAATTTTCGCCTGAAAATCGTTGCAGGAATAAATGAGTTAAAATCATCTTTTGATTTTTTTTTCTCACTGTTTTAGTATATACTAAGGCAATTACTAACCTCAGTTTCGGTGGCTAACGGTGGGTATTTACCTCGCCATTTTGCAGCTCAAAATATATCTACCACTAGCCACCTTTACTTTGAAGAGTGGTGGTTAATAATTCTGATTGCTTTCTGCACTAAACATGGGTTTTCCTTTTCAAGAGATCAATTCTAGTATTGATATTGTTTCATTCTCAGATCTTACTGCTTAGCAAGAGCTCATTGTCAAAGTTTTCAGCGGGGCGTGTGATCGACCTGCTGTCAAATGATGTTCAGCGGATGGAGACAGCACCTAAATGGATTTTAGCAATAAATTCAGCCATACTCCAAATTGTGCCTGCAACGTTTATAATCGCGTATCTGATTGGCTGGCAGGCTCTTATGGGAGAGATATTTCTCTGGCTTCTTCTACCGTATTACGCAGAGATGTCTTCTGTCAATGCCGCACTGCGTCTGCGTTCAGCGGCGGAAACTGATATGCGAATTTCTTTGACGAATCAAGTGGTTTCTGGGATACGTGCTATCAAAGCGCGTGCGTGGGAGGATGAATTCAGAGAAAAAATAAAACACACACGAAAGTAAGGGAAATTTACAAACCTATTTAATTTTTTCAGATAACAGCAGAACATCTTCGCACCGATACGAAGGGATAGTATTAGTTTACTAGCGTGATAACTCATGCAAGATTTTGGGAGAACACTCCAAGAGTTTATAATTCACAAACTTAACATTTATGGGTGGCGAGGGTGGCTGTGAGGAAGGTTGGAGGTCATATTTAGGAATCATTTGTGATCATGGTGATGTACAGTTTATTGTGCTTTGCTTATTGTAAAATGTGTTCAGTTTTCATTGAGTTTTTGGGTGTAATAAACGATAGGTATCTGAACAACCACTGCAATAATTATGAGTGCTGAGTGAAGAGTGAAGACTGCAGAGTGCAGAGTTTCTGATCAGTACCTTCATTTTGTCCAAAAATGATAACAACAAATCTTTTTGTTTCTTTCAGACGAGAAATAAGCATCATCCGTAAGAAAAGTGCCATTCTCTCAGGTTTGGCTGCCTTGGAGTATACTTCAATACCAATCCTGCTGTCTGTTATTACTCTGATGCTTACTGGTCAATCCCTGGCACCAGTGAATGTTTTTATGCTCTTAATGTTTATTAATTTGCTAAGACTTCGAATTTGCTTTGGCATTGCGTATGGTGTGGTGGAGACACGGGAATCATTTGCATCACTCGGAAGAATAGAAGATTTTCTTATTTCAGAGGATTTGTTTTCCACCTCTGAGGATCATTGTCTACAAGGCAGAGGAACAGCTGAAGAGAGTAAGTCGGGCAAGTTACAAAACGATTCTACATCTATGAGCCAGTCGCATGTATCAGATGAAAATCCCCTTACTGATCAGTGGATAAACCCTTCTAAGCCAGGAACTTTATGTGTGTCGCATTTAACATATAAAGAAGTGGCGAGGAAAGATGAATTTATTCTTCAAGATGTGGGCTTCATTGCTGCATCAGGAAGCTTGACAGTTGTCACCGGACCAGTAGGCAGCGGTAAATCAACTCTCCTCTCAGCGATCGCTGGCGAGATATCAGACGTAGGCGGAACAATAAACCGTCAAGGAACTTTTGTGTATGCACCGCAAATAGCCTGGGTGTTCTCTGGAACATTAAGAGAAAATATTTTATTTGGAGAGTCGTGCGATGAACCAAGATACACCAGAATAATCGAGGCATGCGCCCTCACAGAAGACTTTCAGCAGTTTCCGAAGGGTGACCAAACCGTTGTTGGTGAGCGCGGTGCCGTTCTGAGTGGTGGTCAGCGTGCAAGAGTAAGCTTAGCACGCGCAGTGTACGTGGATGCAGACCTTTACTTGTTGGATGACCCTCTCAGCGCGGTGGACTTCAAAGTTGGTCGGCATATCTTTGAAAAGTGTATCAAGGGTTTGCTTGGTGAGAAGACCCGCCTGTTAACTTCTCATCAAGAACAACATATGAAAGATGCAGACCGAGTGATTGTACTGCACAAAGGTCGCATTCTGGGGAAGGGAACCTTCGCTGAGCTTCAAGGAAAAGGCATCTTAAATACCACCATCGACCCACTTTACAAGAATGCTTCGACAGAGAACAAGTCTAATGACATGGTCACCGCAAGGGAGGATGAAGAGAGACGCAGAGATTTAAAGCCACTTACAAAGAAAGACAATGAACTGGAAATATCTGTTGAAGATCGGGCAATCGGAACGGTGTCAAGTAAGCTTTATTGGGACTACTTCAGAAGTGGTATTCACTCCATCTTCATCATTGGAATGATTTTCTTGTGCCTTATTTCTCAAGGTGAGCACTAAAGAATTATAAAAGTGGCAAAAACTCAGCCATTGTTCGGTGCTGTCGAATGACATTTTCTCTCGGGGCGAACGAGCAAGCAAGCAACCAAGTCAGAAACTCCAACCCAGTTTGTTTTTGTCTTGAAGGAGCAAGAGGAAACTGGGACTGACGGAAAAAGGTGTGCAGAGGGTGATGGGAGATTCATGTTAAGACTAACAACCAATCCGCCATTTATGAGAGAGAGGTTGATGTCTTTTAAACCTGAGTTAAAAACTGTTTATTTCACCTGATTTAGACTGTTACGTAGATTATGAAGAAAATTGTTTCACTTTTGCGTATTTTTATCATTCACCATATTTTTTCGCCCTTTTTTAGCATCGATGGTTGCCCCTGACGTGTGGCTGTCCTTTTTGACCAGAAAACTTCCATCAGAACAGAAAGACAAGACAAATCTAACTATCTACGGTGGTTTGGTCGCTGCTTCCTTCATATTGGGCATTATCAGGGCCTACATTTTCTTTTTGGTTTGTCTAAGAAGCTCTGAGCGTCTTCATGACAAAATGGTTGTGGCTCTTTTAAAAGCGCCGGTTCTTTTTTTCGATTCAAATCCTGTGGGTAGAATCCTGAATCGATTCTCTAAAGATGTGGGTAGCATGGATGAGTTATTACCATTACAGTTTCTAGCTTCAATTCAGTTGGTATTGCTGTTGCTCTCATCAGTTATCGTTCCTTCTGCTACAAATCCTTGGGTTTTGTTTGTTACCGTTCCAGTGACGGCCATGATTCTTTACTTTGCAAGATTTTACTTGAAGAGTTCCAGAGAACTAAAAAGGTTGGAGTCAATATGTCGAAGCCCAGTCTTCTCTCACGTATCAGAGACTCTTGATGGACTGGACACAATTCAAACAAGAGGTAGACAGAGAGATTTTATGGACAAATTTCACAAGTAAGTTCGTGCAACTTTCCAAGTGAGCTGGGAAAGTAAAATCTCAAACTCAATTCAGGCTCGAGACGCAAAACTTTCACAGTGCAGGGGTTGTGTTTGGCATCTCGAATCATCATCCGTAAAAGCCCCTATCTCCTTCCTCCTTCCTTCCATCATAGCCTCTCCCCCCCCTCCCTCCCCCCTCCACCTTCCTCTTACAACGCTTTAAAAATTGTAGACATGGAATGCTTGGTTGATTGGGGCACTGGATTCGGTATTCAGTCCCAGCCTCAAATTCGCCCCTCTACCTGATAACTTTTTTTCCTCGGCGGTCTCGTGCTTACTATTCTGCTACGTCGTTTTTTTTCCAATTTACATTTCGTTTACAAAATTTCGTTCATCATGGTGATGGCACCCTTTGCGCAACGCTTAAAGAACTTGCTGCGCAGATTTGGCATTTGAACTCGAGATGATTTACTTTAATTTTTTCTTTCCCTACGGACAGTTACCAAGACACTCACACCCAGTCCTTTATCATGGTGACGGCGAGTGGCAGATGGTTCGGTGTTCGTCTGGATGCAATAATTTCTCTTTTAATTGGCTTGGTTGTCTTAGTGGCAGTTTTAGTATCTCAAGATGCCGGTATGTAAAGTTCTAACCAAAGTAACTGCACCGTTACTCGCTCATGTACATCCAAAAGCTGCGATATTCCATGTGATAATTCTGTGTAAAGAATCTTTCCATGTGTAGCGGGGAGACAAAAACAAGTCGTTGTAGCCCATTTCATCACTATCTTTATGAGGACGAACTGAGACTAGTTTAATTTTAAAAAAATTTTTTTTAAAGTAATTTAGTCTATCACACGAGTAGCGTCGCGGTAGCAGGTAACCGCGACGTGCTGTGTCGTATCGAGTCGTGCATAGTTTTACCGTTAAATTTTTGGTAATTTTTTCTGCGTGACTTGAAGGAAATCAACAGTTAATTTACAGATTTTTTTTCTATTTAGCTTCCACTGGGCTTTCTCTCGCTTACCTCATTCAAACAGTGACCCTGACGCAATACGCCGTCAGAAAATCATCAGATGTCGAGAATTTTATGACTTCGGTTGAACGAATTATTACCTACACCAAGCTTGACGCTGAGCCTGGATACCAAGTGGACACACTTCCCCCGGAACACTGGCCATGCGAAGGAAATATCACATTCCGCGATGTGTCGATGACGTATTACCCAGGAGGGCCTAAAGCGCTGAGGAACATCAGTCTTGACATCAAAGGAGGCTCAAACATAGGTGTTGCAGGCCGCACGGGCGCCGGCAAATCATCTTTTGTCGCAGCTCTTTTGCGCATGCCCGACCCCGACGGAGAGATTTTGGTGGACGGAATTCAGATAAAGAATATCAATCTCCGAGCAGCTCGCGGATGCATCTCCGCTCTTGGCCAAACTCCGGTGCTTTTCAGTGGATCATTGAGGAAGAACTTGGATATTATGAAGCGCTTCCAAGATGCAGATCTGTGGCGAGTCTTAGAGGATGTGCAACTGAAAGATTTCGTACAAAGTCTTGAGGGACAATTGGATTACGAATTGTTGGAAAATGGAGCAAATGTCAGTGTGGGAGAACGGCAGTTGATTTGTTTGGCTCGTGTTCTGTTGCAGCAGAACAAGATCATCATCTTGGATGAACCCACTGCACACGTGGATCCAGGGACAGAAGAAACAATCTGGAGAGTGGTGCGAGAGAAACTGAAAGACTCCACAGTAATAACTATAGCTCACCGTCTGAACACCATCCGACACTGTGACAAAGTTTTTGTTTTCAAGGAGGGAGGGGTGTTCGAGTCTGGAAAATTTGACACATGAAGACCGAAGCGTTTTATAACTGATATAGCATGGTTTTTATAAGTAACTAGTTATGATTAGTATCCTTTCATTTAATGTGTGGTTTCGCTGAATCAAAACCGAAGTATTTACTATGGCCACGGTCTATATAGTCTCAAAAAGAGGGAACTGAGAGGGAATTTTTTTAAAAGTTAAAAATCGATATTTAGGGAGACATTGGTGGCATGGGGAAGGAAGGAAACTGTCCTTATACTTCCTCTGAGTGTTACTTCGCGAAAAGCGATCCAGATGAAACCTGCAAATTTTGTTCAAATCAATTTTGCGCTGAGCTTGCGATAATTTCAAGGCCAAAAAGTTGGGTATCAGTCCCACACAATTAAAGGTAGGATAGAGCGTGTTTCCGCCCTGTTTTACGCCCGCCTCTGTTAGTAGTCACCTGCTTGTTTTGCAGGCTAGGAAAACTGGTTTAAGTTTACTGTCAGCCTTCTGGGGAAAGTGATTTTAATCAAAATCATCTTACCGAACTGCAGCTTTCCCGAAGTTTCTTTCAGCATTTAAAAATCCTCCGCAAATACGAAAATCTGAGTGAGGTGAATCAAACCATTTGAAACTTTCCTCCCATTTAATTTTTCAATTAAGCCTTATTTTGATGTAATTTACCTAGTTTCCCTTCCTATATGCCTTGTAATTATATAAAATGGAGCCTTTGGCCATGCAGTGAAGGAGAAATTCTGCAGTCGAGCTTTCTTTGGTAGTCTTTTAAGATTAGTGTCAAGTACTTTAGTTCACCGAAAAGAGCAAAATACTTCAATCCAGTTATTTCACATCAGAAACGTCATGTTTTCACAACTTTTCCCAAGTGCTATAGAATCATCTTCAAAACGACCAAAAAAATTTAGAAACCTTAGTCGGGTTAGCAGACTATGAACAAACTTTGTTTAACAAGAACCTGGATTAACAATTACGAAAGATAGTCATCTTAATCCTTTCACTCCCAAGAATTCATCTGTAATTCTCTTTACTGTCTGCCATACAACTCTTATGATGTTACTTTGGAGATTTTGGTATTGGATCAATTAATTTTTCCTCAAGTGATTTTTTTTTATTCTCATCACTTGTCTACTTAATATCGTATTGATACTTTTAAGGAGAAATTCTGTCTTGGTCACTTATACTTCAGTGGTCTCCTATTCCTCATAAAAACCTTCATCTTCTGATTCATCAAAGTTGTTATTATCATGATCTTCTATCCAAAGCTGCATCAACTCCTCAATTTGGAGATCGGATTCGTCAAGCTCGTTCCCGTAAGCCTCAAGCGCCAGAACACCAAAACCAATGAAAACGCTCAAAGCAGCAGCAGCTAGAAATTTAGGATTACGGTGTCTTGCAAAGTGCTCAGAAGCAAGAACGGCATAAACCGTGCCATATCCAAAATGAATGAAAACACTAGGATCAGTGGTTCCGGGACGATCAGGTAAAACACCAGCAAGAACAGGATGAAGAGCAGGAACAGTTCCATCATCGACAAGAACACCTTCTCTATCAATCATGTAAGGAACAATTCTGTATGAACCTGGAGCGACATAACCATCAACCCCAGCAGCACAAACCTCAGCCATGTCAGCGAGAAAATTATGCACCAAGAAGGGCACCTGCTGAAAACTTGAAGCAACAAGACGATTCCCAGAGTCAATGAAACCATTCACCCCTGTAGCAACAAAATCCAGGCAAGCCTGAAATATCCTATCGTAAATGTCAACATAAACATTAAATGCAGTAGCAACAACAGCACGAACCATGTCAGCACCCTCAACTTCATTAGCAGCAGCCATAATTTCATCAAACCCATCCGCCCCCACATCAACAACATTTACGAGTGTTTCAAGAAACCCTTCCCTAAGAGTCTCGACTGCATGCGTAGCGTCAAGCCTTGCAATATTTTTAACCATGTTAATTCCAGCAGCGATAATGTCAATCGCAGAAACGACAACAGCGTTCATCTCAGCAATAATTTCATTAGCCACAGAAGGGACGTCATTAACATCAGCAGCGGCTCCATCAACCACAGCATCAACATCATCAGCAACAACACCCAGATCATCGATCGCAACCGCACCATCATCAACCCCGGCCGGACCATAATCAACCACAGCATCATCGTCATCGACCCTAACAGCAAAACCATGACCCACAGCGGCACTAACACCTTTAAATCTAGCCGTAACATCAACCGCAGCACCAGCGTCGACACCAATGTTATCATGACAGGACTCCTTCACTGCAGACAATCCATTCTCTATGACTAGCCTCTTCAAGTCCAGTTTCTTTGTTCCCTCGAAGGACGCTGTATTGTTCTGCTCTCTCAGTTCTTGGTCGACTGATTTAAGGATTCCGCATCCTGGACCTTGATATCTTTTAAACATGGCAAATTTATTCCAAAAGGAATTAGATCCTTTAAATTCCTGGGTAACATTTGTAGCCTCTTTTTCTTCCCGTTTTCCATCTTTTTGTGTCTTCTCGCTCTCCAAAACTGAAATTATTACAAAATAACCTGATAACGGCCGTGATCTTCAATATCTATTTTTTCGTAAATAGATTTTTCTGTATTCTTGTTCGAAACAAATACCTTTAATACAGCGCTCATCTAAAACACCTGACAGAGAAGCCCATTGTTCGTTTCCAAATAGGGGTTAACGCACGCTAATGCTGTTTCCTTTCCACCCGCCCCTTAAGTTAGCCTTCGTCAAGTTTCCAGGCGTCTCTTGTTCGTTCACGCGCGCCCAATTTACGCTTCGTCGTGCGCGCGCGTTTAACGTACGGCCTTTTTGAACATGACCATATTAATAGCAAATTTCTAAAGAGATTAAATATGCAGACAATCACGAGGTTTAAGAGACAGAGGCAATCGATCGCCCTCGCGAGTTTCAAGCAGTTCCATCTTATTAGTGATACGTTTTTAGCTCGCTACGTTGACATCTCGGAAATTTTCACGTCACGTATCTTAGCAACTAAAGATAAATAAACAAAGAAGTAGATAAATTTTTATCAAAGAGCAGTCCATTCTTCAACGCCGTTTTTTTAATATTTTACCGCATCGCTGTCTATTACGAATGCAGCGCGCCACTAAAAACGCCAATTCTTCAATTGAAGACCGAAGGAATTACGTAAATAAAAAGAATTCTTACCTTGATTTCCGAATGTAATAGGGAACTTGTAAACCTTTTTTCTGGGAATAAAACCCACAGTGAGGACAGTCAAGGCAGTAGCGAAAATCTGGTGAAAGCCGCCTGGCCGTTCCTCGTATTCTTTCTTCCTTCTTTGCCGAATATCAATAATTCGGTCAAGTTTTACCTAAAATGAGAAGAACAGGATTTACCCACGCACGGACTGAACAAAGCATCATAAACTGTAACCTCTCAAAAGAAGAAAACACTTATCTATTAAAAAAAGCAGAATTCACACCAACCATTTCGGGGAAGTTTTTAGTGGGCTCTAACACACGAGCAAAGTAATTCTCAACCTTTTTTGCTCACAATAACTCATTAACTGTTCAGCTGTAAGCTGGAGCGCAATCTCTTACAAACTTGCACATTTGAGCAAGAAAAGTGATCTCTGCTTTTATGACGTTTGCATTTATTTCGGCGCGCTCTGTTCGTTCGAATTTTTGCGCATGATGTAATCACCGTAACCTATCGAAACAGCAACTGTCGATTATCTCTTAAATTCAATTTATTTCACTTGAACACTTTTAAAAATTAGGAAACACTCTTATTATCTTAAACGTGCTATCAAAAACCGATTAAAGGGAACCCAAAACATTACTTCAGTAAGTAAACCATCTTTCCTTGAAGCCTGTTACCTCGGAATTTTGGCTCTTTAAGATATCGGCTCTCAGAATTCATCGTATCTTTTAGCCTGACTCCATCTCCAACAATGAGCAGCACAGAAGAACAGGTACAGAACCCATCACCCAGCAGGTCCAGAGAAGAAGGTGGCGATGGATCGGCCATAAGCTCCGAATGCCACCATCAGCCCTGCCCCGAGTCGCCCTCTAATGGGTTCCCGACGGCCGACGAAAGAGAGGCTGTTGAAAGATAACTTGGAGGAGAACCACACAGAGGAAAATTAGGTACAGAGGCTGGATATGGGGGCCGCTTGACCGACTAGCAACCGATAGAAATTAATGGCGTTCTCTTTCCGAAGCCTTATGTGCATAGACGCATGAAGAGGAATAGCTACCTTTTACAGAGCGTTGCAACGCCATAAGTGGCGGCTGTTCCAAGTAATTTAGATTTCTCGAAGAATGTGTTTTTGCAGTAGAGGAAGTGCGCATATTCTGCTGTGTGAAACGAACATTTTGACGGTGTAGACTTGGGAAAGTAAAGACAAAACTAAATTTTTCGGAATTAATTAAATTCGTTATCAGACTTTGAGACAGAAATACTGAAAAATAGAAGGCCACATGTACAGATTTAATTAATCTCGATCGATCATTTATTTGTTGGAAAGAAAATTGAATTAAACTCAACAGAATTTAGTGCGCAAATCGAAGAATTCCTCAGCCTTCTAATTAAAAGGAATTTGTCAGCAACTTCAATTTAATAATTCTAGACTTTATTACAAATTTTCGGAGCAAAGGTCTAAATATCAAAGACACATATTCAACCATAAATTCTCTTTAGAGGTTTCAGCGTTTAAATTTTAAAAGATGTTACAATGGCGTTCCGAAGAATCAGTACACATCCAGCCATGGTCGAGAAAACAGTAAGAGCTATGATAGGCAAACTGTGTTCCATTTGTCCAATGGGGACCTGTAGAACAAGGCTCGTGCTGGACTGTGACTGATCCTGAAGAGAAAGAAGGGAATTAGACGGTGCAGGTATACTTTACTAGGGGGAGAGGAAAAAAAAGAACTAAATCATTCCATGTTTCAGTTTCATTCACCAAACACGACGATTTTGACAAGGCTGAATTGAACAGTAAACAGAATGGCCTTTTCTACCGATCAACTGCTTTTGACGTGTTTGGAAATCGAAATTTGTTCACAGCCTGTGTCAGTTCACCCTCTATCCAACCTAAAGGGAGGTAATTCACACGAGAATACAAGACTGTGGGACAGCCTCTGTTAGTTCAACCTTCACCCAACCGGAAAAGGCCTTAATCACGAGAGGATGCAAGATGAAAGACTGCCTCTAAGAAGAAGGGATTTCAACTTGAGAATGCCAGGATGTGTGATGCCTTTAACTAACGTAGGGATAGATATTGTAGATAAAAACCTCTCATTCTCTGCAACAATACCTTGCTCATTGATTTTAGTACAATCCAGTCACAGGTTGATAGTCGTTTTGCACCACAAGGAGCTTGTATCAAGTCACTTTCACAGCGATTAGGTGGAATGGCGACTCCTGTATGCCAAAAAAAAAGGAGAGACATCAAACAATAATTTCAAAGGGCGTGTAATTGAAAGAAAAAAGGGCTTCTCCCGACTGAGAACAAAAAATTCCCGAGGACGAAACTTTCAGCGTCTAAACCCTTAGATGATATCAGACCCCACAATCAACATTGTCCCCCAGTTAATGGCCCTTTGATATGATAACTGAGTCGACAACTTGATATAAGTATGGTTACTCAGACGATAATAGATTTGCGCATGTTCTCACCTACTGAAAGGTTTGTAGTACTCTTTAAAGCACACATTTTGAGAATGACCATAACGAAATTACATATTGACGATTTTGGAGATGGAGAACAAAAGAAAGTGAATTATGTTGCTCAGAACCATCAGTCCGTGAGGATCTTTCCTTTTTACGGACTGAGCTCTTGGCTCTTGGGGTCTGAGTTTTCGTCACATCCCTCGGAACACAAGAAGTTGCAAAGAGGACTTCATTATTTTCGCTGGAAGACCCGTGTTCCTCCGCCCGCAGGAATTTTTAAGACAAGTCGGGGAGAGGTTTGCGGGGAGTCTGACACTAATATCGCTGCAGGTCGCGCGTTTTTCCGCGCGAGGGAAAAGTCTGGCATTGCTAAACCCCTTGTAGATCTCTCGCAGGTTCGCACAGCCCAAGGCCTCCGGTTACGCTGTATTGACCACATCTCATAAAATTGCGAATCGACCGCTCTCAAGGACCCTAACACCGCAAGAAATAGAACGTTCCTATCTAGTTTTCGACCGAAAGTGGAACTGAGATGTAAAGAATCCCCACTTTCTCTTAAAACACGGCAACATCAGAGGAACTCCTTGTTTATGTAAGGCTTAAGGTTGTTCCAATGGTGACGTCACTTACCCTCGTCCCCAGGGCTCTCTCTTTTCGCGGAACCCGGAAACAGGTTGTTGTGTACTCTTCACTTACTCTCGGATTGAAACAGTCTCATGCTCGCTTGGAGCATGGAAAATACAGAAAATTAAGACGACTTATAAGCTGACATATTTCAAACCCCCCTTATTTAACAAGGAAACATCAATACTTGAGCAGACATGTCAGAAGCCGGATCGTGATGTCCGAGCAGAGCGGTATGTCAGATGTTCCAGCAGAAATTAATGATCTTTGTTTATCAGGTATGTTTGGAAAGATCATTTGTTGTGTTTTTGGCGCTACCGTGAATGTAAAAAATTCATAGGCGTTACAGAAATGGTACAGAAAAAATCTTCGAAACTTCACTCCGGGCTTGGGGTAATGTGATGTTGATGAGGACCTTGTTAACACAATGGATGCAGTATGGCTCGCGATCACGTTTGCTGGAATTATAATTTCTTACTTTAAGTTAGCTTAAACTTTTAACACTGAGGAGCATAGACGCTGCGGTTATAGCGGGTTTCGCCCATAACGAGTTTCGCACATATCGTTTCGCCCAGAACGAGAATGGTTTCGCCCAGAACAATAAAGGTTTCGCCCATAAGTAAAACTTCTACACTCTCACTCGGAAAACGTCAACCTTATAAACTTTTGTATGCACAGAATGAAGAAAAGTGACTTGACCTGAGATCATGAAATTTTGAAACGAACAAGTTACTGTTGAAACGAACAAGTCAATTATAGCTTTCACTGTGGAGCGGGGATTGTTAAGGTAATTCGCGCACGAAATACTGCAGAGACGTCCGTTTGTCATAAAAGCATTGCTATGATTTTTTTGCATCACTTTTCTTCTCGAGAATTAAATTAAACGCTTTTGAAAACACTTGCGCGTGGAACATATCATCGTTGCAAATCTTTTGTACACGGAAGATAAGTTCCGCACGCCAGCTTATGAATACATGTGAATACGGTTTCGGGAATACTAAAACAAAGGAATCGAGAGTTAAAGATTGTATTTCTGACATAGGTAACGGCAACATATAATTGGAAAAGAGATAGAAACTAATCAAGTTCATGAGTGCGTTTGCGTGGAATAGCTTTACTACTCCAACGAAGCGTGCGGTACGAAAGCTTTAACTTAAAGGAAATTACCGTCTTGCACAAAAAATCTCAATCAAACCTTATCAATAGAATTTGAAAAGCTTACTCTTGCAAAAAAATCTCACCTTTTCACTAGTCAATAGAATTTGAAAAGAACCGAAGTTCACTCCTGCCAAAAAAATCTCACCTTTTCACTAGTCAATAGAACTTGAAAAGAACCGTTGTTTACTCTGGCCAAAAAAATCTCACCTTTTCACTTGTCAATAGAATTTGAAAAGAAAACTGAAGTTTACTTGGCACGCTATTGTTTCCAAAGTGAAGTCAAATGTAATTTGAATACCAATAGTAATTGTGTTGTTTATGAATAGACGCGCGGTCCTAATTACAATTTGTTAACTAAATAAAATATTGAGAAATTGAATATAGGAAAAGGAATTATTAGTAAGTTAAGTTATGGATCATTCAAATGCAGGATAAGGAAGGTTCGAAAGGAATAGTAGTTGAATCAGTTAGTTTGTGAAGATAGAAATGTAATAAGAAATTAAGCTGTAATGAAAGTGTAGGATAACGAATTATGAGGTATTATGAGAATTATGGTAGGATATAAGGGATTAAGTTTACCGAGCATTTGCATTTATTCATAAAGTTATTTATTTTAAAGTTAGATTTTAGTCTTAAGAATAAAATTGCTTTCTTTAAAACAGTTGTTGTTTTTTTTCATTTCGTTATAAGCTGTTATAATGCTCCAGTATAAATTACAGTGGAATACAGATTTTTGGAACCTCTGGGGAATTGAAAATTGTTTCAAGAAATCAAAGGTTGAAATGAAGTGTTCGACTAAGAAAGGAAAGTTCAGATGAGAGACGAGAATATTTTCTGCAAAGACACATTTCTTATGATAATTTAAACACAAAGGCATAATTGTTACTAAGAGTTTGTAAATTGCATCCACTAAGATATCTGACATCAAGTTGCACTTTTAGTTACAGTTACATTTTGTAACACCATACAACTGTTGGTACTGACCACCTGACAATTTCCATCAATTTCCATCATGTGTGAAATAGTAAGACAACAACTTTTGTTTCATGTTTCGGTTTTTTCCCTAAAACATGGGGTCAAATGGTGTCCTTTGGACATAAAGGCCCTTACTAGTATAAACTATGAAATCACACCATCTTTTAGTGGCTCGTGCGTAATAAGAATGGTCTTCTTCAACAACATTTCTGTCTTTACCCGTTGTGGTGTACTCGTACACTCGTTTCACAAGCTCTGCTTTCGTTCTCAGACCTTTGCACAAATCACCACTGCACCTAACCCACAATCGAAATTCTGCGGTTTTAGCTCTTCAGGCTTTCGACCAAGGACAGAAGCACGTGGAATGTCATCTTACGTGCGCAATTTCGCATAATAAACGCCACGCATCGAGGCCTGTCCGACCTCGTTTTCGTGCTAGTATTCCCAGGCCCCGCGCTACGTCCGCCATTATGAAAGTCGTGTATGAACATTGTATGAACAGAAAACAAAAGCCCGGTTACCGGGCTCATCTAAAGCATATGTCTAAAGAGGCCCTTAGCCTGGATAATCACTGACTGTCAGTCTGGGCGAATCGAATTTATGCCTGGGCGAAACCATTCTCGTTATGGGCGAAACGCTTCTTGGGCGAAACTCGTTATGGGCGAAACCCGCGGATACCGACGCTGCAACCCCTGAAAGATTATAAAAAAGGTATATGGGTATTCAATAAGAATTGATGAAGGTTTCGTTGTTTATTGCCAGGGCTAAAATGTGTTTTATTCGTTCGTATTATCAACAAACCAGACGAATTGTGAGGGGAAAAAAACGTGTTTACAAGACAAAATCGACTTTCTAATGATCTTCCAGAGTTTTTTTCGCTTGGCATGGAAAAGTACCAAAATTTTTTTAAGGCTAACCTTTCTTGAAAGCTGTAATCAACATTGGAATCTACCCTATCACCCACTTGATCTCTCTCTGACTCTGCAAATCCCACATCAATTTAACGTTTCCTAAACTTTGTTATTTGCAGTGCCATTTGTAGTAGAGGAATGGGATGAGAAAGCTAACCTCTCCCCACATCATTTGTCTTACATCATCACCATTCTTCTGCCCCAGCAACTGGTAACTTTAGAGCGAGACATTGACATAGAATCACAGCTCAAAGCATTTTGTGAAAAGAAACACATAAATAATGCAATACCCGTTGGCAGTTCAACAGAAGGCTTTAGTATTCCTTATTCTATGTCGTATGAAGTAGATTCTCATCTTGGCACTTATGTTGATGCAGATGTACTGTTTGTTGAGAATGATTTCCAGATATCCACAAATGATCCAATCCAAGATGTGGATACCCAAGCCATATTAGAATCTGATGATGTTCATCCAGGTTATTGCAGAGTGAGGCTACTAAAGCACAGTGAGGATCGAAAAGATGTTGTGACTTGCAATGATAAAAAATACCTGAGCGGACACCGAATTCAGAACTCAGCTCTCAAGAAGATGACCAGTGGAAGATCTAGAGATGACCAAACATCCATTGGTATTCATGGTCCAGCAGTGTCAGTTGAGTATTCCACTGTCTTAAATGCTGACAATATACAAACCTATGGTGTTAGGATTCCACTTGACATGGTTTATGCAGTTCAGGTCAAGCAGTGGCCCCCAGAGGCAACTGAATGGGTCCAAAGAGTGAAAAAAGGAAACTGGCTTGGAGATGATTTGATTGAATCCATTGTGTCAGAGGGATGCCACGTTGTGCCAGTTGCACACAAGCACAGCCTCAATCCAGACATAGAATGGAGAATTTCTTTTGCAGCTACAGAAAAAAGAATGGCAAGGAATGCTGTAACTGATGGTCAACGTCAATGTTATATCTATTTCAAAATGCTGCAGCACCTTTGTCTCAAAGATTTGGAGGTGATTTCTTCATACTGTTTGAAGACTGTGTTTTTCTATGCTTGTGAGGTTATTCCAAAGGCCCTCTGGGAGACTCATACTGGACGGTGCTTGTTGTACCTGATTGATAGTTTGATTTGTTGTGTTAAACAAAGAAACATCCCCAGCTTTTTTGTACCTGGCAATAATCTCGTAGATAATGTGCCAGAGGAGAAATGGAAAGATGTGGAGTCAAGGCTCCTTGAAATAAGGAAAGATCCCATAACACCAATTTTGAAGTTTACAGACACAAATGCCATCAGCAATACAGAGATCCCCTTTGTTTTTCGAAAAAATGTTGCATTTGTTTTGGAAGACATGGAAAAGTTCAAAGTCCACAGAGACATTAGAAGTTCTGCATTTGATGCGTTTTTCACAACCACCTTTAGAATGAGTCTGCTGTACTTAAACCAAGGTCAACCAAAAAGTGCTGTTCAGATTTTGATGGATTCGTATCCTATGCTTAACCATTTCCTTGGACCCATGCCACTTGTTTACTTTCTAAATGAAGCTGCAATCCTGATCCAAGATGGCCGGCTTTACCTTCTTTTATTTCAAGAGCTCCTTGGAATGACTGACCAACATCCTGATTTTAAGCTGCTAGAGGGAAATCTGGCTTGTGCATACCATGCAGCCTCTTACACCTATCCTGAGGAATCTTCAGAGAGAGCTGAATATCTTCAGAAGGCAGAAGAACTTATTCTGGAAGAATTGAAATCTCAAGACCTCAGTTCTTGTGGAACTCAGGTCACATTTGCCACCATTCTGATGTCACAGAAAAGATACAAAGAAGCAATACAAATCCTTGAAACTGTTGTGAATGTAGCCAGCAAAAGTGCTCAGGAAGAAATTCAAAGTGATGTGACAGAATTTGGATTCAGCGAACAAAAAGTGCTTGATGAAGATTTGCAATTGGAAATTTCAGCTCATATGAAAATAGAAGGGCCATCCTTAATCTTCACATTTTATTTTCTGGTCAGATGTTTAGTACAAGAAGATGAAGTTACAAAACTAAAGGCTATTTTTGAAAAATATCAGAAGGTGTGTGACCTGTGTGAAGATATCACTGGATATAAACTTCTTGGTTATAGCTACTATCAAGTAGGAGACAAACACAAAGCAAGAGAAGCTTTCATGTCTGCTTTGCAGAAAATGCCAGGAAGCAAACTTCTGATATCAAACATTAAAAAATGTTCAGATTTACCCTTTGACCCTGAGAGTGACTGACATCTAATTTCTTCTTCAACATTACACCTGAATCAAACATTAAGGTCAGGAGAATAGAGGAAATGATCACATACTTATGAAACTCTTGATTGTTAAACAAATTCTCCTTGTCAGCACTTACAAAAATGTATAGAGAACTGTATAGAGAATATGCATACTGATGTTAGGGTGTGAAGGATTGACAAAGTCTACCTCTGGTTGTTTTACCTCACAAGATATGCAATCATGAAGGATGACAATTACAATTATGACGACTAATGATTTATTTACTAGTGTCTTTTTCATGGTATTTTTTAAACCTTAAATTCCCAGGGGTGATTCACAAGTAACTTCTCCCTACAATATCCATACATTATCCAGCAAACTCGTAATGAGAGTACTCAAATGTATCAGGTAGAAGTTGTCATCTTGATCTAGAACCAAATTCTTGCAACTTATTTACAAGGAAATGTGTAGCAGCTAAAGGGGAGAATTAACAATCAGATCCTGGGAGTAATAAAGGGTTAAGCACCAGACATCTGACGATTCTTTGACCGGCCACTACACCGAATTCTTTAGCAACATGTTTTATTGGTACATGAAAAATCCCCCTCTTTTTCTCTATACTATCCAAGTATTATCCTGAAAGAAACCCTCCCTTCGTATTTGAATATAAGCACAGATTCATTAAATTAATTATACAGAATTGTCCAACAAAGCTTTGTATCTTAAGAGTTTTACATACCATTAGTACATCTTCCAAGGACTTTTGGAGGTGGAAGTAACACTGTAGCAAATTTTGCATCACTAGCAGCCTCATGGTATCGTAGATGAATTGGAATGGTAATGTTTGCACTTATAATACTCACTCTATACAGAAATAAAAAATCTTGTTTTAAAGTGGTGAAAGAATATGGACACCAGGTCACGACTCTTATTCAGTCTATGATGAGAAAATATGGCAGGCATTTTTCATGGCTGAATAACTACTGAGAATGAATTTTTTTTAACAAATTTGATTTTCAGTTTTCATTCCTTCAAATTATGACAAGCACAAGGAAGAGGGGAAAAAAGCCAAAATGAAAGAAAAGCAATTAAAAAATTGAATGTCAACTAAGATTTGTGTTATTGTTGGCATTACATTTCATTGGACTGGAATAAAGTTATGGTCTACATAAAAAGGAAAAAGATATAAACACAGAATTTTGCAGCATCCTACCCACTCAATTAGCCAACTATGCAATAAAAAACTCAGTGGTACATTTCTTTCTAACTCAAAACTGTCTTGTTTAATTCAATCATATTGATGAAAGGACCTTCTTAATGAAAAGTAAGGGACTTACTTTGAGTCAACAGCTATCCTTGGAAATACAAACATCTCACTTGAAAAGCTGTGATGAGCCAGGGCTTCAACATTTACACTCTCTTTAAATAATACCTGATGAGTGACAAACATGTCGAAAATAGCTTCCACAGTAAGTTTTCATGTAATCAGGATGTTTCTAATTTCCTATCATCTGATTACGATGTCTTTACAACTGTCAATAAGTGTTTTTTTCTGGAAATACAAAAACTGTCTCAATAAAAAAAGCTTTATTCCTCTCTCTTCGCAAGAACTTAATATGACCAAATGACTGATGTATGGTTTATCATTGTGCCACACAAAGCAACATGCTCATAAATTGGTAGACAACAGAAACCCATGAAGCAAATGACAGAGAGACACTTGGTAAAGTTGTAACTCTCCCTCTGGCTCACTCACAGAGACATCTCTAAGCCCATCTACAACAGAGTAAAGATACTCTGCAAGCATCATCAAGTGTATGGCGTAAATATATTTTTGCTATATAGGGCTGTTCAATTAAATATTAAGGATGGACCTTAATCAGACCCACACTAATGAAGTGCTTATCACAGAGGAAGACAACAAAATAAAAATCCGCCATTTAACACAACCTAAGTATCACTAGTAAACTTTGATCTGACCTCAGGGCCTCCAAACTCCTCTTCATTCTTGACCTGATCAGGATCAATGTAAATACCACTTGGAAATTGTTCAACCAGCAAAAGTTGACAATCCAGCAGATTGTAATGCTCACCAAAACTGCTTAAAATGTCCCATTCAATGTAGGTAATCAGATCTCTAAAAATCAAACACGTTTTTCTCACAGTTATTAGTTATCGTGGGGATTATTGAAGGCTTACATATAATAATGCTTGTAAACTAAGCATCAAATTTATTAACGTGTATCCAATTTTATAGCGTAGATTTTATTCATCAATCCGTTGAGTGAGGAGTGGGATTGAAGAATATCGACAAATTTCGGAAAAGGACGAGTTATCCTACAAAATTTCTATATTGTTCTAACATAGGAGCAAATTAGAATGACTATCCCAGCGTGTAAACTAAATAAATAAAACAGAAAAGAGTGCAAACTAATTCAGACAGACTCATAGCCACAGAAATGCTACTCTTTGCAATTTCCTTGATCCATAGAAGGATACAATCTGATATTTAAGCTGGTCATCGGTGGAGATTAGCCCAATTCGTTTTATAAACACAGCTGGCAACTTTTGACATGTGTAAGGCGGCTGTGAAAATTCTGACCTGTGAAACCCTGACTTTTGCTGCGTTCTTTCCACAACTGCCTGGTCGCAGATCTTTTCACTCGATGTACAGGATTCAAGCGATAAAAAGAAAATGAAAATAATGGACAAGAGCTTTGTTTCTAGAACAGCTCTACAACACATTTTACGAAACATTGCACATACAGGATGCTACTAAATAATTGTGAAGGAGATTCCCTGGAAATGTGCGAGGAAGCGTCGCGCATAGGATTCAAAGGAAATCACCTGACCAAATCAGCAGGCTCATAAATTGCACGTGAAAGATGGCAGATCTTCGAGAACCTTTCGAACTGTGTAAAGTCTTGCAAAATGGCTCGCTTATTGGAATATCAAGACTAACTGGAGATGAAAATGTTCTCCTTACGTTTAGTGATAGAAGAGTTCTTGTTTACAATGTGAGTATGGCAACACTGAGGAGAGAAGTTGAAGAGTAAATGCCCATTGAAACTTAAAGTTGTCCTAATTCCTGTGGATGAAAATCCAAGTATTAATGTAATGCTTTTTTTATCACATAGCTGCAACATCAGAAACTTATCAACAGCTGGTCCGTGGAACAAAGAGATGAAGTAACTAGTGCTGCAGTTTATAATCCTGTCGATAAAACTTTCCTGATGGCCGTAAATAAGACGGTATGACATCGAGCTACATGTGATGTTTATGTGTATACAATTTTGTAATAAGATCTCAACTCACCCGCCATTTAAAACATATCTAAATTTTGAAATAGACAAGGGAAGTGTTCATGCACTTAGTGAACCCTCTTCCAACGCACGTCAGGGCTCATTTAGTTAAATTTCTTTTTAATATTTGTAACTAAAAAGCACATGGCCACTATAGCCACATCCTGTCTTTGAATCACAAATCAAACGTACCGTCTTTCACAATGAGATGACGTCTCACCGCTTCTACTTTTGCACTTGTCTTTATATATTTAGGAGATTTTCATGTGGAAAGAAACTGATTCAGATTTAAATTCATGTCAAAGAATCCAAGTAAGTTTTTTTTGTGTTTGATATTTATTATATATGTATAGCATAAGTCATACAGATCCTTGGATGATTTAACACAAACTTCAAAATAATCTTACGTAACAATTGAGCTAACATGAAAACATTACAAGTTGAAAGATAACTAAGAAATAGACCTTAACCTTGTCTCTTCAAAGAGATATTTCTTGCAACTAAATAATTTGACATGTCACAACTTTATTTCACATTGACTTCAGAAACAAGACAAACCTGGAATAGTAATTTGTCCTTGGAAAAAATGAAGTGCTTACCTATCATTATGATTTAGATACATTGAGGGATACCATCACAACTGGCCTCAGCAATTTAAAATTAAAGCGAATATTAACATATTTATATTTCTTTTAGTCAGAGAAGAATGTGTTTGGTCTCCATGTGTGGAACCATCTTAAAGTTGATCCACTTGTCATGTTTGAGGATGGGTCCTCAATGTTTTTGGCTGATCTTCTTCATAACAATGAAGAAAGAAAAGCAAAAAGGAGGAAAGCCATGAAGTGTACACATGAGTAAGTTTCTTTTGATAGGGAAACTGTCAAAGTTTGGAAGACATGGTCGCCTTTTGCCTAGCTAAGCTTGGATCAGCTGTTGTGTAAACTAGCAATGCTTCTTACTACCTTATGCCCTTGGAGACAGAGCTGAAAGCACAATTAAATAAAGGGGGTTGATTTCTTAACCCTTTAACTTCCAGATCAAATTTGCCATTCTCCTTACTGTTAACCATACAATTCTTATAATGTTAGTTCAGAGAATTTAGTATTGGATCAACTAACTATCCCCAAATTAATATTTTTCTTTATTCTCATCACTCATCTGGTTGATATTGAAGTGATATTGTAAGGAGAAATTCTTTCCTGGTCACTCATGGGAGTTAAAGGGTTTAGAAACTGTGGTGCTTATTTTGGAAGGGGTATCATAACATAATTTGGTTTTGTCAACTGAGTGGATGAAATAAATTGACCACTGTAAAGAGATTCTAAAACTGATGTTTTGAGTGTTAGTGCATTGTCAGAGCAAATGGAGGAATTGTGATAATTCACGATATTTTTTTTATTTTTCAGCCTTCTTTGGACTTCTGTTTTCCATCACCAGAATCAACTGTCTTCTGTATCTCTAAGAAGAGATGTAGGTCTTTTAAATGTGTACCTAAATTTACATTGTAATGATTTTTATTTTTTATTTTAATTTGTGATATTCTTAGGTTTTGTTCTGTTCTTATTTTTGAGTCAATTTTGTGTTCATTATTTAGAAATTATCTGAATTGGCTGGGAGGATTTTGCAGTGATATTAATGTTAACTTATTTATTCTTGTAAGTATGGTGTCTTTCTCAAAAGTTTTGTCTTTCTTGTGTGCTCTCTGATGTTTAGGAAAAGAATGAGTACATTTTAAATGCTACAAATCATGGAACACCAGCTCACTGGAATCCAAAGAACCAGGCAATGGAGTTCAAATTAACACCTCCTGAAGAGGTAATGACTAAAACTTACTATGAGTTCTCCTGATCAAGTGTCAGCTGCAAATCAGCATCTTAATGTATGAACAAACATAGGCTTTTTAAAGCACGAGAACAAGCATTGGGTGTGGGAAAGCAATTGTGTAATTTCAACTGGAGCTATTGGTTCACTTGGTCCATGGATAACGATGTAAGAGAGGATAGAAAGGCAGTAACCAATCTAAATTAGACCTGAAAAACTAAATTTGGTGTTAAAAGGGGGCATAGAAATTGTGGTCAGTGGGAGAGTATAACATGGTGATTTGGTTTTATCAACTGAGTTGCACCATAAATTGGCCACTGTAGAGAGTTTCAAACCTGATGTTTCAAGCATTAGCCTGTCATCATTTGCTCTGACGAAGGACCAATGCTTTAAACATCAGCTTTGACACTCTTAACGGTAATACCAAATTACTAAATTTGATCTTGTTTTGCTCATGCTGTTAATGTTTTTGAAAACACAGAAGAAAAGATAGATTAGAGTACCCAGCAATGTGCCTGATTAAAAAATTAGAAGTTAATAAACACAGCCAAGGAACCTTCTAACCTTGATATGCTATGTGTTAAATTTGTGTTGATTGCATGTCAATGATAATTTTTAAAGATTCAGATTAAGTGATTTGATAGACCTCTTTCATAATGGAAAGTTTTATTTGCACCAAATTCTCATACCTAAAATCACATGAAATGTGTGGCAGACAGAAGGGAGAGTTGATGTTTAGATCTTGGATGTCAAAGGGTTAAGAAGTGTATGCATCCTATTGTAGTGGCTGACGTTTTGAGTGTTAGTTCCTCATTGGAGTGATTGGAGGAATTGTGGGTTGTGTGTGGGTTTATATGTAGAAAATGGAGTTACTCAATGAGAAAACAAGAATAAATTAGTTGAGTGAAAAGTGCTCTTTGAGACTGTGGGGATTAAGAGTGCTGATTTAGAAGATAAATTTTTTTTCTAGAGTTTTGCTGACATCAATTTAAATTGTGATTTTAGGATGCTGAGCTATTGTGTGGCTGTCTATATGAGGAAGGATGTCATTTAGTATCTTACTGTAAGTATTTAAGTAAATGAGTAGCTATCAAGCATTCACTACTAAAATGATATAAGTGATAAACTAAACTTTTTTTGGTAAAAATTGAAAAATAAAAAAATTTAGAGTCATTGAATTATGCAAAGCTAACTATACTAAAGGTATTGTAGATAGGGCTTAAGTGGGAACCTTTTATGGGAATTCAAAATCATGATCTATTACCATTTTAAAGATCTAACCCCAAATTCCTCTTTTGTTGTGGTTTTCCCAGGGTCCAGTGGAGCTCTTTGTCTCACCGAGCTGGAAACAGCACTAAAACAGAAACAAGGTGGTGAAATACTGGATCTTTCCTGCAAAGTAATTCAGAGGTTACAACCTCTGCAACATGAAAGTAATAAGGAAAAGGTATTACTGACAATTATGTTTTGTTATCAGTTGCATCTTTGATCACTACATGTATGACATACTGCAAAATGCTGGAGCAGAAATGTGGTAATCCAATGATTGTTAGAATGCTGTACTGTGATTAAAAAAGTTCAGGTTTAAGCCCATGATTGGGATTGTTGTGTTGTGTTTTGAGACCAGAGACTTGCTCATTCTTAGAGTACCTCTTTCCAGGCACAAGTATAAATAATGTGCACAAGAGAACTAAGAGCAAAACATGCTGAAATGTTGGTGATAACCTGTGATGTAGTGGCATCCTATCCATAGAAAAGAGCAATACTTCTCATCACTATTCTAGAGAATCTGATGTAAGCTCAAGTGAGAACACTAGCAGGATGTAGGGTGCTTGTGAACCATTCCTTACCCTTCGCATTTAATTTGTTATGGCCTCAACTGTTGTTTACCTTGTTCAGACCACATGAGAAATCTATGACATATGAAGCTAAAGAGGTTTATTGCCTCCTGGTCTCTCCTGGGAGTGAAAAGGATAATGATATTGTATACAACATTTGCCTTGTTTTCTTATTCAGAGGTGTGTAGCTATGTCAGCTGTAGACCTGGATCATATTTGTCTCTGTGGAAGCAGCATGATTGATGGGAAATTGAAAGGTACAAAGTCATATACATCTTGTTGCAAATAGTTAAAGAGAAAACAATAAATCATAATTTGAAGGATGTTATCTTCATATCACACCAAACTACATGTTTGTCTCTGTGGAAGCAGCATGATAGTTGGAAAATTGTTGCAAATAGTTAAAGAGGGAAGAATAAATTTTAATTGAAGGGTATTATCTTCATATCACACCAAACTACACATTTGTCTCTGGAAGCTGCATGATTGTTGGAAAATTGGATGGTACACCTGTACAAAGTTATTACATTATGTAGTGAATAGATAAAGAGAATGGAACAAATTATAATTTGAAGGGTGTTTCAAACCAGACCTCTCCTTTTCAAAAATATGACAGATTTAAATGCAGTCTTTTTGTCGTTTCAGATGTGGTCATGATATGGAACATAAAGTATGGTACTTTGCAGTCATGGCAGACTTTGGACAAAATCATTGAAAAACAGAGTTCACTGCTCAGTTACTCACGGAGTAGAGGAGCGGGCTGTGTATGTTGTATTCCAGGCTTCATTTGTATTGGCTTTCATCATCTTGTAGCTGTATGTCAGTTCTCAATTGATAGAAGCTCGTTAGCATCTGCTCTGGGACAACTAGATTCAACAGCAAAGTAAGTGATTCATTTAAGTAAAGTTCTGTTTTTTCAAACTCTTAACCTTTTTACTTTACCAGTCAAGGCTGGTTGCTAAACATATGTAATGTCAACAGGGTCTTTATGATTGTTTCGTTATATGTTCCCTCGGATCCAATCTTCGGCCCTCACGGAAGGAGCATGAGCAGTGACTGGTAATGGAGCCAGCTGCTTGACAAGATCACCTGTTACATCTCTCATGTGCACAGTGTTCATATTTTATTTGGGATATCAACATGTAGATTAATGGATATATTAAAATGTTCCATGGAGTCCAACTATACATCCCTAAATCACTGATCTTCAGATCAATATCAGTATCTGAGCAACTGCAAACTTTCCCCTCCCCTAGCCCAACTATAACCCTAAATTGTTATCAGTTAATTGTTGTTGGTTAGGGGAGAGGTAGGTGTACAGTTGTTAAGATACCTGCATTGATCCAGATCAACCCCTCACCATGTTCTTGCCAGCAGGTATTCTTCCCCACAGCCGTTGGTTGGTCTTGTTACTCAACGCCTCTTCTTTATCAAAAGGCAAAGGAGACTACAGGCTTGATTTCCGCCGTTTTCTCGGACCCAGTGTCTGTGGGAGAAGCTTGGGCTTATCTCCTGAACAGCGTTTGGCAATTGAGCTTGAGGAGACCAGCCAGCATGCAGTTTTGAAATGTTTGAACTATTAATTTTCTCTGCATAGGTTCCTTAGGAATAACAAAGTTAAACCAGAGCTGCTCATTACGCCAAAGTTAGCAAGACCAGGCGAGGTGGGTAATTTTTGAAATGAAGACAGTAAATTGGTTTGTGGGAGATATGTGTTTTTCTTATAATATATATTGGTCCTACTTATAATATTGTTATTTGAGCAGGCTCTCAAGCACTGGCAAGAGACAATTGTGAGAGAGGATGAAGTGGAAAAAGAGGTTCTACAGAAGTTAAAAGATCCATCAAAGGTACACCTTTAGACTAGAATGAACTCAAGAATTTTAACATTTCAGCTAATCTAACACTTCATGTAAGTAATAAGAACATAATAGTTTGTTTGATACATGGCCTTCGAGCACAGGTCGCCAAATTGGCAATTTCGCCACAGGTTTAGTGTCTAAAATGATTTCTGCTCGTCTTTGTGACCAAAATGATCGTAGCGTGGAGCGCTGTCTATATATCGCCAGAATCAGATATGGCAAAAGTTTTGTATGTAGAGGAAGATAAGGACTGAAGGCAGTATCAGCTGAGAACAGTCATCAAATAAAGAAGGAAGGTAGATATCTGTCACAAACTTGAAACAAAGAACTTATCTGAGCATCGCATGAGTATCCGAACCTTAGAACTTTCATCCCATTATGTGGGAGATATCTATTAACCTGTATTTTTTCCTCCTTGCTCTGATTTACAGACTCCTACACTTGAGGTGTTCTCTGCGGAACTTCGGAAATACATGGAATTTAAGCTGTCTGAAAAAGGTATGTAAACCAATAACCCACTTTCAAATTACCGTTGGCCTCATTTTCAAAGCGAGTCCTGGTGCTCATCCTTTCATATGATTGTAACTTTTCATTCACACGCAAATAAAATCATTTTTCACTTGAATGGTTGAGCGCGTTTTTAAAAAGAGGCCAAAGGGACTTCGGAAATGGCCTATTGTTGCTGGTACGAGAGGGGTCCCTACTGGTTTTTCACTGGGGATCTAACCTTACCCTCCCCTTCCCCACGAGAGGGGAGACGCTCTTGATGATCTCCATGCCTAGCGTGTACATCATGACTCGGTTCATGAACTGATTTTTGTTTATTAACGATCTTTTGCAGATGAAAAACTTGAAAATTCCAATCAATCACCGGAATCTAACAAAGCTGTGCCTGTGTTTGTGGGAAAGGTATGTTGTGAAAAAGAAAAAACCTTATTTTCCGGTTTCAGTTTTGGTTAAGCCATCACCTTTCAATTAGTGACAAAAAAGATTTAGACGTGTAATACTGTCTAATTTTATGAACATTAAACAAAATTTAATCCGCTATCCTCCTCTTTCTAATAAGCGGTTTTGGGATCAATATTAGTATCTGGGCAACGGCCCACCTACCCCTCCCCTAACCCAACAACAGTCAATTGATAACAAGTTAGGGTGAATGTTGGGTTAGGGGAGGGGTAGGTGGGCCGTTGCCCAGATACTGATATTGATCTCGGTTTTGTATACTTTGATTTTATTCTGGTGATGTTCAGTCGAAATGTCTCCAAAGACTGGTAACGATAAACACAAAGAAACAATGAAAACTCTAAAAAATGTTGGTAGCTGTTTTTATATTTACAAACTGAGACCAAACATTTTTAACATTCTCCAGTTGATGATAACTCTGGTTGTGTAATCTCGCCATGTTCGTTACTGATCTCCTATCAATAATGAAAGAAGCAATTAAGTTATGTTTAGGAATCTCAAGGGTTTAATTTTAAATATTTTGTGCCACCTCTAGTTTGGTAAGAGGACAGAAGTATTATCACAACATTTTATATCCAGCGTCTTGACGAGATGTACCGAAGAGAAAAACTTTTGGGCGAGGGACTCTATATCTGAGCTCCTCAAAACAAAGTGTGTTCCATCCAGGTATGTAGAAGGGTACACAAAACGGTCATGGTACTCACAATGGTACTTGCCTGCGTAGCGGGTAACTGCGCGCGAGTGATGTAGATCGACCCACCCGAGCTGGAATACATGCGCATATAACTAAAAGAGCTCTCTCGCGTCGTGTGCGCGCGTGTGTTTCTTTTTTTCTTGCTTAATGCCTACAGGCTACAACGGCACACCTCAGTGATACAGTTTTGGGTCTAGTTTGGCGATTTACGTAGTTTTCTTTTAATTTTTTAAGTTGCAGTAAAGATTTACTAAGAGCTATTGTGGAGAGGAATGACTTGGTGAGTGCGTCTGCAAATATATTTGTTTATTTAACCACGATTTTTCGCTCAAAGAGATACCAAGCAGGTGAAAAGTGTCACATATTACGACAGGGAAAGTTTCTAAGCGCTGTTTTGTTCCGGAGTTTTACTCCCACACATACAGTGTACTTTAATCACCATACTTGGAGACTGGTCAGCGGAATATGTTGTAGCTTCGATTCTTGTACCCTTGTTTTACCTTAGAAAGCTTTGCAGCGAGACGCCTGATATGGGTGATTTTCGATTGTCCACTCAGTTGTTTAGGACAGTGATGGATAAGGCGTAAAAAAAAAAAATGAAAATTGAAGTTCCAGCTCAGGTGACTAGCTCTTGTTTTGCCAAGAGTCTCATTGTTTTCGGACCACTTTTGTACACCATTGATAAGGATTGACTCACTTTGGAGATACCTCTGTTCATGCCAGGGCTTAATGTTTACATTGATTTTGTAGGATTTACTGGAAGAGTGTTTTGACAACATAGATGGAATTGCTGAAGACACCGTCGTTCTCTGCGCTCGCCATATTTTAAGGTTTGTCATTATTCTAAACTGACATTTTGAATGTTTGTTCTCTGGATAAGAATTGATGCGGTGTTAAGGAAGAAAAAGGTTGGAGGGAGTCGGTTAAGCGCGCGAGACTCCGCGAAGTGAAGCAAAACCAACGCAATTTTGGATCACTTGCGACACTGTTGTTGGGAATGTCTGTTTAGGGAATGTAAACTACCTCAACTTTGTCACCAAGCTCAGCACCGTTTACCCTCTACCTTAAGTTACTTATTGCCCCAAAAAAGTTAACCAATTTTCCTTCTCTTGTAGACTGGATCATCTAATACTTGACGAAACATCGAAAGAAAATCAGAAAGAGGAATCACAGGAAGAAGATTTTGGTCAGATGCCATTAGGCAAGAAACAGGCCAAGTATTTGTATCCTGAAGAGAAACTGAGTTTATTACGCAAATTTAATGTTGTTTTAGATTGCTAATTAGCTGAATTGAAAAACCGACTTACTTTAACTATGACCCAACTCCCTTTTAATGAAAGGCTCAGATAGCCTAAATTGAATTTTTTCCTTGATGAATGACTAGATGTGCAATATTAAGCTACCCTGTCAATGACTCTTTTCTTCAATCCAGTTTAAGGAAGCTCTCTTTTAAAGACGTCAAAGTAAGTGACTTTGCAAACGTGTTTTAATTTTGGACTGCACGCAGTCCGTGTTCGAATATCGTGTCCTTTGGCAATACATCACACGAGTTCAGATGTGGTCATTGTGTGAACTCTGCATTAAAATGTCCAGCATTAAAACTCGGTTGGCTCATTGTGCTGTGTTCAAGGGCATTCTACCAACGCCATCTTGCTCTAGTCGAGAGGGGAAGCAATAATAAGGGCAGTTCATGCCAAGAAATAACCAAAATAATCTGTATGTGATGGGCGACTAGACTTGCAAGAAGAAATCTTTATTTATCTTTTAACTCGTCTGGTCATTTATTGTTATTTGTGATTTAATTTGTTTAATTTGTTGTACGCCTTTCTTTGATGTGCTCTCTCTCTTTTTTTTTTTCCCAAGCTATTATTAGACTTCCTAATGTATCTTATGCACCATGGTCTGTCTGGCTTTGGAGAAGAAGTTGATTGTAAAACTCTGAAGTATCCACAGGTAGAGTTAAAGTAGTTTAACCCTCTCCTAAGAAGAATGCTACATTACGTAACCGTGTCTCAGTTATTCGCTGGAGCCATTTCAGTTAGAGAAGCCTTTCGACTGAGTGTCCAAAGCCAAAATCAAAGTAATCATTACGGCAAATCAGGAAAAAGGAAGATACCATAAAAGGCCAATGAGAATTTGAAGCAAATTGATTGGAGTGCGTGACTCAATCGCGATTGGTTTTAAGTTGACATCTGATTGTTGAGAGAGTGGCGCAAGATTTTTAGTTCAATCAGAGCGAAGTAAAGCAAAGCCGATGCAATCCTGTTCTACTTTCGACGCTTGATCGAAGTGAAATCACAGAAACTGTTTGAAACATAAGATATCGTAAGTGACTTAGTCACGATTGGTTAAAAGGGTTGTGTGGCAATTTGAAATTAAGCGTGGGAAATTTACTTGGAATGCGTTGGTTTTGCATCGCTTTGCTTTCTGACTGGCTCAGATAACCCGCGCCACCCTTTCAACCAAGTCAAATTCAAAAGTAAAACCAATTGCTTGTAAAGTTTTCGCCTTCCTCCGCGCTTCAGGCAGTCTGCTTGCTCTGATTGGCTCCTTATAAGATCTTTCTCCTCTTTGATTGGCCGCTGTGATTACTTTGGCTTTAGTGTCAAGGCACTCTATCAAAAAGCACTCTGAAGGAAAATCCAAGATATGTCAAATCACTTTCGACATTGAATTGTAAATTATCTCTTTTTCCTAAGCCATTTTATCCGTCCTAGGTCCTTGACTGGGCAGGATTGCTGTTAAACGCTCATTACACCCAACTGGTGCTCATACCTGAAGCCCACGAAGTACTGGTCAGCTGTCATCAACTTGTGGCTAAACAGGTATAACAAACTTCAGCATTAGGGTGGGGAGGATAGGGCAGGGTAGCTGGATTCTTTTTTTTGTCTGATGCTTGTGCTTTGAAATCAAATGAGCTCTAGAGAAGGAGGTACAGCATTCATTTATGATAAAGTGAACAAATGATAATCACAGTCTTTTTTCCAAAACTTGATTGAGAAACAAGTTTTTTTCTTTTTTGAAGCTTCATAGCAGTTCATGGGGTGTGAGGCACAAGGGATAGAAGTTTTCTCCGGAAAATGCTGGTTTATTTTTTAAGTGTTTAATGTCAACAGACACTCGAATATGCGATGAGTACTTATTTGTGATACATTTTACCGCCCACGATTTAAACCATCTACTAACTTGGTAGCCATTTTTTATGTTGGTGAGGAATATCTTACTTAATTCAAGTGAGATGGCCTTGCCTATAGTAATGTAGTATTCTCTCTAACGACCTAGGCATTGAAGATCATTTCTCACCTTTTTATAATAATTTTTTTTCTTTAGGTGCGTACTTATGATAAGCTGCGTTCTGTGGAAAGTTTCTTGGATCATTTTCGGAGACGGAAGGCTCTACCCAAAGCAGAGAAAGTGACACCTTACAGCATCGAAACGCTGGAATTATGAAACGACGTATCTCTGAATGAGTGGTACTTCTATTCTTTGATGTTGAAGATTGGGTGTGAGGAATGCAATCGTGCTCTCTGTTCATGCTAGTAGTGACGAATGAGAAAAAGGATCAATGAGGCATTGACCGCACTCTCGGCGCAAACAGTCCTCACTTCTACCAACAGCTGATCTTTTGCCCAACCTGGTTGTTACGGGCGATGGATTTAGAGCGGGAAAATTACCGAGAAAAACATGTGTCGTTTTGCGCATGCTCAAGTTGCTGTGCGACGCGTTTCTCGCCTTTACGGACAGATGTACCCAAGAAGATGTGTCCTTTAGCGATTGAGTGAAATGCTGGTTAAAGCGCTCTTGTTTAAAGGAAAAAAAAATTTTTGTGAATATATATTTTTTTCGAGGCTACTACGAAAGCGTGTTTTCCAAACAAGTGATAGCGAAACGCCTCTGAACCGAGATGACAAAGTGAACTTTACGGCGCGTGAAACAAACTTTGACAAATATTGTGGCTTGTTTGTTCATTAAAATTTACCTTTAAAATTAAAAAAAAAGAGGATTTGGAGTTGTATTTGTGGTTATTACTTTTAGGCAATAACTTATGTTATTGTGCCGATGAACTTTTAGTACTATTAACTCTTTACCTCCCAAGATCTGATTTTTAATTCTCCCCTCTAGCTGCTACACATTTCCTTGTAAATTAGTTATGAGAACTTGGTGCTAGATCAAGATAGAAGCTTCTACCTGATAAGTTTGAATACTCTCATTACCTGTTTGCTGGATAATGTATGTATATTGTGGGGAGAAGTTTTATGTTAATCACTTCTGGGAGTTAAAGGGTTAATGTATGATGTCCTTTCATGGTAGATAATACATATGAGAGAAATTCCTGAACATGGTTGATCATGTTAAGGTCAAAGTTTTGTTGAGGTAGTCTTTTGGAGGGGATTTGGCTCAACTACCCAATAAAGTGAACTGCGGCTTTAAACTCACTCTTGTTCAATGGTTAGGATTGTAGCACAACTTGTTACACTTAACTTTTCTAACTCATCTGTTTGACTGCTTACGAGGCTGCTGCTCATGAAGTTAGAGCTGACAAGAGATTAACAGTCGTTCATCAAAATATCACCTATACTCAGTTCATTTACCCATAATTCCTTGCTTGGTATGTTGCAACCAAACTGCAATTGTGCAAAGAGATAGTTTTTATCATGGAAATACAATTAAGAAATATGTAAAATAATTAAACTGGTTAGTTTAGAAATAGTTTAACTGTAGTACGATTTAAAGGTAGCTGCATGTTAGCAATTTATAACGAGAGTGAACATCATTCGTTTTTAGAGAAGAAGGGCCTAACGATGTTGACGCCTAGTTTTCATAAGTTAACTGGAAATTAGTTAGTATTCTAGTTACACTACCAGAACGACTGTGAAAAGCATTGTAATTGAGTGTTAACAACTGAGTTAAAAACGTAAATTAACCTCTGTAAAGAGTTTAAAGGCTGACGTTTCGAGCGTTAGCCCTTCGTCTATCGCTCTGACGAAGGGCTAACGCTCGAAACGTCAGCCTTTAAACTCTTAACGGTGGTCAATTTACGTTTTCAACTCAAATTGTTAACACTTAATTACCTGTTATTCTCTCCCACCGGCGCAGCACCACAGTTTATTTAGAAACTTACCCCCTTTAAGTAAAAAGCATTGGTATGGTATGGCTTCAATACAATTGACAAAAAGACGCTCGATCATGTTACCAAATCAGTGATTCCAGATTTCCCATGAAGAAATGGCGTAATACTTGTAGAAGGTCAAAGGGGTCAAGACCGAAAAGAATTACTTAGCTTCCTAATATTAAAAGAACCTCTAGAAAAGGGTAAATCGTAAAAGATTACTATTAGCATATATATATATATATATATATACATATATATATATATATATATATATAAGTTGGTCATTTCCGTTCGCACTAAAACCCGTAACAAAAACTAATCTCTAAATTACAATAATTTAAGAAGTTATCCCACGGGGTTACAGTTAAGAGAGGGACCGAATTCAAAGCGTATAGTTTTGCATATTTTCACTCTAAAATAAGCAATAAAATGTGATTTTGCAACCATTTCATTTTGAACTAGTTCTCAGTTTCTCAAGGCTTAGAAAATTTGGTATCATTGTGGCGGCTAGTGAACTTTTCAAACACCCACGGCTTCGTCATGATCATTGATTTATTTTAGCAGCCTTCGTGTAGAGGTAACCCCGTCATTTTAATGGAAAGGTCAAGGATTTCGATTGTAATGGAAGATAAAGAAAAAGTATTTTGAAAACTAAACTTTGGCAAAAATCTTGCATCATTTTTTCCAGTACTGCTCGCAAGTTGCTCAACAAGATCCCACTGTTTGCATTTCAAAAGCAAATTTAAGTTTTAACTTCTTTTTCCGGCAAGTAAAAAAGGTCGCTTTGAATTTCGTGTGGGTAAAATATTTGAATTATTCCAAGAATTCGCATATGATTCCGCGCCTACTAGCGCGGGAACGGCGTTATGACGTCACATGTTATGCAAATATGAACGAGTGCGATTTCTTGGCAATCGCGAATTCATGATTAATTTCTAAAGTGGGGACATTATCGAGTGTGTTGATTTATGTGCTTGAACCGAACCGAGAAATATCACCGGTGATACCGGAACTCCTCTTTGGAGTCTGCCCGTAACAAATTCGCCATGTCATACTTGCAAAATGGCCCCACGAGACGTCCTGCAAGCGATAATTTTGACGTTGCCTGTAAGGTTGGTATAAGATAAGCATTCGTACGTTCGGTCGAAATGTCTGACCGAAATGACGACAAATGAATTGTTTATTTCATTCTTGCCGTAATTGCGAAACATGTCAGGCTTTGCAACGTTCACTTCATCCCAGTTGTCGCCTTACGAATTTTACTCGTGCTAAAGTTCGGTGTAAATTTCGTCGCTTGAGATCTGTTACCGAAAACTTAGATGCAGTCCAAGATATTTGGCCAGCTGATTGTGCTAGCAGTCGTAGATTTTTCAAATTTATTGATAGTTCAAGTAGATTAAAGCTCACTAGTCGCTTTTTTACAAAAGGTTTTCTTTTAAAATGCTCTGCCTTGTGGTAAAATTTTTAATGCATTTACGACCAGTTTATGACCACCTGATCATTACGACTTAAGCCCTACATTATATATATATATTTTTTATTTGCAGGTGATGTTGCTCGGAGATTCCGGTGTGGGTAAAACATGCGTCCTTGTGAGGTTCAAAGATGGTGCTTTTTTATCAGGCTCGTTTATTTCTACTGTTGGAATCGACTACAAGGTGAAGTGAACAGTTAAACACAGCCGTTTTTGTCCTTTTTAACTCAGCAGGTATTTGCATATGAATTATCTTCTTGATTAATAATTCCCTTGTATACGTGTTCGGGCTGTCTTCCTGTTTTTGTAGAATAAAATCGTCGACGTGGAAGGAACTAAAGTTAAACTGCAGGTAAGGACACGTTTCATGTATATTTATGCCGAAAAGTTCCGATAATAGAACCTGATGTTCCCTCGGATGCATGCTTGTTTTAAAATATTTGTGAGTTAGTATGGAATGTTAAATTTTTGATTTGTTTATTTTATCGCCCACTCCAGACGAAGAATTCTTAGCAGCAAAGTAGCTTCAAGTAGGGTTATGAATAAATGAAGAAAGAACATTTATTTTAATTTTTTTTTTATTTTTGGCTTGTAAATTGGATGAACTATCATTTAATGAGGTTAAGGTTTTACGCTAAAGGTGATTAAAAAAAAATTCAGAAGTTGATGCCACGTAGTAGTTTTGTGAAACCCTTGCCGGAGAGGACTGCTGTCGGAAGGGGGGTGGAGGGGTAGGGAGTCTAGTGTTATATAATAACATTCCCAGGGGTTTTGGTAACTTTTTCCTCAAGCAGCTGCAGATGTTATTTCATGTGTCTGTGCCCAATGAAAGGGCCATGAGAACTCTTTTCCTCTGCTGGGTCTCAGGAAATGTTCCCCTAGAAAAAAATTTGAAACTGAGAAGCTCAGAAATGTCATTTCCAGCATTCTGAGCATCAAAAAGAGTGTTGTTTTGTTATAATTTTCATCCACACCTCTTTGATTTGCCTGTCATTCGCAACCAGTCAGAATGCTGCTGCTGAAGAATGTTTGGGAAACCCAAAAAAAGAGAACCTGCTTCCAGGCTAAACAGATGGTAGGAAGAGGTCTTATAGGCAGTGGGAGACTGCTAGTAGCCAGTTTTTATTGAACCCACTGCATTGTGTGGCATTTTGTTATCATATTTGTATTCTAGCCACAAAGAAAGAATCCCACCATATATCAGTCTTGCTGTTTTGAGTGACTGTACTTAGAACTCTTGCTTAACTTTAAAAAACAGTTTCTCAAACTCTCCTGTTACCAGCTGAATGGGAAACTTATGATTTTCCTTTTGGTTCTGTTTTATGTGACAAATTTTATAGATATGGGACACTGCTGGACAAGAGAGGTTTCGTAGCATAACTCATGCTTATTACAGAGACTCCCAAGGTAATAACACAACTGTTGACTTTTTACATTCTTTTCCTCATACTTTCCTGGTGAAAAAACATTGAGAACTTATTAGGATGGGCCAGTAACTTCTGGGGAAGGGGTGGGAGGTATTCTGTAGAATTTTTGGTCAGGGTGTGCTTATAAGTTCTCCAAATCCAGACCAATTTCAAACCAGAAGGTGTCTTTTCCATACCTGCTATCTAATATAGGCTGAGTTGCTCAAAGCTGGTCTGAGATAACCCAGGGTTAGTTTGCAATTTATTTCGGATCTGAAAGCTTTCAAAGAAAATTGACTGTAATTGTTTTTGTTTACAATTTGATAATATGATGCTCTTAAAGGAATAAGGATGATTATCCAAAAAAAAAGGTTTTTGTATAGAGTAATAATGAAACCTGGATTTAAATTTATCCTTGGGTTAGCACTAATAGGCCTTTGAACTAGTGAGTCGTGGTCTGTAAGATCTATATTCATTTTAGACCTTCCCTCTGAAAGGTGTGCTCTCTTTTATTATGTTATTAAACTTAGTATCAGTACTTCAATCAAGAATTGATAAAACTCTGCTAACAGTAATTAATGTATTTTGGTTGCTTCCCTTTCTCTTCTATTTATCTGCTGGAGGCAAAAAGATAAAAATGCCAAATAGTCTTGTGGGTTTCCTTAGAATAAGATCAGCCTTCCTGATCTTATTCTAAGGAAACCCAAAAGACTATATACAAGTCAGTAGTTTGTTAGAGATAATTGATGCTTTGTTTGCATTATATAACTCCAAGGTTTGGGATAACTTACCTGTGACTATGAATTATAATTTGATACAATTGCAGCTCTTTTGTTGCTTTATGATGTCACAAGTGAAAGTTCCTTTGAGAATATTAGGGTAAGTTTTTAACTCTGTGAACAATTTTTTCAAATTCATAATTTGCAAGTTGTAAAAGACAAAATGCCAGCCAAATGTCACCTTGAAATATTATGGTTTATTAATATACTTAATGTGTGCCTCTAAACATGTACATGTACACTTTGACATGACCTTCATAAAGTGATGAACAAAGATAGCTGCTTTGTAAAACCCTTTCTACTCTCCTATTTCATTATGATGTTTTTTTATCACCACTGGGTTGTAATTATTTAGAATTATTAAAGCAAAATTATATTCTTCAAAATCTTATGCACTGGAAAAAAAACAGTTCCTGCTGTACGTTACAAATAAGTTTATTATTTAAAACCCAAAGAGCCCTCCCATCTAACCTTCCCATCCCACTGACAAAAATGGTATGACCCCCCTTAAAAAATCCCAAGGTTGTAAATTTAAATGTAAAGAATTCCTTAGCACAACCCAATCTGAAGAAACTTCCCTAAACCTTCTTAGAGGGTTGAAAACCATCTTTTTTAGATAATTTGGTCCATCAACATAGTTGATAACGTTAATTGGCCACCATAAAGAGTTTCAAAGCTGCCATTTGAGTGTTAGCCCTTCATCAGGGTGACACATTTGCTCTTGCAAAGGGCTAACACTCAAAACCACAGCTTTGAAATTATATACAGTGGCCAATTTATATCATCAACTATACAACAAAATCATCTTGTTATACTCCCCACTGAGGCAGCACCACAGTTTCCTTAGAATATTACCCCCTTTATACATATATCTTTTTGGAGGTTCTTCAGATGCAGGTAAATTATCTTTGTCAGTTGTGAACCTGACATCTATAGTTGATGGGATGATTCTTAAAAAGAATACTTAGTTCACATTTTCCTATTATTTTGTATCCAGGCATGGCTGGCTGAGATCTATGAGTATGCCTCATCAGATGTAATAATAATGTTGTTAGGGAACAAGGTAAATGAAGAACAAGATAAAGTTAATTTGATCAGGAGAAGAACACACCATGATCCTTGATCTGTATCTTCCTTCTATTTTACCGTGCTTACTGGTAGTCTTAAGAGAATTTTGTTCCTCCACTTGTGCTTCCTTAGCTTTGTTTGTTTTATTTTCCCACTTTTTAAATTACTAATTACAACTGTTACAGTGCTTTTTTCCTATTGTTAGTTAAGTCAAAGAATACTTGAATTTTATTTGTTTCATTCATTTACTACTGTAACACTTTTGGTATCACCTTAGTGATAAGGATACTATGTGTCACACTTTTTGTAGACCTCTTATCAGACAGGTTTAATTTTTATACTGTTCCAATCTCATTGGTAGATTTTGGTCCACTTACTAGTTTCAATAATAAAAAAAATGATCTGTTGACTAAGTTTGATAGCAGCATACTCCATAATTATTTATGGCCTGTTTTTGAAGATATAATATTGGTGATGTATGTTTTTTTTTTTTGTTTGTTTGTTTGTTTTTCAAAAATTTCTTGCTTCAACTAGGCTGATCTGAACAAGGAGAGAGTTGTTAGCAGGGAACAAGGGGAAAAACTTGCCAAGGTCTGTTATCTCAATTCTGTTTTACCTCTTTATTTACTCATTTACATGGTTCTCTACAATTATAGTAACATTGTAACTGTTTGAGGGGGTAAAAATATTTTGCATGGATCAGAACAGTGATTAAAGAATATTATGAGGAGAATATTAAATGAATGAATGAATGAATGAATGAATGAATGAATGAATGTGTATTTATATACCGCACATATCACATACTGTCTCAAGGCGGTTTACAATTCTAATTGAGTGAGATCGAACGTCAGCTTGTAAAGGCGTCTCTGGCTGCCGCTATCAGTCCATATTTGATCTCACTCACCCACCCAGATAGACCACCACACCAGGAACTACGCCCCCTACTCTTTTCGTGTGTGGGTTCTTTAACGTCCCCTGCTGAAAATAAACTGAAATGAAGGAGGAATTTATAGTCCTTATCCGAGAAGACTTGAATGTCTAACCATTTGCTGGTACAATTACAAAGGCAGCACATTCTCCTCAGTTATTTTAAAATGGTTTTATGGGGCCAATCACCTCCTGCACAGCAGATTTGAATTATTTTATAAAGAATATTATGTTGAAAAAAATAGATAAATAAATAGAAGCAATTCTCAGTTTTGGTGTAGAAGGGGGAATCTCTTAATAAAAAATTTCATTATTTCTCACTATACTGTAATTAATTTTCCTCATTACTCAGGACCATAATGTAGCATTTATGGAAACAAGTGCAAAGAGTGGACTGAATGTTGACTTAGCGTTCATGGCTGTTGCCAGGTAAGGGATGAAAAAAAAGAGTAGATTTTTTTTTTGTGTGTACAATTACAAATTTGCTTAATAGATGTGAGTCTTAACCATGAACACCCCAACATCAGTATGCATATTCTCCATACTGTTCTCCATACATTTTCTGTGGTGCTGACAAGGAGAATTTGTTTAACATTTAAGAGCTTCTTTAGTTGGTGACCATTTCCTCTTTTCTTGTGACCTCAATGTTTGATTCAGGGCTGATATTAAATGCTAGTCACTCTTGGAGGGTTCAAGGGCTCATGTAAGCATCGCTTTATAGCAAACTTGTTGGTTGAGCAAAAATTGTCATCAAATATGTAAAGAAGTACATTGTAATATCTCTTCAGAGACATGAAACACAGAAATCTCAAGAGGCCGTCTGAACCAAAGTTCAACATTGAGCAGTATGTAGAGTCACAAAGAGAAAAACCTGGTTGCTGTTCTTGACACTGGAAACAAGGATCTTGGGTTAAAAAGTTGAATCAAATGTAATTAAAAGTAATCCATTAGAATAAAACTATCTTTGAAATCATAGCAAAAGTAATGTTTGATATAATGACATGTGGTGTTAAATGTTAAAAAAAGTTTAAGGAGTAGCACCAAATTTTAGCATTTCTGGAAAGGTAAACAGGGTTGCGTATGCTAGAAGTGCCTTATAGCATTTCTTTTGTTGAATTTTTAGTTCTCATTACCATAGTCTGTTGTGATATTAATAATACTGGAAACTGGGTAAATTTCTGAGGAGTTTTCTCCCCTATTTATTGATAGTTGTTAATTTTATTTACCACAGATGGAATTGTCCTTTTAGTGGCAAAATAAGTAGGGCTAGAGTAGTGAAAGTAAGGAAATATTTTTACTATCAGTAGTGTCAAATGGCTTGTTGTAACAGTACAACTAAGTTATGTGTATCTTTTTTATTTATATTGGTTCCTGAAATTTTTGTGAACATTCAACGAAGGTTATATTGAATGAGAAATTCCACCCATGTGGGAGAGTTGAAGTAAGTAAATGAAGATCCCTTGGAAACATTTAGTAAATGGTGCATAAGCTACATAACTTTATAAAATTGTGAGATGTTAATAGCGGTAAGTAATGAATGTCAACCCCCCACTTTTACAGCACTCTTGGTGGAAAAATCTCAGTGTGCAGTTTCAAATGTGTCACGGGAATTTCACAGGGTCTGGGGTTTTCTAAACCAAAATTTATATATTCTCTTATGTAATACATGTTTACCTGTTAGGACTTTCCATAAAAAAAAAGAAACAGAGGAAGAGTCCTTACTGGAATATACCTTAGCTACATTGTAGATGTAAAGAATAATATTTTCCCTCTTTCCTGGGGTCACAATGTAGTGTCTGGGAGGAATCACAATTTCTACTTTAAAATTTTTAAGTTGGTACTCCTCCCAGACAATTCAAGGTTTAGGGAGTTGAGTGACTCTGGACTGTATGAGAATTAGGCTTAATGGCTTGATTTCATAACATCTCAATACTTTTGAAGTGTAAATATTTCATAATGTAGGTGAAGCACCTGTACTTGAGGAAACAATCATATCAGTATGTGAAATTTAAATGTATTGAAGTAATGCTGTGCCCTTCAAGATAAATGCAATTTGTTAACTGAAAATATTTTTCAAAGATGAAATTCAATTTTGTAGAACTTGTATCTTCATCAAGTGACTGATGTAATGAATTAGAAATAACTAGGAATATAATAAATGTCATTTTAAAATGTGAAATGCTTTTGAAGGTTATGAAAGGGGTTGCTGTGCCCAGTCTCCACTCTTAACCCCTTTCATCAGTAGGCATATTCTCCATACTGTTCTCTATACATTTCCTTGACAAGGAATTTTTTAACACTTCAGTGTCATGTCTTTCCCCGCTACCGTATGACGGCCCAGTGATGGGGGAAAGATGAAACGAATCCTGTGTTCTGATTAGCTAGCCGAGCAGGAAAGATGGGTCTCCTGTGAAAAATTACCCCTAATCTAGATTTTGACTTGGTTACTGGAGTCTATACAATACCTCCATTGAAATGAAAACAAAGTCGTGCTAGGAATCTAAGAACCCAAGAAAGTTTATGCAAAATAAAATTACGATCGCATTCCGCTTTTGTGTCTATTTTCGTTTTCGTGCATTCTACCTAAGATTACGTCAGTGTAGCCTGCGAGCTGTTGAACGAGTATCTCCTACGCCTTTCGCGAAGTGCGCGAGGTAATCGAGGCGGTGAGCGAAAGGTCTTCGCGGTGTCTGGTATGATACTAGTATTTGAGCGATGCTCACGAGACGCACGTACAGCAGCCTCGAAAGGCTTGCTTCAATGGCTGTCCACTATAATGCTGAAACAATTTTAAAGTTCGACAACGACCACAACAGTAGAAGTCCTTGAATTTCTGACTGGCACTGTGGCATTTACAATGGGACTTTCTGTATAGGCAGAACCTCTAGCAATTAACAGACACCTTACGCTATCAATGTTCACATCTTACTTTAGCACGGACAACTTACATCAAATTCATTTTTATTTCGTATATAATTTTTTTGGTGTACAATATTCTTGAAAATTCTTTCCCAGGACATATCATAAAGAACAAGAGAATACCACTGTCTCTTGCTAAGAATATTACTCTGGTAAAATATTTTCATAACCACATCGGAAATTTAAATGAGATCTTGCAGAATTTGAAGTAGCACATCTCAAAACTAGTTCCTCAAGACTTTAAAGTAAATGAATTACGTATGCCTATGGTACAGAACTTCAACTAGGTTAAACTTTGAGTCTTGATAATTTATAGAGTTAAGTTAAAAATAAATAACTCAAGTGTTTAGAACTCCTCTAGTAGTTGAAGGCTACTGAGTTCCACACAGACATAATTCAATTTATGACTTCTGCCTGACTCTGCAGTAGTATTTCTTGAAGATGCTTTGGGATTGGCAACATTGGTCCTAAAAAGAACAGGAAATAGTGCGCATGTGACTACGAGACAGACGTAATGCACTTCGAGGGTGGGCAAGGGCGACTCAAAAGGGATCAACAGGGAGAGGATGGGGACGTGCAGGTTCCCGGATGAAGTTCACCTTCAGACCGTTTGCACCGCTAGTCAGATTGGTCTAAGTTTTCTCGACAGCACTGAAATCTAGCCAGTTTCAAATTTGAACAAGTTGATGTGTTCTTTTTTGGGTGTATTTAGTTCGGTGCAATTTCTCTTAAATGAAATTTTGGCATCTTTGTTTTGTATGTCTGAAACTTTCTACTTCAGTTAATTTCTTAAAAACTGATTTTGAAAAAAATACATTTTCAGCAAAAGGGGTAGCAATAACATTACGACCTCAAAAAAATTTACGTCTCAAATCTCCGTAGAATGTAAAAGTAACTAAGTACGCAAACTGTGAGTAAATCAAAATCACCGTTAATACAAGTTATACGTTTTCTCAAGAGACATCCTACCTTCTGTGTAGTGTCCTTGACAATTGATTGGTGCGGTTTTCTGAGTCATCATAATCTGGAAAAATAAAGAGAGATGTCATGGAAAACTTATTAGTGACTCCCCTAACTCAACAACAGTTGAGTTTGGGAGGGGTAGGTGGTGCGCTGTTGGTGCCGATGATTTGGAAAGGGCACTTGTCAATGAAATTATAATGGGTTGAAGAAAAATTTTACTCCACTGTACGCACGTTTCCTAAAAAATTTCAAAATTCGTTCAGGTGTCAGCGACTGGTGCAGCGGCCAAGGGCTATTCTAAGCTTTTTAGAGTGCTCTCCAAACTTCTCAAGTGCATCACATCTCGATGAACGCAGCTGATAAGTGAAACGATTGTTTTTATCAACGCAGTAGATTGAAAGTGTTTCGTAAAATAATTTCCGCTAAAAAATAAATCCACTAAAATCAGGACGCACAAAGTGAGAAGTTGACCGGCTATTACACGAAAATACTAGTATGTTACGATACAATTTGTTGAAAAACTGTCTGATAAACATGTTGCCCATCATTAAAATCGTGACAACCAGAGGGGTATCTAAGAAGTTGTGCAACTCACCTTGAAGCAGGTTGAAGCAAAAAAGGAACGAAGATCACTTTGAACAACATTTTCAATGAAACGACGTAACGGTAGAATGTGTGAGTTTGGTGCAGTCCTGTAAAAATGAGTAAGGAGGTTAACATCTACAAAATCGATAAAAAAGGGAGCAGTAGCAATATTAACAATAAGCACAACCTTTACACTCTCTTTCTATCCCGTTAACCAATTATTTAATAGAGGAGGTAAGTTGCTATAGAAACTGTGGTACTGCGTCAGTGGGCGGTATTACACGATAATTTGGTCTTATGGACTGAGTTGATGATGTAATTTGGCCACCGTAAAGAAGTTCTAAAGCCGACGTTTCGAGCGTTAGCTCTTCGTCAGAGCGAGCCAATTATATAACTTGATTTTCGCTTACCACTGCGTCAAGAAATCTTCCACCATGTGGTGAAGACGATCTGGTCTAGGAAGAACAACTTCTTTTGTTTCTTTAGGCAAAGCTGAAGAATAAGTAGACAGGTGGTCAGAATAATGGAAAATAAAAAATGGAGCATTGCTTGATGAAACGCCAAATTATAAAACTGACTTTGTAAAGATGTATGGCGAAAGTAAAGAAAATCGATGAACGTCAGTAGCTGAGGAGCTTCGTACCTACCCCTTCCTTAACCCAACATTAACCCTTACTAGTTATCAGTTGACTGGGGTGGGGAGGGGTAAGTGTGCAGTTGCTCAGATACTGATATTGATCCACAAAATCACGGTTAACAACTTAAAGGTGAAAGGGTAAAAATAAACAAGGGCTATCCAAGCAAAAGTCAAAGAAAGTAATGTAAAAGTGATAAAAAGGACACCGTAAGGGAAAAAAAGAAAGCAAGAAATTATATTATGTGGTGTTACCTGTCGGAGGTTCTTTATAAAAGTAGATGACCGGATGTAAAAAGTTCGATTTATGCGCCTCTCCTGGTTCTCCGGTGGCACGGTCTGACTTAAACGTGTCCTTGCTGTGGTGAGAACAAAGGAATTATCAGCGGGCAGGGCTTACAAAATTTCAAATTCCTAGTTTTTAAAATTCAATTCTATTTTCAGAAGGAGTTATTTCTAAGCTTACTGAAACAGAAGGCAGAAGAAATGAAATCAAGATCTCGCAAGAGACAGAAAGACCGCCATGCTCACACAATGTTTGCGCAAAAACACAAATCGGTAATTTGTTGAGCTTTGCACTCACCCAGCTCCAGAGAAATCTTTGCCATACTCCATATTGAGTACTATCATTGGGCCTGCTGGACGACCAGTGAACTCTGACAGAACAAGAAAACAATTTCATTCTAAATTGAGAAGTATACCCTTTATTTCATAAGGAGGTATTACCAAATTACAAGCCGAGTCGAGCAGTAGGAGAACTGGTGGACCGAAAGAAAGTCTCAAGAAGAAACGTGACGACAACAGCCAAGACAAAACTTATGAAGTTTTGCGCATCAGTTAATCTGGTTCGACTTTTGACGACGTGATAAAATTCTGTTTGAACTATGATGTGGGTCTCTCTCGTAAGGTGTTTTTAACAGCCACTCAAACCCAATAACCCCAAAAACCATAAATTTGGTTTTCTTTCCTGTGCGTTGTGAATGGTCCAGGAAACTCGCGCAACCCTCTCAACCAATCAGATCATTAGAAAACTAAAGCCAATCATCACTTGGGCATTCGCGTTTTCCCGCACTTCTGACAATTTGCTTGTGTTTAACAAACTTAAGTTCTAATTGCCCGTTGTAACACCTCATTTAGGCTTTGGTTTCCCGATACAGTCGAAAAGTTCACAAGAGAGCGTCTCTTTTTGGCACAATTTGACGCTAACGAAGCGGTCTTTCCTATGATAAAGAGCAAAAGTAACACGGCAGTAATTATGTGTGTCAATCCACCCACGATACTAGATCTCGTCAGAATGTTGACAAATTGAACAACTGCGCACCTACCCCTCCCCTTACCCAACATTCACCCTAATTTGTCATAAGTTGACTGCTGTTGGGGTAGGGGAGGGGTAGGTACGCAGTTGCTCTGATACTGACTCTGACCCGAAACATTACATGATGGCAAGCTGGAACCAGACCTAAGTTATGGTCTACGTGATTTAGTAGATCATGAAAACATTACCTTCAAATTGATGTATAAGTCTGATTGGAAATTCCTCGTAGTATTCTACTTTTCCATTATCACCTGAAGAAGCAAGACGTAATATCATATATAACTGATACTTTGCTTTCTCCTTTCGAAAGCAATGACCAGCATCCTCGTTTTCCTAATTGGACAAAAGTATTACAGATCACATCGACTTCTACATCCTAGAGCTAAGTAACGAGGATGTTTGACAGAGGGCAATTTTCAATCAAGTTTCGAAAGTAATCCCACAAGGCATAAGTTTCTCATCACTTCTATCTGCGATTGGTTTAATTTCCCCTCCTTCAATTTTTTCAAACTTGTCCATTGTTTAGACCAAAAATCCCACTTTTTTCAATCGTTGGTATTTTAATTTCACGTCATCTCCACGAGGATGCAATTTTTAATGTGTCTTTCTCTCACAAGGCTCGTTTTCAAAGAACTCAATCTAAAATTTATACTCACGCAATATCATGACTTCTCCGAGGACCCCAAACATCTGATAAATCCCCTGTTTGAAACAGACAAAGCTTTGCATGCATTTTACACACGTATGAAATTTATGTAAGGTCAACTATATATTTTAACAACGGCTAGCAAAACCCAAGTTAAAACAAAAATTTTATACAAGAGAGGTGAAAACTTCATCGATTATTCTTATCATCTGTGAGAGAACAGTGCTGTTGTCAGTTGAGCGGTGAAATCTATAGAGTCACTCCACTCTGATGATGACTTCCGCAGGTTTTCGAAAAATTAGTCCCTCTCACCAAGTCAAACATACTTTACGAGTTTAAACCATTTGTTGGAAACTGAAATCTGGACATAAAATGGACCTCGAGTGATAGATAAACACAAATTTACAAGGCAAAAATTTCCTTAGTTTTAAAATCACTCGAAAACTGAAATGAGAGTCAAGAGAGAGCTAAGCGAGCATATCACTTAGATCATTAAGAAACTAAAAAAAAAACTAACCGATGCCTCATTAATCCTTTTAAGTATCACGTTCACAACTTCTACAATGGGCACTGTCACGTGAGGCCAGACTACTTTATGGTTACGCCATTCCAACACACGATGAAGAGTACGTGCTGCGGGAGAACAAAGTATTATAGCAAAAGTCAAAGTACTGTTGCTGACACAGTCAGACAAAAAAAATTGCAATCAAGTATTCCATTTTTAATTTTTAATAAGGGGACCACCAGCCTAAGCCTGCAACCGCGCTTGAAGTAACAGAACCAATACCCAATGGAAGATTGTCCAGTTGGCTTAGTGTTTACATTCGCATTTTGAAGACCTGCTCACGACCAAATCGTTTGAAAGAGCTACGTCTGGACTGCAAAGCCATACCTACGCCGTGAAACGCTAAAACGAGATTTCACCATAGTTTGAACCTGATGTGATCATGGTTTTTAATCATTTTGCCAGCTAAAGTTTTTTTATTGTGGTAACTTTGATGTGTACTTTAGCCTCTAACATGTTCCGATATCTAGCATAAAGTTATATAGATGATTCAGCCAAGTTTAAATCAAATTTACCAGTGTATCGAAACCCGTGAATGAATCCCCCTGCTGATTTTCGGAAGTCAACAGAATGGGTGTTTGTTCCAGCTGCAACGCAAACAAAAACTACGTTCCAAACTAAATTCTTAGATTTACATCATAAGAAATATATGTATGTTCCAAATAGCAAAGAGAATGTAACTTTTAGATTTTGTGTGCGAAACTTTTCAAAAAGAGTGTGAGAGTTGTATCTGCAAGTGCTACAACTTGTTGGAAAACAAATTGCGTGACCGTCACGCCCAAGATTCCTGGCAAACCTACCAAAATAAAGTCTTGGAATTGAAGTAGACTCATAGCTCGGTTTGATAGCTGGATATTTTTTGGACCGCTTTCCTCTGCTTGGCCTTGGCTTAGTTGTGTTGTCAAATATGGAAAAGTCAAACTGACAAAAAGAAAAGCAACTTCTTAGTACAACAATCACTAACTTCCTGTTAGCTACTTATCAAAGTTGTGAGGAAGTTTAATCCCACGTTGCTGGGAAAAAAAATTTTTTCAATGCCAAATATCCAACAATTATTCACTGAGGTGAAATGTTGTCTCTTCGGCTGCTCAGAGGTGAATGCTTTTCGCTAATCACTTCCGAACAAGCCAGTCAGCGCGTGTGAAAAGTACTATTCACCTGTGTGGTATATATTAAACTGGGATATGAGGAAGCTCAGGGGTAGTCTCCAAGAAAAAAAGAAAAACTTGGACTCTACAACAAAAGCCCCACGAAAATCCATAATGCTAAAAATTTTCCTCAAGAAAGGCTTCAAGGTAGAGATTGTTTGCATTGGTAAGATGTCCAGATGAATAATAGTCCAATATTCAGTTGAACTTTTTAAATGGGCTATAAGTTTAACACTTTGACTCCTAAGAGAGACTAGCATCTAATTTCTCCTTATAATATCACCCATAAATCACACATTGGGGTCACGAGAATAAAGGAAACGATCAGCAACAGAAGAAGCTTCTGATTTTTAAACAAATTCTCCTTGTCAGCGCCTTAGGAAATTAACAGAGAACAGTGTGGAGAATGTGGACACTGGTGTTAGGGTGTAAAATTATTTTTATACCTTAAAACCTAGGCAGCGTATAACGCGATCATAAGGCTCTCTCACAGCAAAGTTATCAGCTGAAAAAGAATCATTGGATCAAAACATTTTCAAAGAGGATAGGTGACACTCTTTCTAACAAACACCACGACAATGAAAAAAACGCAAAAATTAAATTGCATTTAGACAATGAGCAGTCCCTCATTTTCGGCGAAGTCCGTTGCGTGAGTTAATTCAAAAATCGGCGAAAAATTTTTTTTTTAGCTCACCGCGCGGTGCGCTAACACCAATTCATTTTTCACTGATTTTGTTAGACTTGCGCGAGGACTTTGCCGCAAAGATGGGACTGCGCGTGGTCTAAAGTGTGCTTGGTTAAAATGCTAGCTTACGTTTACCATGTCAAGCACAGAAGTGTAATTTTTACTACTCAGGCTTGGCTTTTATTTGAGAAAGATGAGGTTACCGCAGGTTTTAAAACTGTCTCTTCCTGACTCTGTTTACTCAACCAGAGCTGTTATGGTTATTATAAGAGTAGCCATGACGGTAATGTGATGAAGGTATCTGACAAAACACCTGCACTTCTCACACTTGAGTTCATGAAGAATATATCTCCAAATAGTTAAAGTTGAGTTTACTGAAGATAATTTTAAAAAAATTGATTAAAATATTATGACCTTCCATTATTATCACTTTTAAGAATACAAAACACTAAATTGACATTTAAATGGTTCATTTAAGAATAGGACTGCAGTCCTCCCTTACGTGCTCTTCCACTCTCTGAGATTGGCTGGTCTGCTGTGACAATGTTCTCTCCAGTGCCGTCAAAGGCATCAACAAACAGTTTTCCATCTCTCTTAATGACGGCCATTTCCTCTATAGGAGCCTCTGAGTGTGTAAAACATTAACCCAAAAAGGTATACTAAATAAAAGTGTGTTGGATTTTCTTCCGTCTGAACAGTATTGTGAAGATACTTACAATATCATCCTGAGCAGGAGCTTTTAGCAAACCACATTCTTTGGGAGGGTGGGGTGGGGGTCATGACTGAGCTAACAGGTAGTTATGTGTACAATAATTATTGTATTGACTTAATCAGGCTTTAGACACATTGATGACTGCCAAGTGAAAAGTGAATTGACGGAATTGGAATTAAAAATCGGTTAGGTAATAGAGCTTACCCAGTAACGCATCAAGAGATTTCAATTGATACGTGTCCAAGATTCCATTATTCACGGCTCTGTGAGAGGAACAAATTTAAACCAGTTACAGCTAAATCAAATCAGTGGAAAGTTGTCTAAGAGAGTCTTGAAAGGCTGTATACTGCAGTTATCGGTTTTATACTGTTTCGGTTTATGTGAAGGAAATGTTTGGTAAGGTTTCTTGTTTTCATAGCGTGTTGAAGTAGCAATTTTGCGACCGAAGAAAAAAAGAAATGTAATATAACTCAGCTCTTAGGCAGTCAGCTGTGTTGTCTGCGTGTAATTTAACACTAGTTAACCGTCACTCCCCAGCTGATTAATGGTTCATTTTCCTTGCAATACCAATAAATTCTCAGTAGAAAGGTGACGAAGAAAGACAAAGATCGACCTATGTGATACTGCTTGATTTAACGTCAAATTCTCCAGAGCAAGAGTTATGAGAAATGTAATAATAATGTGGAGAACTAATTTGGATCCTTGAGAGACCATGTACCATACCTCAAGTCACCAACATAGTGGGTTTCCCAAGACAAACGAACCCTTGATCTGCAATGAAATGAAACTATTAAATTAAGAGTACCAACAAATTCATTAACCTATCCAGTTATCTAAGGGTTGGTTTAAAGTTAAAAAATAAATTTAAGAACAGCCATTTCCCTGATGCATCTCTGATAATTGCTCAAAGGAGTTATATTTGTGTGCATCTTAATAAATTTAAGCTTAAGCTTAAAATCCATCATGTTCCATCTACTCCATCTGTCTTAATGTTTTCCTTTTGTAGCAATCCTTGGATTCCTTTAAATACTTATTGTCCCTTTGCTGTCTTCTATCTCAGTCTCCAAACCACTATTTAGTAACCTCTTTTAAGCTGATAGAAGTCTGCACAAGATTATCATAACATCATGAGGCAGGCCCTCCAAAAAGTAACTCAAAAATATGTTTGACAAGGAACAAACCTGGCAAACATGTGGATTAAATTGGTAGCTCCCATTATGCTATCTGCTGTCTCAAATGCTGAGTTCCCTAAATCAAGCAATGAAATTAATAAGTGTTATTGAATAGAGGTTTTTCTTGAGGAAACTTCTCCCCTCCCCAACACTATCGGACATCTCACCTCTTCCTACAATCAGTACTGTTTGCCCCTCATAATCATCAGGGTTTGTTGAAATATCCGAGTAACTCTAAAAAATTGAAAAAAAAATGTATGTTAAGGTCATACCATTGTGCAGTATTAGGAGTATCTTGAATACCTCTCATAGACTCCTTTTCAACTGTATTCTAGATGTCAGTCATCTCTCCCCCCCCCCCCCCAGAAAAAAAGAAAGGTGGAGAGTGTTGTGTAACAGCCTTAAAAAGGATATAAAATCTCAATCTAAACTTTGAGCTAGTTTGATCAATGTAAATGAATTGGTCATGATTTAAAAGCAGGAAATTAATTACATCAGGGTTGATTCTTGCCATCAATTCTCTGAACAGCCCTCTAGCTTCAGAGTTAAATGTTGGATCAAAGTGTCAAAGTGCCTTCAGTTCATAAAGCTGTCATCTATCAACCCTGATTATCAAAATTGTTGAAATATTTCCCCTTCATCAATGTTTTTTAGGGGAAACTGGACCATTTGTAAGAAACCAACTTAAAGAGGGAAGCAGGGTCTTTCAACAAAATTTAACAGGGGTGTCATCATGATATATTTCTAAGTATATTTTTTAATGACCAGTAAGAGAATTTGGTGCCACACAAAAGCCTCTTACTGATTGCTTTCTCTATACTCATCCCCTCATTCTCCTCTCATTCCTGATACTACAATGAGACCTTCCATCCTAATCATTTCTGGGAATCAAAAGGCCAATTTCAAAGTATCATCTCAAGGACAAACCTCTGTGTATTCAAATCCTTTAAACTTTCTGGGGAGATTTTCAACAGCTATACCAGTACTAACCAAACAGAAAAGAACAAAGCGGTTAGCAAGTTAGACAACCAAGCGAGTACTACAACTAACAGATTATCAAAACAGGGTTTCAATAACTTTTTCCATAAGCAGCCACCAATAGCACAGACTGTGCCCCAAGAAAGGGCTGTAAGGTGAAACCCAGACATGAAGTGGTAGGGCTGAACAGAAAGCGGTAACCATGCACTGTGATATTTTTTTAAGTTTTTTTTCATATCTATCATCTTTGAAAACACAAGTTCTTCTTTAGTTACCAGATAACAAGATTCTTGCAGGTGTATTCAGTCTCATTTTGATCTTTGAGGTGAAAAAGAGCATCATCCTCTTCCTCACTTCTAGACACATGCAGTATGTTTGTGTTGTACTGGACTTTCAGTTTGAGCTTGGTAGCATAGTCATTCAGATATCTCACCTAGAGAGAGAGAGAGATGATCAATTAAACAATATTTCAATAATTGTTTATAATAAATGTATGCCACACAAGTATTCAATTTGCAGAAAAGGGATAGCTCAACATCTAGAACACTTACCTATGGGTTCTATTTCTAAACCTGATGTCACATGAGGGTGCAACTGTTTTGCTTTTTGTTAATATCTTTAATTAGTATATTTCATTACTTTTTCATGGTGAAAGGTTTGTCCTTCTCTAGGAGACATGATGGGCCAATGGTTAGTGTGCTGTGCTACATATCAAGAGGTCAGGGTTCAAGACCTGGCTGTGTCAATGACTGTTGTGTTTTTGGGCAATTAACCCAAATGCTAGAAGGTAATCTTGTGATGAACTAGCATCCTATCCAGGAGGGAATAGTGATACTCCTTGTCACTTTATGCTAAGGAAACCAGAATAAGCTCTGGCTGGTGGACCACTTGGCTCAAGAGCAGACTTACCCTTACTAATTTTCCATAAGGAATATAATGATGAAGGTGATGGGTCTATTTAAATTGGAACAAAACTGTGAGGTTTTCTTTTTGGAGTAAAATGTTTGAAAGCTGAATTGGAGTCATCCCTGAAGAGTTGAGCAGAAAGATATCACACTCACCAGGATATCAGCATCTGGGAAAAACTGTTTGGAATATTTAGTCATTAAAAGAGACTCATCATCACTGAGAAGGGAATTCCAATCATGACGCATGTTAAATTCTTTGTTTGTTTTTCCTGAAAATGAAAATAAATGTTGCAAATCAACTTAGTTCTGGAGGTTTAAGTTTCCTCAAGAAAGAAAGATAATCTAATGTATCACTCAGCCTTTGGAAAGCTGAAAACTTAAATTGATACAAGATGTTCTTAGTTTTTTTTTCCAAGAATTTTTGAGAAGATGTCTCTAAGGTCAAATGTATAACTTGCATTAGGATGACCAAAACATCATACTTCAATCCTCAAGGCCTTAATGTAAGACCATGTGACAAAATAGAATTTTTTGTTTCTTGATATCATTTTTTTACTTTCCATAACACATCAATAACCTTTAATGGACAGTAAGGGTACCTCAGTCTATTCCATTGTTCTCTGCTTAAAAGGATGCAGTCAAAGGGTTGACTATAACCCTAACTTGGTTGTATTCATTGAAACATGAATGATAGATTGATGCAGTGATTTAATTTAGATATTCTTTAAATACTATATATAGCCAATAAGGGAACATCATTTTGTGAAATCATTCATGCAAACCCTTTCCCCACCATCCTTAAGTGAAAGAAATGCTTCAGTCTACAATTTTATAGTCATTACAAATAAGGGGTACCTGTGTGTCTCTTGTTGATAGATATTAATTTCCTGTGTCTTGGATACTTTGTATAAAATGCTCCTGAAATTTTGGTTAAATAAGACATAAAAAATACTGGTAAATTTTAAGTTGGCATAAGTTTACAACAAACATCAAGTGCTCTGGCATTTTTCATTAGGAAATTAAAATTGAATGTAATTGTTGCTGATTTCTGCTCAGGAGTGGATATGTAACTGGAATGCAACTCACAAACTAAAATGTCCTCACACACAAAAATTTGGTTTTAAAATTGTAATTTCAAATGTCACAAATCATGTTATCCATCAATGTAATAAGCACATAAATGACATTTTCAACTCTAATCATTCTTATCCATTTTCCAAACTAACTTAGTACAGAAAGATCATTAACCCTTTAACTCCCAAGATCTGATTGACAATTCTCCCCTCTAGCTGCTACACATTTCCTTGTAAATAAGTTATGAGAACTTGGTACTAGATCAAGATAGCAGATTCTACCTGATAAGTTTGAATATTCTCATTACCTGTTTGCTGAATAATGCATGGATATTATAGGGAGAAGTTTTATGTTAATCACTTCTGGGAGTGAAAGGGTTAACTGTGTATGTTCCTTGTTTGCTATAGCTTAATAAAGTTGTTCCGCATAGTTTCATTTTTTTCTTTAAGGAATATATTGCCAAAGAAAGGCAGTGAATTGATAATACTGATTTGTTTTCCTGACCAAAAAGTTCTAGAACTTTGTTATAGGTAAATCAAAGTGAATTACCCTACACAGATAGTATAGACTAGAAGAAAATTATTGAGTTTATACTTATTGAAAAAGTGAACACATGTAAAATGCAAGAGAAAGAAAAAAGAATTGTGAGCAACAAAAAATATATGGTCAAACTGTACAATGAATTAAATACCTCTAAGTACCCTAGGGCAATTGTGGTTTTACTTTTAAAAAGTTTATTTCTTTCTTTAGGGTAAAGTATTATGCCCATCTTATCATTGAGTACAATTTTCTTTTCAGTATTACAAACTTAATATTTAGCAATATACATTCAGAGAAAGGATATTTAATTACTTAGAGGAAAAAACAGATGTTCAGGTGCTCATTATATAGGGGCAGCTGCTTTCTTTCATTTTCCAAGAAAAAGGAAGAACAATATTGACTTGAATTTTACATGAAAAGAAATGTCATATTACTGTGTCCCACACATTTTCATGCGTTTTATGACTTAAAAATGGTGTAGTAGTAGACCATCCTAAATTTCTAAATCTGACTGCTCAAAATTATACAGATCATACAATAAGTGATTTGTTAGTAAAATTTCCTCACAGCCCCATACTATTGTAAAACAAATCTGTTTTCCCAATGGCAATGTATTGTTTTTGTCATTGTTTTCTCTGTCCAAGAACTGAATGCATAATGTAGTATGGGGCTTAGCGGAAATTTTACCCTTTTTTCTCCGGTATACATAGGAAAAAAATTCGATGTGCTAGTTCTCGCATAACAGAACCTATGTATAAAACGCTGAACCGGAAGGAAATCATAATGCAACGAAGAATTATATAATCTCGAAGAAAAGAAAATCGATTACACAATTATGCAAATATTGAAAGCTAGTTGATATTTCAAACTTTAATCCTCGCATCACTTTCCTTCCCGAAAGTTTACAACTCTCACGATCAGATAAAGGTTTTGACATAGAAGCCTTTTCAGAGGAAGTCGACCTAAGGTTCCATGGACAGTCGATGCAATTATGTTCCTACTTGACTGTCACCTGTAGCGTTCGATCTGTATCGGTTTCATCCTTATGGCAGCTGCAGATAGTTTAGTTTTTCTTCAAATTTTAATTGTGCTTCTAAATTGTCAGCCACCGATTACCCTCCAAAATGGTGAAATATTGTTTAAAAGTATTTTAAAACTGATTATCAATTACTAACGACAAGCAACTTTGTGAGGTTCGCCTTCAATTTCTTTCAAAAAAATTCGATCACCAAAATTTGAACGTGATTAACACCGATAAATGATCAGAATAGAGTTGCAGGCTAAGATGAAAGTGATAAATTTAAGCTTCACACTTTCGATTACATTTAAAATATCCCCAAAATACCTGCGAGTGCGTCACGTTCGAAAATGATATAATCACGGCCTGCGCGCTCAAGGTAAAATCCCAACTGAAGCCCTGAAATAAAAAATTCAGCAAATTCAATACCAACAAGTGCACATATATTTACAAAACACATCGAAACTGCCAAGAGATATTGCTCGTTTCAACTCGAAAAAAGGGCAAGAACTTAAATTTAAAGATGATTTAGAAATCACTCACCTCCCGGGCCAGCTCCGACAACACAGTACTCATGATGAACGGCATTTCCAGTTGATTTCACACACGATAGAGTGGAAATAATAACGAAGAGCAGACTGGTTAACCGGTTCATCACGCAATTGAAAGTCGCTTGTAAAAGCGATTAGCGAAAGGATGGAACTAAATTGGTGAGATTTCAGTGACTTGTTAACTCTCAATAGAATCCCATGCCAAAACAGGAAATCGATGGTAAATATCGTGTTTTTAACATTCTCAGCTGGATCGTTATTGGCTGCCGCAACAACAAAGAAACGATAATAAGTATTGTCTTTTACGTCATTTAACTGTATTTTTCAATGGCAATACAGGCGTCAAATAAATTAATCAATTCGTACGATTGTTTATCGGAGCGAAAAATAGTCAGAATGACCGAGTTGCTTGCTATTCTAGAAGAAACTCGTTTGACTTCTTCATGCGTCATTTTTGATCGCCATGCAAAACAGAGTGAAAAAATGGTTAAAATTTCTAAGCGCGTATTAGTAAATAATTAACGAGGTGATTTGAGATTAAGGTAAAATGCCAAAAATAATTCTGAGGATATAAATTCTTTTGACCAAATGCTGTTGAAAATTGTAGGTTTTTTATCTTACCGAACGGTAGGCGCTTATCTTGTACCTTCAGCCGCAACTTTTGAAAATTATTTCGTGTTTGTCTTTATTTGGTTTATTTACTTAACAATCCGGTGGGATTGCTCCTGGTCCCTTTTTTAGCTAAAGTTTAATATTAAAGGCGTGTAATCAATATTGAATGAACGACGAAGTCACTGTGAAATTGAGCTCCGTGTAAACTTCACATATGCTTCTTTTGTCGAAAAGCAGAAATATATATTTTTAATTACAGCCCACTCTTTTCATAACATTTTTTTTTCAGAAATTAACCGAAAGTTTGCAAAAAGAAAAAATCGAAATGGGAACAGTGAGTGGTTTTCACGATTTCTAAGCAACATTTTCCTAGAAGAAGTATCTAATCGATCCTATCGTGTCTCACGGAAACAATTAAAAGCATCGAGTCGTCGATTATTTTTTCTGAAAAATTTGAATACTAAAAGAGCGAAATAAAGCTATGAACCAAGCTGATGAGACAACTCGATCTGAAAACCGAGAATTGTCCAAAAACGCAAAGTAGAGATATGTAACTTAGAGATTTTGAGTAGTGAACCAAATTATCTCTAACTGATTGATATGGTTTAGGATACTGCGCCTTTTTATTGGAAGAATTTTGAAACATTGTGACTTCTTGTGCGCAGACACGTTGGAAAAAAGGCTGTCTGTAGCTAAATAATTAAAAAAAAAAAGTCGAAGAAAAAGAAATCTTCATGGCTCTCCTAGCGGCTTCTAGAAGTGTGAATATCAATCGCCGTTACGGGAGTTATCAATAACCATGAGTATCATCGGCTGTGTTTGACGACAAAAAGAACAGTGAGGTATGCATCTGAACTCATTGTACTGTGAAATCGTTGTAACAAACACTGATGCGGAGTTCATTGACGAAACCGAGGTTCGAAGGTCGATCGAAGGCTGACCGACGGAATCTCCTTTCGGGTGCCCTCTCACAAGAGCTTAAAAACAATTAGAACAACAAAATCGTAATTTTAAAAAAACCTCCGAAATATTTGCGGCCGATTATGGTAAAGTCAGTTCTGGGAATACGTGATAAGAGATTTTGTAAGAGAGTTTAAACATGGTTTTGTGTGTGCTGTCGTTAGTAAAGATGTCCTTGGCCGCTCAAGAACATATGAACCCAAACCCATGTTTGCTAAGATATCTGCTAAGGGTTTTCACATAGAACTTTTTGACATGATCGCCTTCAATTAAAGCTTTCCTTTTTTCTTACACGGAGAATAGCGGAAATTACTGTGTCAGCTTTGACACAGGATACGCGGAAATACAAGAGAGCAAAATGAAACACGAGGATAAGATAACTTCTCAAAGATCTAAAACAGGACGAAGATGAGAGATCAGGGGACTTCCTGTTATCGAGATGTCCTCTCCGATGCATTGCAGAAAACGAGGGCGGGGGAATTTTCAACCAAAGAGACATCAGTCAACGCTATTGTAACATCTTTCTCTATGTCCACAGTGAGATGACAACAATATGTGAAACTGAAAGCCTGCGGCATCATTTTATTCTGTTTTTTAAATACACAATGTTTTGTTTTCTCGTTTTTCTTCATATTCATTTATTATACAATTATTATTCAACACAGTATCGTCTAAGACATAATTTTTTGTAGTCTCATTGCCCGAGTGACGAAAGAGCTCCGTTGAAATTTCTCATTAAATATCAGTCAGGGGCGTAACACAATTTCAGCAAGCTGGACGGTGTGACACCTGACGTGACACCACGTGTGACAGCTGGTAGCTTTAACCAAAGTTAACTGTAATTTCCTCTTCCCAAATTTGAGTTATGGATGCAAGTGATGCAAGCCTTTTTTTTGCCCCTCAAGCTCCATCAAAATAAACTCCTGACATGTTGTTTCTCTTTAAATTCGGTGAAAAATAACATTTTTACAAGAACAAGCTTTTCATCTTCAGGTGCATAAAATAGTGGCTTCTCCAGAAAGGGAAATTGGACTTAAACTGTCTACCTTCCAGCCTGTATTGCTACAACAAAACTTGAAAAGCACAACACCGCGCCTATATATTAGAAAAAAACACCCCAAACTTTTATTTCCAAAATCTAGATACGAATTCTCCTTATTGTCTGCTATTCATAGCTCATAATTTTGGTTATTGAGAAATTGATAGTAAAACTTAAGTAAACAAGATTCCATGGTTGATATTTTATACTGGTCGTCCGTAGGTTGTGAAAGGGCTTATGCCATGTCCACCGAAACAATTTTTCACATATTTGTGGTTAATGAAGCACTCGATCAAGTTCTTCCTCCAAGAAACAAATCGTTATCATTAGAAGACACCTTCAGTTCCCTGTAGTCTTGAGATCCTTTCTCGAAGGGTTTTCTTTTCACTGAACACAGCCGTCTTTTTCTCCAGATTCTCTTTCATCTTTAAACCCTCGCTGGCAATCATTTTTATTTGAGCATCATTTTCTTCTGATAGCTGACGCCTAACATCAGATATTTTCTAATAAATTCTGCAGAACTTCAGTTTTGTTCCACTCTCTTTTCACAATAGTCTAAAATTTCTAAAAGGAGATATGTAGCAACGTGAGAATCACACAAAAAAGCATGAAATCACGAAATTGTGCATTAGTATATGTCAGTAGTAAATCACTACGCAAAGAGAAAGCAAAGTAATTATTGAACGTACTTTGAATGATCTGCTTGTAAGCGTTAGCAGCTGGTGATTCTGGTACTTCGGATAGAAATGATTTTCCTTCGTCACAACAGCGACCAATCCTGGGATCCAGCGGTACTTTGCCAAGAAAGGGTACTTCCATATCAGCCGCCATTTTCTGTGCCCCTCCTGTGGTAGGTGGGAAGATCTGCGACTCTTTCTGCATCAAAGACGAAAACAAAGCATTTCAAATACGACGAACTCTTAATGTCTCAAGTCTACCAGATTTGCCTCTCAAAACAAGCATGACAGCAACTTCAGATGAACCCGCAAGTTTCCTACTACATTTTGGCCTTTCCAATCAGATCACTGATACACACACATATTTGTGGTCCTTTTTTCCTCATTGCGAGGTCTACAAAAAGAAATCAATCTTCTAGACTTGATTGTCATGAAAACTAAGATTCCAATTGTCATTTATGAATTTTCTTTTTCAGCGTTTCCTCTATTGGTTCCTTTTCAACTGACTAACCCTTTGACTTGCAAGATGTTTTAAAATCAATTCTCATTTATATTTGGAAGGGGCAGCTTTCCAAATTTGCTGCAGTAAGTCACTGCATAGTATCAAACTACAAGATAAGATTATCAATTGTTAACTGTGTAAAAAAATTTTACACACAAATACCTTGCAATTGGGACAAATAAATCCACTCATATTTTCCACCACTCCAATCACAGGCATTTTCACTTTTTTACAAAAATTAATTTCCTTACGTACATCAAGCAACGAGACTTCCTGAAAAAGAAAGATATTAGAAGATAAACCACACCCAGGAATTCCATTGCCTTCACTACAATGTCACCATCTGACAACTATCAAGAGGCACAATCAGAAATACATTAAATTGTACTTTCTTTTCACTGATCTATAACTGGAGTGTCAAGTTTGAAATAATTCACTTTTACAGTTGAGTCATTATACTTAACAACTTGGTTAAAATGTTGACGAAAGCCACCTTACAAAGTTATTGAGTAATTAATTAAGTTGTCTTCAAAATTATTCCAGTGTCAAGAAATGTTAACTGATTTCATCTCTCACCTGAGGAGTGGTTATGATAATAGCTCCATCAACATGTGTGTTACTCAAATACTGGACAATTGACAGGTGCTCATCAGAGGTGCCAGGAGGGGTGTCCACCACTAGGAAGTCTACATCACCCCAGTCAACATCGCGTAAAAACTGTTTGATCAAACCTGTAAACCAAAAACCAGTCATTATACTAGATTAGATGACTGTTCAGGTAGACAGGCAAGACACACTGAAACCTTTGCTCATCTATGGTGAAGATTAACCCTTGACATCCTAACATCAGTATGTATAATCTCCTTATTGTTATCTACACATTTCTAAAGGTGCTGACAAGGAGAATTTGTTTAACAATCAAGAGCCTCTTTATTTGGTGATCATTTCCTTTATTCTCATGGTCTTAAATGAAGGATTCAGCAGTATTATTGTAAGGAGAAACTAGATGCTGGTCACTCTTAGGGGTTTAAAGGGTTAATGATGATATGTACCTATTTTGAAGACTGAATGGGAGGGACAGACTGGAAGTTTCCCCAGCTAGTTCCACACAACTCAGTTGATAATCATTTCATTAGAGATGGTAGTCATTTTTTTTCTTCTTCCTTAACTACTGCCCTCAGATTAGAGGATGTTTGTAAATCCAGAAATGTCCCAATTTCCCGAAATCAAGGCATTACCCTTTCCTTGATGCCTGGGGAAAGAGGGATTCACAAAACTATAACATTTTCTTAGTCTACTCAGGCAATTGGATTGATAAACACATTGTGAGTGGCTGTTTTCTTGCCCAAAGGCTGCTGTGAAAGGACACATTCTTACCATTTTTCTTGGGTCCCCTCCAAATAACTGCATCACTGGGGCTGCTTAGCAAGAACCCCACAGACATAACACCAAGATTGTCCTCTACATACTGAATAGAACAGAACCAACCTGTTAACTCCTTAACTTCCATGATCTGATTGCTAATTCTCCTCTCTAGCTAATACACATTTCCTTGTAAATCAGTTACATGAATTATGTGTTGGATCAAGGTAAAAAATTCTACCAGATCAGCTTGAGTATACTCATTAGCTGTTTACTAGATAATGTACCATATAATGATGTTGTAGAGAGAAGTTACAAATCTCTCACCTCTAGAAGTAAAAGGGCTAAAATGTTTTTATTATGAAAAATAATTGACTCTCTCTCTTTTCTCTCTGCTATGAAAGGGGTAAGGGGTTGTGAGAAAAAAAAATGATCACTCCATTACATCAACAAGACAAATCATAAATTTAATATATTTAAGCTCAATAAAGAAAATGAGACTACTATGAAAGCCACATACCACAGGTGACCATCCTGAACCACTTTGGTGAACCTGTGAACAAAACACATTGGTTAATTAGCTGGAAAGTAATGTCACTGTCTTTTCTTTAATATTACAATAGAAAGCAAATTGCATTAAAAGAAGAAGATTAAGGTGAACTAAATGATGCATTCTGTTTATCAGATATTTTCTCAGAATTGTTAAGCATGTCTGAGGTGTGTGTAGCCTTCACCAAGAGGAATTGTAATCCCCCCCCCCTTGCTAAGCCAGTTGGTGCTTTTGGGGAAAACAATGAAAATATGTTTAAATACATTTAAAATATAAAATGAAAAATAAAAACAACCAACTCATCTTTACCTGTTCACCCTCAAGACCCATCACTTTGGGTATAGAAGGGCCACAGATATCAACATCCAACACTGCAATCTGAAATTCATAGAAAATATGAATTCATAGAAAACATTGTTGATGTTGTTTTGTTTTTAGTGTTGTTTTTCCTGTAAAAAAATCCTGAAGGGGTTGATCTACGAGAGAATGTTGATGAGAATGAACACTGCCCTGAACAAATTTTCTCTATCACTTCCTCTAAATGTTTCAAAATCTATAAGCTTCAAACCATGCAGATTTCTATCGAGTGCATCATTAAGAAGAAGTGGTACATCCATGGCTGTTTTTTTTCTTCCCACCACCCTTTAAATCTTATGGATTTCTCCCTGTAGAATTATGTAAAAGTAAAGTTTTTGTCATGAGAAACAGTTTAATTTCACCTTAGGGGAAATATGAAAATTATGCATTCAAATGAAAGACTCAAGAAAGAAGATCATTGTACTTCTCTGAAACAAATCAAGACCTGAAAAAAATTCAAGCTTGAATGGGATTCAAATCATAAATTAAACTAGTGTGGCAAAACAAATACCACTGCAGCACTCTCAATGAAAAATTGGGCACTGTGCTTCTATAATCAACTTTCATAAGTCATAATTACAGTACTTGACTGCCATGATCTTTCCTCTACTACAAAGAATTGTACCTGTTTGCTTTCATCAGCAGCCAGACCATGAGCCAGGTGGGCTGTAAAGGTACTTTTCCCAACTCCACCTTTACCAGATAGCACCAAGATCTTGTGCTTGACAGTTGTCATTCTTTCCTTTACTTCCTCCACAGCTAAAGCAAGGATATAATTTCTTTATTTAGTGAATTGAAAATCATTAAAAGGAGGTTTTATGCCTACAGCAATTTGTTAAAAGTTGTCTATCATTACTGCTTTTCACGACAAGAACATTTATAAAAGGTGCAGTATTCTTGTGGCAAATTCAAATTTGCCCCCTCCTGAATCAGGAAAGTTATCATTCATAAAAATATATCATTCTCTTTGGTTCCTATACATTCCAATAAGATGTGCTTATGAACTGTCTCCTTCAACAACAACTAGATAGGGGACTACCTAATTTTAAGTAGGGATTGTCAAAATAATCCTTTGTTGAAAAATCCTCCTTAAAGCCCCTTCACAGAAGTAGCTCATTCTCTAACAGGATACAATTTACAATACAAAACACGTATAGCAAAATGTTACATTAGATTAGAATAAAAATTTTGATTCCTTGATAGTAAATACAAAGATACCCAAAGGATATCACTTTGAACATAGTGGGGAGTGAAAATTGGAAAATGAAGGGCTTATCTGAGGTACGTCAGGTCAGTAAGATTCATTGAGGCTCTCTGTGTGTTTGGCCGACGTTATGTACCCAGGGAATTCTTTCCCATAAAGAAACACAGAGGCAACCCATGACGACGTTTGTCTACGGGGAATGACGGTGCATAATTTTAATTTTTCGTCTCTTGTTGGTATCGCAGTGAGGTTTTGAAGGAATAAGAGAATTTTTTTCATTAAGTCATGACGATCCGTCGGGGGAAATTTTCTGTCCCATTGGGCTTAAGAAAAGTAATGTAAAGGTCAACCTCGATCTGTGGGAAACACAACATACGCACGTAATCATGTTAATAATGACAATACACAATTTTCAGTTTTTCATTTCTCCCCTTGAAATGGGAAAGAAGGAAATTTTCATTACAGCAGTATGTAATATGAGTTTTATGTTGCTGCGAAATGCAATCAGATTACCTGGATCTGGTCCCAAAGGTTTGGAGGAGGAACAAATATTCTGGTTCGGACATCCTTGACAAGCAGTCCCCTTCCCCGCCTGCTCACTACCCGTTCCTGGGCAGTCTGTTAAGATAGAGAAAAATAAATTAAGTCAGATAAAAAAAATCTCAATGGTCAATTTTTCAGATCGCGCAGAGAAAATGGAAAAATACATAAAATCTTACGTTCAGGAGCATTCTCCGGAACGTCCGCCATATTGTATGTCCCAGCGAGCCTGCGATTAAAAGGTACATCAGGCGCATGCTCTTCTAACAGCAAAGAAACATGGCGGAAGAAGGCTCGGGTAATTTTTTTGTTAAGCATTCCCCCTTATTTAAATGAAATTAATGGCTTGAATTTAATTTTTATCTATTTGAATTATCGGCTTATTAAAAAAGTAGCATTTTATTTTAGCGGTGGATGCAGAGGATAAGTTGGAGACAGAACCGGACCCTTGTCGGTCCAAATGTTGTCCTGAAACTTTTGTCGAAAAAGAAACTGAAAATACGAATGAAAAGTCCAAGGAGGATTTTAGCGTCGAGGAGAAAGAAAAAGACACGACAGAAGAAGAGCACGCTTCGTCCAGTAGGGAAACTGCGAGTTTTCGTGTTGTTTGGAACAAGAAAAACTATGAGGTCACTTTTCCTGTGGATGAAACAGTTGATAGTCTCAAACAACACATAGAGAAGCTCACAGGTTTGGAAAGGAAAAGATTGATCAGTTTTGCTCTAAAGAATCTGCACAAGATAACAAGTGTAAATATAGAATCAGGCAACTCTCAGTCCTTGCCATGCACTTTACAGTTTGGTTAGTCATGTCAAGTCACCCAGGTCAAGACTAAATAATAAAAATACTGAACCGCTTGACAAAAATTATCACTTGAAAGACACGATTTAAAAACACATCCCAAAATAAGTTTTAATGGTATGTGCTATGATTCCTACCCCTGTGTCCAGAAGTCAGCATATTTTTTAAAAAATAGCTTGCTGGAGATAAATATTTACCCTCCCAGAAGAATAAAACTTTGGGATCAAGGAGCACATACCACTTTCTTGTTCATGTTTCTTGAGGAGGAGGGCTCTAAGCCCTAAATCTGGTTCCATCTCCTCACACAGGGAAAAAGCCACAATTGTGAGGAGGCAGTTAGTTTCTAAAGAGACCAATTTATTGCACTGGTGAGCAAGTGTAAGAATTAGTTGGTGTCCAAAGAGGGGCAAATGATTAAAACCTTCAATGTACAGAGCAGTTTTTCTACCTCTCTCAACTATTACCTATATCCAAAGAAGAGCTCTAAGGAGCTAATCTTAGCAATAGATAGGGATGTTAGTAAGAATGGAAATCCAAAATTCAATCTCTCTACCTTCTGTTCCTTTTCAGCAGACCCATTGGTAGTTTTTTGTTTGGCTGTGTTATATGATTGAGGTTTAACTTTATGAATCAATGTGTTTTTGTGTCTTTCAATCACAGGTTTACCAGTTTCAATGCAAAAGCTGATGTACAAAGGTAATGGAGATCAAGAAAAAGTGTCTTGATTGGTATATGAGTTTCTAATTCTCTTCTACAGTTACCAACCTATCTCTTTTAAATTAGTAAGGAGAAATTTGTTTTGTATCAAGATGACACCCTTTAGCTGTTATTTTCTCTGTTTTCATCAGCCAAGTTCAGGATAATCTCGTTAACTGGTTTATAAAACACATGCCAATGATTCCTGAGAGTTAATAGGTCAACCAAGTACACCCTAACTTCGGAATGCATTTTCTCTACACTTTTCTCCAAACATTTCCTAAATTGCTAGCAAGGAGAATTTGATTGACAAAAATCCAGAGACAGACACAAATTATTCCCTACCAAGATTAAAATTATATTTTATTTGTTTTTCACCTTCAGGGCTAGTAAAGGATGGAGGCAAAACATTACGAGAACTTAATGTTTCTAATGGAGTGAAGATGATGGTTGTTGGCTCAACCATTAATGATGTCATGAAAGTGACACCCCCTCCTCCAGGAGCCTTAAAAGATGACAAATCAGGCACCTCAGGTGGGGTGGGGTGACATGAGACATGTTTGCGATATTTGTCTATTCTCAAGACTTTTATATTTGAAAGTACATCTAAAAACAGACACAACAGATGCAAAAATGTTCTAAGATGATTTTACTTTTTTTTCCTAATAGGTTCTTCAAAGGAACCACTTAGTAAACAAAAGGTGAAAAACAGTAAAATATCATTGATTTCCTTTTAGTGGATGAAAAATTCCTATTCCATCTTTTCTTCATGAAATATTCAATCATTCCTCTGTTTGATTTCCTTTTTCAGGACTCAGAGGCACTAAGAAGTGATTTCATTTTTTTTTTCAGATGCATAAAAAAGTTTTAGACAAAGGAAAACCAGATGATGTCATGCCTGGATTTAAAAATAAAAAAGTATGGTTTTTCCAAGGAATGATATGTTGAACAATGGTTTGAGTTTGTTGGTAGGGTTATCATATTTCCTCAAATAAGCACCCTCCCACAAATAAGCCCCCACCCACTTCACTTTCTTAAATACCAGGGATACATGTTCAAGGAAAACCTGTCTCTAGTGCCACTTTATTTACACTTTTTTAAGTTTCAACTATAGTGGCATCAGTACAGGTGAATAATAAGCTCCCCACTTAATTTAGTGCCCTCCTTCCAATAAGCATCCCTCCATTTAGCAACAATTTTGGAAAAGTACCCGGGCACTAAATCTTGGAAATATGGTGATTGGGTTTTTTGATTCTGGGCAAGGATTAGAGCCATCATGTCTTAGAGCTAGAGGACAATATATGGTCAAATATAGTGAAAGAGCTCATTCAACTAATTTTCCTATTCAACTTGAAGCTTTGAAGGTTATGGTTATAAGATATGTACTTTACTCATAGGAAAAGTTACCCAATGTTCCAATTGCTGGGATGTATAACAAATATGGAGGAAAAGTTAGATTAACGTTCAAGCTTGAATTGGATCAAGTTTGGATCGGAACAAAGGGTACGTTACTTTTACATGTATTAGCTTTATGAATGTTGACAAGATATTCAAAAGCTCACAAATGGATTTTTTATATTTTCACCATGAGATCAGTATTAGAAATGTGGTATTTTAGTGATGTTTTTTGTCTCTCTTTCAGAACGAACAGAAAAGGTACCGATGGGATCAATAAAAAATGTAGTATCAGAACCAATCGAGGGTCATGACGAATATCATATGTTGGTAAGACATCTTCACGCGAGAAAATTACGTGATCGCTTACCTCAAGCCGTGCAGTGAGGTAGCTCACTGAGAAATTTAATTTAATATGACCCATTACTAATATTTTCCCGCGTGTGCGCGCTCTCGCATGCGAATGCGATATACGAGAATTAAGGAAATGATCCCCTTCGTGAGCAGCCTTGATTGTTAAATAATTTCTCCTTGTTTGTTCCAAAGAAATGTACAGAGAAGAGTATCGGGAATATTGAAACTGATGCTAGGCTGCAAAGGGTTATTAATGGGGAACATGGCAGAAGATTTTGAGTTTCATGGTAAATGAGATCGCTCCCCTGAACGAACGACCAATCGACTCCAGTTAAGAGAACAACGTCCTTAGCGCCGCGGGGATTTTCCTAGCAAATAGTTTCAGTGATGAGTTATTTGCGTTTCGTTTTAGGCCATTCAGCTTGGACCAACGGAGGCATCTCGATACTGGATCTACTGGGTTCCTGCACAATACGTGGACGCCATTAAAGACACTATTCTCGGCAAATGGCAGCCATTCTAGACAGTCATAAACACAGTGTCGCTACTGTGGTGTCAGCTTAAATACTGCATCATTCAAGGGTTCAGTGTTCAACAGACTGGAGAGACGTTCAAAGCTGGCCCAAACATGATGTCGTTGGATTAAGTTGAAATCCTTTTTTTTGCAGCTCAAGATGGTATTAAACATTTCTGCGTACTTTTGCTGCTCTAACGACGGGAACCTATTGACTTCGATTCGATCTTCTTTTTGCGGTACCCGAGATGCTATTTTTTTAATCTTCAACCTTAACCCTTTAACTCCCAAAAGTGATTAACATGTAACTTCTCACTATTATTTCAATGCATTATCCAGCAAACAGCTAAAGAGGATACTCAAACTTATCAGGTTAAAGTTGTTATCTTGAATTAACGTTAAATTGTCGTAACCAATTTATCAGGAAATGTGTAGCAGATAGAGGGGAGAATTAACAATCAGATCTTGGGAGTTAAAGGTGTTCTGGAATTGACAGTGGTTATGTGATTTCTAATTCTTCTTTGAAGTAAATTCTCCATTTTTTCCCCCACCGTTTCGGGTATTGCCAAGCGTGATTGTGATGTGCCAAATGGATTACGAAGCGTTCACTGACACGAAGAAAATTGAATTACAGCGAAGGTCACTTTGATCTTTCTGTCAGATGACAGGTTAAAACTGTTAAGGGTTTGTACTGCTGAAGTAATTACCCTGGCTATTTTCAGCTTCTATTTCAGCCTTGGGAATCGGTGCTTGTTCTCCTCCTCCACTCCCGCAAGTTTGTTCCATGTGATCAGTAACTCATTTTTCTTGAGGGAGGCTAGGACTGATGTTGGCTGAACGCCTCTGGTTGATAAGTGGTTATCCTGAAAATTGATACAAAAATCTGAAATTTTCCATCTTAGAAACCTTTATTTTAAATGTAGAGCAGCATCAGGAAGCCGAAATGAAGCCAAGATCAGTTCTTCGTTATTGTTTGCCGTGGTAATGTTTCCTTTTTAGCGCTGAGCTGAAGAGCTTCAAGAAAATTAGATTAAAGATCTATTTAAATTAAAATATTTTATCAGAAAAGGAGTCATATTCTTTGTTAAAACGTCTGTAACCTCGCCCCCAGGTAGTCTAATTAGCCATTCTCTGAAATTTCACAAAACGTTCCCGTGCCTGACTTTCTAGGAATAGTTGCAAAGCTGATTAGCTCTTAAGTCTGTTCCAGGCTTTCAATTACTGGAACAAACCGCGGTAATAAACGATGCGATGGGGTTGGGACCCATCCCAAGCCCCTCTCGCTTTTTCACTTCGTTTTACTATGTAAACGCCTGGAACAAGCTACTAGCCCTTTGGGGTCTTCCTTCGACAAGAAGTACACCTAAGACACCATATTATTTCTATCTCAGTATAACGAAAAATTTCGCGCCCATATCGTTTTGAGATTCCAGCGTGACATAGGCGTTCGAAAAATTGTCAAGGAATGTGCTAAAAAATAGTGCCTATATGTGATTTTCATATATCTACAATCATTATTTATCACTTGGATGGTTTATTTGGACCCAACCTATTGACCAGCTCCCAGTTGGCTTGTTAGCTCAGTTGGTAGAGCGCTGCACCGGTATCGCAAAGGTCATGGGTTCAAATCCCGTACAAACCTGAATTTTTTTCAGGTCTTATTTCAACTACTAGCTTAGTAGTGTTCATAGCTGCGAGGATCTCTTGTATTCGAATGAAGGCTACTGTATAAAACATAGGCATGCTATGCATGGAAGAGTTTTTTTTTTGGGGGGGGGGTAGGTGGATTACTTGAAACATTGTAAGTGATGTCTGCATTCTCACAAAAGGAAAGAAGAGTATTAACGCGGAAAAGAAGGAAAATGTCGAATTAACTCACACACTGGACATTCATCCAGAGATAGCACCGAGCAAACCAATCCAGAAAGATATAATCGACACAGTCAACAAATCATGAATCCTGCAACACAGCTTCCCGTTAAAGAATTGCTTAAATCAAAATGTTTGGTGCAATTCATCAACACCTCAAGCAATATTTAATTCAAAAGTTTTTCCGCTAACTCTCGTCATGGAGGTTGTGATTGGTTGATTCAAACTACAACTTTGAATGTGATTGACAGCTTTCCGACAACAAACTGTCTGATAACAACTTAGCAAGTGATTTAGTGGAAAATAGGAATTTTTTAAAACAATCACAATCAAGGTAACTGTAATTTTAATGATTAAGTATATAATACTTTCATCAAATCATTAGTAGTTGTAGTTGACAGGAATCCAATGTATGAGAAAGAACTATTTTTTCCCTCTGGTATTTGTTATTGACATTTATTTATTGATAATATTGACATAAAAATGTAATATGTGCCGGAATTCAAATAGAATCCATAGACGTAAAAAAAAAAACGCCGTTATTTGTATTCCCTACCCCGTAAGCAAGATTACGCGCTGCCATGCATTTATTTTTTTCAAGGTTCAACTTTCCCTCCACTTGCTTTTTCGTCTTTTCACTAACATGTAATTGGAGCTGCCGAGCTAAGCGCGAGTTGACAACATGATTGTATGAATGGGTTAAATTTTCCTTAGTAGGAAGAAAGCAAGTACAATGCAGGAAAGATTCTACAGCGTCCAAAAGGCATGTTTCTATGTTTGTCCAGGAGCCCAGACTGACGAAGGAGTTGCTTTCCTTCAAGAAATCCATGGTGCGTTTCCTTTTCAATGGCGAAGGACTGGACTTACATTTGGTGGACCTCTTTTTTTTTTTTACATCTTTCTTGCCCGCCGTTCTTTTGCCAAACGAGTTCCCGCAGCCCTTGCATTTACATCTGTCCGCGGAGCACGAACTACCAGAAGTATAGCATGGGCATTTGGATCGTCGTTGGTCTGACACATCGGTGCCATCCTCCACACCTACAGCCATTGGGTGTACCATTATTGTTACGGGCGTTATTTTTGCAGTTAAAGCATCTGCATCTTTTGGAGCATTGCCGCCTTTGACGAACACATGGACAGCGCCCTATTGCATCAGGGATACAGAATCCATGCATCCTTGATTTTGCATGTCGTCCACAATGACAAATCGAACTTTCATTTGGCGGCAGCTCTTTGTTATCCTTGACCTCAGCTAAATGCATGCAAATAAGACACGACAAATGTCATGGTAACTGACAAAACCAGCAAGGGACGTTATGAAAGCAAATCGTGAATTCAATTTTGCAATAAATTTACTTGCCTTATGTCAGCTCTCATATAAAGTGTGTATGTGTGTGTGTGTGTGGGTATTGACGAGGCATATATTTTATGTGAAGTTGAATGTATGATAAATAGGCAAATAGAGGGAATTATAGTGTCAAACTAAAATAATCCCGACAAATTTAGTCTGGTATATTACATTAGACTATTCTCATAAACCGTCTATCGCAACAAACTGATATAAATTGCAAGGGAACCTAGCAAAGACGACTCAACCACCAGGATTCAATTATAACATTTCGTCAGTCGGCTTACATACGGCTGAAGTACAGATTTGGTTGGTAGCGTCATAATGGCCAGCACCATAATAGTGGAAAGCGATGTATATGGGCGTGGTACTCAATGGACTATCAGGTACGAATGGAACGACAGGTGTAGAGCGACTTGAGGTAATGATGATAATCGAAACTTTAAGGACGTTACAACAGACTTTCATCACCAAGTCTCCAATTTCACGATCAAACACACCTTTCATTCTAAACTCACTAACTCTTTCTGTAAACGTGGTTGTCGATACCGCTACGTCCTCCCCTCTAATAAATTCTTCAACAAAAAGCTGTCGTAAGGTAAATGTATCCTCGTCTTCAGAACCGGTCATCAAATTTAGCGACCGGAGGTGATCTTCTAGTCCTTTGGTTTTGTCAAAATCCATTTTAAGTAGCTGCCTTATTATGCTTCGGAATGCGCAATCCCCGTCTTAAGATACGCTTTCAATCTCTAGTCCAAATCCGGCTAGGTGCCTTTTAAGATCCTCAGTGTGGGTGCTTATATTGGGATCATTACTTTCGGTAGAATCATCTAAATGAAGAAGATTGGAAAATTTCAACAAGTACAACAGACTGCTAGAGTCAAATGCTCTATTACAACTTTGTGCATCAACATTGCTTATAATTTCTTGGATGCTGATCGCCACATTTATTATAGACCGAGCCACATAATCCGTGCATAGGTCAGTAATTGTTTCAGTTATCGTGACCTCTGGATTCATATCTGAATGACTCGCTGGCTCGCCAAGAGTTTCATCAGTTTGCTCTTCAACTGCTAAACTACCAGTCGTGAACGATGGATGAGGACTGTAATCGTGTTGCAAATTGTCTGTGCTATTTACCGGAACTGAGGGTACATGAGGGCGAACGTAGTAGAACGTGGGCTAACGTAGTAGAACATGGCTGACTTAGGGCAGATGTCAGTGAACGTGGTAGACCATGGCAAACTTGAGGGAGATGAGGGTTAACGTGGTATAACATGGCTAAATAAGGGTAGATCGGAGTTAACGTGGTATAACATGGCTACCTTAGGGTAGATACGGGTTAACGAGGTAGGAAATGGTTCACTAAGTGTAGATGTGGGTCACCAGGGTAGAACATAGCTAACCTAAAGTAGATGTGGGTTAACGAGGTAGAACATGGTTCAATAGGTGTGTATGTGGGTTAACGTGGTAGAACAACCTAAGGTAGATGTGGCTTAACGTGGTAGGACATGGTTCACTAAGTGTAGATGTGGGTCAACGGGGAAGAACATAGTTAGCCTAAGGTAGATGTGGGTTAACGTGGTAGAACATAACTAACCTAAGGTAGATGTGGGTTAATGTGGTAGAACATCGCTAACTAAGGGTAGATGTGGGTGAACGTGAAAGAACATAGCTAACCTAAGGTAGATGTGGGTTAACGTAATAGAACATGGCTAACCTAAGGTAGATGTAGGTTAAGCCTAAGGTAGGTGGGTTAAGAACATGGCTAACCTAGATGTGGGTGAACATGGGTAACGTGGTAGAACATAAGGTAGATGTGGGTTAACGTGGTAGAACATAGCTAACCTAAGGTAGATGTGGGTTAACGTGGTAGAACATAGCTAACCTAAGGTAGATGTGGGTTAAGATGGTAGGGTTAACGTGGTAGAACATAGCTAACCTAAGGTAGATGTGGGTTAACGTGGTAGAACATAGCTAACCTAAGGTAGATGTGGGTTAAACCTAAGGTAGATGTGGTTAACGTGGTAGAACATAGCTAACCTAAGGTAGATGTGGGTTAACATGGTGAACATAGCTAACCTGAGGTAGATGTGGGTTAACATGGTAGAACATAGCTAACCAGGTAGATGTGGGTTAACGTGGTAGAACATAGCTAACCTAAGGTAGATGGGTTAACGTGGTAGAACATAGCTAACCTAAGGTAGATGTGGGTTAACGTAGTAGAACATAGCTAACCTAAGGTAGATGTGGGTTAACGTGGTAGAACATAGCTAACTAAGGGTAGATGTGGGTTAACGTAGTAGAACATAGCTAACCTAAGGTAGATGTGGGTTAACGTGGTAGAACATAACCTAAGGTAACCTAACCTAAGGTAGATGTGGGTTAAACGTGGTAGAACATAGAACATAGGTAACCTAAGGTAGATGTGGGTTAACGTGGTAGAACATAGCTAACCTAAGGTAGATGTGGGTTAACGTGGTAGAACATATGTGGGTTAACGTGGTAGAACATGGCTAAAGGTAGATGTGGGTTAACGTGGTAGAACATAGCTAACCTAAGGTAGATGTGGGTTAACGTGGTAGAACATAGCTAACCTAAGGTAGATGTGGGTTAACGTGGTAGAACATGGCTAACCTAAGGTAGAGTGGGTTAACGTGGTAGAACATAGCTAACCTAAGGTAGATGTGGGTTAACGTGGTAGAACATAGCTAACCTAAAGGTAGACGTGGGGTTAACGTGGTGGGTTAAACATAGCTAACCTAAGGTAGATGTGGGTTAACGTGGTAGAACATAGCTAACCTAAGGTAGATGTGGGTTAAACATAGGTAGCTAACCTAAGGTAAGATGGGTTAACGTGGTAGGGGCTAACCTAAGGTAAATGTGGGTTAACGTGGTAGAACATGGCTAACCTAAGGGTAGATGTGGGTTAACGTGGTAGAACATAGCTAACCTAAGGTAGACGTGGGTTAACGTGGTAGAACATGGCTAACCTAAGGTAAATGTGGGTTAACGTGGTAGAACATGGCTAACCTGAGGTAGATGTGGGTTAACGTGGTAGAACATAGCTAATGTAGATGTGGGTTAACGTGGTAGAACATAGCTAACCTAAGGTAGACGTGGGTTAACGTGGTAGAACATAGCTAACCTAAGGTAGAGGTAGTTAACGTGGTAGAACATGGTTAACCGTGGTTAACGTGGAACATAGCTAACCTAAGGTAGATGTGGGTTAACGTGGTAGAACATAGCTAACCTAAGGTAGATGTGGGTTAACGTGGTAGAACATAGCTAACCTAAGGTAGATGTGGGTTAACGTGGTAGAACATAGCTAACCTAAGGTAGATGTGGGTTAACGTGGTAGAACATAGCTAACCTAAGGTAGATGTGGGTTAACGTGGTAGAACATAGCTAACCTAAGGTAGATGTGGGTTAACGTGGTAGAACATGGCTAACCTAAGGTAGATGTGGGTTAACGTGGTAGAACATGGCTAACCTAAGGTAGATGTGGGTTGACGTGGTAGAACATGGCTAACCTAAGGTAGATGTGGGTTGGGTTAAGGGTAGATGTGGGTTAGAACATAGCTAACCTAAGGTAGATGTGGGTTAACGTGGTAGAACATAGCTAACCTAAGGTAGATGTGGGTTAACGTGGTAGAACATAGCTAACCTAAGGTAGATGTGGGTTAACGTGGTAGAACATAGCTAACCTAAGGTAGATGTGGGTTAACGTGGTAGAACATGGCTAACCTAAGGTAGATGTGGGTTAACGTGGTAGAACATAGCTAACCTAAGGTAGATGTGGGTTAACGTGGTAGAACATAGCTAACCTAAGGTAGATGTGGGTTAACGTGGTAGAACATAGCTAACCTAAGGTAGATGTGGGTTAACGTGGTAGAACATGGCTAACTAAGGGTAGATGTGGGTTAACGTGGTAGAACATAGCTAACCAAGGGTAGATGTGGGTTAACGTGGTAGAACATAGCTAACCTAAGGTAGATGTGGGTTAACGTGGTAGAACATAGCTAACCAAGGGTAGATGTGGGTTAACGTGGTAGAACATAGCTAACTAAGGGTAGATGTGGGTTAACGTGGTAGAACATGGCTAACCTAAGGGTAGATGTGGGTTAACGTGATAGAACATAGCTAACTAAGGGTAGATGTGGGTTAACGTGGTAGAACATAGCTAACCTAAGGTAGATGTGGGTTAACGTGGTAGAACATAGCTAACCAAAGGTAGATGTGGGTTAACGTGGTAGAACATAGCTAACCTAAGGTAAATGTGGGTTAACGTGGTAGAACATGGCTAACCTAAGGTAAATGTGGGTTAACGTGGTAGAACATGGCTAACCAAGGGTAGATGTGGGTTAACGTGGTAGAACATAGCTAACCAAAGGTAGATGTGGGTTAACGTGGTAGAACATGGCTAACCTAAGGTAAATGTGGGTTAACGTGGTAGAACATGGCTAACCTAAGGGTAGATGTGGGTTAACGTGGTAGAACATGGTTAACTTAAGGTAGACGTGGGTTAACGTAATAGAACATAGCTAACCTAAGGTAGATGTGGGTTAACGTGGTAGAACATAGCTAACCTAAGGTAGATGTGGGTTAACGTGGTAGAACATAGCTAACCTGAGGTAGATGTGGGTTAACGTGGTAGAACATAGCTAACCTGAGGTAGATGTGGGTTAACGTGGTAGAACATAGCTAACCTGAGGTAGATGTGGGTTAACGTGGTAGAACATAGCTAACCTAAGGTAGATGTGGGTTAACGTGGTAGAACATTGCTAACCTAAGGTAGATGTGGGTTAACGTGGTAGAACATAGCTAACCTAAGGTAGATGTGGATTAACGTGGTAGAACATAGCTAACCTAAGGTAGATGTGGATTAACGTGGTAGAACATAGCTAACCTAAGGTAGATGTGGATTAACGTGGTAGAACATAGCTAACCTGAGGTAGATGTGGGTTAACGTGGTAGAACATAGCTAGCCAAGTGGCTTTCAGGAAAAAAAAAATCACTCCCTTCTCAATGAAAATAAGTACGCAATTAAAATTCATTTCTTAGGTAATTTAATGCACTTTACCAATGCATATAAATATTCAATTCTACAAAATAAAATTGCCGATGGCTGTTTTTCACTACAGCCATGTACTACCTCAAATCTGGCTTGATGCCATTCTACTTTCAGAAAACTGAACTGATCATAAGTTGATGGAATAATTAAAAGCAAGGAAAATATCAGGAGAAATAATTACCCTTATTGCATCACAAAATGCACATAATTCCACACGATATCCTTTCCAACCAAGAGGGAAATCTTCATCATAGCAGTCATGGCGGAATTATAAGAGTTTGTATGGAAGTATTTACAACCGCTCAAAGGAATAAAAACATAGGCGTGCTATGCATGCAAGAGTTATTTTTTTGGGGGTGGGTGGACAACTTGAAACATTGTAAGTGATGTCTAACTTCTTACTAAAGGAAAGAAGAGTATTAACGCGGAAATAACGAAAATGTCGAATTAACTCACACACAGGTATTTTGTGGTACGTAGATTGGGTGTGTTTTGCGAATAACTGTAATCAAAAATAAACTGTATTAGTGCCACGGATATATACCTATTAATGCAAAATGCAGACTGCAGACTGCAGACCGGATACAAAATGTAGACTAAGTACAAAATGTAGACTAAGTACAAAATGTAGACAGCAGACTGGGTACAAAATGCAGACTGAGAATCTAAAGAGTTTTTTTTAGTCTGGTTTGTGATAACATGTCATCTTACAACTTAAAGAGAGTCACGCAATCGCTTTTCCGCGATCAGCTTTCACGATTATTTGCAGTATTGAGGAATATTCCTCGCCCATTTCTTGATGAAAATCGATCGTAATATAATTTCAAGCCCTCATATACTCTTCTCACTTTGCACGCGAGTTGGTTGGTGTGATGTCTGTACAGATTTTACCAACGTAATGAAAGTAGATGTAGATGTAAATGGGATGTTACTGTTGAATATTTAACACGCGTAACATTCAAAAAACAATTGACAGCTTTGCACGTGGTCCGTATTATCATCTTTTTAAGCGGTAGGTGTTTATTTTCTTGACAAAAATGCGGACCGACACCAAAACTGTTCGTTCGACTTAATATATTTTCGACGTTAGTAGATCACATCATATTAACTTACCTCCTTAAATCATTCATTCCAGATAACAAAATCAAATAAACATACTAACGATGGTATCTGAATTCGTCTTTGGCCAAACACAAACGACTCCACATAAAAAGTTGCGCCAGAGAAAAAAGTCGCGCCAGAGGTAAGAAAGTGTGCACCAGAATGAAAAAAGGATGTATCCCCAATATGATGCTGTATGCACACGTGTGTGGCATTTACAGGGCTCCGTTGACTCTGCCTTCTACTAAATAGGAGGCAGTAGCCACCAATAAGAACTCCATTATCGCTCATTAGCCTGTAGACCAATTTTCACGCGTATAAGAACCTAGTGATTTAAGAACCTACAGGCTGAAATTTTGCATTTTAATACCCAAATGTATAAGAACCTATTCAGCCTGACAAAGAAAAATAGGTTCTTATATAAAAAAAACACTCTGGATTTTAGTTGTGAAAATTTTTGTAGTGTACTGCTTTTTAGTCTTACCAGAAATATTATTCATTCCATAAAACTTTGCTGTAGTTACAAATACAGTCTCAAATACTGTACAGTACATTTAAAAATCAAAACAGTTTTTTTTAAATACAGAATATAAAAAAATACAGGACTTTTCTCTTGGACCTTGATTTTGTAAGTGCCCTGTAAATATGGTCAGGTCCATGATACAGGACCTGTTTCGACAACAAGGCTTGACATTTTTGTAAATGCTTTACAATTATAGCGTCTTAGTACTATTGCAGTTCCCCGAATGCTATCACTATAATAACCTGATCACTATAATAACCTGATCACTATAGAACCTGATCAGCCTGTTTTAGAAAAAATACCCCAAAATATAAGAAACTGTTCAACCTGAACTCAAAATTCTAGGTTCTTATACGCGGGTTTTTACTGTAATGCATTCCACTGCCTTTTCTTCTTCTGATCTGCGGCATAATAAAGTTAATAAAACCGCCTTGTCAACCACGTCAGATGCAAAGCTTTCATGAATTTCATGAAGGCTCGTCCTTAGTCCTATGTTTGTAAACAAGTTCAATTTCATAAATGGAATTTACATATTAAGAAAGAAATAGAAATTTGCAAATATTATAAAGATACTGAAATCCGGTAACGTTATTGTTTGGACATTCTGTGTTTAATTTCACGGTGCTGCCACGTCTGCAGTGGTCAGCGGCTATTCAAATTCCAAAATGGCGGACATGGTGAGTGGCTTATAGCACTACTTGTTCCATTAATATTTGCTCGCTGTTTTGTGGATTCATTTGTTCTTCTCTCTCTCTGATATACCTCTGAATATTTCCAGGATCACTTAGACGCCACTGAGGATGTGGCATTAAATTTTGGAGACGAGGATGAAATTTTATATAGAAAAAAGAAATTCAGGTTTGTTGATATGAGCCCACGTTTACTTTTTGCATTTAATTCTACGAGTTAGGAGATTGAACCCGACAATATTGTCAAAGGAAGATTTAGGAACGTTTCCCTTTATTTGAATTCAATCAGTCTTTTACGAGCTAAATGCAAGCCAGAAAAACCGTGTTCAATTAATGCGAATCTTGGAAACCACGGTGCAGCCTCACCTGTCCCATTAACTCTTTACACCTTAACATCAGTATGCACATTCTCCTTGATCTTCCCCATACATTTCATCTGGTACTGACATGGAGAATTTGCTTAACAATTGAAAGTTGGTGGTTGGTGATCATTTCCTTTATTCTCATGATCTTAATGAAGGATTCAGCAGTATTGTTGTAAGGAGAAATTAGACAAGGGTCAATCTTAAGGTTTAAAGGGTTAACTCTCTAACTCCCAAAATATGATTAGTGATTTTCTCTTCTAACTTCTGAACATTTTCTTGTAACAAGGAAGGAGAGTCTGGGGCAAGATTTCTGTACAACCCTATACTTCATTAAGTATGCAAGCAGTTCCTTGATGAAGGAAAAGGGCAGCAAAAACAATAGATTACCTGGTGTTATATCAAGTTAATATTCTTTGGGTGATAAGTTTTTTCTCCTTTTTACAAGTATTTGACTAATCTTTTACTGTTTAAACATGAATCTTAATATTGTTTTTAATATTTTTATCCTGTTCAGAAAACCTTTGGTTACCATCTTCCATCTTCTATTTCGAGTGGCAGCAATCATTGCTTACCTTCTGTGTGGTTGGTTCAGTGATAGTTTCATAACAAACTTTGTTATCATAGTTCTGCTTTTATCATTTGACTTCTGGACTGTCAAGAATGTCACAGGACGGTTATTAGTGGGACTTAGATGGTGGAACTACGTGGATGAGGATGGGAACAGCCATTGGGTGTTTGAGTCCAGAAAGGTTTTGTATGGTTTAGCCCTTTACCTCCCAAGGTCTGATTGAAAATTGTCTCCTCTAGCTATTAGGTTAGGGGTTCATTATAAATTAGTTACAAGGATTTGGTTGTAGATCGAGATAACAACTTCTACTTGATAAATATGAGTATTCTCACAACCTGTATGCTGGTTGCTGTATGCTATAGGGAGAAGTAACATGTTAATCACCTCTGGGAGTTAAAGGGTATAAATTCAGTGTAGATGCTTGGTAAACATAATAGGCTGCATAGAACAGTTTGATGCAGTAAACATGTGAAGAACTAAGTTATAAACACAATCAGCAAAGTTGCTTGTTGATCCAGTTATACAATTGATTTATCACAATTAAAATTTGAAAAGCGGGAACATCTGAGACATCCTATGGACAAAAGATCTAATGAACAGGGGATAAATACCATTATGCACATGATTATGAGAGGAACAAAAAAAAATAATATTGTTATAAAGGATTTGGTTTTTAGGTCACTTTGATTTTGCTCATTCATAACCCTTCAACTCCCACAAGTGACCAAGATAGAATTTCTCTCCACAATATCAGTACAACATCAAGCAGAAGAGTAATGAGGATAAAGAAAAATATCAATTATGGGATTTCTGGTTGATCCAATTCCAAATTCCCAAAACTAACTTACAAGATTTGTATGGCAGACAGTAAGGAGAATCTCTGATGAGATCTTGGGATTGAAAGGGTCAAGGTTACTTTGTTTCTGTCTTTCAATAGGGTCACTTTATTCTTTTTTTCGTTTTCATCAACATCAGAATTAAATGTCAATCTTATGTCTCATTTACCATTTCTTTTTCAATTATTAAATGTAGAGTGACAAGCAGGTGACCACAGCTGAATCTCGCGTCTTCTGGCTTGGTTTGGTCATTTGTCCCCTTATTTGGACATTCTTTCTTGTGGCTGCACTGTTTTCACTGAAATTTAAGTGGCTGGTGAGCAGACTGTTGATGTCTTGTAGACAATACTGATATTTAGATACTATATTGGGCTATAAACCTTAGTTTACACCAATTTGGGAGAATTGAGAATGGAAAGGTTGGATACCAACATAAGTCCAAACTTAAAGCTTTGCTACTTGTGCTGGTATTAAGCTGAACAAGCGCAACAGCAAAAGTTATGGCAGGGCTAGAGATTGTAACTGATACAGGCACCCATTTGAGTGTAATATTTTCTTCCTAGTGACTCAAAATTCTGGTCTAGTTGCCAACTTGGCAAGTTCAAAAGTACATCTAGTGCATGATTTACAAACTTTCCCTGTGTTCTTTCAACATCCTGTATGGGTTATTATTACATTGGTGAACTGCTGAATGCCATTTTGTTATGATCCCATAACAATCAGGAAAAGTAACACACTGTGATTCCTTCCTCAGCTTGTTGTTGCAGTTGGGCTCTCTCTAAATGTTGCAAACCTGATTGGTTATGTGCGCTGTAAGAAAGATGCTGGGAAGAATATCAAGAGTTTTGCAGGAAATTTCCTGGGAAGACAGCTCCTTAATCAGGTAACTTTTTGACTTATATAGTTTGGAAATTAATGATCTAGACATCTGAAGTAAAAAATCAGAGTTTTGTTTAGCCATCTGCTCCTTTTACAGAAACATTTGAATGAAAATTAAGTGCCATTAAATTAATAAAAGACCATAAATTATGGATTAAAGGAATTTACCAGTTTCTGTTAAAGTGGTAATTAGTAAATGGAGATTTGTTGAATTCATCAAAAACGGAAGGTAATTTGTTACTTTCCATATTGTCAGACAGCTTGAGAATTTTTTTTAACACAATTACAAGCATTAAAACCAAGTTGGAATTTGAAATTTGACATGTTGGCTTTTTGTGTATTAAAAAAAAGAGAGAGGGAGGGAGAGACAAAAGAAAAACTCTTTGTACAAAACATTCACTTTCTCTAACCCTGCCTGTGCCTTCTATTGATGACTATAAGATTGCAAAACTAATCGGTCCTTAAAGCAATAAATCAGCTAAGGGTAAGATATAAAAATTACCGTGTAGAATGAAGAGGAACATTTAGTTAGCCTTAGGAGAAATCTTAAACTGTATGACGATAATGATAACTATTGATCCTTTTGATTCCTGTTTTCTTTAACTTTCTCGATTCTTTGTGGCATGGCTGTCTCTCATCTACCAGGTACAGGTAAACCCTCCTCGTAATCGACTTCCTGGAAGATTTCTCATACAAAATCCTACTAGTCCTGTTCCTCGATTATTGTAAGTCTTCTCATTTCTTCTTGTTTCCCTCAGGGTCTTTTATTCTGTTTAGTATCTGTATTTGCTGTTGTCATCTGGCTCTATCAGTCACAATCTGTTGCCAATTGAAATCAAATTATCAAAGCAGTAAAGTAAACAAACACAAGGTCTTAACTGCATTGGGGTTTGAAACATTGTTAAGCTCTCCTCCCCATCCTGTCCAAAGCTACATCCATTAACTAACTTTGTTTTTATTACAAACATGGTTAATTTCATTTGAATGCGTGGATTTGAATAAATATTAATTTAAACTAAAGTTCTAAAAATAGGGATGTATGTATGATACAAGGAAAAAAAAATTTTCACAAGGCAGGGTTGGTATTAGGAAAAAAAATCTAAACAGTTAAAAGTAAATAGCAGTGTAAAAAGTTGTTATTAAACTTAGACTTTGTATGAATGATCTTCACATAAATGGAATATACATTCTGTACCTTGTTAAATCCTTCATTTTAAAAAATGTCTATTAATTCTGCTGTCTCCTTCTTCCATGGTTTTCTGTTGTGTATATTAAGTTTTGTTTACCACCAGCTTTAACTGGACTTGAAATCCAACTGAAGGAAGGGTGGTAAATTTAGTAGGATGTGGAACTTGTAATGCACTGGTTACTGGTTCAATCGCTACTCCTTGCAATGGATCTGCTCCACAATGCTGCAAGTGAAGTCCTTGGCTCTGCTCTGCAAAAAGCTAATTGTCTCCCTTCTGTCAATTGGGAATTTAAAACTTTTATTCTTTTTTTCCTTTTAATGTTTGATTTCTGTTTGTTTCCATAAACCCTGAAAATCCTTATTGGTGGAGTAGGGAAACAAGGAGTATCTTTCTTTTGTTGAATGCTGACAATAGCAGTTTGTTGAGAACTTGCACAACCTTTTTTCTTTCTTTCTTTTGTTGTTGTTTTTTTTATGAAAATTTCCTATTTTTCTCAGTCGTAAGTTTGCCTCATGTAAATGCCTGGGGTAAAACTGCTGATTTTAAAGGAAATGATGAGGCTCTTCTGTTTGATACAATTTCTTATGAATACCAGGTTCACCATGCCAAGTTTGAATTAATGTTTGGGGCTGTTTTAATGAAGTAGTGATCAGATTAATCTTTTTCATTTTATTTTATTTTTTTCATCCCATAGGCCATGGGCACAACAGACACCCAGTAGCAGCAGAGAAGTTCCAGTTTTGTAGTTGATAATATTCATTCCTAGCCAGCGTAGAGAGGGGGGGGAAGGAGATGGGCAAACTGGTCTATGAGCATCACAGGATATACAGTTGAATTTTTTCATTTTTGAAAAAAGAAGACGACTTGTCTGATATGGTTCCAGTGTTTATGACCCTTGAAATAGGGGTGAACTTTACTAAGTTGTAATTATTCTACTGTTAAGAAATGTTATTTAATAAGCTTTTCAACTCCCAAGAATGACTAGTATCTAATTTCTCCTTACAATATCACCCCTGAATCACACATGAAGGTCACAAAAATTGAGGAAATGATCACCAACTCAAGAAACTGTTTATTAAACAAATTCTCCTTGACAGCACCTAAGGAAAATTGTACAGAACAATATAGGGAACATGCATACTGATGGTAGGGTGTAAAGTGTTAAGTTAAAAAAACAAACAAACAAAAAAAAACATTTACTTGCCATAGGTATTGATAAATGTACATTTTTGTTAGATATATTTTGGAAAATCAAGGAGGATCAAGAATCAGAATTAGTAAATAGTTTATAGTCATCTACTTGCGCATTAGTTGGTTAAACCTCATGATAGAGTCTATTTTTATTGTTTTGTCAAAGACTAAGTAGAACTGCAAATTTCACAAAAGTTTGTTTTGTTTGGTCTTTGTTATTAAAGTTAGAGTTTAAAAAGAATTTAATACTGAGACTTAATTTTCTCAGAAATGAGGGGATCAAAAAAGTTACAGGTCTTTTCTCCTGCTAAAGACAGATTGATTACTCAAAAAAACAGTTTTCTCTTGAATTGAAGAAAGTGCTAGAAGAGGTGAGATTAGTTACATTATTCTCTTAGAAAGCATTCATCATATAACTGTATTTATTGTATTTTATGGCTTTAGATAAGTTAAAAAGAAGGAATGGTATCACTCAGTTTGAGTGTTTAAAGTAATCCAGAAGTGCATCACTTTGCTCTGTGACTTGTCTGAGAAACTCTTGTGTTCAAGTTACCACCTTTCCTGACAGTTGGAATATTGATAAAATAAATGACTAGATACTCCAAGTTTCTGTGTTTTGATCGCAGGAAAACATGGGAAATGGAAATGAATTTTTGGAACCCGAAAAATGAAATTCTGGAGCTGAGACGTTCACTGTATCAGCAGACAGCAAAAATAAATTCTTACTTGATGCACCTTTTCCACAACAAACCCTCTACTACGAGGTTATTTTGAAGCCAAATTCGCACATTCGCAAGCTTTATTCAGACCCGAACAACACATTTTCACCCAAAGTGTACCCTCAAGTATCGCCCACAGTTACTGTCCGACCAGATTCTTTCTTGGAAAACTTCCGCAGCTGTTGATATCCCTAAATCCAATTAGTTTGTTTGTTTGATCCTGTACAGACCTCCATTACGAATAACGAATATTAAATGAAAATTCAGTGTTTTTTAAACAGAATTTTTTAATTTGTCAACAAAATAAAATTCGAAGCGCTCACGAGCTCTTCCCGTGCTTTCCCCCGTCCCTCTAGTCTCCCTCGCAGCCGTTTTTTGGATGTCACGCAACGTTCCCCCAAAACGTTGGGGGAACGTTGCGTGACATCCAAAAAACGGCTGCGAAGGAGACTACCGTCCCTCCCACTTACACCTGATCTCACTAAGTCGAGTGAAACTGGCACGAGGCTGTTTGGCGGGGACTTTAATCATGGCGTCTTTCGGGTAATAGGGTAGAAGTAAATGATTTGTTCGTTGAAAATATGGCGTTTCTTTAGCGAGTAATTGATTCTTCCCAAGACTATCAGTATTATCAAAAGTCTTACCTCAAACTAATTTTTGAAGACGTGTATTCTCTTGAAATGGTTGGAAAGTTTGTTGATTATGGAGATCAACCCTTAGCTTGAAGGATCATAGCGGCTAGTGGAATGAAAATGAGTGATTACCCTAAAGATTCCTCTGCTGCATCTGAGAAACGACGATCATGGAGCTGGCGGAGACGAGAAGGGCTGGTATGACGCGAATATATTTATTAGCGACTTCATTGTGATATATAACTAATTATAAATATTTGTGTTCTTGAATCAAAGTTATACAGACTTTGTCCAGCGTTCGTTCGTTCTTCGAAAAGTTTAAAATTCAGTTAGCTAGAATTTAAAAACCAGATAAATGTCTAAAAAGAACTTTTGTACGATGTATCCCAATCGAATTCTCCTTTGATTTGCTTATCGTGGCCATCTTTGCTTCCAACTTCCATGGAAAAGAGAAAGTGCTGTTTGCATTAAAGATCGGAACTTATGACAACCTTTTACTCCTCCTTATAAAACTGCCCTCACGGAATTCAAGATAGTAGTTAAACGAATGCATCGAGTTGTCCTATCATCTGTATCCAATCAGTTGTATCCTATCAGCTTTCAGCTGTATCCTATCAGCCATCAGCTGTATCGAAAATGTCAGAATTTCCAAATTGCTTATTTATTAAAAGCAATAAACTGAATACAAATTAATCAATTTTGATTTAATATGAACACTTGGTATCAATTTTCTTTGATCAATGGGATTGATGGATATTATTAATTGTTATTAATTTTTCTCAGTAATTATTGCAACATGTGTCAATAACTATTTGCTATTAATACATTGCAAAGTCGTATAATGATCATATCCTAATAGATATCCCATTGTTAACTAAATATGCAAAATTTCTCTTCCGCATTGTTTTTATCAGTGATTGCGATATATCATTAAGTCTCATATTTCACATTGACCAATCTCTTAAATACATCAATATTTGGGATGACATTTCATTTCTGGCTGGTCCAAATTTGCCATTTTGAAATAATTAATGTGTAATTTTTTCATTAAATCACCCACTTTGTCCAATTTACCTTTAGTTTTAAAACATCAAAGTTGATTTTATAAAAAAGGTTGTGGTTATTCATAGTGCTGAATAACAATAAAAAGCTAAGTTTTTCTTTTGTCTCCTGATATAGTCACATGTGATGTAGATCGTGATGTTTCGACTGTATACTGCTCACCTGAAGAAGACCAGCAGTATGCAGTCAAAACGTCACAATCTACATCACATGCGACTACATTGTGAGACAAACAAAAAACTTAGCTTTTTATCAAAGTTGATATCTAACACAAATTACGTAATTTATGATTCTTTAATTTCTCAGGGAGAGAGTGAAGGTGAAATTGACCTGGATACCTTGGAGATTCTTTGTGAAGTACAAGAAGTAAGTCATGGTGTTGGACAGCCATCTAACAATTTAGTGAAGAGATATCAAAATGAATTGTGCCTACCGTAATTTGGTATCATATTGTTGCTTATACATTCTTTCAAGTTTTAGCAGAGAATGTAGGCTTTCATTAGTATATGCACAGAAACAAACAGAATTTCCAATAATCATAGCATGATTAAGCTTGAGAGAGCAGAAAAGATATTGGAAGGGCTAATAAAGTGAAATGAGGAAAAACTTGGAACAGTGCTAAGGAAAGAGTATGTTAGTGCATGACTATACAAAAATGGTTCTTGGTAGCTCATAGTGGTAAACCTTTTGATGCTATTGGGTGGAAGACAAAATTTGAAAGTTTTTATATTTTCTAGAAAATTAATTTTGTAGGAGAAAGAATGGTTTAAAGCAGCAAGGGAATATTGTCAGTGTGGGGATGAGGACAAAACACTTAGGCTTTTAAACTTAAGCGTGAACATTTTGCTTGGTAGGCAAGGAATTATCTGATCTCTGTTGCCCTATAGACATCTTAAGAATGTTTCTCCTAGTGGTTCTTAGGGAAGTTGTTACAGGCTTTAACCATTTCACTCCCAATTTCTCAGTGGTAATTCTCTTTACTGTCTGCCATACAATTCTTATGATGTTAGTTGAGAGACTTTGGTATTGGATCAACTAATAATCCCCTTATATAAATAAATTTTTCTTCATCCTTGTCACTTGTTTGCTTGATATTGTATTGATATTGTGAGGAGAAATTCTGCCTTGGTCTCTGATGGGAATTAAAATGTTAGGGCAGGTTTCCTTTTGGGGTTATTAGTTGTATAGACAGTACTTTTCATTGCGTTGTTATGTTATAGAAAACAGAAGAAGGATCACTTGGACTCAGCTCTCAAGAGGCACTGAAAAGACTTTTTGATGCCATCCATGATGAGTTAGCAACTTTTAGAGCAGTGAACCAGTGTACATGGAGAAGTGATCTTTGGAGTACACTGAGCGACAATCATCACTTGCCTATAAGCTTTATCAGTCTTGCATTTTTAGTGTTTGAGTTTCTGGTAATGGTGATGTCATATGCCATCAGTGATAAAACAAGGAGGTGAGTTTCTAATCTTAACCTCTTGTGATAAAGAATGATTGATAAAAAATTTCTCTTAACATTGATATGAAAAAAAGATGTTTTCTGTCTTGTCACGAGCATGGGACAAAGAAAAAATTATCAGTCCCCATGAGGAATCAAACCTCAGACCTTCTGATTCTGTGCTTTAATGCTCTACCACTGAGCCACAGAGACTCCACAGTGAGCGAGGTCTATTACAGAGTTCATATTATCAATATGTTGGCAAGCAGACAGGGAATGATGATACAGAAAAATCACATCAATGGGATTAACCTTCTCTCACTTAAATGGGTGGATGTCTGGAGTCTCCAGGAGCCTCTTTTGTCTAGCCAGCCACTATTTAAAATGTTATTTCCCTGGCTGGTGGATCTCCTCAACTTAGCCATGAGCCCCTATTTCAGACTCTAAGGAAAAAACAAAGGTGTAGTAGATTGGTGTGGGCTAAGAATCATATGCCACAAAACCCCTGGCCCCAGACAATGCTATCCAACAGATAAATTGCTATCCAGTGGATTAATGCTAACAAAACATACTGTACTTACTATACACTGGATAGAGATTTATCCACCTGAACCCCCAACAACCCCCACCTGACTTCGCAAGAACTCAAAGTTCCAGTGGTACCTGTAATGAAGATAAACCATTCTTGTGGGCTTGCACTCAGGAGATTGCGATTGAATGAGAAATCCTAGTAAATCTGAGGTGTTTAATTAGGTCAAATTGCATGCAGCTGAATAAGAATGTATTAATAGCATTAGACAGTCAGAAGAAGCAATAAGTGTTTTTAGTATACTGAGAGGTGTGTGAAAATCCTAATTGTCTGTTGGATTTAGCAGTTTTTTTCTTGTACTAAGACAGAACACTGATAGTGCTTTCTCTTTTTTCTTTGCTGTAGCCTTCCACTGATAGAAGGAATCATTGTTCTGTTACTGACAGCTGTTAATTTGATATTGTGTGTACGAGAGGAAAGACTAAGAAGAACAGAGATGATCAGAAGTACTCAGGAGTTGCTTAACAGCTGCAATGGTGAGAAACACTCAAATCAAAAGTGGCCAAAAAAACCCTAATTTTTAGTGACCTTTAACCTGATTAGCTTGCTATTGTGGACAGTGTTACACTGTACAGAACCCTCTTAACAGACAATAGAAGTTCTGAGCAAAGTCTAATGAGGAAAGGATGGTCATTGCATGAAAGCAAAAAGCAATACATGTTTCTTGTGCATGACAAAGGAGCATAGTCATGACAGCTAAATTTGACATTAATCTCAAGTCTTTTTGACCCATCTTTGTCGTTTTTAATAAAGTAACATCCATCTCCACAGCTTGCTGCAGCTGGATGCCATCTGATTATGTTGATCCCTGCACCCCTCCCTCTCTTTCAATCTCACTGGCACATGCCTACAGAGACAATGAACTGGTCAGTGTCCCCGTTAACCTCCTTGTTCAGGGTGATGTGGTGGTGTTAGGACCAGGTCACACTGCTCCTGCACAAGTGCAGCAGGTAGGGTTGTCTAGATCAAGACATTGATCAATAGGGTTCTGTGTTTTTTTTCCTTCTAGTGATGCACAACTAGGTTGTTTTGTGTGGCAAAATATAGGAATGTATGCAAACTTCTAGAGAGGAAAGCTGGGTTAGGGTCGTGGATGCTTATCTTGATTTTGTTAGCATGAAGCAATCAGGATTATTGCTTAATATTGTGTAAAGGCATGCTAGTCCATCACAAAAAGGGTGAAACTTTCCTTCTTTATTACCAACTGAATTTGGACAAGACCTAGTAATGTTTTGGCTTCTTTTGTGACAGCTCCCCTCAGAATTTACCAACAGAGGGCCATTATTTGTTCTTGAAGAAGGTCAGGTGTACCATCCTGTTACACAGAGTGGCTCCAGTAAGTCAAAACTTATAACTTCTATACATTACAGCCTGGTGTATTGAACAAGGAAAAATGCTATAGTCAGAGTAGATTTACACTCAAATTTTCCTTGGCAAGTGCCCTTGCATTAAAAAAAAAAATTACGCAGTAAATGTAACTTTCTGAGGGAACACTTACCAGAGTAGAGTTCCTCTTTGCCTTTACACCCTAACATCAGTATGCATATTCTCCATACTGCTCTCTATGCATTTTCTATGATATTGACTTGAGAATTTGTTAAACAATCAAGAGCTTCTAAAGTTGGTGATCATCTCCTCTATTCTTATGACCTCTATGTTTGATTCAAGTGTGATATGGTAGGGAGAAATTGGATACTGATCACCTCTTCGGTCACCTGAGGTTGAAGGATTAAGTTCTTGATAATTTCCTTTTCAAGTGTCTTTGTCAATTCATCTGTATTTCCAGGCCTTCTATGGGAATGCTTTCCATTATTTTGGCTCAGGTTCTCTGTTCTGTTTGTTATTTTGCAGGTGATGGTAACAGAGGAACTGGTGTACAACCATCTCAGCCTCATCCACGTGAAAAGTTCCTTGTTACAGAAAGTCCTTTCAAACAAAATCTCAGGTAACTTCTGTTGCAAAGGTAGGGAAGTATTACTGGCTGAATCTCAAATGAGAGATTAGTACAAAGCTTTCAGAAAGTCCCTTAGATGTCAACAGGATATTCATTGTTTGTGATAGTTAAAGGTTTACACGCACTTAGCAGCCCACCAGTTCTAGAGCTTGTCATTGTTTTTGTTACCATGAGATGTCTGGGAGCATTATTACCCTCCCTCCCCTGGAAAGGATATTGGTTCCTCACATTTCACCCTATAGCAACTTACCAAGGTTTTCTTGTCAGGTTACCGCGACCATTCTCCTTCCCCCCCCCCCCCCCTTCCTCCCCTAGGTTAACCTTTTAACTCCCATGAGTGACTGAGACAGAATTTTCTTTACAATATCAATAAAATAGCAACCAGATAATTGATGAATATAAAGATAAATATCAATTTGGGGATAATTAATTGATCCAGCACTAAATTCTCTGAACTAATGTTATAAGAATTGTATGTTTGACAGTAAGGGGAATTACAAATTTGATCTGGGATTTAAAGGTCTAGGAGGTGCATAATTAGGGAGAGCTAAGTGTTTTGCCTATGAGCACAACACACCACAACACCTAAACCTGAATAGGCTTCACCTGCTTCTCTTCATGTGGAGTGCAGCATATTATCCATTAAGCCACCAATTCATCGACTAATACTAATACTGGATGAATTTTTTTTAAACAGAACAATTCTAAATAATTCTCTGAAGAGGCCAATTAGCATCATTGGAAATGAAATGCATTATATCACAAGTACTATTATAGACAAGAAACTTTTGTTTGCAATTTTGGTAAGTTAGAATGTATGTTGAATTTATTGGGTTTCTATTATGTTTGTATTATACCTTACACTGTAAACTGCAATTGGTGGATTCTGAAGGACTCCCTTCCCATAGGAAAAAACAGCTTTTATAAAGTGTTACTGAATTTGTTACAGATATTTTATTGCTTTTCCTTCTTCTTGCAGGTGTTATCTTTGACCGTAAATATTTTAAGGACAATTTTTCTTAAAAGTGAATCAGGGCACTGGAGTGAAATGATTCTTTTACTGCAGGTAGGACAAACTTGAACAAACATTTACAAGTCAGATTTAAAAGTATCTTGCCTATGAACAAAACACAAAGACTTGGCTGGGTCCAAATCTGCACCTTTGGTCATAGAGTTCACACTAAATACACAAGGCCACGTCTCCTACACGGAATTATTGGCCCAGAATGATTTTTTTTCTGGTACTTTATAATATCAGTACCAGAAAAAAGATCAAAGTTGCACCATTTAAAGTTCATATCATTTTTAATTGATATTAATATCAATTAATGATGTGAACTTTAAATGGTGTAACTGTTTGATATGATATAACTGATGCCACCAACTAATTGCAAGAAAACACTCGCCTGAGAAAGTTAACTTGGGGTACCAGTGATGTCTCTGTGATCCTGTGTGCATTTAGTTTCCCTCCACCCCTAAAAAACTTAAAATATCTATATTCAACAACCACTAATATTACTATGGACTATCATATGGCTTTTCAAGACAGTATTTACTTTTAAAGTTGTCTTGATTATTCATCTTGTACTTCTTGAGAGGGAACCTAAGTTAAAAGCTTTAAATGGGTTTTTGTTAGGTTTCCTTGCCATTAAATGTTTTTTTTTTTTTTTTTTACCAATTTCAGTAAATTTTTGTAATTCTTTATGTAATGGTAAATAAAATCAATCATTAACTTAAGCCTTCATGTTTTGCTAAATGATAATCAAACCTCAAATCAACAACTTTTAATGAGTAGTTAAAGAGAAGGGAGTGTTTATTTTGTTGGAGGAAAATTGATTTTGGTTTAATCTAGCTTGCAGCAATTTTTAAGCTGATCTGGTAATGTCAATCATGTGTATATTTCCTGATTTTTTTCTTTTTCAGGGTTACACCATCTTGCCACTCCTGCCAATTTCTTTTCCGGTTGTATGGATCTGTTTAAATCTTTATGGAACAGCACGAATTCAAGTGTTATTTACACAGTTAAAGGAGAAAGAAGATGTAAGTATTTCAATCTGGTTGAAAAAGGAAAAAAAGTACACCATCGGGGTAGAATGTGGAAGAATTCATGGGTCCCCTTTTAGTAAAGCTGGATAGTTCTCTCCTCTATAGCAAATGATTCGTTTTGTAAAAAAGGGTGTTAACTTGTTCAGGGTGAGAACAACAGCTAACGTATTCCTCACCAGACAAGGATGCATGCTCTTGTTAGATAGTGAGATAATTTTTTGATTTGGTTATACAAATGCAATGCTCAGTTGGAACACAAGGTACAATTTCTGTTTTAAGCTGTTTTAAGTAAGATTGTAAAATTCAAAGGAGAACAATTTGATTTTGGAATTCAGTCTTATGATAAAATGAGAATTGTATTTGGTTTCAAAGAGATTAACTGCTGTGGCTAAATTTGTCATTTTATTTGTAAGAATCAGATTTCCTGAAAGTATGACTTCTGATTTTTTTTATAACTACATTTTTATTTGTTTTATGGCAGCCAGCAAATGAAATAGCTCTAAAAGAAGTATTGTGTTGTTTTTGGAAGAATTTTTTGGGTGATCCATCCAGTTTGCCAAGGACTACTAGCCTTTTAGAAATCCTTGGAAGTGTTACTGTGAGTATGGTAGATATGTATGGAGGTCATAATGTGGGGTCAATTTGATTTTAATTGATTGTTGTTATTTTGGGCCAAGTTTTTGTCTTCAGAATATTTGTAATGAATGATTTAACCCTTTCCAAATAGAAGGAAAAGAAATTGTGTAGAGGTTCGTCATGAAATTGCATGATTAGCATGCTCATAGTTTTTCAGAAGTGGCATTTTTGAACAAAATGTAATGTTTTTTATGGTTTTTGCTTTTTACAGTTTATCTTACTACTTAATATGGAGAGATAAGACGGTGATGAATTAGGAGCTTTAGAAATTGATGACTACTTAAGTGTAGATTTCAGATTGTCATAAGAATGGAATAAGTAACTTGTAGGAGTTGATGAGACAAAACCTATATTTGATGGGATGCTCTTGTTGAAAGTTGACTGGCTGTTATTTCAAGCCCTGACACTCAATTCCAGCTACCCAGTTGTGTAATGAATGACTTTGTTTTAGAATGTTACTTAGACTTGATGTCATCTAGGCTCGTGATCTATCAGTTCAACAAATGATTTCAGTGCAACATGTGCGGTGACTGTGAAATTCTATTCTGGTTTATTGTTAATTCCAGGTGTGGTGCTGTGTTGATAAGGAAGGTATACTGTCCTTACCCAATCCCTGTGCTGAAAAAGTGTTCTTCTTGAAGAGTAAAAAGCACAAGACAAAAGAAGAGTCAGCTGGTCAGGCAAAGGAGAGAAAGGAGAGTGTTTGTACCTGGGAAAGTGAAATAAGCAGAGTTTCATCGAGCCAGGATGGCCAAGAATCCTCTGATGAAGAAGATGATGATGATGTTTCTGCATCTGTTGAGGATTCTGAATCTGTGGGTGAGGTTTAATTCAGTTATTTGTCAAAGATAAGGCAGTACATCTAGGTGAAGGAGGAACTATTTTCAGGTGGATGCAAACCCTGAGGAAAAAGGGCCTAGATATTTAAGTAGCCTATACTTTTGGAATTTTTTCTCTCTTTTTTTGGATGTGAACAAGTGATCACAACACCTGAAAAATTTTAAGAACTTTGGCTTTGGTTCAGTTTCAGAATCAGTGTGCATGTAGAAGGGTCAAATTAGAATGATACACATAATATAAATAAATGTATGAAAAGGTGTGCAAATTAATATGTCGCAAAGCTTTTGAAACTCACTCAATCTTAATCTGAATTTCAGAAAAAAATTGGAACCACTGTTTGAGAGGACACAGGGAGGTTCTCAACTTGTCTTCTGATCCAGAGGTATGTTTGAGATAGCACCATGTGAAATGTCTTGTATGATGATAGTGAAGGTTGCAATAGCTAGATAATGTACAAGGTTGTATTTTTGATTTACTTTTTTTGTATTAAAAAATAACTCTATGTTAGTATGTAGAGTGGTATGTTGCTACATCAATCAGACCACTGCATTAGGGTAACCTATGTGTGAGTCTATTTCAGATAAATTAAAAGATTTATTTTTTTACTTTCTCCTAAAGTTATTTATTAGTAATAAATTGTTTTGAAAGTTGTGCTCTTTTCTTTTTCAAAAATGAAAACATGTGATATAAAATGAGTCCCTCCTAAACCCGCCCAGCCAAGAAAATAACTCTTGCATGCACACCATGTATACCTGTGTATATTTATTATCAATATTTTCTTGTAAACTACTTTAAAATTAATTGTGTTTCTTGTTCATTCTTTTGTTTAGAGTCAGTTTGGACTGAGATTTGATGACATTAGATGGCAGAATCATATCAACTCTCTCAAACCTTTGGTATGACTAAGTTATTAAGTTCTAACTTACACACAATTAATTTCTTACAATTCAACAAATTTAGCCTGGATGTAACATTTTCCATGTATCCGAAAAATATGTACCCCAATGAGATTAAAATTTGCCAGTTATCAGGTTTTTTTTAAAATGAGGGAAAGTCGCAGGAATTAAAATTATCACTGACAACTAACCTTTTAAACACTTAGAGTGACCAGCATCTAATTTCTCTTCCCATTAATACTGCTGAATCATACATTAAGGTCCTGAAAATAAAGAAAATTATCTCCAACCTGAGAAGCTTTGATCATTAAACCAATTCTCCTTGTCAGTAATAAGAGTATGGAGAAGATGGGTATTGATGTTAGGATGAAATTAGTTAAAATGAAAGCCCAGCATCCAGATGTTTTTCTTGGATTAATAAGATTCCTGTCCATTATAAACATTGATATAATTTGATTTTTAGCTGTCCAGGTCATATCAGTAATTTCAATGTTTTCCCCTTTCAGGGTCTAAACATTCTACTTAATTCATGCTGTAAATCTCCTGTGAGATGCTTACGGTTTGCTGACCATACTGGTCTCTTGTCTCTTTCCTACAACTCAGTTCCTTTGCCTTTCTTTAGAAGGTATTGTTAGTTTTTTTGTTTATCCAGAATGTAGATTTGTTAATTAGTTTTCATGATGTTCTATAAGTCCCCATCATGATTGCTAGAGCTTCCATGCAATGATTTCAAATTGTCATGCATATCAGTAACATGACATCATTGTAATTTATAAGAAAGGAAATATTTGATGACTGTTATTGTTTAACACCCACCTCTGGTAACAGAACTACATGGAAATACTCATCTTTCATGATATACAGAAAATAAGAAATTTAACCTCACATATTAAAAATCATCTTTACATTAACAACATCATATCTAGGTATATTCCTCAATTTTAGCACTAATGGCTTTCTATGGACAATTTTTGTAGATGTCTGTGTCTCCTTGGTAAGGAAATAGGCTTTATGGAACGTGCACTTCAGCTCTTCAGCAAGCAAAAATACATTTTTGCTGTACAGTCTCCTATTGTAAGTAAAACAAAACTTGGTGATATAGCTCAAGGCTGAGCTTTAGTTGAGGTATCAATGTTCAAGAAAGATGTTTTTCATCTTGTCACGAGGGTGGAACAAAGACAAAATTCTGAGTCCCAAACCTCAGACCTATGGATTCCTTGCTCCAATTCTCTACCACTGAGCCACAGAGACTCTGGTGAACAAAGCCCATTATTTCCCTCAGTAATTAAAACAGTGAACCTATTTTGCTTTTCTACATTTTTTTTTTAATTTAGTGCTGTAAAAGTTGCCAAATTCTTTTTTGACCAACTGTGGTTTCTCTTCAGAGAAGGATTTTAAGCTAGTAGCATTTAAGGAGGGAATTTTTGTGTTTAATGACATTGTTTTCTCTTACTTTTCAGAATTCCACTTTAAGAGTACCCATTCATTCCCACTCATTCTTATCCATTTCAAAAGAGAGGCCCATTCCTACCATGGTTTGCCTTATCACGAAAGAGAATAATTCTGGTATGTTACAGCATCAGTTGTAATAGAGTGCTTACAATATTAACTAAGAAAACAACTCAAGTTAAAATTTTGAACTAGAAGACCAGAAGACTATAGCTTCCTGCCTTGTGGGTCACATGGGTCACACCACCCTTATCCAGATCCTGATGATATGTAAGTGTTCTGTCACTTAAGTGTCTCAATTCATTCCTAAGGTTCTCTGCAGCTTCTTACCCAGGGATCCGCTGACATTGTTCTAGATGCCTGCACTGATTATTGGGATGGATCAAGTCTTTGTCCAGTCACAGCATTTGAGAGGTACATTGAAGATTGAATGATGATAAGTGATGAAGTAATTGTTTTCCTAAGATCAGTTAATCATAATTACTGGATAGGTATGAGATAATGATATCACAGATGTGTTTATTTCTTGACCTCAGAAAGAAAGTACTTGACTTTTATCAGAGGAACAGCATGTCAGCATACTGTGTTGCATTTTCTTATCGTCCAGTCACTGAGGTAGGGAGTCTTGATAAATTTCAACAGTTCACTTTTATTTTAATTATGGTAAGAAAATAAAATTAATTAAGAGGGAAGTGTTACATGGAAAACATCTTGAACAGAAATTTCAATACTGAAAAACAGTTTGACTAGAACTCTTTCTCAATTTGTATGTATATTTTAATGATCTTTAATTTGCTCCATAAATGTGTTTAAATATTTGTTGATGCAAATTGGAAGTAATTAATGATTGTGAGTTCAGACTATAATCAAATGTACTATCTTTCCTTGAAAGCATGTAGTCCACTCCTTTCCATAATCAATGTGAATGTTACCTAGTAGCTCTTTGAAAGCTTCACTCATTAAATTTTCCTAACTTATTCTAGCAGATACCAGATGAAAAGAGCGAAGATGTATATTTAGAGCTTCCCTCTACAACTCAGTGGATTTGTAATGAGAGTGATGAAATGGAAAGGTTAGTTTGTTTGTTTGTTTATTCACCAGACTGATTGTTTTGTAAACAGTGACACACCAGAGTGGTATTCAGTTTGTTTGTTTATTCACCCAACGATGATTGTTTTGTAAATAGTGACACACCAGAGTGGTATTCTTGAAAAATGGTTGTTTACATTACAATTAAAAGCAAGCTGAGATTGTGAGATGAAGTACTCCAAGTATAGCAAGTAGGACAAAGAGTTCATTTTTATACACGATTTATCATTAAATTTCCTATAATTTCTTTTCAGTGCCTCTGAAATTTCAGAGGTGGAATCTGAAAACTCAGACATGGATAGTGCTTTCGTAAGTAGCCTTAACTCTGCTGTATTTATTTCAAACCTGTTAGCTAGCCAAAGATAGCGAAGACTCTGCAGTCTGAATCAATTTACCATACATGTACCTGTACCAGAATTGCTTTTCATACTAGATTAAAGCTCTTGTAAATTTGGAAGGGTAGGGGCTAATTTAATTAGGCAGCCTCAAGTTTACATGTGTGAGAGTTTATTAGCTTGTGATATCAAATGAAAATGAAAATTTGAAGGTAGTTTCATGGATGTCATGTCGACTTTTTTTGTAATTTTCCAAGCCTTCAGGAGAGGGAAATTATGAAACTTGTGACAAAATACATGTGAAATTATTTTCCTAATCCATGAGTGCATCACTTGAACACTTATTCATGCAGTCTCCCATGTGATGTCATGGAACACTTTTAAGAATTTAAGATGAAACCATATCAACATTTTTATCTTTCAAAAATGCAGAATGTAGCCATTATGCAATCTGAAACAAAGCATCTATCACTAAGTGATCTGTTGTTGAGTTGTATGAACAAGGTGGAATTGTCTGTTTTCAGAAGGCCTCTTTCAATAATAATTACACTGAAAAAGAGAATGGCACAAGGTGTTGTGATCATGGGTGTCTAGTAAATAAGAAATGGTTTAAAGGTCTCTGAAAATACCTCTATTTCTGTTTCTAAACTTTAGAACTGCATTGAGCTCCTTGAAACTGATGTGGAAGCAGCATCTTTGTTGGAAAGAGTTAACATTGCTGAAAATGCAGAGAGCTATCAAAGGTTGGTTTGACTATTCTACACTTCTGTCAGTTTTTCAGCAGATCATCATGTCAATTAACTGTAGTGCTTACATAAAATTTGTTGATTTGTAAACAGAATACTTGGGGGACAAGTTTTCATTGGAGTGGTGACATTACAGTTTCAAGCCAAGAAGGTTTGCAATGACATTGTCATTTTTGCTCAAAAGATTACAAAGTGTATGAAGTTGTTTTAAGCAATTCTAGATTTGGTTATGGTGCATATCATCTGCCTTCCACTCTTCTTACTAAATTTAAACTTTTTTATACTTTTTTTTTAGGATATTCTTCCCCTCATTGAAGACCTAGACAATGCTGGAATCCGATTCGTTTATTTTTCAGCTGAAAATGAATTAAGAAGCAGGGTATTAGTTTCATTGAAACATTTATTTTCACATGCATTTGACAAAAAGTGCGTCACTGCCTTAGGGCTGAGAGTCTTTCTATTCATCTAGCAAATCAGGTAGGTTAGAACAATGATGAGGAATTGCAAAGAGCCAAGAGCACTTGCATCCCTTTGTACCCTGGGTTTGATTCTCAAACGTGACTGCTGAGATAAATTTGCTATTGGTTCGTTTTCATCTCTTAAGGTTTCTCTCCATGTTTCTCCATGCTGCTCAAACTTGAAGTGTTGCATGGAGAGCCCTTAAAATGATGTGCAAGTGCTGAATCCAATTGAATTTGAATTTAATTGACTGTATATTTCATCTACTTGTGGGCAAGTTTCTTAAAATCTGAGTGATTTCTTCTAGGTATTTGCAGAGAGGATGGGCCTTGAAACTGGATGGAACTGTCACATCTCTCTCAGAGAGGGTGGCCATCTCTTGGACGACCGCGGAAGCAGTGCAACAGTGTCAGACAGGAATACAGAGAGTCTTTATGACATCCAGGATGATGCAAATGTTTCTGGGCAGGATGGTGATGAGAAACATGTCAGCTGGAAAAGGGTCCACACTGAATCTGCTGAAAAAAGTAATGGGACAAAATGTGTTTTTGTAAGTTGGGGGGTGGAAGATGGGTAATGATAATTATTCTGAATAACAATCAATAATAATTCTTGTCACAAGGTCTGAAATATTGAAACAAAATGTAGCTGTTAACTTTTGTGATCTTTGCCAGCTACATTAGTGATGTTTGTTTTGTCAGTGTGTAGATCTTATTTGCTTCCTAGAAGAAAGTTTATGTCAAGTCCGTCCTGGTTATTGAGGTGCTACTGATCGATCAAGGAATCAATTTAAAAGCATTGGTCAGGATGAAGTTACCCTCTGTATCCAAGCCAGATCAAGGGTCTTGAAAATAATTGAGTGACATAACTTAACAATCATGAGAGCAACTTTCCACCATCCAATTCAGTCATGTGCCTCAGTCTGTAATGTGGTCAAGGTCACCCTGATCATTACCAGATGTTATTTATCCGTCTCTCTCTCTCCCTTTTTTGCCTTTCTGCCTTCCTTCCTTCCTGCCTTAAACAACCATGTTTTCTAGGCCAGCTAAAGTGGGACATGAAGAGACACCTTTGTTGTGTTAAGCATGGGGTAATTGGAGTTGATTTTATGTTCTTGCTTGTTCTTATAGTCTCAAATAAAGTTGAAGCCGTTGAAATGGACCCTCTATTAGAAAGTCAAAGTGATGGTGGCACTCTACTGGGCAGCAGTCAGATATCAGCACCTGAGGATTATTGGTTTTTTTCTAACAGGGTAACACTTCAAACAGTGTAGAATTTTTGTTTGTTTGTTTTTAAATAGTAATAAGAGTTTACAGATCTTGAACTATTGTGTCAGTACAGAATTTAAAATTAAAGATCACATTTGCAGTTTCATTGTGGTACTGCATAGTATTACTGGTACTTAGAAGTTATCCATTTCATTTTTGTTTTTTAGCTAATTTTTTTTTTATGTAAAATTTGTAGTGATAGCAGGCAATATTTGTCACTAATTTGTTTCTCTTGGGAAAGATCAAACATTTAAATTTGACCCCTTCTCCACTGACTGAATCTTTAACTGTCCCTTCCCATTACATACTAGATAAACAGTTTTGTTTATCAAACTAACCATATCATTGTATTGTTTGATTAATTTAATAGCAAATTTCTCACTTCTCTCTTTTAAAACTTGCAGTTATTTTAATTTATTTTTTGCTTCTCAATATCAGGCTAAACTTCCCAGAGGGATCCAAAACATCAGGCCTCATCTGGAGAGTGTTGATAATGTTCCTCTTCTTGTTCCCCTCTTCACTGATTGTACTCCATCAGGTAAAGGCAGGCACTTTTTGACAGTGGTGAAAGAGCTTACTTCCACCTTGTTGGAGGAAACACTTAAATTGTGGACCAAATTTTGTGTTTTGTTTTGTTGTTGTGGTTTTAGCAATCAATTGCTTCTCAGCATTTGTTGAAATTTGATTCTTCTATTTATTGACAGCTGTTAAGGAGATGATTGCGATAATGCAAGATTATGGAGAGGTGGTCTGTTGTGTAGGAAGTTCATTTAATTCTGCTAATCCTGCCATATTTATTCAGGCAGATATAGGGTAAGTTTTACGTCATAAAAATTCTTACAGTTGACTGAATTAGCTTGTTCACCAAGTTTACTTTTTCTTGAGTAAATGTAATCAGACTGGAAAAGAAAGACCTTAAATGGCATTTCATTTCATTTTTTTAGCATTGCAGTGGAACCCCTCTTTCCCCAACTGTGTTTGAAAGGTTTGCCAAAAGACTTCAGATCAGGAACACCACAGCTTGGACAAGAAAATGCCAGAGAAAAACTACATAGAAGGTTCAGTGACGAACAATCCATTGAGGTTGAAAATGGTGAGCAAAGTAGTTTGAAGGCAGCTAATTCAATCATGACAATGTGAGTCTGTTGTAAATTGCTGAGTAAAATCTCTGTCTGAAATTTTACACTTTGGTCTAATAATCATTTCTTTCAAAATCAGCTGATTTGGTACCAGTAGTTATATGTTTATGTAAAATTTGAAACTTCATGTGAACACCAGCATGTATGCAGGAATATCTGGGGGGTTGGTGGTGGGGGAAGGAAGGGTTAGTCTTAAAACAGTAATAAAACAGCTTTGGTAGTTTTATGAAATTGTCACTGACAGTGACTTTCTCCTGGACAACTTCAGAAATCCCTCTTCTTCCCCTGTCCTGTGATGGACTATTTAATATGTTTAAAATACCCTCTGATATTTAACATTTTGGTTTGTTCCCCAGAGCTGTCCCCACTTGAACTGAGTGCTTTCCTAAATGCCCTACCATGTTCCTTGGCATTCCACAGAGATGCAAGTTTTAAATTTTTGAATTTGATTAAAGAGGTGAGGTCTGGACTATAAAAATAAAGGGCTTGAAGTTTAACTCCCTTTTTTCTTTTCGTTTAGTTTTTTTTTTTTTTTTGACAAGCTATGCACAAAAAACACCACATTACTTACTGCTTTCCTTGCAATTATTTTGATCTGAAAGAAACAAAAAGGAGCTTTCTTTTTTAGAGAAATGAAAGCAAAGCAATGAATACCTTTCTACTCTTTTTTTCTCAGGCACGTCGTATTTGCTTTGGACTCAAAAACTGTTTCTCCTTCATGCTATCATGTCAGTTAGTTCTTTCTACCATGATGCTTCTGTCATCATGTGTTCTCCTTCCACCTCCCCTGACAGGGCTTCATCTCCTATGGTTGTCATGCCTTATAGTACCCCTGCTCAGTCTGTCATTAATTGGCTCCCCATCTGATCCAAATCTTATGACAATGATGACAGGCAAAAATGACAAAAACTTCAAGGTAACTTTTAATAATAGTTGATTTCCTTGTGTTTTAGTGTGTAGAGTTAGGTTGTGATATCTCAGATAGTGAGGAGTTTTGTTGTCTTAATTCTGCATTGAATGCATTGCTTTTTCAGCTAACCAACAACATTAAATGTAAGGATTGAAAATTTTTCTGCTAGTGAATTCTGCTCCCCCTCACCCCTGTGCAGTATTGATCAACAATTTTTGAGACAAAAATTGTGTTTTTCAGTAAAATTTTAAGTCACTGTTTTTATTTGTTCAATTTTCCCTTAGCTAAATATTGATATTTTTTCCTTTGTAGGAAATTACCCATACAGTGTGTTTTTTCTTCAGTGTTTGTTTCTTTCCTTCGCTTTGTATCTGCTGCCTTATCCTGTTCCCTTTAAATCTTCGTGGAATTTGCTTCTCTCTGAACAAGAAATCTTCTAACTGTCACTACCTGCTTGGATTTAGGTAAAGTCACCATGTTTACTCACTTTTGGCTGATTCACACTCAAACCAGCTGTACAGTCATGTAAAATCCATTGGTTTGCCTAGCATGTTAATCAGATTGTTCCAATTATTTCAATTTTTTTTTCTAGCAATCATGGAACGTTCTTCTTACCAAAAAATTATTATGCAAATGTCTGAAAAGGTATAATAATTGAAGTAACAGGTGTTAAAGTACAATTCAAATTTCCACAGAGAGAGTTGATAATTTTTTTCCCGTTTGACCTTTTTTACTTCTTTTTTCCACTTGAATAGGAACACTACAGAACTGTGGAATGGCCTGGGAGAAAGTCATATTCAAGCATTAGCCATGGCTCAGGACATCAATGTATTTTTTCTAGTTCTAATTTTTGGTAGGTTTTCAGGAACATATATAGACCAAGTATAAGGTACAAATCAGATCATGGGGAAGCACCTTCCAAAATCTTACTGCAATCATAATAACCTACAGTTGCCATATTTAATTCTACTTTCTCATATATTTTATCAGTTGAAAACATAGGGTGAAGCATAGTTACCCTCGCGTGAAACTCAGAAAGTCATGAACACCCAATGTAAAGAGTGTTATTTTATTTCAAAGAAAAACTCAAACTAAACAGCAAAAGCAATGCCAAAAATTTTTTGTGGTTTTGAGGGTTTGTTCCCATATCTTGAACTTTATTGTGACTGGTTCGTGAAAAATTGATCTGCCAAAATCAAAGAAGAGGTATCCTCAGTTTTCAGAGTTTCACTGTTAATAATATTTGACAATAATTTTTTTCCTAAAAGATATGTACATGTAATTCTCCCTGATTTAGCAATTCAATAGCTAAAGAATAGTTTGAAAGGCATCATCAAAATAGTTTGCCAACTAAAGCTCTCATGGAACATCACTCTTGGCTGTTGGAATGCATTCTAACTCAAGTGAATTGAATTTAGAACTTCACCATGCAAGATTTGTACTTGGAAGGTGGCATGAGATTAAAACTTTCTGTTTACGGCAAAAATTCAGCTTGCTTTCCCACACAAAGTAACAAGCCTAGATTGTCAATTGTAAGGTCTTACCTCTGTTAGTCTTTTGTACTTTGACAATATTATTGGTATGTCTCCATTTTAGTGTTCATGTCTTCAAGTTACGTACATCGTCTTCATTTGCTGTGGAGGAAATCTCCATTTATGAATAGGTCATGGATTATTTCCGCTGTGGTTATGTACGTCCTTCAAGTTTTTGTATTAGTTTTATCAAATATTTGTGCTGTCTTAGAGTACTGTGTGAACAATAACCAATGAGGCATTCATCACAATGAACAAAATCTGATCTTATTGTTATAACTTACACAAATTGACTATTTGTGATAAAAACTACCCATTATGACATGGTGGGAGATCAGTCAAAAAGGGGGGGATTGGATGTGAAGCCTATTCTTGAGTAGAAAATTGGTAAAAAACACTTCCCTATTAGGCAGAAAGTTTGTCATTTAAAGTCAGGGTTTCTTAAGTGTGCATGCCAGTCTCAAACACAATATTTTTGACAAGAAACTCTGAATGGAGTATTCCACAAACTGTATGGTTTTTTTTTTCAGCCATTCAAAAGTATTTGTAACAATTGACCACAGAAAATCTAACCTTTCAAAAATTGTCTTCAAATGGGCAAAAAATTGACCTTTGTAACATAGCCACAGGTGCAGTGGCAATCTTCATAAGCAATTCACTCACATGTACTGCTCTGGTTGTTGCAAAAAACAACAACAACAACAACAAACAAACAAAAAAAGAGATTCTAAGGAATGGAATAAAAAGTAGTATGACTTACCAATAATTATACCTTCAGAAAGTGGCCTGGTTGGTAAGGAAGATTTAAAATGGCAGCATCTTTGGTCTAATTTTTAGCAAATTTGAAGACAAGTTTCAACGGTTCAGTTAATCTTTGGGATCTCAAAAAAAAATTTTAATTGGGCAGATAAAAAGTACATAGTTTCAGAGGGATACTTCACCTTTGAATGAATCTCAGGCTTGTGTTTTTTGACCAACAGTTTAATACTCCAGGTAATTTACTTTACATTGTCCCAAGTTGGATGGAGTCGACATGCCCCCTTGGTGTTTCACCTGACTGATGTTCCGGTGCCATCAATGATCATCATCTTTCTTTGGCCAATTGTAGCTCTAGCAATTTGTGAGCTATTCAAGAGGCGATACATTAAGTAAGACCTTTTTCTATGTCTTCATGGCAGCATCCAAATTAATTTTTGTGCAGTTTTAAAAAATATTGTTTGTTGGGATGAGGGACTTTTGTTTGTGTGTCTCAAAGTGTTCTGATACAAAAACAGTTTTTTTCTAATATTGCCTGATAATGACAAGAAATAAGCACTCAATACATCTCTATTCTTAACTCTACTTAACCAAGATGAAGAAACACACCTTTTTTTTATTGTGAATTCTTTTATTCACTGACATCTGCTAACATGACTATCCAGTACAATTATTGATCAAGTGTGACATCAAGATGGCTGGATATTTTTTTACTTTTTATGGACTGTGGCGAAGTTGAGTCATCATAATGCAAAAGTATAACAAGGCTAATATCCAGCTATCTTGATTGAACAAGCTTGGTCAGTAAAGGATTTATATATAGCCTATGGGCACTACCAACTTTATGTTAACCCTGTAACTCCCAAGATCTCATTACTAATTCTCCTTACTGTCTGCCATACAGTTCTTGTGATGTTAGTTTAAAGAATTTGGTATTGGATCTACTTATAATCCCCTTATTGATATTTTCTTTATTCTCATCACTTGTCTGCTTGATATTGTATTGATATTGTAAGGAGAAATTCTGTCTTGGTCACTCATGGGAGTTAAAGGGTTAATAACATGTGATGGTTAGAATTTAGAATTAACTCTAGCATCTCCAGTCCAGTCTTTCTGTGAGGATGCTACAGTCACTAGGATGGTGGTGCTTTACCCTTTTTTAGATATTTTGAATCTGATTTCATATGCCATATTTTTCTCTTTTTGTCTTTGCAGGGAAAGTGTCCGGTTTCAGAGGAGAGCCAAGTTAAAGTTTGGTACAAAGTTAGGAATGAATTCACCATTCTGATTTACTGTTTTTGCTAACTCTGACTAGAAGGGAATTCAGAAAATTTAAGAGGGGTGCCAAAAAATTTGGGTGAGAGTACAACCTCACTCCTTTCTTAAAATACATGACCTTCCCTCTGGAAAGATAGTGATGCAGGTTGCAAGTATGAATAAACAAGTTAAAAATAAAAATGCAAGAAAAAATGGGCAAGCTAAATCCACTCACTAGCATTCCTTTATGTCTACTCAGCAAAGCTGTTGTAAGACTCCCAGCAAAAATCATAAAAAGCTGATAAATAACCTCTGTGGAATGCAGCATAAAAACTCCAAATTTACCTCTCAAACAATGGAATGATGGTTTTACCTTCTTCTTGCCAGTGATTTTTCTTCTATTTTAGAAGATCACTTACCTCCACCATGATGTCATCTAAAACAATATTTCAATTTATGTTCAACCCTCTCAAAACCATGAAACAGTAACAGAAATATTGTGAATTTTGTACAGTTTATACCTTGCTCTATTGCTGTATTATCTCTTTCAATTTTTAAGTAATATATTTTTAGGTAGCAATGTTGTATAAAGTTGAAAAAAATTAGAATAAAAAATTGTTATTTACCAAGATGTGATATTTATTCGAGGTGCACATTTTCTTATGAGGATTCTGTTAAAAGTGGATATAGAATACCATGTAATACATTGTAGCTTCTAAAGCAATAGGGTTTACTTTCACTGCTTTTAGCTTGCCTCGAACATGTTTTTTTGCAATTTAATGGTGGATAGAAGGAAATTTCATAACTAACTGGTATTGCTCAAGCCAATTTTATTGTGAACAGATTGATTTAATGTAAGGCAAAACCCCAACAAAAGAGACAGTGGTGACAGGTCTTACAGGGTTCAGTTGACCACTAGAAACTGGCTTTAGTTGAAACCTCTGAAAATAGCTATCATTGTTGCCTGTAGATCAGTTTCATGATCACTTCTATTGGATTGTTTTTTCTCTCAAGGCAATGACACACCATTAAATAAAGTTTCTTGTGTTAAATTTTTCTGAGTTTCACAATAAAGCAGAGTAGATAGTACACATAGCTTGCATTTGTAATCTATTACAGGATTTAGCTACAGTCAGCTGGAAGTTGGTGAACAACAAGTCAGTTTTTTTTTCCTTTTTTTCAGCGAAATTACTCCATTGTATCGTTTAGTTCATCCTCGAACACAAATGATTTCCTTGTTGTGTCCAGTAATAATGTTGTTACATCAGCAGAAAATCCACATGATACTTCAAGGAGGTGAAGAAGTTTTCTTGACAAGAATTTCCTGTCTTCCTCTTTCTGCATTTGGAGGGAAAAATAAAAGGGTGATGTTTGAAGGTACTTGGTAGTCCTGAAAAATATTGTTCTCAAGGACTGATACTTTGACAGTGAAATAATCATGATCAGAGTCATATGACTATAAAATTTTCTTCTAATGGACTTAAATATCAATCAGAAAATGAGCAACAGAGCTTTAACCCTCAAACTCCCTTGAATGACCAAGGCAGACTTTCTCCTTAAAATAAAATATCAAGCAGAATAGTGATGACAATAAAGAAAAATTTAAATTAAGGGATTACTACTTGATGCTATACCAAATTCTCCAAACTAACATCATAAGAATTGTAAGGCAGACAGAAAACTGAATTACTATAATTGAGATCTTGGGAGTGAAAGGGTTAAATCAAGAAACATTTTCAAAATCTCCTGTAGTTATGCCACTTGTTTTCAAGGGGACTCCCTTAATGCTTCAAAGTTCATAGGAGACTGAATGTTCCTTTTGCAGCCCTTTTTGGGATTTCATTGAGCAACCCAGGGAAGCATTCAAAAGAATTACTGTGAAGGATACTTGAACCTGAGTGACATCATTTCCATATCAACTTTACCCTTTACACCCTAACATCAGTATCCATAGTCTCGATACTCTACTCCATACATTTCCTATGTCACTTACAAGGAGAGTTCACCTAACAATCAATGCTTTTAATATTGGCAATCATATTTCTTTTATTCTCGTGATCTTAATGGATGATTCAGCTGTATTACTGTATGGAGAAATCACACCTTAGTCACTCTTAGGGTTTAAAGGGTTAGTTGAGTTTTTCCTTACTGGTTCTTCAAATAGCACATTTACATCAATTTTTCTCAAAGTTTTCGGTTTGCAGGCAACCTACTCTGAAGTTGATGAACCCATACTTGATGGCTTGGGCAGATGAATAATTTTCAACTCACTTTCAATTAGTCATTTTGTGTGGTTTAAAAGATATTTTTTACATATAGCACACACAAATAAGTTTCATCTGTTTGCACCTCAGTGTGCTGTGTTATTAAAAATTCCGTTTTAATGCTCACCTCCATGTCAGCACAAATTAAAGGTGAGTCATAACTGTCTGCAAGACTTGTTACCTCCTGGATACTGAATGCATGCAAGGCTTCATTTTTAGCTGAAAAGCAAGAAGTTATCAGAGATGCTGGAGATGTTCAATTCTGCACCATGTCTTTACCCCACCTCCATCCCCACCCCCACATTTGCTGAAGTTACAAATTATAAAAGACCTGTGCAAAATTGTATAAAAAATTACAAAAATGCCACCACTAGTAAATAAAAGTTTTATTCCCAGTAATGTGCCGATCAATTTGAAACTTCAACATCCTCCCTTCAGCGAAACCCATAGTTATTTGTCTGTCATCCATGCCTGGGGGGTAGAGAATTTGAACCTTGCCTGACTGGGGTGGGCAATTTGAAGCAGATTTGGCAAGTCTTCCCAGCTGAATGGATGTGTTTTGACTTTTGATATGGGGGTGTTTTAAGGTAAAAAATTCACTTTCACAAGCAGAAAGCAGATGGCCTAGGAGAAAGGGTTGACAAGAATTAGTCAGGGTTGCTGATCTTGCCTTTCACAAAAAAAATTTTGAAGATTCTAATTGATCAATGCATAAGCTAAGTAATGCCTGCTTTTTTTTTGCCTTAAACAGAAGTTCTTGGTAAATATAAGCTTACCTTGTGTCACAACAAAGCAACAGTGTCCCAGGAAGTAATCAATGTCTAGATGCTTCACGGATGATCTTATTGTCTCCAAGCTTGTGGAGAAGAAACAAATCATTGATCTGAGCTAGTTTTAAAAAGAAAGATTCGGATAGAAAGATTCGGATATAATCCCATAATTATTCTTAGTCTTATTTTCGCCATCGTTTTTATTTATCAAATAACTGCGCTTAAGAAGTAATACTAAGGACTAATACGGAAATCGTGCCAAATGAGTAAGAGGGAATTTCTCTCATAATTACCTCAGAGTATTAGTTAAATCAATAAACAGCACAACGAAATCGATTCTGGGTCTTTTATTTTCAGCATCCTCAGGCAAAGGAAGACTTGTTGCAACTCGACTGTGAAACAAAATTACTACTCTATTACTTTTTTTTGCATGTAAAGAATATACACCAGTTAATTAATTCACAGAAATTTTTCTTGAACAAGAAGAGAAGGAAAGACTCAACCTACATCTGAACCGAGAAATCCGCATGAATACCAAGCATAGATCTTGCTAATCGGTGCTTTCCGACACCCTTCACCCCAACAAACTGTATGTAAAAAGTCGAAAATAGCATGTTCATTTGCTAATTGAACGTTTCAAAGCATACGAAAGCAGGGAAGTAAAAATAGATTCAAGTAAGATCCATATAGCTTACCAAAACAGTCGCTTGATTCCTGTCTGGTAGCTTTGTAAACCGGGAAAGTATGTTTACGTTTAAATCCGCCATTTTGATTTGAGTTTCGCGCCTCAGAGGTAGAGAAACTGGGAACGACCGTCCTACTGACGCCTGCGATACTCGAAAAGGTTACCAGTGGTAGTCTTTTCAATATGGCGGCGAAGAAGAAGAAACACAGGAAAGAGAAGAAGGTCCTTGTATTCGATGAAAATTCTCGAAGGTATTTAGAATATTGGCTGAGTGATCCCGAGTATTAACTCTCCTTGACCCTAAGTACTCACTAATTCGTCTCTTAATCGACCAAAAAGGAATTTAAGAGCCTTTAATTACTGCTCATGCTGTAGTTTAGTTTTGGCGCGTGTTGAATTTACTTATATTTCATTTTATCGTTTTTTGTTGTAAGGAGAAGATCGGCTTTCATACCTACTCAGCTGATTAAATTTTCAGGAAGTGCTTAAAGTGCAAAACTGCACAGAAACAAGGCGTTAGGGCCATAATTTTGTGTCGTTGTCACGTGTAGTGAAGTGTTATACTAAGTGGTCAGTGAACAACCCCTCTAGCTCTACTAATTATTTTATTTAAACTTGAATATTTTCATCAACATTTTCACACGTTTAAAATCATCCTAACCCTTTCAACCCCAATATCTTATTAGCAATTATCCTTACTGTCTGTCATACAATTCCTATGATATTAGTTTGAAGAATTTGATATTGGGTCAACCAGTAATCCCCTAATTGATATTTTTCTTTATTCTCATCATTTGTTGGCTTGATATTGCAGGGAGAAATTCTGTCTTGGTCATGCATAGGAATGATCAATGTTTTGATACCTTGGTGTTTTTACTTGTAATGATGTTTCAATAGAATAGAAAGCAAAGCACAGCTGAGTAAAAAATGCATGTCTTACCAATTAGCACAACAAATGCTATCATACCTTGCACAGAACTTACAGCTTTAAATACCAACACAATCCTTATTTGTATGATTACATGTATTACCCAAGATTAAAAAATCTGACACCTTGCAAACACTATTGAAGTTCCAACAGCCTTGGAAGATTTCAGAACATGGTCAGTATTTTATCTTATTTTCATTCTCAATCTGTAGGGAGTATCTTCTTGGTTTTCACAAGAGGAAAAATGAACGAAGGAAGAAGGCCATGGAAGAATTGACGAAGCAGGAAAAGGAAAGAAGAAAAGAGCTTAAACAAGAGGTTAGTCTGTTGCAAAAGCTTTGGTTGTCCTGAACTGTGTCTGACTAACAAAAGTGTACTAGGTAACTTTGATGGCCTCTCTAGAATGCCCCATGAAATTTGAATTGAGGGTTGATTTTCCTGACTGATGACTATAGGCACTTCTTCATTGGCCTGTCCTGATATTATTTGTTTCTCTTGGAGGGCAATATCCCAATATAGATTATTTTTCAATTCTCAGAACCAACTGACTAAAAGTGTACAGAAGCTGAAAGGATAATTTATATCCTCAACTACCCTAGAGGTAAGACGGAAAACTGTTGTAAGCTCTAAAAGTGTATTTATCTCCTTGTGTAGAAAAAGAAGAGCTTGATTGAACAAATGGAAAAACACAGAAAAGAATTAGGTAAGAATTTTAGAAATGGGATTTGAAGACTTTTTATGCTATATGCAGTTATCAGTGACTTCAAATTCACAAAGACACTCTCCAGCCAGTCTATTAATCAGCACTAACAGGCAGTAACTTTCAGGGAATGTCTGAGAATTTTTGAAAGGTAACCTTGGATGGACTGGCACTTCATCCAGGGAGAGTAGTTATACCTCCTGGTCACTTAATGCTATAGACATTGGGATAAACTATGGGTCAGTAGGCCACCACCTTAAAAAATATTATTTCAGTAATGATAATTCTTGTTACAAGGTCTGAAATTTTGAAACAAAACATAGCTTTTGACCATACCTCACAGTCTTCATCACCCTAGTGATCTCTTTGTAGTGGATTGGTTACATATTTGATCAGAAGCTCAACAACAAGTAGCTGAAAATGGTGGGTGCAGGTAATCCATTTATTTTGGAAAAAAGAAATATAATTTGGAATCATAAACTATTAGTTACTTATTTCAGAGGCTCTGGAATCAGATGATGAGAATGAGGAGGAGGAGGCACCTTCAACAGTTGATGCAACCTATGAACATCCTGAGCAAGTTGTCACAGTTACTACAATCAGTGATGTGAACTTGGATGGTGGAAAATTTACATGTATTGGACCCAACAAAGTAAATGATAAATACTAACATATTAATCAATGTCCAAAGTACAGTCGGGTCTCTCATCCATTCTAATTAATTATACATCATTAATTTAGCTTATTAAGAAAATCTCTTTGATTGCCAATTTGCATTATAAAGTAAGTTGATTAAACCAAATTATCTTGTAGTACCCCCACTGATGCTGCACCACAATTTCTCTAAAAACTTACCCCCTTTATAATAATAATAATTAATAATAATCAATAATTCTTGGTCACCACGATTTTGTTGTTGTATCACAGTCTAGAACCTTCAGTTAGTCATCATTTTTTACCTTCTACCCTACATTTCAATTAGATTTTAAATTAATCACAATTAGCATTTTTTTTCTTTTTCTTTTAAAGGGGTTGATGGAAACAGAAACATCACAACTTCATACTTCACCTTTAGAGAAACAGAATGAAACCTTTGATAAAATGACAGAAAAGTAAGTTTAACTTATTTATATTTATATCTTGTGTCTTCCCAAGTTGGGAGAGGTGTAACAAGGCCTCAAAAAAATCAAACTGTCCTCTTTGGGGCAGTCATCAGCTTTGGGGCAGTTATCATCAGTGGGGCAGTCATCAGCTTTGGGCAGTCATTATCTCTGGGGGCAGTCATCATCTTTGAGGCAGTCATTATCTTTGGGGTAGTCATGATCTTTGGAGCAGTCATCATCTTTGGGACAGTCATTATCTTGGGAAATTCATAATCTTCAGGGCAGTCATTACTAGATTTCCACATCAGAAAAGTAATCTTTCCCCTCTACTTACCCGAGAAAAGAAACTCCACATGAGCTTAACCCTTTCACTCCCAAGATCTCAGTAGGAATTCTTCTTACTGTAAGCAATGCAGTTCTTATGATGGGAGTTTGGAGAATTTAGTATTGGATCAACCGACAATCCCCTAATTGATTATTTTCTTTATTCTCATCACATGTCTGCAGGATAATGTATTGGTATTGTTAGGAGAAACTTTGTTTTGGTCACTCATGGCAGACGCTGTTAAGTTTGTCAAGCTGAACTTCATTATGTCATTTTATATCAATGTTTTCTACTGATTTTTAAGTACATACATGTATTTAACCCTTTAACTCCCAAGAGTGACCAAGACAGAATTTCTCCTTGCTTTATTTATACAATGTCATACAGGCAAATGATGAGAATAAAGGAAAATATCAATTATGAGATTACTAATTGATCCAATACCAAATTCTCCAAACTAACATGATGAGAATCATTTGGCAGACAGTAAGGAGAATTACCAATGAGATCTTGGGAGTTAAAGGGTTAAAGAACAACACAAAGGGAGAAGTAGTCTAGAACTGCATTGTAACTGTCGATGAGACTTTCTTCAACTGTTTACATGCACAGAACCACTCCCAAACATCAGCAAAAATCACACAAGAAATTTAGAAGAAGAAGAGGAACATCAAGTAAGAAAAGTGACCATCACCAGAATGGGCCGTCTGGAAAAAATAACAAGAGAAAAAAAGCTCATTCTCACCACAAATCAAAACATTTCAAGAAGAGTTGACTCTAACAACCCAGGTTGTAAATGGTGTTTGATGGCCAAGAGGAAAGTCAACAGGAACAGACGTCTACGTCGTGGCATGGTGTAGTGCTGCACATGCCCGATTGATATAGAGGGTGCAAATTTTGAAAGTCCTTGAAAAGGTTTAGACCAATCTGATAACTAAAGGATTACTTTTCAATCTTTACTCTTGAAAAGGAAAAAAGGCTGTTGTAGCATCTTCAATGACAAAAGTTTTTAGGAATCGATACCTACAATTCATTCTTCGACCCGTTTCTTCGCTGATTTCCCGGAACAAGTAGTCGTGCCTTTATTATGTGGCGAGGTTATTCCACTTCTCCAAGTGTACATCCGCAGTAAAAGAAAAGAAAAATAGGTCAAGGCGATAATGTGTCATGCTCCTCTTTCTACATAGTAATAAATAATAACAAGCAATTTCAAGGAGGAAATTTCAACAATTGGAAACTCAATGAACATTGAATACTAATGGATTTTATAAACTTGATAACAGAAGTAGTTCAAATAAACACTAAAAGGCGATACGTGGTGTTCATGTACAAAATTAGACCGAATGATACAAAGCAGATTGCTTTCGGAAAAAGTTAAACACATTTCGTTAACTTTTTTTTTTCAACTCTCCTCTGATTCTCAGTTTGACCCAACAAAAGAACACGCACAACCCTAGGGTGCGGCTCGCTTCAAGCCAAGCGCTCTGTTTGTAATTCGAAAAGACTACAGGATACATGACGTATCATAGAAAAGTAATATGTAAGTAAAACTAAACAAAAACATACAATCCATGTAACACTCAGCTCCAAAGATCTGAACCACAAGCTAACTGACATGAGGTCGTGGAACAACAGCTGGGTGAAAAACCTCCCCGTACGTCTACTTGCACCTAGGAGGAAAACCCCAGGCCAGCTTTACCCCATATACAACAGTTCCCTGGGCAAGACCAACTAAAGAGATAGATTAAATTAAAAAGCAGTACGCACGAGAAAACTTAGAAACCGACAAACGTGAAGATAAAGAATCTTGAACATACCCGTCCTCAGCCGATTTACTAGCCCAGCGGCCATGACGCTTGAAAAAACGGTCTGGCACGTCAACATTTGCAGCAGCAGTAGCCCCGCCTTTAGTACCAATTAGGCAATATCTTTAAAATACCAATTATCTTTACAAATAGCTTAAACCTTTATTTAGTTTTATTTAGCAAGGTGGCAAAACAAAAGACTATCGCAGGAAAGCCCAGCTCTTTCTGAATAACGATTCATTATAGCAACCGGACAAGTTGCTTTCCCAGAGGAAGCTACTAACTACAATCAAAGCTCCATCCCTATACTGATCAGTTTTACTTTGATTGAATAAATAACTTTACCATGTCATTTTCGATATTTAACATCGGATCGAACAAGCTTAGCAAGCTCATCAAATCTGAAAAAGGTGGCAAAAGCCAGCAAGCAAATAACAACCAAACTAATATTATACAAAGAGGCCATCGAGTGCGCCTTGCAGGCAACTAACTGTTTTTAACTGAAAGGCTGTGATGGGCTCTTTCTTTAATGTGTGATGGACCAGCAAACGCTGCGCACCAGCAAGAATACTCGCCACCTAACTGGTCTAACCAGGCAATGTTATGACCTGCTGACTCTAAGGGAGATGCTGTCTTGCCTCATTCATTAAATGACGCAAATAAATAGCAAAGTGAAACGGAGATGCAGGAAAAACTGTCAAGCCATGTTCTCAGGCCCAAGACTTCCATCTCAGTAAGAAGAGAAATACTTGGATGAAGTATTCGGGGTGCTCTACTAGCCAACGCAACATCCGAGAGAAAACTTGCAAGGTAGTGTAAAACACGAGATCCCTGGAGACCAGCAGCCCGAAGAGGCAACCACATTGTAGAATTGAAAACATCCGCAGAAGAAGGCAGAAAGAAAACACACACAATGAGACGTCAAAAACAAACAAAAATAACCCGAACGCTGGAACAGCAAATTGATACCCCCGCTTATTGCCCACATACAAGCGCACATGCCTAAAAAACATAAGATACCGATGAGAGCATATTTTCCTGCTAATTACAAAGTCAAACGCAGGAAAATACTAACCCTTTGAATCTGACCTGAATTTTTCGCGACCTTCTCTTTTCAATTTTTTTAAAGGATTGTTACCATTTGTTAATTAGCGATTTTTATCTTTTCTTTCTGAGTTGCCTCCATTTGCTTTAAAAAATTGTTGTTTGGGTTCCTGTAATTTGTTGTTTCTTTTCCAAATTGTAAGCGATGTCACTCAGACTCTTCGAGCTTCTTGCCAGTATTCCCAACCAAAGTTTGCCGGATTTCTCATCTAAATGAAGCCGTTTCAGGGTGTCAAGAAAGAATACCTCTATTGACTAAAATGACGTAATTTCCTGAATGTGTTGGCAAACTGTTAGTGAGACCTAGTCAGAGACACATTAGACATTACTGATGTTTTGTCTTTTGCAAGAGTATGCGTTTAGTTGAATGGTAACATGAAGATATCTGACCACCGCTTAGGGTCTTAATTCTGTACGAGAAAACATATAGAACTTTGGCTTTTGAGGCCAGGCATCATCAGAGAAAAATATTTAGGAAATCCTTCAATTCCGTTCGATTTTATCCCACTGTCTTACTGGTAAGTGACTTTTCGCGTTCGTCAAATTTAAGAAATTTGTTAATAACAGATATATCAACCCATTGCTCTTGAAGATACCATGGTGTTCTCGGCTGTACTTCGACAGCTGACAGAGCTTTGTTTGTGTATATGTGTACGATTATCATTACGAAGAGTGAATTTTTAAACGTTGAAACGGTTCAGTGATCTTATGGCAGCCGGTTTGGTCACCTGCTCTGAAAAGGCTTTTATTAATTAAGCCTATAATTTTTCTTCACGAGAAATCTTGCTTCTTTGATTTTTCAAAAAAAGATCAAAAATCGTAACGAGCCAGCAATTCAATTTGAAAAAGCCTATAAAAAAATTATGAGTCAACTAATTATCTTGGCGATAACAACAATATTTACCTGGGCTACCTTGTTAAGTCTTTGTGACTGGTTTGGATAATCTGAATAAACGCATGTTGTCGCATTCATTAACTTTATTCTCTTTTTTTTCATATAAAACAAAAGGTGAACTGAAAATAGATCACAGAACGCTAACTGATTCGATGTACTTTAGAAATATAACACGATATTGAAAAGCGAAACAATACAAAGGAATTTACGTACCAATATTTGCGGCTCTAATTCTTAGGAGGATATCCAAAGCGTTCTCTAACTCAACTAATGGTTTACTAATCAAGTTTCATGTACTCTAATACGATGAAGATTATGAGGTCACGGTAACAATCCTAAATTACCAACGTTGCCTTTGGTCATGGCCCCAAACAACGACGGTGTCTGCGCAATTTTAATCTTTCTTTTTTATTTCTTTAAAATTAAAATGCTCTGTAAATTTCACGAAAGTAAGACAATATGAAATTAATAGTGCTTTTTCAGTTATTTTTTTACCGAAAAAAACAACTTTATGTCAGCGTATAGAGTGGTACGTTGCTCGCACCAATCAGATAGCGGCATTAGGGTATGTATCTCGCACCAATCAGATCGCCGCATTTAGGTATGTATCTTGCACCAATCAGATTGCTGTATTAGGGTTTGTATCTTGCACCAATCATATCATAGCATTTGAATATCCTGTACCAATCACAGTGTTGGGGTATTGTTTTCTTGTAAATAATGTCATGGATCACGGGGCTGTAAACAAAGAATGACATTAAACAGAAATTTTGGGCACATTTGAGAACTAAATGCTACTAATGTTGAGTTTTCCACGCATTTCTACCGCGTTTGACTTCTTCTACGAATTAAAGTCACTTTAAGCTACTTTGGGCTTAACCCAATTGCGTGTAAATTTCACAGACACAAGGCAAGGTCCAGGTCGACATTAACCAATGAATTAGGAGCCCTCTTTGAAATATTATCCTTTCTTCTTGATTTATGTACCTTCACTCATACGAGATCGCAATATATCGTTAGTTAGGGTCTGCTAGAGGTACAACAGAGTTTCAGTATGCTTTTCGTAGCAAAATTATGCGGAATTATATTTTTGAGGTAACTAATTGTAGACGAGTAATTTTGATTTTCTCTCTGTTGTATGCGTAGTCCGCTCGCAACCGTTATTTGGTCTCGTCACGCAACGCGCTTTCTCTCAAACGGGAAATAGAGGACGTTGTGTGACTAGACCAAACAAAGGCTGCGAAATGGACAACAGCAAGCGTAGCACCGATGCAGCTTCTTGTCTCGGAAAAGACGGTAACCGAGCTCACTATATATCATAGTACCGACTACGCACGCAACGAGTGTTAGAGTATGATTCCCCGTGCCCTACCATTGCTCGACTAAAAAATTAAAAGTGTGCACGAAGTTGGAGGTGATTCCTGAGTTAAATCAAAGTGTTATAATGCTAATAAAAATTCCTTTTCGCCACTCTTAGCAACAGGAAATTTGCAAGAATGGGTGGAGCTATCTACAAGGATAGCGCTGCTGTTCATTACGAAGAGCACAACATTTACTTAAACTCCATACAAACGTTTGGAAGGTAAGCTTAAACTTAGTGAGAAATCCAGGCTAGCAGGCTGCAGTTTCTAAGAACCTGGGAGCGAGGTTGCAATACCATATCACCCCGATCAGCGTGAAAAATTGCGAAAAAAAGTCAATGTAATAAGTTCTTCTTGTGCTTTGACTCGCAATCATCGTCGTATGAAATCATGCTTATGTGTCCTTTGAGTTAGGCTGAGATCAAAGTTATAGGCGTCTTTAGAGGTGACTGAGAATGAAACATAAAAGATGTTCACGTTCGGAACTTGATGTCAATTGAAATTCCTCTTGTTCTTAGGGTCGAACCGACGCGCCCGATAACTATCCATCAAAAGGCACTGTTTTGTCTCTGGTTATCCATCATCTTTCTGTGGGTTATGCTTAAAACCAAGCGTTACATTCTGAAGTGGCGAGACAAGAGAAAAGCTAATGAAGAGGAAGATAAAGAGGCAGAGGGAGACGAAAAGGGTAGCTGAAAATACCACATGATTTAATGTAAAAACCTTTTCATTAGCATACCGCAGTGAAATGGTTACGCTAGGAAACTAAGCTAAAGGGTTGCGTTACTTTTCGTCCAAATATGTCACGCAACTTTCACTAGCATCCGCAACTTCACCACGTGACAATTAAAAAACACTATTAGTAAGTTCAGTTCTGTGTTTCAATTGGAAAAATTCGTTCTTCCTCAATGCTCCCTGTCACTTGTTTCAAATTTGAACCGATGCCCTCGTAATCTATTAGACAGAGATTATGTACCTCCTTTCCCTCAAATCTTATGTTCTTGACATGTATTGACCTCAACACAATGGCTAATTGACCCACGCGCAAGAGATAATCCGTGTTGTTTAGAATTGAGTATTTCAGCGCCATGGTAACGTGAAGTCACGCTTTAGAACTCTATTGTTGAGCGATTTAGATGAAACTAGATAGTAACTTACGATTTGTTTCTCGTGTTTTTAGCGAAGGAAAATGTCTTGATATCATTGTATCCAGTTTCCAAATCACGTAAGTACAATGACGCTGGAGTCTTCAGTTTAGATAATGTTTGCTTTAGTGGTGGAAATTGTTAGTTACCAATAGTTAATAATTAATAAATAATAGTAAACAACCCCCATTCCCAGAGTCCTCTCTCTTCCTCCCTCGAGGGAAGAAGAGAGTGGACACTGGGAACTAAAAGAGGATCCTCGTTTCCAGGGTCCTCTCTCTTCCTTCCTCGAGGGAGGAAGAGCGTGGACACTGGGAACGAGGTTGCAGTTGCGTAGCTGGCATTGAGGGTTTTTTGAGCAGTGCAGCTACGAAAAAAAAAAGCAGTAGGTTAGGGGAAATAATTTTTTGCGGTCGCCTGCATACAGAGAACGATGATAACATGCATCCCAAATATCATCATCGCTTTCAAAAGCTTTCAGCGGGTCTATCGCGGGAGTGGCAACATCTGCCGCACCCGAATCACCGCCATAATACGGGCAGCCCAAGGGCGTGTGTTATGGGTAGACAGGAGGGAAAGGAGGTCTCGCCCTCTTTCCCCCCATCCCCTCTTCCTCCCCGTAGTTCCGTACCGCGCGCACGGCGATAAAAGACTGGGAAATGATAAGTCGACAAAATGATGATCTTGTAAAGCGAGACCTACCCCTAAAAGTACTTTGGTGGATAGCCCTTACACCAGGAGGAGCATTTCAACTTTTTAATACCCTCTGCTTACAATATATAGGTTATTAAATCACAGGCAAAGTGAAAAAAAACCCACGTCGTATGAATCGAGCTAACTGTGGGTCATTTGAAGTCGACTTTAATTCTCGTTTTAGCTTCAGTATCACGATTTGGCCGCGGCGACGCAACAGAGGCGGGGCAAAGCAACCGAGGAATATTTGAGAAACTTCTAGAGACAGACCCGGATCAGCCATCTTTCGAAGATTTTTTAGCAAAAGCTGTGATTTTTGGAGTGATTATGCTTTATTTCTGGCTGTGCGACTATCAACATATCTGGTAAGGGAACTGGAGATGGATAAAATTGTTTACATTTTTCCCTACCACAGGTTCTTCAAGTGTTCATTAGTACAGTAGTTGGATTTTCACGAGCGTCACAAACGACTCCAGATTCATTGCGTGAATGCAAGCTACGTTTGTTTTGTAACAAGGAAGTGACATTTGTTTGAATGTCAACAGCAGTTACTGGCATTTACTATTTCATCGGGGTTTGGATTCGGTCTTACTGCGAGCAACAATTGCGGAAAATAAATCATGATACAACGAAAACAAAACAAACAAATAAACATGAAGAAAGAAAACACTAGCGATTTACTACTTGACCTGATATCGTGACTAGTTCGCGTGGTTAAAACGTAAACATTAGGCTACACTGTTAGCCAAACTAAACAGATTTAAAAAAAAGGGCCTTCTCAGTAACAGCTCCTAGGCCGAGAGTTAATGGTTACATTTACGATTCTAAGATCAGATAATCAATGTGGGCAAAAAGTGGGTCAGCACTACTTTAAAGGTATTACTTGCCATTTTTGTTTTATACTGAGAGTAGCCCGTTTCCCAGGGAAATAAACATTGAAAACCTTTAAATTTGTTTATCCTTTCAGGCCAAAGACTCAAAAGCAGTATTCCAGAGACATGTTCACATTTTTGTTCGCCCTTCTAGTCATCGTCGCCTTCGTTTACACTATTCGAAAAACACCTGAAAAGCTTGTCAACAGAGATCAAACAGAAGAGTGGAAAGGATGGATGCAGGTCAGTGAATCTTGCAATCATGAAATCCTTTCCTATGACGCACTGTGTGTATTGCCTCGATGAAAACTTTTAATTGGCGTGCGAGAAATGAGTATAAACGAGTGTCAGTTTGGCTGATGCTAAAAACAACGACATAGGTAAATTAATGAAAGCCTAAGCTGAAACTGCAAAGCAAGCGGAGGTCTATGCAATACGCTACACCATAATATTTTTTTTTTTGCTTTGCCAGAACTGATTCTAACTCCTCGCTGAAAACGGTCTTGTCTTGTCTAGTCTTGTCATTGTACCCTAAAAATTGCCGACTCTGCCTAGAACAAAACATACTGAACCCGGCTAGCGGGTTTTAATTAGAGAACACGATTCTGATTCCGAGCCGCATCAAAAGAACACCGCAGAGAAATAATTGCTATTAATCACATATTTTGTTGTACGTGTCGTGGTTGCAGGTGCAGTTTGTGTGGTATCACTATTTTGATGCTCAAGAAGTGTTCAATTCCATAAGATGTTACATTGCTGCCTACGTATGGATGACAGGATTTGGTAAAAAAGAATCTTTCTTTTTTTCGACCATCTAATTTCCGAGCTCTTCACCATATTTCTTATAGGAATAGATTTATATTTTCTTTTGACCTCAGGTAATTTCTCGTATTTCTGGATAAAGAAGGACTACTCTCTGTTCCGCTTGTTAAGGATGATGTTTCGTCTCAACTTTTTGGTTTTCATGGTGATGGCTGTCACCAACAACGAGTTCGTCCGCTATTACGTGTGTGCCATGCACACCTATTGGTTCATCACAGTTTACGTCATGATGGCGGTGTTCAAGTCTTACAATAAGGTGAGTAGCTGAGGTTGCAAACGACAGAGCCCATATATGGACAAGAGTTGCGATCCATCATTGTATTCCTCTCCATTGAAATTGAGTAAAAACTCCTTTCTCGTGAGTTAAATACGGACCGATGCCCAGCCAGATAATTAAAAACTATTCACCTCAGTGGAGGTCGCCAGTGGTGGATATTTACCCAGCCGAGAAGCGGCGATACAAATATCCACCGCTAGCCAACGACACTGAGGTGAATAGCTGTTTTAATAAATACTAAGACAGTGGGATAATATAACACAAAAAGATGATTTTCACTCATTAGACCTGCAACGATTATATTATTTTCCGGCACAAATCCCGCGGGAGTTGCTCGGAGGCGAATAGCAAAGGATGTTCGGAGTGGAGCGCGCCTTCAACGCTATCCACAGCTTAAGTATATACGGAGTGAATTTGGTAGTAATCGTGAATATAGATGCAATAATATTATGAAGAATTATGAAGATAACAACATGCCTGATCTCATCATGATTTTGATTGAGCACTGATCCTACGCTGTTTTTCTTCACAGAATCGTTACTTCATGGCAGCTAAATTTGCAATCTACCTGGTTATAAACTTATTGATATTCGATATACCCGGGGCTTCGTACATAGTGTTTTGGCCTTTCCAGTTTATCTTAAATGTCAAAGGCACTCTGAGATACTGGGTCTATCGCTCCACGTAAGTACATATCTCTAGAGACGTGTCCCTTGTTTCTGATTAGCGATGTAATTAAAGCGGCGAAGCCTGCAAGTTTCGAACTGGCGAGCGACGCGGAAGAGCCAGAGGTCTGCGGAGATCCCAGCATCTTGCGCGCTTCCTCGCTCGAACCACTACGCTAATAAAATCGGGCTGGTAAGATATCCTCTTATCCTCCTTCTACTGTTGATGTTGTTAAATTGACCTTGAAGCCTCGAGGACTTTTTGCGACGTTTTATTATTAGCCGTATCACCGTGTTGAGGTTGTTTTGGCCGATTAAACGTACATCTCTTTTCCAAAGGGTTTTCCGCAATTGCTTAAGGACGGTGAAGACTAGTACAAAATAGTCTTGTAAGAGAAGAACTCTTTGATTCGAATCCTTTCGTTCACGCAACGAACCTGTTGCGTGAAAACGTTTTTTTAGTGAACAAAGAGCAATCCAAATTTCTTATTGATATTCCACTCCTAAAATTAAGGATACCAAACTATCTAAAGCACCATGCCCTCTTTCAGGTTGGACCACTGTGTCACATGGGTGGGAATGCTGTGCGCGTATAACTACCCGTACATTGAACAGTTCCTTAAATACTTGGAAAAAAAGCACGAAAATCGCCGAGGGGACCACCTGGCCTTGCTTCTTAAAGTGTGGATCACTTTAGCGTTGTTTGGCGTGCTGTTGTTATGGTTTCATTTCGTTTTGATGCAGGAAAGACAATACTACATGACCATTCACCCTTTCACCTCGTGGATTGTAATTGTCATCTACTTGTGGTTCAGAAACTTGCACCCAGTCCTCCGCTCGCATTACCTGGGCTTGTTTAGTTGGCTCGGTAAAATCACCCTGGAGACGTATCTGTCTCAGATTCACATCTACATGATCGGCAACGCACAACAACTGCTGATTTACATCCCGAGTTATCCCATGTTGAACTTCATGCTGGCGAGTGTGATTTATGTCGCTGTGTCGTATGTCCTCTTTAATCAGACCTTGTTTTTCAACACTTACATATTTCCCAAGAATATGGGAATTATTTGTAAGAATGTTATTGTAGGTTCAATATGGCTGGGGCTTTGTTATGCACTTTCCTTTATAATTAATCTCGCAGGTTTGTGGTAATTTTGATAATTTTTTTGCCCAAGGTTTTTCTATGAATGAAATGACGTCTTTCGTGTTCATCGTGGTTTATAGAGATAGGAGTAGCTGGTCGTTTTGCCAAGCGACCAGCTACAGCTACAGCTTACTGCGACTCTATTATGGTTTTGCACCGTTCAGAGTTATGAAATTAAAAGAAAATCTCTAGGACTCAATAACGATTAGATTAAAGAGTTAGGGTTTTGAAATTAGCCTTGGGCATTTAACTTTTAATTGGGTGAATAATTCGTGTCGCCTCCAGAAAAGAACGTTGACACGTTTTTCTTGTGATATATATAGCCTTAGTAACTAGCGGATAAAGGGGGCAAATTTTTAAAGAAACTGTGGTGTTACGTCGGTGGGAGAGTATAACAAGGTAATTTAGTGTTATCAACTGAGTTGATAAGGTAAAGTGGCCAATGAGTGAAAGCCCATCCATTCGAGGCTAACGCTCGAAACGTCAGCTTGTAAACTCTTTACGATGGCCAATTTACGTTATCAACTCAGTTGATGACACTAAATTACTTGACGTAACTAGTGGTTTGGGCGCGCTAAATGCGATGGGCTGCGAAGCCGCAAGAGACTTGGGACAGATCGCGGCTTCGCCACTCATCCCCTACAAAACCGTAAAGCACAGCATAAAAACGTCTGCCACGCAGGCTACTAAGGATACAAAATAAGTATCAACTTACGATCGCGACGTTTCGACTGCAACTCAGCCTGTTTTCGTAAAGCGATAAACTCAAATGACTGCGTGTCGCCGAATGTAAGCATATCGGTGCGCTTCTGTTGGTGCGTTTTCGCGCGCTTTCATTTATGCATATCAAACCACAAGATCGTTCCGCCGCGTAGAAGAGTTCCTCCCTACATCAGCTTATTTCAAAAAATTTGTACAGTATTCATTGCATGACCGGTATCCAACTAATATCGGTATACCGTAAAGATTTTCCTAAACATATTTTTTACCAACTGAGCCAATAAAACACTAGTACGTCATATCCTTTGCTTCTCCTTTCTATCCCCTCCCCTTGGTCCACGAATTCTTAACGTGGGAGGGGTCCGTTTTGAATCTGACTCCAGATGGTCAAAGCCGGATAGCGCCGCCCAATAAATGGCGATTTATTAAGTTGCTAAATGAAACCACTTTTTAAACAATCAGAATCTGGAGTTAGGTCAGGTAAGGTTGATACCATTCATTCTATAAAGCTTAAGAGTTTAGTTTAAGTAACTTTATTGCAAAAAAAGAAGAAAAATTCATTTTACATTTGTTTGAAATAAATAATTAAATAATTTTAAATATAATTTATCAAAATTCCCCCAAAAATCAAAATACATTCTGTTAAGAACACAAATAAGAGCCACCCTTAACTTACATGTGAACCAATGTTTGATTCATATCATATAAACTGACTTATGTTTTACTGGCATATCCTATGCTGCACAGGGGGAGTAATTTCAGCTGAAAATTGCCGCTCAAAGGACACTGCCTGTCAAAAAAAACTTTCCCAAAAATCCCATTTCTTAACAACTTTGCTCCACTAACTTCAAAATTACACCCATTTCTGCGTGTGTTAAGGTACTTGTGACATACATGTAACCACTTCTTTTACAAAATTTACCTCCTCTGTGGGTGACCCAGTTTAAGTGTTAAGTGTTTAAATGTTTGGCAAATCTTAAAAAATCGCCAGCAGGCAGATTACACTTTTTGTGACCAATTTATAATTGACAGTTGGCAAATGGCGACTTTAAAAAAATATTGGGTTAGGAACCCTGTTAAATAGATATATGAATTGTGACCAGCCTTGTGGCAACAGATGAATACCCTTGCTAAGGCAATTAGCAGTCTTAGGAGTACAATAAATAATGTTTCATTGCTGCAATAACAGTGATGAAATCTTTAACTTGCTTTAAATCACTTCTTAAATAAATCACACCCAGTCTTGCTTCCTTGTATTAATTTAACCCTTTGACCCCTAGGAATGATTAGCATCTAATTTCTCCTTACAATATCACACCTGAATCACACAGTAAAGTCATGAGAACAAAGGAAATGATCACCAACTAAAGAAACTCTTGATTGTTAAACAAATTCTTCTTATCAGCACTTTAGAAAATGGTTAGAGAACAATTAGGAGAATATGCATTCTGGTTTTAGGGTGTAGAGGGTTAAATGATGCATTTCTTCCCTTGCAGGCTTTTCTATGACTCACACACCCATCCCAGAGTCTGTATCCCCAAAGTGGGCGTGATTTCACCCCTCTGCTATCAATTCTACTCTCCCCACCCCCTGTTCTCCAATTGACCATGAATATGAAGTAAACTCTTCTGAGTCTTCACACATTTGAAAATCAAATAAAAAGCAAACATGAAAAGAAGCAGGTTGAAAGCATTGGAAGGCCTAATCCTTTCCATTTACATAATCAAGTTTTAGTACAACCTCAAAAAGAACTCAGGAAATAAAAAAGGACCTTACTTACTCAAACTTCCACTGAAGAAGAACCTGAAGCCATTTTCTAAAAATTTAAGTGACCTCAAACTTCCCAGCATCTCAAATTGTTTTTGTTTCCATTGAAAGGTTGTGTTAACGCTTAGATTCTACCATAAAGAGAGGTTGCTTTTAACTCTTCAACTCCCTGAAGAGATTAACATTTAACTTCTCCCTATAATATTCATACATAATCCAGCAAACAGGTAATGAGAATACCCAAAATTATCAGGTAGAAGTTGTCATAACTAGTTTAAAAGGAAATGTATGGTAACTAGAAGGGAAAAGTAACGATCAGACCTTTGTAGTTTTAGGGTTAAAAGGAAAAATTCAATCATTCAGTTGAAACATTTAAGTATAAATCAGGTATTTATGGAGCACTCTGCTGTGAACTGCTCCCCACACAGTCTGTCATGATTGGGCACTTTAGAACTCTGCCAAAGTAGTCCTTCTCTGCAGGATCATTAACTGTCCAAAGAACTACACTCACTCCATTGTTTTGCCATTCTCTTTGGTATTCTCTGCAGGAAAGAATATAACAGTATTGCAACTGCCACATAAACAACAGCATCAACAAAATGCATTAAAACACTTCCACAATTTATAATGGTAATGTTGAGAAAAGAAAAGCACAACAAGAAAAACAGATGGTAGCTGCAAGTACACTTCACCACAAAACCATGCACTCCTGACACAAACAGGAGTATCAAATAAAAATTTGTCTTTTGCAAAAAGTATCCTTAAATTCCAGGCCCTGGTTGTTTGAACAGTGGATAATGCCATCCACTGAATAAATCTCTACCCAGTGGATAGCACAGTGGATAGGGATTTATCCACTGGATAGTGATATCTGGCCTTTATACAACTGGACCTTGTGCAATTACTGCTACACTTGTACAAAACTGATCAATCTGGTTACAGGAATCAAGTCCATCATAATTCTTTGTCAGCTTGGCGTGCTGTGGTCTAGCCTGAGTATCTGATGGTTTTGTGTGTTTTTTGAAATGAGACAACAGAAAAGACACAAAGATACTATTTTCCATCTGAAAACTGTTGTGACTTTGATGCCCCTTTTTACTACACTGCTGCTTCATGCTTCAAAGCCCACATTGATTGGTCCCATTAAATGTAGTTAAATTCAATTCATGGCTAGTTTCTTAAAATTCAATTAGTTATATTTGTTTACAAGTGAACCTGGTAACAGTAGTGGCACTGTAACAAGATAACAGTTTTGAACTTTCGACTTTAATAACTTGAAAGTTTGAAACATGATATTTAGTGAAAATCTTCATTCAGGACTATGCAAGATTTTAAGCTGTCTTATGAAAACATTTACTCATATTCATCCATATCTTTGTTCATATGATCTGACTATTCCTGCCAAACAAATGAGGGTAACCACACCTTGAGAAATGCGCTGTATGAGACAGAAAGACAGACACTCCCAGTATGTCATAAACCCAGGAGTGAAGATGAAGCTCCCATATTCTGTCTAGCAGAGGGGCCAACAGTTGCTTCCACCACTCCTTGTATCTACATGGACCACAATAATCTGTAAGGGATATAAACATTTTCCGCCATGTGAGGGCTGTGAGAATATTTGGATCAGCTCGGCGTACCTAATGGCAGCAAAGAAAAATAATGTGGCACAGGATTAACTTCCAAAGAAGGAAGACAGAGCTAATTTTATTGAAAGTTGATTTGCTTGATGATAAGCCCTTAACAGTGGATTTTGGTGTGGACCTTAAATACTCAAGATCACTGAAAAAAAAAAAAAAAAACAATCACATCAATCTCTATAGATATGGTGATGTTAAATAATTGTATTTATTAAGAAGTAGTGCATTTAATGTGTCTGAATTAGGTCAGAAGAAGAAAAAAATTTCTCCATGGCTGGAATTGCCTAGAACCATTTCCAAGTAATTCCAGTCATGGAGAAATGTGCATAAAACACAAAAAGTTTGTCTCTTATAAGGAAGAGTTTTTTGTTAAGGAAGCTGTATCAATATGTACAGCTCTCTTCCCATGGATCAGTGTGTTTCTGTAGTATAATATGTCTATGTTTAACTTCTTACCTGAAAAATTACATTTGGATAGAATGAGCAAACTATAGCTTTGTCATACAGCTGGTGACTTGCAAATAAGTTTTTGAGGACACTTGCCGCCTGGTATAGGAAAATAAAAAATTGTAATTGAACCAAAGACTCATTCACTAACAATAGTAAAACTAGATCTTTTTTTATTTTTCCTCTGTCTCACACCATTATCAAACTCTGCAGCAAAAGAATACAAAATTTGAACATTTTAAACCAAAGAAACATTTGAACCACAACACATACAAGTGTAACATTTTGGCGACATACTTTTCCAGCTTGTGATGCTGCTTTCACATCAATATACATTTGTAAACCAAGGTTCACACAGAGATCTACAACTTCTTGAAGGTGTGGGATATGCTCATCTGGAAATTTTTCCCTACAAAAATATTGTCATGTTTCATGTCATGTTGCATCATTATCCAATGAAAAAGCTTGATAAGAAATGGTAAATTTGGCTTTTAAGTCAAATGATCTTCTTAAAGAAACCTACTGATACTTTTCAATGTGCCATCTCTTAAGTAAAATTTTTTTCAGAAAAAAAGAAATGGCACATGCATTGCAGTTATGAGAGACACTCTTAGCTCACCCAACTTTTCATTATATGCAGCTTGTTAACACCTCCATTCCAAAAGCACTTTTACTTAGTCTATTCCCCCCCGGCCATCCCCCAGGCATTTGAACTTTTATGGATTGGTTTATCCAAATTCCTGCCCCCTCCCCAACTGCAGGACCACCATTGCATTGAAATGCTCTATTCAATGGCTGCATTTATTAGTCAAATGTTCCTCCTGAAGAACCAAATGCTTTAAAAAATGGTGAGAGAAAAAAAAAAGCATGTAAATTAGTTTTTGACACTGCTGTTGGGTTTTCTGCTTGCAAGCATCATTCTATGTCATGAAAATTGGGAAAGTAACCTCTTTACCTTTGACTCCACCACATCAAAAAATAAACATGTGTATTCAATTGGAAATACTTGACACTTCCAGTTCAAATTCCCTACCCCACTCTGGCAAGGTTCAAATCCCCCCCCCCCCATCTTTTGTCAAATTCCCTATTCTCTATGCACAGACACCAGTCAAATGCCCATGAGTTGCCGGGGGGGAAGGGATTTAGAAGCTTTGAATTGATCAGCCCATCACAGTAGTAGTAACAAACGGGGGGAGTCATGATAATGTTTCACGCAAGAATTTAACAAACAAATCACGTGTTTTTTTCCACAGAATTTTTCGTGTCACGAGTTTAAAAGGGAAAACTTTCTACCTAATATTTTTCTTATTTTTGGCATTGTCAAGGATATAAGCTTCTCTTACCTATTGGGGTGTTTTGCTGAGGCGTTCAGTCTTCTAATTTCTTCGTAAGTAAAGTCGCGGACTTTACCGTGTCCATCTGTTGTGCGGTCTACGGTTGAATCATGAATTATTACTGGTACGCCATCTTTCGTAAAGTCCAAGTCAAATTCCACTCCTTGTGCTCCGTTTTCTTTCGCTAATTTGAATGCCGCCAAAGTGTTTTCTGGCGCTTCCAAACTACAGCCTCTATGACCGATGATTACGGGTGAACTTCTACTCAGCGCTCCTCTTCGGAGAAAACAGCTTACCGTGTACGGCGTAGGACGAGGAAATCGAAGCAAACGGTAGAGGATAAACATCATAACACTGAGAAAAATGAGAAGTATTGCAAAATAAATGTGTAGGCCGTACGACACTGCAGTAAGAGCCATTTCCACGATCATTACAAACATAGTGGGGCCTGGGAAAGAATATTGAAATATTGCTGCTCATTTCATGCACGTTTCTCAGTTGAAAGAATTTCACTAATTTACCCGATTTCTCGTTGTATTTGCCCCGTAAAATATTAATTAATGTGCGAGAATGAATCATGATTAACATTAGGTGACGTTACTTCAGTGCGGTTTAAACAAAACCAAACACAGCTAATATTTTATGCACATAGACGAGACGTCGATAATTCCTTCACCACTACATAAAGTACATAATAAGAGGCAAGTAAGCGCACCGCAAGGAAGCGCGAGACAGAGGAAGAGAAAATGATGAGGACACAAAATGAAACTATTTTGATCTCCGCATTCCGTTTCTTTTCACAGTAGCTGGAATAGAGTATTGTCAGCAGCGTTTTCTGACCTTTTGCGACTCCAACTCCCGTTAAACTTGTTGTACTTTGGAACTAATAAAAATGGGGTCATTATGCTACCAACAAAGTTGGCTTTCTTTCTCGGCTCTCGAAATTAAAAAAAATTTCTTTCTTGATTCTTATTAAAGCGATATCTTCTTGTTATACAATAAATCCTTTATTGACAAAGGTTGTTCATTCAAAATGGCTGGATATTGATTGAATGAACCGAATGAATGAAATGATGAATGAAATGAATGAAAATTGTTGAATTGATGAACCTTGACTTTCGTCCATAAAAACGCAAAAAAAGAACTCGGTTAATATCCAGCCATCTTGATCGCACACTTGGTCAATAACACATATTTATGATCATTTATTGCATGATACTAAATTTTTCAAACGTGATCGCGCTGTAATGCGCGTGTGCGAGTCGTGATCACGCGGGAAAAAAAAGACTACGTTGCCTTTACTGGACGAACCAGCTAAACTGGTCTCTGTTACATTACCACTGACCGCTAGGAGCGAGGGTTGAACATTGGTCTATCATAATTATGGCGTTTCTGTTAATAATTTTCATTCCAGCAATTTTACTGATCCTTTACCGAAAATTTCGTCTGCTGAAGCCTGACCCTGAACTCGTCAAGTCTTTTCTGCGAGGAGGCTTATCGGACAAATCACCAGGGTTAATCGCGCACAGAGGAGGATCGGCAGAAGCTCCTGAAAATACCTTGGCTGCTTTTCGATCGGCGAAAGAAAATGGAGCTATTGGTGTGGAGTTCGACGTTGATTTCACGAAAGACAGTAGGGCTGTTGTTATTCATGATGCTACCGTTGATAGGACTACGAATGGAAGTGGTTCCATCCGTAGTTTTACTCTGGAAGAAATTAGAAAATTGGATGCATCGGTGAAACATCCACTGAGGTAATTTAAAGTACAGAGGTCATATATTTTTTATGTGAGCGGATTGTAAATCAATATTAGGTAAAATTTCCGCACAGCTCCATCCTACATTATGCATTCAATTCTTGAACAGAGAAAACAATAACAAAAATAATACATTGCCTTTGGGAAAACAGATTTGTTTTACAATAGTATGGGGCTGTGCGGAAACTTCACCCAATATTATATACTGTGATTATGAAACTCATTAACCACTAGCGGATCTTTAGGATTAAAGGCTTAAGTGGTGAGTTTTTGATAACGTCGTGAAGCCTTCGTTCTCTGGAATCAGTAACTCGATCTCTTGGCTTGAAATGTTGTTTTCAAGTTTGTTTTTCATCTCTTATAATAGAATGCAACCGTTTCAAAATTGATGATTATTTTCAACGCTCTTAAGTCAAATGCGATATATATCGTCCGATGAGGCCAAAATCCAGAGAAATTTCTGAAAATAATATCAAGGTGAAAAGAGCTTTTTAACTAAACTAGAGTTTATTATCAATTTAATCAATTTTCCACAGTAATTGAAAATGTGTGGAAAACATGTAAAAGAATATTTGAAACTGAACTTGTCAATTGACAATTGGTTCATACGTCAATGTGTGTTCATGGAGATATGAAGCATGCAGGAAGTTTGGAGAGCATAAAAGATGCGTAAGAGTTGCTCGAGGCATAGCCAAGAGCAACTCTAGCTTCTTGAGTGCTCTTTAAACTTCCCAAGTGCTTCATATCTCGATGAACACGCAGCTGAGGTATGAAACAATTTTTTTATAGCATTTTCAACCTGATGGTTTTAATGTTGTAAAAGGGTTAATATTCCCTCTGCTACACTTCAGCATTGATAATTTTGTTTCAGGAAAACATTTCACTATGCTGTAAATGATCTTGTCTTAGATTGGTCAAAAAACTGACATGTGAATTCATGCATGTAAATGAACTTTATTTTCTGATTGAATACAAAATTCTCTAGGGAGTTGTTTGCTGACGTCATGAGCATGCACAATAGGAATATGAAACATGCTCACACAATTGAATTCGATCAGACAAATTTATGCGCTATGTTATAAATCATATTGAAAGCTGGTACACGTGGAGATTTAATATGAGTTGCTTAATTTTCCTCACAGAGAAAAATTCCCAGGAGAAAAAGTGCCTACCCTGGAAGAAGTTGTGGAACTTTGTTCAAGTCTTGGTTTAAAGATGATAATTGAGATAAAAAAAGGCACTGAAACACTTGAGGTAAGGAAAATTATCAGGGAAGCAAATGTGTATTTTTCTTTATTTTTATGAGGTAATTGTTTTTTCAGACACCTTTTCTTTTACAGTACTTCCAAAATGCTTATGAACAGCAAATTACATGTGGTCTGATTGATCTTGTTCCATCATCATGGTTTTCCATGGTGTTACCAAAACTTCAACCTTCTTTAACTCTTTACACCCCAACATCAGTATGCATATTCTCCTTACTGTTCTTCATACATTTCCTAAGGTGTTGACAAGGAGAATTTGTTTTACAATCAAGAGCTTCTTTATGTTGGTGATGATTTCCAATATTCTCTTGACCTTAATGCGTGATTCAAGGGTGATAGAGTAAGGAGAAATTAGATGCTAGTCACTCTTAGAGGTCAAAGGGTTATTTAAACTTGGCTGAGTGTTGCAACTGAAATTTGGCATTGAGAGATGTGATGTTGAGAAGCAAAACAAAGCAAACAGCCACAAGAAGTTACAGTTGTTTGGTAATCAACTTGAAAGAAATTGATTTCAGAAGACATGGAAACTGGTTTAGGATATGTTGTTCTGCTTTAAGTTCAGGGTCAACTACTGCAACTTTCCTCTTAGTGAGGCTTCCCTTCTTGCAAAAATACCAACTAGCATTTGAAATAAAGTGGGTGCATCCTTGTCCAGTTAAGAATAAGGTACTGATCACAGGGTAAAGAAAACATCTCTGGTTCATTGTAAAAAAAAAAAACGATTTCAAGTCTTGCTTTAAGTGTTGTTTAGGCCATTCTAGAGAGGTTCTCTGGGGTGCTTGTGTGTTATTACACTGAATCATTTGTTTGTTATTTCAGACAGCTCAATATCTGAAGAATCTGTTCTCAAGCTATCACCTGTATGATAAGGCCCTTGTGTGCTGTTATTTTCCCAGTGTTATTTATCAGGTAACCCCGTTAAGTTATACTGATTAAAATGATAAGTGATATATGTTATAATTTGAACAATGTGCATCACTGCTGGAGTATTTCTTAAGAGGTGATAAGGATGAAAATCTGAGGATCTGAGCTTCAGAATAGTTTATCCAGCCTATCCCTTTGTCCATGGGATACTGATGAGGAGAGAATGAGTTGGTGAGGGGAGAATGATGGTTCTCAGGAAATAGCTCTCCACCACCACTTTAGTGCATGTAGGCTTTTCTGCTTGTTTACATCAACCAAGAGCTTGACACAGGCCAAAGAATATCCTTAAGCAAGTATATTGAAGAGACAGATGACATGCAGCTTTTCCATTGTGTCTGAAATTAGATTTTAAACATAAAATTGGTCTAAAATTATTCCATAATAACCATCCTGGCTTTTAAAATTTTCAGGTACGAAAGGTGGATCCACAAATTGTGACAGCTCTAGTATGGTGGAGGGATACTCTGAGTTTTATTTTGACAGGAGGGAAGGAACTATTTGAGATCAAGAGTTCCATTAAAGTATCGGTGTTGAGTTTCTTTGATAGACTGTGGGAATCACTCTTGCCTTGGTTTCTTGATTTTGTTGGCGTTCCCATTCTGTCTTGTGCCAAGGAGCATGTGTGCAAGTAAGTCATTTGTCTGGCTTTACCCTTAAACTCCCAAAAGTGATTACCATGCAACTTCTCCCTATAATATGTATACATTATACAGCAAACAGATAATGAGAATACTCAAACTTCTCAGGTAGAAATTTTTATCTTGATCTAACACCAAATTCTTGCAACTAATTTACCTGTTTGGTCACCTTTTAAACCCTAAAATCAGTATTTATTACCTCCCTACTTTCCTCTATGCATTCTGTTTGGTACCAACAAGGAAATTTTTTTTTCACAACCAAAGCTTCTTAGGTTGGCGATCATTACCTTTATTCTTGTGATCTTAACAAATGATTTGACAGCAGTATTGCTGTAGGGAGAAATTAGATACTGGTCACTTTAAGGGTTTAAAGGATTAATTTTCGGACTTGTTACTAATCATATTTATCATCAACATCTTTGTCATCGTCATTTGTTGACAAATTATGCTGTCTGTTTTCAGGGACATGTTGGAAATGTGGAGTGAGCAGGGCATTCAAGTGGTTGCTTGGACTGTCAATCACAAGGAAGCAAAGGAATTCTTTAGAGACTGTCTCGATTGCCCCATTATAACTGATTGTGTTCTGAGTGAGTCTGTCTGGAATGAACAGATGTGAATTGCAGGCAAATTCACAACTGTTCAGCCAGTAAATTGCCAAACTTTATTTCTATGAGGTCTTATTTTTTTATCCATTTGTTGAGGAATTTCTTTAGATAGGGAACAAAAGCTTTGAGATTGCACACAAAGGGATAACATTTGAATAAGGATAAATGAAAAGATTTCTATTTATTCTTGTAAAATGTAAATTCAATAATCAAATTTACTTCAGTCTGTGACATTTGTCAATGAGATCAATTCACTTCAGTGTCTGAAGTGCAAAATCGAATGTTTTATTTTCAAATGGCATTTTTCAATTATAAGGTAACAAATTACTTCCAATTACACCCTCAGTGTTTTATGTTAACACAACTTAATTTATGTATACACAGCTGTGTGCATTGATGTTCAAATATATTTCCACATAGATGGAATAGTATATTGCACTGTGGATGATCAGTTTTTCAGTTGTTTAAACATAACTTAACTTATTTATACAGAGCAGTATGCACTGAAATTAAAATATTTGTCTTCTCTGTTTGAGGAACTGAAGTCTTTTTTTTTAATGGTGGAAGTATTTTCAAGTTTCCAAGTTTTCCAAGTTTTTTTTTTTCACACTGTTTACAGAAAAAAATAACTTAACATAACATGATTTACAATGATATAGAAAAAATAAAAACAGAAATTAACTAGAAGAAAGGATATTTAATCGTATACAGTGACCAAAGTAGCTAATGAGCTTTCAAGTTGGTCACTGTTGGTCACTGTTCAAAATTGAGGTAGTGGATTTTTTTGGTCACTCAGATAGAAATTTGTCCCCTATAAATATCCCCATACTTCCAATGTGTTATTTTTTCAGGTGGTAACCTGTACAATTTACTGCCTGTTGTACCTCTTATTCTTGCCTAAAATCGCTTGGAATTTTTGAAAATTCAGCTGGTATGAGGAGTGCTTAACAAGTTGAAACCATTTCTTTTATAAAAAGCTTAATAATACCTTGATACATACAAACTAATTTTAACTTGAAAGTGTCATTTAAACTTAAATGATATGGAAAAAAATGAAATTAAGGAAAATGAAAAAATGAAATTTCAAATTGAAAATCTGCTCTCTAGATTTCACCTCTCTTCTTGTTAAAATATAAAACAACAACACAATAAACTTATTTGCATTCTGTTATCCAAAAACATTACTCAAAAAGGGTAAAAAAAAGTCTGGTCAGTGTCTTGACTTTGAATTTGAAGTACATCCTGGTTGTGGAGGTCTCCCATGGTCAGGGCTTACCACTCAAAAAGCTGGATAGACTTGTCAGCTTGCAAGTCATCATCACACATCATTAATCAGTGTATTATCAGACACTCCATCTAATTCCTTTCGTAATTCAAGAGAGGAATCTCTTCCAATATTGTTATTACAACTAACAGTTCTGGCAGTTTCATTTCGAATCTGCTTCAGGAAGGACATAAGATCTGCAAAAACAAACAAAGAAAAACTTGCCATCAGTAGATAGAAGCTTCATAACATTTCCTTTTTGTCGTATAATTTTAATGTGTTAATCAAATTATGTAGGTTTATTGTAAACTTGTGATAATTTTAATTCTCTGGCAGCCTTGTGAATCATATTATGGTGTTATATCAATTGAGAGTCAGTGAAATATTAGCTAAGAATGTGATTCCATTATTATAAGTTGTGCATGGATTATTCACTTTCTCACATGACAACATGGTAATATAACCCAATTACAATTAACAATAGTTTATTATGAATATTTTTCAACTTGTGACTGTGAACATAATGTTGATAGAGGAAGCCATGCCTCACCAGACCCTCCTGTGCCAATCAAGGCCTTTCCCTTCTGCTTTGTATCTTTTCCTCTGTTTGATGGAATAACGATGTATCTAAATATAATGTGAGCAAAAATTGAATTGTGTATTGTATATGCTCATATCATTTTAGCAAGCAAAAGGTTAACTGCATTAAGCTTAAATATGAACACCAACAACAACAGAATTATTACTTCTGCTGAATTTTTCCATCCTCAAAAGAGATTTTTAACCTCTAATCCCAGAAGTGTTTCACATCTAACTGCTCCCATTTGATATCCTTACAATATTCAGCAAACAGGTCATGCAAATACTCAAACTTATCAAGCAGTTATTGTCTTGATCTAACACCAAATCCTTGTGACTAAATTACAAGGAAATGTGCAGCAGCTGGAGGGAAGAGTTAACACTCAACTTCGGAGTAACATGGTTTAAGTAAAAGTGGATTTCAATCATAATCAACACCACCATTCCAACATCTGTCTGATCTGAATGGGAAATTTCTGATTAATCAGGAATTACTAGAAAAGTTTGCATGAAAGACTAGAAACCTTGGAAGCCATTGCTACCAATAGTTGTTTAAAGAATTATCTGCATTAACTCTTAGATAACCAATATGTTGCATCCATATTACAGGTACCCCTCCTCCCTCTCCTGGGGGGGGCTATTTGGCTATGAGAGCCAAACTGCATTCCTTTATTAGAGAAAAAGCATTCCTGAAACTTGTGATTATAACTGAAAGATGAACAAAGCATCTTTATTGCCTTTGAAATGTAACGTGACCACTAATGCACTGTTAAAACCTTAAATTGTTTTGGGTGGTCTCAGAACACATATTCTTCATACTGTTCTCTATACATTTCCTTAGGTGCTGATGAGGAGAATTTGTTTAACAATCAAGAGCTTCATTTGTTGATGATCATTTTCTTTATTCTTGTGACCTAAATGTTTGATTTAGGGGTGATAATGTAAGGAGAAATTGGATGCTGGTCAAAGGGTTAACATGCTGTAGTGGAAATGCATGAATTCCTTATTCTCCATAACAATGGTAGTAAATACTCATGTGGGAGAAGCATGCCTCTGCATCTAGTGTGCTACAACCCACTAACCTGGCTACAACTTGCAAATGCACATTTCTAAAGTCTGTTAATTTTCCCACACAGAGATCATACTCCCTAGTGAGATCAGGGTCTCCACTTGCAAGGACTATTTTGAATGCAATATGTACACAGATTAGAGAAAAGGTAATTGACAATCATTATGTTTTCATGAAAACATAGTGTCCATTTGGGTGGACTGTAATCATATTGAGTGATGATCAGAATCAGAGTTTTCGAGCACCTGGCTGGATCCCAATTAGTTTATCATGAGAAAATTATTACTAAGCAAAAAAAAAAGTGTTATGGATGGTATTGTAGGAGAAAAAGCCCTATTACCCACATTACAAAGAAAACAATGATAAAGTTTGAGAAACAAAATACCAATGAGTAAAACCAACAAAAAAAATTTTCTCTTGCAAGGGTGGATCCAGGATTTTTCTTTTTTTTAGCAGGGGGTGCACCACTAACAAATGGTGCAACTGATGGGTGACATAAACAAATCTTAAAAGTGAACAAGGAAATGAAAGCTTAAGGCAATAACATGATTTTAACTGCTGAGAATACAAAGCAAATGATACAGATGCAAATTTTGTGTATCTGTGAAGTTATATTAGAAAGCTGCAGGTCATCTCAGGGGGGAGGGTTGTATACCCCTTTCATCCCTTTCCTAGATCTGCCCCTGTCTTGCTTTGTCATCATAAGCTTATAAACTATACACTAACCATAGTTTCTGATTGATGGCCCTTTTGCCACAGCCTCTATAAATGCACGGTGTTTAGGTGGCATGTAGTAACGCATTCTTTCTAAAAACTGACCACCTGAACTTGATTCTGAATGTAAACAAATCAAGATCAGAAAAAAAAATATTCAGTTTTTGAATGACTCAAACCAGCTCCAAAGGCAAAATAAGGGAAAGCAAAACCAATAACCAACTTGTAACCAGTCTGATTTTCTCAAAGGTTGCAGGGACAGGGGTTTGGGTTGAAGAGAGATTGGGATGTTGAAGTGTCCTTGATGCAACAGCTGAAATATAGTCACCAAGTGCCTCACATGCACTTAGCCTTTTGGTACTAATTATAATTTTGATAGAATTTAAATTTTGTTTGTTTGACACTTTATAAGATGGACGATCACTACTGCAAGAAGTTGGCCAAAGGAACCTGGTAAAAGATCAACACCACTGGGATTCCTCAGTTAATTACTTATTTTGATTCAGTGTTATATCACAGTGGTTTGCTGGCTTATCAATGCCTCACGACCTTATTTCTTACTCTTCTGAAGGCTTGTAGAGGAGATAGTACCTTCAGAGTTACTCTGGTACTAGGGGTCTACAATGCTTCCCTGTGGATCCAAATCAGTTGTGCACCCAGCTAATTGCAAACCTTTCTTTGGGTTAAAAATTTACCTGTTTTTGAATGCAATACACCTAATACAGCATCTAGAGTATGAAATATTGAAGACTCTGCAGCACTTCCTCCAGAATACTAAAAGCAACACATAAAGTAGTAAAATTAACTCCTGCATGACAAATGAATAAGATTATGGGGGTAAAGTGCATTCATCAAGTTTGTTGGTATAGAGGAAAGTTCATGGGGGAAGGTATGAAGTATGGAGGGATTAAGCAAGAGAAGATTAGAGGTAGGGAGGGAGAGAAAACATCAGAGGTAGAGGGAGGGAGAGGTTCTATGAAGGGGTCCACTGGTCTAGGTTCTAATGGAAAGAGGGAATGAGGAAGGGAGAGAGGGAGGAGGGAAAGGAGAGAGGGAGGAGGGAAAAGAGAGAAGGAGGAAGGGAGAGAGGGAGGAGGGAAAGGAGAGAAGGAGGAGGGGAGAGAGGGAGGAGGGAAAGGAGAGAAGGAGGAGGGGAGAGAGGGAAGAGGGAAAAGAGAGGTGGAAGGGAGAGAGGGAGGAGGGAAAAGAGAGGTGGAAGGGAGAGAGGAAGAAGGGAAAGGAGAGAAGGAGGAAGAGAGAGAGGGAGGAGGGAAAGGAGGAAGAGAGAGAGGGAGGAGGGAAAGGAGAGAAGGAGGAGGAGAGAGCGGGAGGAGGGAAAGAGAGGTGGAAGGGAGAGAGGAAGAAGAGAAAGGAGAGAAGGAGGAAGGGAGAGAGGGAGGAGAGAAAGGAGAGAAGGAGGAAGAGAGAGAGGGAGGAGGGAAAGGAGAGAAGGAGGAGGAGAGAGAGGGAGGAGGGAAAGAGAGGTAGAAGGGAGAGAGGAAGAAGAGAAAGGAGAGAAGGAGGAAGGGAGAGAGGGAGGAGGGAAAGGAGAGAAAGGAGAGAAGGAGGAGGGGAGAGAGGGAGGAGGGAAAAAAGAGGTGGAAGGGAGAGAGGAAGAAGGGAAAGGTGAAAACGAGGAGGACAATATATGCATGGGCCTCAGCACTGTCAGAAAATAGGCAAGATAAACAACTTACTTGCAGAGGCATCTCACTAACACCTTCATAAATAAGGCCATCTGGTAAAGCTGGGTTGTTAAGCCACCTGAAATTCAAGGAATGCCCATTTCAAGATTACACAAAATGTTCTATAAATGAGTTCAGTTTAATACAATATTCTATACAATGTTTAATACAATGTTCTACACATGAGTTCAGTTTAAATTCAATTTCATTTAGTATTTTGACTGTTTGCTCTTGGTTTCAATTTCATGTTAAGTATTCACTCAAGACAGTGAGTTAGGTCTTGGTAATACCCTCTATATAACAATCATAGTAATTATCAACTTTATCTTTATCATAATCTGAAAATCATCCTAAGTGAAATATATTAATTAAATTGATTTTAAAAAATTTAAACTGATGAGACATTTTGAACCACAGTTATAGTTATGGTAAATTTTTTCTCATTATTGTACCAGATTTATATTCTCAGCCAATTGAAGGGAGCTGTTATTGCTGAGAATGCATTTGAAAAGCAGTCTGAGGTAATATAACTACACCTATCAGTTGACTTAAACTTTAATTTGTTTCATGCATAGTGATAAAATACAGGATTTTCCAAAAAGTCACTAAAACTCTAAAAACATCGACCTCCATTGATTACCCAGAAAGATATATTCTCAGTTCATTGTAAAATTCCTCAGGATCACAAACATCTGCAAATGAAATATGACAAAAACCTTTGAAGTTCAAAACTAATTACAATGATGAGGGTGTTGGACAAAACACTGACTCCCAGTCCATGGATAAAACAAAACACTGACTCCCAAGTCCGGTAGTTACTAAAACAAGGAATGACCTAAAATGACCTAAATCGGCCTAAAATGACCTAAAATGATCTAAAATGACCTAAAACGACCTAAAATGACCTTGAGTGATTTCTAAAATGACCTAAATTAACCTAAAATAACCTTGAGTGATTTCTAAAATGACCTTAAACGACTTAAAATGACCTCTAGTTTGCGGCGCCGACAAAATCTGGATCGGATCGGATCGGATCGGATCAGGTCGGACTGGATCGGATCATGGATCGGATATCGGACCGGATCACGGATCGGATCAAGGACCGGATCACAGATCATGGATCGGATCATGTAACATAAAATTAGAAATTTTGTGCAAAATAGAGCACAGGCCCCACTGGGATTTTTTTTTGCCCAAAAACCCCATGTAGTCACTTTCATGGCTCTGTCGAGGAGTGTTGTGTAATGCCACCATGCACGAAGGCAAGCGAGAAGTACGCATCATTTCATCAGTCAGTTAAGAAAAACGCGACACAATCCTCAGTTGCTTCTTAGGGTTCTTGAGCTTCTTTCGCTGCTGACGCGTGAGGCACGTTGGAAGCCATAGTTCGCAAACTAATCAACCTATGTGCTCCACATTGCAAGGTCAAAGTCTCGAGTGTTATTCGAGACGCGTGACTTCCTACGGACCCCTACAATATTCAACCAACGAGAGGTTATTTTAGCGACATTTGCTTTGTCACGCATTCCTCTCAATACCATTTGCGTTTTGCGGCTGTTCGAGATCAGTGGAGTTGCTAAATTGCCGCTCAGATCGAAGACAAACCGAAAAAAAAAATAGAAAACCCGTTTGAATTTTGAGGAAACCGAAAACCAAATGCTGAACCACGTAAAATTAAATCCGCAAACCGAAATGAACAATCCGATCCGATCCGGTTCAACCAATCCAGATTTTGTCGACGCCGCATTGTTCACATCACACAAGGGCATACTAGGTTACTTTAGGTCATTTTAGAAATCACTCTAGGTCATTTTGGGTCATTTAAAGTCATTTTAGAAATCGCTCAAGGTCACTTTGGGTCATTTTAAGTCATTTTAGAAATCACTCAAGGTCATTTCGGGTCATTTTGGATCATTTTAAGTCATTTAAGAAATCACCTTAGGCCATTTTAAGTCATTTTAGGTCATTCCTTGTTTTAGTAACTACCCTCCCAGTCCATATTTAAACAGTTTTTTTTTGTTAAAAGTCAAACATCAACTTTAAGGCAGAGAGAAGATAATATCTGAATCACACATTAAGGTAGAGAGAATAAAGGAATTGATCAACAACTAAAGAAGCTCCTCATTGTTACACAAATTCTCCTTGTAAGCATGATAAGAAATGCATAGAAAAGGGTATGGAGAATATGAATGCTGATGTTAGGGTGTACAGTGTACAAAGGCCCATTGAAGATCCAGTCAGAATTTTTTCTTTGCAAAAACAGGCAAACTGACTGAAGTGGGGGTAACACTTGTGGACAAATTGCAATTAATATTTAATTGAATTTGAATTTCATTTAGTTAACATAAAGGTGTGAGTTTTTTTTTTTTTAAGAGTAAAGTACAATTAAATGAAAACCAAATGAATACAGTCCAAGATCATGACTTTAACAGTCAATTAAAATTGCTTTAAGAGCCAATTATTTTACAAAGTAGCTAGAAAGATCGATACCAACCATAAATATGTAAAAATGATTTCTTAAGCTGGACTATTGTTTCTTTTAATGACATCAAGGCTTTCAACACCCCTTCAGTGTCATTATTTACAACAGCCTGGCAAAAAACAAAACAAACAAACAAACAAATTAAAAAAAAAAGGATTAGGAAACTGATTTGTGACAGTGACAGTGAGTTCCTCAAGGGCCAGAAATGTAAGAGAACAACAAAGGCACAATTGGTTGGCAGTTTTCTTCTGAGAGGGCAGCACAAGTTTTCTGGACTAACCAAGCAGAGTGTGGAAGAATGGTTGCTATCCCAGATTACTTTTAGCACTTAGATAAAAAGTGCTCCATGACCTGAAGGTAGTCCATGCAAGCAAATACATAGATCACAGCTGGTTTGACCCTTCTCAGTCCTTCATTGTCAGCAGCGAAAGTTTACAAAGCTCAATGTGGTTCATAAAATAGAAAAATATCTTTCTATGATTGACAGATAATGGTTACCTGTGATGAAGTGTGCTCCCTTGTGTTAATAATTATCAAGTTGTAGCATCGGGGCCAATTTTCTTACCTTTTGTCCACTGGTAATGCTCTAAAAATTAACACAATTAAAAGAGCTGGATGTTATGAAATTAAAACAAATATTTAGAATTAATTTACTCTGTATTTGGTGTTCAGCAATTCATCCTTGCAGAGTGGTAATGAACTCAAATTGGGGTGATTTCATAACTAGACCTACAAAGCATCCTTTTCCAAACTCTGCCTCCATCTGAAGAGGAACTTTAAGAAACCCTTCTTCTGCCTGTGATCCAGTGATATTAACTGAAAGCTCAATGTTACTGAAAGAAGAATTCATCAGTAGGAGTTACATCCTTTGAAGTAAACACAGCTTCAATTGCAACAGTTTGATAACAGAAAAAAGAAAAAACAAAAACAAAAAAAAGGAAAAGAGAATTAATAGGAATTAAAAAGTATATAAACTACCCCTTAGCTATATGCCTAAACAATTTCTCCAGAATTTCCACTGAAATATTCTCTCAGACTCCTTGAGAGTCTCAGATGTTGTATAGAGATTTCAAGCAATTCCAAAATTTTTTTTTAAAGGTCTCTATGTTAATCATGCTACATGCTGATAATTCAATTGATCATAGGCATTCAATAAAAATTATGATGTTCATACTATCCCTACCCCATCTGTGAAAGAGTATGATAAATGCTGTCACTCAAAACAGGTGTTGATCTACATATGGCGATAATTTGCCATAATCAATCTGTTGACCATCAAGAGTGACCAGCATTTAATTCCTTCTTATTATAATATAATCCCTGAATCACACATGAAGGTCATGACAGTAAAGGAAATGATCAGTAACTAAAGAGGCTTTTGATTGTTGAACAAATTCTCTTTGTCAGCCCCTTTAGGAAGTGTACTGTGAACAGTATGGAGAATATGCATAATGATATCAGGGTGTAAAGGGTTAATACTTACTCCATGCTGAAAGGCCTCCAGTTTTTAAATGTTGAGCCAAAAAAAAGGGAAAGAAATACAATTAACAGCAGGCACAAAAAATCAGTTTGAAACATAAAATGTCTATTTTAACTGCCACCCATTTGTGACAATTATCAAAGTGCTATTATTATTCCTAAGAGTAACCTTACTTAGTGATAAGTTTATTGTTATCTACAAATATAATCATACTAATACTACTGGAAATTATAAGAATGTACATTATTCCTAGAGGTCAGTTGATCAACCCCAGTGCCTTTTAAATACCACACCCCTACCCCTCTTAAAAGGGAAATGTTAATTCCTATGGAGAAAACAACTGGAGGGTGATGAGTTGTGTGCAGAACATCTGACTTAATTGAGCAAAATTAAAAGCAAATTTTGATATTCAGTAAATGCTCATGGATAAAGTGAATTTGAACTTCAGAGTTGGTGCTCATCATAAGACTTCCAAGTTAAAACACAGGAAGTTCTATTTCATAAACTTGACAAAGCTTACCGTTTGGGGTCAATATATCTCCAATTATAAAGCGCAAAGGTTGAGTGTGTTATCACAGGAGGAATATCTAAAGTTATGTAAAAATAACAGTAAAATAAATTACTTTTTTCCCCCACCCCTCCCACCACATATCCCAGCACCATCCACTCAGGCTAAAAAACAAGAGGAAAGTTGTTTTTCAATCCAAAATAGACAAATTGCTAACAGAAACAGAAAGGAGACCTTCAGAAAAATCCAAACCATGACTACACCAGCTGACCATGCAGTTTCACTGAAACAGATTTCAGATATAATAAATCTGTTTGTGTCAACCCTCCATTCAAAAATCCATGATTACCAATAAGGGGCCATTGCCCCTCCATGGTAGAAAATCAGGCTTAATTCTTATGGCCTTCTTGGTTTTTTCCAACTGGAAGATTTTTTCCTCTCCTTCTGGCAAGCTGCCTGAATCCAACAACTAGCACTTAAAATGACAGGGCTGGAGGAGGGGTGGAAATGGGTGTGGATCAAAAGACTGATTACTTAACCCTTTAACACCCAAGATCTGATTATTTAGTCTCCCCTCAAGCTACGACACATTTCCCTGTAAATTAGTTATGAGAATTTGAGACTAGATTTATGATAAAACTTCTACCAGATAAGTTTGAGTATTCTTGTTTAACTTTGCTGGATAAAGTATTTATGCTGTGAGGAGAAGTTAGATGTTAATCACTTCTGGGAGTTAAAGAGTTAAAGGGGCAATAAAGGGGTCGTTGATATAAATTTGAACAGAAAAATAAGCTAATTGTATGTAAAACAGAGAAGAAATAACAGAAAGTTATAATGCAGCCAAAATATTATATCGCATATGATATTGGCATTTAATAAATGCATGAAATACTAAAAGGGCCAATGCAGACCTAGATGCTTAGCCACTGAAACCCAAGGAACAGCCAATGACTTTGGAAGAATCTGAAACCAGCCATGAAAACACAAATCAAACCAAATATCAAAATCATTACAAACATAAACAAGAAGATTTTTTGAAACACAGTTAAGTTTAACTCCAATCAAATTTTAAAAACCAAATTTCAAACAGTTAAATGGGAAACGCTTTCTTATTCCCATTTAACAGAATTTCATCTTAGTAGTTGAAGGGCATAACCCTTTCTAGTTAAAGGGCTTGGCCACTTAATGGGTATCGGAATGCTCACTCCAGCTGAGGCTGACTTTTTTACATGCTGCCACTCCAGAGGGGGGTTAATTTTGCTCTCTCTAATTATGATCTTACCTTGGCGACACCCCTCTCTCCTTTGCCACTCCAGAGGGGGGTTAATTTTGCTCTCTCTAATTATGATCTTACCTTGGCAACACCCCTCTCTCCTTTGCCACTCCAGAGGGGGGTTAATTTTGCTCTCTCTAATCATGATCTCACCTTGGCAACACCCCTCTCTCCTTTGCACCATACATATGCATGGGATATGCATGTAAGAACTAATTGAGCTCTCTTCCACTCATCTTCCGATGAAAGTTTGTTATGGTCCAACAAAGGGAGCTATTGAATAAAAACAATATCATTCAGCAATAAAACAGCTGTCAAAAACATTTACTGCCTGGTAATTGTTGAATCTTCATGATCTGTGTTCTAATATAACATACTGAACTATCCAATTAGAAATATTTGAACAGGTGTAAAATTGTAAGGATAGTCTACATGTATGTGTACCAAGTGGCCCATCCAGTTTGGACTTAGCTAAGTTTTTGTAGCATGAAGTGATCAGCAGTTTTTCCTTGCAGTCCCTTGCAAGTTCCTCCCCCCCCCACCTCCACCATTTTATCAGGCTTCCCTGACAGTTCACTGGTGCACATTAAAATTTCTGGGTGGAGTGAGGCACTGTAAGAATTAGTGAACAAGGGGATAACTAGAGAGGAAAGGGTCCAGGGGTGTCCATAACCCTCCTTCATAAGCCTTTCTAAAGCAAACAACCTACAATATTCAGGTGGCGAAAACTGATGAGAACCCTCCCTTTGAAAATTCCTGGCTATGCCCCTGATGATGAGCCTTACCCAAGAACACAACACAATGACCCACCTAAGTTTTGAACCCCCATCTCTAGACCAGGATTCCAGTATGCCAATCTTTTGCCCAGAGTGTTGTATCATTTAATTCAAGAAAACTCCCAGCATTTGACAAAAGCAACATTTACGAGTGATGGATCTGATTCCTTACTTACTTGTTTGATCTGCTGACGAAAAAATTCTCCCTCTTTAACCAGTTGAGGTAAATTTCTGGCTAATTTTTCCCAGGGAGAGAAGTATTCTGGCAAGCGTTGCTACATTGATCAAATAAATGACTGTAAATATAAGAAAATGCAAGAAGGAACGAACACAACAAATCTGTTGAAAAGTTCAAGGTTTTCAGTCATCGTTGTGAACGGGCCGAAATATCAAACTGTTCAGGTCTCACGAGATCCTCACAACCATTTCGCGAAGACATTTAGCGACGTCTTCCCTTTGAAAGAATTCACTACGATGGGACTTATGTACTTACTAGAGGTTCCCTCTCTGGAAGAAATCCTAAATTTGGGGATACATCAAATTGCAGCGGTGTTGGAACAAATTCCATTTCCGCTTCATCGTATTTGTTGGAGACCGTGTTATGTGGACAGCGATTGCATGAGGTGAGAGGGGGGGGGGAAGGGTGAGAGTTTGAAAAGACACGCAAACACGAGCTATTTATGAGAATTTGGAGGCGCGTCAGGAAATCATCCTCCAAGTGACGTTTGTATCAAGTTTTTCGTCATTACTTGAAATCATGAACGATTGAGTTCCTTTGCAATTTTTGTTCAACCTGTTCGTTATTTCACAGAATCAACTTGCGGTTAAATTGCTGCTGATCTCTATCGAACACTGAGCGATTACTTCAAGAGAGGTAGAAACTCTATAGATGTTTGATGCAAAGGATGGGGGTTTTTTTTTTAGGGATCCTGAACAAACGCTTAGGTGCAGATACTTATATACAATCTGAAGTAAATTATTAGTACCTGTCAAGAACATTCGTGATATATTTTCATTACATTAATCAGTTTTAGCCTCATAAAGTAACTTGTAAAATAAATACTCTAATAAGAGGTAAAGAACCCATGCCTGCAGTCAGCGTGACCTCATGAACCAGCCCTTCATGTCAAATAATGGTCATTAGTAGTCCTACGGTATACCGCAAACAGCGCTAAGATGCTTTCATTATCTTTTATATAGATTCTGAAGAACAAAGGGAAAAAACAATACAAAAGACCTGGGAGAAATGGAGATTAATCCCCCAGTGTTACATACGCGATTACGCAAGATTGCCCGCCCCTTACAAAATCTATCTGAAAGACGTGTAGCAACAACAGTTTGGCAAATTGTGCTGAAGATTATTCCTTACGATTTAAAGCAGTCTTTGAAAATTTTACTTTAGGTAAGCATCGGAAGATCGACTGCAACAAAGGTTGATGCTTTTACCATCGAAGGATTTTTAAAAGACTGCCAGGGAACGTTCTCGAGATTTATTTTTACACGTTACACTACGTATTCAAGCCCGCCATTTCCGGTCAAACCTTACGTGATTTTATTTGGCCTCGTTTTCATAACGAGTGCTCGATGCCTATAAACTTGGCGTGAGTACTTTTACTGGGAAAATTCATCACATCACGCATTTGTGTATTACTACGTGAACGATCGTGTCTGTGATACATCAGTGTTAAAAACCGTAAAATATGATAGGAGAAGGGTACAAGAAAATGCCTTCAAGTGTATCTAGCGTACCTTTAATAAGGTGGGTATAATTTTCCTCTTAATTAAGAGCTTACTTGACCCTGATATGGCAGTATGGCACTTCATGGATTGCAAAATAATTGTCTGTGAATCAGAACAAACACAGTGCGGTTATCATTTGCGTTTCAGTCGCGGTATGGGTATAATGTCGATTGTTAATTTGTCAAGTGTGTATTTTCAGTTGATTGGGCTTCTATCGTCATATTCGTTCGATGGCGAGGTTCGAGCGAGATCGAAATTTTGAATGATCAGAAGTAAATGTTGATTTCCGTGATGGAAACAAACTTTGAAAACATTATACAGTCCGATCCATCTACATTTTGTAAAGACATTTTAATGAATGTAATTAATTTTGGTTAACCCTTAAATGTCGTTATGAAGAAATTCACACATAAATTTTCAGTTTCTATCGAAAACAGTGAAAATTACCAACAGTGCATGCAATCCAACCCTGTGGTATACCCTCGGTGTTTTTTTTTAAACTTGTTTTCAAAATTTTAGAACCGTTTAAACATGACTTGAAAAAGTTACTGTATATTCATTTGTTTTTTTGTATTTATTCTTGATAGATTTGATAATGTAGTATTGTCTTGGCCATCAGCAAATCAGCACAGTTGTAGTTATTGATAGTATGTGGATACATTTGCATTTCCTTTCACAATTAACTTCTAGCATTGAGTACTGTGCATTGTTCCATGGCATGGCACCTTACCATAACTGTTCTCCTCCTTTCCCAGGAATTTATAAGAGGTTTTATTACGAAATACAAATAGTGAAATAACTTGGACAGGTGTGGCATCTGGTTCAGATGAAACCATGATTTGTATAGAAATACTTATTGTAAGGGAAAACATTAGCCTGGTTCTAATTTATTCTCATAAATATGCTACACTTGGCTAAACTGATGATAATTGCTGCACTTTTTAGGCCGTCAGTGTTTAGACAAGTCACAGATTTTGCAAATGTTTTTAAAGCATTTATTGGAACCAACTGGATTGGTCTGCCATTTGCTTTTAAACAAAGTGGAATTGTGGTAAGTCAAAAGTTAGCTGCTTATTGATAAAACTGTTTTATTGCAGTATATTTGTCAACAAAAGTCTCCTTTAGGCTATGGATGGTGAAGAGGCCATTTTGAACTACATGATGTGATTAAAAAAATGTCCTTGTTTAAATTGTCTCAAACCATCTTAATTTTTACTTTTTTAAATTTTTTTTTTTGGTTAACATTTTCTGAGTGGTACTGTACAGATATCAATCAAACAATAAAGTTAATGTTGATCATTTCTTTTCAGCTTGGATGTGTGGGAATCCTTATCATTGCACTCATCACAGATCACTGTTGCCAGTTGATCATCAAGTGTAAGAAAGCCGCCGTTCAAATTGTTCTAGACTCAGCCCCAAAGTCAGATGATATTGAATCCCTGGATACAGACATGACTGACATGCGAAACACTGTAGAGAAAAGGATGTTTTTTGGAGAAATTGGTAGAATTGCTTTGGGCAAGAAGGGAGTGTTCCTTGTAAATGCAGCACTTCTTACCACACAGTATGGCTTCTGCATTGGTTATTTCATTTTTTTGGGCAACACCATTACATCAATGTTTCCTCCACCACATAATTCTTCCAATGACACAAATACTACAGCAAAGTCACATGGGAATTACCATCCTCCTGCATTTGCTCTGCTCATTCTTGTGCCACTGATCCCATTGATACTGTTTTCATACATTAGAAGTATTCGTAAACTGGGTCCAGTAAGTTTTGCAGCTAATGTGGCTCTCCTGGTGGCTTTTGTTTCAGTAGTGGGATATATGTTAAGTGGTAAGTTTCATGTTATCATGATTTTTAACCCTTTAACTCCCAAGATCAAATTGTTAATTCTCCCCTCAAGCTGCCACATATTTCCTTGTAAATTAGTAATGAGAATTTGTTGTTAGATCAAGACAACAACTTCTAACTGATAAGTTTGAATATTCTCATTACCTGTTTGCTGGATAATGTAAGGATGTCATAGGGAGAAGTTTTTTGTTGATCACTTGCAGGAGTCAAAGGGTTAACTGGCCAGACAGGATAATTAACAACTATGATTTGCACCAAAGTGGAGATAACTCTTCCAACACTTTCACCAAGACTCAGTTAGATATTAATTCTTTTAGCATATACCACACAAGAACCAAAAATTTCTTCCCTGATGATGTTGAAAAAAATAGTCAGAAATTAAACTCTTGATACACAATTGAAAGGCTCAGAGCAAGAACGATCCCTTGATTTTTCGGCCATTTTTGAAAGTGTTCAGAAGTAGTTGAATTTTGGCATGCTCTGAGCCTTTCAATTTTGTCTCTTTTGATTGCTCCAAGGTCAGTAATACTTGCTAATCAGCTCGGAGCTGGCCAATCAAGGCTTGCAAAAAGTTATATTGACTTGTGTGGTATAATAATTCTTTGGTCATTCCAAATATGGTTACACTGACAGACAAAAGACAAAAGATATTATTTTTAATGACCTAAAATTGATTTGTGCCGATTCATTTCTGTATCTATTTTATTAACCCTAACCAGAGCCCTAAAATATTTTTATGTATAGCGGTAGCAGATTAATTACCTCTAGTCAGACAAGTCTTGTTCCAATTTGTTTTGCATGTAGGTTTAAAATTCAAACTAAAGGAAATCAGGCTGTCAAACTGGGCTACATTTCCAGTTTTTTTTGGCCAAGTGACCAGTGCTTATGAAGGAATTGGAACTGTAAGTATTCTGCTGGGCTTTTCACTTCTAGTTAAATAATAGACTTGACATTGTTACATTTAGTAGACAAGGGTTACTGAGAGGGGGAAGGGAAGAGATGTAACCTTTCAAAATCATAAAAACTTGGTAGAAATAATCAATATGAGAAACACAATTCTGTTTTTTTTTAATGTAGTTGTTTTTTATTTCTGTTAGTTCTGCACTTGATAATTTCCATTTGGTAATGGATCCTCCATTATCCGTCCTCAATTCTTGAAAAATGTGGAGGATTTTCTGTAATGATCCTCTTCCCTTTTACATGCTTCAGTCCTTAACCCTTTAACTCCTGTGAGTGACCAAAATAGAGATTCTTCTCACTATATCTATACAATATCATGCAGACAAGTGATGAGAATAAAGAAAAATGTCAATGATGGGATTACTAATTGGTCCGATACCAAATTCTTCAAACTAACATAATGGGAATCATTTGACAGACAGTAAGCAGAATTACTAATGAGATCTTGAGAGTTAAAGGGTTAAGTCTCACCCATGTCTTCTGTATACTTCATTAGCAAGTAACTTTCAGTGAGTGATCAATTCAAAAGCTTATCATCTTCCATTAGTCATTCACACTTGGCTTGGTGAGAGAGATCTGGAGCTAACCTCCTGCTTGATTAGCTTTATGCCACCCATTCTGTTGGGTTACCATTAAGACCTGTATTTACAAGGGAGAATAGTCTCCTTATCTGAGTAAAAAATGGTTTAACTCTTGCCATTAAAATTTAGCTAAAGAATTCTGTGTAGTATGTGGAGAATTTACTCTGATGCTGGGATCTTAAGTACCCTGGACATAATCCCAGTTCATTGTAAGCTTACCTTTTGGTAAAATGGTGCTCTTTTAAAATCATCAGTAGGAAATGTTTCATTTGAATTTTTCTTTTTTCAGTTGATTCCCATTGAAACCAGCATGGCAGAGAACCGACACAGATTCCCTTTGTATTTACACTTTGCTGTTGGATCCCTTTCAGTAATTCTTGGTTGTTTTGGTATTCTTGGATACACAGTGTATGGGGAAGAAGTAAATCAGATTGTTACAGAAAGCTTTCCTTCAGGAGTATTGATTCAAGTGGTTCAATGTTTGCTGTGCTTTGCTATACTCCTGACGTATCCTCTCCAGGTCTTTCCAGTTATAGAGATCATTGAGGGTTGGCTGTTTAAATCTGACAATAACACTGCAGTGGAGACCAGCACCAGCACTAACAGTGAATCATCTGATGTATCTGTAGGAGTACAGGCCAGTGAAAGTTCTTGGTTACTTGCACCAGAAATACCAAAACAGAAAAGCTTGGTAAGTAAAAAGGAAAAAATGGCACAGAAAGTGAAGAAGATTATTTTATTTGTTTCATTATTGTGGTTATTTGAACCAGACCTGATACTGTTTTGATATGTACAGTATTTATGACACCCATTAGACAATACTCCACTCTATGTGATAAGCACTCTTCAAAACAATCAAAACTTTTAAAAAATAGGAGAATCTTCTATTACTTTGAAAAGGTCTAGAGTCTGGAGTGTCTTATTAGTTAGACTGTGTGATCTTCGTTAGACATGGCTAAATTCATGAATTTGCTGTCCTAACATTTCAAACCACCCAGCATCCTACAAACAGATTTGTCTGGCATTTTATCCCTCCAAAGGGGATGAGATTATGTTTGTGTACTCCCAACAGCGTGAAATTTAGGGGAATTTCACACAAATTGGAGGATACTACATGTCCAACCTGGATCTCAAAGGTTATCCCAACTAGCATTTAGTGTACCATGTGTGCATAGTTTAATCTTTCGATTCCTCTCCTGTTTACAGGCAAGGAAGTGGAAGAAAAATCTGCTGCGAACATTTATAGTTTTGACAACTGCTGGCATTGCTATAGCACTGAAAGATGATTTTGCATATGTTAGTGCTATTGTTGGTTCTATTGGAAGTGCTACCCTGGGCTTCATTTTACCTTGTATTTTCCACTTGGTACTTTGTAAAGACTCGAACACAATGCTAATCAAAGTCAAAGATTGTTTATTTATAGCCTTTGGTATCATTGGAGGGGTTGTAGGTGTAACAATAACGATAGAACAGATTGTTCAACAATTTACTAAAAGTTAATAACAATTGTTTACAATTGAGAATGTTTTAACCCTTCAAGTCCTACTAGTAACCAAGACAGAAATTCTCCTTAGGCTATCAGTTCAATATCAAGCAGACAAGTAATGAGAATAATGAAAAATATCAATTTGGGGATGATTAGTTGATCCAATTCTACATTCTCTGAACTAACATTATAAGAATTGTATGGTTGACAGTATAGAGAATTACAAATTTGATCTGGGAGTTAAAGGGTTAAACTACCTGTAAAGAGTAGCTTTATGTTTTTTCATAATTTATTTTATTATTTTAATCTGTAAAAGGAAATGATTATAATATATATTAGGCTTCAAATTTTCATAGTTATGCTGCTTTGCAGCTATGTTCAACTATTTCCAGGAGGAATTTTTTTATGGGAAACATTTGTTCCAATTCATTTTATACATACTGAAAGGAAACCCAGTGGGTAAGGAATCGTAAAAAATATTATTGTAGAAATCAATGATTGATTTTTGACATTCACAACCAAGCATATACAAGTAGAAGATATGCCTGAGTAATGTTTCCTTCTCAATCATCAAGTGTTGATTCAGGCAAAAAATGATTCTTTATAAACTATTTTAAAAATTCCAATGGAGAAAACTGTTGAAACAAAAGTTAGCAAAATAAGTTTAAAAAGTGTAATTTAAAATTATGGAAATTGCCATAAATATTGTTTTGTTTTCATTTGTGCTAACTTTGGGTGGTAGAGAACAAAAATGATGATGTGGAGAGTGGAGACAAAAAAGTGAACTTGGATAAGGGCTTGCTTTCACCAGAGGTGTTTGTTTTAAAACTTCCAATGGAGAAAACTGTTTAAAGAAAAATGAGCAAAATAAGTTTAAAAACGCACATAAAAATAGAAATTGCCATAAATATTGTCTTGTTTTTATTTGTGTTAACTTTGGGTGGTAGAGGGCAGAAATAATGAAGTGGAGACTAAAGAGTGAAATTGGAGAAGTGCTTCATTCACCCAGCTATCTTTCAGCACTAAAGGACAAAAGTTGGCAATCATTGATGTGGGAGACTGGGTACTGGAGACAAAGTCTCACCCTGGATTGACTACAGGGCCCAGTTGTTTGAAGGCCGATAAGCGCTAACCTGGGGTTAAGTTTTAATCTGGGTTTCTTTAATCCCTTTTTCAAAGGACTATTCCAGATAATTTCTTAAATTCTTTCAGGCATCAAATTTTAAGCAAAAATAAATAGACTGAATATTCTTTTAAAGCTTTCAGATCTGAGGTCAGATTTCACACTAACACCAGGTTATCTTATCCTAACTTTGAACAACTTGGTCAAGAACCTTTGTAAATGAAAACAGTTGATTTTATTCTTTAACATCCTCTCCAGTTACTAAACTTGTCATGTGGCTCTCTACTTTACATGCATGTACCTTTGCCTGTTTGAGTTTCTTCATAACAAAATTTACTTCACTTTGACACAAAAATTTAAGATCAGTCTCAAATATAAAATATTTATTCAATAATGGTGCAATTTCTTTTTATAGAGCCATAAGTCGAATCAATCTGCATTGCAGCACAGTATCCTTATCCCACAATCCCTTGAGGGGTAAGGACACCTCAACTCTGAATTCCATAAACTCTTAATAAATTAATTTTTATTGAATAAATGATGCAATGCATATTGGGGTATTTTATGGACTAAATTCTGAAGTATGTCAGAATTTCTTTGTTCCAATCCCTTGAGGGGTGAGGATACTGTTCATATCTCTCTGTCCCAATCCCTTGAGGGGTGAGGATACTGCTCATATCTCTCTGTCCCAATCCCTTGAGGGGCGAGGATACTGCTCATATCTCTTTGCCCCATCCCTTGAGGGGTGAGGATACTGCTGATATCTTTCATAAGTATTAATCTCAATAAATTAATTTCAAAGTAAAACTTACCAGTAACAAGAAATTCATTAACAAAATAATTGGAAGAAATATTCACAAGCATTTACTGCCTTTACTGCAAGAAAGAAGTTTAACTGTCTACTAAGTAACATTTCAATTTATTTTGTAAGCAACAAAAGACCATATACAAGCTAGTATTTTCAGGCCAAATTCAATGAAAAATCTAAGACATTACATCACATCAGTGGCCAATCAACAAGTTTATCTATCACCAAGAGAAAGAGAAAATAAGAACTGATGAGCTGTATTCTAAATAGAAAGTACTAAATAGAAGCTTTGCCCAGAGTATCTACATGCACATGCAGAAGTTATAAAATGGAATCAGAAACAAGAATTCATCTGACTTCTCAATACCATCTATCTATGTTACACCAGAATTGATTATTCAGTGCAAATGAGTGATTTTAAAAGCATACCACCACAACTTCACCACAATTTCACCCTTTATACTGAATAATGAATAGTAAAGTTAAGCAAAAAAAAGCATGGTGAAGGTTAGTAGCGAAGTGCTTGATGGTCAATGCCTAATGATCTGTGGTTGCCCAGATCATGTAAAGATTCCCCCCAGGACCTCAGAGTTAAAACAACTTGGTTACATAACAGGAACAATAGCTACACCAAATCACTGGGACAAAATGAATAAATGGGGCAAGGAACATAGGAAGCTAAGCAGTGTATCATATGTAATTTTCATGCCACATTGTATTGTGTGAGACTTGCTCGTCAGCTCTTGTTTATAAAGAGTAAAGATTAAGAACTTGAATTACCAGAGGATTCAGAGGAATTCCCATCTTGGGAATTCTGATCCACATACAAAATAGAACTGATACCAGTTTTACCTAACTGAACAACCTTTCCCAGATTTTCAATAGAGCTTGCTAGTTTACAATACACCTCTTTCACTCTTGCCTGAGAAAAGTTACCATTCTCTTCTAATTCTCTGCATAGAGATTTTAAATTTTCCCCTTCTTCTTCCACTTGTTGCCAGTGTTCCCTCATTTGACACACCCTCATGTAAATCTCTTGTCGTTTAGCCTTCTCTTCCACAAGACAACCTTCAACACAAAGACGCAAGTCTTTCTCCTGAGAGAGAAGAGTTTGAAGCTGCTTCACTTCAGAAGTGGCATTAAGAAGCTGTGCTTCTATTTTGTGAGCTTGATGTTGGCATTCCTCCAGAGCTTTTCTGTCATTTTCTGTGTTCAAATAATTATTTTCTTCCTTCCAGTCTGATATTGCTGTAAGAATTTTCCTTCTTGGACCAAACAATGAAATTCCAACTTCTCTTAGATCACTGTCTGTGAGGGTTAGTAGTGTAATAAAATCCACATCTTGATCTTCAAATGTGGAAATATATTTTGTCAAATTCAAATCTTCCAGAAAGTTTGCAATAGTTGGTTTCATAGGTGAAGCTTCACCAACTTGAAGTTGTCTACTGGCATCACTTCCAGTACTGTGCATTTTCTGTAGTTTTTATGCAAGCTAGCACTTTCAACAGTTCTGCCACAGTTAATGAAAAAGTGCTCAGATTCATAACTACCAACAGGAGTGCCTGGTGTGTTGGCTAAACAGTATGGACTTCCGACAAAATGGCTGGCCCTTTCCTGTTCTCCCATCATACTAGGAATATTCACTGGCTTTCCATCATTCTGATGACTGCTCATCAACTTTTTAAAGGCCTCTGGTCCATCTTGAATCCCAACCTTTGGGATCACATTCTTTCCTTGAAGCGCTGCACAAACCTTATCTTCAACATGGTCACTGTCATCAGGTACAAGACCAGGTTCACTCCGCAGCATAATGTTTGGCATATTGAGAAAGGCCTGCTGATTAATTACGTTTACTACAGCCATGTTCCCATTCCGCAGAGCCAAAGATCGTGCATCCTCTCCACGGTTTGTGTGAGCATTCATGTTTGCATTGCATCTAACAAGTTCTTCAAATATGACTTCATGTCCTTCCTTTGCAGCTGCCAGTAACGGAGTCAGGCCAAATCTATATTCCCTACAAAGAGAGAGAAAATCAATAAATCTAATTCAAATATCCTCTGCTCTCTGAAGAAAGAACCTCAACATCATTTCATCTCGGGAGCTGTGCTACATATTATTTAATTGCTTTTTGTTGTGAGGAAAATGTGCTAAAATCAATTGAAAACTAAAACTTTAACTCCTAAAGGCAACTAGCATCTATTATGTGTTATTTATAGGAAATTAATTGTAAAAATTGAGGGCCTTGGCAAGTTTGGTCCATCATTAAATATTTTTTTCCATAATTGTAATTTCTCTTCACAATATCAACCCTGAATCACACAGTTAGGTGACACGAATAAAGGAAAGGATAACCAACAAAATAAGCTTTTGATTTTTGAGCAAATTCCCCTTGTCAGCAAAGAGACGAGTATAGAGAATATGCATTGCGATGTATCAGGAAATGGGTTATTAAACAAACATCTCCTTTTTTTTTTCTTATACGCTCTAACTGGCTTAAAAAAAAAAAAAAAAAAAAAAGAATTTCTAGAAAGGTAAAACTCTACTTTGCATACTTGATGCACTCCGCTATTGTTGATCGTCACCGTAAAAATTTATATTCATCTGCTACCTGGAAGATTATTCTAAAGTAAATGCCTCACAATCAGTGGGTAAAATGACACCGTGAGAAGTTTAATTTATTAGGGCGGTATCAGTTTTAACTTTTCTTCAATCGTGTGCGCATTTACGCAAAAAAAAAAAAAGATTATTCAAGAGGTTTAAATAATTTAGAATGAAGGGAATATTGAATACCTTAACTCCATGTCAGCACCGTTCTCCAACAACAACTGTACAACCTTGTGATGTCCTTGGTACGTTGCATAAAACAAACCAGTCCAACCTCTCTTGTCTTGAGCATCGATCTTAGCACCGTTCTGCAGTAGGAAGTAAACAACAGATTCATTTCCACAACTTGCCGCAAGCATAAGCGCGTTAGCCCCATTTTCTGCTGTAGTCGCGTTCACATTAACATGGTAGTCGAGGAGCAGATTAACTATATTGTCATGGCCAACGTAAGCAGCGTACATTAGAGGAGTCCATCCACCACAGTTGGGTTTATCAAGATCGGCTAACTCCACTCCATCTGCTAGATGCTGCTGTACACAGCTGTATTCGCCGATAGCACAAGCAGTGTAAATGTCCATTGCGATGACTTCGTCTTCGTTCCATAGATTACTGCAGTCGTTTACATCCGTAAAACTCGCCGAGCGTTCGGCACGGCCATAGAAGTATTCTTTTGGCTCATCCATTTTTACCCATAACTTGAGAGTAACCCTTAAATAATGATTTCAATGACTTTCTTCAGCGTCCGTGCTAGAAAAGTATAACTGTTTGACAAATCCATGACATGCGCATGACCTGCACCATCATTTGTTTCACGAACATTCCATCGTTGCGTGACAGCTGCGTTATATTTTACGTACTTCCGTTTCCTTAGAGGTCTGAATACTACAAATATACCCTAATAATAACTATGGTTTCCTATTGAAGCTATTCATTAATATCACAATATACGAGAATAGAGTGACCACTTCTTGGGCTTTTTAAAAATTATTTGGCTAACAATAAACATTGACAAAATCCTGTGACATAATCGATGTTTTGCTACGTACATTTCAGTCCCCACCTATTGTAACCCCAAGAGATCTATAAATAGGAAAATCGTCATATTCTACTTTTGTATTGTCTACCTACTAGTAATAGTTCTCACTAAAACTACAACGGCCTTGTTTTTTTTTTTTTCTTAATTTAAGAAATTGACGAACGCATCGTAATATATAAAAACTTTATTTTTTGTGTTTACGATATTTTCATCGCCTTGTCACACTTCTGCTCTACTCCTATCACGTGGTAACATATCATGTGACATCGACGCCCGTGTCTCCATTCTCTCGCAAATCAGCTGGCGGGATAATAGAGCAGTTTGCAGTATTTGCTGTCGATTGACGAGACCGTGTACCAGCTTCAGTAGTCTGTCTTACGCATACAAAGAACTTGATTACGCTGTTTCATCAAAAACATGACAGGCCATATGTCTGTTACGTCCAGGACTTCTCAAGCGACCCTTGTAAGGTAAGCCACGATTGCGTTGACCTGTGCAGTTTGGCTGGCCTGAATGCCTGGATGGTTTAAATGGACTGAGCATTCGTTTAAAACATGGATCTTGACTTACTCTGTAAAAATAATTCGCAGATGATCAATATTCCAAAAGTTTTCCTTCTTTTATTCACTTCCGGATCGATGATGTTGATTTTAATCCATTGGAGATTCGATTCGGCTGTTCGATTACATCGATTTACTGACAAACGCTTACACCCGCACGCTCACACCTTGCAAATGCATTTAGACAGTTGATGTTTCATGAAGGCAGTGAAAATTTAAACATGATCGCTTGAAGTGAAAAGTTCGACTGAAACAGGTTTCAAGGCCTTCCCCATGGAATCAATTATTTCCGGTTTCGCTTTCCTGCTTCCACGCTAACACCCGCACGCTTACATCTTTCACGTGCATCTAGGCAGTCAATGTTTCATGAAGGCAGTAAAAATTTAAACATGATCGCTTGAAACGAAAGGTTCGACTGAAACAGTTTTCGAGGCCTTCCCCATGGAATCAATTATCAATCCGGTTTTGCGTTCCTGATTACACGCTGTAGTGTAAACACTACCGCGTGACAGATTCAATTTTTTAACAGCTGTATTGGTTCCCGATCCCGTTATTCTTTTTCCCGGGAACAAGGACAAATTTTGAGATCTCATCAGGACTTCAAATTCAATTATAAGCTTCTTCAAAGTTGTCAATATTACCAAAAAGTTCAGTTGCGGTGGAAAAAGTAGGTGCGCTGTGCGCGTTTACTCAGCTGTAGCTATGTAGCGTATAGCAATACAAATGTAATTGTCTTGGAAACAAAAATGTGAAAGTGCAACACGTATTCCAGTAGTAGCCCTTTTCACTTAATCAGTTTACAGGCTATATGAAAATGAACGACAAACCGAAAGAACAAAAATAATTAATGAATACAAAAAAAAGGATATCAAATCAAAATGAAATATGATTCCCCAGATAACTTTCTCAAGTCATTTCTATATTTAGTACACATCAGGATATGGTCAAACTGTAGTGGTTACCATTAATCTTAAGTGTAAAATACTGTTACTTTCATGAATGAAAAGGAAAAAAGGAAACAAAGTTAAAAAATTCAAGGTTAGGAAAGAAGTGGTGATTAAAAAAAAAAGGAAAAACTTGAAAGGTCCTTACACAGGTAAAGCTGTACTTATGTGATATGTTTACATTTTTCTTTACCATAACCAGACCCTCAGCTTGGCAGCAGTTTACAGATTTTGCAAATGTTCTGAAGGCTTTTATCGGAACAAGCTATTTGGCATTACCATTTGCTTTTTATAAGAGTGGATTAGTGGTGAGTTAATTTAATGTCTTTTAACCTTTTAACTCCCAAGATTTCATTAGTAATTCTCCTTACAGTCTGCCACACAATTTATGTGATGTTAGTTTGGAGAATTAAAGATTGGATCAACCAATAATCCCATAATTGAAAATTTTCTTTATTCTCATTACTCATCTGCTTGATATCATACAGATGATGTGAGGAGAAATTCTGTCTAGGTCACAAGTGGGACTTAAAGGGTTAACCCTTTACACTCTTACATCAGTAAATGTGCAAATTTTCCATACATTTCCTTAGGTGTTGACAGAGATAATTTGTTTAACAGTCAATAGAGATAATTTACAGTATTTTTGGGACCTCAATGTGTAATTCAGGGTGATATTCTAAGGAGAAATTAGATGTTAGTCACTTTTTGGGTGAAAGGTTACAATAAGTTCTATTTGCTGCAATCAAAGGCTGAAGTGAGAACCATCAGCTTTTTAAAATTCACTGCATTAGCAGTTTACATAATTTAATCAACTTAAAAACTGGTAACAAATTTTTTCACCTGCTAAGAAACTACATGTAATAACCTAGGAATTCTGTCTACTACATTTTATATGGGCAAGGTTGAGTTGACATGTTGAAGGACTTAGCCCAGTTTTATGGTGAGAAACAACTACACAGGGCTAATGAAGTCTTAATTGTTACATGTTGGAATTCTAATTTCTTTGCAATGTTGTTAAATTACAGCTTGGAGCTGTTGGACTAGTAATCATTGCCTTAATAACAGACCATTGCTGTCAACTTATAATTAAATGCAAAAATGCTGCTGTGGATATGATTCTTAACTCAACTCCAAGATACCAAGAACTCCGAACAGAAGCTTTGTATGACGAGATGGAAAAAGTCAAGGAGACTATTGAAAAGGAAATGACACTTGGTGACATTGGAAAAATCGCAGTTGGACCATGGGGATTGAGACTTGTCAACACAGCATTAATAATCACACAGTTAGGGTTCTGCGTTGCTTATTTCATCTTTATTGGAAATACCATAGGAGAAATGTTTCCTCTCAAATACAAATCTGAGACTGTGATCCCAGTTGTAAATGCAACATTGTCTGAACCAACTAGTGCTACAAGAATGACCCACTACTCAACGATATGGATGAACTCCTCTTCAATGATACCTCCACTCCATAGCACTAAGACAGCACCTAAATTCTCCCTCCTTGTATTAATTCCTTTCCCTTTCCTTGTTGCAATGGCCTTTGTGAAGAGCATTCGTAAACTTGGACCAATCAGCGGTGTTGCTAATGTGACACTACTTGCTGGTTTTTTTGGGCTTCTTGCATTTCTGTTGAGGGGTAAGCACTAACCGTGTACAACTGCCTAATGTAGAATTTCTTTAGTAAATGAAAATATTGTTAGTAGTAGTTGAATCTCCTGCCAGCTGTATGCTTTGTGTGGTTACCTTGATTGATTTTTCTCATTACTTCCACATTAATCTTGACGCTATGTGAAATTAGCATAAACATAAATAAATATAAAGTTTAGCTCTAAACAAAAGATGTATTTTATCAAATTCTTATCTGATCTGGTAGGAAAAAAGTTTAATCTGAAAGATGTCAGTTATGCCAGACTGTCCACCTTCCCAATCTTCTTTGGACAGCTGACGGGAGCTTATGAGGGGATAGGAACTGTGAGTGCTGAATTTTTATTGTCAAAAAATTTTTTTTCAACAAAAAACTTAAACTTTTTACTTTGTTGTTAAGCTTAACCTCATAATGTTCTTGTTACTTAAAATTTACAATAATTTTGTTATCTCAGTGTTTGACACATGATCACTATTTGAGGGCAAATTGGAACCTGCCTTGCCACTCATTTGGTTTGTGCATCTCAGTAATGGGCATCACAGGTTCATGTCCTGTGAATTCTCAAGTTCTTTCCAAGCTAGTTTGATTATTTTAATTTTAAATTAACTTATTCCTATTATTACTTACTTAGAAGTATCATGAACAAATATAGATGTGGGAGAAAAGTGTTAAATAAAAGAAGAAAAGATTCTCTGCATCTCAATCAGAAAAGGCTCAAGCCATTGAAATTTAGTCAAAGAATTCATGTCGATGGCATGATAATTCTGCAATATCTAGTATAAAATGAACACCTTGAACTCTTTGAGTTACTTAAAATTATGTTGTCAAATTAAATCCTCTTGTTATTTGTAGGTAATACCTATTGAATCCAGCATGGCAGAGAACCGGCGTCGTTTCCCCCTGTACCTTCACATAGCACTAGCACAAGTCTCTTTCATTCTTGGTTCATTTGGAATACTTGGTTACATGATCTATGGCAGCACTGTTCCGCAGATTGTAACAGATAGGCTGCAGACAGGGATTGGGGCACAGTTAGTGCGGCTCACACTTATCATAGCTGTTATGATGACCTACCCTCTCCAACTCTACCCAGTTATTGAAATTGCGGAGTCTGTTTTATTCACTAAGATCCATTCCAAAAGTAAATCTCACCTAGGTGCAGTTATTGCAGGTCCAAGTATGGATCCAGATAGCAATCCAGTTTCTCCTGTGGACTCTAATAGCATTAACTCTCACTATCCTGTGTCAAACTCACCAGATGATTTGTCCACCAGTGTAAATTCGGAGACTCAAGTTCTTATTCCAAAGGAGACAGAAGAACTTCAGTTTAAGGTACAGTTGTATTCAGAGATAGCCAACTATCACATGGAACAAATTATGGGCATTTTTTAACCTGTTTCACCCTAAGATCAATATGCATATTCTCCATACTGTTTTCTATGAATTTCCTAAGGTGCTGATAAGGAGATTTTGCTTAAAGAACTCCTGTACTTGTTGATCATTTCCGTTATTCTCATGATCTTAATGATTGATTTAACCCTTTCACTCCCAAGGTCTAATTAGTAATTCTCCTTACTATCTGCCATAAAATTCTTATGATGTTAGTCCAGAGAATTTGGTACTGGATCAACTAATAATCCCATAATTGATATTCTTCTCTATTCTCATCACCTACCTGCTTAAAATTGTATTGATATTGTAAGGAGAAATTCTGTCTTGGTCACTTGTTGGAGTGAAAGGGTTAATTATGATATTGTAAGGAGACTTCTGGGTTTAAGGGTTGGAACAATTTTCAAATTGGTGTGTTAAAACATGGTTTTTCATTTTTATTTAATTGATGCAGTAGGCTTGTTTTGTGGGACTCAGTTTTAAACAATAAAAGGGTGTGGTCATGAAAAAAACCACCCTGTAAAACATTGATGCTTATGGTTATGTAGAAAAACATGCACACTCAAGTAAAGCAATGATCTCCTCAGGTGAGCTGCAATTTAAGCATTTGCAGAAAAGAAGCCATTAATTCAGATGTGAGGCAACATCCAAGTTTTGTAATAAGGGCAAAAGCCAAGGGGGAGGCATTGAATTGGGACAGGATGATTTACTGGCCAAGAGAGTCTTAGACTCCAAAAGAGCATTGTGAAATTGACCCAAAAACAGAATTCCCCCCCCCCCCAACTTTCACTCTCAAGATCTCATTAGCAATTCTTCCTAACATCTGCCATAAAATACTCATGATGTCAATTTGGAGAATTTGGCATTGTATCAACTTGTAGTCCCCTAATTGAGTTTTCTTCTTTATTCCTTCACTTGACTGCCCGATATTGTATTGATGTTGTAAGGAGAAATTCTGTCTTGGTCACTGATGGGAGTGAAAGGGTTAAATTGCAGCTCACCTGAGGGGATCAGGGTTAAAATTAACTCCCTGGCCAAATCTATTAGCTGTAATAAGCATACTAGTAATATTATAATATTATTATCATAATTATGATTGAAAACTTTTAACTTGAAAAGACCTTTACTGCATTAGTCTTACATCCCAACCACAGTAACTTGTTATGAGCATGTAAGGTATGTTTGGAACTCTTATTTCATACTCAATAAACAGAGAGCTGTTTTCAAGCTTGTTTTAACTGTGCTTAACTTCTTTTGTTTCTCAGGCAGCAACTTGGAAGAGGAATTTACTTCGTGCAGTGCTAGTAACTATAACAGCAGGGATAGCCATAGCACTCAAGAATAAATTTGCCTATGTGAGTGCTCTGACTGGTTCATTAGGAAGCTCAGTGTTGGCTTACATTCTACCATGCATATTTCACATCGTCCTGTACAAAAACACCAATTCTGTAGCTGTAGTTATAAAGGACATTATTATTGTGGTATTTGGTATAGTCGGTGGTGTTGTGGGTGTGGTCATTACTATTCAAGATATGGTCAAGAATTAATCTTAGTAAACTGAAACTTGCCTTTCATCATCCAGGCTTACAAATTTAGACACCAACATTTTACTGGTGGCCAGGGCAACCAAAATAGTAGCAGCTAGAAGTGTTGTAAAAATGAGATAAACAATTTTATAACACAATTCTTTTTTTTTTGTATTGTTTTCACCAAAAAATTTTCTCTCGTCAGAATATTAAGTGTTAAGATTTCCCTTGAAACAGCAAATAAATTTTTTTTTTTGTGCAACTGAAATTTAATTTCTGATGACTTAATGACTGAAGGTCAACAAATAGCAACTTAAAAAAGGGCCTGGATTGGAAACCTGCTGTGTAAATCATATTGTTCTGAAAGTTGGAAAAATGTGAATGTAGGAATGTTTCAGAGTGTTTCAAAAGAAACAAGCCATGCAGATGCTAGAAAACTGTTCCTAACTGTGATAGGAACTGTCTTTAGTTTGTGCTTTTGTGGTTTGCCCATGTATCCCAATCTTCAGTACGATTGACCAAAAACACTTTTAACTTTCCCAAAATATTTCAGATGTTCATGGTTTTTATGTGCTGAACAGTAATAACCAACATGTTAGTTAACTTTTTAACTCCCAGGTAAAATTTGTAATTCTCCTTCCTGTCAACCATACAATTCTTATAATGTTAGTTCAGAGAAGTTATCATTGGATCAACTAATTTTCCTCAAATTGATATTTTTCATTATTCCCATCACTTATCTGGTTGATATTGTATTGATATTGTAAGAAGAAACTATGTCTTGGTCACTCATGGGAGTTAAAGGGTTAATGGTGAGTCCCTCAGTTTCTTTCTTGTTCACTAAAATAAACAAAAATGGCTCAAAATGAGGAGAACAATGATTTATTTAGTTTAATTACACTAATGATTACAATGGAAATTTGGATAGGAACTAAAACAGAATATTTGACTAAAGGAGATTGCCACACAAGTGTTAAAATGATCTACACTAATTTGCAAATGTTATTGACAAGATTCATTAAAGATTTTATACCTTCAACAGATTACTTTCAACATAACAAGGTTTACTTAAGTTTTTAAACAAATTTATAGTGTTTTAATTTATTTATAGCTTACCTGTGTACTTGATTTTATAATACACAATTATTGTAACACAGACCCAAGGTTTGATAATTGATGATATGTGAAATTGGTTTATTATACATTTTTTTTAAATGATCTGCAAAAGCAGAAACTTCTCCCTGAGTTTTCAAAAGTTTGAGAATACTCTACGGATGGAGAGCTCAGAAACTTAGCAGACTTTGAACTCAACATAATAAATGCAACATCTGCTGCAGAAATTGTATCATCATGTCAACTTCACATGCTATTCTGGTGGAGCTCGCAGATCGTAGCCCCATAATTACACAAAATAGTAGTAACCCATCAAGGTGAAAAAATTTGGATGTATGAGTGTACAAGTTGGTACTTTTAACATGCCTCGGCACGCCAACACCACAGCTTTGTTCAGTAATCCAGTGGTCAGTGCACTGGGCTCCAAGTCAGACTACCCAGGTTCTAGTCCTGGCCAGGGCAAGGTGTTGTACCCTTGAGATGTGCGGGGAAAAAATGCGAGCTCCGCTTTTAGGCTTGGCTAAATCTATATATTATATTGATTAAATGGTCTCAGCCAATCAGATACCCTTTCACTCCCAAGATCTCATAAGTAATTCTCTGTACTGTCTCATATGATTCTCATGATGTTAGAATTTAATATTGGATCAACCAATAATCCTCAAGTGATATTTTTCTTTATCCTAATCACTAGTCTACTTGATATTGTATTGATATAGTTAGGAGAAATTCTTTCTCAGTCACTAATGGGAGTTAAGGGTTATCAGCCTTAACAGTAGCACATAAGTTAACCCTTTACACCCTAAGATCAGTATGCATATTCTCCATACTGTTCTCTATAAATTTCCTGAGGTGCTGAAAAGAAGAATTTGCTTAATAATCAAGAGCTCCATTTTCATTATTCTTGTGACCTTAATGTATGATTTAGAGATGATATTGTAAGGAGAAACTAGATGCAAGTCGCTCTCAGGGGTTAAGAGTTAAACTCGACTTTTAATGGGGCCTCAAGAAAAGCACTTGTTTAGTTTTTAAAATATATATCTACTAGTTTTCCCTTGGAAAAATATTGAAATATTTTTACATATTTTTAAATAGAAAGCTTCTGCCAAAAAAACTTAACTGGGGTTTGATTGTAGCACATATATTTTTACCTGTTTTCCCATAAAGAAAAAATTGATAGAAAAGTTTAGGAATGAAATTATTATGAAATACTGAGAGGTTATAGAGTTAATTTTATAGTGAGAATATTTTGATATTTGTACTTCACATTACTTAACCTGAGTAGGATGGAACTCTTTACTGAATGTTACGCAAACCCCTTCAGCATGTTACTGTAAGAGAAGAGATCATTTGAAACATTCTCAATCTGTAACTTTATTGAATAAAGGTGTGAGAGGTAGTAAATATTTTTCTAGTGTAGTTTATAAGGAGTTCTAAAGCAATCTTTGAAAAGGAACAACTTAATCAAAGAAAAGCACGAGAACTATGAAGTTACTTCCATAGTAGCTTATACACATGGTGGCTATTTTCAACAGTTTTCTTCTCTAGAAACTATTCACAGGTTCTAGATGACGGTCTCGGAAGAACTGGTGTCTTTGGTAAACAACTGAATCCTTTTTGGGAGCAAAAAAAGAAGTTATTGAAGCAGTCCCTGGTGGTGGGGAATCCTCATCACTGCCATCATCATCCCTGAAAATGTGATTTAAAATTACAAAAATCTCTATTAGAACATGTGACAACTGAAAGCAGAATATCAAGGAAAGTCTCACACACATTTGTCAGTTTCTTGATGTCAACATGAACTCTCTTTTTGTCACATAACATCCCATAGTATGGTCACAGAGCCAGGTGAGTTGTTTTAAAACAATAGTTTTCAAATTTCCTAGAGTACCAGGTGTCCCCCATTTTCAGGGTAATACTTGCCTAAAGTCTACAGAAATCAGCAAGAAAATATACCAGTGCTGTTAGAGCTCTGGACTCCCAAAGCTCACATGGTAGTGAAATTTTTCTTCTTCAATTTCTATTGATTTGCACAACAGGGCACACTAGGAAAGTGGGACTGATTATTGACTACAATTTCCTTGTTAATTACTGTTATTAATACCAGTCTGGACTATTTTCCAAAAGTTTCAAAATGAAGTAAAATTTGATGCATTTGAGCCATAATTAGGAGGTTTCATGTTTTTTTTAATGTTTTTTTTAATGTTTTTTTTTTAGGTTTTTATGTTGTCTCATACTTTGATAGAGATAACAATGGGATTTCATTGACTAATCATTTATACGTTTTTCCAGGTATGCTCTTACTGGTCAATAAGTGTGATCAGATGAGTGTGTAAATGCAGTTGAGTTTAGCTTTGCACATATTTTTAAGAAGTGTTCTGTGAAAGCAATTGAGGACTTCTTCCATGAAAACAAAACCTCGTGTAGACACTCATGAGGTTGAAATAATTTTTGAAAGATTGTGGAAACTTTCAAGTGCATCTTCCAGTGCTCTCTTACCTGATCAACCATGCAGAGTAAATCACAATAAACTGGTCCAAAATATCTATTTTGGACCAGTAACAATAAATTGGGCTAGTTCATGCATGTTAGCTGAATTGAATGCAGGTTATATTCATCTATTTCAAAGCTGAAACTCATGCAGAGTCTACTTAATGAAAGGAGAGAGTTTTATTTAAGATACCTACAGACACCATGGTGTTATTCCCTGAATAAAATGGTTTCTGAAGTAATCACTTTTTTTTCACAAAACAATAGTAACAAAAGATGCAGATAGCATACCAATGTACGTCAACAGCTTTGTTATCCAAAATATTATTACATGTTGACCAACTGAATCGCACCAGTTGAGGAAAGCCAAAGACCTTGTCAACTGAATCAGATAACCACTTCTTGGTGGCAGGATCTATAGCAGTAGAGAAGATAATTTTTACCTAAAAATGTAAAATGGAGTTCCAGCAATAAACACCCAGGGAAAACAGTGACATATCTTAGTGGTTTCATGCTTTGGAAACTGAGATTGGCTCTGGTGCCTTGTGTGTCACTTGGTTTAGGTGCAGACTTTACCAGGGACACAGAGAAAAGGAAAGTTTAAGCCGGCATGGGGAGGGATTGGGATTTTCGGTGGTGTAATATAACCTAACTATTGTTTCCAACATGTAATTTTGTCAGGGTTGTTCTAAATCAGAGCTTCCACATGAAAACATTAATGAAGAAGAGAACTACTTGGATTGATGAGAAACAAAATCTTTGGATAGTTCTTACCTGAAGGATAACCAGAACCATGTTCATTACCAAATTCAATGTTCTCAGGAAATTTCCATTCTTTCAATATTCTGTCTCTGGCAACCTAGCAATCAGTATGGAAAAATAGTCTGACTCAGTAACTTCGTTTGTGTGAAATAATTTGAGCAAGTTAAGAGGCAGTGTAAGAAAGAGTCATATTCCTTTAACTGATTGTTTGCTTGTTGGTTTTCAATCTTCTAACATTGCACTCATTCCTTAACCTAATGGAATAGAAAGATTCATAATTCTGTCAGTTAAATTGTTTTAGTTGCACTTACACATTAATACATGAAAATCTGCTTAATGTATACATTAAGTAATAAATGTAAATTCAAGTGTCTCATCACCTTTGCACAGATACTTGCAGCACTAACCACAGGGAACTTAGCATCAGCCTTAGGAGCCACAGTTATCTTGATTCCTGGAAAAATCTTTTGAAGTTTGTCTTGGTATTTGTCTGCTACTCCCACAGTGTCTACATAAATCTAAAAATAAATTCCATAATTTTAGAACCTTTTTATTGAACTGGCTTATTTAAAACTCAGTTAGAATAATTCTAGAGTAAAACTCAGTTATCATGGACAATTGTTGGGCACATTAAATCTTAACTCGCCATTATCGACAGGGGTTCTGATGTATGTCAAACAATTGTAAATGATTCAGGGATGACTTGATCTCACCAAAGACTGAGTGGATAGTAAGGAGGTTCTTTTAATCTTGCATATGTCACAGACCACTGGTCTTCATCAAATTTCATGAAGCATACTTTGGAAGCAGGTTGTGAGTGAGCTATTACAATTACAAGAAAATTTTTATCCAAGGAGCTGAGAGGAAAATTTACCTTTGTGGCGTAACCCCTATCACAAGGGATACCTTCAAAACTAGAAAAAAAAAGGTCCCTGGATATAAGTGTTCAGTACATGAAAATGAAAAATTCAAAGGTTGAGGGACAATTTGTTCCAGTCTGGCCCAAGGCTTCTCTCTTACATGATGATGTAAGAAGAGGCTACTCTGTAGTTTAAAATTGTACTGGATAAACTTAAAAAATAATAATAAAAAAGGGAACTTTAACACAAACACCACAGATCAAACCAACTTATGTCACCCACAACATAACCCCTATTTCTCCTTTACCTCATGGACATTAATGCCACTCGAGAGAAGAAGGTTTATTAGTCCAATGGCTGTGTCATGAGATATTTCATTCAGGCTGTATTTTGTTCTGGAAGTTAACATAGACACAGCTTTAATTTAATCAAATAAGAAAGATGATAAAGTTTGAGATTGTCATTAAAAAAAGAAATGCATCATTTGTCTTGCCAGGAACATGAGTGACACTTATGAACCTAATAAAGGTGTAGCTTATCACAGAGTTTTATGTACCTCAGTAATAAAGTATCAGAGTCTGAACCTTACAGGTTTGATTGTTCATAGGGATCCAGATTTTGTTCTTTGTCCCATGCCCTTCACAATATAGAAAACATCTTTATTTACAAATTTTAATTGTTTTCAAGAATGTGAAGGGCAAGGAAACAGGAGAACAGGTTCAAAAGTCATATAATTAAAAAAGAAGGTGGGTGGGGGGGGGAGGGGGTGAGTTGAAACCCTCTAAAGGAGGGGTATGGATATTTTTTGCAGCAACACTATGCCAAGCTCTCCATATTATGTAACAGTTTGTCCTTCATAGATACAGATGGATAGATGAAAAAAACAGGATCTTGTATGAACCAAATGGAAAACTAACGAGATAAAAGTATTAAATGCCAGTATTTTAGACATAAAACCTTGGTCAAGCCCAATACGACCTACTGACGTAGATGTAAATGAAGAGAAAGTAACCGCAATCCAGTGAAATCCTGTTTTAGTAAACACTACTAATCCTAATCAGTTTGCTGTATTATGGTCTCACTGCATGGTGTTTGAGTACACAACCGAATGTTGAGCAGTTCCTGCCTCAAATCTTTCCTCCAACTGAAGAAAAACTGCTGTTTCTCAGAAAAAGCTTAATTCACCTTCTCAGCATACTGTTAGACAGGTAATTAGGTGATAAGATGTCAATTGCCCAACCAATGAACTCCTTGTTCTCATCAATGATTTTAAACAGATCCTCGCGCTGTTCCTCTGTAAGTGTTTTAGAATCTAATTGGAAAGAAAATAAAAAGGAAAATTAGCTACATTTGTCGACATTTTAAATTCTCGAATTGTTTCGACAAGATTTATCAGCTTACCTGCAACTCCAAGATTTTTCACTTTTTCAGATTTTGTCAGAGGAAAATAACAGATTCCGTAAACCATCGGCCCTACATATTTCACGGGAAAGATAAAAGTACCTTATGTAAACTTAAAGTAGGTCAAGGCTTCGAGCAAATGTCAAAAATGGCCACGTTTTACCTAGGACAGGTCCTCTTCCTGCTTCATCGATGCCAACACAACATGGTTCATTTAACGTTACTTCTGGTACCACAGATTTTAGGGTAAAATTTTGTGAATTATCTTGGAACGAACTGAGGTCCATTTTGTAGCAACTTTAACCTGTATTTCGCGCGTAATCGCGTAATATTGAAGTCGAGGCTCTTCACGACGGACGATTACGAATTTTTGCGAAAATATGACGGATGTTACCGAAGGTTTATTGACCTGGAATACAAAAGCGCGCGGGTTTTGAATAATTTTGATCCCAACAAGTAGGAATTCAGCCTTCAATTCTCTACCCTGCCTGTGAAAGCTATGGAAAAAATGATGCCTTCTGAAGAAGAAGTTTTGCTCTTATGCAAGAAATACGACAAGATGAAACCAACCGTTCACGATGTCATGAAAGACGCGGAGAATCTCAACAAAAACTTTTCGTCCGCTGGCGTTTCTCTGATCCTAGAGTGTAGATTGCTAACTGCAGTTGCAAATCATCCTTGTTTTCTTCCCGAAAATCCTCTTAATGCTGAAGTACAAGTGAATTCACTGCTCCCGTACCTGTCCTCTTCCTGCTCTTGGGTTCGATCCATGGCTTGCAGCCTTATGAGGGTTTTTGCTTCGCGATTGGATCCCAAAGGTCAGCAAATAGAAACACAAGGTGAGAAAAATGAGACAGCTGATGAATAAGTCTTCAGGTTGTGTCATTTACGTTATATCTGAGTGTGAACTTGTACCCCTCGTGGAGTGGTGGAAGTTTAAGGGCGAGAGGAGAGGCAATACCACTGTTGATAGTCTAAGATTTTTAACGTGAGCTCTCCTCTTATTTAAAATAATCTACAAGAAACAATGGCCTTGTCGCAACCAGGCTGGCAAAAATTGCAACCTTTTGTCTTTCAAAGTGTTAAGATTTAATCACATCATGGCAATATTTACCCAGATTCCCACTAAATGAACACCCATTCCCCAAGGTAACTTATTCCCACTCTAAACATTTATAGGACCATTCACATTTTCTTTTATTTTTTTTTTCTGGTTCTTTGCTGTACTTTGATATATTCAGTGGAAATCAAGTCATACCTTTTTGTAACACTGCATGATTAGTTTTTGCTTTTTGTTTTTGTCATCTAGTCATTATAGTTTGCAAAAATCTTCAGACAACTTATGAGGAATCTTTTGCGGTTAAGGATACAAGGTCAGAGCTGTTTATTTGAAAGATTATCAGCTTACTGTACAATTGTGTAAGTCACAGATGATGTAAGCAACTCAAACAAAGCTAATACAACCCACAGATAATTCATCAACCTCTCCAATTTTAGAAATAACCCACATGTTTTCTCCTCTGCTGTTACTGTCCTTCAAGAAAATGACCTCACACATTGACCTTGTTAACTTGGAAAAAGATCAACCCTCATGGACCAACAAAATTCACAACTTTACCATGATTTCACTACCTTCCTGTGTCACTATTTAACAAAGGCACTAATTCCATTCCTACTACATTGTTAATATCCACTTGACATATTGGTGAGTTGTAACATGTCAATTACTGCTCCCCCTATATTTTACATTATACAGGTTTCATCTTTGTCAAGTTATAGCCTGTTCATCACTTTGCTACATCACCATTTCCTGGGCAGCTCTCCTTCCCCTCAGTGCTATAAAGTTTGTTCTCTTAACTTTGCAAACTGTTCTGAGCATTCTGAACAATCCAAGAGAGTGTACAAGTTCATTTCTTTATCAGGTAAGTTTTTGACAAATTTAAAAAAAGTCATGCAAAATCAATCTTTTAGATTTATTTAATTACTCTACACTTTGAAAGCCTGGTACCCACCCCAAACTTCTTTTGCTTCAGGAGGCTTCAAATATTTAATGCTTGAATGTTAACTCACTGTGGCAATCTTGATTGCTAACGCAAGTGCAATTCATTTAGGACAATAATAGGCCCTTAAGAACTAGGCTAACATCCTACAAACACCACAGGCCTGACTGGCTGGCAGTTTTGGGGGGCTCTATGAAAACAAAGGTGACAGAGCCTTCGAAATGAGTAGCCAAGCTTTAAGTGGAGTCTCAAGTTTTGCCACTCAGTGTCTCTAAGCTTACACATAACCAACAGCTGAGAAAGCTCTAACATTAAGCCACCTCTCCCCCCTTTCCTTCCTGTGGCTCCTTTGCAGACTAGAGGTTGATTAAGACCAAAGGGGTGAGAGAAAACCAAATGGTAAAAAACGGGGATGACCACGGGAAGGAAAGGATAAAATACATACAAATGCACCAAAACTGTGATATATAAAACTTTTAAAAGTCCAACTTGTGTACCAATTTTCTAAAGAGTGGGCCAAACATTTCTTGAAATATGCTCTTATTCTCAGATAGTTTATAATTAGACAGAACACTTTACAACCATGGAATATCTCTAATGTTACAGGTAGCTCTGGATGGTCTTGGGAAGCTACTCAAGTGTCCTGCAACATGGAATGTTTTATCAATATTAGAGAAACAAGATACACTGACAAAATATATGGGAATATTTCTTGAAAAGGAAAGATCTACTGATGATGTCAATATAACTGCTCGGATGCTGGAGGTTATTGACGATGCTGATGTCCTTCATGCCATCCTGAATTTACCAGATAAACATGTCGTTGGAAAATTGGCCAAGTATTTACTGGACCTCTTACCTCCCATCACTTCATCAGCTGGTAAGTCTATGATAAAAACAAGGTAATTTTATGTTATCAACTGAGTTGATAAAGTAAATTGGCCACAGTAAAGAGTTTCAAAGTTGATGTTTCAAGTGTTAGCCCCACTCAATCACTCTGTTGAAGGGCTAATGCTTGAAATGTCAGTTTTAAAACTCTTACGATGGCTGATTTATCTTATCAACTTACTTGATAATACTAAATTACCCTGTTATAATCTCTCACCAATGCAGCACCAAAGTTAATTTAGAAACTTAGCCCCTTTAAGATAAAACAAGTCTTTGGTGAAGATATTATCCAACCTATATAATTACCACTGAGCAGATTGAATGCAAGGGAATTCTTTGAGTAAAAGTAATCTGGTTTTTTTGTCTTCTTACAGAAGCCCCACTCTTAGACCTCAGATGGAAGTCCTTGAGTATCATTTACACATTGCTTCAGCTGGCTAAAACTAAGGAACTCTCTCAACTGGATGTTTTATTTGACAGAGGGTGTTGTGATACTGAAAAAGTTAACAGACTTTACACTGTAGTAAAAAGGAAATTTCAGTTTGAGTAATTATCTTACTCTCTTTCCCTTCATGTATAATTCCCCCACTGTTGTAAATATTAATAACATGAAAAACAAAACAAAACAAAAGCAAAAACAAAACATAACAGAGAAGCAACTTGAATAAAAACTGTCATACCAAGGAAATAAATTTTGGTTTTCAGATCCTAAGAGATGAAAATTCGAAAAGACTTTGAGCGAAATTATAGATGTAGGAAAATTCAAAATAATTTCGAACGTAGACTGCCCCATGAAAAAAACATATTAACTGTTACGTGACAACCCTTGTCACGCAATAATTTCCCTTAGTCCTCTATAATTTCTCCTCCCGAGAGTAAGTGAATAGTAGAAAAGCTAAGGTCAGGAAAAACAGAATGTCGCTCGCCAAAGCTGTTGTTTTGGATAATGGGTCTGATACAATCAAAGCGGGATTTGCCAAAGACGAGTCTCCTCAAGTAGAGTTTACCTCCGTCGTTGGTCATCCAAAGTACGCGAAATTACAAGAACAAGCAGATCGCGAAGATCCGCTCGTCGGAAATGGTGCCTTGGATAAGAGGGGCGATCTGGATCTTACATACCCAGTCAAGAACTCGATCATAACTAATTGGGAGGACATGGAAACGGTGATTTAAATTCAAATTGTGTCAGGATCTAATAAGGAAAAGTTAAAACAATTATGTATTAAGATATGAATGTTATGTTGCAGATCTGGCATTACACTTTCGCCCAGCTGGGTGTAAGTCCCGAAGAACGCCCCGTTCTTCTGACAGAAGCCCCATTTAATCCACAAGTAAACAGAGAGAAGACAACAGAGGTAACTGAAAATAGTTCGTGAAGCCTAAACAGATATCTGTACAGAGCGAGATGTGCTAGACAGCTTATATGAATTGGGTGGTCAGTCCACAGTCACGCGAACGAGAGATCAGAACCACTTTACGCCTAAAGCCAATAATTTCGAGATATGGAAGAATATCAATCAATAATCAAAGTATCTTTGCAGTTTTCCGCCGATGAAATATTCGAAAAAATGTCTCCATAGAAATATACAGGACTTAGGAGGAGTGCGAATATGGCGGCCGGAAATTCAAGCAAACCTATCAAGTGTCTAGTTTCGCTAGGAAAGTATCGCCGTAGCTCCATTTTGACCTAGAAAAATGTTCGCCCAAGCTTTTCAACAATGCCCACCGAAACATTTTGCTACTGATATAGGATAGGGACGAAAAAATTGGTAAAGGCGATTTACGGGGAAGCAGAGACTCAAAATATCTCTATTCAGGTTTAGTTCTTATACTCTAAACAATGCCAGCGTGGGAGGCAAGTGCTTCAGTTAATTTCTGTTATCTCTATTTCAATAGATCATGTTCGAGACCTTCCATACACCAGCAATGTATTTAGCTCCAGCACCTGTCCTGTCTCTCTACGCCTCTGGCCGTAAGGATGGTATCGTCCTCCAGAGTGGTTTCGGCGTCAGTTACGCCGTCCCTATCAGTGAAGGTTTCGCTCTTCGCCAGAACGTTTCGAGTCTCGATTTGGCCGGTACGAATTTGACAGATTATCTCACAAAGATTCTGGGCGAACGGGGAAAGACTCTAACCGAGCACAGATTAGCAAGAGATGTTAAAGAGAGGCTTTGCTATGTCGCTCAGGACTTTGAAAAGGAGATGAGTACTGCTGCCTCTGATCCGAGCTTGCAGAGAAGCTATGAACTCTCTGATGGTCAGTTTGTCACTCTTGGCGACGAGAGATTTAGATGTCCGGAGGTCCTGTTCCAGCCCTCCATGGCTGACAATAGTTTAGCGTTGTCACCCGGCATCCATCAGCTTGTATTTGAGTCCATCGTGAAGTGCAACGAAGACATCAGAAATGAAATGTACGCCAATATTGTCTTGTCTGGTGGCTCCACTATGTTCAAAGGAATTGCTGAAAGAATGCAGAAGGAGATCACTGGACTCGCCGGGGCTTCACCTACAAGAAAGGTCAAGATCATTGCTCCTCCTGAGCCTAAATACTCTGCATGGATTGGGGGATCAATCCTGGCTTCGTTATCGGATTTTCAGTCAATGTGGATCTCTAAGCAGGAATATGATGAAGAGGGTCCCGCTGTTGTCAACCGCAAATGCCTATAGCTATGAAAAAAAAATTGAACCCGTTCATGATTCTGTACGGCGTTGGCTTTGAGTTCTTGATGAATATAGACAAAACTTGATCTAATGAAGATTAATTTAGATGTACACAGAAAGATTTCTTTCAGTGTCTATGTGTTAACTCTAAAATGTTCACAAACTGAGGTACCTCTTGATCCGTGTGCAAATTCACCTTGTTAACATAAAGGAAATATACGGAGAACAGTATGAAGAATATACTTAGTTATCAGATTGCTGTGTGTTCACTGAAGCCCTTCCCACCATGCCACTCCTCAAAACAGACCTTCTCCGAACGCGACTGAATTTAAATAACGGCAAACAAAAACAAACAAATTATAACAAGGAAAAATTACCTTCGTTGCAAGAAAGTAAATCTTCAGTACAATACGTATTGAAAATTTGGTGCGATTCCAAAGATAAGGCTGCATGGAATCTTTTATAGATCGATTTCCAGCAAAAGAATGCTTATTTTTATTTTTTGCTTATTATTACGTCGATCTCAGGTCCAGTTGATACTGAGTAGTTTTAATTTCCAGTCGCTATTTTGGAGATGAGTTTTGGCCGGGAATGGTTAATCTGAAATTGTAATGACCCAAAAATCGCTAGGCAGGTAGCCGACTGAGTGACAGTTCTACCACTCATGCATGTTAAAACATGATGTTCAAACAGGTGGTAATCAGGGATAGGTGAATTGATAGATCTAAATACTGAAACACTCGCACTTTTTGTTTCTTAACAATTAATAAATAGATCATCCACAAACGAATCCTTTCGTTTTGCCCTCACGAAATCACAGTTATTCTTTTAGCCGTAAATTCTTCCCTTTTGCCTTGGTTACCGCAGCAACGTGACAACTACGGGTGCCCTTCAGTCGAAAATGTAAATTGTATGATCGTAATTTTTTGTTTCGTTAATGAATCGATTCCATCGACGAAAGCCAAATCATCTCGCAATCTACTGTTTTATCAGTTGTTCATAATTTTCTATTTTTCCTATCTTCTAATGGCGCCAGATTGAAAAATCCTCGAGCAATAAACCGACGAATTACAAAATTGTGTCGGTTGATGTTTAACGTAAGCTTTACGACCGTACCAACTTTAAAGGCCGCTGGCACGAGATTTGCCTTTGCGTTGTAATGTTTATATTTTTCCTCAAATAAAAGTCATAGAGGTTTTTTTCGCTGGAATTCTTCGACAGCTTGAAGTATCTCGTTCATTTCCTTCTCCAAATCATCTGCCAGCTGTCTTAACTTTTTAACCGCCTCTGGCTCCTTCTCTTTCTTTCCTTTTCGAACGGAGTCAATCTCCGTAAAGGAAGTTACCATAGTGTAAATGTCCAAAGGGAGAAGTGCAATGCTCACTGCGAATATTCCAATCCGAGCGGTGTTTCCAGCTATACCTATAGATCGGAGTATTCCATCCATACCCTCACTTGCCACTGTCGTTGCCACACTAGCGCCGGTCATGTTTATTCCGTTACTCACATCGACGAGGTTTTTCACCAACAAGGCGACGCTTACATTGCAAGCGAGACTATTTTTCACGCTGCTAAACGATTCTTTGGATACTTCACGACAAAGGTCATCTAAAAGCCTCTGCACGGGTTCCTGTGCTTTGCGATCGGCGTCGATGATTTCTTGCGCCGTCGCGAGCTTTGTTTTGAAAATTTTCGATTGTACAATGCTGGAACCAGCCACAGTAGCGCCTCCGCCGGCGCAGATCGCTCCTCCAACCGCAGATAGAATCAGTGAAGTCCCAAGACTGACAGCAGCGAGACCGAACCCCGTAGCGGCTAAAACAAAGCCTCCGATTGATGCTGATGAGCCCGAGATCTTGGCAATGTGAACATTCTTGTAATGTTCCATAAGTTCATCTGCCAGGCTTCGCAATGTTTCAATCGTTTCTTGGCGTTTTACAGACCATTGACGAATACTGCATGTCAACTGCGTGGTGCAAGTCACAAGGTCTATTTGGCTTTCCCCTTCGTTTGGGGTCATGTCGTCGTCTTTCTGAAATTTAACTCCCTGTGAAACTGCATCAGATTCCATTTTTCTTTGAAAAAACCTCAATAGCCTCTCTTTGATGTTCACACCTCAGCCTCTCTCTGACGTATGCTTTCTGGCATCTCTTGTCCTCTTTTCGTGCTTAACCGTGTTTTTTTAAGTTTCTTGTTGCCTTGGTATTAGGATTTGCCCCTTGTTGCCGAGGCACACAGCAATAAGTAATAGATAGATTTCATATTCAAATGTTGCATGATCAAACAGAATCAGTTTAGCCTTGGGTCCGAGGTTTCCTTTACAGCTGTCGCCAATGCGCTGTTTCCATGCCTCAGCAAAGAAATCAAAAGCCATCTGCAAGGGTGACTTCGTAATCAGCTCCTCACCTACATCCCTCCGGGCCTATTACCTTTAGGTTCAGCAGGGTCAGAGGTTGTGATTGGATCTATTGGAGTATAGCCTGTGGTGACCCCCATGTCTGAAGTGAGCTCGATCGTGTCACGAGCCGAGAATGCTTGTGACTTAGTTCAGCGGGTTTATTAGTAAGGACAGTAGAAGGAGCGACACCTCTTCTATTGAAGAGACGTTGTAATCACAGGATCAAATTTGAATCTTCAAAGAAACCCAGTCCTACGTCCTGAAGATGGTAAATCTAGGCAGGGATATTTTTACATGATCTCTTCGGAGGAACAGGAAGTAAGGAAAGTGAGGAATGTGCAGGGGAAAGGAATTCCTTCCGTCAACCATAACTTCGAAAGATCATCGTCGTGGTCAACTATGCTTCTACTTTTAGGCTCAGTGCAAGTTTCAGCTTTTCTTGAAGCCTTTATGATATATCACTGGCGGTGCCCGTGAGCAATATGAAAGCGAATCCTGTGTTCTGATTGGCTACCCGAGCGGGCGAGATGGGCCCATCTTGCCCGCTTCGGATTTCCCTCTTTAGTCCCGCGCAAGAAAGAAAATTCCTAAGACTTGGCGATGCAGTCGCTAAAGGCGGTAGAATACAGTCAAAATAAGGAAAACATAAACAACTCTCGTGGGTTTATTGTGCCCCAAAAGCAGTTGGCTTTCTTTCCCGTCTCTCGAAATAAACAAGTCAATTTTTTAATCTTAATTGAGCAAAATCTTTTTGCTATATGATGAATCCTTTATTGACCAAGCATGCTTAGTCAAAATGGCTGCATATTATTGAACGAAGGGGGTAAATTTGTAAAGAAACTGTGGTGCTGCGTCGGTGGGAGATTATACCTGGGCATCTAAGTATTATCAACTGAGTTGATAACGTAAATTGGCCACCAATTGGAGTTTAAATACTGACGTTTCGAGCATCAGCCCTTCGTCAGGCCAAAGAAATGGAGCCACACTATTGGTGGGAATATGGTGTCCAAGTTTTTCTGAAAGTAATGGTGCTGCGGTTGAGCAAACCGTGAGAACTACACATGTTCGGAGGGGAAACCAACAGAACTCAATCAGGAATTTCAAGTCCTCGGTAAGTTGGATGGCGCTTCGAACGTCCTTTGAGAAAGCGAAACGTGCCCTAAAAGGTACTACTTTAGTATTGAAAGACCATCAAGTTCGCTGACTTGTGCGAGTTTGGTTGGCTTACAGACAACAAGTATCTATCTGACGAGCTCACATCAAATTCTGATGACGAAAAGAAAATGTTTCAAGAAGAGAGGAGAGCGGAGAGAAAAGCGGTCAAGGATAAGTGTCGTCAGTAGCAACGAGCCGGTTCTTCTCGGCTAAGGTCATCCAGTTATCAGTCAAGAGCTTCTGTCCCTCCAAGTTCTTCCAATTCGTTGGTAGGCTATCACCCAATGTGTAAGGATTTTGGTAACTTCTGTGGTTTAGGTCCCTGTCAAGATGAGGATCATATTTATTTTTCCTTCCGTTTGAATCTGCCACCACATCTTAACTAGCTTTGTTTTTTGCCTAGATATATAGCGTTTACCACACAAGGCATATTCCCGTATTCTCTATGATTTGTAGTATCTTGCAGTCATCTTTAAGTTAGTGCAGAAAATACCAGATTAATCTCATCGAATACTTGATATCTAAAAAGACTTCATTTGGAATAGTTCTCATAAATAACAAAAAGCATTTTGCATAATCGTATTTCCACGCGCGCTTAATCCTACTATTATTGAGAAAAGAGGGGGGAAGAGGGGGCACTTATTCGAGAAGCGGTATATTCCGGTAACGAAACAAGGATAACAAGGCACACTAGCGCTCTTAATACTTTAATGGTTGAGCAAAATGTTATCATTCATTCACTGGGTAAATAACTGCAACTGTGAATCGTTCCTTTTAACCTTTCTTTACATTTTAACAATTCAAAAGCTAAAGAAACTTAGACATCTTACAAAATAGACTACCACCACTGATAAGTGGCCTCAGAAAAATAAAATGATAATTATATAATTTACACACACACACACACACACACAATTTCTTCAAAATCGTAATTGTTCAACTCACGTCATGACACCCAAGAATAGGGAAAAAAACCGGTTTTATAACATGACTATGCAGTCAATTACTTGGTTGTACTCACACAATTTCTAGAACTCCAAAATCACTTCTTGATATTATTACTACTATGATCAATGTAATCAGTGTAATCTCCCGTGAATACTGAACACGGTGAGGTTCCTGGGTCCTCTTTCCTAAAAGAATCGACCCTATCATGATAACGGGCTAGATTGCTTGTTTTTTGCAAATGTAATCCTTAAAATGAGTTACTAAAGCAATGAGAAGACATGAAAACTGGGAACAAACATTCCAGCAACTTATTGCCAAGTTCACTAATCACTAAGAACAACTGCATGTCTAAATCGCAGGGTTTTTCGGATTGTAAACCTGTAGCATAACTACTGTTGTTGGCCCCCACCAGTTGGTAACAGTTTCTTTGTCCTGAAGATCTTTGATGTCTGATCTCCTGTGCAGCTCTCCATCTTTCACTTGGAACAAGGGAGAGTTGTTTCTTTCATCTTGGTCAACAAATGGTATCAGGTCGGTCACCACAGCATGATCAAGAGTTTTGCTGGGGTTTGTGTAAGCGTCGTACACTTGATCAACTGATTTCTGAACAGTATCTGCTACAATCTTTAGATTATCCCTGCTCTCTTCATGAAGAAGCCTTCCATCGCCATATGCAATCCACTTGTCTCCTCTCTTGTTTGTGACACGCAGACCATACTTGTTATCTTCATCGTGCATGTACTTACAAAGCAAATTGCCAACTTTGGTAGAGGTAGTTCCATTGCCCAATTCAACTCTCGGTGTCCTGAAAGCAGAGATTTGTCAGCAAGTGGTCTGATTCTGAATATAGAAATTTAATCGAAGCAAACGCCTTTAATATAAAAGGCACAATATCCCTAAATATTAATGAACTAAGGTATCAGGGTACTACTAGAACTGTATGTACGCGGAAATAAAATTAAAGCACAAATTAAGAAAGGTTTAAGACGTATACACTAATAAAACCATTAAATTATAAAATTTTAATGTTATGAAATGTCACGCTATGCGATGCTATGTGATGTTATGTGATGTTATATTATGTGATGTTCTGTGATGTGATGTTACGTTATGTTATTCACCTTATGTGTCCACTTGCGAAGCTGTCAGTAAGGAAATGGCAAGCAAACGCATCCAGTGAAAATGCTTCGTGAAGAAGCCTCTTGCGCTCATCTTCATCACCCCCGCGATAGTAACCAGCCTCCCGTGCTTTGTCAATCGCCAGCTGATGGCCAGTCAGGTAAGCGTCCTTTGCGTGGGGAAGAAAATGATCGTGATTATTTTCAGCTAATTGCAGCATCCTACCCTCTTTCACTGGCAGGGGACCGAGCCATTTACCACCAGTGATTTCGTCCCATGTTTTCGCATCAATGGTTTTACCATTTTCGCTTTCTTTCTCTAATGTGGCCAGCAGTTTGTCTAGCTCCTCCATTAACTCATCTTTCGGTGCGCGTGCCAGAGTGTTGTATGCATCTCCGAAGCGCTGCTGGCGACCCGAGTCTTCTTCGTCTTGTCCTTTAGAAGGATCAATGATTGGTTGTTTCGGTACACCATAAAAATCTCCAGCAAGGGCTATAATTTGTTGAAATTCAATTTCCACACCATTTGGGAGCGTAAGCACTCTTAGTTCATCCATTTGGATAATCTTTCCAATATAATTGTGCTCATAGGAATCAAACAGTATCCTGGGGTGGGCCGCCATTTTGTTATTTCACTCTATGCTAAGAAAATATTAAGATCATGTAAGGTTTTTGTCATCGTGGCTTTAAATCAAAATAGCTATTAGACAGAGCAATTGTTGTCGACTCTGGTTGAAATCTTTTACATTATTGAAAAAGCCACTTTCCCCTTTTTTCCGATGCGGTACTTTGGAAGGAAGAGAGAGCCTCACTTTGAACTTTAAGTGCTGCATGCTTTTTCGGGCCTAATTAAGTCTTAATAAGTCTTATTATTATTATCTTATTATCTTAAGCATCAAGCTGAAAATTAAATTTCTTTCATTTTGTCCTGATGAATAGCCGTCAGTAAGGAAAGAAACCTGATGTAGATCGTTTCTACTTGAAGGATATTAATTTGAAGAAAAACCGAAAAATGGCCATAATTATATCTTGAAACTGGGTTCTGTACACTCGTATCGTGCACAGAAAAGGAAACGAAAAAGTATTTCTTCTTTCTACAAGCCATCGATGAAAGGGCAGTAGTAAAATTAATCAAACACGAAGAATTCGAAAATATAAGCCAGGTTTCGATCATTATTAGAGACCAAAAAGCCATTTTCTATGACATTCGACATGGTGATAAGCCATAACTCAAAACAAACTCTACTCTTGTAAATCACGAGATTGATTTTTTTCGAAAATACTTTAGAGCTGCGCAGGTTTTCCTATTAACCGGTTGAATACATCTGTAAAGTTGGCAAACGGGGCTTCACTGAATTGTCCAGTGCATTCTGAAAGAATACATGGCGAAAATTGCTTGCCTTGCCAAATACGTTCGTTGCACTTCATGGTTACTCCGTTAGTTAATGATATCCAGCTATATAGACTTTCACTTTTCTCGAAAAAAAAAAAAGAACTTCGTGGCTGGAGTTAAAAGTGATGATTTAAAGAGAGGTTCGTCTCGCTCAATAAACAAATTCCTTCGTGTTTCGGAATGCGTAAACAGTTCTACTTTGGGATGCTCTATATTTCAAAAATTGGTAACGGTAAAGATACACTGAACAAACAGTTGGCCACATCCCAAGCAAGTTTTAATTATCTGATAAGAATGTTTGTGTTCTTGTTAAACCAAAAATACATGTTCATTCGGAGTTATGGCACATTTTTGAGTCATGTCATCAAAGGCTTCTATAATCATCGCAAGCTGCTTTTTATTTTCGAATTGTCCTTCGCCGTTCTTGTTTGGTTAATTTCACTGCTTCTGCCCTTTAAGTAATTTCTAGTGAATAAAAAGAAATTTTGTGTCGATATAAAGTATCTAATTTATTTTTGTACGCTTTGTCGGCCAGCGCGATGCATCTTTATCGCATCAAATTTGGGTCTATTGATTAAGATATTTTGCGTTCGGCCGACAACCAGTCAGCTGTGGGCCCGGAACTGAGAATTTACTCAAACGACTGAGTCTTTGGAGAAAGTAGTTGTTATTTCCTTAGAGTAGTTAAAACATGTTCACTAAATTAAAATTTTATTCGCTTGCGTTGCTCGCCAGTTTATCGAGCAGTCTGTTGTTCCTTACGTTGTAAATCTGTTGTTCCGCGTCTTACAGACTTGACAAAAACCGTTATGTGGAAACAAAATTCTGTCTTCTACCAGAACTTTTAAAAACATTTCTACTAAATATTTCTCTGAGGAAACTAATATTGATACAAGGTGGTTCTGTTTAATGAGTTGACCAAATTTGGGTATTTTGACCTTATCGAAAGTAAAATACTTAATTTCCCATTTTTCTTAGAATTAAAGCCCTTCTGGAGGAAGCAAACTACCTCAGGTGCCCATTCCTACTAAAGGCTATTTGTAATAGGCATAGAATGCGGAAAGAAATTAGCGGAATTCGGTTTCTTAACATGTTGCATGAAATATATAATTTGCTTGATGGCTATGCACGAGTACTTGTCTTGTCATGACACCACTGTTACAGTATAATGATATACACTTGTACTTTACCTTAAGTCTGTAGTTAACTCTTTCTCGTGGTTGAGCCTAAACAGCAGTCCTTGGCTGCACCCGCACCGCGTCAGTCTCAGCACTCACTGACGTAATAAACCAGGTAAAAGACTTCGCGCTGTTATAAACACCCCGATATGATAAGTATTTCATCTACGTTCTTCCTTCCGGTCATGTGATATAGATTATCCTACGTTTTAAACAGATGGCTACAAAACCCGTTATTTATAACTTGTAAAGTAGATACCGTATTTCTTCACCTATCAGCCGAGCGATTTTCTCAGAATTTGACACAAAAGTTTGAGAGATTTTTTTCACGAGAAACGGGGTTCGGCTTATAGTCGAGTGTTTGGGATTCAAAAACAAGTACAAATGTAATGTTATGCAAAATGACCGTAAATTCCGTGACTGCAGCGCTCTTTACGTGACATGCTCTAAAACTGTCATGACAACAACGTATTTCTGACCACAAATCACATTCTTTGCTTCCCACGCATTGAAAGACGATCTTACTCAACTCGGCAAAACTCTTCTCAATTCACATTACAAATGCAATATTTGGTCTCTCTCCTGTGAAAACCACTCCATCACTTGCTTGTCTAGTTCGGGATACTTGGGAGTGAAACGGCCCATTTTTGCACGTTTTGCAGACATATTATGCTCACCAGAAAAAATAGTCGCCGGGTCACTTCTCCAGCGTCGCACCATGGACTCGCTAAGTCCATAATCTCAAGCGATTCCTGAGTTGTTTTCTACAGTTTCAGCTTCCGCGATAACTTTTATCTTGAAAGCCATAGTACACGAAGAGCGGCGTGCTTTTGGCATGATGAGAATAACAGTGACCAAAGAGATACTCGATTGAAACGTTTGTCAGGTTACATCAACTGAGAGTATTGTTGTGTTTCTGCAGTCGCGTAGTAGTATTTACATCTTCGCTTTTTTTCTTTTGTGTTTATTATCATTTTGTGTTCACTGAGCCATTTCCCAATGTTTTCCGTAAGGTTCGCTCACTCAAATGGCCGGTTACAATCAAGAATTTCGCTCTCGGTCTATAGCCGATGGTTTTGCTTTTTCTTTTGGACAATACGAGTCTGTTAGAAGGTATCTAACTTTTAGGGTCTTGCCTTAAAGCCTAAATCGGCTTATAGGTGAAGAAATACGGTATCATTAAAATTTAACATTCATAACTACAGCAGTCGCCATGATAAAGCTACAGCTGCAGAAGTTATAAAATAGTTATTTTAGAATATTTTGCGCTTAGGTGAAGGCGAGTCAGCTGTGGGCCGGAACAGGGCATTTTGCACGATCTGAAGTCCTTCATTTATTTAACACGTATTTTTGTTTCGTGAATATTAATTACATTTGAGACAGCAGAAACCACAAAGTTTTTTAGTGTCAATTACCTGTCAAGAGTTGACGCTACGCCGAATTCCACCAAACTAATAACCTTTTGTCATGCGTTGAGGAATCATGTTATTTTTGTTTTGAGGGCCTGTGGCCCTGTTCGATTTAAAACCAAATATGGAAATAAAAGAGGACCTTCTTTCCCAATTTTGCTTCAGAGCCGTTTATCGAAAATTCTATCACTGATTAACTTAGATCTACGGAAGAATTATTACAACATTCGAATAATTTAAGGAATTATTTTAAAAGCTAGATATACCTCGAGAACGTTATTTCTACTGTGGAAAACAGGCTAAAAATCGCATTTAGTTCATTAAGCCCTGAAGAAAAAAGCCATTGAAGGAAAAAAATTTTGGCCATTATTGAAATTTTCTAACCGAGCGTCGCTTTCCTAACCACAAAATGGGAGTACCGCAGAGGTTTATACGAAAGACTCACAGGTGTACCCTCGCGTGTTCAAAAGCGAACTTCTCCTTACACTGTTGATAGAATGTTAAGCACACAGAAAGTGAGAATTGAGAAACTGAGCGACTGATAAACAAAGGCTTGAATCTACACTTAAATTTCATCCAACAATTATTATAACGTGTGGCAATCGTAAACTTGGGAGAATTGATATTTCGAAGTAAGAAAGAATACGCATGCAACGCGAGTTGGACCTTATGAAACGTCTCAATCAAATTGGTCTTGTCAAGTTTGCTTTTGCAATTTAGTTAAATACATCCTTTCCAAGTTTCATAGGGTTTTCCTCTTTCCTCTTTCCTCAGGGGGTACTTATTTGGGAGGGGTGTTTGTTCGACATTGTGAGGGCGCTTAAAAAAGAGCGAGGAAACACAGCATTAAGTCGCATTTATTTACTAGCACACCTCTCTACCGTCTACTAAAATAGGTATCAATATAATCAAATAAATGTAAACTTATGTTTCTTTCCCTGAGAAATCGTTTAAGTACAGATGTTTTTGTCACCGGTAACATTTTTAGCCTTATAAATCAAATTTTATAACTTGCCGGGCAAAGATTTCCTTACATGACACGCGAGAATCGATCATTAAATTTGATAAACATGGTGCTATTGTTCACTAGAAATTACCGAATTATACTGCATGCATTTCACGCATTGTAACTGCGTTTACATAGAATAAAAAACCAAAATGGCGGACAGGTTAGAAGAAAGTAAGAACGTTTTAACTCATAGTTTGGAGAAGAATGCTACGACGTGAAAATAAAACACACCAAACAAAGTACAAACTACCAGCGAAAAATCTTGAAGGCTTCCAAAAACGGCTATGACGAGAGTATGTAGTGAAACCTACGAACAGGAGACCTCGAACAAACTTCACAAGGAGTTTTACGCAACAGTGCGTAAGAAAGGAATGGAAGGTTACGAGTGTGATAGTCATCATTTGACGGTTACTGCTAATACAGTGAGAGTACAAACACTCCGCTACTCTTTACAAAGAGTTTGAGAGCGCTTGTCTGTAAAAATCACACAAATTCTAAATTTCGCGGCAAGGGTGAAAAATTCGATTTCTTTCTTATTTTAATATTAGATAGGCAAGACTTTAACTAAAATCACTGGATACTTTTTTGGCAAAATATATTTTTATTTCAGAGAAAAAATACAAATAACAAAATTCCGTTAAAATCGTCATTTTTAGCAGCAAATTATTGCACAAGTCTGAGGGCTTCGCATTCAAAAACGAATCACTATCTCGTCTTTTTTACACTCAAATCTTCTTTTTCAGCCTCATAAGACCTCACAAAACGATTTTTGAAAACATTGCGTTCCTCTTTGCGTGTAAAATAATTTAATTTCGAAAGCCTACATTTCTCTTCAGTAAAAGTACTTTGTGAGTAAAGTTAGTTTTCAGCATGTGCTAAACCTTCAAATGGATTAAGCTTTTGGCGGTAGAGTTACGAAAAGATGTTCTCAATATAACTGTAAAAATTTGTTTGGGCAAATGATTGAGAGCGATACAAAAGCTTTTCAAAGTCCGTTAAAATGCAGTTATTTGACCTTTCGTGGTCAACATTCCACTCACGAGTCACAGACATATTTTAATATGTTTCAACCCATATGAGGCCGGAAAATGTACATGGGTACACATTTCCAAATGCCCTAACCTCATTTGCCGTAGAAGAAAGATCCATCCCAAGATTTTAAAAGTGGCACTACACATACATTGCAGTCAACGTAATGTTGTTTACGGAGAAAAATATGTTTCTAGAACTTATTAAAATATGTGTGACTCGCGACTGAAATGTTGACCGCAAAAGGTCAAATAACTGCATTTTAACGGACTTTGAAAAGCTTTTGTATCGCTCTCAATCATTTGCCCAAACACATTTTTACAGTTATATTGAGAACATCTTTTCGAAATTCAACCACCAAAAGCTTAATCCATTTGAAGGTTTAGCATATGGTGAAAATTAATCTTATTCACGAAGTATTTTTAGTGAAGAGAAATGCATGCTTTCGAAATTAAATTATTTTAAGCGCAAAGAAGAGCGCAAAAATTATTTTGTGAGGTCTTATGAGATCGAAAAAGAAGATTTGAGTGTTTAAAAGACGAGATAGTAATTCGTTTTTGCACGCGAAGCCCTCAACCTGGTGCGATAAATTTGCTGCTAAAAATGACGATTTTAACGGAATTTCGTTATTTGTATTTTTCTCGGAAATAAAAAGATATTTTGCCAAGAAAAGTATCCAGTGATTTTAGTTATAGCCTAGCCTATCTAACATTAAAATAAGAAAGAAATCGAATATTCCACCCTTGCCGCGATATGTTTAATTTTTACAGACAAGCGCTCTTCAAAGGGTTAGCCTTTGAAAAATTGACTCGTTCCGTTCTTACCTGTCCCAAATTTCATCCGCAATCACGTTATCTTCCTGCACAAACAGACTAACTAAATGAAAATGTAATTTTCATAATTTTCTTGGTGCAATCGGTTGCAAGTTCTTCATTCTATAATCAACAAGTTCAGTCTTAAAATACTATGAGCTTTTCCGGCAACACATCACACCTTAGAAGACTAAGTTGTCCAGGCTTTCTTCGAAGTCGTTCACAGTTCGAAGAATTTCATCCATTTCTTTCTCCAGCGCTTCCGCTAAACCCTTCAGCATCTTAACAACTTCAGGTTCACTCTCTCTCTTTTCTTTACGAGCGTTATCGATTTGTATGGAGGAATCCACCAGAGTGTAGATATCAAAAGGAAAGAAGATGGCGCTGACTGCAAACAAGCCAATCCGAGCAGCGTTTGCTCCTATTCCTATGGCTCTAAAAACTGCCTCTACCCCCTCACCAGCAGCTATCGTAGCAACCCTTGCACCAGCTTTTGCGCTTTTGCCCAAATCCACGAGGTTTTTTATCAGCATAACGACGCTTCCAGAAAAGGAGAGGCGATCTTTGAGCACACCAAATGACATGTTGGACACTTCACGGTCTAAGTCACCCAAAAGCTTTTGGACAGGTTCAAGTGATCTCTGATCAGCGTTCATGGCTTCTTGAGCAATTGCAAGCTTCTTTTGAATAATCTTCCTTTTCACAAGACCAGAACCAGCGGCTGTTGCACCACCTCCAGCACATAGGGCCCCTCCGACAGCTGAAAGTATGACGGAAGATCCAAAAGTGAAAGGCGCCAAAGCAAAACCGGTTGCAACGAGAGCGAACCCTCCGATCGCAGAAGACGAACCAGCAATCTTGGCGACGTTGACATTGAAGTGATGCTTCAATATATCATCCGCTAACTCTCGTAAAATACGTACCGTGTTTTTACGTTCAACAGACCAAAGTCGAGCTTTGGCTATTAGCTCTCTTGAAGCAGTAAGCAGTTTCTCCATTTCACTGTAAGATCGGAACTCGCAGTTGTTGTAAGAAGTTTAGTTGTTTGTTTCTGGTTCGCAAGCGATGCGGCTCGTCTGATTTTTGAGCGAAAGGAAGTCTTCCCGGCATGCCTCGCATGAAAATTTGGCTTAAGGAAAGTTTCTTCCCTCCCCTCCCCCCCCCTTTCCATTGTTAAATTCCATGACTTGTTTCGATCTGATAATTTTACTGCAGAGAAATCGTATATTTTACGTCACTCTGTAGGTAATATCTCGTCTTTGCCTTTTAATCAGGCTTCCAACCACGAAGCTTCGACGAAAAGTGTTTGCAATTTGAAATATTGACCTGCTTCAAAGAAAGGTGCGTTCAACAAAAGTGAACGAAAACGAAAAGAAAATAAACTAAAAGAAAAGAAAAGAAAAACACCTAAACGTTAAACTCCAAGAAAGTTGACGGTGAGGATGACTGTTAATAAACGTTGCCTACTCCCTGTTGACATGTGGTTTGAATGGTATGCTGCTTGTATTTCGATGTTTCCCCAATCTTTTGTCTGATTGAAAATCAAAAGTTCAAACAGACCTATCCGAGGTAATAATTTAAAAATCCCTTCAACCTGACTATAGCTAACGAGAGAGACCCTCATTTCAGCGTTTCAGTTAGAGCGTTTTCCCGCCTGCAAATAAGTTTGAAACCTTGCGCATCGCGAGCTGGCGAGAAGTTTGAAAGTAGTCTTGCACTCATATCAGAACGGGATATTGCCGTTCTCTCCAACAAGTTCATGGCGTCGTTTCCCTGGTTTTCTCGTCGCGATCAAAACGCCCTGGATTTGCGTAAATTGTGCACTTATAAACAAGATAATGCTGTTTAGAATGATTCCAGAACTCATTTCCGGGATAACCAGGTCCCTTTGTTTGTTTTATTTGGCGTATTTGTGAAAATTTACCGCTACAGTTACGCTGGGTTCCCCAAAGTAAATTGAAACACAGTCGTTAGCAAGCGATCCAAGGTTTCAGGACTCAGCTCTCCTTTAGTTGAGCAACACTTTCAAGAGTTAAACGATGTAAGAGCTTTTCTTTGATACATTTCTTTAAGGCTATATGAAAAACTCTAAGAATGGGTTGCTGATGAATTTTATGGTGCCCACGTTTGCATTGAAGCGCTTGTCATTGTACTTGCACGCTAGCCTTACTCTCACCTAGAGAACAAACTCATCAAAAATATGACCCAAGTTTAACAAAATTTCACACTGCTCGAAAACTGAAACTGGATACAGAATGTAAGCAAGTATACTTGCCCTTTCCTTGCCCCTTCCTATTAAGTTTGCGCATGCTACGATACCCGATCATATCTGAACCCGCACTCCTCGTAAAACACCTCACATCGCTGGGTGTCAAAACGTTCGGATCACTCACGGGTTACAGCTTGATTTCCGCCAAGTTAGTAAAAACATAAGTGACGAACTCGGAAAAGAAAACTCATAAGAAAAGAGGAATTTAATCTTTTGTTTTATGACAAACAACTGCTCAAATTCAAGGAAATTACAAATGAACTGTGAAGGAAAGAATGTCTCCCGTCAGGAGCCATTAGTGCGCTCCTGATCCCATTTTTTCACAGATTTGGTGCAGTGAGATTCCCAAATACTTCTTAGAAGCACTTGCGGTGAACAATGGAGGGACCAGATTCATCATATTCTTGCTTGGAAATCCACATCTGTTGGAAGGTGGACAGTGACGCCAAGATCGATCCTCCGATCCACACAGAGTATTTACGCTCAGGAGGAGCAATAATCTTGATCTTCATTGTGGGCGGAGCCAGAGCAGTGATTTCCTTCTGCATTCTGTCAGCGATTCCTGGAAACATGGTGGAGCCACCAGACAACACTGTGTTGGCGTACAAATCCTTACGGATATCCACATCACACTTCATGATGGAATTGTATGTAGTCTCATGGATGCCAGCGGATTCCATTCCAAGGAAGGAGGGTTTGAACAAGGCTTCGGGTCCACGGAATCGCTCGTTGCCAACAGTGATAACCTGGCCATCAGGAAGCTCATAGCTCTTTTCCAAGCTGGAGGTTGAAGCAGTAGTCTGCATTTCTTGATCAAAATCCATGGCAACATAGCAGAGCTTCTCTTTGATGTCACGCACAATCTCGCGCTCAGCTGTGGTGGTGAACGAGTAGCTACGCTCTGTCAGAATCTTCATCAAGTAATCGGTCAAGTCCCTGCCAGCCAAATCGAGACGAATGATGGCATGGGGAAGAGCGTAGCCTTCGTAGATAGGAACTGTATGACTTACACCGTCCCCGCTGTCAAAGACGATACCGGTTGTTCGGCCAGAGGCGTAGAGAGACAACACGGCCTGGATAGCTACATACATGGCAGGCGCGTTAAACGTCTCGAACATAATCTGAAAAAAAAACCCAGAAAAAAAAATCAGATTTATCTCATTGAATGCTTGATCTCGAAAAATACCTAATTTTAGCCTTTGTGTAGCCGTACCTTCCCCCTCCCTCCCCCAGGTTAAACGGAAGCGTCACCTTGCCTCCGTTTTGCCTTGCGGGGGGAGGGTATGCGTAAAGCATTATGCATTACCGTATTTCCTCGACTGAGGGGGGCTTTTAAAGTTAGCGTAGTAATAATCCAAAATTAAAAGAACAGACTATGCACAAAAGGAACGCTTTAAGCACAAGGAGATCGAACTAGCTGGAAGTGACCTTAACGGAAAATGATCTTTTCTCCTGAACTGATTCCGGTGCAGTTGAAGCTCAAACAGTTTAATTAAAGTGGCAATAGAAACAGGTTTTCTTTGTATTCCTACTATTATTAAGAAAGTAAGTAAGAGAGAGGCGGGCACTTTTTTGAAAGGGGCGTTTGTTTAACATTGTGACCAAGGCAGGGGGAGGGGGTGCTTATTTGGGGAAGGGCCCTTATAAGAGCGTGGGTGCTTATTCGAGTAAATACGGCATTAAGTCGCCTTCATTTACAAGCACACCTCTATACCGTCTACTAAAATAGGTATCATTTTAATCAAACAAAATGAAAATACCTTTTCGATTTCAGAACTTGTAGCGATCGCGAAGATGTAAACTAATGTCTCTTTCCTTGAGATATCGTTCAATTAAAGATTTTTTTGTAATAGGCAACATTTTTAGCCATATAAGGCGCTGAAGAAAAATCATTCTCTTTTGGAATTCCTCTCTCGGAAGGGGAAGGGAAAAACAATTAGAAAAATCAGTTGTGGGGAGGAGGTTTCCTTGACGGAATATCTTTGCTGTAATTTTTGTGCACGTAATGCTTAGAAGTTCAATTTTGTTGTTCCGGTCTCTTCTGCCGCGATTCTATCCGTTCCTCACCTCCCCCCCCTACACACCCTATTACTCCCCCTATCATTCAAGTCTGGGACTTCCATGAAAACAGTTTTGTTCACGTTAACAGGTGTAAATGTTATCATGGTGGATTGGAATTCTCGATATCGAACCGAATAGAAAAGAAAACTTTAAATTTCCACGACAAACATGCTGCCACACTGGTATTTCCTTCTAACCAAGGGATTATAAACTGTTTATATTCTCATGTACTAACTCAAAAGCGAATTGTACAATTTACGTTAAAATTTGTCTGAATTATGCAATAAAACAAAGCGAAAATCTTGGTCACAGTTATTCAAATTTATGACGGTTAATGAATCAAAGCAAAAGCTAGTTTGGATTCTTATCACTAGAAATTTGTAACTGTTACCTGTGTCATCTTTTCTCTGTTGGCTTTTGGATTTAGAGGAGCTTCTGTCAGTAGAATTGGGTGTTCCTCTGGAGCAATGCGAAGTTCGTTGTAAAACGTGTGATGCCAGATCTGAAATTTCAAATAATGTTTGTCTTAACTCAATGAAATTCCCTGTAACTTAACTGATAATTACAATTTCAGTTACCTTTTCCATATCATCCCAATTGGTTACGATACCGTGTTCAATGGGATATTTCAGAGTTAGAATACCTCGCTTGCTCTGAGCTTCATCGCCGACATACGAGTCTTTCTGACCCATACCAACCATCACACCCTGATGTCTTGGGCGACCAACGATGGAGGGAAACACTGCACGAGGAGCATCGTCCCCTGCAAAACCGGCCTTGCACATACCAGAGCCATTGTCCACAACCAAAGCAGCAACTTCTTCATCAGCCATTTTTAGTTCAATTCGTGGAAGCGAGGAAGTACAAAAGTGTAAAAAAAAGGCTTGAAACTGATTCAGAACTCAGTGCTTGAAATTATTTTCATAGCTGTGAGCGGCTTATATAGGTAAGGGATTTTGTTCACTCAGGTGATTGGTAGAAAGCTCTCATTTATTGTGTGATATTGAGCTTATTCCGGCCACCTGTGATTCCAGTTAGAAATGTCTGCGGGATTCCCGTTATGTTTTAATACAAACGACGCTTCAGCCTTAAAATTAAACAATACTATGTCTTCTTGTTGAATTTAGCGACTTTGCAAATCACAAATCGTTTATATTAAGTTGTTAGTGGTCAGCAATTTTACCGGCTCAAGTTTGTTGCCGTTAACTTTCAGTCACAGCAGTAATTGATTAAAACACAAGCTTACTCTTGTTTAGCTTTTTTTCTGTAGGAAACATTCGACTTCACTTGGATCAAAGAAAAAAAGGAAAACAATATGATTTCTAATTAACGCCAATGGAGCTGGCAAGGAGTCCAAGTGTAAAACTCACTTCTTTTGGCCATATTTGGTTACGGAGCGCACACAATGTTAAACAATTTGGTTAATTGAAAAACAAACAACTTTAGACTTTATTCACCTGTCTTTTCTGCCTAATGCGAAAAAAAGCCTCACAAAGAAACACACCTCTGAACTTTGAAAAAGCGCGGATCGAAAACACCAACACATGATTGGTTACTCTCTTTCCAGAGAGAACCAATGAAAACGGAACACCGTTGATCCTAACCGCAGGTAAACCAAGTATAAAAGGATGGTTTTCCACCCTTTTTGGCGGGATTGGAATTGAGAATTTCCCTGCCTGTCCCTGATTAACACAGCCTGACTTAACAAAGCAGCTGAAGAGATTCTTTAAGAATCGAAACCGCCGGTCCTGCTAGACGATATACTTTACTTTCAGTTTTACCTGATAAAGATGTCAGCTTTTGAAACACCATTGCGGCCACCAAAAACGCCAGACTACCGTCCAAATCTGGACGAGGAGATGGAATTAACGTACGCTGATCCGAACCTAGAATCGGACCCAGGGATAGCCCTCCAGCATCACAACTCGAGCCAAGGCATAAAACTGAATTAGCCAAACAACGCAGCAACGAAGGTCTACGCCTTCAAAAAGAAAGCCGTCAAAAATAAAACCTTCCGAGGAATAGCCGATCCACGCGGCAGCCAGGGAAGAGGAAACATGAAGACACCATCAGCGCTATCCAGTTCAAGAAGCAAAAAACTGAAACCTCCATTTTAAAACTGGAGAGACACTTACAACAAAAGACTTGCCCTAAGTCGCTTCAATACAAGGCGAAGGCAAACGTCACGCCTGACGAAACCTTTCGACAGGAAATAAGCGCTATTAAAAGTCACGCCGAAGAACAATACGTTAGCGCCCTAGTGCGCTTCCATCAGCGTAGACTTGTTAGTCACAAGAACAAACTTGAAAAGGCTAATATTGCCAAGTCTCGATCACAATACAATGTAAATACACGTGAAAGATCACGTTCGCCCTTGAGGAACACTGTAAATACTGATGTCGACAGGATAGACAAAATAGAAAATCAGCTTTCAGAGCTGAAAGATCTTACATGTACACGCTTTCAGAGTGATAATAAACATGTTGAAAAGTACAACAGTGTCATCTCTGAAAAATCAGTCGCCAAACCCACTGCAGCAAAAAGGCTATCCAAAAATAATAAACGCAAAAAGCGTAGAAAAATACACTACACAAGCGAGTGACTACAGAAAGGGAGAAAAATGAAAAATACCTTAAAAACCTTTCAGACAATACATTAACTGATCACCAAGTCAGCGTGTTAGCAAAAGGGCTTAAATTTATTGAAACACCCGTGACAAATGAAAATAAGATCAGGCAACAATTGTTGCGTGACTTCGAACAATTCGCTAGGCGAATGAGACTTAGATATATATTCCACGGTAACAAGGAACCACATCCTTTCCACATCAAATCAAACTGGATACCACCAGTACAACCTTCTATTGCCCTTGAACGCTACTTCGAAAATATCAAGTTAAGCCTTGCTGAAATAGAAATAACAAAGCCAAAACACAACCTGTCATATAACGAACAAAAGCAGTCAAAGAACTGCAAAACAATACTGCCATCAACCTTAAACGTGCTGACAAAGGCACCACAACAGTGATTCTCAACAAGAGGGACAAAATTCAAGAGGCCCAGGTTCAGCTCGACAACAGAGACCACTACCGACCTCTTGAAAACCCCATGGTCACTGACACATTAAAAAAAGTTAATGAGCTTATTGCTCAACTGCACAATGGCAAACATATAGACGATATGACAAAAAAAGTGGCTTTCACAGACTCCCAATCCGCCCAGAATACCGATTTTCTACACTTTAACAAAAATCCACAAACCTTTGCCAGTGGGTAGACCGATTATATCGGGCTGCGAAGGACCAACTGAAAGGATATCATTTATTACAGCCTATTGCTCAAAAGCAAAAATCGTATCTCAAAGATACGACTGATTTCATCAACTTTATAGAGAAAACGCAAGTGTCAAATGATACTATTTTAGTATCAATGGATGTAACAAGCTTGTACACAAACATCCCACAAGAAGAGGGTATCACAATAGTATGCCAAGCATACGAAAAATACCACAATAACAGCCCTCCCATTCCGTCCCACTACTTAAAACAAATCCTCGGGCTTATACTGAAAGAAAATTCGTTCCAGTTCAACGGAGTAAACTTTCTCCAATGTTTTGGAACTGCCATGGGAACACGAATGGCGGTTGCTTTCGCCAATCTCTTTATGGCAGAAATTGAAACAAAACTGCTTCACCAAAGCAGAGTCAAGCCGAGAGTATGGAAGCGTTACATTGACGACGTTTTCTCCCTGTGGGATGTTCGTAAACAAGACATTGATCTATTCATAGAACAAGCTAACACGTTCTATCCAACTATAAAGTTCACGGTTGAAATCTCAGAGACTGAAATCACATTCTTAGACACGGTTGTCTACAAAGGTGAAAGATTCCAAAACGAAGCTATCCTCGACGTCAAAACTCACTACAAACCGACCGAGACCTTTATATATATATCAGTTTGATGTCGATACAGCTTTTTCTTACTTTTACAATACACTATTGGCACTCGTTGACAAACATGCTCCTTTAAAGACTGTTTCGAATCGCAAGCTTAAGCAGTTCTCTAAACCATGGATAACTAGTGGCCTTAGAAAATCCATCAAAATAAAAAATTCTCTCCTCCAATCGGGTGATCTTGTAAATTATAAAATATACAGAAATAAAATTTCTAGTCTTACTCGACTAAGTAAAAAGAATTGTTATCACGCGTTCTTTGCCGAAAATTTAAACAATATGAAAAACACCTGGAATGGAATAAATAGGCTAATTAACGACAAAAAGAATAGAAAACAAGTCATTTCTTCCCTTAAACGTCCTGATGATAAAAGCTTAACTAATGATCCTCTTGAGATTTCTAACATCTTCAATAACTACTTTTCTTCGGTCGGTAAAAACCTAGCTTCACGCGTACCTCGTTCATCTCGCTTTTTTACCGAATACTTGTCTCCCAATTATAATCCAAGCTCTTTCTTCTTTGATCCAGTTACGCCAGAGGAAATTGAGCGTGAGATACTTTTGATCCCTAAAAATAAAACCTACGGTCTCTACTCTTGTCCGATTCGTATTTTAACTGACGCAAGATGCGTTATCTCGGGCCCTCTCTCCATCATCATAAACATATCTGTGCAAAAGGGCATCTTTCCATCCAAACTGAAAAAAGCGAAAGTTGTTCCTGTGTACAAAAATGACGATGAGACTGAGCCTGGTAATTATCGTCCGATATCATTACTGTCTATTTTCAATCGGATATTTGAAAAATTAATGTACCACCGCCTCAAATCCTATCTTGGTAAAAACGATATTCTATTTAAGTCACAGTATGGCTTCCGCGAAAACCATTCCACGCAACATGCCATTATTGATATCGTTAATGTCATACAAAACAATATGGACCAAAAACTTTTCACTTGCGGGATCTTTTTAGACTTAAAAAAGGCCTTTGATACCGTCGACCATTTAATCTTGCTTCAAAAACTTAATCATTATGGCATCAGAGGAATTATCAATACTTGGTTTGCCTCGTACCTTCTCGGTCGTTCACAAGTAACTGAAGTGGGTTTTAACTTATCTACCGAATGTATGATCTCATGTGGTGTCCCACAGGGGTCTGTGCTTGGTCCTCTGTTATTCTTAATCTATATTAACGATATTCACAACTCTTCAGCGAAATTGTCATTCTATCTCTTTGCTGATGACACGAGCTTGTTGTATGCTGACTCTAATTTGAAATCTCTTGAAAAAACCGTCAATAGCGAACTGCTCAAAGTCTCTGACTGGCTCAATGCAAATAAGTTAACGCTCAATGCTAAAAAGTCAAACTATGTTATCTATCGTCCATGTCAACGTAAGTTGAACTACTCGATTAACATTGAAATGATCGATAACTGTACTCAAATTCCTACCACGCTTCAGTGCGCAGACCATGTTAAATATCTTGGCGTCCTATTGGACAGCAACTTAAACTGGAAATTTCAAATAAATAATGTTGCATTAAAAATAAGCAGAACTGTTGGTGTTGTTGCCCGTCTTAGGCACTTCGTCCCACGTACAACCCTTTTAAATATTTATCAATCATTGATCTTGCCTCATCTGACATATGGTTTGGCGGCTTGGGGTCAAGCTGCCAAAACCCATTTAAAAAAAATCCTCGTGCTTCAAAAACGAGCCCTTCGTTTGATGTACTTTTCTGAACCTAGAGCCCATGCTGTGCCTTTATTTATTTCCTCGAAAATTCTACCCCTACAAATGTTATATGCTGAAAAAGTATCTTCTATAATGTTTGACGTTTCCTGCATGAATGCTCCGTCTAACATCTGTGATTTCTTCACTAAAGCTAATTCAAAGCACAGGCATGAGACCAGGTTTTCTTCGTCTGGAAATTATTATGTTCAAACTTCAAGACTGAATCTAAATCAAGATTCTTTTTCCAGGTTTGGAGCTAAACTTTGGAACGCAATTCCTAACGAATTTCGTCAACTCTCCAAAGGAGCTTTTAAGAAAAATTTTCATGACTTTTTGCTCTCGATAATGGAAGCAGAGGACGATTATGTTGAAGTGCCCATTCTCCTACAAAAAATGGCAAATTCTGCATCCTCGACTCAATGTATATAATTGATAGTTCTGTTAGTAGTAAATTTGATTGTAATATCATTCTGTAAGACTATATATTTTGTAACTTTAGCTTGTTTATCCAGATAGTTTATTTAGTTACTTTACAATTATTATATTATCTGTTATGACTGTTGTAACCTTTCCTCTCCGCCTGCCTCGTCTAGCTTTTGCTATTTGCGGGTGGAGATGGCAAAATGATTTGCATGAAATAAATTATAGTATGTGTGAAAGCAGAGCAATATACACACTATTCATCTTGCCACCCACCAGGTGTTAAGAAAGGCTTTATTAAAGGAGAAGCTATCAGACTTCTAAGAACAAACTCCTCGGAAAGAAATTTCCAGGAGGCCATGTGTAACTTCAAAACACGACTTGAAGCACGTGGTTACCCAAAAAGCCTACTTGAAAAAACGTTATCTGAGGTCTCGTTTGCCGCAAGGCAGTCGACACTTAAAAAAACAAACCAAAAAACTAAAGGCAAAATATTGCCTTTTGTGACAGCATACCACCCAGGGGTTAAAAATTTAAAACAAATACTGATGCAAGAATGGAACCTCATCCAAAATCAGCCACTGCTGAAAACAATTTACAAAACGCCTCCGATTGTATCATACAAAAGAGGTAAATCGCTCAAAGACATACTCGTCAGAGCGAAGCTTTAATTAAAGGCTTTTGCGTCGCAAACGTAAAACCACACAGGGGAGTCTTTGTAGGCCTGTCTATGACCTTTTAAATCTTGTTTTAATGATCGCAAAACTTATGAATTATAATCGCACATACACTATAAATCCACGATCTCGACGATTTAAATTCTCAGTTCGCGCTGATCGTTTTGATTCGATCAATCAAGGCTGTCTTGCGCGGATCTACTTTCTACTATAGTTTTGCAATCTGTCACCACATGTTTACTAGCTCCTTTTTTGCCTAGGTATATAGCGTTTACCGCACAGGCCATAATCCAGTATTCTCCATGATTTGTAGTATTTTGCAGTCATATTTAAGTTAGTGCCGAAAATACCAGATTAATCTCATTGAATGCTTGATATAAAAAAATACTTCCTTTGGAATAGTTCTCATAGATAACAAAAAGCATTCTGCATTACCGTATTTCCTCAACTGAGGGCACTTAATCCTACTTTTGTTAAGAAAATGAGGTGGGAAGAGGGGGTACTTATTTGGGAGGGGTGTTTGTTCGACATTGTGAGGGCGCTTAAAAAAAAAGAGCGAGGAAACACAGCATTAAGTCGTATTTATTTACTAGCACACCTCTATACCGTCTACTAAAATAGGTATCAATATAATCAAATAGATGTAAACTTATGTTTCTTTTCCTGAGAAATCGTTTAAGTACAGATGTTTTTGTCACCGGTAATATTTTTAGCCATATAAATCAAATTCGATAACTTGCCGGGCAAAGATTTCCTTACATGACACGCGAGAATCGATCATTAAATTTGATAAATATGGTGCTATTGTTCACTAGAAATTACTGAATTATACTGCATGCATTTAACGCATTACAACTGCGTTTACATAGAATAAAAAACCAAAATGGCGGACAGGTTAGGAGAAAGTAAGAACGTTTTCACTCATAGCTTAGAGAAGAATGCTACGACGTGAAAAAAAACAACACGCCAAACAACGTACAAACTACCAGCTAAAAATCTTGAAGGCTTCCAAAAAAGGCTATGACGAGAGTATGTAGTGAAACCTACGAACAGAAGACCTCGAACAAACTTGACAAGGAGTTTTACGCAACAGTGCGTAAGAAAGGAATGGAAGGTTACGAGTGTGATAGTCATCATTTGACGGTTACTGCTAACACAGTGAGAGTACAAACACTCCGCTACTCTTTACAAAGAGTTTAGAAGGGTTGGCCTTTGAAAAGTTGACTCGTTCTTATCTGTCCTAAATTTTTATCCGCAATCACGTTATCTTCCTGCACAAACAGACTAACTTATAAATGAAAATGTAATTTTCATAATTTGCTTGGTGCAATCGGTTGCAAGTTCTTCATTCTATAATCAACAAGTTCAGTCTCAAAATACTACAAGCTTTTCTGGCAACACATCACACCTTAGAAGTTTGAGTTGTTCAGGCTTTCTTCGATGTCGTTCACAGTTCCAAGAAATTCATCCATTTCTTTCTCCAGCGCTTCCGCTAAACCCTTCAGCTTCTTAACAACTTCGGGTTCACTCTCTCTCTTTTCTCTACGAGCGTTATCGATTTGTATGGAGGAATCGACCAGAGTGTAGATATCAAAAGGAAAGAGGATGGCGCTGACTGCAAACAAGCCAATCCGAGCAGCGTTTGCTCCTATTCCTATGGCCCTAAAAACTGCCTCTATCCCCTCACCAGCAGCTATCGCAGCAACCCTTGCACCAGCTTTTGCGCCTTTGCCCAAATCCACGAGGTTTTTTTATCAGCATAACGACGCCTCCAGAAAAGGAGAGGTGATCTTTGAGCTCACCAAATAACGTGCTCTTTATCTTGGACACTTCACGGTCTAAGTCATCCAAAAGCTTTAGGACAGGTTCAAGTGCTCTCTGATCAGCCTTCACGACTTCTCGAGCAATTGCAAGCTTATTTTGAATAATCTTCCTTTTCACAAGACCAGAACCAGCGGCTGTTGCACCACCTCCAGCACATAGGACCCCTCAGACAGCTGAAAGTATGACGGAAGATCCAAAAGTGAAAGGCGCCAAAAAAAAACCGGTTGCAATGAGAGCGAACCCTCCGATCGCAGAAGACGAACCAGCAATCTTGGCGACGTGGACATTGAAGTGATGCTTCAATATATCATCTGCTAACTCTCGTAAAATACGAACCGTGTTTATACGTTCAACAGACCAAAGTCGAGATTTGACTATTAGCTCTCTTGAAGTAGTAAGCAGTTTCTCCATTTCACTGTAAGATCGGAACACGCAGTTGTTGTAAGAAGTTTAGTTGTTTGTTTCTGGTTCGCAAGCGATGCGGCTCGTCTGATTTTTGAGCGAAAGGAAGTCTTCCCGGCATGCCTCGCATGAAAATTTGGCTTAAGGAAAGTTTCCTCCTTCCCCTCCCCCCTCCTTCCATTGTTAAATTCCATGACTTGTTTCGATCTGATAATTTTACTGCAGAGAGATCGTTTATTTTACGTCACTCTGTAGGTAATATTTCGTCTTTGCCTTTTAATCAGGCTTCCAACCACGAAGCTTCGACGAAAAGTGTTTGCAATTTGAAATATTGACCTGCTTCAAAGAAAGGTGCGTTCAACAAAAGTGAACGAAAACGAAAAGAAAATAAACTAAAAGAAAAGAAAAGAAAAACACCTAAACGTTAAACTCCAAGAAAGTTGACGGTGAGGATGACTGTTAATAAACATTGCCTACTCCCTGTTGACATGTGGTTTGAATGGTATGCTGCTTGTATTTCGATGTTTCCCCAATCTTTTGTCTGATTGAAAATCAAAAGTTCAAACAGACCTATCCGAGGTAATAATTTAAAAATCCCTTCAACCTGACTATAGCTAACGAGAGAGACCCTCATTTCAGCGTTTCAGTTAGAGCGTTTTCCCGCCTGCAAATAAGTTTGAAACCTTGCGCATCGCGAGCTGGCGAGAAGTTTGAAAGTAGTCTTGCACTCATATCAGAACGGGATATTGCCGTTCTCCCCAACAAGTTCATGGCGTCGTTTCCCTGGTTTTCTCGTCGCGATCAAAACGCCCTGGATTTGCGTAAATTGTGCACTTATAAACGAGTTAATGCTGTTTAGAATGATTCCAGAACTCATTTCCGGGAGAACCAGGTTCCTTTGTTTGTTTTATTTGGCGTATTTGTGAAAATTTACCGCTACAGTTACGCTGGGTTCCCCAAAGTAAATTGAAACACAGTCGTTAGCAAGCGATCCAAGGTTTCAGGACTCAGCTCTCCTTTAGTTGAGCAACACTTTCAAGAGTTAAACGATGTTAGAGCTTTTCTTTGATACATTTCTTTAAGGCTATATGAAAAACTCTAAGAATGGGTTGCTGATGAATTTTATGGTGCCCACGTTTGCATTGAAGCGCTTGTCATTGTACTTGCACGCTAGCCTTACTCTCACCTAGAGAATAAACTCATCAAAAATATGACCCAAGTTTAACAAAATTTCACACTGCTCGAAAACTGAAACTGGATACAGAATGTAAGCAAGTATACTTGCCCTTTCCTTGCCCCTTCCTATTAAGTTTGCGCATGCTACGATACCCGATCATATCCGAACCCGCACTCCTCGTAAAGCACCTCACATCGCTGGGTGTCAAAACGTTCAGATCACTCACGGGTTACAGCTTGATTTCCGCCAAGTTTGTAAAAACATAAGTGACGAACTCGGAAAAGAAAACTCATAAGAAAAGAGGAATTTAATCTTTTGTTTTATGACAAACAACTGCTCAAATTCAAGGAAATTACAAATGAACTGTGAAGGAAAGAATGTCTCCCGTCAGGAGCCATTAGTGCGCTCCTGATCCCATTTTTTCACAGATTTGGTGCAGTGAGATTCCCAAATACTTCTTAGAAGCACTTGCGGTGAACAATGGAGGGACCAGATTCATCATATTCTTGCTTGGAAATCCACATCTGTTGGAAGGTGGACAGTGACGCCAAGATCGATCCTCCGATCCACACAGAGTATTTACGCTCAGGAGGAGCAATAATCTTGATCTTCATTGTGGGTGGAGCCAGAGCAGTGATTTCCTTCTGCATTCTGTCAGCGATTCCTGGGAACATGGTGGAGCCACCAGACAACACTGTGTTGGCGTACAAATCCTTACGGATATCCACATCACACTTCATGATGGAATTGTATGTAGTCTCATGGATGCCAGCGGATTCCATTCCAAGGAAGGAGGGTTGGAATAAGGCTTCGGGTCCACGGAATCGCTCGTTGCCAACAGTGATAACCTGGCCATCAGGAAGCTCATAGCTCTTTTCCAAGCTGGAGGTTGAGGCAGCAGTCTGCATTTCTTGATCAAAATCCATGGCAACATAGCAGAGCTTCTCTTTGATGTCACGCACAATCTCGCGCTCAGCTGTGGTGGTGAACGAGTAGCCACGCTCTGTCAGAATCTTCATCAAGTAATCGGTCAAGTCCCTGCCAGCCAAATCGAGACGAATGATAGCATGGGGAAGAGCGTAGCCTTCGTAGATGGGAACTGTATGACTTACACCGTCACCGCTGTCAAAGACGATACCGGTTGTTCGGCCAGAGGCGTAGAGAGACAACACGGCCTGGATAGCTACATACATGGCTGGCGCGTTAAACGTCTCGAACATAATCTGAAAAAAAAACCCAGAAAAAAATCAGATTTATCTCATTGAATGCTTGATATTAATATCATTAATACCTAATTTTAGCCTTTGTGTAGCCGTACCTTCCCCCTCCCTCCCCCAGGTTAAACGGAAGCGTCACCTTGCCTCCGTTTTGCCTTGCGGGGGGAGGGTATGCGTAAAGCATTATGCATTACCGTATTTCCTCGACTGAGGGGGGCTTTTAAAGTTAGCGTAGTAATAAGCCAAAATTAAAAGAACAGACTCTGCACAAAAGGAACTCTTTAAGAACAAGGAGATTGAACTAGCTGGAAGTGACCTTAACGGAAAATGAACTTTTCTCCTGAACTGATTCCGGTGCAGTTGAAGCTCAAACAGTTTAATTAAAGTGGCAATAGAAACAGGTTTTCTTTGTATTCCTACTATTATTAAGAAAGTAAGTAAGAGAGAGGCGGGCACTTTTTTGAAAGGGGTGTTTGTTTAACATTGTGACCAAGGCAGGGGGAGGGGGTGCTTATTTGGGGAAGGGCCCTTATAAGAGCGTGGGTGCTTATTCGAGTAAATACGGCATTAAGTCGCCTTCATTTACAAGCACACCTTTATACCGTCTACTAAAATAGGCATCATTTTAATCAAACAAAATGAGAATAACTTTTCGATTTCAGAACTTGAAGCGATCGCGAAGATGTAAACTAATATTTCTTTCCTTGAGATATCGTTCCATTAAAGATTTTTTTGTAATAGGCAACATTTTTAGCCATATAAGGCGCTGAAGAAAAATCATTCTCTTTTGGAATTCCTCTCTCGGAAGGGGAAGGGAAAAACAATTAGAAAAATCAGTTGTGGGGAGGAGGTTTCCTTGACGGAATATCTTTGCTGTAATTTTTGTGCACGTAATGCTTAGAAGTTCAATTTTGTTGTTCCGGTCTCTTCTGCCGCGATTCTATCCGTTCCTCACCTCCCCCCCCCTACACACCCTATTACTCCCCCTATCATTCAAGTCTGGGACTTCCATGCAAACAATGATGTTACGTTAAAAAGAAAACAGTTTTGTTGACGTTAACAGGTGTAAATGCAACCATGGTTGATTGATATTCTCGATATCGAACCGAATAGAAAAGAAAACTTCAAATTTCCACGACAAACATGCTGCCACACTGGTATTTCCTTCTAACCAAGGGATTATAAACTGTTTATATTCTCATGTACTAACTCAAAAGCGAATTGTACAATTTACGTTAAAATTTGTCTGAATTATGCAATAAAACAAAGCGAAAATCTTGGTCACAGTTATTCAAATTTATGACGGTTAATGAATCAAAGCAAAAGCTAGTTTGGATTCTTATCACTAGAAATTTGTAACTGTTACCTGTGTCATCTTTTCTCTGTTGGCTTTTGGATTTAGAGGAGCTTCTGTCAGTAGAATTGGGTGTTCCTCGGGGGCAATGCGAAGTTCGTTGTAAAACGTGTGATGCCAGATCTGAAATTTCAAATAATGTTTGTCTTAACTCAATGAAATTCCCTGTAACTTAACTGATAATTACAATTTCAGTTACCTTTTCCATATCATCCCAATTGGTTACGATACCGTGTTCAATGGGATATTTCAGAGTTAGAATACCTCGCTTGCTCTGAGCTTCATCGCCGACATACGAGTCTTTCTGACCCATACCAACCATCACACCCTGATGTCTTGGGCGACCGACGATGGAGGGAAACACTGCACGAGGAGCATCGTCCCCTGCAAAACCGGCCTTGCACATACCAGAGCCATTGTCCACAACCAAAGCAGCAACTTCTTCATCAGCCATTTTTAGTTCAATTCGTGGAAGCAAGGAGGTACAAAAGTGTAAAAAAAAGGCTTGAAACTGATTCAGAACTCAGTGCTTGAAATTATTTTCATAGCTGTGAGCGGCTTATATAGGTAAGGGAACTTGTTCACTCAGGTGATTGGTAGAAAGCTCTCATTTATTGTGTGATTGAGCTTATTCCGGCCACCTGTGATTCCAGTTAGAAATGTCTGCGGGATTCCCGTTATGTTTTAATACAAACGACGCTTCAGCCTTAAAATTAAACAATACTATGTCTTCTTGTTGAATTTAGCGACTTTGCAAATCACAAATCGTTTATATTAAGGTGTTAGTGGTCAGCAATTTTACCGGCTCAAGTTTGTTGCCGTTAACTTTCAGTCACAGTAGTAATTGATTAAAACACAAGCTTACTCTTGTTTAGCTTTTTTCCTGTAGAAAACATTCTACTTCACTTGGATGAAAGAAAAAAAGGAAAACAATATGATTTCTAATTAACGCCAACGGAGCTGGCAAGGAGTCCAAGTGTAAAACTCACTTCTTTTGGCCATATTTGGTTACGGAGCGCACACAATGTTAAACAATTTGGTTAATTGAAAAACAAACAACTTTAGACTTTATTCACCTGTCTTTTCTGCCTAAATCGGTCTGAATAATCAATTATAAACCTTAAGGAGTTTAGTATACTTCTAAATTTGCAAATCTTACAGTTATCATTTACGCTGCTAAATTATTTCATAAATATCAGCTACATTTGAGACGGCAGAAATCACAAAGTTTTTGAGTATCAATCACCCGTCAAGAGCTAACGCTGAATTCCACCAAACTAATAATCTTTTGTCGTGTGATGAGGAAATCATGTTATTTTTGTTTTGAGTCCAGGCAACCAGGGATCTGTGGCCGTGTTCGATTTAAAGCCAAATATGGAAATAAAAGAGGACCTTCTTTCCTAATATGGCTTTAGAACCGTTAATCGAAAATTCTATCAATGATTAACTTAGATCGACGGAAGAATTATTACAACATTCGAATAATTCAAGGAATTAATTTCAAAGTTTCATACACCTTGAGACTGTTACTTCTACTGTAGAAATCAGGCTAAAAAATCGCATTTAGTTCATTAAGCCCTGAAGAAAAAAGCCATTGAAGGAAAAAATTTTGGCCGTTATTGAAATATTCAAACCAAGCGTCGCTTTCTGCTAACCACCTAACGGGAGTCCCGCAGAGGTTTACATGAAGACTCACAGGTGTACCCACGCGTGTTCAAAGGCTAACTTCTCCTCACACTATCTATAAAATGTAAAGCACACAAAAAGGGAGAATTGAGATATTGAGCGACTTATAAACAAAGGGTTGTAGCTACACTTAAATTTCATCTAACGATTATTATAGCAAATGTTGGACCTGAATGAAACGTCTCGATCAAATTGGTCTTGTCTAGTTTGTTTTTGCAATTGAGTTAAATACATCGTTTCCAAGTTTTGTGGGGTTTTCCTCTTTCAAAGCAAACTAAAAGGATGACGAAAGGGTAAATGAAGGTAAAACTAGGTCAACAAACACACAACTCAGTGTTGATATGTAAATTTTGGATTTATTAATAAGCTTCGTAAATAGTTCCAGCCTGACCAACTATTTTAACCATATAAGGAGAAGAACAAAGTTCCAAGGTGTCTGATTCCTCGGCCTCTCGCGATTAAGAAAAACACGTTCGCAGAACTGATTTGCACTAAATACGTTTGTCTCTTTTTTTCATTCTCTTTTTTTCATATCAGCTGTTGTCTTGGAAATGAACCTGCTTTCCTCCCTGAACGAGAAATCAGCAGATCCTATATGCGGCCATCTTACTCACTCAGCAGCTTGACCGCTGACCGACGAAAAGCGGTCTTCGATATCTATTAGCTGAGAACTGTTTACTATACTTTTTAGCCCCTGAGCCAATTCAAATTTTCAATATTTTATGGGCAATACATGTACTACAAAACCAGTAGTGCTATTTGTTTAATAAGTTTTCAAACCACTGAATCGCGCGCAAGGGACTCAGTTATATTACCTGTCAGAGTGTATCTTAGCGTAACAGGTGACAGAAATAAGAGAGGCAAGGAATTAAAAAAAATTACTGGCAGAGGTAAAGCAGAAACAGAAACGGCATAGTGATCGATTGTAAAACTAATTTTAAACTTTTACAAATATGGCAAAATTATTTTTTTACAGTTAATCCCTGAGAAAAAAACATGCGGTACTAAGATTCTGAGCCCGCTAGCTGTCGCGGTATGTAACCACAAGAAGAAAGATTTAGAAAAGGGAAATTCAGAAGCAGATTAAATCCATCCGAGTAATGAAACAGCAGTGACCATTTACTATTGTTCGTGATGATATCCTCTGAAGGCGAGATCCTTTCTTTTCCAAGTTCGTAAAGAGTCTTTTAGCATATACATACCGTACCAGCTTTCGAGTAGCACGAGAAAAAATAGCGCAATTTCATCAAGACTATACTCGCTTTGTCAGAATTAAATTGTTTACCTTTTTAAACTGCATTTTTTTACCTAAAAAGGTTATGAATGGGTTGTTGCGTTACGGCGTTCAATGAAAATGCATTGAGGCGTGTGGATGAACTTGTCTCCTAAATAAAGAAACTGGTGTGTCACAAAATCACTCTAAGACAAACATTCAAATTACGTGTCCACAACTCGGGAATGAAAAATGGATAGCTCAGCAGAAAAAAATATCCAGAATGAATTTGATGAAATTTTTAGAATACTACTATGCTTCTTTTTACTTCACATGCATCTTTCAGTGTTTCATCCGTAGCTATGGACGAATTGCGTAAACCTCTATTTATGAAGTTTCAGTTATTTCTCTCTAAGTGGTTCATTTGAATCCCACAAATATTTGTATCACCAAAATATTGAAGTGGAAGTATTTCAAGACCTGTTTCAGAGGTTATATAGATGTTGATTGTGTAATAAATGGATCTGGTAGAGGTAAGAATTGTCTCGAATCTTCTTGGGTTTCCGTGAAACAATATAATCGCAGTAAAATGCAAATTCGGTTGCCGGGGCTAAGTCGACACCACGAAACAATTGAAAACATATTCCAAACTGTATTCTATTAAAGCGGCGCTCAAGTCTGAGAGAAACGGTTTTGCGTCGTAATAACTCCTATCCATATATTTTCAAGCTAAAGAATCGCCTTACTCTAAGCAATTCCGAGAAAACTAATATAAATCGAAGGAAATTCATTCATAAAACTTCGGTCTGAGAGACTCAGACCGGCAAAATCGGTGTCGGAAATCACGTCTGTGGTTTATTTTCCACGTCCGGCACATAAAACCGAAGAGGGTGTATGATACAAACAAAGCGTTGCATTTTCATTTAAGGACTCCGAAGAAGTACGTTCCCTTGATTGATCTCCGTAATTTTACAGAAAGAAACGTTCGGCCATGTCACTTGTATCCGCTTGAACGATTGTCGGTCCCAGCTGATATCGCCAAAACAGCCTTAGTTACTGCGCATAAATTGAAGTCTGATGTGTTCGATTTACCATCGACAAGAATAACCTAGCGCCAAATTTGGCGAATTTTAGCGTGGTTTTCATAAAAATTTACACAGTTTGAAATAAACATGAGTTTTACCACCCGGAACTACATCATTTTATGCGTGTCCATTTTCAACCAATGATGTTCAAGCATTTACCGGCATAAAGCGTGGAACGAGGTGTATAAAAGATCACTCTGAAAGCGATTTGAAAAAGTAAAATTCTAAGCAAAGATTTGTGTCCAAATCGTCGAAACTATCCGAAATGGCTGACGAAGACGTTGCTGCTCTAGTTATCGATAATGGCTCTGGTATGTGCAAGGCCGGTTTTGCAGGAGACGATGCTCCTCGTGCAGTGTTTCCTTCAATCGTCGGTCGCCCAAGACATCAGGGTGTGATGGTTGGTATGGGTCAGAAAGACTCGTATGTCGGCGATGAAGCTCAGAGCAAGCGAGGTATTCTGACTCTGAAATATCCCATCGAACACGGCATCGTAACCAATTGGGATGACATGGAAAAGGTAAGCTTAAGTTTTAACCTTTCATTCGCAGTTCTCAATAATCGCCTAACAAGATTTCCTTATAATATCAGATCTGGCATCACACCTTCTACAACGAGCTTCGTGTAGCGCCCGAGGAACACCCAGTTCTGCTGACAGAAGCTCCTCTCAACCCAAAAGCTAACAGAGAAAAGATGACACAGGTAAGGTTTTCCGCTTTGATCAATTTTAAATGCGAAAAAAGAGTATTCGGATGACCCTATTGGTGATAGAGTGCATTTGGGCGTGGACAACAAATCTCCTAGATCGCGTTATTCCTTACTGATCTGCCAGAATTGTGTTTTCTGACCCTCAACTTTGCACTAGAATCAATTTAATTATATTGTTTACGGATGGTTGCAACCATATTCGCCTCGACAGAGATATTCTCATAATACACAGCAATACTGTAAAGTAAATTTTTAACGTTTGTTTGATTCGTTCGGCGGTATGCGATAAATCCTACTCTCAAAGTATATTTACGATTCACATAAAGTAAAGTGAAAGTTGCAACTGACATGGACCTGATGAAACTTGTGCTTTCGGTTACTTTACGGAAAATTTGCATATACCGTACTTTGTTTGTTTGAATCAAAAAGTACTTTACGATATGCTATAGAGATATCAAGTTGAGTGCACGCAATATTTCTATCGTATTTTTTTTTCACAAAATATCCCTACATTTGGGTAAGAAAAAACTAAATCTTTTTGAGGGAGGTTTTAATTTTTTCTCACCGAAGAAAAATCTTTCGAGGTACTACCTGATCATCTGGGTTAGTTTTGTGGCCATATATGGTAAAGAAAAACGCCAATTGGTCAGAATTTGTTATACAAGCTGTAATAAGGGTGACTGATTAAAATGCACGTTCGGTTGCACCTTTTGTTTGAATTGTAAATAATTGACACTAGCTGATTGAAGACCGTTTTCGCCTTGAATTTAAATTGTGTTTAACAATAATTCCTAAATAAAAGGATCTGAAGTGACTTGCAAAATCGAAGCATTTAAAATGCAAATTTAGTTTTTTCATGAGACATGACGGCCTTAAATTCCTCTTAGGTCACACTGCGTGTTCATAATTAAAAATTTGACTGGAGTTTTAAAATATGTCCGACGCGTGAATAGAGAGTGCTCCGTTTTGTTGTATTTTTTTCTGAAATGTTTTTCTCCTCGCCATCAGATTATGTTCGAGACATTCAACTCCCCAGCTATGTATGTAGCTATCCAGGCCGTGTTGTCTCTCTACGCCTCTGGTCGAACAACCGGTATCGTCTTTGACAGCGGAGATGGTGTTAGTCACACAGTTCCCATCTACGAAGGCTACGCTCTTCCCCATGCCATCCTTCGTCTTGATTTGGCCGGCAGGGACTTGACCGATTACCTGATGAAGATTCTGACTGAGCGTGGTTATTCATTCACCACCACAGCTGAGCGCGAGATTGTGCGTGACATCAAAGAGAAGCTCTGTTATGTTGCTCTGGATTTCGAACAAGAAATGCAGACTGCTGCCTCCAGCTCCAGCTTGGAGAAGAGCTACGAGCTTCCTGATGGCCAGGTTATCACCATTGGCAACGAACGATTCCGTGCTCCGGAGGCCATGTTCCAACCCTCTTTCCTTGGAATGGAATCCGCGGGCATCCATGAGACCACATACAATTCCATCATGAAGTGTGATGTGGATATCCGTAAGGACTTATACGCCAACACAGTGTTGTCTGGTGGCTCCACCATGTTCCCAGGAATCGCTGACAGAATGCAGAAGGAAATCACTGCTCTGGCTCCACCCACAATGAAGATCAAGATTATTGCTCCTCCTGAGCGTAAATACTCAGTGTGGATCGGAGGATCGATCTTGGCGTCACTGTCCACCTTCCAACAGATGTGGATTTCCAAGCAAGAATATGATGAATCTGGTCCCTCCATTGTTCACCGAAAATGCTTCTAAATAAAAAAGTCAATTTTTAAAGAAAGGACAAGACATATAAGACAGACAGATTAAGGAATATTGTTATTGCGGAAATACAACTCTTGAATTCTATGTTGTTTCCCTGACCCGTATTCTATTTTTGTAGATATGTTCGTGTTGTTTATTTCCTAATAAAGACGAGGAAATATCTGTGAAACAATATAACTATTGAAATAACGGCAGTATCGCTCCTTCCCTAAATGAAACAGTAATCTGATTTTCATCGATAAAAACCACTTGCCCTTGGTTCCTTGCATCTAATCCAATGCCTTGTAACAGATATTTTGTAAATACTATAGAGTTCAATTTCTGCAGGATAATTTCGTGTGCAAAGAATTAACCCTTGAACTCCTTAGAGTGATTAGCACTTGATTTCTCCTGACAATATAAACTCCAAATCACACATAAAGGTAACAAGAAGCTCTAGCTTGTTAAACAAATTCTCCTTGTCAGCACCTAAGGAAATCTATAGAGAACAGTATGGAGAATATTTCTACTGATGTTAGGGTGTAAAGGGTCAAAGGCTAAAGCTCAGAACCCAATAAGACCAAACATTATTCATTATTATTTTCATTATTAGTTCCAGTCTCCTGCATAATAAATTGTTCCCAGGGGAAGGACGGGAATGCATGGCGGCAGAATGGAAAAAATTTAACTTGTCTGGCTTTTTGCATTAAGCCTGTATCGTCTGGCAAATGGCTGATCTGCAGGCGGAGTGTCAAATAAATTAGAATTAATAATTTGCAATTAAAAAAAAAAAATTCCCGCGAATTCACATTTACTCTCTTAATGACCTCTACACATCGGTTGGAGATGGCGTTACATTCTTAAGAAAGTAGTTTGAAACAAAATTCTTCCTTAAATGTACTTGTTACTTTTTAACTGCCCATTTACGTAATCATTATATCCAGTTTTTTTAAGTACTTATCGCTCCAGAGTGATGGAATGACAACATATCTTGCGAAATTTTTTATCTTCCATGAAAATAAAAAATTGAACTTTTAAATCCGTATTCTATGGAATATAAGAATTTAGTGGTGCGTCTTGGGTGTAAATGAATATAGAAATACGTAAATATCAAAGCACGAGAAATTCATAGACAGACAGTAATACTAGACAGTCTACGACAGTTTGCGCAATTTGATTTTCCACTTTGAAAACAAAGGAAGGATTATCATTTTTCGAATTCAAAATTCACGATAACCTATAACCGCAGACCACCTGTAGGAGCAAAGCTGCGCTAAAACATGTCTATATTTGGTAATAGAGACTCATTTGCTTCCGGCGGTTTCCATATCGGTCGCTCCAACAAATTACCAGATCGTTTGAAAAATCTAGAATTGAATTAAAAGTTCTTTGATTCAATGGCCATTAGAATTGAAACGAGTCCAATATTACCGCTTGGGCTTCTGTAGTTTTGTCTTGCGGTGAAATTTCCAGTACCCTCTCGATTTCCGCTTGATGTCACGAACTTACGTCACGTTTGAAATGAGCTTCATTACTTCATCCAATCGTTGGACGGAACGGATATCCTTGCATATATCAACCGCGCCAAAGGATACACCCATCATTCGACGGTTGTATCGATCGACTAAACTGTGAGTATACTGAAGGTTGCTTGGTAAATTTTAGTACTTTCATAAAATGGCTGACGAAGATGTTGCTGCTTTGGTTGTGGACAATGGCTCCGGTATGTGTAAGGCCGGTTTTGCAGGAGATGATGCTCCACGTGCAGTGTTCCCTTCCATCGTCGGTCGCCCAAGACATCAGGGTGTGATGGTTGGTATGGGTCAGAAAGATTCGTATGTCGGCGATGAAGCTCAGAGTAAGCGAGGTATTCTGACTCTGAAATATCCCATCGAACACGGCATCGTAACCAATTGGGATGACATGGAAAAGGTAAGCTAAATTTAATCTGGTTTCTATTCCAACTTCTAGTTCTAGTTCGTACCAATCGCTGAACAACATTTCCTTACAATTTCAGATCTGGCATCACACCTTTTACAACGAGCTTCGTGTAGCGCCCGAGGAACACCCAGTTCTGCTGACAGAAGCTCCTCTCAACCCAAAAGCCAACAGAGAAAAGATGACACAGGTAACATTTACGAAAGACGTTAAATTTATTGCTCTTTAACCGCGCTTGGGTCTTCCAGCCGGCGCACCCTGTTTCGCTTGCCTAGAAATTTCAAGTTTCTACAACGCCCCTGTTGTTCAACCGCAGTGACGCGAAAAGTTTACTATTATACTAAGCCCTCTGTATGCCAGCAGAAGCGATCATATAATTGAACCATTTTCATGAAAACGTCGGCGACACGTAAATTAATCTCGGATTAGATCTATTGTAATACCTTTTTCACAAACTCGAAACGGAAATTCAGGTTTAAGAAGTGAACTTGAAGCGAAACTGGGCGAGGTTTACGAAAATATTAAATTTTGCAACCAGTGTAAAAAAATTTGGGTAATTCCTTTCGACATAAGAGATTCTAGATAAACAAGAATAAAATTTGCGTGTTATTTTTATAATATAAAGCAAACAATGGTTGACTCATCCCTAGATGTTAATTTAGTCACCGCTGATGTTGAAAAGTTGTTATATTTCCACATATGGTCACAGCGGTACCCTATTGGTCAGATTAGTGAGATTACGGACTTTAAGCTCAATGAAGCGCAGCGGTATTTTTGCTCCACTAACGCAAAATATTCAGTAGATTATATAACGACGAATTCCCGCTTTTCGGCTTCGATATTTTATGACTGTAGCATTAAGACGAATCACTGATTTCGGCAAGGTTCACCATATTCAAAGACATGAAAAATAGCATTGATTTCTAATGATTACTTTTATCAATTAAGTATACAATTTTTTTTTGCTCGTGAATATTCACAAAATTACTGTAAAAGCCTTGTTTATAATGCGTGACTCGATCGGTAAATGAGTTTATCCGCTCGTTACTGATAGCTTGAATGCATAATTATATCGGTCTGCTAACATATTTTCATTCCCAACCAACCAGAATTCTCCCTTTTTCCTTCAGATTATGTTCGAGACGTTCAACTCCCCAGCTATGTATGTAGCTATCCAGGCCGTGTTGTCTCTCTACGCCTCTGGTCGAACAACCGGTATCGTCTTTGACAGCGGAGATGGTGTCAGTCACACAGTTCCCATCTACGAAGGCTACGCTCTTCCTCATGCCATCCTTCGTCTTGATTTGGCCGGCAGGGACTTGACCGATTACCTGATGAAGATTCTGACTGAGCGTGGTTATTCATTCACCACCACAGCCGAGCGCGAGATTGTGCGTGACATCAAAGAGAAGCTCTGTTATGTTGCTCTGGATTTCGAACAAGAAATGCAGACTGCTGCCTCCAGCTCCAGCTTGGAGAAGAGCTACGAGCTTCCTGATGGCCAGGTTATCACCATTGGCAACGAACGATTCCGTGCACCAGAGGCCATGTTCCAACCCTCTTTCCTTGGAATGGAATCCGCTGGAATTCACGAGACCACATACAATTCCATCATGAAGTGTGATGTGGATATCCGTAAAGACTTGTACGCCAACACAGTGTTGTCTGGTGGCTCCACCATGTTCCCAGGAATCGCTGACAGAATGCAGAAGGAAATCACTGCTCTGGCTCCACCCACAATGAAGATCAAGATTATTGCTCCTCCTGAGCGTAAATACTCTGTGTGGATCGGAGGATCGATCTTGGCGTCACTGTCCACCTTCCAACAGATGTGGATTTCCAAGCAAGAATATGATGAATCTGGTCCTTCAATTGTTCATCGCAAGTGCTTCTAAACAGTAGCACATGTCGTCTTTTATGGAAGACCTTAAAAATGAACAGACTTTGGGCTGACCCAAAGAATTGCAATAATATTTCTTAGAAGACATTTCTTCCTTTTTTTTCTATTAAATGTACAAGTTGTGATAGCTTTTCTAAAAATGTTTCTAATAAAATTATCTCGAGTCAAAATTTGAATAGTTAGAACGAATTTGTTTTCCTTTCGCGTTGGTTTGGTTCTTGTTGATAACCCTAGCACCCGGACACGAGGCAATTATGAGGGGGAAAAAAATTCAAACTTTTGGAAAAACGGTTTGCCCTCGCTAACCTACACAAAGCGACCTGTAGCTTTTTTAAGAAGAGGTTCACTCTCTCATCCTTTAGAGTGACTTACATCTAATTTCTTCATACAGTGTAACTGCTGGATCACACAATTAAGTCGAAAGAATCTCCTAATTGTTTAGGGTTACATTTATTTTGGAGTCCATACAAATTGTCGCGAGGATGTTAGATCGGAAAATAAATTTCTGAAGCTTCTCGTACGGACTCGAAAGAAAAAAAAAATAGGCTCGTTTGTTCGGTAAATATCTCGACACAAAGCAGCCCAGAATAATCTGGTTGAGATATGACAAACTAGATATGAACTGTTGTCTTCACGAAACCTGTGCGAGTAAGCAGAAATACTCGCATGTAAGACGTCAACGCAAATAATTATTGCGTGTAATAATTATTTCTGAGCACCATCGTTGGACCAAGTGTAAGTTTTGAGCGGTTATAAGACTTTCTTTCTAAGGTAAGACAAGATCTCTCGGGACAACCTAGTATTCTTGACGGCTGTTCTTTGGTCTTGTCACGCATCACGCTATCTCCGTCGCGGCTGCGAACGAGACTGGCGAACATGTTTACGATTCTTGGAGGTAGTAAGGACAGGGAAATACATGTAACGAAAATTACCGGGTACAAACTGCGATAAACTTTAACAAAATAATATATTAATTTATTGCTGTACAAAATAAAACTTTAGACAACACTTAAGAAATGTAATTTCAAGCACTGTACCAGTCTACCGGAAAAAAAAATTAAAATGACAATAATTGAGCTTGTGCTTGTAAAATTTCATAACATGCTAGACCGGTTCTGCGTGATCTAGTCGATCTTCGTTGATAAATTCTGCAAAAGGGCTTGGGTCTGAATCATTCAACCATGGATGTCTTGCCAGGGGATCTGAAAACAACCACGTTAGAAAAGGTTAATGTTAGTATCTGAGCAACTGCGCACCTACCCCTCCCCTAAGACAACATTATTCTTAACTTGTTTTGAACAGGCTGTTGTTGGGTCAGGGAATGGGAGGGCGGGGGGCAGTAGTTCAATTTCTAGAAGCGCTGGACGAAGTTAAGCGTTGCGTGACAAAGAGGGAAGCAATGCTATCAGATTTGAAAGGGAGGTTATTGATATAAATGTAGGTCTTCTTGTGCGTATAATTTTTTTTGTTTAAATTGTTTTATCCTACCGGCCAAGTTCACAGACACCAGGAAGACAGTAACTCTCAACACAGTGCTAGCTTTTCGACTAAACAACCACAAGTACTAACCTTGTTAAATAAGCCAGTGTTTTTCTTGCTTCTCTGAAAGAAAAACAAAGGACACTTATTGATGACGTCCACTAAAAAGCTTTTCAATCGAAATCTGATATTCTATGATGGAAAAGTAATTGGTTGAAGTTAAATTTTTTCTCCCTTTTTCTCATTTTTCAGAAAAAAATGTTAATACATTCTATCTCCTTTAACATCCTCACTTTGCTAACGCCCCTTCGCCTTTCTCCCGCTCTTTTAGACTTCGAAGGATTCTTGGATCGCTCCACTCCATAAGACCAAAGGCTCTCACAACCTGAGGAACAGAGAACAGTTTTTCAACTGGAGATCAAATCTTCAACTTATTATTATGATAGCCAACACATTGGTGATTTTCGCTCATTTTTGCATAATAACTTGGTAAAAAACAGAGGCCAAATTCCGTGACAGTATCTTGTTTTCCTGACAGTGCATGCATATCGCAAAGATTTGAAGCATATTTCGGGAAGACTCTATGATACAAAAAACACAGAGTACTTAACGTCACCTGTATTCTGACATAACCACTAGAGTCCAGTTCTAAGATGTCTAACAGCGCCTTCATTTCTTTCACTCCTTTCATCTCTAGAGTCGCCTGTGGATGAAAAAACATCAAGTATCAACTCGTGCGTTCCGTTGCCAGAATCTGAGTCTAAAAATTGTCGTCTCTCTGTGACGAAACAACGACAGATCAGACTTCAGCTTTGAATGGGAAATCCTGTAATTCATAACGAAAGCTACACCCTTTACACATAAACATTAGGATAGATATTCTCTATACTGCCTTCTATAAATTTCCTATGGGTCTGACAAGAGGAGATTTTGTTTAACAATCACGAGCGCATTAAGTTGATGATCATTTTCTTTACTCTTATTACCATAAATGTTTAATTCAGGATGATGCTGAAAGGAGAAATTAGATGCTAATCACTCTTAAAGGTTAAAGGGTTATTGCCTGAAAAAACAAATGAATAACGGTAACGACAAAAAAATTGATAATGATAATGAAATGGCAAGGAAACCAAAAACAATAATGACACTGTCAATGACAATAACAATAAAAAACAAAAGTTAAACAAAAAAAAAACGCAACAAATCCGAAATAAATGAATAAATTAAGATAATCAAAACAGCAATATTATTTTAAAAAAATTATTAATTTGCATACCAAGGAAATGACTGCACGCCCGCGAACTTCTTCTGCTGGGTCTTCTAGTCGTCTGGTTCAAATGCGAAACCAAAGTAAGGGTTAAGCAAAGAGTTCGTGACAGATTTTAGTTGGGTATTTAACAGCCATGCAAGATTGAAACACTCAAAATGGCCAGTCACAAAAATCATAAACAATAATAAAGCTGGCCATTCAGAAGCAACCCCAGCCTTCCCCCACCCCCCCCCCCCCCAAAAAAAAAAATTACACTGGAACAAACAAAAGAGACAAGAAAAATATGGATTCAGATGAAGCTCCTCTTCATCGTTTTCACATTTTCTCTCTCATTCTCACCTTCGTCGTGGTAGTACTACACTTCCCCACTAGAAACGAGACCACTGTGAACGAGTTAGTTCTCTGATCAAAGGAGGTAAGTTTCTAAAGAAACTGTGGTGCTGCGTCGGTGGGAGAGTATAGCAGGCAATTTAGTGCTAACAACTGAGTTGAAAACGTAAATTGACCACTGTAAAGAGCTGAAAGGCTGACGTTTCGAGCGTTATCCCTTCGTCAGAGCAGAAGAGGGAAGAGAGAAATAGGGCTACTCCTGTCTTAGACCCCGGCGATTTTCTCTGGCACCCTTATTCGTTTGTCTCTACGGACAGAGAACTGGACATAACTAAGCTAATTTTACTATGTGACGGAGAAAAGGTCCGAGAGATTTTAAAATTCCAAGATTTAAAATGTACCTTAGCACCAGTTGACATGCTCTTTGTCGCAAGCCAAGCGAGCTCAATGCTTCGGACACTTTACTTCTCAATTCCTACAAAGCGGAACACCAAGAAACAAAACTAAACAATTTTGACTAGGGGGCAGAAAAATTTTAACTATCACTTTTTAAAATCTCGTGTTTAAACCCCCTAATACGTTTTTATCAAGGCTTTCATGCGCAATATTATTTAACGATGCTTCCCGCAGTAAACATTTGTTAATTTGTTTAGTTCATAACTTCGTATACCTTATTAGCGTGATCCCAAAGAAGCTCTTCCAGTGTATCAAACACTTCATCCGAACTTTTCACTTTAAAAACGTCTCTTGATCCTGAAATTTCCCAAATAAAAATTAAACTGAAAGGCAAACTTCAACAGCGGTTGAAAATTCGCTACCGTAGGAAGTTTAGGAGTTAAGATTACAGCAAACTAGCAAAAACAAAACGGACTTCCGTTCTCATTCCAATTCCTAGCCATTCCTATGATCCTTGAAACATCTTCTGCGAGTGTCTTGTTCGTAGCTAAGCAAACTATAGTACCTAATTGAGCAAACAATAGACGCTGAGAAACTCAAATATTTTCAGTTTCTCCGTAAACGTAACGCTTAACCACTAAGTCAACGTCCAAACTACTCTCTGTAGCTTAAAAATGATTGAACTGGAACAAGATTGAATAATTATTTAAGAAAACAAATTAAGAAACTAAATCTCCACGTACCAACAAAAATGAGTAAATCAGCTGCTTCCATTCTTAGCTGTCAAACAAAGGGAGAAAACAAAGTCGGTATCAACTTTTATTTAGACAGTTTGTCCTACCGAATATCTTGAGGTTTTGGTTTTTAAGCTGCCTAAGAATGCGAAGTTCAGGCAACATGCTCTATTAAAACTGACAGTCATCTTGTCAACAAGTGTCCTTTTGTTAATGCTACTACACGCACTTTCACGCTCTTTGCAATATTTACAGGCGCGTGTCACGTTTTTCCTACGCTTAAAGTGAGTGGTCTGGGACCTAGTTTCTCCCGCCTTAAATCAAGCTGATGACATGTTTTACTTACGGTTCACCATTTAAGGTTGGCACGCAAAGAAAACACATATCTAGAGTTATAAAAATTCGCAGACTTAGTCCGTGTAGGTGAATTGAACAACCTTAGCGATTCTTTTAATAAACTCGATAGGGTTGAATGGAAAATAAAGAGACAAACTCACCTTCCAGTTGTGAGCCGTACTCAGCTGTTCTAATAACGCATCCAAGACCAGTTTTTCCTTACAATTCATTTGTTTAATCAAAACGTACAATGCCTATGGAAAAAACAAATTACATTCGAGAGTTTCATAGTTTCAATATTCCAATCCACATATTCCTATGGGTTATTCAGTAGTTTGATTTAATGCATAAAAAGCTATATCTTTCCCTCTGTTTAAAGGCCAAACTCTTACCTCTCCCTTGTCACGTGGAGACAACCCAGGAAGCCTGGTGATGAGGTACATCTTTGAGACTGGTTCAACCACACACAATCGACCAAGACTCACTGCTGCATGAAATGCTAGCTCGGGAGACTGGGTCTTTACAGTGTGTATTAGTAAACTGACCATCTGCTTAAACTCTTTGGTGGTCTAAAATAGAAGGTGATTACTTTATTAAATCACCTTTGCTTCATAGTGTGCCAAGGATTTAAGGAATAATTTTTGGTGCCCCCCCCCCCCAAAAAAGAGCACTGCCCCCCTTTCCCCTAAATGGGATGCTAGTTTAGTTACCCCTATCATTTTTTTTAAGGTTTTCCAGACAGTTTGTGGTATTTTCTTTCCTTTGATTGGTTGTTGTGAGCGTTGTGACACCCAGTTTTCACTCTTTAACATTGCTTTTTATATCTCTGAAGAGAGAGAGAGGGGGGGGGGAGTGCATCAACTCAAACTAAAAGTTAGAAGTAAGAGTATTGTAGTTACCTTGTCCACAAAAGCTATATCTCTAGCTTTAGTCATTGTTGATAATAATTCCAACACAACATCCTTATTGCCTGGAAAGAGAGAGAATTTCAGGAAATATTGCTAAAATTGGTTCAAATCAACTAAAAGATATTCAGAAAACTGAAAGTCACTTATATAGCCTGTAAAGTAAACAAAGTGAAGGAAAAGTTCCTTCATCAACATTTGATCAACACTTGTGAAATGATGATATTTAGGTCTGTAAAGCATCACATTAAGAAATGCCAGAGTAACTGGATTTCCCCCAGTGGGCTGAAGTGTCACACTATTTTTCTCATGTATTATGTAAAGATGGTGCTCTACATTTTTGCAAGAAGCCATGGGAAGTGTTCTCCTCTCAATGTGCAATGCTTGCAAAGAGTATTTTGAGATTTTCTAACCTTTGTTGATGTATTGTCTTATAACTGCCATACCATAAGGATCCCATGTCCCTAGGGTAGAAGATAGAAGAAATGAGCCATGTAACAGTCATTTAACATATTCACATACCAACCTACCCTGGTCTTTAATAACAATTAGTTTTTAAGTCAAGAAAATAATAATATTATCAAGACAAAGTCTAGTTGAGGAGATTGTAAATGTGGCTCAGCTGATGATATTGTTGTGTCTCAGGGTGTGGCTATGGAATGTTAATGAAGAAAATGAGAAATTTGCAGTTAATCCAAAACCAAAAATGAAGAATTCACCTAATAAGATTAATGCCTTGCTTGCTTCATAGCAGACTTTTGGGTCTTTTTGTTGTTTTATCTGAAAAAGAGCAATAGAATATTAATACATACAGTTTGAGTGGCACATTTTTTTATTTTGCCTTGTCAGATCTTTTTGTGAAACGATAAACAATCAAAGAGGCACACCGTCTGAGATTTAAGTATCTTAACCAGAAATTGGCTCTAAATAACAGTAACAAAAAGATTCTCAAGGGGAGTTCCATAATACATGTGGAAAATCCTAAATCAGTTTATGACATTTCTTTGCAAATGCTTTTTTGCAAATCAACCATCATATCTGCCCTCTCCCTAGTTTTAAATCTTAAATGAACAATCTGAGAGATGTTCAACTTAAATTCTCATAAGAGCACTAATATTCATTAAACCTTTAATTCTCAGAAGTGATTAACTTGTAACCTCTCCCTTTTTGTCCATATATATTTTCAAGCTAAAAGGTAACAAGAATACTCAAATTTATCAGGTACAAGTTTTTTCTTCATCCAAGACCAAATTCTCCTAATTAATTTGTAAGGAAATGTGTAGCAGCTAAAGGGGGAATTAATAATCAGATCTCAGGAGTCCAAAGGGTTATTGAACCAGTACATACCACTTCAGTCAAGGTATCTATAACACACTTCTCACGGCACTTGAGCTGACCAATAGTCTAAATAAGAGGAAAAGAACTGTGAATCACATTTTACTTACAGAGGAATCTAACTTTAAAAATAATATATAGTCAGAGGTTAAAGTAAGCAACTCACAGTGAATAAATAATTCTAGGAGGTTACTATTTTATATTGGTCTGAATGGCTGTGTGCCACCAAATAGAATATGACTTTCTGGGTCTTGAATCTTAAACAACCTAAAGATGTCCTTAAGGAATTGGACAGCCTTGAATAGATTGGACACTTTACAGTGCTTGGTCTGCATTATGAAGTACAGGGTGTATACACAATAATTGCTCACATTTAAATCTAATAAATTAAATATAAAAAGTCTGAGAAGGCCTTGAGACTGAAAGAAATATTCACCTACTAAAGCATACTTTGATTGTTAGGCAAATTCTCCTTGTTAGTCCTTTGAGAAATGTATAACAAAGTGAAAGGAGAATACAGTAAACACCCGCATATAAGAACCTAGAATTTTTGGGTTCAGGCTGAATGGGTTCTTATATTTTGGGGTAGTTTTTCCGAACTCAGGCTGATTAGGTTCTTAGTAGGTTCTTATTTGTAGGAGTTGTCATAGTGATACCATTCAGAGAACTACTGTAGTACTAGTATGTCATAATGGTTGAACATTTGTATTTTAAACAGCAAAAAATGCCAAGCCTTATTTTTTAAACAGTAATAAATTCAGTATCATAGGGTATCACTGTTACAGTTGGACTGAAAAAGACAAGCAGTAATGTGTATTTCACAGGAGCAAAAGTCAGGGCACTCTACAGATTCAAGTCCCAAGGCTACACCAGTATAATTTTATACAGTATTCTATACTCTGTATTTATAAGATTTTCAATTAAACAAATAATTTTCATGGTGTTTCTCAGAAATTTCACAATTTCTTTCAATTAAAATCCAGTATTTTGGCTACAAAATAAGAGTGTTTTTTTGTATAAGAACCTATTGTTCTTTGCCAGCCTAAATAGGTTCTTATATATTTGGGTACTAAAATGCCCAATTTCAGCCTGTAGGTTCTTAAATCACTAGGTTCTTATACACGGGTGTTTACTGTATGCACACTCATGTAAGGGTGTACATTGTTAAGTGAGCATTACCTTTACAGCTTCCGCAGCTACTGTTGAATTTGAAGACAACACACCTCTTTCACTCAACAAAGTCTATAAGGAAATAATTCTTTCATTAATTTAACAACTTACATGTACATGTAGCAGTGATACCCTTACTGTACAACAAAATTACATACTGGGTAATAAAATAATTCGTCATTACCTGAATTCTGTTCCACCTGGGACCATCACCTTGTACAACTAATGACTGCTCTCTCTGCATTGGCGTAAATGCTGTTGGATCAAAAAATTCAGATCTTAACCATTAACCCCTGAGTGACCAAGGCAAACTGTTTACTTACAATATCAAAACAATATCAAGCAGTCATTAGTGATGTGAATAAAACAAAAATATATATAAGTTAGGAGATTGTTCGTTGATACAATACCTTATTCTCTGAACTAACAGCATATTAACTGTATGGCAGACAGTAAGGAGAAGTATCAATGAGATTTTGGGAGTGAAAGAAGTCATTATCATATGATAATGGTAATAATTATAATCTATTATTAATTATTGCAAAAGTGAATTCCAGCAAATGTAAAACATTCCTGAATAAAATACAGAAAAATAATACTGAAAATTACTCTATTATAGTATACCATGCCCAAAATAGGAATCATTTTTATTATAGCCATCAAACCAATGAGAGCAAAAAACCTACTGAAAGACTCTATGCTCAGTTTAACTCTTTAACTTCTGGACATGCAATTAACAATAAACCTCACTTCACACTCAATTCAATTTCCACAAAAATGCGATGTGTCATGAAAATGTAAAAACTTATCTGCACAAGGAGATGAGTATCAGCAAGAGGAAAGAACTGATTGATCATCAGATGTTGTGAAATAAATTTCTTACTTTAAACCCATTCATTCCCAAGATGTAATGAGTAATTCTCCTTACTGAAAGTCTGCTGTACAATTTTTATGATGTTATAGTTTGGAGAATTTGGTAATTGATATCTTTTTTTATTCTTATCGCTTGTCTGCTTGATGTTATGTGGATATTGTTTGGAGAAATTCCATCTTGGTCACTCATGTGAGTTAAAGGTTAAAGAACCTTTCATCTTAACATCGTAATCAGTAATAAAATACTGTACTATACCTTTCAATGCTGTAACTATTTTCTTTAGCATAGATGGCTTCCACAAGGATGTATTGGCAAGATCTCTAACATTGGAATTGAAAAAATGTGTTGAGTACCAATTTTTTGATACAGTAATGCAGGACTTCAAATCATCTTTTGTCAGCTAGAGTATGTGCTAGGTTTCCTGAAATGCAACCCACTGGAAAACTGAAATCTGAAGATCTCTAAGAGTGGGTGGGAGGAGAATTTCTTCAATCAAGAACCCCTCCACCCACCCACCCTCAAACACCACTTTATCCCAGCCTCTCCCATGAACTGTTATCACTAACATGGATGCAAAATTTCTATAATCAGCAAAACATTCACAAAGAGGAAACCTTTCCTGACCAAATATACTTGATTTCCCCTTTTTAGCTACTTTATGAAAAAATGGCAATTGTTTCCATTTTTTAAGCAAACTGTGCTGGAGACTGGGAGATAAGTTCAGAATCCAGGAGACCCTTTGATAATCCAAGAGAGTTGGCATATTTAATACCCATGAGTATAAACCATCTTTTCATCAATCACTCCCTCTCTCCTATCCAATGCTTGTTCAGCTTTTAATTTAACATATTTTAATTATCTTTAATTTTCAGAAAGCTAAAGATATTTTGAAACTTACAATTCAATAACTTGCCGCTCACTTTTAGGACTTTCCTCATTTCTTAGTAAATAACGTGGCTAAGGGAATAACAAAATTTTCACAATGCATGAGACAAAAATTTTGTTTTGACACTGTAACAGATCTAAAATAATATATTAATCTACTAAGCATCCAATATCACTGGAAAAAAGAAAATTAAGCTTGTAGTCACTAATTTTAAAAATAGAACACTTGCTCATGACTTGGGAGAAATCACTTCTTTTCAGTCTTTAGTATTAACTGACCTGCACAATGCCTTTTGCACTCTGGAGTTTTTGTTTTGATTTCACTTTGAAAATTCTTGGAATTCTATAACCTCCTTCGAAATCTTCACACCAAGATGAGGAGTGCTGGGGATACAGTTTCGTTGGATTCTATCGAAGTAGTATTAATGTAGGTAACTGTGAGACTTTACTGACTCAAGCTGGTACAAACTACGGCACAACATGCATCATTGAAAGGCTATTTCTATATTTATATGCTTATATTTTATACGCTATTTCTAGTTATTAAAAGATTGTATAACATTATCCACTGAATAAATCTCTATCCAGTGGATAACGCAGTATGTTTTACTATCACTCATCCACTGCATAGCAATTTTTTTGTTGGATAGTGTTATCTGCCCTCTACAACTGGCCCCTGAAGTTTAAGCACTAGAACAAATCAATTGGCTTAGACAAGAGCTTTCTGGAATTTAACTACACACCATCAAGTCTACAAGTCTCTTCGCTGACCAAGTTGTCCTGAACACCATTAAGATGTTATCTGACTGGCATATTTCGGTGGAGTAACATGACCATCTATTCCTTCCTTTCTCTCCTCTTTAACCCTTTACACTATAACATCAGTATGTATATTCTCCATACTGTTTTCTATCATATCCCAAGGTGCTAATAAGGAGAATTAAACTGTGTAACTAAGAAGTTAATTTCCTTTATTCTCATGACCTTCACGTTTGATTGGGGGGTGATATTGTAAGGAGAAATTAGATGCTAATCACTCTTGGGGGTTAAATGGTCAATAATCTCTTACTCCTCATTTTAAGTGGTATCAAAATTGATAAAATATGAATATTAGCAACTTCAACACATGCTGGACAAGGCAGAGACTTACACGTCTGGCTGTTCTAACAGCTGAAGGCTCATGTATGATGACTGGGTACTTCTCAGTGGAAAATGTACTCTTCTGCCGAGCTATTGGGCTTCCAATATGTGGCAAACTGATATGACTTGCATGTTTTGATACTGGTGGTGGTGCAACCTGTTGAGAGAAATTGATAGAAATAAAAAAATATTCAGGTATTTTTATTAGATAAACTATTCTGCACCTATATTCAGACTAACATATACTTTTGTGGATAAAATTTTTCAAATGTGTGGAAAGATGATGAATTTCTTAATTTTATTAATTATCACAATAACAATAATATTATTATCACACTGGTATTAATTGCACTTAACAATAATTCACCATAGTTGAGGTAAATATCCACAACTTCCACTGACACCGAGGTGAATTAGTATTTACAATTGAAAGATTAGTTATTTCTTTTAATGCTACAAAAAATGGTTGGAAATTAAACTTATGAGACACGCTTTTGTCTTCAACTGCCCTAAGGTGAATAGCACTCTGGTTACTCACTTCCCAAACATTATTAAGCCATTAATTGGCATGTATGAAAAGCACTATTCACTTGTGTGGTATATAAAAATAATGAATACAGCTATAATTATCATTGACTCTGAGACAATTAAGGCAGGTTTCTGAAAATACCAAAATTAGGTTTTTTGAACATTTTAATTAAGTCAAAAATTATACATCTTCAACTAATTAAGGCAATTTTTTTCCACAAATGAAATCCTCTACCTGCTGTTTTTCCATAGCTGAGCCTCCCTCTACTTCCACTAGAAAGAGAAACACAACTTTCTTTAGAATGTAGCAAAGTATTTGAAGTTTATGCAAAGCAAAACCTTCCAAAGAATTGTTATGTTATGTAATTGAGTACAGAACAAAGGCAGAAAGGCATTTAATTTAGATCTGACAAAAGTCGCTCAGTAAATTTTGCACACATTGCTGTCAAATCAATGACTTTTGTAAATTAACATACGTTCAAGTTTTCCCATCACTGTCTCAATTTTTTGATCTTTCAAAATGGGGTCTATTGTTGTCTGAGTGGCTTGCCCAATCGCCTCATACATTTTGTGAAGTCTCAACAGCAACTTGTCAAGTGCAATTTTCTGTGGGAAAAAAAAAAATGATAATAAAGAACGTCCTTTAAACCAGGTTGCAAATTACCAGTAAATTGTAATAATTGGTGAAATCTTTTCAGTTTGACAAATGATTTGCAAGTATAATTTCCATTTTCAGCAGGTGGGTTTATTCATTCATAACTTCCATGCAAAGTTGAAATGGAGAGTCACATATTAAGTGTCTGCTTTGTTCACCCATTTCATCAGAAAATATTCTTGAGCAGAACAATTTTGTAAACCACATCATCACTTCATGAAAAACTCCCAATTATTCTTTATAAGCATCCAATTTTTCCCAACAGCATCCCCCCTGAATCAAATATTAAGGTCATGAGAATAAAGGAAATGATCGCCAACTCAAGAAGCTCTCAAGTGTTAGACAAATTCTCTTTGTAAGTACTGTAGAAAATGTATATAGAGAACAGTATTGAGAACTTGCATATTCAATTTGATGTTAAAGTGTAAAGGATTAGTTTTAATACCATGCTTATAATCTATGTACATACATGCACATCAATGACACTGGTAACTTTCATTGGTTTCTCTTTCCAAGGAAGTTCTGGGTCAAAATGTGGCTTTTCTGCAAATCAGAGAAAAGTGGAACTAAGGAAATGATTTTCTAATAATTTAATGACATGATTGACTATTCCCTGATTTTTCAAAAACCTAAGCAGGCAGTCATCAATAAAGTCCAGTGCAGGAAAAATATAAAAATATTCAGCTCACAGACAACAACCTTATTAATTCAGTAGATGCTGGATTCTTAATTTTTTCCCTTCTTCATGTACTTCTACAGTGCATTTTTTTAAACTTTTATCATCATGTGATTATTTCTTAATGGTTTTAATAAAGAAGGAATAATTTGTTAATTTATAAATAAATGGAGTTGGCATCTTCAATAAAGATAAATACCATAAATATATAATTAATTAAATTGTATTTAATCAGTTGTCCCTGGTGATGACATTTTGTTGTTCAGATATCAGTCACTTTCATCAATAATGGCCCCTTTAAGAACCTCCCTCAGGTGATCAGAGATAGAGCTATACTACATATTCTTAAGTAATAAAAATACTGACCTCTTGACAAAAAACTCTCAGGTACTCCCAGCCCAAGGGCATGCCAAGAACGTGAATCCAGACTCTGCATATAATTTGACCATTCAAACTTGTGATGATCTGAGTTCCAGTACTCTGCGACCTTATCATCATCATCCATGTTTTCACCTTCCTCGTTCCTTGTGTCTGCTGTAGAAATTGCTCTCAAGTTTCCAAGCCTTGCTCTGTCAGTTTTGCTTTTTGGTGAACCTTCTGTACCTAAAAGGCAACAACAAGAAGATTTAAAGCTGATTCAGAGTGTTACATAGACTTAAATATTCAAGCAAAAAAACACACACAGACTGCAAAAACCATCAGGAAAAGGATTCTCACTGGTAAAGTAAACTGAAGAAATGGCCAATCTTTTTAACCCTTCAGTCTCCAAGTGTGACTCGCATCTCAGTCAAGAAGCTCTTGATTGTTAAACAAATTCTCCAGGTCAATACTGTATGTAAGTACTTACTAATGTTAGGGTGTAAAGGGCTAACCATTGCTTTACAGTGTAAATCCACCAAATGACACTACACAATCATGAAAATTTGAAATTTGAGCATGTTGAGCCCTTGCATGTTGTGTTCTTAGACAACTGACACTTGTGTCTCTCTCCTCCCAGGAGCATGCAAAGTTATATGACTCCTAACCAACTATCATGGAAACTTGATACCCTGCTGACCTATTCTTACCCGAGATGAGCTTGCATTCCATCCAGGATGTGTAGCTACAATTATTATTAGTTTTACTTGCTACAATCATTCTATGGATATCTTCATGGATACAAACCAGGAGTAATGGGCTACTTAGCCTACAGGAGGTAACCTTAACCCTTTACAAAATTACACCAGTATACACATTCTCCATTCTGTTCTCTCTACATTTACTATTTTACTGACGAGGAAAATTTATTAAAAAAACAAGAGCTTCTTTGACAGTAATGTTTGGTTCAGCAGTGACACGGAAAGAAAAAATTTGATTTTAGTCACTCTAAGGGGTTAAAGAGTAAGATCATTAATTCATAACATACCAAATGGTGTATCAGCTGTCTCAGAAACCTCCATTGTTGGAATGTCCTTGGTATCAGCTTCATGTCCCTCTAAGTCTTGAATGCCCACAGAACTAACCACAGAAACAGATCGTTGATCATCAAAATCCTCTGGTTCTGATTGTGGTTCAGCAGTGGTATCAGATTCTTGATCAGACTGATCCTCCTTTGGAGTTGTTGGAGGAAACATCTGCATCAAGCTGTGAGATGATGACTGATTACTACCACCTTTGGAGCCATGTGACCTCTTCCGTTGTTTCCTGTTTGAGAAGATCTCTTTAAATTTTATGATAACTTCAAAATATCAAAGGACTTTATCAATTAACATCCACCTAGTCAGGCTCTTAAGCCACTGATAGCAGTTCAAGGTTACCTTTTTTGAGACAAGCTCTTTTCTCCGAAAGTATTTTCCTTCTCATTCTGTAGAACAGTGTCAGTTACTACGTGTATAACTGGATGTTCATCTCTTTCCTTTTCATCAACAGAAGTCGCTGAGATTGATCCTACAAAGTGAAAGATTTTGTATTTAGGGAAAACTCTCTCTACAGGTTGGCTCTATCCAAGACAGATATCAAAAAAGAGAGGTGATGAACTTTCATAAGATGACAAAGTGCAAAGAGTTGTGAGATAACTGTCAACAACTTTTCAAAACTGGGGCTTTTAGAAAAGTAACATGGTTTAATATATGTGTGTTTGTTGTCTCACCTTTGTTAGAAAACTACAATACGGTTATGAAAAGAAGATTTCATGTTTCAGGGATTTGTTTCTGGGATGGGTCAGTTGTATGACGGTATGTAGAAGCAGTGTAACTGTATATTCAAATACGCAAGCATTAGCTTCCTGGTTTTGAATCTATTTTAAGGAAATGAAAATGATCTTCAGAAAAATCTATAGGTTACCAAGTGCCTTGGAGCCTGCTAACTGCATTTTAGCAATTTCCTTCACAATAGGTGCTGCCTGTTTGTTGTCCAGTGTACTAGCTGGTCTCCCTTTTTCATTATTAAGTAGTTGTTGTTGTCCCTCTGTGAGTTGATTCCACAGCTTTTCAGAAATCTGATCTTTTAATCCTAATTCAGGGGTCTCAGGGGTCTGGTTTGAAGGAAATAGCTTTTAATTAGTTGAAGTATATTAACATTTTATACAGTTCCCATACAGTTCATGGAAGGTGTATGATAGAAAATAAGCACTGTAAGATCATCAACTGTATTTATATCTAGTCATCATTTGTGAACCATTATGATTACTGAAAGAATAATAATATCAGTCTATTTGGCAAAGTTTAGTACCTTGCTTCTTGCTAACAACAACCTGTTGTATAAGTGGCAGTAGCTTTTAGCTGTAAGCAGTACTTTTTCCAGTCTGTCTTGAAGCCATTTCACCCTCTTTTTGGCTGCATCAACCTAAGTACATAAGTGTTAAAAATACAAACAAATGATCAGACATTTAAAAATAATCAATCAGATACTATAATTAATCAAACCGGAGAGAGACCATTGCTGCAAGGGGGAGAATCAATATTGACATCAATCAACTATGGGAGGAGATTTTTCAGGTTCTCACTAGTCTCTATGATCTTTGACCACTGAAAATGATTAGCACCTAAATTCTCATACGAATATCATTGTAATTTCATTGGAATCTTACCCCAGAATTCACTTTTATAGCTCTCTCCAGGTCTAGTTGTGCATATGCTAGCTCATTCCGAATCTTCATCAAAACCTACAAAGCAATAAAAAATAAATTAATTCCTTAACCTAATAGCAACAAATTTTATTCTCTTCTAATTACAAATACAATATTTGCATATGTTAAGGTTCAACTTTTTCTTAGGTTAGGGTTTTTTAAGCAAATTCATTATATATTTTTTTCTTTTAAATGGATGTCAATTATCATCCTGATTACAGAGGTAAATTCAAGAGAAAGAAAAATAAAAGTTGATAATACTATTTTGAGAGTTTGAACAAGAAGAAAATTTGAACCACAATGTATGCATCACAGACTCATTTAGCTAGGTACAGCTAATTAGGCAGCTTATTATGCTTTATAATAGCTGAGTACCTGTATAACTACAAGCAGCTCTTCACTTTTGCCAAATAGTTGCTCTAATTCCTCCTTACTCTTTTCATGATCATCCTGTCAAAGAAATTGAAAGTAATGAAAATTAGGACATGTCACAAGAAAGTGATAAAATATTATCACACAGTCACATACTGGGATATTAATGTAAAAAAGAAAACAAATTATGCAAGTTTTAGCAGATTGCAAAAGGTAAGAACTGAAAGAAAATCACTTTAATTAAAGTGAGTGGGTACCTAATGTATCCACAAATTTCCACTGTGACCTATTAGTCCAAAGATTGAACCACCCTCCCCCCTCCATTGATTGAAAAAAGAAAAGGGAGGGTGGGGTGGGGTGGGGTGGGGTGGGGTGGGGGGAGGTAAGTACACGAAAAAAATAAATAAATAAATAAATAAAAAAGAAAACAAACTGGATCTGCAACTGAAAAACATTCTCTACCAAACTTCTCGAGAACTCAGAAAAGACCCAATGTTAATCAGACTCCAAAATTTAATTTGAGCCTACACTTGTAAGGATTGACTGCAAACCTGAAGTCAGCCTCTAGGTTAGTGGCAGTTAACTTTGTCACACTGCTATTAAAATATTAAAATTCTAACACATCCAAGAAGGCTAATGAGATTCCAAAAATTGACAAAGCCTTCAAGTTTGACTTATAGCAATTAATACAATTTGCAACTCATTACACCCGGATGTAAGTAAATGTAAATGTACTTTGAATCACTTGTTAACCCTAAAGGGTTTTTCTGATGCTCCTTGATCTGAAACCAAGTGTGAGAGTCTTCTCTGAGCATATGATCACAAGCAAATGTTACATTATTATTGACCTAACCTCTGCAACAGCTTTTCCAAGGTTCTGTAGGGTTTTCTGTAGAGCATCCTGAGTTCCTCTCATAATAAGAAGCTAGGTAGGACAAATCAATAATCAAGTACATTCTACATGGCAATAAGTACGCTTTTTTGTATGATTTTTATAGAAAGAACCCTATAGATATCACTTCATACACAATTTTGACATTTTGGGCCATCTCCACACCAAATTCGTTTGTGGTGACGGGTTTTGTGACGGTTTCCTAAATTAAACATTAACTTCTTTAAATGTCATCTAAATAATTCATAGCTTTCTAAAATCATAAGAAGGTGACTTAACAAGTACAATTTATTCAAAGAAAAACTCGGTTAAATCTAGACTATACATACCTGTTCCTTAATCAAAGCTTCTGATCTCTTGTTCCTTTCCTTGATCGGACGAAGCCCTATCACAGGTTTGTTGTCCGATAACGTGACCTGATCTGCCCTTTGAGAAGACATAATGCTAAATTGCTAATAAAGTGTCTACATCCGAAAAAGGTGATCGGTTTCCATTATCTACAACATCAAGCAAAAAGAGAATTTCTTCAGCAAAGCAAAAGGGCCAAAAATAAAAACAAGACTCAAACAGCCATCTTGCGCCGTTTCCATGGCTCCACAGGTTGCTTGGCCTGGTTACCTGACGTGGTTACACAGCTATTCTCACATGTTAGAAACTTTCAAAATGGCGGCCGTCGAAGACGAAGTTGATAAAGATGGAGAAGACGTTACTTTCAAATCACTGGTAATAAGGGGTTATAATACACATTTCTAGATAAAGGCTCTCAAATGAAACTTTTTAATTTGGCCTTTGATGTTTTCATAAGGGAATTGTCGATGTTTTGTGTGAAGCCTGCCAACAATTGGGATGGAAGTCACCCACAAAGATACAAAGAGAAGCCATTCCAGTTGCTTTACAAGGTAGTTATTGGTAAAATTTGGCAATATTTCGAGAGTATTTCATATTTTATTGGGTAGAGAATGCTTATTAATGATAGGCAATCTAAATCGAGCCATTAGGGTTGGGGACCTTGTCCTGGTGGTCTTTTTGTTTATCACTTAAACTCTCAGAAGTGATCAACATGCTATTTCTCCCTTTAACATCCATACATTATCCAGCAAACAGGTCTTGAGAATACTCAAATTTATCAGGTAGAATTTGTTATCCTGATCTAACACCAAATTCTCACGACTAATTTACAAGGAAATGTGTGTCACCTAGGGAGGAGAATCAGCAGTAAGGATTAAACACCTTATGTTGATGGCTTATCTCAGTAAAGAGGAAACACATCATAACTGTTGGATAATAAGAAAGGGACACACCATGGGTATATGACATGACACATTCCATTAGATAAAAGAATACACACTGGCCCCTCTTTTCATTTTGTTGAAAGTGTCAACATGGCCATTAATTTTTTCTTGCACTGAAAACTTGGCAGTGTTTTTGCAGTTTTTTGATCCTTTAATATGCTTTGGATTATCTTATACTTTTTCTTGCAGGCAATGATATAATTGGTTTAGCAGAAACAGGTTCTGGGAAGACAGGAGCATTTGCTCTTCCAGTTCTTCAGAAGCTACTTGAAAATCCGCAGAGATTGTATGCCCTTATTCTAACACCAACAAGGTTTGATTGTGTGTATTCTTCAAATCCAGTTTGTTTTTTTACTTCATATGCTCAGGTTAAAGTTTAGTATATGTGAAATTATGGAAAGAGAATTTTTAAAGATTGTTCATTGTTTTCATATTTGTTTTAATCAGCCATAATAAAAGTTTACTTAATAGTCATTATTTTATACTCTATTCTTTGGCGTACTCAGAGAACTGGCATTTCAGATTTCTGAACAGTTTGAAGCCTTAGGTGCAAGTATTGGAGTGAAGTGCGGTGAGTTTTTTAATTTTTTAATCTAAGATTAGGTTTATTTTGCTTTGCTTTGCTCTGTGATTGGTCTCAAAAACTTGTACCACACTCTCAACCAATTACAGAATGATGCAAAACTAGAACCAATCATGGCTTGGCCACCTGTGTTTTCCCAGGCTTTGGACAGTTTGCTTGGTTTTAGTTTAAGTTCTCATGGGTTTTTACTGTTGTGGTAATTTTCTCTCTTCTTCTTACTGGTTGTGGTCATAACTGTGGTTTTGGTTTTGCTGCACTCAATCAAAGAGCGCTGTAACATTTGAGTTGAGTACCACATGACTTTTGACCATTTGATATCATCAAGATGTGGCTAAACTATATATTACAATTATCTGCAGCTGTAATAGTTGGGGGAATTGATATGATGTCACAGGCTCTGATGTTGGCAAAAAAGCCTCACATCATAATAGGTAATGAAAAAATACCTTATTTATAACTTTATCTTATCAATAACCACTTGAAATGCGTATACATGTATGTCACTGAAACCTCTTTTAAAAAGTTATTTATATGATGATGATATGATGATGTTCAGCCCTTTTCAGGCAGTAACTGGTAAAATTTACAGCCTCTAATACCTTTGTAACTGCCTGAAATCACTTGGAATTATTGAAAATTTTACCAATAGAAGGATTGCTGTGCAGGTTTAAAAATTTATTTCACTCGTCCTGCTTAAAATAAGGGAGAACCCCTGCATTATCCTTTAAAATGTCAGCAAACCAGAACTGTTTTCATTTCTTGTTTATCACCCCAACAGATAAATTGTCCTATCAGATTTGACAGAAAATAGTGAATAAGTTAAAACCAGAGATATCTAATGTTCAATTATTATGATCTATTTTTCATCTACACTCTGTATCTGTATCTGTAACAAATTGATCTTATTGTAAATTTATGTTTGTGACATTTATTTCCAATAAGGGGAAGTAGGCACTGAAAAATTTTTTAATTTTTAGCCTCACCAGGAAGGCTTGTTGATCATCTAGAAAACACAAAAGGATTCAATTTAAGAACTCTGAAATACCTGGTAAGTGAATAATGTCACAATTACTCTAGTTACTTTTGAAACAAGTTTATCCCCACATATACACCTGTACAATGTTTTCCAAATCTCTTTACCTTGTCACTGGGTCTACAAATGATCAGAATACAAATTAAAAAGGTAATCTTTTGCTAATTCTTTCACTTTTTATTTATAGATAATGGATGAAGCTGATAGGATATTAAATCTTGATTTCGAAAAAGAGGTATGTGAAAGAAATGATAGAAAATAAATTGATTTAAAAATTATCTTTATTAGTACAACTTTGCATGGGCTCTTAGAAACAGAAGAGAAACTTATCTAGGAATCTCTATTTCTTTTTATTTGTCAGTTTTTGTTGACATGTAGTGTTGTATGTATTTGCTTGTTTTGTTCCCCATGAATTGAATTTCAAGTCAGTTGGAGTATTGAAAGAGGTTTTTTGCTTTCAATAAGGATAGTGCTTTCTTCTTTACGCATTGTGTACATAAACAAATTTAAAAAAATAGTTGGTATTAGGGAGCTTATGCAAACCAAAAACGTCAATGGCAACAAGGATATGGCAGAACAGGAGATGTAATTGGCAAAACAATAGCACAGCACATGCATTTAAGAACTTTGTACATTCCCAAGCTATTCTCTGCAAAGCAAAATGGTAAACACACCAAAATTTGGTGATAAGTTTCCAGTTGGAACTCATTGCTACTCACATACCTCAAACACATCCAGCCATTCACAAAATTCTAACTAGTACAAGTATAGTTTCAGTTTTTTTTTTTAATAACTCCCTTGGTATTGTCGTCTTCACTGTAAGGTCTCTTACAAAACTGAGAGGAGGGAAGTATCATTAGGTTGAACAGAGAGTCTCACATTTGCTGAACTTTAGGTGGACAAGATATTGAAGATAATTCCTAGAGAGAGAAGAACATATTTATACTCTGCAACCATGACAAAAAAGGTGACGGATATTCTATATTTCATAGTAATAAAATACTAATAGTTACCTGGGAGAATAATCAGCTGTCATTTATTTTGAAACACTGTACAATATGTTATTTGTTTATTTTGGAAGGGAGAGTAGATCGCAGACAGAAAAGAAAAAAGATTATTTCAGACTGTCATTATATTAAATCAAAAGACATTAGTTTTATTTTTCTCCAACAGTAACAGTAAGGTATAACAGTAAGCTATATTGGAAAAATGCACATCAGTGAAAAAATTGAGACTGTATAATAGCAATATCACATGCCCCATATACTGTGTTTTTAAATCTGATTCACCTGAATTATGTCACAGGTTCAAAAGCTTCAAAGAGCTTCTTTACAAAGTCCTGTTAAAGTTGAAGTTGCTACAAAGTAAGTGGTGTTCTTACCTGTTTGGTGCTCTCTGTGTGATAACAATGTAGCAATTATCAAGTAGGGTTGTGGGTTAGCCTCAGCTCACAGAATTTCCTTCTCTTTTAAGATACACCACTGTGGACAAGTTACAGCAGAGTTATTTGTTTATACCAAACAAATTTAAGGTAATGAATGTGCTTTTGGCACTATTGATGAATCCACTTTGGACAAAGATTTGTAATGAGGTGCCATTGATTCCTTTAAGACTTTGACCCCCGCCAGTGACCAGCACTTGATTTCTCCTGCCCACTCCTGTCACCTAATCTGATTCTTTTTGAAAACACTGTCAGTTTTTGTGAGATTAATGCTGAAATTCCTATTTACGGGAAATATTCTGCTACCTGATAATTCTTCCTACTGTTAGTCCTGATCGTCTTTGAATGAGTGATTTATTTTTGTCCACAGGACTGTTATCTTGTATCTGTCCTCAATGAACTGGCTGGAAACAGTTTCATGGTGTTTTGTGGCACGTGTAACAATGTGCAGAGGTAAATAACCCTTTGACTCTAAGGGTGACAAGAATCTAATTTCTCCTTACAGTATCACCCCAGAGTCACACTTTAAGGTCACAATCATAAAGGAAATGTTTGCCTACAGAAAAAGCTCTTGATTGCTTTACAAATTCTCCTTGGCGGCACCTTGAGAAATGTAGAGAGAACAGTATGGAGAATATGCATACTGATGTTAATGTGTAACTGTTTAAAAGCCAAAACTCTAGTCAGATGCAGACATCCATGATAATTGTATTTTGTTTTTAGAGTGACACTCATGCTGAGAAATCTCGGTCTCCAGGCTGTGCCTCTTCATGGACAGATGACTCAGGTATCAAAGACAGTAACTGTAACAACTAACAATAAAAATATTAAATACACATATTTCAAACTTAGAATATACAAACTGTAGCAGGGGTTCAATAGCTTTTTCCACACTTGGCTGCCCATGTTGTAATTGGCAGCTGTACCTGGAGAAGGACCGTAAGGCAAAATCCTTGCTTGCAACCAAATATACGTTTGTTTCAGTTCTTATAGGCGGTAGTAAAGTGTAGTCGCGTATGCACGTACACAAGTGTAAGCAAGAATACCATAGTGAAACCCCCTTGTAGATGTAGTCTATTGGTAATTTCTTTGCACACAAAGTGATCAGCTTTTTTTTTTATCTTCAGGAGAAACTCGGCTTTTCTTCAACTTGTAGCGTTGTTGTGCTTGGGGAAAATAAAATGAAAATTCTTGCAATTGCGTTACATCTACCCTATGTATGGTATTGGAGATAAATTAAAATTCTTAAGAGAGGTCGAGTGACTGCAACTCACAAGTATTTTGTTTTCTATTTTCAGTCAAAAAGACTCGGCGCCCTGAACAAGTTCAAGTCCAAAGACCGCTCAATTCTGATCGCCACAGATGTGGCTAGCAGGGGCCTGGACATTCCACATGTGGATGTTGTTATTAATTTTGATATACCAACACATTCCAAGGTACAAACATGCATACAATGTATAGAAACAGAAACTTCCACTTTCCTCGAAAACATGCTCTTTGTTCCGAAAGGAAAATGGTTTTCGGGGAAAAATCTAAGTTTCGAGTCACAGATAATGTCCAAGGACAAATATTTAAGCCATTTATGAAGCTAAGTAGAGGCTATCGTATGTATAAGTAGGAAACAACTTGTTACCTGCTCATTCACGGGCTTCGATAAAACCAGTTCAGCTTTTAACCGTTTAGTTAACTTCCAGATGTTCCGAACCAACCTTTTAAGAATTGTATGGCAGACAGTAAGATGAATTACTAGTGAGATCTTTGGAGTGAGAGGGCTAACCTTTCAAGTTTGCTACATTGCTTACAAATTTACAGAGAACAATTTGCGGTAATCTCTGGAAAAGTTGAAATATCAAACTTCGTGTACCCATATCCCTAACCTTGTTTCGTGTTGTAACTACTTATTCCTTAGGTGTTTCTGAACGTTCTTGTTAACTATCATGTCAAGTTGACAACTAGGCTCTTCCCCTTATTCATTCTTGTTTCTTCTTCCTTAGGATTATATTCATCGAGTTGGACGAACAGCTAGAGCTGGGCGTTCTGGGCGCTCTATTACCTTCGTTACTCAGTAAGTTTTTCTTCAATTTCCGGCTTTAATCGTCGCGGATGGATTGAATCGTTTTTAGGCATCTCAAACTGGTTTAGATTGAGTTTCGTGACAAATCGCAATGTTAGCTACCAAGGTTTGGTTTTCCATCAAAATGTGACAAACAAGGAAACATAAGTTTTTTATTCAAATTTATTTTGTCTTCCTCTCACTTTCCACTCCATGATTAATAGAGATCTGAGTAGTTCTTGTTTTATTTACAGGTATGACGTGGAATTATACCAACGAATCGAGCAGCTTATAGGCAAAAAACTGCCTCTGTACCCCACAGTGGAGGAGGAAGTCATGTTACTGATGGAACGAGTTACAGAGGCACAGAGATACGCTAAGATGGTAAGAATTCCCCCGCATTTGACTCCATACATTCAAGTGTGCTTGTATGTAACATGCATATGTAGTTGAAAAAGTAGATTCCATGCTGCCGCGCTGTTGTTCAGTAATAAAATACAGATGACGTCAAAATTTGGTAGGAATAAAAAGGTGAAACACCAGGCGGAGCCAAGGTCTTTACTTAATAGAGAGATTTAGCTTCGCGTTTCAGTGAAATGTGAGCGGCAAGGGTGACCACGTGACCACGATTTTCCCGTCATTTTTTTCACGTTTGCTGCTTGCGCTTTGCTGTTTCTACGTGAGAGTAAGCTGTTTCGCGTTCGCTGTGTACATACGATTTTTTCCCGTTTTTCCCTCACAGAGTAGAAGTTAGTTACCGGAAAAAAATTGGGCCAAATCTATTTCCCTTAGTTCATACAAGGGAAGATGAAGGTTCATGTTAAAAATCCTATAAATGCCGCACTTTTCGTCAGCAGCTGCAGGAACTCACGTCGATTCATGAGAAGGCTCCATCGAAACTCGATAAGTTGGAGCAAGATACGCCTGACGAAGGGCTAACAAAGTTGACGTCAGTTTTTGAAACTTTCCACAGTGGCCAGTTTACATTATTAACTCAATGAAAACTAAATTACTCTGTTCTGATAGCAGTCTGAGTAAAACCTGTAAAATATTCACACATGTAACTTGTCGATAAAAGAGTTAAAATAGTTTCCTTGGGTATACCGGCTGGGCACTAAATTTCACCCTTTAAAGCCGGGTTGCTCATGACAGTCCCAGAGTCAATGGATCCCCAACCATTCCCCTACCGGCAAATCTTGTCCACATCCTCCCGATTCTTCTTGTTTTTCTCCAACTAAGATTCGTCTTATTCCCATTAGGAGCTCCGAGAGTTGCAAGAGAAAAAGAAGAGGCCCTTAGACGAAGGAGAGAACAGTCAAGAGATCAGAATGCCGAGCAAGAAAAAGAAATTTGCTGCTGGCAAGAAAAAGGGAAAGAAATTTAAATAAACAATATTACCTACGCATGTCATCGTGCATGGCTTCTTTGCATTGAGAATGCCGCTTTGCATCCTACCAATTTTTAAAATTGTAAAATTGTAGCTTTGAAGCCGTGGAATCGTGAAGTTATTGTTTCTTGAGAAAATTCTACAAACGACTTCCCATTAATAACGTTGTGAGAGTCATGAAAACATCACCGTAAACTGCTACACTAACGTTGCATAAAATGTGAAATTGAATGACCTGAAATCACAACAGCTTCAACAGTAAAAGGTAAAGACATATATCTACATTTGAAATTTTTACTGTTTGTCGCAGATGTGTAGTTTTTATTGATGATACTACCCTTCAGCTATACCTAGGCTTCTTGAAACTGTGATTGTTTTTAAACCTAGTTAATTGTCATCCCTATAAAAAAAACACTTGTTAGCACGTTGTCTAAAACTTTACAAAAGGGTCGTCACTGTTACAGGAACTGTGGCTTTCTTGCTTAGTTATTTCTAGAATTTCTCAACCACATCAGAGATCTAAAATCCAATTAACCTATTTGTTCCTTCGTTAATTCATTTATGTACTTATTTTATTTGCCTCAAACTCATTTACAACTGCACCCCTACTGATTTTCGTAAGGATGTACACATCGGTTCTAAAGGTCCGTTTCAGAGAGCGAGGAACCAGTCAATCAGAATTTAATTCCTAGTGTGATTATTTTCTCCACTGTAAATACTTTTAGGACAAAGTTCCCCTTCGTCGTTTACTTCTTACTACAATTTTGTCTCCATAGTAACGACAGAACTGGCTCGATCATCTGCTACATCCACAAAATGGTCTAACGTTTTGTGTAGATTCATGTAAGCCAAACTTGAAGGGAGGTACTGTATTTTCTATAAAACAGAAAAGAAACCTCTCTCATCTAAAAGCTTTGCTATTATCGCCTCCTCCACTTACCGAACTATCTGGGAGGGGACAACCATGGTGCTTATTGCAATCATTTGGAGAACTCAATTAACAACAGAGTTAAAACTTAGTCGAAAGAAAACAGACGAATGAGGAAAAGCGCGTAATAGATTATTTATATTGTAACTGAAATAGATTTCAAAGAACAGTGATGTTGGCGCACGAACCGAATCGCTTCAAATCAAGTCTCTAATACGATGCAATTATGTCCCGTTGAGTTACCCTAATTTAGTTTCCTAAAGAAAGAGCCAAGTCTTTTTTTTCCATCGAAAACTCCTGTCCACGGAAGGAGGGGCAAGAGTCCGGCAACGAGAGTCGTCCGTTAATGAAAGCCGTATGTTCGAAATGTTGGTAGTTATGTACCTGTTGGTGTTTCCTTCAGCAAGTCCCTGGCTATTATTGAAAAGAGTTCGTCTGGTGAAATTGAAAAATTGAAAAAAAAAAAGATCAAATAGTTTGATCATTAGTCGATCGATCAATCAACGGAGTAGTCAATGTCAATCAATCAATCCATTAATGAATTAGTCAGTTAATCAACCAATCAATAGAAACTATTATTTCGGTATGTACTTACGGACGTTTTCTCCCGTTTTACTTGATGTTTCAATTACTTTCCTTGCTTTGGTATCTGGGAAGAGTGGATTAGTGTCGGAGGTAATGAAAGCAAATCAGTGGAAATGTGATAAGTATAAGGAAAAACACAGAAGAAAATATCTGGACTACTGAATCCTTCTGGTCCACAGTAACTCAAATAAAGAATCTGGCCCATATGAACGTTTAAAAAAAAATGTCCGTCGTTGTTAACATAAGCCAAGAATTAACAAGTGATACAGAATGCATCAATCTAGATTACAAGGGAATTAAAAGCTCAAAAACTCACTTTGGGCGTAATCCTCTGCGCTGTCCCTGGTAACTTCTCTATTTCTGTTCCCGGAACTTACCAAGTCAAACTTTGTTCCACACAGATAAAGCTTACAATTCTACAACAATAGCAATGTCACAGTTGGTCATACAGGTACTTAGTCTGCATGTTCTTTTGTCTTACCATCCATCAGTCCAGATTAACACGTCAAAGAAGTGTAACGTTACCAATTAAGAATGATTTTATTTTAAAATTCGTTTAAATTTGTTACCGAAGAAAATTAAAGAACAAAGTTCTTAACAGGAAGACCCTTTTTGTGCTGTATTGAATGTCCTTTATGTTCAAACTTTCTTGGTTTTCATTTATAACCATCACTTTCGATTTCGCGAAGGCACTTGGAGGATAATGTACTACTTACATACCTCGTTATTTTGCCTAACTTCTGTCACGTAGAACTTGGCTTTTTCAAAGCTAGAGGAGTCGCATATATCTAGTACATACATAAACAGAAATAAACACGTGCAGGTATTAATTAACTGCGGCTGCTGGGCCTATAAAGAACTGGACAAATATAGAGCGTCAGTTCAACTCCGCCTGGAAACAGTGGACAGGAAGACCCACCTCGTGGATTGTCCACTGCTTAATCATTATTGTTATTATTATTTATTTATTTATTTATTATTATTATTATTATTTTATCATTGTCATTATCAACAGATTGATCAATGCTTAACAAAATCAGCAAATTGCAGCAGCCCCACACGATTTTTTACCGCAATAATCCCAAAGTTAACGAAAGCGTGTTTACCATAACAAATGATGGCTGCTTCAGCTCCACGATAATATAACGCAGTCATTGATTCAAAGCGTTCTGAACCTGCTGTGTCCTAAATGAAAACGAAAGAGTGAATGGAAAACACTAATGTTGTTAAACGATTCTTACCCAATTGGGAGGGAATTGAAGCCTTTTAGAAAATGAGAAAGTGGAAAGAACTCTCGGGTAAACCAAAACAGAAAAAGGAGAAAACATCACTAAAAACCAAAGCTATTAAATGAAAGCTCGCGTGAGTGTACAAGGGACACCGGTGCATCAGCCAAAGCCACGAGACGACAAGGGCAAGCCACTCTCCACAAATATCTACATGATCGGTTTGCGCTTTGCGTTGGATTTCTAGGCAGCGCCATACTTTGTTTGCTTGGCTTTAATCTTCGAGGCTTTTTACATCATAATTATTTTATACACAGTCAGTTTTTCTGTGCGTTTCCTAACCGACTGGTAGAATGAAAAACATCAAAGCGACTTAAGGCCAGTTCAAGGCCAGGTCAGTTGACGAACTAGGCACGTCTACTTGTAAAAGTTACGCACTCATAATTTGTTACACGTGACTAAAACATTTTTAAATAATTAATTACTTAAAACACTTTAACAGGAGCCGTAGCCACTTAGCACTGGGGGGCATTGACAATTGACAGTCAGTTTTCTACAGTCCCTGGGCCTAAAATTAACTGCATTCACGTATGTGAGTTTTTCTTTTGGTCTGATCAAAATTCGCGAGACAGTCTGTTGCCAGACAATCTGCACTGGCTTATGAAAACTTTCATCGCTAGAAAATGGTAATTCATGCTAAGATAGGGATCGGCTCACCCATATTCCAAGAGTGACGTATTTTTTGCCCACAGTCATTTTCTTCGCCACATACGCCGCCCCTATGGTCTGCAGAGGGTAAAAAATAAATAAATAAATAAAAAACATAGGTCTGAAAAAGGAATATTTGCAGCAAACGAAATTTGACTCCTTTCCAAAGTAAGACGACTGAAAAGGAATGAATAAATAATTGCTGAGCCAATTCTAAATTTGGCAATCTTTATTTGGTCAAAGCGCAAGGTTTCATTTGGTCAAATGTTCAGATTCAGCCGACGAATGCAATTTTAAGTTAAATTAACTTAAACTGACAATTTTTTTTGGTCTGAGGTTTAGTAGGTGCTTGCTCTAGTCAAGCAATCGTCTCTAATGGTACGAACAATTTTAGAGTCATTTATCTACCAAATCGAAATCCACGGTATTTCTTTGAGTTCTTAAGCTCGTGCTTTTGAACTTTGCATTTCCATTTCCATGCGTATTTTTCTCATGATCATTCTTTATTTTCGGCCACAATTTCGGAGAAGAGTCCATGTGAGCGATACATCGATCCTTTTAAATAATTTTGATCGAAAGGACGCGTGGTTTCCTTATGTTAATTTAAAGATTTCTTGAAAGAATCGAGAACAGCGTCAAAAGCAAATACGAAATAAATGAATAAATAAAAAGAAAAAAAGTACTGCACCGGACAAAGTTTCGGATAACGTTCGTCCATAAATGAAACTTTTTGAAAGCAAACAGTGTCAAATAATGCTAAATCGTTAACAAAGGTATGTTCAGAGAGGAATTTTTTTTTATCTCATAGTGATCTTAAGGGGCCTGGCTCATCGAAAAATGTTGTCAGCTTTTAGTAATTATATGTCAAGACTTAGATTGGAACGAGATGGTCTTGTCAAGATCAATCAAGATATCACCATCGCTCTCTCTTTCGCTTACAACAGTTTGCTTTCATAACTGCTTCCACTTTCTTGGCGAGGAGAATTTGGACTCTTCACGGAGTTTTACACATTGAAAAACAGAATAAATTGTAAATTTATCAAAATTGTAAATTGCAATCGGTGCCGATCGACTCCTTTCTTGACTTCCACATCGCTTTTATTTACTAGACGCCATTATATAAAGGACATCTTTCATTTCCTAAAAATTTTCTTCGTCAATACTTAAATTAATCCGTCGTAGGGCTACGTTAGACGAGGCAGCTTTCACGCAAAGGAATTTAGACTGAATTAAGTGACGTGTTTTTCCGAGAAGTGGGTTGCTCTTGTCAGCGCTATGGATAGTCGATGTTTGCATTGCACAAATCACTTCACCATCGGGGAAAACGGTATCAAATATAAATAGAATCTGAGTGATAAGTACAGGTATATCACAGATAGCGATTTCGAAATATGTAGTTAAGAACCATGAGCCTTTAATTAGTTCGTTTCGTGTGCGATCGTCAAAATGTATCGTTTACGAGCGCAAGAGAACACTGACACTTGGATGAATTAGGAATCGCATTGAAAAGTCGCCGAATTCAAACAATGTCTTTTCTTCCTGCGCTGAAAGAGAAAGAAGCCTCAAAACTCTTAGCTACTCTCGATCCATTACATTATCGGGTGCTAAGCTGATTCTTGGAAGCAATTGAAACAATACTCACAGGTTCGTAAGATGATTTCTCGTTAAATCTGTTCGTTGTAAACCTGTGTATCAGGGCGGTTTTCCCAACGCAATATTTTCCCACTATGATCACTTTCTTCTCTGCCTTAGAGCCCATTTACAACGACGAGCATAGGATGACAACCTCGGTGATCAGCTTGTCATGTTTGGGTAAATGTAAACAAACTCTGGTCACGAATTGAGTAGTCACGCAATTTTTTTCCGGCTGCTAGTGGAAAGGTTGCGAAGGTACTGGGGAGAAAGAAGTTGCAATGGCGGGCGAATGAACGTGAGTGAAAGCATCTGAAATGTTTACAAGTCAAGCTCGTATCGACAGCAAAACTGGCCCGGATAATCTCGGACGATTTGAATATTTACAGGCTTTGGTAACGGAATTTCAAGATACAGACAAACAAGGTAGAGCCTTTTCCTCCGACTTGGAACTGCAGATATGTACATAGCCATCACAAAGATTAAACTTTACAAAACAAACGACACCTACAGACAATTTACCAGTCTCTTCAAAGCCAGATAAAACCTATTCTACTCTCACATCGCCAACCTCATCGACCTAGGCCTAAAAGTTTACACAGAAACCTGATTAATTCGGAAAAAGACAAAGAAGCAACAACCAATAAAATGGTCAAGTTCATGGCCCACCAACTTCGTTTTTACCACCTCCACAACTAAAAACTCCCAACTTAGCAGCACAATACATTCAGAAGTGAACACTGCATTCTTTTAGTCCCATGATCCGTTTTTACAACTGAATTGACTTTAAATAATTTTTATCTAGGTTCTAAGGAAGAAATCTTGGCCAACTTAGCCAATTTTGGGTATGATCCTATCAACTATGGTCACTTCAGAAAGCTTAATGTGTTAGACCTTTTTATGGGTGAGAACAGAAACATTATTTTTTTTATAGGAAATTCATTTTCCTCAGAGTTGAACAATTCCACTTTAGATGATTTACATTTAGTTCTAGCCAGAGAAAAGAAGAGATTTAATGTGTCTGATAGTAAAGCAAAAGTTTGGAATCAAATGGATATAGAGCTCTGGGCCCAGCTGTTCAAAGGCTGATTAACTCTAACCCAGGGTTAAATTTTAATCCAGCTTTCTTTATTTCTTTGTTCAAAAGTCTTTTTGGGAAAATTTTCACTATTCTTTTTAGAACATCCAATGATCAAATTGCAAGCAAAAAGATTTGAACTGAATTTTCTCTTAAAGTTTTCAGACCTGAAATCAAATTTCACACTAACCCTGGGTTACCTTAACCCAGCTTTGAACAACCGGGGCCTGATTGTCAAGTTTATTTATGCATGGAACTGTTTTGAGAACATTGTAGAGTTTTTTGAATAGTTGGTATTTACAAACATACAGTCATGCTTTATATAACATGTACATTGTGCTCCAAGTAAGTGGAAGAAAGAGATGCTGATTGAAATAAATACTACATGTTTACTCAAAATTTCTCCTTGTGATGACAAAAAGTAGCCTTGTCACCAATAATTTTTGTCTGATACTTGCAGATATGCTTACAGAAGAAAATGAAAAGTTTGTTGAGTTTGGGATTGGAGGATTATGTAACTGCAGTCTGGGTAAGAAACTGATGAAAGAAAAGTTTAACAGTCATGCGTAATTTTCTTTGGCTAATGATGTAGCTTTTATGTCTCTCAGATAAGGAAAACAAACAATACATCATTGAGAATGGTGGAATACCTTTAGTTATTAATTGTCTGTCCAGGTAACAACACATTTCATATTTATTTGATTGTTGGGTCATTAGTTCTGTTGGGTCCTGGTATTAACCCTTTGACTCCTTTAGAGTGATAAGCAGCTGATTTCTCCCTACATTCTCTTCCCTGAATCACACATTCAGGTCATGAGAATTAAGGAAATGATCATTGACTGAAGGAGCTCCTGGTTGTTAAACAAATTCTCCTTGTCAGCACCTTAGGACATATATAGAGAACAGTATGGAGAATATGCATACTGATTTTAGGGTGTTAAAGGTTAAAGGATGTACCCAAGAGAGTACCAAGGTAGACTGATTCTCAGACAGTCCAGGTCACTCTTACAGAGAAAGAATGTGGCCACCAGCAACCTGGAATGTCTGAGTATCAGGGTATTTCCAAGGGTGCTTTTTACCCTATCTTTGGAATTTAGATAGGCAATTTTTTGTCAGTCTTGTAAAATAATAATGTATAGCCCCAAGTGTACTAAAAATCATTTTTTTAATATCCCCCATCTCCTTTGTGGAAGGAAAAAAGACTACACCCCTGTTCTCTTGAACTTCAGTCAGCGATACACCCGATTTTAGACACTGATTGCTGTGATCGACAAAAATCACCTGGTGTATATGATGCGGCAATTTCAATTTTGGCTTATGGCCATGATCAGCAAATAAAATTACCAGGTGTGTTGCTGGCTTTAGCCTTAGGTGCATCACCATTTTTTACCCTAATAATCTTAATGTTTTTTTAATGAGAGTGGTAGTCTTGTGAAGAGCTGTGATGACAACGGATTGCTGTATGTTAGGAGGCAACATGCATTTCAATTGAAATACAGAAATTGTGGTTTTTGATGCATTTTATGTTTACATCTCAACTTCTTTTAGTTCCAATGAGGAGACCGTTTTGTCAGCCATAACGACTCTAATGTTCCTCACTACACCAAAGACACAGGAAGGTCAGTTACTGTTTAAAATCTAGTTGGTGTCAACTGTTTGCTACCATTATTTAAAGCAAGAGAATGCATTCTTGCTTTGTATGTCAGCCTAAGGTAAGAAGTTTTGCAGACAAAAACATGTGGAACAATCTATTTAACCAAACTCAGTAAATTAACATTTCAGGAGGAGGTATTAATTATTACAAGGGCTCTGACTGGTAATAGGTTGCATTTACTTAAAAATAGGGTATTTATTTGTGGCCAGGCAAAAATCAGAGCAATTCTGAATGAATTAAATTATTGAATAAATTGTTATTGATATGTTTCACAGAAATCACATCAGAACCTGTTGTGGACTGCATGGAGAGATTTTCAACATCCTCAAATGCTAGACTAAGTAACGTGGCTAAAGTATTCCTACAGGTGTGAGAAGCAAAGACAGGTTTCTTAAAATGTTGCCTTATTAATCTTTCTTTTGACCTATAAGAATACAGAGATGTACAAATTATAATGTATAATTATAACAGATGATGATAATTTTAAAAAAATTACAAAATCATGATGTTGTGTCGGACTGAATGACGGGTACTTGGCATTGTTGCGGTGGATTGAACATGACAACTAAACAACAATTTCCGTGTAATGCATGATTAAGGTTATTTTTTCCTCTTCTATGAACAATGTTTTAACCCTTTACACCCAAACATCTGAAGTCATATTCTAAAAATTGTTCTCTGTTCATTTCCAAATGTACTCACAGGGAGAATTTGTTTGAATATCAAATTACCTTTACAGTGATGATTGTTTCCTGTATTCTTTTGACCTTAACATTTCATTCAGGGATGATATTCTCATAGAAATTAGATGCTAGTCACTCTTTGATGTCAAAATGGTAAAAGGAAATCCAAATTGTTTTCAAAATGAATATGCCAAGGAAAGCATCCAAAAATAGAGCATTGTCTCTCTTGTGCACATTTTATAAATTTTGTTTGTATGACTACCACCAAGGGTTACAGAAGGAATTAACCCTTTAACTCCCAGATCAAAGTTGTAATTCTCCTTACTGTCAACCATACAATTCTTATATTGTTAGTTCAGAGAATTTAGTATTAGATCAACTAATTATCCCCAAATTGATATTTTCTTTATTCTCATCACCTATCTTGTTGCTATTGTATTGATATTGTAAGGAGAAATTCTGTCTTGGTCACTAGTGGGACTTAAAAGGGGTAATCGTATTCTTCCTCAAGTTCTCTAGTAGTAGTCCTTACAACCCTTGTCTTCTGTAAATAGGAAAATCCTATTTAGCTAAGCCATCATATATATTAGTCTTTTTTAAACAATATTGTGAGGTGCCATTTCTAAAAAAATATATATTTTTTAGGATTATTGTAAAAGGTCAAAACATGATGTTACGAACACAAATTGAAGCAGAGATGAAGAGCATCTGCTTGAAGCTGCTCTTTCTACATCAAGATGTTACAGGCCTGTCTACATCTACAGGACATTTCTTTTCATGGGAGAGGTTATGATCTCATACACACACAGTTGCTACTGTGCTGTAGCAACTGTTTAGTAGTACTCCACTATATCCTGGTTCTTTACAGATAATATTTAAGTAAAGGCAAGCCTGTAAGTGGTTCCCACTTACAGAGTAACAGGAGATCATTTACAAGAGGAATGTCTTGGGAAGATTACTCCTGAAAAGGACCTCCTTCCATTATATTGAATGAAGCTTAAACAACCAGAAACCAGGGTAGAAGTGTTCCAACTACAGTTCCAGGAATGCGGGGGTTTGCTTCAAATTCAAAACACAGATTTAAAGTGCAACAATTGGCTGCAAATTTGTAACTCCCAGAGGTGATTAATGTATAAAACTTCACACAATTTTATTAGTACAATTATTTATTCACAGGTGATCAGAGTAAACAAAATTTTTTGCAGTAGGGTGCTATTTTGATATTACTTCAAATCTTTTTACTCATTTACAGGTAATCTGCAGCAATTTGTAGTGAGAATTGCTCATTAGATTTTATGAGGTTACATGTATGAGACAATGACTTAATTTGAATTTTTTTCTGGTTGCACTGTTGTGGCAAATCACTTAGAGCTGTGCTTTAACATGTTGTGAAAATTTTATTAAAATCCTGCATTGGTTTACATCTTTGCTGGCTTTATGAATTTTACTTGATCATAAACAAGTCATCATTGGTTGTAAAATAAATAAAATATTTTACAGTTAATTGTAGCAATATTTCTCTGTCAACTTGACCACCATGTCTTCAGGCCTAGCCCAGGCTCACTTATGGATCCCTATGAAAAAGAAAATCCCACGTCAAGATTAATATATCTCAATGTAAGTCAGAATGAATGGCTGTAGAATTTTATCTCAAAATGGTGTACTCGTAAGTTTTACAAATAACATGTCCCTTGCTCCTATCATTCCTATCATTAGCCATTGATAAATAAAGGTTACTTTTAAGAAAGTGAAAGAAAGGATGACCTTCTTAGCCTCTGAATTATTTTAGTAATTAGAGAGTGCATGGCTCTCCTGGACATGACTTTTCCCCTGCAGATTACCATCAAAATCCCTTATGCTTGATTATACTGAGTGCCTGTAAAGCAGCCAAAAATTCCTAGGGATAGGGCAACTTACTGTGATTGTATATGGAGATCTCTTGTTTTCTATCTCTTCTTTTTTTTCACCTGACATTTCAGGCCCTGCAGGACTTAAATCAGTGAACATTTCATCAACCACCCTAAATCTGATCTCTTCATTGATGTCCATGAACAAGTCATGTCCCCCGTCATCAGTTGTATATTCCCACACCCACAGCTGTTCATCCTCATCACTGAGATGGTTGCTTGTTAGGGAATCAAGCGTTTAATACTTATAAAGAACAAAAAGAAGCTTCTCTGGATAACTGCGCAACATTTTATGTCCAAAAACAAATGGTATTTAAGAATACCAAAAATTCCAAGGAGTAATGATCATGTCTCTTCCTTATAAGTATATTATCCAGTAGAGATGCAAAGAGAATAAATCAGGGTGTTATGAAAATGAATTCAAAACTAAATTCTTTGAACTAAATGACAACTTAAGTTGAAGGAAATTTAACCCTTTACACTGTAACATCAGTATGCATATTCTCCATACTGTTCTCTGAATATTTCCTAAGATGCTGACATGGAGAATTTGTCTGGCAATCAAGAGCTTCTTTAGTTGGTGATCAGCTCCTTTATTCTCCTAACCCTGATGTTTGATTCAGGGTGATATGGTAAGGAGAAATTAGATTCCAATCACTCTTGGGGTTAAAGGGTTAAGGCCACTAGAGGGGAGAGTTGTGAATAAAATTTTGAGAGTTTGAAAAGGGTTGATGCTATCCTTGGCTGTGAATGCTGCCTTATTGTTTTTTGTATATATTTTGTAATTGTTATCCAAGTGAAGTGGTGCCTTTTCTAAGCATTTAGAAAAAGACCGGAAAGAGAATCCATTACTTGCAGGGCAAAGTAATTAGTACTAAGTTTTAACAATTACAACCAAAGGATACAACTTTGAGGGCTGCTGAAGGTACTCATATGGGATGGTAATATCGTCAAAGAATTCCATTGACACTGTTAATATTAAAAAGAAATGAGACAATTTTAAATTTCAAACTTTTCTTTTCAAAATTGTGTTTGAGAACCAGGAAAAGGATCATGTCTTTACATGAATCAAAAGGCCCATTCCTCTAAAGTATATCCAATCTTGTTTTTACTGGGATGAAAAGAATGAGAGTAAAACTGCCCTCCCCCTTCCCTGAAAATGGAGGGAGTCCTTCACAGGTCTCCTCCTCCTTCTTAAATATCGTCAGTTTCCACTGGGAGGGGTAGGGGTCACTAATAGTTTGGCAATACCCATTTGTTCTTCAGCAAAGAGGGAGGCATCACACTTAAGAGACTTGCCCAAAGACTCGTTCAAATGACAGGGCCAAGGCTGGAAACTTGATCTTTCAATTAGGTGAACTGCTTTAAGTCTATGCTAACCATTAGCTATTACTGTATCAATACTGAGAATCTGGTTTATGAAATTTTCCTTGGAAAAACTCTGCTCACAGGGTTACAGCTGTAGCCATCTCTCACAAACTGTGTACAATAATAATGACAATTCGTCACCTTGAACTCCTTCATGGTTACAACTTCGGATCCTTCCTGTGAGCACTTCATCAATGAATGGACGGAACACGACAAAACGAAATTTAACTGAGAAGGAAGACCAAGAATAATCAAGAATAGTAATATTCACAATGCCATGCTTAAAACTCATTTAAGAATTTCAGCTTGCTCGTCATAAATTTTATATCAATATAAATAATAAACTAAAACAGCAAAATATGAATGAATAGCCATAGTGGTTTCTTTCTTAAACGGACAAAGAGACCCACGTTGCCATAGCTTATTATTTAGTTTCTTCGACATGAACCAGTAAGGAGTAACCGCTTAGTTTGGGATAGTTTGCTAACCTATGTTAGGTAACTCACCCGAATCTTGCCTACTTTCACAGACATTCTTGTGGTATCAATAATACTCCTGAGTGAAAAGATGCACCGTGACTGAAGGTGTTTTGCTAAGATCGGAAAAAAAAATCACCAAGCCAAGGGCTTGAAACCGGACCGTTCATACGAGAGTCCATGGCACTAAATGCATACTATTTTTGGTGTGTCAGTAAAACCTTCTCTAATTGTTTACCGAGCTAGAGTAGTATGTATTTAAAAACTGACCTGGAGTATGTGACGATCCATCGCCAGGAAAGAGATAGGAGTCACCAATATATGTAATGTCATGTAGTACAATGCACAAACCAACATTATGGACTACCTACAACCAACAAACTTGCAATCAGTTGATAGCTGGCCATTCGCTGTTACCTTTCATGCTCGTTTTGATTTTTTACATCCACTCACCTTGTTTGCAAGCTTTTTGTTCAACTTAGTAGCGATAGCCTCACGTAGATCGACTCCAAAATGCCACGGTTTTACCCTCACAGTATCTTTCATTTCGGCGAGGACAAACATTTTGTTGAATCGAACACGTTTAGCGCCAGGCAAGTACAGTATGTATGTATGTATTGTTCCACCGGAGTAAAACTGGAATCTAATGGAAAATGAGGATTTTAGGGTAAAGTGGACTGCGGGAAAGGACGAAAACAGGATCAAATTGGGTATGCCACACTGCGGTCCTAATTATGGATCCATTTCAGTTGTGAATCTGTTTATGTATGCTTTTTCCAAATTTTCAGGGAAAGATGTTCTGTGAGATGCCAACCTCCGGAAACTTGAGGTCGGTATGTAGAATATCCCTCCTATCAACGAGACGGAATCACGTGTAGTTACCCTGGGACAGTAGCCCATGTAATGGGCTCCTGCCTGAGATGAATAAAATAATGAGAAAGATACTTGCATCTTTAGTGGTGAAATAAATCTACTTTATTTCCTCTATTTTTGAGACAAAAAAAAGTTCCGATTAATTTTTTTTCTGAGTGCTTTATTAAATTGTTCACGAAATCGGCTCAAAATATTTTTTATTGTATTCGGAAAAGGGTATATATGCGGAAGTATCGATATGCGAACAGAGGATGAAAACTGAGAACTATCTTATGATATTTTTCGGAAACGTAGACTACGAGTTGTCTATACATTTCGGCGAAGTCCGTCGCACGGGGAGCTCTTAAAGTGAGGCGCTCGCTCTCATAGCTCCCTGTAGCGCGCTAACATCAGTTTTTTTTTCTTTTTCGCTGATTTTTTTCCAACTCGCACGACGGACTTTATTCGCCGAAGATGAGGGACCTCTCGTGGTTTATTGGGAACGAGGGGTTCGCAGCTGTTCTTTGGGGTTTGACGCAATGCTCTCCAGAGGGAGCCCACTACCTAAGTAAAGGGCTCCAATAAGCTGTTGAATTTTAAGGTAGCACTTACACCATCAGAAATGTATTTCAGAGAAAGAACTGAGAAAGAACAGAGAAAAAAAATGTATCTCAGGAGAAAGAACTACTACATGACACCTTGGGAGTGAAACATCCTGCGTATTCTTTCTTGGAAAGAAAAGAAAATAGGTGAGAAAAAGGAGACACAAACATGCTGGCCTGACATCCTAGCTTCATCGAGGCCGCACGCTAGAAGCAGAGTTATAATTCTCTTCTATCGTCTTGTTTTTAGATCGCACCCTGCTCACGTAGTTGCCCCTATTTCGATGTTGTAGTAATTCGTTCGGTCTCTAAGCTTGGAATTGTCTGAGCGGTTTTAATTGGATATCAAAGCTCTACGCAACTCAAATCGGTGTCACCCGGTGCTTTATTTTTACAAACGGTTTACAAAATTATTGTAACATAAAGTTCTTGTCAGATGTGTCTTTTCCTTATGCTGTCATAGCTTCTGTCTTCTATTGCCTGGTAAACTAAAGTTAAGCTTTATTTCGTTCGATTATCACATTTTAACGAGAGTTTCAACAGTTCTATTTTATCAAAGATTAAATGCAGTTCCTACAACGTTCTTCCTAAATTCTTTAGAAAGTACTTCATCTTAACCATGCAAAATTAGCTTTTCAGGCTTAAAAAAAGTTAGCAAGACTCTTTCTACAACACTCTTATAATCAATGTATATCTTCACGGAATTTGGTGACAAAATCACTGCCTCAATCCCATGTGGTTCAGCTCACGTGACAGCTGACACAGCACGCATGTTGGTAAGCATTGAACCACGCAGTAATCATTGCACAGGGAGCCCTGAAAATAAAAGTTTCAAGTCTTTTGAATTAAGTCAAGTCTAGTTCAAACCCTTGAGAGTTATTAAAGAATTTTTGATGTAAGAATGTTCTCCAGCAATTGCTGCTGAAAGCATTTCTTGATAAACACCCTCTAGGCGAGGGTAAGAGGTATGGAAGAGTGTGTGATCGCAGATTACCTTTTGTATACTATAACATTCAGAATCTGCGTAAATCTAGAACGAACACAGACGAAATTTACCTGAATGTTCTGTTGTGCCCTGAGTTTGATCCTCAGCCCCAACAAAGCTCCAGGACAACACGTCGCAAAGCAACAACCTTCACCCATTCTCTGGGACACATCACAGAGTAAAATACATGGACAAAACAATCCCATACATACTACAAGAAAACAAATCGGGAACATACTGTTTATCGTACGAGCAGTAAAAGCCTTTTTACGATATTCCAAAAATGACCTATAACAATTTATAAAAACGGCAAACACAATTATATGTGTTTTATATAGATTTGAGATTCTACGCTTGCACAGCGAGCACCACGATGACTACGATAGACTAGAGCGTATTCATCTCCGTGAACCCACGTTTTAAAGAGAAGAAAGGGATCTGGGAACGAGAGTGAAATAGTCGCCAAAAGCATAGGGGCAAGAAAAGTCGATGACACTGGCTGAGCTTTTCTCTTCTTTTCTTTAATTTTGCGATTCCTTTCGTTTGCGAGACACCTTAAAATTGTTTAACTCACAAGAGTAGCAGTCCTCGCAGCATCCGCACAGATCAGAGCTCCAGTCTCGCATTCCCTGCTGAAACACGATGGGTGCTGGCTGATTCACAACTACAGTTGTATTTCTGGTCCGGTAATTGGTTGGTTGAGCCATAACTGGGTAACCTTGCTGCATGACAGTTAAAAGATATATAAAAAAAATGTTACCTCCATTTATGCGGGTATCAGCGGCCATCCCGAGGGGTCGACCCCCGGGCAACCCAAGGGCAACCCACGGGCTTAGCAGGGAATTTGTAGCAAAGGCATGCCCCGCACGCAGGGCATTAGAGCGCTTTTGCGTTTTTGGCAAAATACCCCGGGGCCATACCCACGGGATTTGCACGTAATCTGCTGTCTCAACGTTCAGCGGTTTTCGCCACAGGACAAGCAAGCTCGCTCGCTCGATGTTCTTCTAGCCCTCGAGGTAAGTCATACCATTATCATTCAAATTGGCCACTGATACCCGAATAAAGAAACGACCTGATCTCAGTTATTTTTGCTTTCCTACAAGGCCCAATGAGCGTAAGAAGTGGGAGGTTTTCTGTAAGCGAGCGGATAAAAAACCCAAGACACTCGGCGATCCAAGAATCTGTTCATTGCATTTTAAGGAAAGCGACATCGAGATTTCAATTTCATACGGTTAGTTCGCATTCGAAGCGTCTTGCCGATAGGAAGAGACAGTGTGATGAACAACCGCAAGCCAAGAAAGTTTGCCCCAGAAAGCTCGAATTTGAGGACTCCATAGAGACTTGTGTGGATTTTAGTGCTGATGTGGCTTTAGTAAACCATGATCACTCGTACTTTTGCATCGAGGAACAGACAACACCGACTATATGTTGCCCAGGTTGCTCCAGGGGTGGGGGTATTTGTCCCAATTTTTTGCCCTACCCGAGGGGCTTTAGCATGTATTTGTCACGGACAAATGCCCCTGGGTGCCCGGGGGTCGACCCCTCGGGATGACCGCTGATACCCGCATTATCCCGGGTTTGGAGCAACGAATATAATGCGAGCTCGGTTCACATTTTTGTGGCCAAACTTCAAGGCTTTTTTTAACACAATTAAATTGATTATTCTAGAAACAAAGTTATGACTCAAACCATATGCTCTAAGTCCCGATTAAAACCGTTTTGGCGTTGTTAATTTACGCGAAATTCAGCTGCCTTACGAAGTGATTTCACACTTGTTGCAGCTTGATAAAAATCTATATGGACTGCTTCCCTTTCAAGTCTTTATCTTCCTATTCCATACTTTTACTAGGACTGAAACATTTCTCTTAAAATCGCCACTTCCTTTTTAAGGCTATTTCCTAACCTCGAAATCAAAAATTTAAGTTCTCAAAGGGGATCACATTTTAGGTTTTCACTTATTTGTCGCATGCTCAGCCACTTTCGTTCAGGTGACTAATTCCCCTAAGGGTTTTATCTTATAACACTCTGTGCACCATCCAATCGCTGATTGGTTGGTGCAGAATTCTTTTCAGAGTCAGCGGTAGAAAATGAAAAAATGTCTTCTTTGTATTGTCCAACGAGGCATACAGGTTTGAAAATATTTTTTGTTTGTTTGCGAATTCAACATTTCAAAGCCTTAAAGAGGTTGATCAGGACCAGTTTACTAGCGAAAACAATTTGAAGAAACCGTGACGAAAAAGTGACATAGCTTTGAAAAGTATTGAGGATATTAAGGACAAGTACCTAGCGGAATACAGTCTACATGGTCTACACAGAAAGACTGATTAGATTGTTTATGATATATAACATCCTTCAAATCCCAAAAATCTAGAATATGAACCAAAAAATTCACAGTCGATTCCTTATAAATGGAATCTTGGAAGGATATTGAAAATGGTTGAGTTATCGGGAAGTCGATTTCCTCATGAAATAAGGAACAATACTGTGTAGGAAGTATTTTTGTTCACACAGTGAAAATTGCAACTTCCGTTTAATCTTAGTCTTGGGAAGTCGATTGAGGCATAAAAGCATCAGAGCACTCCATGGTCCACAACATGCTGAAGTTAAATGAAAATTTGAACTTGATGAGTGCGGACACGTTAAGTGTAATGCTAAAAGGTAAAAAAAAAGGGTGCTTCAAAATATTTCATTATTTTTACCACGGCACTTTTTAAGTATCTTAGAATTAGTTTGTTGATGCGCGGTGCGCGGTGCGAGTAATCGTTGGTCATATCATGCAGAAAATGAACTGAAGCGAAGCAGAAAATGGTTCGTGTTGACGAGGCCCACTTAATCAATTCTAGTGTCTAGGTCACAAACGAGCGAACATCGAAAATATCGACAAGGCAATATTTTCCGTTTTTGACAGCAAACGTAAATCTGCAATGGAAATTGTTTCCCCGTTCGAAATTTTAAATACAGAGTAGCAACTGTCACGTTTTTTTTTTTTATTATTATAATAATACTAGTTTCGTTGTTTATTGAAAAACGATGGGATTTCGAAATATATCCAGCGTTTTAAAGAAATCTAGAGTAACTGTGTGTCTGCTTGTTGTCAGATTTTATACACGTGGGGGTGCCTCAGCAACCTGGGAATGCAAATTACGATTTTCACCGCGGATGCAATTTTCAGTCTCTATTCTGAAGTTCAGATTTCACGTAGACTCCTTTAAATTTGGATATCTATTTATTTCTCGAATCTCTACAAGCCAAAGCTCGTTCCTATGTCTGGTGAGGTCACTGAATGTGCATCTTAAGAGGTATTGAGTTTCGTTTCGATTTCTGGGTGAATCATCTCTGAATTCGAATGGCGTGGACACGAAATGGAAGCATTTTTGGGCACAAACTCCTTAAATTTTTCACGAAATATAGTTATAATGCTAGAATGTTAGAGGTTGGCGGAAATCGTGCGAGGAATAGCACTCTAAAAACAAAGGTATCCAAAGTACTTAAGTGCAAGAAACGCGTTCGGAATTTTCCGCTTAAGATCCACTGTACCATCAAACCAAATCGCTGCACGCTCAAAATTAAAGCTATTTATTCTTTAACTGACTTCTCCCCTGCTTGGAGTTTACTCAAGCTCTTCATAGTAGATTCCGAAATGTAATTGATTTTGCACCTTCAGGGTGAGAATATTCTAGTGCGCTTTGCAATGAAAGTCTTAGAAATTGATCGCGATGGCGCGAATGACCACGGCAGAATGATTATGTGAAGCGACAGGGAAATTTCTCTAAGAAAAGAAAAATGAAATTTATATTGAAATGATATTCTGAAAGTGAACAAAATCTCGATTGCGCTAAGTCAAATTCTTCGTGAAGCTAACGCTCTGCAGATTTCTTCAGTTCGTAGGCGTTTAAGAGTTGAATTAAACATCACAAAGTCCGTATACATTTCAGTGCAAGCATCACCTGAGTGTAACTAGACTGTTCCTGAATCGAATAACTTATCCAAGGGAGTTGATTTTGGTATTTGTTTTTGAGACATCGAGCTATGAAAAAAAACCCCAAACAAATCGAACGTCGGAAAGGGAGTAACTTACCTCCATCTCTGTAACTCAATGTTGTTTCTTCCCTAAATCCACAATACTCTGACTCGAAAAAAATACGCCCGTGTCTGATTGTTTGTCACGTGATCTCAAAAGGAATGGGTCAAAACACAATGCTCTGATTCCGAGAAAAATGTATTTATAGATGTCTGTCACGCGATCTCAAAAAGAAGAGTAATAAGTCAAACAGGGAGTCTGGTGCCGTTCACTGACATTTAATTTGTTGTTTGGGACAAAATATATTTTGCGTAGAAATTTTCAAAGCTTGTTATGATTCAATCGACAGGGAATTTTCCTTTACAACAATTTCTTTTTTAAAAGTTATTTTTGTCCACGCGCATGCGTAACGTCTTATCAATGGAATGCTACTCACAGGATATCAAGACATTTCTCCCTTTCCGGCTTATTACCACGAAAAATAATCTTTTGCCGGAGGAGGGGGGGGGGTATTTTATGGTTTGAGGGAGAACGGAGGGATGGGATGAGTATGAAGGAGAAACCATAGAAAAAGTGGGATCGAATGCCCATAACTGCCAAAAAGGGGGGGGGGGGTGGGTCATAAAAATATCACAGAGCTTTATGGTGGGATCAGGTAATTATTATCGTGACACAACCAAAATCCTCCACCCCCTCCCCCCCCGTGATAAATACTGGTAGGTTAGCGAACTCTTCTAGTCGCGAAAGTTTTGAGAGAAAGAATATCAGTTGATATTTCCTTGATCCAATGTCCAGATCCTTATTTCTCCACGTGATCTTTAGAACTCTTCCATTTTTTTTTGTTTTTTTTTTTTTATTCACCGTGTTTTCTCAAAATTAAACTTGTGATATTCCTTTCATTTCAATATCTATTGTGACACTGATGACCGAGAGAGGAGGGTCACAATGGTATTAACCAATAGCCGTTAAACGGTCAAAAATTTAGCCGTTTAGCGTAAAATTGACAAATTTTAATCGTTTGTCGTAAAAAGAGTTATTCGCAAAAAAGTTTCTGGTGATCACAATGGAAAGATATTAATTGCGGGCGACCAGCGGAGCCCGCAATCCTAATCTCAACATTGGTTACAAACGCATGCGCGGCAGTTATATAACCTTGCAGTGACTCGAATTTAGCAAAAAAAGTCGTCCTTCCAAATATTTGTCCCTAGGGACACTAAGAACCAATGAAATGAAAGGACATAATTTGAGCATAGGCGCTTTGACCACGCGAGACAAACACGAAGCAGCAGTAATTTGAGCACAGGCGCTCTGACCGCTAGAAACCAACACCAAGCAGAAGACAATTCTCACCAAAGCATAGCTGTTTCACGTTCCATAGTCAATGATCTTTAATGTAGTTGAAGGGCTCAAATAATATGTAAATTTCGCCTTCTTGAAGCTAAGAATGTCAAGAATCACGTGCAGTTCATGCAGAAGTGGCGGTCCATAAATTGGAATGCACACAACACAATTTTATCACGTGGACGACGTCTATTTCGTCGAAGAATCACGTGCAGCTCATGCATAGCTGGCGCGCCGTCCAATCAAAATCGAGCGTGTGAACTTGTGATCGGAACGTTTCCTGTTCGTGTCTGTTGTTGTCGGGTATCGAAATCTTCCTTGACTCAATCAATATGTCCATTTTATAATCAACAGTGTTTTTATTTACAACGTGAAAAAACAACCATTTTGTCAAACCCAACACAAAATAGAACTGGTGTATAATCAAACTGGTGTTACTGTTTCACAAGGTCAGTAAAACCACTCTTAGGTCCCTTTGTCTCGTTTATGGGAAAACAATCACCCACACTATGCAACCCTTTATTGCGCTGCAAATATAAATGCCCAAAATGGAAAAAGAACACAACGCCACTGTTTTACAATGAAATCGTTAACCTCAGTGAAACAAATCATGCATAGCCCTCGCACGCACTTCCTAACCTGTGGTTATTAATAGTTGTTAACTGTAAATTGGCGAAAATTCTAACTTTTGACCGCAAAAGCCATCAGGACCCTCGGGAAGAGCACTTATTCGCCATAATGATCACGCCGCAAGTCAAAAATGTGCTAAAAAAAGGATTTATTTGTCATCAAAATCTGTTAGAACTAGTGCAGTTTTCTCAGTCACTAATAGCCTGTTCCAATCTCTAAGTCAGTAAAGACAAGCAAGAGGGCGGATAAGGGAAAGTAAGACCCTGGTTAGACGGTCTGTTATTGGTCGCTCACTTTTTCATTCGTTTCTGCTGACCAAGAAGTTGGCGCAGTCTGTCCTGTACTTTTTCCTCGCGTAGAAGTTGTGATCATCAGCTCGAACCTTATGCCAGGATTCGAGCGTCATGTCGTGCGCATGCGCGGGTTCTAATTGTTGTAGTCAGTTGAAATTATTCCCTCAAAACGTCTACTTTCATCAAAAATATAGCTAGGCCATTTCACGAGTGGTTTATTCGAGTTACATACCTGCCTATTATTACGTAAAGAATCATGTAAAAGCAGTTTTTCTCCTATCAGACATCACAACTGGGTTTAGGACTATCGTTTTGTAAACTGCCCTCTATTTTCAGACTAAACAATTCAACCATCTCTACATAAATCTCATGTTCGTATAAATGAAGGTATTCGATAAACTGGTGATAAAATACTACAAGTGTCTGCTCTCTTGTTCTTCTGTTCACCTCACACCACTAAGAATGCTAAGCAGCCAAAAATCTTTCGTTTGACGATTTTCTAAACGATATCTTCCTCGTTTTCACAAGGTTTTGGTTAAGAGATGTAGCAGTTTTTTCTATTTGCATCAACAAGTTTATCAAACAACCTACAAACCTAATCTATCCCTACTGCGCTTCAGAATATGAAGAAAGAATTTGGTGCTAATAGCGTTTTATACTAAAATGTTACTATTTAAGCCACCGACAAGTGAAATACGTCACAGAATCACTGACTCACTCCCAGGTGGTTCAGCTCACGTGACAGCTGACACAGGGCGCATACTCCACAGCACTGTACCACACAGAAGTCATTGCACAAGGAGCCCTGGAAGGAAAGAAGCAACAAATTGATTCCTTGTATGCTGGTAAACAAGGAGTTCTGGAGAAGAGAGAGTTGACAATAACAGTAACATGAACACATGAATTACTACCTCCACTGCTGAAGTATGTCATAAGTTTAAAAATACAATTGTTGGTTTTTAGTGACGGATTTATTTATCTCAAAGGTATCGTTTCCGCGTGAAAACTTTCAGTGTTCGCGTGGCTTCGATTTTTTTTTCTTCCTATCGCCGATTTCTTCTCATTCGCCCCACGGACTGAGATGGGAAATAGGGACTAGGCATGGTCATGTCATAACAGCGTGGTGTTACAGTGTGGCGTTACAGCGTGGCGTTACAGCGTGGCGTTATTCTAAATATTAATAAACAAACCTGAATGTTCTGCTGTGCCCTGAGTTTGATCCTCAGTCCCAACAGAGCTCCAGGACAGCAAGTCGCAAAGCAACAACCTTCACCCATTCTCTGGGACACATCACAGAGTAAAATACATGGACAAAACCAGCCCATACAAACTGCATGGAAGAAAATCAGGTAAAAATATTTCAGAAAGATGTCCTTCCCTAGTGCAAATTTCAATTGAGTGCACGCAATTACTAAATACGTTTTGCGATTTCCCAGCATCTTCTCGCAAGTAGGATGCAAAACGACGTAAAATATATAATCGTTCAGACCAAATCGAACGTGAATTTTCCAAAGCATCGCGCCAAGATCGCAAAGATACCCGGCTATCTTAATTCTGTTGATGTATTCACTGGGACCTGCGCAAACAAAGTAGTTAAGAAGTTACTTACGAGAGTAGCAGTCTTCAAAACATCCGCACAGACCAGTGCTCCAGTCCCGCATCCCTTGTTGAAGAACCATTGTCGGTTGCGTGACCACAACAGTTGTGTTAGTGCTTTGCATGGGGGCCGGCTGGGCCATGACTGGTTGAGGGTACCCTGGTTGGGCGGGAGGGTACCCTGGTTGGGCGGGAGGGTACCCTTGTTGGGCCGGAGGGTAACCTTGTTGCGGTGGGGGCTGTTGCATACCGTAAGAAGGGGGGGCTGCAGCCCCCTGTCCCTCGCTCATGTAGTTATATCCAACGCCAGGTTTCTCAGACATGTTCCAAGATTGACTCACCTGTCAAATGGTTAGAAAAATGTTTAAAAAAATTAATACAGTTCACATCCTTATCATTATAATGACGTTTACAGTATACGTTACTAGGATTGTCTGTAAAACTGAACAATTTAACCCCTAAGAGTGACGAGAAGACAGGAAATGATTCCTGACTTAGAATACTTTTGATTGTTAAACAAATTCTCCTTGTCAATATGAGATCAATATGGAAAATGTGCATAGTGATGTCAGAGTGTTAAGGGTCGAAGGAAAATTTTCATTAGCCGTGGATAAATGAGCCGGCAAAACAAAGCAAAATCACACGGAGTATCAACTGTTTGTTGTCAGAATCACGTTGAAGCTCCTATTAACCGTTTGTACACTAATTCCTATTAATCAATTAATTTTCCTAATAGAGAGCGAGGCTCATATTTTGCTTAAAACATCGTTTCGCAAGTTGATGGAAAGTAAGACATTGAAATTCACAAGTTTGTAAATTGAACACTGGATATCGTAGAGTTTGAACGTTTGGAAAATTCTGGCCTTTTCTATCAAATCTGGTTGGCAAAACGATAGTGAATACCTCTACATGGATGTTAAACATGTATTAAAATTCGGTTAATGCAAGTACAACACTCTTTCATCTAGAGAATTATCTTATGGTTTTGAGATGTTTTAAAATATCTCTTTCCATTCCGTATGGAAAGGAATTTCCCGCAATTCTGAAAAAGTTATGGAGAAAAATAAAGTGAATATTGTTAAAAATTTCGTGAAAAATAAAAGTGAATATTGTTAAAAGTTCAAAATATTTTTCTTTGTTTTGCATTGTTGTATTGTGTTTCTGTTTTGTTAATTTATTTTGCTTCTGTTTTTCTTTTTGATTCTTTCAAGTTATTCACATTTTTAGAAGTCAAAAAATTTTAAGCGATTGAATGTTTTGATAAAGTAGCCAACATTTTCATCGAGAATTTTCAATTGGAGTTAATATGACAGTCAGTATTATCGAGAAAAATCGAAAAATTAGCATAAAGTAATCTTTCAACATTCTTGTTTGCAGTAGGGCTTCTTAGAAGAAATTAGTGCGGATTTAAATCAAATAATTTACTCGTAAAATAAGGTGCGCTATTTTTTAATAAAACTATTCCATCAATTTCTTTAACTTTCACAACAACACGACGCATTTCGCGAGTCTTATAGCCACTAGACCGAAGCATCCAATGTCTTCAATTCTTGTAATTTTATAGAAATGTATTCCTGAAAACTAAATTTTATGGATGATTTGCATTTTGGCTGGAATGAATCTCTTTGGCTTATTTAATCGTCGTAAATATTTCACAATAAAAACTTCGACAACTGGCTACAAAGAAAGTTGCGACAAGGTCAATGAGCGAGTCAGTGATAACAATCCTTGAAAAAACATTACGATTCCACTTATTAGTTTGCAGACGTCGAAAACCTTGCATATAATTAGAAAAATAAAGGATACTCTAACGCCATATTTTCGAACCCCGTATACATCGCACCAGTGCGGGAAAGAAACGTTAAATCATTTTTGAAATTACTGATCGAAACCAATAACATTGGGACACCGCATTAAAAATGCATATTCTAGTGACATCCATGATTAATCGTGTTTATTAATAGAAATGCTTGTCCGAAGACAACTTTTTACGACAACAAGCACAAACTCAAACCTATACTTAAATATTTTACATGGTCCATCGGCGGAAAGAACGTGTTCTTAGCCAATTCTAGTTTTTAGAGGATCACAAACGAGCGAACATCGAAAATATCGTCAGGCATTGTTTTCCGTTCGATGACAGAAACATCAGTCTACACTGACATTTTTCCGCGTTCGAAGTTCTGAATTCAGGGTGTTACCTGTCGCGCTTACTTAGACTGCGGATATCAATGCTAGTTTCGTTATTCAGTGGAAAAACGATGAGATTTTTACCTGTATCCAGCGTTTTTAATAGTGTGTCCCTACTGGCGGTCAGATTAGATAAGCGCGTTTATTCAGCGAAACACCTTGCGCTTCTGCAAATCTGGGATTGTCACCTACAGTTTCACTGCAGATGTACCTCGTTTGGTCCCTTTTTCTTTGAGTTATCGGGGTTTCGAGTTTTAGGGGTTTTGAACAAAAAGACTAGAAACACTTGATTAAAGAGGTTTTATGCTTATACATATTTTATCGTAAGATTTCTAGCAATGCAATATTCCGCTGCAAAATGTCATGGTCCGTTAGTCCGCAGAACTAACGACTTACAACTTTAAGTTATTGAGGATAAATTACAAAATAAAGAGGGTAGTAAAGATCGCTTCAAGTGAGTTACCGAGAGTTGGAGCTTTTTCGATGAACTTTCTTCGGTTTTACGCGTTACTCGTAAATACTTAGCGGGTCACAAACGGTAAGAACGAGGATTTTTAATAACCACTCCTATAAAAATCGGTATCACATAAAGTGGAATTACCATGGTCATTACTGCGAAGATCGCTTTCTTACTCAAAGTGAAATTTATCGATGAATATCTCGTTACAACATAAACGTCACGTGGAAAGAAATACCTCCACGTACATCAGAGGCCATCATGGTGTCCTATTCAAAATTGAAAACGCGACCCTCTTTTGAATAATTTACATCACGTTTTATTGGATCGTAAATGCATAAAAATAAATAAAGAGTACACTATAAGGGTGTCGATGAGCTCTCTGTCCCGATCAATGCGGTAGCTCCCTTAAAAAGGTCTTTTGTTTCGCCTAGTAAGTGCTGAAGTGCAAGGAATTTCATTCGACACCCTATGAAAGTAAGCATGGATTTTAACCGTTCCTTGCTGGCGACACAAGTACAAATTCATTGTACTTTGCCAAATAAAAAACTAACAGATAAATGTAAAAGACAAGATTACCTCTTAGCTGAAGAGAATCCGTAGAAGAAACAACAAATACAGTAGTGCGACGCGAAACAACACCTTTACCAAGCTTGGAAGATCACGCAAACTGTGATTACCGTGAGAACCTCGGCAGGAGTGTCCATAAACATTACTCAAGATGGCGGTAGAGGTCACTCGTTGAATGCAGATTGTCTTTATCGAAAACAATAGGGCTAGCCAGTAAAATTTGAGTTGAGTATGGGAAAAAATAAAGGGAAAGCTAAAGTGGCTCCGCCTCGACATAAACTTAGTAAGAGTTCAAGGTTTGAAGCTGCTTGGAATGGCACAGAAGACTTTGATGGAGACGAGATGAATACACGCGGTAAATGTTTAGCGTACCCTTTACCCCCTAACATCAGAATGCATATTCTCCATGTTGTTCTTTATTCATTTCCTAAGGTACTGGAAAAGGAATTTGTTGAACAGTCAAGAGCTCCTTTAGTCGGTGATCATTTCCCTTATTCTCGTGACCTTACTGTGTACCTCAGGGGTGACATCATAGGAGAAATTAGATGCTTGTCGCTACTACGGTTAAAGAGACGATGGTTCTCATAGATGCTTCTATTGTTGATTATGTGGCATAAACTACAGGATACAGATTCAGCCAGATACATCTTGTCTGCTTGCTCTGAAGAGCAGGGAACAAGTCTTTGAAATGATTTTCAACATGATTCAATGGGATTTGATATTAAAGAGGTATTCATGGGTATCGGTGATAATCATTTGCATTCCCAATCAAAACAATTCAATCACTTTTCATAGAAACTACATGCTGGTCACCAGCATGATGTTTCTATGGTAACTTGCTATGTTACCACTGTGACAGTGACATTATAGACCTTGGTCAGCACCTTAATTGTAGTATTATCTGCCTTAAAATCAGCTCTCTCTCTTGTAAGATCAAAATTTCAATTCTCCATACTGTTTCCCATACATTTCTGACAGTGTTAGCTCGGAGAAGTTATTGTTGAATCAAACAGAATGACCTGATTGATATTTTTCTTTCTTCCATGTTTTTTTCTTGAAAATGTATTGAGATAACAGAGAGATATTTCTTATTGGTCACTCTTGAGAGTGGAAGGGTCAAACACAAGCTTAGTGACCTTCCTTAGGGTGACATTGACCAAACTTGCCTTTAACACTTGATCAAAATTCATCATTTTGCAGAGTTTTTTAAACTGATAAATTCTTTTGTTAGCTCAGAGCTTATTTGTCCCAAAATTTTCAATAAACAATAAGGACCAACTCTGAGACTTATGCATCTGTTATTTTCTGGTGATTGTCCATCAAAGCCACAAGATTTGTGCATAAATTGTATGGTATAGGTTTTTTTTAATTGATTTTTCTTTCAGATGATGGGAATAAAAAGGATTATGGCAGAGGATTTCCTTTTCCTTTGGCCATGTGGGTAAGAAAGTAGATTTAGGTAATTGAATAAATTATTTGAACTTTTGAGTGGCAGTCAGTTAAATGTAGTTTGATGGTCTGGGTGAGGGTAACACTTAAAAAGACTGTCATGAGTGACTGGCTAAGCCAATGAGAAACCAGAGCTGATTTTAATGTTTCATGATTTTAGACACTGCCAGAGAACAGATTGGGTTGAAATGCATCTCAAACATTGTTGATAAGTCAAGTCTTATGAATTTTTAGTGGATAGCCAACCCACATTTCACCAGTTCTGTATATTGAAGATAACTAAGTCATCATATTTTAGGATTTGGAGCACTGTGATCCAAAGAAGTGTTCAGGAAGAAAGCTTTCAAGACTTGGCTTTGTGAAAACACTTAAAATTTCCCAAAGGTTCAATGGTCTGATTTTAAGTCCCTTGGGAAAGCAGTGTGTTTCACCCCAGGACCACACCCTCGTTATGGATCATGGAATAGCTGTTATTGACTGCTCGTGGGCCAAATTGGAGAGCACACCATTTGGAAGGATGAGAGGAGGTCACATGCGCCTGTTACCATATTTAATTGCTGCAAACCCTATCAACTATGGAAAGCCCTGTAAATTGTCTTGTGTAGAAGCATTTGCTGCCACGTTGTACATCATTGGTAAGTAATAAATCCTTTTTATAAACAGTGCTATTCACAGTTCTTAAGTGAGAGTGTTTAGGTATTTAGGATGGTGAAAGGAGATAAAATTGTAACCATTGAACTGCATGTGGTGAACTTAATACACAGCTGGGATGCATTAATGACTAAAAACCCCATTTGACATGGCAGAAAAAGAGAGCAGTAGGCAAGGATGAATGACATTAACCCTTTAACTCACAGATCAAATTTGTCACCCTCCTTACTGTCAACCATACAATTTTGATTATGTTAGATCAGAGAATTTAGTATTGGATCAACTTATTATCCCCAAATTGATATTTTTCTTGATTATCATCACTTATCTGGTTGATATGGTATTGATATTGTAAGGAGAAATGCTGTCTTGGTCACTCATGGGAGTTAAAGGGTTAAGGAAGCACTGTCCATTCTAAGATGTATATTTATAGAAGGTGACAACAGCCTGTTAAAAACTGAAAAGCCTTGCTGTCCTCAAGGTAACAATTGCAAGGGTTAAATGTCTAAAAGGTCATCCTAGGGACCTCTATGCCTAAAAATGAAAAAAATTGTTTCAATCAAATCAAAGTAAGTCTTATTAAAACTATCGCACTTTTGTGCTCCTTGCTTCACTAACCCTTTAACTCCCATGAGTGATCAAGACAGAATTTCTCCTTACAATATCAATACAATATCGACCAGATAAGTGATGAGAATAAAGAAAAATATCAATTTGGGGATAATAAGTTGATCCAACACTTAATTCCCTGAACCAACATTAGAAGAAATGTATTGGTGAACAGTAAAGAGAATTACAAATTTGATCTGGGGGTTAAAGGGTTAACTTTCCAGTTAACTCTTTAAACCCCCAAGAGTGACTGGCATCTAATTTCTTTTTTCAAGATCACCCCTGAATCACACATTGAGGTCACAGCAATAATGAAAATGAAATAGAGAGTCTCTTGACTGTTAAGCACATTCTCCTTGTCAACACCTTAGGAGAGATACAGAGAACAGTATGGAGAATATGCATACTGATATGAGGGTTCAAAGGGTTGAAATGTCATGGTATTACAGTTGGCAAGGTAAGGTTAGCTCCTACCATCCACATGATGCGACACAAAATTCATCCTTGCACACAAGTTTTGTCTTCAGTGTGCCCTAACTAGCTTCTAATATGTGCCACAGGAGTTTGAAGTTTTTTCCAATATATAATCATCTCTCTGAAAAGCTGAGCTTTATCAAGTTGAATTCTGAAGTACATAGTACCCTCTGGACATTGTCTTTCTAGCTCTAATTGTGCAAGGATCATGCAACTTGATGATAAAGCAGAACCTCCCTTACTGAACCCTTGAACTCCTGAGATTTGATTGTTAATTCTTCCCTCTTGCTGCTACACATTTCCTTGTCTAGGTAGCAACTTCTAAGTGATAGGTTTGAGTATTCTCCTTACCTGTTTGCTGGATAATATAAGGATATTATAGGGAGAAGTGTTATTATGGGAGTTAAAGGGTTCATAGACCTACCATAGTTATTCGGTTATAAGGTGCACTCGACTATAAGACGCACCCCCAATTCAGCAACTTCATTATTGCATGTTTTCAAACTGAAAACATCGCTGAAATACTTGGTTATAAGGCGCACCGTTGTTTGGGGAGTAAAGATCGGTCAAGTTTATTGTAAATTCTTTCATAAACTTACAAAAAAGCGAAAAAGTCGCATATTGATTTTAGTTTACCTTTACTTAACAAAAGCAGAATTGTCGCACACGTGACCACGCACACAAACAAAAGCCTTGATTAAACGAAAGCAAAATGTCACAGACATAAACAAAAGCCAAAATCACAGTGATAAACAAAAGGCAAAAAAAGTCACACATTTAATGACAACCTATTGGTACATATTAATTTTTAGCCTTCCCTCTCAGGAAACATGGTTTTAAAGTATAAAAACAATTAAATCAACAAAATCAGTAGTCGCAAATTTACTTCACCTGGTGAACATTATCTTGCGAAGTCTACATTCAGCACAATCATGCCAAACACTTGCCGTCATTCTTACGATCTCAACTTCAAGTTGAAAATTGTAGCTGTCCTGGATGCAGACAATGAGCTAGACAACGAATTCGACACTGACAGTGAAAGCGAAGATGAGTAGACTCCAGGCAGTACACAACTCAAACGGTTCTTTTCAGAACCACCATATTTATAAAACTCAATGACCAACACTGTGTGTCCTTTTATTTGCTTGAAATTGTACCAGTAACTGTGATAAAAAAAATTGTTCGGGAAATTATTCGCCTATAAGACGCACCCAAACTTTGGTGGTAATTTTTAATAGAAATTAGGAATTTCTTGAAAAAAATGGTGCGCCTTATAACCAAATAACTACAGTAAGTAAATGATCTAAGGTACTAATGACGAGAATTAATTATCCAATCAAGAATTTGGTTTTCATTTTCTTTCTTCTTGAAACCTTTATGAGAGGCAGGCAAAGGGTTTATACATGAGGCATCATAAAGGCTAAAATTGATATTATCATGTAAATATTACAGAAAGCAAAGGTTCATTAGTGAATTTTTTGAACCAGAGTGAGGCATGATTTGCCACAGGAAATATATGGGACCTGTGAATTTCTTTTATCATTTTGTGAAAGCTGTAATATTTCTTTGAAATCATGCACACAAGGAGAGAAGTTTGAAGTTTTCTCTTTGATGTACATGATGCATGAATTTGTCTAATATTTGTACATGAAATGTGATCAAGAACCCCCTTGTGTGATCCAGTGGTTGCATTGTAATGAGAAATAAGTCACTGTTAGGGTTCAAAGGTAAAATATAGCTCTTTCCTCAATGATGCACTCAGATAAGTAGTCTGCTATCAACTTACTGGAATTTCCAAGACTGTTTCTCATTATTCTAGCTAGTGTGATTTTACTGATTCTATTGCAAGTCAAATTGAGGACTTGAGTGTTATTTTGAAGAAGGGAAAGGGTAAATTTAAACACATTCCTTTGTTTTTATTATTACTAAAGGGCAACGAGATCTTGGTTCTACACTGTTGAAGCGTTTTAAGTGGGGGACGTCATTCTATGCATTGAATAGGTAAAGTACATGCAGTCATTTGACAATATTTTTTATTGGTGTAGCAATTTTGGTGTTGATAAAGGCCTATAGAGCCGAGATGCTCAGGATATCTTCAGAACTAAATATTAAAAATTTTGAAAGTTTAGATTTTTATTTCTCAGGAAAACTGGAAAGTGATAAATAGTAACAGGCTTTGGGAAGCCCTAGGAAAACTGTGACAAGATTCCCCTTTTGCAAATTTATTTCCAGTGTTTACACTCTTGACTGAAAACATGTATGTCATTCTTTTTTTACTGAAACCACCAGAATTGAATAAATAGAGGATATTACATGGCTGCGCATGGATACAAATTTTATCTTCAAGTGCTGAGAGTATCTCTCACTCTTTCGCTTTACTCACTTGTGAGAGACTTTCAGCACGAGAAGACAAAATTCGTATCTCCAAGTGGCCATGTAATGATCTGTTTATTTTGTAGATACTGATGAAATTCCTACATAAAAGACAATGAAATTTCAAAATTTCTTGTAATTGGCCAATCATGTTAGTAACCATGGCAACACCAATATCCTCACACATGACAGATAAAAATAGTATCTTCACTGCACACAATGGAAAAAAAGTAAAAAGGAAAAATCCTGGTATTTCATCAGTATCTATGTAATAATTAATAGTATAATGCACAGGTGAATAGTGCTTTTTGTGCACTCTGATTGGCCGATCCAAAAGTGATCACCAAGAATTATTCACCTTCAAGCAGCTGAAGAGACAAGCAGTTGAAGAGAGAAAATCATATGTCAAGAGTTACATATCTGACCATTTTTTGGTATATTGACAAAAATAGGTTACATGTAATTCTTTGGTTTCTGTGTGGTATATTTATATGAAACAAAAATTTAACTCAATGTGGTTGGAAGTGGTGGATATTTACCTCCTCACTCTGCAGATTGGTCAATATCCAGTGGTTGCTATTCATCCCCACTTTGGTGAATAATTGTTGAATATACCAGATTGACTTCCACGAAGAAGCTCAATTGTGTTTATAGATTCAACAACACTTCATAAGGTTTCTTGTGTGCTTTTTCTTTCTCTACATCTGAAAGCTAATGATGTTCTCATTTATCAAACTGTTCTCTGTTTCCTGATGAAGGGCTTATGCTCGAAACTGATGCAGCACCACAGTTTCTTTAGAAACTTACCCCTTTTGATAAACATGGCTGTAAGTGATAAGGTTTGGATTCATCAAGCTTGCTCTTGAAATTTGATAAGATGTAAATAATGATAATCTATCGTTGTGTACTTGTTAGGACTCTGCTAGACCGCTATGCTACTTGTTCATCCAGCAAAGATGTTGTGAAAGCTCAGGATAAATGGCTGGAAGAAATGGAAGAAGAACAAAATGCACAGTCATCACAAGGTTTTTTACCTGTTTAAAACTTACCTTTGCGTATATTTTGTTTGTTTTAGGGTTGTTCTGTTAATATTTACTTTCCATGATTAGTGAGATGGACTAAGAACTCTGCTGGATTGATTCTTTAACTCCCATGAGTGACCAAGAAAGAATTTCTCCTTACTATATCTATACAATGTCAACCAGATAAGTGATGAGAATAAAGAAAAATATCAATTTGGGGATAATTAGTTGATCCAAAACTAAATTCTCTGAACTAACATGATATGAATTGTATGGTTGACAGTTAGGAGAATTACAAATTTGATCTGGGAGTTAAAGGGTCAATAAAACTGTCATTGCCTTGTTCCTCCTGTATTCTGTCATTCATTCCTTTCTTTGCTGTTTCTGAGAACTAGGTGAGCTCAAGTTTCCCCATCTCCACACCTTCAGGGGAGGAGTGGGTACTCATTTCTAAAACAGTGGTGAATGTTTCAACCATAGAATTTGGTGGAGTATCAAGATATGTTCCCTTTGTTAATGAAAACACCTTAACATCAGGATCTATGTTCTCTATACTCCTTCTATACATTTCCTTTGGTAGTGATGAGGAGAACTTGTTTAACAATGACAGATTGGAAATCATTTCTTAATGATCTAATGATCTTAATGAACGATTCCGTAGTGTTACTGTTAGGAGGCATTAAACACAAATACAAGATGGTTACCAAATTTAAGAAAGGGGTAAAACAGAAATATTGAAGTAAAAAAAATGCCATCAGCAATTAAGGTGGCCTAAACCAAGGGAATGTTATTTTTTAATGCTGTAATAAAGGTCTAATTCATTGCCGCAGAAATAATCTATCATCAAATGTATTTCTCATTTCATTTCCAGATTTGATGGACATTGATATGACCAAGGAACATTTTAACCCAAATCGGCCCATTTTGAGGTTTGTTGGCTTAAGTTTCAAGATGCGTAAATGTGTCTCGTATCATTTAGCTTTGCAAGCAGAAGCGGCATTTCCTTGAGATAAATTCAATGAATCGTTTCTTCACAGTGAAAATGAGTCAAGTAACAGTAACAGCGACGATGGTGATGATGTTGACGTTGACGATGACGATGTGGATACGGATGATGGAACGGATGATGATACCGAGAATGGACACGAAAGTGATGAAGATGAAAAGGCTGAACTGAATTTTGGTATTTTTAGAAAAGAAAACGGACAAGAAGAAACAGAAGATCGACAATTACTAGAAAGAGACCGAACGGAAGGTGCGTCGTGCGGTATTAGTTCTGCTGAAGATAAACATTTCGGGGATTGTTTTGGCGAGGGAAACTTGCCTGGAAATGATCACAGTGTTGACTCCCCGTTGGCGATGATACGCTGGAAATAACCAGAAGGACCGAACTTTTTCATTTCAATGATAGATAGTACCGGTTTTAAATTTGCGAAGCTGGCAATTCACGGACCAATGGTGTCTTTAATCCTGAAACTAATAACATGTCTAAAATAGAAGAGATCAGTAGAGATGCAACATGACACATGAATTATTAATGTATGCACCAAAAAGTAGCGTACTGCAAAAGTATTCCGCGAACTTGCTTTCATTTCTTTGTTTGGGTAAAATCTATTATTATCATCTCAAGTTGGGCTTGATCGTCACTTTTGGCTGTTATTTTTCAGTTCTTAGCAGTTTTTAAGTCGATATTGCCGTTCGAAGGGAAACTTAGCTTGTCGTTCTTATTTTCTGGTTAAATTCTTAGACACCCTTATGTCGGTGGTTTTCCGGTTTGGATGAAAATTTTGGCTGGTTTTCTGCGGGCTTCTGTTACGCATCGATGTTCCCTCCCACGTACTAACGGGAAAAAATGCCATCCTTTATTTCGCTTCCTCTGTCACGATTCCACCGTAACTTTTAATCCTTGAGAGTATCATGAAATTCTGCGGGCTTCTGTTACGCATCGATGTTCCCTCCCACGTACTAACGGGAAAAAATGCCATCCTTTATTTCGCTTCCTCTGTCACGATTCCACCGTAACTTTTAATCCTTGAGAGTATCATGAAATTCAGTAAGACGTGATCGCAGCTTACTGCTTACGAAAGTTTTTAAGTAACCTACGTCAGTAGTAAGCTTTGAAGTAAAGGAACTACCTCATAAGTTGTGCAGCTTTAAAACTGAACAAGGACTGGAACCCTTGACTCGGATAAATTTTTCAAATACCTTATTTGCACTTATTAAAACCCTGCGAGCGTGAACACTCTCGTACAACGATATTCAGCACGGTGCGGTTTGAGGCTTCGGCAGAAGCCAAGTGCCGAAATTTTTCTATCTTCTTTTTCTTGTTTCTTGTTTTTTTTTTCTTTTCTTTTGGATCACGTGAAACTACCCTAAATTTCAATAAAACTGAAAAATATTTGACAAAAGTGAGGGTAAAACATTCTAGGGCCCAAATTAAACCAATGGGTGCAAGGATGGCTATGGATAGATGGTGAGAATACGAGATACGTTTGCTTTTTGAGTGTAAGTCGCCTCAGTAAGTCCTAGGTGAGTTATTTTTATGCTGATAAACCGCTCGAATGCGCAAGCAATTAATTGAAGGAACGGACTTAAACATTTTACTTTTGTTTCGTATGGGTTTCCTGTCGCAATTAACTAAAGCCGGGCGATCTTTTGACCAACCGAATAAATATGACACAACTCTTTCGATACTAAGAAAGTGAAATGCTTGAACGTTCGCATTGCGTGACTATTTCAATGGGGCTGCAGGAGCAACTGCGTTAATCTTTCTTGATCCATAGTATACTGGTTCCCCACGTAGTTTTGTCCTATCTCTTTTGTGTTCGTCTACTCAGTCAAATTGTTACTTAACGAGTTTCTTCAAAATTAAAAGTATTCCTCAACGATACACAAAAAAAACAACTCAAAGTAAATAACGTGACGTTGCAGCGCCGCGACGCCGTGCGTGGGTGGGATGGAATTTATCTTGAAAGGGAATACTGTAGAACGTGTTCCTGTTCATTGTATCACACGGCATAAAATGCACGAATACTGCACATTATAACAAACTATTATACACATAGTATGTTGGTGTACACCAATATAATCATTATGCTTTGCTGTTGATATAGCACCGAGATAGAAGAATACAATATTTCTAATTCTTAGATAAAGTTAACTATTTTTAGAACCTTTGAGCAGCAGAGCGAAGACGTTGATCGCTCGTCGCCCAATTTTGACTAGCCAGTCAGACAGGAGACTCTTTTTTCCTGTTAGTATTTCAGGATTGAAAATGATAAATAGTACTGACACTGTTCATGTCAAGATCAAGTACAAGAACTCAAGGATCCGATTAATGGCAACTCAATCACTCGTGATTGCAATTTCCTTCGGGCTGTTTTTATGGTCACGTACTAATGTCAACTAAACCTTATTTATGTGATTGTGGATATTGCCACCTGAAAGGAAAAAATGTGTATCGTTCACGTCTTGATTGAAACATGTACACCGTGGCTAATATGCTTCAAACTGTATCCACAGAAACGGAAATTACACAAGGAAAATGGAAAACAAGAAGACGAGAAATTATTTATTGCTAATCTTGTATTGAAAGATATGTAAACAAGTTTGTTTAATGCAAGGATAATAAAAATTCCTCTTCGGATGTTGATCGATTTCGCATGTAAACTAAGAGCAGTACAAGAGAAAGGTAATAGCAGAGATAGAGAATACGACAAAGAAGCAAATTAGCCTCACCATATCGGATTTTAGGGTTTTTTAAAAACGATTTCGAGGGAATCTTTTGTCCTCAAACCACTATGTGTTCGTGGTTAACAATTGTTGACTTGGCCCCCAGGCGGTCTGAGCTCCAGTTGTGAGATGATCATCTTGCGAAATAAGAGTCGGGAATATTAATATGTGACTAACACAGTTTATATTTAAGAGTCACGGTAAAATTATAAGAGCTTGTATGGGAATGTTCTCGACCGCTCTTAGGAATTTAAAAAATATAGTGAAATTCTCTATAAAAATACTTCACCTTACTTCCACAGTGCATCGCTTCTTGTCTTACCGCTTACTGTGCTGAAAAAAACCCATTTTAGCGAGTTATCCATTTCTAGGTTTACTACGTATATGAGAAAGGTCCTTCTCTTATGCTGAAACGCGGTGGGCAGCCACTCAGTGGAAGTTGCTGCACTGTAATTTGAGTTTGGCACCGATCGGATTAAGAAAGTTATTCTCATCATTTCAGCATTGATTTTATCGGAAAATGTTGGAGGGATAAAGCTCAAACCTGGCCAAGAGATAAAGCAACGCCTCATTGATCAAAAACTGTCGCATTTAGGAGAGATTTTCAGTAGTTTGGCGTTAACTCCACTTTGAAGTGGAGAAGGTCGCGGCTGGCGGCCACCAAGTTGCAAGCTTTGTTGCCCTGTTTACTCTTAAGGGCCTCCGGCTAAAAGTAATTTCGTAGAAAGACACTTCAAATGGCCCTTGAAGGCGAAAAAAAAAAATGAGTTGATTAACATTTCATTTAACTTTATTGAGATATTCAGACCGAGATATAATTTTGATATGCAATGTTCAGAGCTTTATTCATAACTCTCGTAGATTTTGTTTATCTCACGTCAATAATTATTAACCACGTACAGATTGAGTGGTCTCCCTGTGCCCAAACCACATATTTTTAGATGTTCTTGAAATATTACGTATGGATGTCTTCGTTTCCTTGGTTACCCTGACGTCACACGTGCAAATTGAAACTCTAGTAGGCTAGAATGTTTGCATATTTGGCGTGGCCAATTGTTCTCATTGCTGCTTTGAGAATCCAGAGGTGTGTTCTTTCTCTCAGGAGAGTTTCTGCGCGATTTTTTTGAGGTAGGAAATTTAACAGGTACCTTTAATCGATCTTGCTAATGAGGAAAACTCCAACTCGGGTTTAACTGGATTTTTGTCTTTCGTAAAATCAGTGAGAGATTTGCGATACTGGTTGTCAACAACGTCACGTAGCTCGGCTTTAAGCAACGCCTTTTGTCTGAAAAAAAAAACGCTTGGGGTTTACCTCGGTGTTAAGTAATTTTGGGGCTTTTTGAAGTTTCTTAGTAGCGATTCATTGACTTACACGCGTCTTTGGGACGTATATACCTCGCCTTGGTCGCTACAGTTATGTTTCGTTGATGATCTCCGCGCTTAATATTTGTCGTGTGTTTGTATTACTCCTCGAAGTCAGAATAACCTTTCGATGCTGCAAACAAATATATATATCTGCCCAGAGCGTTGTGGCTTGTAGCAGGATTGTAACTGAGCATCTTTAGTTCATTTTGTTCGTGTATGTTTATTTTCAGCGTCGTAAACATGTAACAAGTTTCGACATTCTGCTTTTGTTTGAGCAGTAATATAAAACCACCTACTGATCGAAAGGAATGATTTTATAACGACGTGTAACATTGTAGCTAAAGGCTTCTTAGCAAACCTTTTTCTGCTATTGTTTTCGGAAAGTCACTTCAACTCTTATATCGATGTTGTCGGGTCCAGAGAGTGGAAAATTTCATTTGTGATGAAAATTTAGTAGAAACTGAGACCAGCTATCCAAACAGGTGAATATCAAGTTCTCTCCGACTACAGTCGATTTGCCCGTTTATCTAGTTTTACTGATGTGAATCGGGATTAGGACTTATGTTTTTATTTTATTTGTTTCCGGATGAAATTTCCTACCCGTAGTCAAATTGAAATTCGTGTTCTTTGAATATTATTCATTACAACCTATTCTACATTCACATCATGTCAATATCCATCAAGCCCTAGGGTCTGCTGTAACGCAACCTCTACCCGTGTGCTAATTAAGTTTACTTTTTATTCGTTGATCGCTCTTAAATAATACAGGAAAAAGGCAGCTTATGGGCTAAAACAAATTTCTGCTATCCGCGATCTCTACTTGCTTCCAATCTATTTGATTTCATTTTATTGAAACTAAAGAAACGAAAAGCATTATTTTTCTTATTCAAAACCCATCACGGTATTTTCAAATATCATCACTCGCTTGACAACTAGATTTTACTGTTCAATGAAAGATTTTAATTTGACGTCTTATAATGTATAAACATATTGAGGAAAACTTTCGAAGCAAATCAGTATTTTGCAGTTCAGTGGACTTTGCTGTCATTGCTAAATGGCTTACATCTGTTGACTCTTTACAAATCGCCATGGAAACCAGAACCATAAACAAAAAATGTTTTACCGAAATTCTTGACTTTTCGAGGTTTATTCAAGTGGTGATCTCGTTACATATAACACCCAAGCGAACTAAGGATAGCATCATCCTTTTTTGTTAAGTTTTGCTAAATTTTTTTCCGCATTGAACAGCCGTTCTGCTCGCCAAAATATTTCTCTGAGGACGTCACCACCGCATCAGTCGCCTTACGTAGAATGTTTAATGAGGGTTTAATTAAGAAATGTTTTTCGTAATCTTGTTATCGCTAAAGATCTTTTTACGTTTGTTAAGAAGAAACATCGCTAGTTGCTGAAAAATAATGCATATGGTTTTTTTCTTTGTTTGGTTTTTTTTTCTTTTTTGCGAGACTCGCAGGGTATTATTCTTGGACGGGAACAAAATGACGTGTAATGCGCACGCGATAACACTCCAGTCTCGTTCAAAAATGTCACTTGGATACTTAAACATGGCATTTTGCATATTTCATCAATGGCTTATCGCGATGGATAGAATCTATTTAAAACTAAGAAAAGTTTGCTTCGTTCTGTGAATTGTCAAAGCAGAGAACCCCCTTAGTAGATAATTTGGTTCAATCAACACAGGCGTTAATGATATAGTAAATTGGTCACCGTTAAGTTGTTTCTACTAGTAGCCCTTCGCCAGAGTAAAAACATCTTGATAGCACTTCAAGTGCACTTCTAAACATTAACTTAAACATTAAACATTAATGGAGTTATGACAAGATGTCATCCAACAAATTAAAGAATTGGGTTTAAAGAACGGCCTCGAAGACCATTTACAAAAATGCCTTAATTTGAAATCGTTTCACCAGTTAAATTAAAAACACAGTCGATTAGGTTAGTTTCAATAGTTACTGCTGCAGGGCATTTTGTGCGAATTCATAATTAGCTAATTTCAGTCGCGTCGATGACTCTACGACAGTTGTTTTCGTCATTTGGGGTTTCATTTGTATTTCTTTTACTTACCGTTCGTCTTTTTCTTACTATTTCACTGCGGCAGTTGTGAAAAATCGTTTTTTTTCGGGTTGCAAACGGTTTTGTTACTGATACAAGATTGACAGTTATTGTGAGGAGTAATTATACATGAAGAAATAATTTGAATGTTCTTGACGGATACGCGATTAAACATTAATCTTAGTTGAGCGGAACCGGTATACAAATATGTAAACATTGAACTGGTGTTTACGGCTCTTGCGTCTTAAATTTTGCGAAGCAGGGAGGGGGAAGGAGGGGAGCAATTAAAGACCCAGACTCCGTTTTGGAAATATAAGGGAGCTCAGCATTTTCGCGTTCCCCAAATTTCTTTTGAGGGATTTATCAGAATCGCAAAGTTAAATCTGCAGAGCAAAATGCTCATTTTCATCACCTGGTCAATATATTTCGCAAGATGATTTGTGACACAAATCATTTCGCGATATATTCAGTTGTAGAAGTATCTTTTCGATCACCTACATGCTCAGGAATATCACAAATCGGTAACGAACTCACTTGATAGTGGAAAGATTTCGCAGCGGTTTATTTTCCTTTACGAAACACACACAAGACATTCTGGGAAATTTTAGCTGGATTATGCGCTTAGTTTGGTTTGAGATGAGTGAACGGAGATAACAACATACTGTTTGTCATCTTTTCGACAGTCAGCCACAAGATTTTGTAAGGAGTGATCATAATGGCCCAGATAGTGACCACCCAGCCTGGCACAACTATTGTGGTGCAACAAACTCAAGCTGTGAGGGGCTGGAATTCTGGATTGTTTTCCTGCTTTGATGATATTGGAGGCTGTAAGTTATACCTGTGATAAGCTGCGAAAAGTTTTGATCGCCATGGCGACTAAATTTGCGGCTAAAAAAGCCAACAATATACTTGGCGATTTTATACGCCGATCGCGGCGATCGGCGAAAAGCGAAAATCGCCAAATGTGTCCGGTGCAGCGATGGTGATTTAATTTGGTATGTCAGATTTCAACGATTTTCGCCGGCGTTTAAATTAGCTAGTTGGATCGGCGAATTAAAATCACCAAGTGTGTTACTAGCTTAAGTTGCCATTTTGCCGACATGCGTTCGGCGGTCAAATAGCAAGTTGTAACGTTTTCATAAGTTATTTCAGGAGCCCATTGGCTCCTGGTTATTTCTTGGTTTCTGACATCAGAGTGAGATAACAATTTCAAAGAATATTAGTCATAATTAATTTCACTGACGAACCGAATAGAACGACCTAATTTTAACCAAGGATCGAAACAGTGTCCCGTCGTTTCGTACCGAGGTACGTTTCGCACTCATTTTGTGTCGGTTCATACTCAACCTGCTGGTCAGTTCGTGCCCGTCCCCACATTCAGTTACGATCAAAACCCAGGAGATCTCACGAAACGCCTAACGCAGATATTTTTTTGCTATTTTACGCAAACAAACCAACATTTAAATGTTGGCGATCAAAACTTTTCGCAGCTTATCACAGGTAGAGTTAATAACTCTAATCACAGTTTGGCTTGTGGAAAAGACCGACCAATCAGTTCTCACGAACAGACTTACAATGCTAACTAACAAACAATTTCACACTTGACTCTGATAATGAACGCTGCTCAAGTTGTCAATCACCAACTAAAGTTTTCCATGGCTTCTTTCATCCGAACGATCGGGCCAAATGATCAGAGATTGACAAATTGAATGTGTTTGGTTTTTTTTGTCTGTGTACAGGCCTGTTTGGCTGGTGCTGCCCCTGCTGCTTGTTGTGCAGCCTCTCAACCCGTATGGGTGAGGGGTTCGCTTATGGCTGTTGCTGCTACGAGATTGCTCCGTTCACTCTGAGGGCCAAGCTCAGAGCTGAGCAGCACATTGAGGTGGGTCCTTAAACGCTTTAGACTTCTCCCGCTATATAACAGCTGATATCTCCTTTTCTGAATCATTTCAATAACAAAAGCAGCAACAATAACAAACTTTCATCTACCAAGAAGAAAAAGACTGGAACAGCTCTCTGATGAACTTTGAAGAAGCGATTGCATAATATTTTATGTAAAGTTGAGAACGTTTTTGAACAGATTGTGACTTATTTCACCTAAACATCGTTAAAGTGTTCCAGCTGAGGCGACGTTTCTTAAGTCAGAGCAGAAGTCACCATCCGAGTCAATTGTGACTTTGATGAAGATTACTTCCACTTCTTAGACTCTCTGGGACAATCATACATGCAAGAGGGACTAGCATCTAATTTCTCCTTCCTACAACGTCACCTCTGAATCAAACGTAAAGGCCACGCAAATAAAGGAAATAATTACTAACTAAAGAAGCTCTTGATTATTTAACAAATTCTTCGTGTGAGAATCTTAGAAAAGGTATAGGAAACAGTACGGAGGATATGCATACTGTTGTTAGGGTGTGAAGGTGTGAATGGTTAAAGAACTACGCCCCGAGTGGGCCAAAGTCAGTTCAAGGTCCGTGTTCAACACGTTATCTTTTCCGTCCTACTGCCTTGATTGCTCTCCCCTTTGGTTTATTTTCCTCTTTCTTAAGACGAACGACTACGAGTTGTAGATTTTCCAATAGTTAAACATTAAGCACGAGAACCTGCGTTATTACGCGAGACACAATAGTCGTATTTATTCATGGAAAAGTCATGGCGTAAGTTGCTCAGTGGTAAAGACGTGAGTGTTATCGTTTACCGTATACGGGAAAGGTCTCAGTTAAGTCCGATAACAATAATTGTGAAAACTTTTGTGATCGAAAAGGGTACAGTGAAAGTTCACGAGGTAAAAATATTTTAGTACTTCGCGAAAAACATGAATCCAAAGTTAAAGTTCTATCACCGTTAAGTTTGTTTCTTTGTAAAGTGACTTTGCTCAACATTTGACTCTACATTGACGACACCTAACTCCCTTTTTTTTTCTTTCTTTCTTTCTTTCTTTTTTACTTCCTTTCTTTCTTTCTTTCTCTTTTAATTTAGGCATGTAAAGTCATTACTTATCTAAATTACATTTTTTTCTTTGCGGCAGGGATCCCTTTGCAACGATGCAATCACTATCTTATTTTGCGGGGAATGTACCCTGTGTCAGATGGATCGTGAACTCAAAGCCATCGGCAAATAGAGAGGAGTGCTTCTGGAGGACAGCGACAGAGATATGCGCTTTCATTTATATTGTGAAGCCTTTATTTAGGCGTTTTCCTCTTCAATCTAGTTTTTAGATCTTCTTTCAGTTAGTGCCAAGTGTGTCGTAGTGGATCATGACGTGATTTTGTTTAGGCTTTTTTTAGGTACAATCATTTATTTCTTTTGCTGGTATTGTTTTCTTTGATAACGCGCCAAGCGTGCGTGCGTGCGTGCGTGTGGTTTACAGTAGGTTTTTCAGTACCACGCTGGTGCGTGAGATTATATATTCAGCACGATTGAAAAATTGTAACCAGCTAGTACAAAACCGTACTTAATAAACTGTTTTAATATTTTCGTCCTGTTGCTTGTTGCTGTGTGACCCGACGTACTTTTGCTCAAATCTTAAGTCTCCATCCCGATTAGCGTGCCTAGCTTGCCACAGGGAGATGCTGTGCTCTAGATGTTAGCCCGCCGGAGTTCGGATGAGTCCTCGTGCTTAAGCTTCAGCCAGGTCATAATGATGTTAGTTCTTAACCCCCCTTCCCTGCTTGGCCCCCCCCTTCCCTCAGGGGTGTACACGGGTCATCATCATCATCAATCTTTATCTATACACGAAATCATATCATTTTACATAGTCTTCCTAGGAATCTTGTTTAAATTATACTAAAACGGGTACCGGCAAACTGTTAAGGGAACCTGATTAAATGCATGGTAGTAAGGAGGTGAGAGGGGAATTTGCGATCTACCAGCATTTTATCTGGGGGGGAGGGGAATGCAGAGCCATGGAACCACGTAACTGCTCGCTCTGGCGCACCGTCTCAGATCCGTCAATACTTGATTATCTGACGGTCCTACTGCACAAATTAAATCAAATAAAATCTGTCTGTAAAACCTTGTCACTTAAGTTCAAATTTCGGCAGTGACAGCGTGCATGAAAACATACCACATGAAACTGAATGAAAACTTCGCCAATAATTTAATGTGAAACAGACATATGTACACTTATTCTTTTTAAATTACGTTTGTTTAAGCCTCCGCTTGCAATAAATATTTATATTAAAACACTTTCTTAAATAACGATAACTTTAAGTCGCGGTTCAACCTTTTGTTTCTTGTCCTTATTCAGCACAACAAATTTCCGGTGCCTATACCGTCGGTTATAACTGCAAAGTCCTATAACAAAGACGACGACGAGAACGAAAAAACTCACAGAGACTGCGATGTAAACCTGTGTGGATTCTGCTTCTTGCAATCCAGTCGGGCTTGTATTTGTAACTGGTTTCATCGTCGCAATTGTTCGCGGTTTCGTACTGATCAATTGCGTTTTTTCAGAAGTACTTTGCAGCATTGTTTTGATGGGCTTCTTCGTGATAGACGTTGGTTTAATATCTGAGAGCTTGGTATCACAAGAAGTCCCAGTCCAAGGTTTGAAACAATAGCATGTACCGATGTTAGTACATATACCATTACCAGAGCAGTTCTTGGGACATAGAAGCGCCTTTCCAAGTAGTGCTCTAATAGGTACACATTTTCTGTTCAGGCACACTTTTCCATCAGTGCATTTTGTTCCATCAAGGGTCATCGCAGCCTCCGATACATCCATGCCCATTTGTAAATTAGTGCCTTTACATGTGACTGTTTTGCTTTGAAATGGCCACTGGGAACCCATTACGTCTCTTTGTATACCTATGATAGGCCACTGATTGCTAGCAAGGCACCATAGTTTACCACATTTTGCGTTCTTTAGCTTGCACGGTCGATACTTTCCTTTCTTCGTCTTATGGCAAAACCCATACTTGTTGCCACGCGTGTTGTGGTAATTATAGCACTTATCTGGACCAGAAACGGCATCGCGGCCCCACAGGTCTTGACATTGGCTGTCGTGGGTTAAACATTGCCCAGAGTAACAGTAGGCCGTGTTATTGGCGCAAGGGTAACCATTGTAAACGAAGACGTCCTTAGGACAACTCCCAGAAGATCCAGTACAGAATTCTGGGATGTCACATTCGTTCACAGTCTCCCTGCAAACACTTCCGCTCTTTTTAAACATGCACCTCTCACAGCAAGGGCCCCCAGCACACTGCACATGCGCGTACAGCTTGCAAGTCACATGATCACAACAGGCGTTTCCCTCAGCAGCGCATTCTTGTGCGGTACCACAATCACACTCCTCGTCCCCTCCGACTATCCCGTCTCCACATACAGGGCCCCCGTACAACGTTCTAGGGACATTAAAAAGGCATGATCCTAAGCCCCGCGATAGTGTTTCGTAAAGTCCTTTGAGACTGCAGTTACTGAAGCCAGTGGCTGGTTCACGGCCGACATGCTCGCTCATAACGCAACCGCGCGAATTGGGTGATTTACACACGCAACGAGGTAGGTCCTCATCGTGATACATGCCGAACACATGGCCTAGTTCATGGGCAAATGTACTGGCAGTAAAAGCTGCATTTCGGCTGTAATCTTGGATCACGCCTGCCGATTGATCTGTGCAAATCGTCATCACATGAGCTTTACCTCGAACGGAATCTTTAAGTGATACTCCCGTCAAAAGTTTTGTTACGTCGCTCGAATATTTTCGCCGTCTCTTTTGTCTGTATTTCACTAAATTTGACAAGTATGTATCGGCATTAGCGTCCGCTTTGACTTTGTCCAAAACGTCCCACGTTTCTATGGCGACCAATACTACACGAACATTCAACGGCTTGAAAATGGCGTCCGCTATATTTGCAATTTGTTTGGCTCGCAAATTTGTCTTCGTCAAATTCTTCCCACAAGCCTCAAACTGCTTGTGATCGTTAATTATAAGCATTTCAACATATTTAGTCTCGGTGAAGACATTTTTACGAATTCTTCTTCGAGTCTTGACGTTGCCAATTCTTCTTTCTAAAGCTTGTCTTTCTGTATTAACCGTTTGAATGCCGCTATCCTGAATTATCCTTTGACCACGCGGATTATATTCAACCAGGCTAAGATCTTTTATCTTGTAGAACAAATGAAAGGAGCGGTCCGTAGGTTCAATATAGTAAGATGTTTCACCGTCGTATATCAGCCCTTCTACACCTTCACAAGTGCTCAGGGACACACTCGACTTTGCCCTACCCCTGACGAGTCCGTGAAAGAAACATTGATCAACTTTTCCGGCGTCGTTTCCAGAGCCATTGAAGTGTTCGTGTCTTTCGAGGTACTGCGAGGTAAATAGACCACGATTCTGATATAGGTCGAGTGTGAAGTTTTGTTGAAAGGCTTCAAATGTTATTTCTGCTTTTATGTCTCTTTTTCCTATCTGCAAAACAAAGATGTCAGAGGAATTAATGTTTTAAATTTTTTTTTTAGATTCAAAAACACTTGAAGGTTTTAATGTCTTAAGCAGATATTATGTCAAGTTGCTACAACGTAAGGGAAAACCATCAATACATAGCACGAGGATTAAAGTGGAAACCCTTTAAAAATCTTCTAAATCTGTGCGCAATCAAGATTTGGCAGCTCAGTCCTTCTCATATATACACAATGAATAGCTTCGAAGACGACAAAGACACTCCTTCTTCGTTGATCCGTATAACTGTGCTTAGCTTTGCTCGCCTGATGACATGCATCAATTCGGTATAATAAGATCTGAAGAGGGATTTTTCAAGAGGGATTAAAATATTTTTAGCTTGGCCCTTTTGATGATTAACTCTAATTAATCAGTAGATTCGAATGTAGGTTCTGACTTGCATGTCACGACTATCCATTCTCAAAAATTATGCAGAGCGAAAGAAGCTTGTAGCAATCCGAGGAAAGAAAAGGCTTTTTGAACAGTCCTTCTTTTCCCGAAACCCGCATGATTTCTGAAAAGGAGCGAAGGTTGTGCCTGAATTCTTCGGTACTAGTTCGGAAATTTTCGGAAACTTCGTACGTCTCAGGAAATGTTCGACGCCTCTGACCAAAAATTCATTCTCTGACTCTTTGACTCTTGAGATGAAAACAAGATTAAAGTAACGCAATACATGCACTTCATGATGGGATTTCGTTGAAAGATACTCTCACGTACTTCTTTTTTTCTTTTCCCGTGATAGCAGAGATCCATTTGGTTTACATTTTTGGGTGAACGTCACTCTTAAAACACATTAGTCCTTAAAAACTTTTGCAGAAATTTTACATGAATGCTAAGAAGTAAACAAGGCGAACAGAAGCTCACATTTTGTCCAAAACATCCAGTGGTTGACAAATATATTGCTGTGAACATGCACTTGTCCAAGTGCCTTGTCTTGATTTTGTGTTGTCTCCTGCTCAAATTAAATAATCTCGAATGTTGCCCACATGCCTGTCGCGTTTTTTCGCACTTCAGTACTTTTTCTCAAAAGCGCACTTTAGCCTACTCAAGCTCTCAAAACGAAAACAATGAAAACAGCATGATACAGCCGCCAGACCAACACAGATCAAAACGCTATTAATGTCCTCTTCAATTTCGGCGAGTCCACGAAGTCACTTTCCAGTTTAATCTTAACACTCGTGACACTATTCAAGTTAATGTCTTCCCCCTGCGGAAAGCCACATAAGCTAAGCTTTATGAAAATAAATCTCAAGGAATATAGATAATTGTCTGCTTGTAAACCGATTGATTTCAGATAGGTTCCGACGTTAGAATACCTGATCCGGAGACCCCCTCGAGATTACGAACGTGCGTGAATGGTTTATTTAACGCTCGAATAAGAGGATTCTGAGCCGTAGATCTTTTTGAATATTCTCCATCAGATTGTCAACAATCACGTTCCGATGGCGTCGAGGTTGTAATCTAATTCGCAAGGGCTAGCGGTTTTCCTCAAGCCCCTCCTAGGTGGATATGTCTGCCTAAATAATGTGCAACCCGTATCATTCGACGTTTAATACATGTCTTATATCGTGCAATAATAAAACGGCAAAATATTACTCACCATTCTTTGTCTGCCGCTTAAACCTCCACTTTTCCACGCTCGGTTGTCTTCCGTGATATATCTCAGCCGAGGTGAGACACATTGATGGTTTTGACGAATAGTAATCCATGTCTGATCGTGAGCACGAGCATTCGAGCCACCCGTGAACTGCACGCAAAGTTGCAGGTTAAAAAATACCCACAGCGGAAAAGAAATCCTTGCCATATCAACCGGTGAATCGCCTTTAAGAAAAGCTGATCTTAAAGCGATAATCGATCGTAAACTCTTTGGAAAACCAGGAGGATAAACGTGAACAAGATAATAATATTTGGACTAAGTCTTTGTCATCAATGTCAACACCGGCGTGAAGAAATGTCCTATGTTAATTGTTCGTCGCCATCAAAACATGTTCCGTAACGTGAAACGAATTGTAAAATCTGGCCATCTTCATCATCACAATGATCAAGGAAATATTGGCTTGCTTACATTTCAAACTTTGCGGTTATGATCGGGCGCGAGCCTGCCCGGAAACTATTGACATCAAATGTTTTTTCTTACCATTCGCCGCTTTGTGACAGACGCGGTCATAAAAACGTCGTAATTTCTTGTGTTTAAAGATTGAGTCGCAATTAATTATGCTCTTAACATACCAGGTCACTCTTCTCACATCCCTTCTATGTCAAAAATCCTAACACTTCGAAGCAGTAAAAGTAGGACGAAATGAAAGGGCGACGAACCACAAAGTGCAAAGTGGTTGATTCCGCGTAAAACTCAATATATATCAACTGTTTGTTTATACTTATGTCGCTCACTAATTGGACTGCCTTAATCCCGTCTATTGTTTTTGAATGAACAATTCAAACATTTAACGAACATGACATGAAAAGATGCCCTAAGAATCGTGTGAATGATTTCTAGGCTGGCAATATCACTTCAAATGTGTAAATCATACGCATGCTAGTGATTGATGTTATCTCGGTCTTACACACACCTTTTTTAAGAAGCAATAAAAACACATTTATTGTTCCCTAATGACCTGTTACTCATTCACCGTGTGAGACCCATAATCTAATTAGGCGTGGACCGACTCGAGAATAATCATTTGTTATTGTTCAGATTATGGCTAGCGATAAGCCACTACGAGCCGTCTTCTCAATCTCGACGCAACACAATCGTAGCTGCCCAGAAAGGATAAAGTTGATTCTCCTTCGCTGCAGGCAAGAGGCTTTTGCCCCCTTTGAGAACACGACAACAATCGATCTTGCTTCACGTCTAAAATGACAGGCATACATTCGAGACAGATTCAAGGAAAGACCGATGAAAAACGACAAAGATACAATAATTTTTTAATTGCGATTCATATGTTTCTGATGAGGCATAACACAGTCGACCGGTTTTTAGCATCGTGCACCGTCTGTCAAAAAATAAAGAGTCATCGCACCTGGAAACAATTTTGTACAACAGTTTCTCGAGTTTGTTATATATCAATCGGCCTATATCGTGTCGTTTTAGCGATTTACAAAATTGTCTCGGACTTTTTTACTCCCAGCGAAGATGTAACTTCTATTAAAACTTTTGAGACACTATTCAGCCTACAAGAATCAACAGTGCACACAATTATCAAGTGGACAACGTTATTTTGACTTAACACCAAATTCTCTCAACTAAATGACAAGGAAAGTCGTGTGATTGAAACAGAAAGAAATGTATCACTTTTTACTTTTTACTTATTTAGAAATACTCCAAAGAGGAATGTATAAACCAAAGCGAGGGAAGGATGGCTACTGAATGGAAAAGCCAGAAACAGATTGCAAAAGACAAATGTAAACAGTCTTGGCCGCGCGCCACAAGAAGGCGGCCTTTTAATCCACAAACCATGTTTGACATGTACGTTCTTTAATTTTTTTTTTTGAATACATGAAATGATTTCAATTTCCGTGCCGCATCACTTTTGCATTAATTAAATACCATTCATTTCACAGTACTTATCCGATCAGACAGTCCTTTTTACTTAAATTGCAAGGAATGTGAAAATCTCAATCCAAATTGCAAGGAATTTGAAATTTTAAAGATTCCGCCGTTAGAGCACGCTCTTGATTACACATAACAATGTCAGAGAAACAACAGTTTACGTTGCCTTGCGTTTCTCTATCATGATAAGTCGGATCAATATCAGTATCTGGGCAACTGCCCACCTACCCCTCCCCTAACCCAACGTTAACCTTAACTTGTTTTCAATTGACTGTTGTTGAATTAAGGGAGGGGTAGGTGGGCAGTTGCCCAGATACTGATATTGATCCGATAAGTCTTCACTGATAAATTCATTTCGATCCTCTCCTCGTGACATCCACAAGGAAAAAGTTTAAAATTACCCTGCTACAAATTCAAGAGTATCGACTAACATATCCTTAAACTTTCCCTAAAAGCCTTACCACTTAATTTTTCGATGTCCATGGTCATACAAAGTACTTGAATACTGTATTTTCTCTTTATTTACGTTTCAATCGAGAAAATCTTTAATCCCTTAACTCCCAGATCAAATTTGTTATTCTCCTTACTGTCAACCCAGCAACTCTTATGATGTTAGTTCAGAGAATTTAGTATTGGTTCAACTAATTATCCCCAAATTGATATACATTTTTTTTATTCTCATTACTTATCTGGTTGATTTTGTATTTATATTGTAAGGAGAAATTCTGTCTTGGTCACTTATGAGAGTTAAAGGATCAACCTTTTCACTCCCAAGATCTCTGAGGAATTCTCCTTACAGTCTGTCGTACAATTCGTATGATGTGAGGTTGTAGAATTAGGCATTGGATCAACTAATAATAATTCCCTGATTGATATTTTTCTTTATTCTCATCACCTGTCCACCTGTCCACTGTATTGATATCGTAAGAGAAATTCTGTCTTGGTCACCCGTCGGAGTTACAGAGTTAACAAATATGATATAGAATACTTTTGTGTCAGGTAGCCCAACAGTTCCATGGAATAACGTAAAGCCCTCTTTAGTGATATGGGTTCCATTCAGTGTTTTTACCCACTGAGTAAACGGGCTTCCTACCCAGTATTGTTCTATAAACATACCCCGATTATTTTCCTGAGGTAGGACCGAAATTCGAACCAGCTTGTAACTTCGGTATAAGTCTGATGAGTTCATGGTTTACTGAAGCCATCAAAATGCGACCTGTAGTTAATGCTTTCATTATCTTTTGACATCTTATTTTTTCAGTTCGCCATGCACATTTTCATCATAGAAAACGCCGGTCATTAAAATATTAATTGTTGCAAGATGTCTCTGCTTATCTCTCCGCCAAACACTTCAAATTAACGCTAATCGTGAGTAGTTTGTCATGAGGGAGGAAACTCTATATCTTAATTGATATTCCGGCTCATTACACCAGAGCCCAATTACTGACTTGTTGAGTGTTTCAGTTACGCCTCTCCCGATTGCGCCCGTAAAATCCTGGAAAGTTGCTCACTGCAATGCCAAAAATTTGCTCCTGAGAAATTGCCAAAATTTCAAAACGTTAAAAGTTGATTCCTATATTTCTTGATGTTTTTATTTAAAGGTTAATTCACAGTAATTGCTAACATCAGTCAAGAAAAAATAGCTTTGAACTTAACTTTAAAGAGCTGCTCGCAAATATGGGCGACATTTAAGGATACTTTAGTCTGACGGAACAAACCACATGGTTCATTGGACCTCCTGCCGAACCTCATTTCAGCCAATTATCCGTTATAATGTTAGATAAAGATCGCAACAGGCCTGCCAAACCATGTCATGTGACAGCTTATGTGTAGATCTATTATGAAATCGTCGTCGACTTTTTCGTGCTTGACAAGTGCTTCAAATTTACATTTTGTTCAGAAATTGCTCGAAGTTGCTAGAACCTCAAAAAATTGATCCAAACGCCAAAAGTTTCTCTAAAGTTACCAAGCCAGCAATCGGGGTAGGCTTTGTCTCCTCTAACTCAGAGGTTGCTGGTGCTGCTGCTGCTTGGATTTTTTTTTATCCCATCTTTTTGCGAAGTGAGAGGGAGGGAGTAGGGTCGCAAATCGTATCGTGTGGACTTATGTTATCAAGCTTTAAGAGAGTACCGCCCGGTCCGCCTCGTGAAGATTTCCTCCTTCTTGAAGCCGTGAGAACGCGGGCTCCTATCACGAACAGCGGCTTGATAGTCACGTGATGATATGTATTTCACCTATTCATGGTAAACAGCAAGCTCTTTATGAGGTGTTGCAACTCAAATTTATATATAGTCGATTGATTACAGGTTTTCAAAGAGAAGTGTAGAGAGATAAAAAATATTCAAGTTATTTTGGGCATGTTACTGCCTCAAAATGACCTTCTTTTGCAAGAAAAGTTTGTTTTTCCCGCTATTGGCGTCAACGCGGATCGGTTTCCTTTTTTGGGTGTTTGATAAACAAACCTATTACGAGAATTGTTCAGTTGTCAAAGCAGCGATTGGACGAAACAACAGATCAATTAGCAGCTTACTAAGTTCGTGAACGAAGAAGGTACTTAAACGCTCAAGAAGTATTGAATGAACCGTCGGGAAATTTGTGGAATTTCTTACTTGACAATGAAGTGTTACATTTGTCTCTAATGCTGCTGGTTTGAAAAGAACTATTGATGATCAATGGAATGCTGGAATGCGGTTGATGCAGCTTGGCTGTCGATTATCACCCTTTTGGTTGCATTGCAGGTGGGCAATTTAATACTAGCTTAATACTTACTCTATTCTAATAACTAGCCAAGTTATTAACGACGATAAATTCATTTCCGTTTCAAGAAGCGTGCGGCCATATCGACGATATTGGAAATAGTCTCTTGGGAGAAGTGAAATAGCTGAAACTTTAGTATTGTCACGCGAAAATTTTGCTTACATTCCTCACGGCAAATATGCATTGTAATATTGCTAACTTCAGCCTGTGGGCTGACCCAACAAGAAAGTTTAGAGGTTAGACATTTTGCACTTGAGAATTAGCATTGTTGTGGTTGAGGTTCGCTGACACATCATTTGTCATTGCTGTTTTAACCACATGGAAATTAGATTCGATGCGTTTGGAAATCGTTAGACAATGCAACGGAAGACGTAAGTGTAAAGCGGCCAAATGAAACTTCCGGATTTTCGTTGCCGATAATAACTTGATATAAGCGCAGATCTTATAATGCTTGAGTAGTCTTACGCTAAAGACCTCACTAATAGATTTTTAAAACGTTGAATCAACAGAAAAGTAATGTTTTGATGCCTTTTGACATTGTGGTAAACTTTGGAATTTAAACTTCCAGAACTTAAACTTCAGTCCACTAGTTCAACACTTCAGTTACTCTGAAAACATTTTCTCAAACTTGGCTTGCTATTGTGATTAAATTTCTCTTGTGGAACTAAACTCCTCTGTATTAGGCACTAAAGTTTTCTTGGCTCCTCTAAATGGATCACAGAGGAAAAACCGGCTATTCTTTCAACTGAACTATTAAGAATTTAAATAATACTCAACCTATATTTTTCAAGGTAGTAATTTTGATCAAATGATCATTTTTAATTCTTTTACAGGGATTCAGCTTTGCAATTTATCAGGCTGGTGCCAGACCATGTCATTCATCAAATCTACATGTACTCTTTGTTTATGCTGTCATCAACTTCACTGTTGGCTCCATACTGTGGTATTTTGTTGGCTATTCTCTCTCTTTTGGTCCCTCACAAAATGTAAGGCTTTGCTGAAACCCCTTAACCAACTTCCTGTCTATTCTATATCACAAATATCACAAGGAAGCATCAATTTTTCTGCATTTCACAGTCGGAAATTTTTCTTAAAATCTCAAAACAGTTCTTATTTTGTTTTGAAAGTTTCACCTTTCAGCATTTTAAGTGTCCTGGAAATAAGTACTGAGAAAACAACTTTTAGGCTTACTGATATTAAGTATTACCATCCAGTATTCTGAGAAAAGACCACTGTTAGGTCATTAGGTGGAAAGTATCTAGACCTGATTGTTTTTGGACTAGAGCTGAGTATTATGGTTTTATGAAAACATTGAGGAAACTCAGGGTTCAGTCCAATTAAAGCAGTAAGTCACTTTGAATTTCCCTTAACTGTCTATTATAGATCTCATTAGTTGATGATTTTATATATTGCCGGAAATTTTAATATTCCAAATATGTATATGAAAGGCCTATTCCTATCATCCAAAGTAGAAAATGAAGAACAGCTGATATAACCCTCTTAGTTTCATATTCTTATTTCTGAAAGCTCCATTGAGATGAGGGAAAGTTTGGGTAGCATGCTTTCTTTCCCCATCCACTTCTTTTGAAGAAGTAAAATCATGAGAGACCTCTGGGGCTCAGATTTGACATGTTTGGTAGAGAGGGACAGGGTATAGACTAATTTATATGGCAATCATGGAGGCAATTCTCAACTGGGAACTGCGAGTCCTTCTTCTACTTTTGATACAAAAAAATAGTCAGCTCAAAAGTCAGTTGGCCCATTTTGCTGCTTAGCAGCTTATACTAGTTTCAGTAATCTGTGCTGTAGGAAGAATTGGTATGGTTACTTTCCTCCTGAATGAAATGCTAACTTAGGGGTATTCCTCACCCTCCCCTACAGAGTATCTCAGTTTTCATTCATACTCTTTAATGGAGACGGAAACTTAAAGGGTTGGCCTTAGCCTGTATACAGATGTCTCCTACCCTCGCAAAAAAATAAAAAAGGGAAGTTGCTCTCCAAGATTTAATTCTTAGGGAAGGAGGCAGTTGCATATGGGTTAGGGTTGCTTAGGAACATAATGAAACAACTAGCCAGGGCTTAAATGCTGACCTTCTTCCCTTAAGTGGAACATTTTAGTTGCCATGCCACAGTATCTTTTCTTCTTCTTTACTGTTCAAATAATTTTGCATATTTGTTTTTCTAAAAATGATCTTATGTGGGTTGATGAGGTCTGAAACAAATAAATTATAGCCTGGATTATACCAGTTACTGCTAAAGAGGGTTTATTATGCCCTGATTGAGATGGCAGATTTGAATACAAAACCTGGCGTATGTTTTGTTCTTATTTAAGCTGTACAGGCCAACCACACCTCAATTTACTTAATTACAGTGTTTTCTGCCGTTTTTCTTAAAATTCTGGTCCTTTTTTCCTTTTTCAGGGCTTAATTGGAAGCCTTGATGATGCATTCTTTTTGGGTGTGTCTGGTTCCAAGTGTTCTGTTCATGCTGACTCTGTGCCAGGAATTCTTTTCGCAAGTTTTGAAATGATGCTGGCTGTCATTGCTCCACTTATGCTTTTATCTACTTGGTGAGGGAAAGTTTTCAGTTATCAATTTAGCTTGCTTAGTTAGGTGTACTTATTAAATTATAATTATGTTATGCTGTTTTAAGTGTCATTTGTAACTTTTTTTAGGGTAGATCAAATGAACATTCTTGGAGCATTGGTAAGATGTCACTTCTCAGTGATTATAAGTTATGACGTGTTTTTCAAAAGAGATTGTGTGACAGCGTTTGTATTATTCCTACCATTAATACTATTACTATCATTATTGTTATTATTATTCTTATTATTATCATTATTATTATTGTTAAGTCTGGTTGTAAATTCAATCATGTTGTTGGTTCCTTTTGCCATGTAATAGTTGATTATCGAGTCTGCATTGACAGTAAAGATAGCAAAAGATATACTGATACTTATTTTTGTAAACATTGTAGATTATTTATCTCCTTTGGCCAATATTTGTTTATTATCCTCTTACTCACTGGATACGTGGAGAAGGATGGCTCCATCAGCACTTTGGAATTGTGGATCAGTCTGGAAGTTTGACAATACATGCCTCCACAGGTAATCCCTGGAGGGCTTAATACATGGATAGTTAACCGTTTACACCCTAATATCAGTATGCATATTCTCTATTCTTTTCTCCATAAATTTCCTAAGGTGCTAAGTAGGAGGATTTGTTGGACAATCAAGAGCCTCTTTAGTTGGTGATTATCTCATTTATTCTTGTGACTCTAATGTGTGATTCAGGGATGATATTGTAATGAGAAATTAGATGCTGGTCACTGTTAAGGGTCAAAGGGTTGATGAAAAATCTGATTTTTCTACTTTTGACAGGTTCCTCGGCACTTGTTTTCACTAAGGTCTTTAATGGGGTTCATGAAAACCAGACACACAAACAAGACCACAAGAAAGAGCATGTGCACTTTTTAAATGTATACCTTCTAGCTGGGGGTCTGGTTACTTCTCTAGGATGGTAAGCTTTCTTTTTGAGTTGATTATTTTTTATCATTTTGATCAGCTTTGTAAATTTGGAATGAATGTTTTATTTTCTTATCAAGACAGGTCTATCAATTGACATGACAAAACTTTTTTGGTGTAAATTTGGATGTAGGGCTGTTATGGGGGGAGGGGCTTGTTTTGGTTTGACTCTGTTAACTTCACTGTATGTTGGAACTATTTTTCTTGGCACAGCATAGCATGTAATCAAATCTCATGTTAATTCTACACTTGAACTGGTAGGTGGCTCACTAATATTGCCTCCTCCTCCTCCTTCTCCTCCTCCTCCTCCTCCACCTTAGGTGTGATGCCAGTCCAGTTCAGGTCACTTCCTCCCCCCCCGACATTTTCTCAGGCTTCTTTGACAGTTCAACATTGTCCATTTATATTCCTGAGTGGGAAGACACTTTTTGAAAATAAAGTCACTAAGAGTTTTCTTTGTTGATTTTTTTGCCATTGTTACCCCTTGACACCTTAACATCAGTATGCATATTCTCCATACTGTTCTGTTTACATTGCCTAAGGTGCTGACAAGGAGAATTTGTTAAAAGATCAAGTGCTTCTTTAGTTGGGGATTATTTCCTTTATTCTTAGGACTTAACTGTTTAATTCAGGGGTGGTAATGTATGGAGAAACTAGATGCTAGTCACTGTTAACTGTCAAAGGGTTTATGACTTTTTTGCATCCATTTGTTTCATTAGGTATTGCACAAATGTTGGATCTGTGCATAAATTCAATAGTGCTGCAATACTTTCATTGGTTAATTCTGACCTCTCTGTCTGTGCATCTTTATTGAGCTGGTTGATTGTGATGTATCTCACCAAAAGAAATTACAGGATGACTGATCTTTTACAAGGCATCATAGTTGGTCTTGTAGGTAAGGTTCTTAAGAAGTGCAGATCAATGTCAGTATTTGAGCAACTACACACCTACCCCTCCCCTGACCCAACCACAGTCAACTGATAACAAGCTTGGGTTAATTTTAAGTTAGGGGAGGGGTAGGTGCACACATTCTTAGATACTGACAGTGATCAATGTTCCACACCCCCCCATACTTGTAAAAAGGTAAAGTCTGCACTTGAGCAAAGTGACCCATCCAGCTGAAGTTTATCATTCTGTAGTTCCTTTAGCTTGAAGGAACTAGGAATATTGTAACTCCCCCCTGAATGGGATACTAGTCCATCACAGGTTACCCAAAGGCATTTTGTACCCTCTTGAAATTCATTTTTTTTTAAAATTCCATTCTTTTCTCCAAAAATATTGTTTGCCCTTTGAAAGGCACACCCCCTCAAAACTTAAGCTGCCTCTTTGTTCTCAAGGGTTAGTACCTGTTGTTTGGTCTTTTGATGAGTCATGAATTTTTTTTCCTGTTGTTTTTACAGCTTTTTTTCTTGTTGTGTTTTAGGTGTGAGTGCATCTTCTGGTTCAATAGAACTGTGGGCTTCGATGATTATTGGACTTATTGTTGGTGTGATATCATCAGTTGTTTCATGGTCTGTACAGAAATACCAACCTTTATGGACCAGTATGGGAATGCATGATATCACTTATATTCATGGTGTTCCGGGCATCCTCGGGGCAGTAACAGGTAAAACATCTCAAAAATAACTATTAAATCGTGTAGGTATGAACTCTATAATGTTCATTTACCATATTCACATGATAATAATGACAAATGTTGAATTTATTTAGCTGGTCTGTTCACAAAATCCTCAAAGGATGTGGCAAGTGAAAATGGTGCTTTCTATTCCAATGGTGCTCAACTGGGTGTTCAGTTGTTAGGTGTGGTCGTTACAACCACGTGGTCTGTACTATGGACTTACTTATTGATTTGGCTCATAAGAATAACAGTGAGTACGATTTTCTCTTCTTCTTTGCTTTAATTGGTGGGTGGAAAATCCTTCGATACTGTTAAATTTTTAAAAGGAGATATGTTGATTGAGACATCGCCGACTATTGGCTGGGTGTCGGCCGACCACTGGCCGACTATCAGTCGATCATGAGCCGATTTTCCATCGACCATCGGCCGACTTATCGACCAATGTAATGATATAACCTCGATTTTGTTTCAGGTCGGACTGAACTCAGGTAACACAAACAAAATGTTTGGCGCGTGTGATACCGCGAAAAGTTTACCGTCATCCGTGGTGAACAGTGAGAGGGAAGTGCTTCGCAAGAAACTCTTCAAGGTGGCTGCTAAAGGAGATTTACAGGAATTGGATAACTTGCTTGTTCAGCAAGTGTCTTTTGGCGTACAAGACTTTGATAAACGAACGCCACTGTGAGTAAAGCAAAAACTGAATTTAATGTTTCGCAAATTAACGGAAATAGTACTTTTCAACCATTCTCCTGCTGAAGGAAAAAAATAAACAAGCAGGAGAGACCCCAAATTGTTTTTTGTACTTTTCAACCATTCTCCTGCTGAAGGAAAAAAACAAACAAGCAGGAGAGACCCCAGATTGTTTTCTGATATGATTCCCATGATATCAATTGTTACTTTTCTTGTAAAAAATATTTGGAAAATAAATCTTTTTCGCGCGGTTTCATGTTTCTGCTGGTGGAATGTATGCAATTTTAAGAAAACTCCGGCGTTTGTCTTATTTTGATCTGCTAAATTGTTTTGTAGTCACGTGGCCTGCATGTGTGGTAATCTCAACTGTGTAAAGTTCCTTCTTCGGCAGCCTGGTGTGGATATTCACGCAAGGGACCGCTGGAAAGCGTCACCGCTGTCTGGTAAACTACTTTTGAAAAACAGAAAGTGTATATTATAGCTGACACTTGGGAGGGAAAGAATTAGAACTAATTAACTCTCGGGGAGTCATTTCAAGTTGCCAAACAACATTACAAAGCAACTTTATCAGCACCTCAAATTTAGGTTTTATTGGTTTTACTGTAGAATATAAACAGTCTACATTCTCTCGGTTTTACTTCAATACGCTTTGTGCTGGGAGTAGCAAGTGACGGGTCATTATTTATCGCCTGCGGGGGAGGGCCGAATGATTCTGGTTCTGTTTGTGTAATTTTCTTATGATACCACTTCCTCCCTCTTCCCCCCCCCGTCCCCCCTTCACTATTGAACTCTGTTGGCGACGACTGATCCTCCTCGGTTCCCTCTGAAAATCATGTGATATGTGATTCCCCAAAATCTTCCGCCCACCCCCCACTTCGACGAAAAGCAATGTCTGGTCCTTCTCTTGACTCGCGTTATCTTCTTAGCCAATCTGATGCAAAATGATGGCGCCTAGGTTGTTTCGAATTTTCCAGCGCTTCAGCACGGTTACTTGGTAATTACTTGATTGGTTTCTTGTGCTTGTGATGATTTCCTATTATTTGATTGGCCATTGATCGCAGCTAGGGTAACGACCTTTAGGTAGCTAATCTATAACGGTGTGTTTTCAATAACAGCGTGATTTTTTACTCTTTCCTCTGCATTTCTTCTACAGAAGCTGTACAATTCGGTCATGATCAGGTGGTGCAGTGTCTGTTACGTCACGGAGCGGGATGGTGTGAAGATGGAGTCGGGGACTTGCTCTGCAGCGCTATAGGTATGGTTTGTTCTTACATGAAGAGTTATTTGGCATCAGGCCTTTTCCGGAGCCGACATAGGAGAAGGTTGAAGGAAGCTGCTGTAAGCAGATTACCTTTGCCAAATCGCATGCCATGAAATGATTCTTGTAGACCCTCAGAGACCACAATTCTATTCTGACATAAAAAGACTAGGGGACTTAAATGCAAGACAAAGAGTTGTATGTAACCATTAAATTGCTCAAAGTGCGTCAATTTTTCCTCTTTAATTTTAAGTGAAAAACGATGTGGAGGAGCTTCAACGCCTTGTGTCTCTTGGCGTGGATGTGAATGCGCCAAATGAAGAGGGTAGCACTGCTCTTCATGTTGCAGCTGCCGTTGGGAGTCGAGGAGTAGTACAGTACCTCACTGATAACAAAGCTGATATCAACGCGGTTGACTCGCTTGGAAATACGCCTTTGAATGTGAGCGATCTGTCTCAGTGATTACCCTTATTTATTGCCCCCAAACAAAAATGACAGGAACGATCGCGGATTGTTCCTCTCTGACATTATCCATAAGTGTGGAGTAGAAGAAGGATAAGCTGGCTTGAATGCGCACGCGCTCAGGCGCTACTTCTTTTGCCGTCTTTGGGGGGGATACGCTCAGGCGAATTGACGTAGGGGACTGGGTGGAATGGGGGTTAGGTTTTAGTGAGAGGGGTTTACCCCTCCCACTCCAAATAACTGTTTTGTTACACGTTAAGTATTGAGATTTTTCAGGGTTGTCTTTTGAAACCTTTGCCAATTGTCCACATTTTTAAACGTCATTATTCGTCTCTGGGATATTCTTTCCCCTCTTGTATTTTAATGTTATCTCTGAAGGCAATCCTTATTTTTGCAAACATCTCTCAATATTGCAACGTAGCGCAGTAGATCTCTGGTTATACCTTTCACACCAAGGAGTCTGTGGGATCCCAAGCAGATTCTTCAGTGCTGTCAGACGAGCTAACATATTTTTACATGATAGTAAGAATGAAGTTTTTGTGGAAACGAAGACATTTTTTTTTTCGCTCTCATATTCCAGTATTCCAATATGCACGAGCACCGCGCAGTTAGCCAGTTACTAGAGGGTTTGGGTGCCAGGCGATTGTCACATCATTACAGTATGCACGAAGTCTGTGAAGTGGCGAGCACAGGCAACCTGCAGATGTTGAGGCACATGGTTCATAATGGTGCTACGGTGTGTTACAGGGACTTCAACAAACGGACGCCGCTGTAAGTTTTTCAGTGATACGGATGTTAATTTGATCTCATGCTGTTAAGGTTGTTGTGGCTTCTACATCCATGACATTCATTCTCTGTATGATAGACAGCACAAAAAGTCCTGATCACTAAACTTCCATGAAAAGACACAAAAGAGTGTTAAATGTAAAGTATATTAGGCCAAATGAAGTGATTTGCGGAAGGTACAAAATAATACTCGCGGAGAATCCATCAGGACCGGGAGTACGCTTTTACATGGAGGGGAGGGGTCCTACAGTTGTTTTAATGGCCATAAGAGGAAATCGTAAGGTCCTTACTTCCCTTTCCCCACCTCCCCCCTTACCGTAGTACTGCGTAAACTCCAATACAGCAAAGATTTTCGGACAAATTCCTCGTTATAGCAAAATGTGTCGGTAATTCAGCCCCAACCTAAGTTTAATGTAACTGTCGATGTGAAGCCCTCAACGTAAGATCAAGCGACAATCATCGGCAAGCATGATCGCTATCACTTGCGCATGTGCAATTCAGCTTGATTGGGTGATTGTCATTTAAGAGCTGGAAGTAACTTGTTGGAAAAAAAATCATCAAAAAGCAATTTACTTTTGGGGAAGAAAGACTTGAGATTCTGTGGCTAAAAACCTGTGACTGACAATCTTTGACTGTAAATCTGTTCTTATTTAGTGTAACTATGTACATGACAAGTTTGGAGATTGACTCTAAACAGCTGTACACCCATATCGAAGGTATAAACATCCAATTATGTTCGGTAGGTTGTGTTATGCGATAGTTACATATTCATGCATCGTTAAAGTTGATTTTCTCTTTTTCTAAAGTCATGTCAGTGCAGCTGAGGGTCATTTGGATGTGGTTAAATTTCTTCTTTTACAACCAGGAATAAACATCAATGCCAGAGACACAAACGATTTTTCTCCTCTTCTTGGTAACGTATTTAGTTTGTTCTAGCTTCTTTGGGTGATTCTTATTAATTAGTTGCATTTTTAAGAAGTTGGCGATCTAACTTGTGTGTGATCCGAGGGCGAAGTTCAGCCGGGGTGGCTTTAAGATGTTCTGTTAACCTAACTTCACTTGTGTCCGATCACACAGCGCAGGTCACGTGGCCATGATGGTCCAATCCAAATCACAAAGCACAATGAGCCAATCAAAACTCGCAGCAAGCGTGCAGTTCGCGAAAAGAGCGAAAAGTCGAGTGAATCAGCATTGAAATTTAAATCAAATCGGATTATAGGGCATGTTCCGTTTACTGCACGAATCCTATCGTTATCTTTTACCAATGCGATTTTAGATCTAATGATTGCCAAAACGTTTTGTAATTTCCTTCCCTTTTATCGTCAAAATATGACTTGATTTTCTCTCCTCGTTTCCTCAACTTCCTCTCCATCTAAATCTGACGGTTTCCTTGGTTTGTCCCAAATGATAGTCGATTTCAGGTTTTGACATTTAAAATTCCTTGGAAGTTTTCATAAATGAATCAAGGGAAGATTTTCTCTTTTTCGACCAACTTTTCTAGGCGATCTGAAAAAACTTGGCCAAGGGAATTGAATTGAACAATTTAGCACAACATCCGCGCTTGTCACAACCAATTATGTGGTAAATTATTTGACAAGGTGTTTGACGTGAATTTTTATCATCAATGTATGAACTTTCCACTTTGATTCTGATCTGTCGCGCACCATACTGCCAATGGAGGGTGGAATATAAATAAGGAAAGCAAAAGTGAAAACTTGAGCGTGGATCTGCGGGACGCCATTAAAAAAAACTGTTCAACGAAATTATGAAAAATAGGCAACCACGATGAAGGCCTTTTTCCGCCCATGCTAAAACTCTAAAGAACTTTCTCACACAATTTATAAATAACTGTAAACAAAACACTTTACTCATCACCTTTTCACCAACCAATTATGTGGTAACTTATACGACAAGGTGTTTGACATGAATTTTTGTCATCAATGTATAAAATTTCCACTTTGATTCTGATCTGTTGCGCACCATACTGCCAATGGAACGTGGAATACAGCTAGGGAAAGAAAAAGTGAAAACTTGAGCGTGTATCTGCGGAACGCCATTCAAAAAAACTATTCAACGAAATTATGAAAAATAGGCAACCACAATTAAGGCCTTTTTCCGTCCATGCTAAAACTCTTCGAAAATTTCTCACATTATTTATAAATCACTGTAAACATAACACTTTACTCATCACCTGTTCACCCCAAATCTGTTTCGGTTGTCTTCCAGACTGAATTCTCGTAGAAAAAGCCCGAAAAGATTAATATCACTGTGATGATAAAAAAACGGTTTAAAAATATTAGCTTTGCTCTAGAGAAAAATAATTTAAGAAAGTACCGTGGGGTTATGCTTGCTTTCCGTTTCATGATGTGTGCCGTAGATGTTACCATGGGATTCTCATCATCACGACAATGTGCGAATTAAATTTACTGTTTCTAGTATGCATTTTATGCGAACGGAAAAAGAAAATGAAGGTATCAAACGTGAGTGTAGTTACTATTTGAGGGATTGGTAGGACGTTGCGCACGAGTGGCATTGGAAGCTTTATATGTGGAACCAAAAGTTACGTTAAAGGTCACTGAGGGACAGGGTGATAAATAGCGTACCTCAATCTATCGTAGTACAATAGTTCAATTCAAAGCTACGAAATTCACTAAAACGACGTTAAAATTAATTCTTCAATAGAACGGAAATAGAGTTGTGTATTCAAAATTCAGGCGTTAATTGGTAGGATGTCTCAGTCACTTTGGTTCCATCGCATCTTCAACTCGCGGAAAAAATTCTCTTGAATCAATAGTTTCGGCCCTCTGAAAATACTCCCTTTTAGATTTCCAAGTGTTACATTTGATATTATTGTAGGTAGGATATTTCAGTTATGCTGATCTCTTAAACGAGTGTCTAGGAAAGAGACTGTACCCATATCCTCTTTCTTGAAAACACTTTTTAATGGGAACTTTGTTTGTCAGTCGTTCTTTCTCGCGATACATCATTGACCTTTGTCAGTGTTCGGATCGAGGAAATTAATCCCACGCGTAGAAAGTGATAAAAAATAGAGTAGTTTAAGAAGGTAGGATAGAAGAGGAACTCGCTTAAATGAACTTGGCTTCGACGGCTCCAGACACGGACTGGTTGAAGACCTACCCTGTGCTCGGTTATGATGTTGAAAGCAAAGCAGAGAACGACAATTACATTTGAACAAACTACCTTTCTGTGAGTTGGTTATTCTTTATTTCAACCTTTTTTTACCACTTTGCACCATGATGATCAATGAAAATACATCCCTTACCGCCAATTCCGCACGCCTGGTGCCCACGGAGTATTTCTGCCCAGTCGAACCAATATTTACTTGGATTTTAACTGACGCGGCTACATTTTCAGGCTCGATCGTAATCTCCGCTATTGCTTGCCCATTCACCATTCTCTTAAACATTCTTGTGGTCTATGCAGTGAAGACTAGAAAAACATTGCAGAATAATTCGAATATTTTGTTGTCCAGTTTAGCGGTGGCAGATCTTTTGGTTGGGTTTATCTCATTTCCCTTGTCGATCGCTCTAGATGCGTTCCTTCTCCAGAGGAAGATCGGCTTGTTTCTTTGCCGTATAGCGCTTGCAAATCAAATGGTGCTGTACATTTCTGCTTGTTGTTCTTTGTACCATTTGACTGTGATTGCATGGGAAAGGTATGTGGCGATAAGAAAGTGGAAGGATTATAAAGTGATCGTCACCACCAAGCGCGTCACCTGGTGTTTGGCAATTTCTTGGGTGCTCTGCCTTCTGAAAACCGTACTGGTGCGTGTATTAATCGCGTCTGGTGTGAACTACAAGTACGTGCAATTTGTGGACATGATCGTTTCCATTCCCATCATGTTCGCCATAGTTCTGATCGGCTATTTCTACTTAATGGTTTACGTTGGTATGCGCCAACGAAAACTAACTGACATCCGTGGAGATGCGGTGCGGGCTAAACTAAAGATGGAAAAGCGCATAGCCATAACTGCAGCAACATTAACTCTTGTTTTGCTTTTCTCGTACCTTCCATCCACCGTCGTCATTATTGGAGGCAGGAAAGTGCCCTTCTTACGAACAAGCACGGTTTTCCGTTGGACGGAGTTGCTGACTCAGCTGAATTCTCTTTTGAATCCACTCCTGTATTGCTTCGTACTCAACCGCCAATTCAGAGGCGAGGTTGTGAAGATGGTGAAGAGATATAGGGAAGACCAGAGGGAGCCACCCACTCCCAAGCAGAGTCGTCACAGCAGGCGACGCATGGGTCATGAAAATATGGATGATCTTCAAGAGGAGGAAGAAGCAAAACGAGAAGAGGACCCCCAGGTTAAGTCAGGATCCTGTGGCTCGACTATGGCTGATGAAACGAGGTGCCAGGGACCTCGTGAAGCACTGCAAGTTACATCTTCGTCAGGTTCGTCCACTGGCGCAGAAAATATCATCACCTATGTCGATATTCACCCACTTAAGTCTTTCAGTCGAAGACTGTTGGAGGGAAGTACAGACAAATATGCGCAATCAAAGTGTTCCGTAAATGACGACCGACACTCTCTCTACGATGAAAATGACGATCGTGGAAAGTCGATGAAGATAACTCAAGAACATAGGCAGTCACCAAATCCCACACAAGAATGTCTTGACCAGCAAAGTATCGACAGTGAAAATAGAAACGATCCAATCATGGAGGAACTGGAAGATGGAATAGGAGAGATCCTGGAGAAAAGATCTTGTGCTTTGGTCATAGTCCGCGATGGTGGTTGTCTGGGACCTCGTGGATCTTTGTCGTCCTCTTCGCTTTCCAGTGAAGGAAACTTCGTCATCTGTGCCAATACTCTACAGCCACAAGAAGAGGCCAAAGAGGAAATCAACCATTTTAAATGTTCCCTTCCTGGTAGCTGCAACACTTTCCAGGATGAAGATGTTCTTTTGGAAATTGTTGAAGGGAAGCATGGTTCTCACGAAGGAGTGACGAAATTACCCGAGGGATCTGAACAGTCGGGAAACTACAATACAGAGCACGAAGGAGTGACGAAATTACCTGAGGGATCTGAACAGTCGGGAAACTACAATACAGAGCAAGATGATACTGATGAAACTTGCTTTTAGAATCGGCAGTGCGAATTTCGCTAAAGCAAGGAATAGACATGAGGTGAACAGTAGTATACTCTCTGATTAAAAAATGTTTTGTTGAGGTCAGTCAATGTTTGGGTATCACCGTGGGACCAAGTGTTTTTATTCAGTGATTCTTTTTCGATTATGGGTCCTTAACAAGAATTCCGCTTCGTTCCGTAATCCCATTTTTATTTTAGATAAATCATTGTTGCTTAGATCTTAGCACTTGCTCAAGTTGGGGTGAAGAATTTGATTCAGACTCTTGAAAAAGAGAAAGTATCATCGTTACGTGGGTACTCGAATGGCCTTAACAAAAGCAACGAGAACACGTACTCATTGGTACTGCATGTAAGAAATCTTAGCAAAGAGGCTTATTATCCAACTGATTATTTTTTATTGAATTTTTTTTGAAGTCTTATAGATCCCGCGGAGGAGTCCTAATCAACATTTTGCGAGCAATTTTTCTAAAGTTTTGAGCAGCTGTGTAACACAAATGAATGAAAGCGGAACCGATTAAAGAGGAATGTACTTACTGAATTTCAAAAGCACGGTTTTCTCTGCGCTTAAAATTATGTGAAAATTAGTTTTACTTAAGCGCTCTGCGAGTTGCTTTAGCAAGTCACAAATTGCCGTCTGGGCTACCAACGACATGCATTGAATGCAAAAGGCGTATGCAAATTTTAAGAACTAACCAAAAAACATATGAAAATAGTTTGCTAGAGGAATAACATTTTTCTCATAGTTTTCAAATGCTTTTCCCTCAGGTAATTTCGTCACTCTTCCGTTTCTCCGGGGGAGGGTAAGGCTACCCATAGGCAACTCAAAACGAGAATGTAAGAAAAGCAAACGAAGCAAGAGAGATTGACACGCATGCGGACTAAAGGAAAAGCATTTGAATGAAAATGTACATAAATTTATCCATATTAATGTCTTATGCCATGAACATTATAAAGAATATTATGTTAGCTCGAAGTTATAAGTGTTCATTTCCATTGGTGAGAGAAACATTTTACAAACGAGCGCAACAAGAATTGAGAAATATTTTGCTGGGTATTACAAAGGGAAAATGAACTTCCTTTCTTCGCGCTGTCGTGTAATGATATATTTTTTTTTTACGTGATATAGACACTAGTCTAAGTGGCTTGTGCAGTGGAAAAGTATTTATTATTCTTATGAGTGGCTTGAAAATACGCGGCTTTGTTAGTACTGGTGTCCAAATGAGCTGGGATTGGCCAACCCTTTCAACAACCAAGATCGTGGCCGCGCGAACAACTTCCCCATAAGGGACCTGATACTTGATTGACAAATCCCAGCGTTCATTCAGACGCCAGTATTAGCAAAGTCGCGTATTATTAGGGTCGTAATGTTGTTGTAATGTTGTTGAAGCTTCACCTTGGTGTTTTTTAATTATTTAAAGTATCATTAAAATTTTGAATAATCGTGTAATGTATATTACTACAGAAAGTCGTTCAGTTAAGAGAAATGAAACCCAAAAGGAGAGGACGGCTCGATAATGATTGGATTGGCCATCCTAGGTTCGAGGCCTCCTCTCTGCGCCTGGACCTCCCTTGCTTTGACCCTCAGAAAACGAAGCCAAGTATTTCGAGGCTATTTTCTCATTCTTTACCATCAAATACTTTGCCAATATGCTATAGCTTTGCCAAAATGTTATGGATGGAGAGAGCTCTGATGAGAGTAAACTGTCCTACATGTCCTGATAACTCGACCACAACAGTTCCATTGAACCTGGACCATTTGATTGCGAAAGTATCGCAGAATTCTCGCGAGCAAACAATCAGGCCGCAGTGTTTCCCCAAAGAATTCACCCGCCAGTGCGCGTTGTGCCCTCGGTATAATGTACGTACCACTTATTTCCACGCTTAACAACTTTTTTGCGTTTATGCTTCGAGTTTTGATTCTTTTAACGTGTTGACGGTCCGTGGTGTGATTGGCCAGATGTGCCCGCTTCGACAATAGTCACAAGAAAACTGTGTCTCCTGTTTGCATTGCTTGTTTGAACTGATCAGCGTTATATTTATGCATCCGTGCAGACGCCATCGTGAATGGCCATCATGGGGTGGTGCAATACTTGAAGGCATGTGGAGGTACCATAAGTGAATGCAAGTTGGCCTCTCTGATGACAAGCGCTGCCAGCACCGGTGATACAAGGACCATGAAACGTTTAATAAGATGGGCCGGTCACGTGAACGTGTCTGACTTTAACGGACAGACCGCGCTCCACATGGCAGCGATGTGCGGCAGGCTCAATGTCGTTAATTTGTTGCTGAAGGAAGGTGCAGGTCAGTTATAAACGATTTTTCAGCAAGAATAGGGGGTGCACACGAACGTTGTAACTGTAAACTAGAATTTAGAGGAAAGGAATGAAACGAACTCAAATCGTCTCATCGTGGCACTTAAAGGCGGTGGATTTTCTTACTTAACAATAAAATAAGCGTATTTTTGCTTGGAATGTTTACGTTGTGCCATTTGAAGGGATTTTGACGGATGCTCATCTTTGTGCACAGTAAAATAAAAAGCCCACTAAATTCAAACGGTCAAATGTCAAAAATGGCAAACTGTCACACCGTCTGTTTGGGTTCCCTGTGGTAATAGAGAATCGAGGCGGAACAAAGATTGTTGAGAGTTGTGAAGATTGAAACTTCTCGCGCATGACGGACTTTCACGGTGCACAACCGTGAGGAGGCGTGAGCGGATCATGGTCGTAGTGACCAGCACCCGGAATAAAGCATCAGATCAAACAGTTGTCGAGTTGAGCTACATTATGAATAGTTGGAAATCAGTTTCACCGAGTACTGAACACAAACTTCAGTCTTCGAAGAGATCGATTTAGTTGTTACTAATTAAGGGGAAAAAGGACTAAAAGACAAAGGGGTGGTGAAAATTCTGGCTGAAATGAACTTGACGAATTGAGACTTGTTTTTCTCTAAGATGCACAAATCCTACCGTAGCCATACTATTTTATCCCTGTTTTACTTTCAGATGCAACACTCGTCAATCGTTATGGGCAGATTCCGTTGCAGGTAAGGCACCTTGGCCATAGTGGTATGGTTCCTTAAATAAATTTCAATTAAACTCCTCGCCACAAATATCATTTCATTTTCGTTTTTTCATCCGTTTCACACAGATAGCAACAGCTAATGGCCATAAAGCGGTTGAAAAGGAACTTCGGAAACAACTTAAGGTACGAAAACCTCAAGATACTGAGAGTGGTACCACCTTGTCCTGATAGGGCTGGGCGTGGTTGTTAAAGATAAATTGTGTTCGGGTTTGAACGTCACCGGAAAGATAGTGAACACTGTAAAATCAGGGTAGACCAATTTTCGGTTGAGTATCGAATAGACCAACGATTACTGATTGTGCTTTACATCGCTCTGTGATTGGTCCATAAAACTCGCACTTCTCTTTCAACTAATCAGATGCGAAACTAAAAACCAGTCACGACGTGGTCACCCGCGTTTTCCCGCGCTCTAGGCAATTTAGTTATTTTTCGTTTGTGTTCTCATTAGCTCCTAAAGGTGTTTTCCTTTCTCCTGATTGGCTGTTGAGATTTTTACGACACTTTTAAGTTGAAAATCCTATGGGTTTACAATGGTTTTGCTGTACCTCTGTAGGTGATTGGTCTACAAGACTCGTGTCACCCTCTCGACCAATCAGATGCAAAACTAAACCAATCCAGAGATGGTCATGTTAGGGAGGTATGTCAGTCCTGACTATCAAATGATGGAAAGAGGTCGCGCTTCCAAAAGCATTTTATTGCAAGACTTTAGAATCAATCAAACTTAAAATAAGCAACGCAGAGTTAAGCATAGTGTTTTATTTATCTCAATAGTGGCCATGCGTTATCATTATCATTGAGCCTGACAGCTCTCCGACGATTTTTTTAAAATTGGTTTTAATTCCTTTATTCGCAGCTCACTGAAGAAATTATTCTCACCGACCAGGTTACCACAATAACATGCTACAGCCCTGAAGCAAGAAGGCGAGGAAGGAAATCTAAACCTGATCGGCCACAATACAGTTACTCAAAGCGCCCGTCTCGGTCCTCAACAGAAAACTCCCTGGAACTCCTGCAGTATTGCGAGCATAGTGTTAATAGTATTCACACGTCTCGGGAACTAATCAACCCGGCAAACGTACGGACACCGTTAGAAGGAAATGACATCTCGCAGTTACCAATTCTAAATGTAAATACACACGCAATTTCTGGTCTTACTGCACAAGCGCGAGAGATGACAGGGGGACAGCCAGATTATGTTTGATGCTGGAGAGAAATCGATCGGTAAAGCGTTTTCCAAACGGAAAAATCAAGTACCTGTGACTCCTTGAAAGTACCCCACAGGTAGTTAGGCAGCAAAGGGGAATGTACAAGTCAAAGGCCACGAAAAAACTGCTTCTTCATGCAAGAAGAGCTTTTGCTAGAATTGCATTCAAGCAACCAAGATCCTTGCTAGGCAATCCTCTGTTGAAACTCCCAAAGTTGATGCGAAGGGTTCCCGAAACGTCTTATCGAATCAAAAATTAGCTTGAACGTCGAAAAGGTCACCTTCCCATACAACCGATGCTTTCTGACCATCAAAACCTGCTTGCGCGAAATTGTTCACTTTCTGACATGTCGAGATGTCAAGATCCTTGATGACCACAAAGTACAGATAAGTTTGTCTTCTGCCCCTTAGTGGCTGTAGAATCGATCTGTTTAAATGGTACATTCTTCTTCATTCAGTCATCAAACAGACCTCCTGGTTCTTCAGCATCTGAGTCATCAACTTTTTCATCTTTGGTTTTTTTCCTTTGGAATTTACTTTGCCTTTCTAAAATCTTGAAGACAGAAACAAAATATAAACATTAAAATAACATACAATTTACAGAATTTAACTGACAAAAATTCAAGGATGATTTTTAAAACAGAATATTGTCGTACATAATGTTTTAAATTTATTTAAAGGGCAAAATCAGCTACAAATTTTTGAAAAAAATTTAGTAGCATCATTGCCCTATTTTTTAAATTTATAAACTGAAGGAAAATCAGTTTTGTATAGTAAGAGTAATATTTAACTTTCTTTTATAATTTAAAATCTTGATTAATCTTTAACTCCCAAGATCTGATTGTTAATTCTCCCCTCTAGGAGCTTTCTTGTAAATTGGTTACAAGAATTTGGTGTTAGATCAAGGCCACAACTTCTACTTGATAAATTTGAATATTCTCATGACCTTTTTGCCAAATTACGTATGGATATAATACAGAGAAGTTTCATGTTGATCACTTCTTGGAGTTAAAGGGTTAAGGAGATGTAGAAAACAGTTTGAAAGAAATGAATAATCACAAGAACTTGACACTGAGGCATCGCATTGTTTCCTTAAAAAATTTTCATCAATTTGCTAGATAAAATATTTGGTCAATTGGTAAAGATGAATTAAGGGTGTAAATTTCTAAAGAAATTGTAGTTTTGCATTGGCAAAGATTTTACAAGATAATTTGGTTGTATTAACTGAGTTGATAATGAAAATTGGCCACTGTAAAGAGTTTTCAAAGCTGACATTTTGACCATCAGCCCTTTGTTACAAGGTTAGCCCTTCCCCATTTATGCTGTTGAAGGGCTAACACTCAAACTGCTAGCTTTAGCAACTCGCTATGGTGACCACTTTCCATTATCAACTCAGTTGGTAAAACCAAATCATCAGATTAGAGATGGTTTAGTAAGTGGTATTACTTCAAGTAACTGGCTCTGTCTATACGCAATAAACATTAAAAAGAATTTGCAATTGTCAATAGCCAAAAGACAACAAAATGCTGTATCCTATTCTTGATGTTTATTTTCTTTCAAACTGTCTTATTTAATACTCAGAAATGATTCAATGGTGCAGAGAAGTATATATCTTAAATCTCCTAAGGATTATTAAAAGCAGGTAAAGTAATTCCTCCAATAAACTTCCTGAAAGCTCATTAGAGCATGAACAGTTGATTTGGAAAGGATTAGGAATTTGAAAGCAAATTTGCTATATTCAGAGAGGAAGATCACCCAGTGTACCTACATCTATTGCATTTTGCCAACTGCTAAATTCGCCCAAACTAGTGACATGTCAGCTAGTGACTAACCATGTATGTCTTTGGCTGTTATTTTTACAAAGATTTCCTCTGCTTGAGGTACATTTGTCTACACAAGTTTTAGAAGATAAAGCTTTCAATACAGTAATGGAAAGTAATCATTTGTGACAATACTTTGTCATAAGTGTCCTTCTTGATCTTCCATGTGGCATTCTTGAAGTATTCTAAGTTCTCCTCTGTAAAGTCAACTTCTTGTGTCTTTCTTTTCTGGCCTGTAAATAATTATAGTATTTACAATTCAAATCAGAACCCTTAAAGAACTTGATTGAAAACAAAAGTATCTAGGGAAGAATTGGGGTGAAAATAATATATAGTGTTTCATCTGATGTCCAAACACCGAGAAGTGGTTGAGAAAAATCAGAACCAACCAAGGTGTTTGGAAAGAACTTGAATGTTTGAAAACTTCTCAAACCATTAATAATTCTTGAGGCAAAAGTTCACCAGATTTTATGATAATTAAGATCACATATCCAAACCTCCTTCACGGTTGTAATTTCCTTTGTTTTCTCAGCATTAATTATAAATGAGTTTGAGAATGTACCAGACAACATTGGGAATAAATGACTGGAAATATATGGAAATCATATAAGTGAACTGTGGTTTAAAAATGGATTTGAAAGGGATCTTTGTGGTAATGAACACCACTTACGCAGTAGTGAAAATATTGCCTAAAGAAAAATTCAGACTTGAATGGGATTTGAACCCATGACCTCTGCAATACTGGTACAGTGCTCTACCAACTTTGCTTTCACTTCTGCTTAAGTGGTGTTCATTACTGTGAAGACTGCTTTCAAATTCTCTGTTGGGGTTGGTGACATATTGTGAGGTTCTCAATAAGATTTGACCTAAGCCTCTGTCCAAACTGAGGTGGTGTCAAGTTCCTCCCACTCCACTCTCTCAGAGCCATCTTCAGCTGTTGCAACATTCAGGTGTCTCTGACCCTGTGCAACTGATATTTCTACAAGTTTATCACAGGGCAAGTGGTAATATGTGGACTCCAACTTAAAATATTAAAGTATGGTGCTCAGCAAAATCAAATCGGTTTATGGTCACCATCGCATAAAAGCTGAATTTAAGGAAGTTTCCAAGGGTTGTAGTAGTGCTACTATGGGGTAAAATACACATGGCCTCTAAGGAGAGACCTTGGATGTTTTGTTATGAAAATTTGAGAAAAGCATGAACGATACTATCACCAAAACTTGTAAAACAATGTAGTCTAATTAATTTTTAGAGCTAAAAAGGCTAAGAACATAATAAGGAAACTATATAGTGCCTTATGAAACTTCTCTCTCTTGCAAAAGCTTGTGATTTGTCACACAACTTTGTAATACATTCTGCCCTTACATAAACACTGCGTTCCTAAAGGATCTTCGTGAAAGGAAATAACGAGAGAACAATCTTAATACTCCATTTTAAAAACGAGATCCAAAGCTGTATTACTTCAGTACCTGATGATAACTGCAAGCCTCTTACTTCACGTGCGCGTGATTGTTTCTGTTTGTTTCCTCTCGAAGTTCTTTTCTGCTTCTTAGCGAGTTGTTTCTCCTTCTGTTTTAACTTCTGTTTTTGAGATCTTGATACTCCTTCCCCGATCACAAGATCAAGGCCTTTACGAACCAATTTGGAAGACATTTTCGAGGCACATTACATTTATCAGAAGATTTTCTCGATGTCATTCCCAGACTCACCCAGACTTATGAACTTTGACGTCTGATTGGCTGAATACTTTCAAAATCCCGATATTCTTTTCGAGCGCGATAATTCTTCAAAATGGCGGCTGTCGGTTGCTTTACGTGAGAGTAAATTTTTGGAGAAGTGAAGAAATAGCATTTAAAAAATGAATTTCCTTAGAACTCCAGAGGACAGCACTGCTGTTGTGAGAATCATGGGTGAATTCGATCAATTTCTAACGAGTGACCCAAGGAGCCGGCTGACTTATGAAGATCCATCAAGCGATGGACATGAGCAAAGTCAGAGACCATCTTCCAAAAGCTTCGCGAAAACTTTGAATAAATCGAGGAGCCAGGGAAGCCTTTTTTCTAACGAGCGTGAAAAAGATGTGGAGCTCATCAAAAGCCGAAGCAAAATCGCGCACCTAGAGAGTCAGATGAATGTCCTGGAATCAGAAAGAAAACGTGCAAGAATCGAGTTTGAAAAGGATAGTGGAAATGACAGGCTTGAACGGAGGAGAATGGAAGAGAAATACGAAGACCTACAAAAAAACATTCAGTATATCGCAGAGCAAGAAAAAAACGCCAAAGATCAGTTGAAAGACCTGAAAAAAGAGTACGAGACTTACCGCAACAAATCCGAGCAAACGATTCAAAACTTGCAGAGGGAAAAACTAAAACTGTGTGCAGAAAAAGACGAGGTATATACCTTTATCGGATCTTCTTAGCTTTATTTCTACTTTTTTGCGTTTAAGTTGTTTGTTTCACTTCAAAAAAACGCAAAGCATGATTTATTACTGTCGGCTGAGTATTGAGACTTATCAAGTGTAATGCAACGTGTTAATTATTTTTCAGTTGCGGGAGGATTCTAGTAAAAAAGAAATGGATTTAAAGAATTCACTTTTCAGGTAATTGTTCAGTGAGTGAATTAGAAAGATTCCCACATGAGACCACACCACTCTAAAACAAAGCTTTACTCCCCAAGGTAATTTATTATTTTTGCCATCATAAGTTTTAAGAGTTGATTGTCAACAGGCCAGTTTTTCTCTTCTTCTGTAACAAAGCAAAAAGCTCCACCTTCTCAACTCTAATTTCAAGCAAAAACTTTTGTCGTATTACATATGCAGTTTAATTTTGGGGATTACCTCTTGTAGAATATTTCCCAGTTTAAGCTGTATCATTTGACACATTCAGATCAATAGGTTGCATCAGGATGAATATTTAATGGATTTAATCTCAAGATGTACCCCCTTGCCCCTCACCTCTATGAAAGTAAAGAAATGAAATATTTGGTCATAGAGACAGTTTCTTATTTGGTTTGTTTCAGACAGGGAACTGAGCTAGCTGTGATGCAAAATAGACTGGGAGATACTGAGAGTCAGCTTGAAAATGTCAAAAGGTAATTAAAAGTGATCTCCGTTTATGCTTCTTATTACACAGAGTTTCTTTAGTTGGTGATCATTTCTTTTATTCTTTTGTCCTTAATATGTGATTAAGGGGTGATATTTTAAGGAGAAATTAGATGCCAGTTACTCTCAGGGTTCAAAGGGTTATGAAAATGTAAGAATGTATGTGCGTAACATAAGGGTAGAATATGTTTGATTTTGTGGACAATTCTGAACAAACAAATTTGTGTATCCATGATGTATTTTCATTTACCTTATATTTATAGTACTGGATATGTATAGATTCTCATACATTAATTTTAATTTTACAGAAGACTTAGCGAAGTGATGACTCAGCTGCCAGAGCTTGAGCAGCTAAGAGAACATTCAAGAACAGCTGAGCATAGGGTCAAGGTAAATTGAAGACATACTTTAGAATTCATGTTATTACAGCGGTGTTAAAACGTTTTGAAGTAGGTGTCAGACTCTGCAAAACTAGGTGACTGTGACGAGTTCATTAACCCTTTAAATCTCAAGGTCTCATTAGTAATTCTCCCTGCTATCTCCCATACAGTTCTTGTGATGTTAGTTTGGAGAATTTGGTATTGGAACATCCTATAATCCCCTTACTGAAATTTTTCTTTATTCTCATCACTTGCCTGCTTGATATTGTATGAATATTGTAATGAGAAATTCTGTCTTGGTCTCTCATGGGAGTTAAAGGGTTAAGGGCCAAAAGGTAATTATTTTGACCAGAGTAACCAGCCACATGTTATCAAGTAGCTGCTCAAACTCTGGTGGTCACCAGCTTGTTTTGAAATTTGTGTATTATGATGACATATTAATGCAAATATAAGAAGAGGCCCTCCTAATAAAAAAGTGTCACTTTACAGGGTTGGTTTGAGGTTATAACTTTCTAGGCCATTTTATATAAAAAAGGGCTATAAATTTTTTGAAGCATTGCAAAAGGTTGGAATTTAAAATACTTGAATCTGATTGGCTAATCATGTACTCCTAACAGGTGTAGCCTTTTACAATCTGGACCATGGACTGGAGTATTTTTCTGTGCCATTCATGGCAAAGCAAAAAAACAAACCAGCAGGATAAAATTAATAAGTTATTTAGCAGTGTAGGTCATTTTGCTTTTGAAAAATACTGTGGCATTGGTCTTGAGTATGGCCCTTGGCCTTTTGATGGCAAGCCATACTCAAGACCTTGGACACAGTTTTTTCCCATATGGACCTCCTGTGATATGTTTAATTGTCAAACACTTACTTTGTAAGGAATTGGAGCAGAAGTTATCCCGCCAAGATGAAGCTACAGGAGTTGCAATGGTGATGCAGACACAGCTTACAAAGTACAGAAAATTGGAAAAAGAAAATGCCAAGTTAAAAGATGAAAATCATTATTACAGGTAGATCCTTTTAACCATGCGTTTCTTGGACATAATCACAGTGACTGTGCTTCAATATTAACTTAAAAAAGCTCAAGATTAGTGTCAAACTTAAATAAAAAGTTACATGCTTCCATTTAGGCACATTAGTCCTCATGAAATGCCCTTTGCCATTTATCAATATATGTTTAAATTCTCGGAAATGTACTAATGCACATGCATGCAAATTATGGAACAGGACACTAGAAGAAAATGATAAATTGTCACTTTGTACATTTTGAGTGTTAGTTAGGACCTTAGAATTGAAAAAAACAAAACAAAGAATTACAGAAGTTTGCATTTCCTTCAAGCTGGTTTGAATGGGGGCCTTCAATACTTTGTTTCACAAGTTCTGCTATTTCTTCATAAAGAAATGAGCACCCTGTTCCATATAAGTGCTCTCCTTGGAGGTACCATAAATAAATAAGTGTCCCAGGCACTAAATTAATTCATTACTGTACTCTCTTAGTATTTCATTATGATGCACCATTTTTAATGATTGGCCCTTTTAACCACATTACACAACAAAGTGCATGTCCTTTTAAATACTTTTAACCTGTCTACATGGGTGTTTTGCCTATTTGCTCTGACAAAGGGCAAACACTTAAAAAAATAGGCCCAACAAACTCTTGATGGTGGCCAAATTTACATTCTCAACTCAGTGGATAAAACCAAACAATATGTTTTTTATGTTTACTTGCATTTGACAGAGAAACAAATGAAAGTAATCTTTTGTTAAAAGAGAAAGCAGACAATTTACAAGGGAAACTGCAGAGAGCAGAGCAAAGAGTTACAGAGTTAATGAGAGTGGAGATTGAAAATGAGGTCTGTAAGTGTGTGTTTTCATAAGTAAAAACATTTGGCTTCTGATAATCCTTCTTTAAATTTCTAGTAACCTTCTGTAGTGTTCCTCAAACAGAAAAGAACATGGCATTCAACACTGACTCTGATTCTTATTCACTATCAATTGAGCACTGATGAATTGCATGAAGGTTCAAAACAGGCAAACAATCTAAAAAAGAAACTACAATTTGATTACTATTTCTGTTTGTGGTTTTGTTTTCTAATGGCCTATACTGGCTTTCTCTCTTTTTAGTCAGCGCACTCTCTCACTCCATGCACAGTTTTCACAGTTTTCCTTGGTTTACAGTAAAATTTAACCCTTTACACCCTAATATCACAATCCATATTCTTCATGCTCTTCTTGATACATTCCTTTGCTACTGGTAAGGAGAAGTTGTTTAACAATCAAACCCTCTTAGGTTAGTGATTATTTCCTTTACTCTCAGGACTCTTATGAATGATTCAGCAGTGTTGCTGTAAGGAGAAACCAGATGCTGCTCAATCTTTATACACGATTATTTATAAATGGACAGGTTGTGGTTCAAGCAAACCATATTCTAGAATTGTACACTGACATTTTATGTCATGAACACTGTTTGAGAGTGTTTTAAGAACTTATACTTTGTTTGTGTTTTTGTTGCTGTGCTTTGTATTTGTTGCTGAGATTGATAAATTATAATTAACTTTCTAGGAGCTTAAAAAGAAAATTCAGAAGTGGGAGACTGAAGATCTGTCAGGGACAAAAAGGCTAAGGTCTGTGAACCATAAATGATTCTTTCTAAGCGATTAATGCTTCAATTTGCAGTTGATATTGTAAGCTGAGTCACACAGACTTTCCTGGTATGAACAATCAGTTCACTAAATTCAAATTAATTTACCATGATGTTAAAAGAGTGAAAAATGATAAGCAACTGAAACTCCAATATATGCTAGACATTATATCGCTGTAACCCACGGAATTTGTTTCAAAATGTGGATAATTGCATGTTAATTTATTGAATTTATATTTGTTATCTTCTCTGCCCTGATTGCCTCTTAAATGAGGCAACAATAGCCAGGTAAAAGTCAAGTGATGTTGATTCTGCCATTTTAGAATAGCATGTACATTTTAATACCTATTAAAGATCCATTTCCCAACAGATCTCCAGCCCAACTTGCACAAGATGTTGCAAATCTTCAAAAGAGCCAAGTGGTGTTATTAGAAACACAAAGTGAGCTGAAATCTAGGTAATCTGGAACCTGCTATTTTGATTTGACACTAAATTCTCTTAACTCGTTGAGAATATATATGGCCCTTAGGCTAAGGAGGAATAATTACTATAATTCAAGTGATGGGATTTTTAAGAGTTGCCTCTATCTGAGCAGAACTTTACATCAGCCTGGCTGTACAGTTAATCCCTGTTGTCAGCTGTTCATGCAGGTTGATTGTTCCTTGTTGTTGTTTTGTTTTTGTTGTTGTTTCTTTTTTTTAGTGCACAGATTCATGAGACAGCTTATCAGAGAGCAGTGCAGGAGTTGGCAGCTGTTAAAAAGGAGTCAGCTGAATTTAAGGTAATCATCCAATTACAAGATGTCGAAGGCACCAGTGAAGGGTGATTTAATCACAAAACAGGCTTGTTGGGGTAAAGTGCAGTAAAAATGATCCATAATTCATGCTTTGAATTGACTTTGTTGTGTGTTAATTTTTTTCAATTACTAGGAGAATGGTGAGCGACAAAAAGAACTAAATCAAAGACTTCAAAGACGCTTGTTTCTTGTGACAGCTGTAAGTCTTGGATTTGAAAAAAAGATCGTTGACATGCAGTCAAAAATTTAAAATTTGAAAGAAGACATTGTCTCTGAAATTTGTTCACTTCCACCTTTTTTTGTTATTACCCCTCCCCCCAGGAGCGTGACGGCTGCCGCAGAATCCTTGACACTTATGACAGTAGCTACTCTTCAAATTACGATCCTCAAATACGCTCCAGGTTACAAGAGGTGGGTTGAGGAGATACGTTTATGTTACAGCTAAAATTCTCATTAATTAGGATATTTTCTAACATGTGACCATCCGGCGTGTAAACGTCGTGAAACTTTATGGACATTTTAACAACTCAGTTTATTCTCAAGCAACCACTTAAGCTCTGGTCATTATCTATTGCCCTGGGGGGGTCGGAGAGTTTTTTTTGTAACGATAACATTGACCTGATCCCCCCCTAAAGCTCTGTAATATCCTAATGACTCCCCCCTCCCCTCTCAGTGTCAGTCGGTCAATTTTTTTATATCCTCCCCTTTAAGCTCTGTTAGAGACGACTGATCCCCCTTCTTTCCTCCTTTAAACCCTAGGACCCTCCTCAATAATCTCCTCCCGCCCTTCCCCCCCACACGATAAATAGTGAATGGTCCATCACTGTACGAATTTTTTTTTTTGGAATTCAACCGTGTTTTGTTTTCGTCCTTTAACAGGCGGAAGATCGTCTCAAGACATGCCACGAACACATCGAAACATTGGAGGTGAGTTACGTTCAAATTTCTTTTTAAGGTCTGTTGGTTCAGAGTAGTGTTTGGTAAAGCAAGCCCCTGTATATTGCATTTTCATTCCGTTAACTTCTGTGATAAATCTCCACATGAGATAACTATCAGATATGCCATCAAGAGTGTTTTTATTCTTCAAAAGTTATAGTTTTATTCTAGAAAATCATAAACGTTTTTGAGTCAAGTAATCTGATTCGGCTGTACTAAACTTCAACACAAAATAATTTAATTCGGAAAGAAAACCTTTCTCTATTACCGTCACCTAACTTTGAGTTCATCAATTTCGGCTTGGTTCGAGGTGCATTTTGAAGTATTCTCTGATTGTGTTTTTATTTTTTGTCGCGGAAGCCCAAGATGGCGCTCTTATTTTGCTACAAAATCATGTCCTCATTCTTGATGTGTGAGTAATGGGGGCCGAAGGGGCCTCTTCAGAGACTGAAACTGGATGAAGTTAATAAGTAAGCATCGGATGTATCTGTTTTGTCGTTTCACAGCTTGAAGTGAACCAGAAATCCGGCGAAACAAGCAGAGAAAGACTCAGGGCTAATCAGGTATGCAATTGTTATAATTACATTGAACGATTTTAATATCAATAACCGGCACAACAAGCGTCATTTCCCCTTTCTCCCCTTTTTTTTGCGTTTTTCAGGCGAGTGGGGGTAAACGAGAAAGGTGAGTGTCGCACTTTTCCTCTCGCGCGTGACTCACCCTTCCCACTAGTGACTCACCCTTCCCACTAGCCTCGTGTTCACCTCTATTTGCCTGAAATAAGCAAAGAGAAGACTACTGTTCCGTAAGCAAGACAAACTGAGGAGAGGCGTTTGCTGCTCTCGAAGGGTTTTTAACAGATATTTGCCCAGTATCTCTATCGAGCAGATGTTAAAACATATACTAAATGTATGAAAGTATTTTAGGGTACGATGATTAATAATTTTTTTGATGCTATTTATACAGCTTGAGGTTGAAAACTGCGAATTGCGAGACAAGGTTTCCAACCAAACCGCAGCTAAACCTGCCGACAGCGCCTTGAGGTAACTGTTTTTTTCCAGTTCATGGATTGTTTTCAGAGAAGTTTCTCAATTTTGTCTAACAGCTGACCCTGTTCAGTTTTTGATTGGCTTAGTAGACATATGCCGTCCATTTGATCCATGTCAAGCTGTCATTTCTCAGCCAATTAGGTTTAACAGGCCACTGTGAATGGACACTCTTCGGCTAGATTGTTTTGAAATCTGATTGGTTTATGAGGGCATGACGTATGCTGCTCAGTTCGATCACCCTCATTTTGATTGGATGATTAAAATCTGAAATTATTGTTTAGTTGGCCGGACTAAGATTTCTGAAAAAACTAGGACTGGCTGGAAAAAACTTCTTTATTTTTAACCTTTTGATTAAGGACGTCGAAAATGCGTGACACCGGCCTTGAGGCACTGATGAACGGAATCGCGACAGTTGAGTTCACTGTAACAGGTCACAGAATAGATCTTTTTTAGGATCATGCGTTTAATTAAGTTCTCAAATTAAAACCTCATAACCTGTAATTTAAAGAGTTTCTATTTAAACAATGTATTTCTCACAGGATAGAGTTAGAAAAACTACAGACGGAGAATGCCAAGCTACAAGAACAGCTGGAAATTTACGAAATCAACAAAGACCAAATGCACATGCGGGTATGGTTATTAATGGAGATCATTTATTAGACAGTCGAAACTCATTACAGTTAGCTCTTCGTTTTGAAAATTTTTGCATTGATCCGTGTTGGGATCAACACTAGTATATGAGAAACTGCGCACCTACCCCTCCCTTAACCCAACATTAGTCAACTGATAATAATTTAGGGGGTTAGAGGAGAGGTAGGTGCGTAGTTTTTCAGCTACTGTCATTGATTCCTTGTGTTGTGGGACCAAAACAGCGGCGATCGGGTCTTTTTATAACTGCAGCGAACAATACATACGACTGAGATAAGTTTTTTCGGACAGAAAGGATCAGAAGATGTGGTTTAACTCGGTGATAACTTCTTCAGTAGTTTCCGAATTTCAGTATTGTGAGGTAACTAATGGGATTCTCAAGAAATGGGTCCCTGCTCCTCTGACCTGCATCTTTGTACCTCCAGGGTTATTACGATCCAACTAAAACCAAGATTGTCCATCTGTCGATGAATCCATCCAGTGTCGCTAAACAACAGCGTGGGGAGGAGCTGGAAAATCTGCGGAAGGAGAACGAATATCTGAAGAGGAGACTAACGGTCGTGGAGGAGGGAGGCGGCAGCCCTAATGACACTAGTCTCCTCGGCAACCTCGGTCCTGAGACTGCACCAAGTGTGTTCAAACAAGTGGAAGGTTAGCCTTTAAGTTCCTGGTATGCGGGTAGACTCTCCAGGGCACTGCGGCTCAAGCGCCGAAGCAGCGAGAAACGAGCCAAATAAGAAACCTGCGCATTTAAGTCTCCCGGTTCCGCCGCTCGTGCTACAGCGCCTGTGAGAGCCCCCATGCATTATCTCATTCATTACTCATAGGATGCTAGTTAATACCTAATCATTGCTCCTTATTTAACACGGTTATGAGGGCAGCTGCCGGTCCCATCAAAATCTTATTATCTTCCTTCTGAGCAAGATTGAGATTTTGTCATTTTCTCAACAGATTTTAAAGCACAGTTGTCCTCGGCAGAGATGAAAAATCAGCGCTTAAAAGAGGTAAAACAAAGAAGAGGTTTGTTGCAACAGTTTAAATGAATCGCATGTAAGCGTACTCGTGTACCATGCGTGCCACAGAAGTCAGAGCACACTCGCTCTCTAGAACAAACTTGCAAGAAAAAGTGTAACGCAATCTTTTCCAGCGTGTTAACATGTCACGTAACGTTTTACTGTCAGGTTTTCAAGAAGAAGATTCAAGAATTTCGTGAGGCTTGCTATGCCTTAACAGGCTACAAGATTGATGTCATTCGAGACAATCAGTATCGGCTTCAGTCCATGTATGCTGAGAGATCTACGGACGATCTGTTATTTGAAGTAAGTTCTACAGCAACAGAATATCAACAATATTCTCTTGTTCTACAGTTGATTAAGCTTACTGTACATCTAAACGTTGGTAACGAACTGAAGATTTTTTGAGACATGAGCGGCAACGGTGTTATATCATATCCAATTTTTTTTGCTTGGTAAATCCGTGTTAATCTTTTAAGCTATTTTTAAAGAAAAAGTATTTTAACGAAAATTTGACTTTACCTGATAACTGCCTCGTGTTTGACCTTGTCGCGTTTTTTCTTTTTTTTTCCCAGAGCAATGTTAAAGGTGAAATGATGTTGCTAGCCACGGATTTTTCCTCTCAGCTAACGGATCAAATATCGACTTATTTGAACAGATTTAACTCCATCCCGGCCTTCCTGAGTAACATCACACTAGAACTGTTTAATAGACAAACTCAAACTATAGTTATTAACTGATATTTCGTGCAGTTGTGCAGAGATTGATGTGCGTCACTCGTGCTGAGTAACGACTTGCAAATCTTGAAAAATTTTGTTTAGTTTGCCGTCTACAGTCCATGTCAATTTTGTCCATCCTGCACTATGTTTGATGTCCTCGCTGGAGTTCTCTGTTTTCTTCCCCCTAAGGTACTGATAAAAGACGTCAATTAACCTTCGTAGAGGGCAGGGAGCCAATCAAGAAATCGTAGAGCCAGTTAATATTCCTAACTCTTTCTTCCCTTTTGAACGACGCCCTCTGTATCACTCCCGTTTCTCAACTGTGAAATTCAGTCGTGGATAGTGTAAGATGGTGAGATCCTTATGACGAACCTGGAAGCTATCATAGCTAGAGTTACTCATCTCAGAGGGGCTTTCAATTAATTTGGTAACCCTCTATTGGACTTAATCCAAATAAATCATAGCCAGAATGAGCCAATCAGAAGTCGAGGTTAAAACGTGCACCAGTGATAAGCGCGGGAAGCGTGCGTCAACGCTTCTTTTTGGGCTAAAATTTAATTTGCGCTTACCAGTCAGGTTAAAGCTCCGGGAATACAATTTCAAAACGTTACAGTCTCCTGACTGCCAATCGGAGTAATCTTGCTTTACGGTTGCATATCGTATATCCTTTTACTATGGCTTCTTCTTTTATTATTTGTAAATATTTTGTGTATGACATGTAAATAAAAGTTAACTGTCAATCTCATCAGAAGGCTAAGTCATCACTTACAGTTTTTAAGAGATGCGTAGAAGTAAGAGCAACAAAGATTCATCCCTATACTTCCAAACATCCTTATGCTCAGTCGCCATACTGTTATTATACATTTCCTAAGGTGCTTACAAGGCGAATTTGTTTTACAATCAGAGAGATGATTTATTTCATGAAAGAAGCCTACTTAGGTGTCAGTTACTTACTTCTTCTAAGCAGCGGACGACGACAATAGGATATTTGGGGCTCGACTACGCACGCGTTTTAGCCTGAATGGAAAAAGGGACTATTCGGGTGGTTGCAGAAGCAAAAATGGTTGCAGAGCCAGAGACATACAAATTAGAGTTTGTCTTGTGTACATGACATCTTTTTGCCGAGCGTTTGCTTCAAACGTACTTCCTCTAAACTTAGTTCGAATTGTGTTTTCGTAATGTACCCTGCCTAATCGCTCCCTCCCCCTGGTTTTTTTTCCCGCCACATGGAACCGAGGCTTGTCCAGCGGCCTTCAGTCCGTCTAAACAGCAAAGATACTTTTTCCTCGATTGCTTTGATTGCTCTGCGGAGGTCGTAAGCGGATAATTGGCAATAAAGTACCAGTTATGTATTTCTTTTTATCTCAGAGTATTCTTCCTGTCGTATTTGCCGTACTAGTGGTATTGATTACTTGGTACCTATGGCGAAGAATGGTTAAGGGGCCAGGGTCGAATTCTGGGGAAGAAACACACACAGTGACGGCAAAACAGAAGGTGAGTATTTTAGTTGTGTTCACTGTCTAGGCTATCGTCCTCTTTATTTTCTTATTAATGAAGATTTTATGTGTACTTGCTCTTTCCCTCTGGCTTATTTATACGAATTCTGAATGAAAAACAAATCGTTTCGAAAAAATCCCCTTGGCTGCGAACAACCCTTAAACAAGAGAGCGATGTCTGTTGTTTCGCTTTTTAACGATCAAGTTTAATGAAGAGGACTTTCTAATTATTTCCATATTTATTTATCGTGTTCTAAAAGTTAACCAGTTTAAAACCATCTGTTTAAAATTTTTTCCTGGCGAAAGTCGAATTTCTACGTAGTATATGTCTCCTATTCGTCAAAAAAATTTGAGACATGAATGAATGTGAAATTAAAATGATGATCCAGCGCATGTGATTTAAGCAGCTCGATTCAAGTTCAATTCCTGTAACTTTTTTATTTCCAGCCGTAAATTCTTCAAAAGGATTGTATTTCCTAACTCGTTAACCATAAAGCAGATGTTGTATATTTTTACTGTCATAAATAGAGTATTGTGTGAGGAAATGTCAATCATTTCATCATTGTTATTGTAGCCGTCAAGAGTTTTTCATGTCATTAAAATATGTAGATCATTTTCCTAAGTGTAACATTGGACTAGCTATTATTGAAACCTTGCTGTCAAACAGACGAACTCTTGCACTGTTCATTAAAAAGCAGTAGGTATGTGCATCATTTGCCCTGCTTTGATTCTAAGAATACTGTTGAACCTTGATTATTCAGATTCATGGGGACTGGTTGAACCAGTCCTGATAATAGAGAGTCTAGATAACCAATACTATGAATATTGAAACATAAAATGAACCTGAATAATGTGAAATAAAATATTTATTATTTAATCTGTATCATGCAAGAATTAAGGCAAATTCTCAAATCTTTCCATGAATTGTCAACATTTGCTAAAAGTTTTAATGAAAGGGAATCAAGCTGACCAACACACTTAACAGTGACCTAACTTATGCTTTGGCTAATGAAAAAAAGAAGTAGCAGATTTCGAATGTGACTAATCAATATTTAATTTAAAAATGGGACCAGAGAAACAAGTCCAGATAATCGAAAAATTTGGATAATCCAAGGTCTGCATAACTGAAGTTTGACCGTAATACAGTTCCATTGGAAAGCATGCCTTTTGTCCACCATTGCAAAATACAGAAATATAGTATGGCTTTTTACCACCACTACTTTCAAAGTTATGATTTTAGAATTTCAAACTGCATAATGAATATGCTGTTAAAAGCTCTGTGAATTTTTAATCGTAAGAGTTTTGTTTTGTATAAGTTTCTTAAGAGGGGGCAACTTATGAAAAAGGTGATTTAAATGTGTTTGTCCCTCAGGTTTTAAATATGTCCCTTAAATTAGCATTAGACTTTAAGACTCCCTTGGGAAACTAATTAAAACTGTTGTATAAGGAGGTTAGTTTCCAAAAAAACTGTAGTGCTGCAGTGGTAGGGGTTGTCACAAGATAATTTGGCTTTATCGACTGAGTTGCTAATCTGAAGCTAACACTTTGACTGTTAGCCCTTCCCCATTCACTCTGTTGAAGAGCTAACGTTCAGAAAGTCAACTTTAGAAACTTGTTATGGTGGTTAATTTACATTATCAACTCAGTTAATAAAACCAAAATATCTGAGTAAAGCTTTGTTGTTTCCTGATGGAAATATAGGATGATGATAACAATGAGGTGACAGTTGAGGAGGCTACAAAGTTTCTGGAAGGAGCAGGAATTATAAAGGCAAAAGATATTCATTACCTCAGTGAGGATGAAAAAGAGAAGATTTGTAGAGAGTCTAGTGAACCCATCTCAGAGGAGCCAGAAAAGAGAAAGGAGAAAGAAATAACAATGGCAGATGCTTCCAACATTCAGACTTACTACAAGTCAAGTCGATTGGGTATCAAAGATATTGAAAACCAAATGACTGAAGAGGAATTGGATCAAGAAAAAGAGTGAGTGCCAAAATAGATTTTAAGTACTGTAAATGGATGTATGTCTATTGGATACAAGACTATTGTTTAAGCTATTTAGCATAGCTAAATTAGTGAAGTTCAGATCTAGCTATTGTTGTTGTTGATATGCTGTCTACTAAGTTGTGTGTTGCAGATTACAAACGACTACTACACTTTAGTCAGCTTTCTTGTCTTTCCAGTGTGTTCTAATTTGTTCCTTGTGATATTTTCATTCGCTCAGATCAGCTTAAGTGTTTGCTTCCATCTTAGTCTTACAACACCCAATTAAAAAGCACTTTAATGAGTTAACATATTTCTCAGGGTCAAATGAGAACCTACATGTCCAATTTCAGTCCCAATCAAAACTAGAACAAAATTCTTGAATGGGAATTGTTATCATCAGCCTGATTTGAGCACTAATAGGACAGTGTGCCTGTCATGCTTGTAATTGGACAGTGTGATATGATAGTTGACAAGTCATGTCTATGTAAGTGGACAGTGCACATGTCATGTGTATGCACTGTCTTTGCACATTTCATTGAGTTATCTGTCATTCGTTTATGAAAACGCATCACTGACATCTAGTTTCTCTCTTGAATATTGCTATAGTTTTGATTTGTAGGTAACAGGACTTTGTGTCATCCAATTCTTTCTGTAACGATTCTTGTGATTAACAAAGCAGGCGACCACAAAGAAGGAGTCCAATTTGTTAATCAGGATTTTTTTCATCACTGGTATGATTACAAAACAAATTGGACTCCACTCAGTCCTATTACTATTATTAAGTCACTGTTGGTAGTTTAGGTTATGTAGTTGCTCGCTCCAATTCTGTTTCAATGGAGGTAGATTTTTTTTTATAAAGATAGTTATTCCTTCTCTTTGTAATCTTCAAAGGATGCAGAGGAAACAGCTGGAAGAGATTTTCAAGCTGCTAGAAAATGATAAGGACAAGTATGGTGTAACAACAATGGATGATCTACAAGCACAGATGAAGTTATACACGAGATAGTACTCTAATAATTAACTTGTTATTTTGTGTAAAGAGATCAGGATAACTCAAGCAGTTGTTCTTATTTTGAAGTCATCAGTATGTAAAAATAATTTATTTGCAGGGTTGACTTAATTACATAAACTAAAGAGTATGTTTTTTGTTTTTATTTATATATTTGTTATTGTTTTACTTTTATTATTGGAACTAAAGGCTGTTTAAAACAGGTCATTTTAAGGTTCTACACTATGAAGGTAGAACTTAAATGCAATTTAAACTTTCTGATATTTAAGGAATCCCTTTGTTTTAGATATTTATTTTCAATGCTTTAACAAATCATTGAACTCTCTTCTGAATTTTTGCATCTTATTAAGTTATTTCCTCCAGAGGCAATCTTTGACTTCTACTTAACAATTGGTTCATATGTCAGCAAGTGTTCATCAAGATATGAAGCACGCGGGAAGTTTGGAGAGCATGAAAGATGCGTAAGAGTTGCTTGAGGCGTAGCCGAGAGCAACTCTAGCTTCTTGAGTGCTCTCCAAACTTCCCGCATGCTTCATATCTCGATAAACACACAGCTGATATATGAACCAATTGTTTCATAACATTTTCAACCTGATGGAAAATTTTTTTTCTTGAGGGATTTGTTTGCTGATGTCATGAGCATGCACAATAGGAATATGAAGCACGCTTGCACAATTGAATTTGATTACACAAATTTACTGGCTTTGTTATAAAAGAAATTTTGGCATAAAATTTCAGGTATCAAACTTGTATCACACACTATTTTTTATTTCATTATACTTTGTTTATTTAACATATTGTAAGGAGTAATTTTTCTAAAAACTGCCACTCATGTCATGACTGTTTTCATGAAATGAGTTATATTCCTGAAATTTTAGATACCTCCATCATCATTAGGTAGTTTGATCCCAGGTTCAACCCTTTATTAACATTCAAATGGTAGTTGAGTTTCAGTAATACCACTGTTTTGGAGCATTCATGAGATCACCTGTTAATAATTAACAATATGATGTTTTTTCCACAAGGTTGATATGATTATTTCTAAAACCTTACTGTTGGAAACACTTAATCTTTGTTCAATGTGGCACTTAAAGCCATACCCACCAACAGGCATTTGTTATGGTAGATACCCCATATATATGATACTCTACCCAACTAAATAAGGTACCACAGGTACCCCAAAAGATTAATGTCTTCTGTTTGAAGTAACTCTAACTGGTATTTGATTTAAAGGGGTGCTTTATTAGCCAAAGGTCAAAGTGAAGTGGAAGGCATTTGCTGCCAGATATATTGTTTTAACTTGACTTTACATTTCTATCTTGTCAAAGTTTTATAACACAAAAAGTATCTATTACATGTTAGTAATATTTGAAGTAATTTTCCGATGGTACACTTGCTTTGCGAGCTTTGTTCAGAAATATGTTATACAAAAGAGACATTCTTGTGATAAGATTTGTCAATTTCCATTGAAAAATTTGGAAATACATATAAAGAAGTAGAGCTGGGTCTTACTGATAATTTTATACAATTTTTAAAGAAAGAATGAGCTGTGATCTGAAGTTGTACATGATTCTTCATGTTGCAAATAGAGAAAAGTTAAACTGGTGTGTAGAAACATTTGTCAGTAAGTGTTTATCGCTTTGTGAAAGTGGAAATATCTCCATAAGCAGCTGATTGACTTGATTAAGCCCCATAACCTGGTTAGTAAAGGAATTCGCGCAGAATAGCTGGTCTGATTTGAAAAACTGTGTATAGTGGAAGCTCATGCATAGCAAATTATGTTTAAAAATCCTACAGGCTGAAATTTGTAAACTTAAGCTCACAAAAACAAAATGAAAGAGGTCCCAATCTACCCAATATTACAGAATACTGGTGAACAACATTTAGTTGTTATGTGAAAAAACAAAATCAATAGGCAGGAAAAAAAAAAGTACTATCAGTCCTAAATTAAGGTTAAGGGCCAATAATTCACTGGTTTTCACATATCGTAGAATTATTACCTTAATTGACTAACTATCAGTTTTTTTAACTTAAAGTTTAGAAGCAAAGGTATCTCAGAAACTTATCAGCCTGAGTTGTTGATATCCATACATAACACATAGAGTGAATTCCATCCTATCACTGATAGAACAGGATTTATTACACGAGTTTTTCAACCCTGTGAACAGAATCCCCTATTTTTCGTCCATGAAAAATTTTGGAGAGAGTGAGGGTTCCTACCTTCTCTTTGGAAGATCAGAAGCAACTTTGTTGACAGCATAAGCTTTTTACTGTAGTGAGGTGTGTTTTTTCAGGTTTATATATATCAAGTATCAGCATTCAATATTGATTTAATGGAAACTGTTTTCTATTTTACTCAGGCAACAGTATGCTTTAAGATTAGGATTTAACAGTTTTATTTGCTTTATCAAGTTGTTACATGTTACGCCTAATGTAAGACTGGCGTTAACGATATTAGTTTTTGAAAATAATCGAATCTTTATCCGAAACTAATTTGTGCTTCAGTTTTGGTTTGAGTTTTTCAGTTGATTAGAACAATGAAAGAGAGTTCCATTAGTTATTACTCAATGTTGATGAGGCCCAAAATATATCATGACGAATTCGTGTCCATACTTCTATCCTAAACTCAGAGAGTAAAACTTGTTGCTTTAGCGCTCCAGTTTGGCCTGGGTACAGATGTCTCCCAGTTCCTTTGCATAGGAAACGTTTGCATGCAGGCCATGTCCCAGTGTGGAAGTCTGCGGCTGGTTTCGCCCTCTTTAGACGTACTCGAATCTCTAAAATTTCCAGTGATTGAGTATTTCATCGTAACTGAATAACGTAGCTTTTGAGGACCAGTGTTCAAGCGTAATAAGCTAGCTGAAACTGGACTCTCAAATGAATATATGAGAAGATCACTGCGGCATTAAAAAAAGTAATAATAAAAAGAAAACAAGAAAACGAAAGAACTGATTTGGCACGATTGTCGTGTTGTTTACTTTCGTACGATTACGTAGTACAACCTAGTACACACCCCTTCAAATTCACGTGAACAGTGTCATCCAACTTAAAATTTAATTTTCCAGTAGAGTATGCCACTTACGTTTCAAGATTGTACTGTACATTTTATTAAGAATTTTTGAAATTTTCGTTCACATACCAATTACAAGCAACAAAATTAATATTTCCTTACAGTTACTCTTCGTAGTTACGAACGCTAAGTCCTAGTGACGTCAGTCTACGCATGCTCTATATTTGTTTTCTGCCGTACCTGACCGATGACATGTTAGAGATACGAAGCGGAAAGAGTTTGAAGAAGTTTCCGATTTTTTACGCAAGAATATGACAATTGTTTGGCGTTGTCAGCGATAGCAGGTTTTTTATTTCAGTCAAGAAATTGTGCTCTCTTCTTTCATCCGTGTGGAGCTGACGTAGAGATGTTCCACAATCGTTCAGCGAGTCTTGGAGAACTTCATGGAGGTCACGGCGTACGTGAAGCAAGCGAGGGGGAGGAGGCGAATTTGGAGAGGTCCAAGAGTTCTAGACATCTTACGAAGAAGAAGAGTTTTAGGTTTGGGTCCAGAGATTCTGTCGGAGGAAGGAAGTTAGTCAGAAAGCCATCGATGAAGTCTGTTTCGAACATGGTTCACAAACTGATGATCCGAATGTCTGCTGTACAATTTCCTTCGAACTCTGCATACTCGACCTCTTCGATCGGTAAGATAGACGAGAGTGCATCGTACAAGAAGAAGAATTTTGACGTCGATGAAGAAGCTGCGTCGAAAATTCGGAGAAGTAAATCAATGGAGGTCCTCAGTATGTCTGGACTGAAGAATCATGGTAACACTTGTTTTATGAACTCAATCATTCAGTGTCTCGCTCACACCGATTTATTAGCTGAATATTTTGTTATGGACCAGTATAAGGAAGATTTGAAGCTCCGCAAAGGACAAACTAAGAAATTCGGAACTCGCGGTGAAGTAACGGAGAAACTGGCACTTTTACTCAAGAGTTTGTGGTCGAGTCAGTATAATTCGCAGATCAGCAGCGATTTCAAGTCGATCGTTGGAAAATATGGCGTGCAGTATCGAGGATACGCACAACATGATGCTCAGGAGTTTTTGCTTTGGCTTTTGGATAAGGTTCACGAGGATTTGAATCGGGCAACGAAGCGAAAATATAAAGCCAACAAGGTGAGGATAAGTCAAAAATACTCTCTAAATTAGTATTGGTTAGTCCATTTTTACGATACGACACTTCGGTGTCGATCAAATTACTCGTAAGTCTCATGCAATTATGTACGTGGATTTTGATTTTGTCAAACAGGTTCACTATGGCAAGAAAAACATCGCATGTTTTTCTTTCAAATGGTTCTTTGTTTTCACAATTTGCGTAAAATTCATTGATTGGGGATCTATGCAAGATAAAATCTTCCATGTTTTGGCTTTTAACCCATATTTAAAAAAACTGTGCAATACTTTTCTGTGTCTAAATACTACTACAATGTTCACCAGGGCCACGTTACGATGTCTTATTTACACGTAAATCGACCATTGCGAGAAATATAGCTAACTAAAAGATAAATCATGGTACTTTTTCCGTATTTCTTTGCATCATATTAAAGTCTGAAATGAAAAGGCACTTGATCGATTGAAATTTCATTTTCGTTCACTATAAATACTCTACACGATTGAGAAAGCTGAGTGGTCGTGATCGCTTAGCAATTTATTATTTGCCCAACATGTCAGAAAGCTTGAAGTGGAAAGTTTGCAGATATTTTTGCCAGCTATCTTGCTAGATTTTAAACAATTCGGCGAAATCAAAATATAGTTTGTGCAAATGTCTGCAATGGAAAGCTTATCCCTTTAATCTGATAAACCGACAGCGACGTAAAAATTTGAAATATGAAAACATTTAAAGTGGGTGTTAACTTTTGTGAAAATATCTTTAGTCACTTTTTGCGATTAATTCTCTTTTATTTCTCACGCCATGATGTAGATGGTGTAAAGCTTTGTTTAAATAGATTGTTCCACCAGGATTAGGTTCTTCGTGATCAGTTGATCACTGACACTGAGCAAGATCATTAGCATCTTGAAGCATGAAGTAACAAAAGGTTCATGTCGTCTTTGATGTCAAATTTTTGTTTTCTTTTTTGCAAAAACTTCACAAAGGAATCTTACTACTTTTGCATGAAGTTTATTCAGATTAGCCCAGCTTTGGCCAGTGCTTCTATTCTTTGCAGAGAGAACATTTTGCCATCAAACAAAAGATATTTCTAGAAGATTAAATAAAAAGAGCATTGTTCAAAATTACCAGAAATTAACATTATAAAGAAAGCTTTAACAAGATCCATGGGTTTGCCCTTAAGTGGGGTAAATTTAGCATGCCTTTTCATGCACCACTGATTCTAGATTGATGTTAGTTAAAATATATCAACCCAATAATTCATAACCTTAACATTGTGATTAAAATACGTGCTGGTAATACACTGAAATATTGAAAGGATTGAGACCTCTTTGTCTTACTCATATACATGCTCTTTCACATCAGCCATTCTTCAAAGCAGAAAGTTGCTATTCAGAAATTTTTGTGCTCTATCTAATCAATTATATCTATTGATAGATATGTGAGTATCTTTTGTCAAATGGAGGTTAAAGTTATCTAAACAGATGTCTTGAATTATTTGCAGCATTCCTGGTTATTTAGCCACCCTTTTACTGATTTTATCCCACTGTAAACAAGAAATACAGTTATTGGGGTCATGTTTATGTATAATCCTGAAATTAATCGATAGATCAAACTTTTTTTGTTTTGGTCTTAAGTTTATCAAGTTATCATCTTGATTTCAGGAAAGTTCAGGAAGATCTGATGACACCATTGCCCTGGAGGCACTTACTAATCACACTCGCTGCAATGATAGTTTTGTCCTGGATTTATTCCAAGCTCAGTATCGTTCATCTCTCAAATGTCCCAGATGTCATCAACAGTCCACTACTTTTGATCCATTTCTTTGTCTTTCTTTACCCATCCCTCAAAGGGAAAGCCGTCCCATCATTGTCACCACAGTATTCGTTAACTCATCAAGGGTTCCTTTGCGCATCGGTGTCAGCGTACCCATAAATGGAACGATTGCTGATCTGCGGAATGTTGTGTCAGACATGACAGGCATCAGTGAACAATCTTTGATTCTCACAGAACTTTACCATGATGGATTTCACAGAACGTTTCATGATAAGCAGTCTTTGAGCATTGTTCATGAAGGAGACAATATTTATGCTTTTGAGGCTCCCAGTGGACTTTTTCCTGAGATGGAAACAGAAGATGGAGAGGCACCTGTCATGTCAGATAATAAGGGACCGATTTCAGATACTATTCTGATCCTCCTGGCAAATTGCCAGGGTCCTGCAAAAACCACATCAAGTAAAAGGTAACTGTGTTGGTGGAGCCTGTGTTGGTGAAGCATATTCCTGGCAAGAAGGGTTGTGTTTTTTTATACCAAAGCTGTTTTTGGAGTCTTTTGTCCTAACCATGATGACCCCTTCAATCTTAAAGTTGTTTGTTGGGTGTAAGGTGTTAATGTTCACCACAACGGCCAAAATTTCTCTTCTGTTAAATTTTTAAATGTCAAGTATACTTCTTCATGTCAAAATCCTTTCTATCCTTAAAATGTGTGCTGCTCTTGAAATCTGATCATATCATTGTTATCAACATCATACTGTTGCAGGGTGACTAAGTGTTGTCAACTGAGTAAATAATGTAAATTGGCTACTGTAAAGAGTTGTAAAGCTGATGTTTTGAGCATTAGCCTTGTGTCAGAGTAAGGGGTTAACGCTGGAATGATTCGCTCTGATGAAGGGCTAACGCTCAAAACATCAGCTTTGAAACTCTTTACTCAGTGATGATATTTAATTACCCTGTTTTATACTCCCACTGATGTAGTACCACAGTTTCTTTAGAAACTTACCCCCTTTATTCTTACTGTTGCAGGTTTGGTCTTCCCTTTATTGTAAGAGTTCTTAGGGAGCTAAGTTATGAAAATCTTCAAGCAGCAATCTTGAAAGCCATGTCAAGGATTTTAATGGACAACATGTCATCACAGGTAAGAATTGAATAGGAAAAGATCTTGGAGCAACATCTTTTGATTGTATGTGTCAACCTTAATTACATGATTAAACATTTCATCAGATCAAGAAGCAAGGCTTAGTGTTCAGACTGAGAGTGATCAATGGTTTGCCAGGCAAAGGTGCACTTTCTCCTGAAGTGGATCATCCCTTATATCAGGCAACTGTTGACAGGTGGGTCTTGCACCTGTTTTGATTTTGAAAAACAGTTGACAGTTGAAATGTGAGCTTTAATGAGAAGTATGTATCACTTATCACCTCTTGTCACATTTTAAGAAACCAAGATTGCAATTTCTGTGATCAATTTGATGACAGTTTTAGATAGCTTGAGTCACTTTGTGGAATCTCAAAGCATGGACAGTGTCATAATTTTAGATAATCTTTTTTAATGGTGGATTGTTTTGGGAGCATACTCCTCCTCTAATGAAAAAAAAGCAGTTGTGTCTCTTAGTTTGCTTGTATGATTTTGAATTGTTCTAACATCTTACAGAGCACTCTTGTCATGTGGATCAGGAAGTGGACCTAAGCATATCAAGGTGATGGCTGAATGGGACCAAGAAACAAGAGTGAGGTAACAGAAAATCAAATTAATGAGATAAATTGATTAAAGCTTTGTCACTTCCATGATCTAAATATTGTTTCCCTGCACTCTTTATAATTGTAGCTATGAGAATTTGGAATTTGAAGTGTTGCTTTTTTTTACAGAGGGAAAAATGGGGGAACTCAGAGAAAAATGCTTAGAGTAAAATAAAGAACCAGCAGTAGACTCATACCAAATGTTATACCAGGCCTTGAAATAAACATGGACCACAGCAGTGGAAGTAAAGCCCTCTGCTCTTCTTGATCCCTACTCCCTAAACTTAACCCATTACACCTTAACATTAGAATGAAAATTCTCCATACTGTTTGCCACATATTTCCCACAGTGCCATAAAGGAGAGTTTGTTTGAAAATCAAGAGCTTTTTTTAGTTGTGATCATTTCCTATATTCTCATGACCTTACTGTTTGATTCAGGTGTGATATTGTCGAGAATGTTATTTTATCATTTCTTGTAAGCATAACTCAGTTGTTCATGGCAGTCTTTGTGCCTTTCCTCTGATAGCTTTGTCAAATCAAGTGTTTTACAAGAACGCCCAGAGGAGCACCGCAGTGTACGTGAAGTGGAGTCATTACACAACAGCTCACATAATGTTGATCTGGAGGACTGCTTTAGGCTTTACACCAAAGATGAAAAGGTTTGCATGATTTTGATTGTTACCGAGTCACAACGTCAAAACATAATTGTTGCATTTTATGAGATTGTGTGTTGTTTGATAACTTTCTCTGACCCCTAGGAAGGAAGGAAAGGTAAAATCTATTAACTTGAAGATTTGCATACAGAATACCTTTCTTCAAACACAATTGACTATAGTTTCTGTGTAAATATTATTGATAGCATACTATCCATCCAACAGCTTTTAATAAACTAACATCTGCAACCTTGTTGGGGTTATGTGTCCACATACACTCAGTGTTTATATCAGTATTTTTTGTTTCATTTCTTTAGCTTGGTACTGAAGATGCCTGGCTTTGTCCTCGGTGCAAGAAACTTCAGCAAGGAACTGTGAAGCGACTAAGTCTGTGGAGCCTTCCTGAGGTGCTTGTGGTTCACCTGAAGAGATTCAGACAGGTAAGTTCAATTTTATCTTGTATTCAAGAAGAGAAGTTGCAATTTACTTTAGGTCCTTCTAAAAACTGCACTGAGATCTTTGCTTCAAATTCCCTATTGCTTGTTTGCTGAGAGGATGAAAGTTTCCCCTTATTTTTATGTAACATTTAAAATAATTTACTGGTTAATGTACTCTTGCAATTCATTCAAAATACCAAGAGGCAGATTTTCTCTTCAGTGTTATTTATATCTGAAAAGCATTTAAATGTTTTTACTCCAAGAATGACATGAAAGGAATTTTGCTTTACAAAAGCATTAAATTTTTAGAGAGAAAAGTAGTTGCACACAGTAGAAGAAAAAATATCACATCAAGGATGATGTTTGATTTAAGCTAAACTTACAAGAAATGTAGAGCATACAAGGCAGAGAGTTAATACTTACAATTTGGAAGTGAAAGGATTATGTAACCCCCCTGATTGAAATTACCAGCCTCTAGTGCACAGCAGTGTAAGTGCCTCGCCAAGTTGGAGGGTTTTATCTTTAGAGGAAGAAACTGCTAGTAATAAGAAAGACTCCACAGTTTGTCATTCAACCCTTTGATCCCAGAGAGTGAATAGCATCTTATTTTTCCATACATTATCACCTGCAAACCACAGCACTTCAGGAATTGTATGGAGAACAGTATGGAAAATATGCTTACTGATGTTTGGGTGTAAAGAGTTAAATAAAGATATGGTCAGTCTTCATCCAATTCCTCATCCAAAAACAAGACCTTCAAACTGCATCCAAAATTGTGGTAATTTTGTACTATGAGTAAGCATAGAATTTATGATCTTTCTCAAAATATTTAAATATTATGTTTTCCTAGACTTCTGCTGGTAGAACCAAACTCCACACACTTGTGGACTTTCCTCTAACAGGCTTAGATGTGACTGAGCATGTTGAACCTCGCACCAAACGGTCGTCACCTGAAAGCCACTCATTAGGGTGGGGCACATGGGGACGTAAGCGTGCTAGTTCAGTCAGTGGCTCTGATGAAAACCTTTATGACTTGTATGCTGTGTGTAACCACACAGGAGGAATGACAGGAGGGCACTACACAGCATACTGCAAAAATCCTGTCGATTTTACCTGGTACCTGTTTGATGATATGCGTGTAGAGAAGATTAGTAAGCACCAGATTGTCACAAAGGCAGCATACCTTTTGTTTTATACTCGGCGTAATGTGGGATCTTCTTCAGCATCTGAAAGTTCATCAGGTTCCGAGCACTGGGTTTGGAGAATGCCACAGTTTTCATATGAATCTGTGTTCAGCTCTCGTGATGAGCTTTCAAGTAAAGAGGACTCTACAACTGGTAGGAATCCTTTTTTTTTTTTTTTTTTTTTGTATATTGTAGTATGTCATCAAATTATTTTTGGGTTATGGATGTGTCATATGTTTTTGAAAATACACCAGGTAACTACCACCAGTCTTTCCTCTGATATAGATAATGAATTAACAATAATAACAACATTCATTAATCTCCAGTATCTTGACAGTTCACTCTTATTCATCACATTCCTCAGAGAACATAATTTGACTGGACTGCTTTTCAGTCTAGAGTGCATAAAGGAAGATAATTGATTCATGCAATGGTCCTTTCAAGTATATTTCTACCTTTTAACTCTGTGTGAGAGGAGTGTTGTTGTTCTTTTTCAGCGTACAATTTTTTTTTAATGTTTCTTAGACAATAAAGATTTGAACTGTCTCTGATGGCTTCTAATGTCTGAGTTTTCCTGTAAGATCTGGTCATTTAACATTTTCAACTTTGTACTGTAATTTACATGAATCCTTTTCATTCAAACTTGAAAAGCAATAGGAAATTAATTGAAATAGATTCAGACAAATTGCAAAAGTTCCATCTTGAAAATTAGAACCTTTTTTTCTTGCAAATAAGTTCTGCCTGAGCAATGAGATACAGCAGTTTCTGATGGCAAGACATATTTCCTTTGGCTACACTCCACAAAGTTGTAGAATGAACTTTTTTAAAAGGGGGGGCTCTTTGTTATAAATTCCTTACATGAAGGGCTTCTACCATGGCTCCTGTTTGTGTACCAGTATTCATGGAAACACTGGCAAGTGGAATCTGTGAACTTTCCTGGAATTTGCATATTGATGCAAACCTGAAGTTTAAGAATTGTATTGACTTCAACAAGAATATTAAATCATTTCACAAAGGTTGAGAGGGGGGGGGGGTTTACTTTAAGATTTGAATGTTATTCAAAAAACATTCTCTTCCTAAGGAAGGGAGGGTGAAGGACACCCTGGCACCATTTAGCCATGCCCTCATCAAATGATCAGTATCCTGTGGATCTGAGAACAGTTTAGTGGACTCAGGTTTTCAAATCCCATTATCTGATTAGAAATTCTCACTTTGACCTACTTCACCTTTCTTGTCTGTCATTTGCAAAAAATTTGACATTATTCTGAAAACCCTCATTATTGACATAAATTGTATTTCTTGATTCTCATAACTTATAAGTGATATGTTTTAATTCTGGGGTTTTATGGGTTAAGTCAAGTTGATGGTGAAACTAGATTTCAGAAGAATGTTACATGTGAAATTCTTTTCTCTTTATTTCAGGTCATTCTGCAAATGAATCATGCAGTTCCCTTCCACAGGCTCAAGAGAAGAACACATCTAACAAATGGAACAGCAAAGAAAACATGCTAACAGAATCATGTGTGTAACACAAACTTGTTCTGTTTCCTAAATTCCATGATACCCCCAAGGAGCTGTTGAATTAAACATCAGTATCAAAACTGCACTCCACCCTCCTACTTCTTGGGGCTACACAACAGAAATCTGACATCCTGTATGAATACAAAGCTTCCCGGATGGTTTTTTATTAAAGGTCTAAATAATTTGTACAAAAACAAGCAAGTCATCTCTATTAATATGAATAATAATTAGTTTCAATTCACCTTCCCACTAAAGTCCTAATCTTAAGGCCAAGAAAATTGCAGACAAGTGATAGGCTAACATTTCGAATTTTTTCACTTTAACCTTTTAACCCTTAAGAGTGACTGGGATCTAATTTCTCCTTACCTTATTAGCTCAGAATCAAACATAAAGGTCAGGAGAATAAAGGAACTGATCACCTACTAAAGAAGTTCTTGTTTGTTAGACAAATTCTCCTTGTCAGCACCTTGTTTAGGAAACAGTATGGAGAATATGCATGCTGATGTTAGAATGAAAAGGGTTAAGGAGCCTCTTTTAATTTATTCATTTAGATTTATCTGCAGATAAGTTAAGAAGCAAGAAATTTCCCTTTGGAAAGACACCTGTGTAACATATGTACAACAGAGAACCGTTCCTGTAATTTTATGGGGAGCATGTTAACATGCTAAGGCACTATTAATTCTTTTTTTCAGCCCATAGCCCTTAATTAAGCAAATACTTAACAACCCATAATGGGTAACATATTTTCTACAATTTTTAAAGAAACATTCGAAACCAAATGCACTGCATTGTAAATATATTGCAAGTAGCTAATTTCATTCAAATGCATAAAGCTCTATAAGGCCCAATAAATAGAGTTTGTCTTGGTAATAAATATATTTGTGAAAGTGTTTTGTTGATGTGATTACTACTCCAGTCAATCTGGCTGATTTCTCATCTAGGTCAGGGTAACACAGATCCCTTTAATTTTTTATATTTACCCCATAACTCCTTGTTCAGTGTTGAATCCACCAAATAATGAGGGTGAAAGGGACCTCATTCTCAATTGCTACAGTTTTGTAAAATTTTGCTAATTTTTATTTACTTATAGTTCTATGATTTGGTACATGCAGTCTGAAATGACAAAACCAACCAGCATCATGTTGATCCATTTTCATCTGTATTTGTTTTATAACTAATAGATAATTAACAATGTATATTTGACAGGATATTTCGAAAAGAAAAGGTTCAGGGGATGTGGTGAGGATTCTGAAAAAAATTACACATCACATTGGATATTAAAACCACAAATTGAGATATTTTCACGATATTTTCTCATACCAGATCTTTTGGACTGTTCATTTGGGGAACATTATTTTCAAAGTAAAACAGTAATTGATGATATTGTGTAATCTTGGCAAGGAAAATTTTGTTTCTTGGGTAAGGAACAATGATGTACCTTTGCAAATAATTTTTGGGTCTTAAATTTTCTGGATCTACCCCAGGATAATAGTATCATAACATCCTCCATTTGTTATGACACACTCGGCCTATCCCAGCATTTTCCAGTGGGTTAAAATGTGCACATGGTTGGTAAACTCTTTAGTCACTTTTACCTTCAGAAAAACATGTTAAAGGTGAAATATTCAAAGATTGTGAAAACATGTAAAGCAGCTAGGCTCTTCATAAACTAATGAACCTTTAAAATGTCTATTAAGACTACAATACTTCTGTCTATGGTACTCTTAAAAACACTTGTAGTGAACAATTCAGGGACCAGATTCATTATATTCCTGTTTTGAAATCCACATCGTTTGGGAGGTGGACAGTGATGCCAGGATCGATCCTCCAATCCATGCAGCATATTTACGCTCAGGAGGAGCAATAATCTTAGTTTTTTCCGATGGGTGAAGCCAGAGCAGAGATTTCCTTCTGCATTCTCTTGTTTATTCCTGCAAACATCGTAGTCCCCTGCCAGCATTATGTTCGAGCAGAAAAATTAGGGGGAGGGAGGGAGGGAGGGAGGGGATATCCAAGCAAAGAACTGGTATTCTGACCGAGGAGGGTAACAATACTCTTACCAAACTGGGAAGGCTCTGGCAGGATGGGCCATCTGACAGTAGTATGACTCCGTTGTAAACCAAACGGCCACTACCACCGTTAAATGTCATCCCCAGTAAAATCATCGCAGTGTTTACATTCGAAGTTTACGAGAGGGGTTACTTTTTGCTAATGGTACTGAAACATTTTCCAGTTTTGCATTCTTCAGTTATAATAATTATCTAACTACCTGGTGGTAATACTCGTTCCACCCTCGTGAAGAACATTGCTTGCATAGACCAGCAGATTTTTGAGGGCTTGGGGAGGGGGGCAGGAGGGACCCGGGCGGCGGGAGGTGACCATCACACTTTCTAAAATATCAAGTAAGAACAGAAGCCCATAACGTAATGGGATCCTAGTAAGAAATTCTATATCGTTAAGGATACTTGAAGAAATCCGTCAGAGTTCTTGTAAACTTAACAGATATAAAATAAATCTGTTTACATTGTTTGGTTGAAAATCATTTTGAACCAAACCCAAAATAAGTTCTGGTACAATATATTAAAGTTCACACGGCAACCAGGTGGACAATCAGACATAGTTTGATGCTACTCTGGTTTACAGATTTAATGAATGTAACCGAAGAAGTTACAATTCATAGACCCAACGTTTCGACACTCCTGTCTAGTGCCTTCATCAGGGGTGATCTAAACGCTGCAACAAGAGGCACTTTTATATGATCACTAATTAGCGGCCTTTTTTTCCTGACGAGGTGTAAATGGGCGTCAGGAAGCAAACCGCCATCGTCACGATCTAAAGGAGAGTGGGCGGAGTAAATATGCCAAGCCTCCAAACAAAGGTGCTGGTGGTAACGCCGATTAGTGGTGATAATTTTAGAATTATCCCACCCAATTGTATGTTTAGTTAGGCATGTGTGCTCCGATAAAGCTGAGTTTTCCTTTTTGCAAAGGAAAACCGCTTTTTGGCGCTCTTTTAACCGTGTACCAAACTGACGTTTGGTCTGTCCGATGTATTCGTTGTCACAGTCATTGCAAGGAATAGAATAAATGGCGTCGGTTCGTTGTTCTCCCGTGACAGGATCCTTAGGTTTGGCGAAAATATGCCCCAAAGACTGAAAAGGTTGTTGAGCAACTTTAACGTTGTGGCTATTCAAAATTCTCTTAATGGGTTCCGTAACACTCTGTATGTAAGGAATAACAGCAAAACCAGTCGCTGGTTCCCTTCCATCAAGAGCGTTACTATTTGTAACTGGTTTTTGGCAGTTGCGGAGAAAGGTTTTTGTATAGCCATTTTCCTTTAGGACATTGGAAACATATTTCCTCTCCTCGGTCTTCGAATCGAGTGAAGATGGTAGACAGTCAGCCCTCCTAAGGTTACAGACTTTTTTATGGCAAATAGGGTGGTGAGAATCGAAGGCGAGGTATTTGTCGGTGTGGGTAGGTTTACGGAAGACAATTGTCTCTAAATTACCCTGAACCCCTCTGGACACATAAATCAAGAAAGGGCAAATTTTTCAAATTTTCCCGCCAAAAGTCTCAGTATATAAACGAACGACTTTTTCTTCACACATTTGTAATTATTAAATAAGATTACTTGAAGA